AGCATAAAAGCTACCATTCGCAGCAGTGAGAGATGAATATTTTAATGCTGTCCGCTTTTTCAATTTTTGGTAAGCAGTGGCTCCACTGTAAGTATCATGAATCTGTTAGAAGAAGGAGTTTACCCATCCATCACTATGAGCAATTGCAGCTCGAATATGCTTGCTGGACTTTGATGCAAACCTGTTTGCATTGTGCAAATACTAACGGTCTTGATCCAGTCACTGCAGCAACCTCTAAGGGAATTGGTGTGTTCAAGACAACAGATGGAAGGAGGTTCACCCTGACCTCTTCCTCTGCTTCAGGAGACTAATCCTCACAAAGAGGCAAGTGAAGAAAATGACTGATGTTGCCTTCAATAGAGTCAGAAGGACCACTACCTTTGTGGAGAGTAACCATCCACCTGCGAAGGGGCCGTTCCTGAAATTTTGCCATCAAAGGACATACACAGGCATAGTGTTTTGAAAACTCATTCTCGCACTAGTACCAAGCATGACATTGGGTGCAGAAGTAGCACTCAATTGGTGGTGTTAAAGAATGTGGGCTGTATGAGAGCTCATGTTGTAAATATCAGCCTCATTCTGCTTCTGACAAATGCTAAAGGTCGCAGAGATATGATTGAGGACTTTCTTCATAGTTCTTTCCCCAAGTGTCAACACTGATGAGGGTTACATGACAACACAATAAATAAGCCCAAAGAAGAGCAAAGAAAATCACGACCTTACAGCACATCAGGAATCTGATCTCAGAGATGAATTTGAGTCAAAGATATATCATGACCATGCAGAAATTTTTGCCACCATCCCAATCAGCCACAGACTACTGTAAGGTGCTTACAAACTGGTATTAGGTGTCATACTAGAAATCTGATGATATAGTAGACTATTATATATATAACACTTTCAGACATTTTTTTGTATGATGAAAATGATTTGAGTCATGTAAGACTCAACTCATTTTTACTGTCAAATAGGTGTTTATTGGAGCAAACATGTAGAAAAAAGTCGGAAAAAATTATAAAGATATTAGAAAAATTGTAACATGACTATATAATCTAAAATTCTATGAAACTTCTATGAGATAGTTACCTTGGAGTAGATACATGACATTGTAGGCTACTAAAGTAATCTTTGTAAAATGAATATTAATGACTTTTTAGTCATATTTTTATACAGATTTTATAAAAGGACATAGTAATATCATTTTAAAGTCATTTTCAGCCAATTCTTTTAGAATGCATAGTAGTCACTTTTTGGTAACATTTTTATACACTTTTTGCAAAACAACATAGTAATATCGTTTTGAAGCCATTTTTCAACTGAGTCTTTTAAACTGCATACTAACTTTCTTTCTTCAGCTTAATGAGGTCATTCATCATGACAATAATAGAACACAGGATGTGGAGGATATGCATATTTTTGTAAGTATGTGTTAACATGCGAGCTTCATTGACACTAAGAAAAAAAGGCTTACACCACATTGCCCTTGATGTTGGTGTAAATCTGCATGACCTTCTCATTGTAGTAGATCTCATTTATAGATGCAATGCCAGCATCAAGATGAGCTTGAATTTGCAGGGATGAATTGTTATTGGAGAATATGGGCAGAAACTTGATTGAGTCAAGGCTGAACTACACATTGGATGGAGAATTTTCAGAAGAGTTTTGGACTCTAACAGTAGACCATAATTCTAATGCCACATTCAGAAAGATTTGTGCATTCATTAGAGCTCCTAGAGTCTGACCAAGTAACAGTGGATTAGTGAACTTATCAACAAAGTCATGCAGTTGTGGTGCAGTCAATGAAGTCAGGATCTCGAGTAGTCAGTTGAACTGTGTTAAGCTGCTTGATTGGGAGATAATTGTACATAACCTTTAGAGGTAATACTCTGCATCTGTTGGGCAATTTGCAAAGAGTTAAAAAAATTTACAACCAAGATTATAGATATTAGTTATAGTAAGCTGAATTTGGGAGTTGGCAGCAAGTTGAAAGAATGTAAAGGAGAATGAAGGGAATGCTATTGTGAATATATCAACAAAACTCACCTTTTTCTTAGAGAGCCATTTAGACTTTTGGATCTTACAGCTCTTATTTGAGGTAATAAATGTTTAAATAAGTGTTTATAAGTCTAATTTTAAACACTCATATAATATGCATTAGGCCCCTTTTGATCTTATACCCTTAAATAAGGATCATAAGTCCATTTAAGTTAGTTAAGTACCATTTTAAGTAAAAGTTGAGTTTTGCTGATGTATATGGTGAGTGGAAAAGGCATCCAATGAATGTCTAATAGATCCAGAACAAGACAGAGTGAAGCTCAGGCTCAGTGCAATAGCAAACAAGTGACAGTATTAGTGCTCACCTACAATAAGACAGAGTGAAGATACTGTCGGTCAGTAAGGAGATAAAACTTAGTAAGAAAAAGTAATCACCTTAGTTTCGGTGCAATAGCAAACAAGTGACTAGATTAATGTTGACCTAGACTGAGACAGACCAAAGCTATTGTAAGTCATAACAAGATAAAACTAAGTTAAAAAAAGTATTCACCTTAGTCCTGATGCAATAGCAAATCAGTGACTGAGGTGCATCACCTAAATGTTCGCTCCGCCAGCAGTAATTACATCAGGAAAACCCAACATTTTCTTAGGGACTTATTTGGACTTTTCATTCTAACAACTCTTATTTAAGACCATAAGTGTTCAAATAAGTTCAAATTCAGAGAATACTGTCCCATTATGACTAATTCAGCCAATATTTACCTTTTTCAAACAGTCTTAAAAATCCATAATATGTCCAAAAATTCAGAAACAATTATTGATGAGGTCTCTGAAAATTACTGTGACATGTGACTGGCCTGATTAGTTGTGATTGCACAGTATGGCTTAGGTCCTTTTTATTCTTATATTCTTAAATAATGATCATAAGTCCATTTAAGTCAGTTAAGTGTCCTCTTAAGAAAAAGTGGGGTTTTTCTGATGTACGTGATTACAAAAGGAGCATGGTGGCACTGGCTGCCACATTTGTATCTTGCGCTTCTTTTCTAAATTAATCTTAATCTCATATGACTTTGACTTTACCACTACTTTATAACCACTACCTACCTTCAGGACTTACTAGCTCCAGCCCAATGGACGATAATTTCTTCTGCACCGTGTACTCAGAAACAAATGCTGAATATCTCAATTTTTATCTTTGTAGAGAGCAAGATGTGATAGCATGAGTGCCATATAAGGATGTGCTGTTCACTGTAGAACTGATTGATCGCTGGCTCCATTGCCCAGTCAAGTTGATTTTGTCATGCTTGCTTAAGAATGCATCTTCTAATTATTGTCCTGTTCCTCACAATGTATGAAATGGTGCATTTATTTACCAGGACTGTAAGATCACCCTTACCATGGCCCATCTTCTGCAGACTGGGCCGCAAAAGTGCTCACAGGTGTGACATGACTGTATAGTGGTGTCGAATATGAACGATAATGAACAAGAGTTCCAAGTCACTGTCACACACTAATAGGGTTTGGCTTGTGGACATGGAATATGTAACCAGATTACCAGAAGTCAAACAAGTAGTATAGAAGTCGAAGAAGACAGTATAGAAGCCAAAAAAGACTGAAACTTCTCAAAGCAGCAAGTAATTTGCCGAATTTGGTAGTAGATGCCTATTTGGGCAATTATTACATAATCAAGCCCAAACTGCTCACTTTCAAGTATCAAGCAGGCAGATTCTAGGCTTCCACAGCCTAGCCCAGGTCTATTCAAGTAACTCACAGATAGTACTAGCCATGTTGGGTTAGACATAGAGAGAATTCTGTCATTGGACAAGGAAATGAGTCAAAGATAAAACACTTCATTATATCTATTTCAGCATACCATTTGTCGCAGGTTCACCTAGATGACTCACCGTGGGAATGACACAAAGGGCTGGAGAGGGAGACCATCAAATATGTTAAATTTAGTGGATGATCAAGTTGGGAGAGAGTTTAGTGCTATTAGACAGTGCAATTTGTCAAGAGTCCTGGACAAATATGAGTCAGCATGACTCAAAATGACTAGAAATGACTAGGACCAATTAGGAATGATTAGTACTTAGTAAGCTACATAATCAGGCTTTATAAGAGGGTTTGTGATCATATATAAAGGCCCCCTCCCCCCTCTTTACTGTTACTGCTTTACTCCCAGTCACCACAGTTCAGTACACTGCAGAGCTACTGCAGAGCTGTACTGTTATCAGTTATCAGTTCAGTTTACAGTTCAGTTAAATTTGATCAGCTTGGAGCCACTAGTGTTTGATTATAAAGAAGACTTGACTCAACAGTATTAAAGTTTGACTCTCAGCTTGATTTTACTTGATTCTGGTTTCAGTGCTTGGTTAATTTGAATATCAATCATCTGGCAATTAAAGACACAGTTTAATCTAGCTAACCCTCCACTATCCTCTTAACAGACAAGGTCTGCATCAGGAAAATCACCTGTGGCCCTAGAGCAGCCTAAGCTGTCCTAGGATGTCCTGAGATGCTCTCAGAGCTGCCAGGGCACCAGGGTTGCCAGAGCGTCCTAGGATGCTCTGAAAGCAAGGTCCACACAGCATTTTTCCTGAGGCAGCCTAGGTCACTCTGAGCAGCACTGAGGATACAGCTGATTTCCTAGATTGCACTGAATTGATTATGCTCTGAGACGCTCTGAGATGCTCTGAGATGCTCCAGTTTGTCCTTAGATGCTCAGATTTGTTTTCAGGTATCACAATATATTAGACGCATTCTTCTACTACATCGCAAGCAAGTATCATAAGTGTAAGAACTAGCATCAACATGTACAGGAATAGAGAGATATTAGTATAAAAGAAGATACATTCTTTGCAGTGTCGCATAATGAGTGATGACGATTGAAAATAAACGAGTAATGTGAATGATGATGATTGAAAACACGATGAAAGAAGCTATATAACTAATAGTCAATAAAATTGTGTTGAGCTATAGCACGATAAACTTACAGTAAAGATTGGTTAGTTCTTTGCTGAGCGTTCAAGAGCATCGAAGTCCAAATCATCTATATCAGCAGCTTCATCTGATACGTACAGATGACTTCGATTTACAGACTTGCTATAAAAATGAATTGTTAGTAAAGTCTTAATGTGAATACAATAACATACGTAATCTGTTTGAACAGATTTTTCTCAAAATTCTCCATCCATGTCGGTGACTTCTCAGCAAGACGATCCCACAGAGCAGTGAAGTGAATATATCTGAACACCTTATCAGAAAAGAATCTAGCAATTGTCCTTAGATGTACCTAGCCTTCGCAGTTTCATCGCTAAATGGCAGTGGACAATATTCACCACTCGCCCACTCCTTGAGAGCATTTTCAATCTAAATAATGATCAATAATGTGTGTGTAACCTCAGTTTATCATAGTGCTTACTGTGGTGATTACAAGAACGAGAAGAGGACCTGGAATCCTCTTTGCAGCCACCATCATGTTGTACGTCATAATATCAGCCTTGCCCTTACCTGTAAACCATTGCGCACAGATGATTTCTGTGATAAGAGGATGACTGAAAGGCTCTTGACGATTGACGGTACAGTCCTAAAAGTATTGAAGCCTTTCATTTGAATCACGATGCAAATTCAGTTTTGTAAAACTTACATTTGCATCCACTTCACCATACATAAAGTTTGCTTTGAGTAGGAGCCATTGCACAGTGTCCTTAATTTCAGATTCGACCAGCTTGTCAGGAAGACCAAAATGACCAGAGAGACCATCTTCGGCTCATTTCTTAAGGTCTCCTCATATTCCACTTATTGCATACCCAACCTAAAGAGTAAGTAGAAGAAATGAGGACATAGGTCAGACTGTAGCAAAGAGAACAATCTACTTACATACTTCAGCAAGCGTTCCTGCAACTCAATGTCAATTATAGCTCGATCTAAGACATCTTCCAAGGACGCCTTGGCTGCACCTGAATTCTGCAGGGCCTCCCACAAAAAATCATCGGTATTAGTGGGAAAGGCATCCATTAAAGAGATGCGCTCTCTAGTGGCGCATTTTCCTGCTGCGGCAAGCTTGAGACTAATAGGACTAAATTCCCCCATAACAACCTTCTTGTTACAGCTGGAGACACTTGAAGCAGAAGACGTGGTTGAGATAGTCTGTCCAGATGCTTTTTTGTGTCTTATGGACTTGCGAATTTCCTTGCTTTCCTCACTTTTCTCAATCGCAATCTAATAATTGTTAGTAGAATTACCCAAAAATTAATCACAATTAGAACGTACCCCGTTGCTAGCCTCATTACCAGCAAGCACTATACCTGGCTTTAACAACATGTCTTGAATGCTGCCATCCTCCTTATCATAATCCCCTGCAGGAGAGACACCAGTATAGTGAGTCTCATTCTCATCGTCTAAAAACAATTAATGCTTTGAAAACTGAGGCAAATAATTAACATGATCACATACCATCTGAAAAATCTGCCAAGTTTGAAGATGGATCTCCAAGAAGGTCATTAAGCTTCTCCTCGTCATGTGTAAGCTTCTTCCTCTTGGACCCTGTGTGATTCTCATCCGGGCTTTCTTCAGCTTCCTCCCCCTCTTCCTCTGCAATCACCATATCTGCATTATGCTTGCGGATTACTTCACAAATGATACACATATTATATTTCTATAATCCAGTAATAAAGAAGCCTTACCTTGATCCTGCTGCTCGTTGTAAACAGTAATCGCATGCTTGCTTTTGGCCTGAAGGGCCTTTAGTAGCTTCAGATCAGCAGGCGAGAGACCAGTATCTTCTGTAGAAACATCCTCGCTTAGTGCAGCTTTAGTAGCTTTTCCACCAGTCTTTTGCGAAGTTACTTTGGAAGTCTTAGCTTTTGAGATAGACTTGGGTGCAGACCTCCCAGACATCTTTACTGATTTAGCAGTGGGCTTTATCGTAGGTCCAGCTGACACACCTTTCAGTCATGTTACCTGAACTGAACGCCCATTTACCCTGACATTGTCATGAACTGGACAGCCAGCGGACGTCGACCCATTGTCACCATGTTGACCTCTACCAGCAGTTGGGCCCACCGCCAAAGGTCAGAGTGTTGGCCATGGCCAGAGCATGTTTGTCTGAGCAATCGGCCCACCGCCAAAGTATGACGAATGAGCAGTGGGCCGATCACCCAGAGTGTAACCTGAAGGATGGGCCCACCGCCAAAGGTTAGAGGGTTGACGATTGCCAGAGCATGTTATCGCCAGCAATCGGCCCATCGCCAAAGCACCCTCAGTGAGGGCCTTACTGCAAGCACCCATGGGATAGGTCATCGCCAGGACATGTTTCCGCCAGCAATTGGCCCACTGCCAAAGGTCAGAGGGTTGGCCATGGCCAGAGCATGTTTGTCTGAGCAATCGGCCCACCGCCAAAGTATGACGAATGAGCAGTGGGCCGATCACCCAGAGTGTAACCTGAAGGATGGGCCCACCGCCAAAGGTTAGAGGGTTGACGATTGCCAGAGCATGTTATCGCCAGCAATCGGCCCATCGCCAAAGCACCCTCAGTGAGGGCCTTACTGCAAGCACCCATGGGATAGGTCATCGCCAGGACATGTTTCCGCCAGCAATTGGCCCACTGCCAAAGGTCAGAGGGTTGGCCATGGCCAGAGCATGTTTGTCTGAGCAATCGGCCCACCGCCAGAGTATGATGAATGAGCAGTGGGCCGATCGCCCAGAGTGTAACCTGAAGGATGGGCCCACCACCAAAGGTTAGAGGGTTGACGATTGCCAGAGCATGTTATCGCCAGCAGTCGGCCCATCGCCAAAGCACCCTCAGTGAGGGCCTTACTGCAAGCACCCATGGGATAGGTCATCGCCAGGACATGTTTCCGCCAGCAATCGGCCCACCGCCAAAGGTCAGAGGGTTGGCCAATGCCAGAGCATGTTATCGCCAGCAATCGGCCCACCGCCAAAGGCCAGTGGGTTGACGATCACCAGGATATGTCATCGCCACCAATGGGCCCATTGTCACATACAGCCCTGCAGTTTCCGGGCACATTGGTGGTGATGACGTGCTCTGGTGATCGCCAATCCTCTGACCTTTGCCGGTGGGCCCATCACTCACCAGCACTCATGGCGGAGGGCCAATTGGTGGCGAAAACACGGCTTGGCGATGGCCAACCCTCTGACCCTTGGCAGTGGGCCCTTTGCTGGCGGAGCGATATTCCCATGCAGTGAAGCTTTCACTCAGGTCCTTTGGCGATGGGCCAATTGCTGGCAACAACATGCCTTGGTGATGGCGAGCGCAGTCCGCCCATCTGAAGAGTACACTGGAGGAGCGATGGGCTTTAGAGCTTAGTGATGCAGAAGTGAATGTATCCATTTTGTACTGGTATACAAGCTGTTACATAGTGGTCATATATTGCTAACACCAGAACGCTCAAAGACACTAGTTCAGTTCCTGCGATACGCCTCGCCACGAATGTCCCTCAGAATGTACCCCATTTGGAACACGGTCGAGCTGGCATTGAGGTTCGCAATGTGCATATCCTCAGTGAGGTTGAGCTCACGCTGAAGACGTACAATGCGCTCCCACAACATGGCGCGACGACGACTAACCGCAAAGCTATCACCTTCGTCATCGTCCACTATGAATAAGGTCAACATCAGACTGAAGGTTGCCAGGGATGTACTCACTGGAACTGTCTGCCTCTGCTGCGATCTGCGCAAACGATCTACCGAGGGGGGCCACTTGTGAGCCAGAAGCGGCATTCGTCTCTCCAGGGACTGCCATTGGCAGCAGCTGTGTGGTATCTGGGAATAAGCCTGGAACCTGTTCCCAATGGGTGGGACGATGGATCGGCAGCTCATCTGGAAGTGCTGCCAGACTTGGCATCCTGGAAGTAACAGTGACTGGCTCGATGCTGCCTTTCATATAGTGAATGACAAGTGCATCGTGGCGGAAATTGCTGTCATCGAAAGTGCGAGCTGGCGAGTGAGAGGGCACCGATGACGGAGGCGGTGGACTTAAAACATCGTCCAACAAAGGCCGCCTCTTTGGAGGCGAAGTGCTGGGACTATTTAGCCACCGGACCTGGCTACGCACAGGCGTCGCGCCAGGGCTGTCTATCACCAGAGCTCGCCATCGTCCTGGCGTGGCGGGAGGACTATTGTCAAAGTCCAGCAGTTTCGGCACTGGTTTCGTGTCAAGTGTCTCGTCCACCAGCATGCCCCTCGCCATCGGCGTACTTGCTTGACTATCAAAGTGGATGGATGTACGTGGCATAGCATCAAGGGGCTCAGCGATGAGCGATCGTCGAGGGAGTTGGGAGGTGTCAGGAGTGCAAAAGTCGAAAGTGTGAGCTGGTGGAGGAAGGGGAGTAGCTTCCAACAGGGCGCATCGAGGGATTGGCGAGATGCCAGGAGTGTCGAAGTCGAACATTCCACCGGGCGCAGTGGGGGTGGAATCTGAGATGAGTGCACGCCTATGGATTGGCGAACTGCCACGACTTTCATCCCAAGCTGGCGCCAGAGGGTCAGGAATAAGTGTGCGACTTCCCTCCACAGGCGCCACAGATCCAGATGACGCCTGTACCTTTGGCGAGGCGTGGCGGTAGAGATGCTCATGTGGCAAGTTGGATGGCGCAAATGGAGCCGCCAGGGACGGGGTAGTGTGGCGGGGCGCGAGGGATGTCTGAGAAGCAGAGTGGAGAGGCAAGGAGATCTGGGCAGATTCAGGAGAGTCAAGGAGATCCGAAATGAGTGGACGACGGGGCTCAGCGATACTATCCTCCTCATCCAACTCGCCCATCGTAATGTCCAGCGTGTCAGGAGGTTCCGCGTCACTGGCCATGGCAGGTAGATTGTGGCGAGCAGACAAGTCTTCGATCAGTCCTGGATCGCGGGAGATCAGTTGTAGAAAGGGGATTGATATGACATAGAAAGGTCAGATAACATCACAAAGGAGTCAGATTCCACAAGGAGAGCAATAGAACTTACTGTTGGGAGCCATGAGAACTTGCGGCAGGTCACACTGACCTTGAGAGACTTGAGAAATCGCGCAAGTCCAGTGATTACGTGCAAAGCACGTGGTCGCGTGGCGTGTGAAGTTGAACTTGGTGCAGATCACGTCTGCAAGCTCATAGCGTCGTCTGCTCCGCCTCTGCTGTACTGCAACCTCTGCTTTTGAAACACCCTCACACTTTCTTCTGCCAAGCTCACCATGCCTCTGGATATTGACCCCAACTATGTTCTGCAGGCCGCGCGACTGATGGCCATTGTTGCAGCGGCGCCTCACCAGGACGACCCTCGCTATCCGGACTGGGAGACGAGGATTTACCTCGAAGTGGTAAGTCATCGGTCGAAGGTCTGGCATGCACTTACTGAATATGCCACACAGAGTCGGCTTGAAAAGAGTTTCCCGCAGCCCTTGAAGTCGTTGAGGATGCCTGGGATTGTCATCAGCGCGTTGCTGGAATTCACCCAGGCATACCAGCAGAAGGCCCTGGCGCGGCTGGACCACATATCGAACGACAACGAGAGGATATACAAGAGGTACCCTCTGGCTGTGTGCGAGTATGGGGAGTGTGAGGACCTGGGAAGGCAGTGGTGGACTGAAGGTGAGTCACAAGCATTGTGAGGCGTCGAGCGACACACTGACTGCACCAGATCCATATTGCAAGCTGCCACCGGTGAAGAGTACGCCAGCGGAGGGCTGGGGCAATGTGCCAGCCGATGACGACACCCAGGGACGTGGTGAGGAGGACCTGGCTACCGGGGACCTCATCACCAAGGGGAAAGGCAAGGAGAGAGCTGACAATGACGTCGGGACAGGCATGGTGGGTGAGCATATCGTCCACGTGGAGGTGGGGGAGGACAAGGGAAAGGGCAAGAGCAAGGAGAAGGCGCAGGGGAAGGTGGCGCATGCGATGAGCGAGGAAGAGGATGGGGGAGAGGGAGAGGGAGAGGGAGAGGAGCAGGAGGGCGAGGATGACGATGATGCCGACAGTGACAAGGACGACGATGCCGACAAAGATGACGATGATGAGATGGCGGAAGATGTGCCGGGTGCAGGCCAGCCCGAATCCATCGAGGTCGATGCGGCGTCGCCCCCTCCGCCAACTGCCAGACCAATATCGATCTCGCCAGCTGCCCCATCACTCCGAAAGTGCAAGGCGGTCATCACAGAGTCGAGTGAGGAGAGTGAGAACGAGGAGGCGGCTCCGAAGGTGAAGCGGATGAAGCCGATCAAGGTCGCAAAGGAGAAAGGCGAGGCCCCGACCACCTCTGGCCGAGCGCAGCGTGCACAGAAGAGGATGGCGCAGACCGAGGTGGAGGGCTCGAAGGTGAGCACGAAGAAGAGCGGGAAGAGGAAGGCGAAGGAGTCAAGCGATGAAGAGGAAGTACCGATCGTCAAGCCGCCAAAGAAGAAGCGTGCGATGAAGGAATACAAGAGCAAGGAGTTCATCGAAAGCGAAGACGAGACTCCGGCACCGCCTTCCAATCTACCCGCCAAGACTGCAGGGGACTCTAACGATGGTGTTGCAAAGACGAACGCCCCTGCCAAACCTGTCAAACAGACAACGAGGATGACGGCGATGCCTCATGTCGCACTGAAGGTGAAGGTGAAGGGGAAGGCAAAGGCGACGGCGAAGGGGAAGGCGACGGCGAAGGGGAAGGCGAAGGTGATGGTGTCGCAGAAGGACATGTGGAAAAAGACGTCCACCCGCGTGTCTGACTTCATGTGGGCACACGCAACAGATTCGGTGAGTAACGATCTTGTGAGACATTGACCTGTGCTAATGTTCCTGCAGCTCGTCCCTTGCATTGGCTGCCAGGAGAAAGAGTGGCCATGCAAGCTCAACACCGCCAACTTCGGTCGCTGCCTCGAATGTGCAGCATGAGGCGTCAGTTGCAGCATCGCGCCGAGGAACACGGACGGCGTGCCCCTGCGAGGAAACTCACACACCGCACAGCGTGAGTTCCAAGAGATGTGCACAGTGCTGGTGGTAGAGGGCAAGCCACTGCCCACGTCGCCACCTCCATACGACGTCAAGGTCGACTCCGATGAGCCCGATGGTGCAGAACCCATGGTCATGGGAGCGTCGAAGCGCAAGCCGCCAAAGAAGACCAAGACGCGCAATGCTGCAGCATCCAGCTCCAAGGTCAAGGGTGGCGAGGAGGTCGAGGCGACGAAGCAGAAGGCGACCGTCACGCCCTATGAAGCCAACGCTGAAGGCGAGGCCTCGGTGGAGAAATCGTCGAAGTCCAAGCGTGCCACCAAGTCCACCACCGCCACTGGAGCTGTGGCTCTGTCCAACTCTGGCGAGGTCGCCAACTCTGGCGAGGTCTCCAAGTCTGACGCGCCTGCCAAGTCTGGTGCGGTCGCCAAACCTGGCGAAGGTAAGAAATCAGGACCCAAGGCAAAGCCGGTGAGGAGCCAAAACTCAGGTGCGCAAGATGGTGGCGAGGTCACCAGGACCTCAGTACGTGAGCCGGATGAGGTCCCGCCTGCCAAGTCTGTTGCGAAGGAGGGCGGGCAGACGACAAGGGTGGCGATGGGAGGTCGCTCGGGCCCAATGGTGCCCGTGATCACCAGGAAGGCGAAGGCGAGTGCTCCCAAGGCAGCAGCCAAGATGCCTCTGGCGGAAGGCAATGGCATGGAGGAAGCCGCCAGGCTGGCAATGGAGGCGGTGCGGGCTATGGCCTTCCAAACAGGGCCAGCTGCTCCGCCGCAAGCTAGCAGCAGCAAGCGCATGCTGACACCAGTCGCCGACGAACCAGAGGATGCGCCAGAGCATCAGGCAGAGGTGGTGGAGGATGAGGTAAGCAGGACATCTTGTCGCAGCTGGAATCGATGTAACCATGAAACAGCGCGCGTCCTTGGAGCGGCCACATGACGATCGGCGGCGTTCACTGCTGATGCCCCACGAGATGAGCGCAGGAGCTGCCGAGGTGGCACAGGAGGTGACGCCCTCCCTGGAGATATCCAAGGCGTCGAAGGGAGCGAAGTCCTCCACATTGGCGAAGGCAGGACATCTCGATGAAGGGCGAAGGCCAGCTAAGAGGGGCGCCCCACTGGACCGCAAGGCAGCGAAGAAGGAGGCGGAGGCGAAAAGGGATGTGAAGGCGAACCGCCTCAGAGCAGTGCCTCCGACCAGCAAGGGTAAGTGCGCCCACCACAGCTTCGAATCCATGCAGCGCTGACCAGGGATACAGCACCCCACTTGCACGACGTCCAGCGAGTGTCTACAGGAAGTCCCGCTCCGGTGAACGAAGGCGACACCCCCAGTGGCGAAGAAACCTCGCAGTCATCCAACGATGACTGCGCGAATTGTGCCGAGTTGCGACAGGAGTTCCTGGCGCACAAGGACGGGATGGAAGTCCAATTCCAGGAGAGGATGGCGGACCTCAACACCGTCAAGGCAGAGATCACAGCGGCGCTCCAGCGAATCAACCCGCCATCCGCATTTCAAGAAAATGCCCGGAGCATTCGCGAAGAGGTCAAGTTGGCCGTGGAGGAGTTTCGCAGGCCGGTCACCATCGAGCTTCAGGAGAGCGTGAAGTTGGCAGTGGTGGACCTCGTCGCCAAGCGACATTGCCTGCCAGAGCTCAAGGAGAAGGTCAACAGGTTGGAGCAAGGCGCGAACCAGACGGTGAGCCAAGCGGACGTCAACAAGCTGCAGGGTGAATTGGCCGACCTCCGTCATTCGATGGAGCTCCAGGCAGCGCGGTCAGACAGCATGGAGAAGGAGCTCAGGTCTTCGGCGGCAGAGGCGATCGCTCAAGCGAGCAAGCTGGAGATGGAATTGGCGCTCGCCAAAGAGGATTCGATGGCGGTGGCGATGTCCGCTTTGGATGAAGCGAAGAAGGTGGGGAAGGAGGTGGCGACGGCGAGAGAGGAAACCTCGCTGGTGGCGAAGTCTCTGGACGCATTTCGAGAGAAGGTCAACTCCGCCATGGTCTTCACCGCCTTTCGCCCAGATAGCCACAATGTGTAGTCATTAGAGTATTGATATACATGCTTTTTAACCTAGCATGGAATCTCCATGCACTCGATTCGCCACCGCCACTCCAAGTCAACTGAATGCCTGCTGAAGTTCTCGCCAACTCCCCTCGCCATTGCCACCATCTCCATGGCTTTACCTATATAGATCTATGGGTCACATTAAACAATGTGGAAGCCTATGAGTCTACTTTGAACTGGAGTTATATTGTCAAGGTCTGGTGCCGCCACTGCGGGTCTTGCGACCTGCGCCAACTTGGCCACTCTCTTTCACTTTGGCGGCTGCTTTCCCCAGACGGACCGGCTTCAGCTTGGTTTCTCCCTTGTCCTTGACCTCCGGGGTCTGAGGCAGAGCTCGTCTTCACTTTGCGGGAGGCTTGTCACCATCATCCGAGTCCTCGGCCCTCGCATTCTTCTTCCTCGGCGAGGCCACTATCAACTCGTCCCGAGTACCACGTCCACGCTTCCGAGGTGGCGGATTGTCTTCGCCAGAGCTGTCTTCGCCATCGGGCTCAGGACGTGCTGGTTGACGTTTCCGCTTTGGATCAGGAAGCTTCTTCAAATCTTTCACAGCTCCTAGTGGATGCTGACTGTGGGCTTTCTTGGCGGGCGACTCATCCATCGCTTGATGCTGACTGCGAGTGATCCTGCCGGGGATATTACTCTGAAGGGCATTGGTGATCGACCTTCCCTGGAGCGCTTTGGCTTGACCTGACGGACGGTCTTCCATGGCTGCGGCCTTCCTCGTCTTAGGTATAAACGGAGGCGGTGGCGGTCGTTCAGCACCACTGCTAGGTACAGACAAGTGTGCATCGTCCTCTTCGCCATCGTCAGAGGCCCCACCACTGGTCTCCTGGCTCGGCCCTTCGTCTCCTCCACTTGGAATGATTGGTTTGTCAGCCATGGGGGCAGGCTGGTGAGCCTTGTGAACTTTGGCAGCAGTAGCAGCGCCATCGTGAGTTCTTGCAGAGGCATCACCTTCCTGCTCCTCCTGGCCCCCAAGGCCATCGCCACCTTGTGGGGCACCGCGTATGGCAGGCTTGCTCACTGGCTTCACCATGGCATGGGTGACGTTCCCTTCCACCATGTCCAAGGTAATGATCTCGCAACAGCGAAGCAGCTGCTCTACTGCGTCAAATGAGATCGCCGAGTTCACCACATAGTCAGGAAGGTTGGTCGGTTCGCCCTCCTCAATGAACTGAGATCGTGTGAGGTCCCTCAGCGCCATACCAATCACGAGTGCAGATTGTTGTACGCCCTGTGGATGTAAGAACCAATATTTTGTCAGCCATGGTTTGTCACCCAACCAGTTCTCGACGATGTCAAAGTTGTCCACCGCATGAAATGACGGCGGGAGGTAGAGCTGGCCATACGACCATTCACTCCAGGGAATCGGATCATACCTGGCGAAACGATACACCTGGGGCTATATGACGGATGATCAATAGTGGCTATGAATCCCCACGAAAGGAGCTCACCACAGTCGCAATCTTGACTTCCTTCAGCATATCCTGGTATCGCGGTTCGACGGAAAGGGTGGCAAGAAACACGTCTCTCCTTTTCACGAGGTGGGGCACAGTACTCCCCACAGTACTCCCGCCAGTGAGACGTGGGGCTCGGCCTTGAAGCTCAAGCCTGAGCTCCTTTGTACTGGGCTCCAGTTCACTCGATGCTTCATCGGTCTCCTCTGTGTCAAATCTGTGCAGTTCGCCCAGAGGAAGGTCTTGGAGACCTCGCTTTGCCTTCGTCTTGGCACCGCCGCTACCACTCGCTTGAGGTGCACCGCCATTGTTAGCCTTACGTCCATTGGTGGTGGCGACTGCCTTGCCCTTCACTTTATTCGCAATCACGCTCTCGCCATCCCCTGAATCTTCATCGCTGGCCGTATCTTCTTCGGAAGCCATGCTGGGTATATCTGGCGAACTCCGATCAGAGTCTTGGCTGCTTCTGGCATCATCTTCCGAGTCGTATGCATCTTTCATCTTGCATTTACGCCCACCGCCTTTGGCTCCGCCAGGGGCCGCTTTGCCCTTTGTCGCCTTCGATGCCGCCTTTCCCGTGACCTTGCGCACAGGTTTACCCTTCTTCTTCGCCTTCCCCGCCTTCTTCGGTGTGAGTGCTTCTTGGACCTCATGTTCAGATCCTTCTTCTAATGCCTGTGCTGATCCATCAAGTGGTGGAAGAGGATCATACTTGGCGGGAGCAGCTTCGCCATCCTTGTCGAAGTACTGGGTGAATCGCATGGTCTGCTCAGGTCCATGTTCCTCTTGGCGTGCCCACCAGTGGTCGAGGAGGGCACGAACGGGAACACTTGTCATCTTTGAGGGATCGATCCACTGGAAGTTCTCAGGTAGCATCTCCGCTGGAATAACCTCATTGATGTCGTCTATGCTGTTCAGCTTCGTCCATGGCGACTTGCAGTTCCGAACACCCTTCGCCAATGCTGTAAACTGGTCAGCATCTCTCAACACCCAGTGGGAGTGTCATACCGTAGTGATGATTCATGAAGTCTCGAACTTGTACCTTCATCACCTTGAGAGGTGCTTTCGCCATACCTTCGGGCACCGACGGGAGCAGAGGAAAACTGTTGGCCGTCAACTGAATCTTGTCCATGGCCCGCATGCAATCGGCAGGTGTCTTTTTCACCGTCACCGTAGTCTCAGTCACACCTAAGGAATCAGGTCAGTGTGCCAGCGACAATGCAACTGAGGTCTTCTTACCGTATTCGCCTTTGGCCCACTCAGAGAACACCTTTGCTAGAGGCTGGTAAGCACGCAGCCACCCAGGATAGGCCCCGAATGGAGTTCCATTGGTGATGGCGTGGTTGACCTCCACCCTTCACTCGGGGGTTAGCAGATGGCGACAGTCGGACGGTCTACGCTCACATCTCTACCTTCAGACTCCCCGCTTCCTTCGGATATGCTAGCATGAATGCCATGCGAATGCCCATGGTGTTCCACATAGTCTTGGCAAACTTCTTCAGATATTGCATCATTCGCTGCTCCCTCAGCCTGTCTTGGGTCAGGATTTGCCTTATGCTACGTGACAGGAGGTACGCACTTCATTTTTGTCTTATCATCCAGAGTGCCATTGCGCCAACTTTCCGCCTTTTCCTCATACACCTTCTGCTCCTCCTCGGACAGTTTTGCCCATTCGGCACTCCGTGCGACTCTCCACACCTTGGAGACATTGCAACCCTTATCTGCCGCGAGTGCTCGCGTGGCCTCAGTCACCTTGTCCCTCTTCAGCGCATCCCACACCTTGAAGGCATTGGGCTTGCCAGAAACATGCATACACTTTTTTGTCGCTTTCTCCTGCGCATGGCGGGCGTGGTTATTGAGCCACTCTCGGATTTTCTGCAGTGAGAGTTAGTGGGGACCTCACAGACATGAAACACTGCTCACAGTTTCCACAATGATGTCGTCATAATTTGACGTGTCGACAAACTGTGTCTTCAGCTTCTGGCGCAAGCTCTGAACCAGAGTCTTGCGTCCCTTGGCATCTGCCGTGTCATAAGACCGCAGCTTCTCAGAGAGTATGGGCTGATGCTCCGTCAAAATTACAAATCTCGCCGGCATGCTTTCTCGATGTCGAGGATGAGATTTTTGTGTTGGGACAGTGAAGGGGGTCGATAGTTCAACGGGCAGCGCTCTGTCCATTTCCTCGTCGGCCGCCCACAACTCAACATGCACGTGCTGATGGCCCATTTGGGCTTACACCAATTACCCTCCTCGCCATGGTGTGTGGTGACTGCTGAAGCATTGTATGTGTATTTTTCGCAGTGGCGGGAGGTGGTAGTAGGTATGCACTAGCATTCATGCCTGGTGAAAGGCAATGTTGAATGCCGCTTCTATGGCAGAGCACACCACGCCAACTTCATCTCGCGAATGCTGGGCGGAGGCAATCTGGCGATCATCTGCATGCCAATCTGTGGGATAAAGGGCTTCCTCGGAGTTAGGCTCGGCCAATTAGATGGCAGTGACGAAGGGCCCAGACATGGTGGACCACCCGGCCCGTGATCCGGCATGGCGGCATCAAGTCCGGCTCGGCGGCATGATGAACATGTGAGATGTGCAAGGGACGTGCTTACAAGCAATATGCAGGCAGATGAATGCATACTGTTCTTTGCCATTCTGGCCCCTCCTACATTCTCCCCTGCATCTGCAAGCCAACTGCCTGAGCCCGCCATACACCTGTGCGTTCCTTCAACCGATGCATGCTGTAATCGTCCCATTGATTGGCAGACAGTATCAAGATGAGCAATCTGTCACCCATGCCACTGACCGATCAGATAGCAGGAGTCTTGGAGCTCATGTTCCGCCGAAAACTCCATCTGGCCACTCATGCAGCCCATTCTGCGCCATCTATAGAAGTGCCTCCGTCCATGCCATCCGCCCTCCTATTGAAGTGCAATGGCATTGCAGATGCTCTTGTGAAGGCCATCCTTAATCCTGGTAGTCATTAGTCTTGCCGCAGGTCTGATCACACTGATCACGCCATTGTAATAGTAAGGCTGCAGTGGGACATTGATAGATATTGCGACAGCCTTTCGATTCAGCCCACGGGGCAGAATGAAGTCCTCGAGGCAGAACTGGAATGGAAGTGGCCTCCTCCATTTGGTGAGAGCGAAATACGCATAGACCAGCCTGCCACCCTCGTGGACATGCACGGATGCATCTTGGCTTGGATACTTCCAAGAGTGTTGATACCAGACCGCCAGGTGAGTGGCTTGCCCAGCCTTGCACTGTGATCTGACAAATTTGTCAGACGAAGATGCTCCAAGCGACCAGGGCCCTACACCCAGCAATAGCAGCCAGTAAGCCTTCCAGCATCACCGCCAGTTGGTGACACAACCTGTTGTACTTCTTGCCTCCTGAGGAGTGTGCCCAATTCCCAGCGGGCTCCTTGTGTCTCTCGCCAGGTTGGTTCCAACAAGTAAGAGAGGTGGGTCTCCTCGCCACGCCATTTGCCTTGCGTCTGGACAGCCTTTGCAGCATATGGAGTCTGGGAGGCTGGAGACCTCCGCCAGCCTGAAGCTTGAGGGCGGAAGAAGTTGGCTGCATGATATTCATGACTCCTCCGCATTGCTGGGTGCCATCCTGGCTGTCGTTCACCCAACGCTATATGCCACAGGACGCCAGTGCTTGGGTTTGATCCAGCAAGACCCAGAATTGCGAGAGATGGTGCTGAACTGGTCGTTGCCATTCAATGCACTCCAGGTGATCGCCAACCGGGAAACTCCTTTCCACCGAGATAGCAAGACAAGATACACATTCTACGACCTGTTGGCGATGTTGGGCAACTACACTTGCGCGTGGTTGAAGTTCCCCGCCATGCGTGTCGCCATCGATTATAGTCCTGGAACTGTCATAGCCTTCTGTGGAAAGGCGATTCGTCATGGCATCACTCGAGCAGATGGCGAAAGGCTCGTCTATGCATACTTCATGCGAGAGGGTGTTCAGAACAGGCTAGGCATTCCAGCGCCCCACTGGATGCAAGCTTCATATTACGCCTCACACATTGGCATGTGCACAGTTCATCACCGAGTCTGCATTCCTAACTCAGAACAGGTCCTAACTGGCTCGCTTATTAGAGGGACATCATGCCAAAGACTGATGGAGATGAGAACACTATGCAGGGGATGGAGACTGTCGATGGCAGCTTTGTTGGCGGGACAAACTTGGCAGAGGTGATGGCAAAATGTATGGAGTCACGAATTTCCGAATCCTAGCTGAAGGTTGGCGAGCGCGCGGTATGAGTGCGCATTTCACATCTCGACAGTGTTCAGCTCAAGGTGTAGTTATCACTGATGGCAGCGTATGGTTGGCGGACCTCGAAGTTGGCGGAGGTGGTGGCGAAATGTATTCAGTCGAGAAGTTGTGAGTGCTAGTGGGGCAGATGGCGGCAGTGTTGGCGAGCGCGCGGTGCAAGTGCACATTTCCCTTTTGAACATTATGCTACTCCGAGTCAAGGCAAAGTTAGCACTGAGGGCAACATACAATTGGCGGACCTCTCGCCAACATGGCATCCTTATCTGCATAACACTGATATGGTGCCTAAAGAGACCACGAGGTGATAAGGCCCAGGCATTGCAGTCATTCTTAACCACCTTGATGAGTAGTCTGGTGGGCAGCAAGGCCGTGTGTGATTTGCACGTGTTGTGCGATAGGGACACAATGCTCATCGATTGGCTTGGAATACGACTCCCCACTGACCTGAACCATGAGCAGACGCAACAAAAGCAGGCTCGTTGTAGACCTGGATGACGAGGTTGAGTTTGTGACCAAGGTAGCTAAGCAGACCACTAGGGGAGTACGCTATGTGGACGTACCTTTGCCCATGCCCACAGGTTCAAACGTGCCATTGCCTTCCAAAAGTCCATCGAAGGCTCCAGCTTCAGGCTCCTTGTTTAACTTGGATGATGGCGACGTCCTGGGCAACATAGGTGTGCCGATTCAGCTGGATCTGGCGGCTCGGAAGACAAAGGTGGGCACTCCCGCCATGACCATCTGACGGTCTGACCATGCGCGATAGACCCAGAATGACTTCATGAGGGACTGGATACCCCACCGTGATGACTATCTTCATGCCATTGTCGAGATGGAAGCCTCGCCTGAGCCCAGAAACTGTGCGGAATGCAAGGTTGGCGAGGGACGGTGGCGATGCCTGGACTGTATGGGCAGACCGCTCACCTGTACTGACTGCTGTCGTAACAGCCATCAGCATGCTCCTTTCCATCGGATAGAGCATTGGCAGGGTCAGTATTTTAAGCCGACATCACTGTATCGGGTTGGCGTCTGCATCCATTTGGGGCATGGCGGAGATCCCTGCCCTCTGGGCGCCTTCACAGCACATAACAACCCTGTGCCGGTGGTGGCCCCGGGGTCCAATTTCTGGAATGCCTCCAATGAAGACCTAAATGCACATGATGGCGAGGTCTCAGATGATGGTGCGGTCCCATTCAACTTTGCACCTCTGGCAGGCACCCTTGACGGTGAAGCAAGGCAAACCGACAATGCTCCCGATCCCACTTGGGAGGAAGATGTGCCACCGGTGCTCTCCCGGCCACCTCGCCGTGATAGTTACGGGAATCAGATCATAGTCATTGTCGACATCTCTGGCGTTCACCATATCAGCGTTGACTGATGCCAGTGTGAGATGGCAGTGGAGCGTGACATGCAGCTTCTTCAAATGGGACTTTACCCTGGTACCGTCAAGGATCCCCATACCGCCTTCACATTCGCCGTCCTCGACAATTTCCTTCTGGAGAACAAAGAGTGCAAGACGGCGGCATTGAACTACTACAGCAAGCTCAAACGGGTCACGAGCAATGCCTTCCCTGGCACCATTCCCGTAAGTGTTCACATGCATTCCCATGGCCCAACCGTTCATGCCAGTTCCTCGCCAGGACCGTTATCGTGAGCTGATGTGGGTGTCCCGCCAATGGCGCCAACTCAAATATCACAAGTGGCACGGCTTCTCACACGATGCCCTCCATCCTGTGGAGAAGGGTGGCCTCGCCATCTTTTGTCCGGCCTGTCCCCAGCCTGGGCTCAACCTGCCTTTCGATTGGCAAGCGGATCCAGTGCAGTGGAAGTTCAAACGCGGCTTTGTCATGGATGGCAATTTCAGTGCAGAGCACATGAAGATGAAGCACCCCAAGGAGGACGTCACCCTCAGTGACGGCCAGGCATTCATGGTCGGCCAAGAGGATTACAAGGCTCATCTGGCGGTGGCCATGGAGTCGCATCAGGTGCGTGTCTGGCTGCACGTTCTTCTTCCGCCCTTGACTCCTAAGCCCACCAGCGCTCCACTTGTCATGAGCACCGTGCTGTCAATCAGGCCAATGTGGATTGCGCCAACCTCAACGCCACAGGAATCGGGGCCACTGCTTGCGCCAGACATGGTTTCTTCGTCCCTCATACTGTCGTCGATTTCCAGAAGGGAGAAAGGTTCGCATATGTCTCTTGTCATGATTCATTCTCACTGATGCACCCTCTGCAGACAAATGAATATGGATTACTCTCTCAGCAATGCGCTCCTGACCCTCACCGGTATCACCCTCATCCTCGTCATGTATGACATCATGTGCCAGTATGGCATCCATGTCCGCAAATGTTTCCGCCACAGCGCCTATCTGAGGATGCCCTTCGAGCTCAAGGTAGACCAAGGCATCGGCTTGTTTCATGTGCATGGACACCAAGATTGCTGCTTCCAACGGTTCTCGCCCAACTTTATAGTTGGCGCTGGTATGGTCGATGGCGAGGTCATCGAGACCCTGTGGGCGCCCACAAATGAGGTCTCAGGCAGTACCAGGGGCATGACCCGAGCTCACCGCCAAGAAGTCCTTGACGATCACATGAATGACTCCAACTGGAAGAAGATGACTCGCATGGGTGAGCCTGGTTCCTCCTTCCCTATTTGCCACCTGCCTTATGCTGCCTATAGTGCCAACCTTGATGACAAAGTGGAAACGCGTGCTCCTGGGCTTCCCACGAAGCAAGGAGTCCTTTGAAGCTTTATCTGCATCCACAGATGAGGATGTCCTTGAGGCATGGCAGAAGGAGTACGACGATGCTATGGACGCTCGCCAAAATGATCCGAAGATCATGGACACCTTCGATGTCCAGCTCATGAAGGGTGAGTATCCTTCCATCGTCATGTGGCATGTAGTTGACGTGAATGCAAGCCCCGGGTAAAGACCTCACCCAACTCAGACTGGCGGGCGAGGAGTCCGCCAAGGGCTTGGAGAAGGGCACCGCCAGATGGTTGTCGACTGGCCTCAAAATTCAAGAAGCACAGTGAGTTTGCCTCATCTTAACAAAAATACAGCTCTGACGGCCTTCAGGCTTAAGCTTGCGAATGATATCTGCAAGGCGGGTCAAAATCCGAGCATGGCGGAGGACCTCAAGACTCTCGAGCGCCGTCAGCACCTCGAAGTCAGCATTCTCACATTCCAACGTCGCTCTGAGAAGTTCATGGGAAGGTTGGAGGACATTCCCGCCATGGAAGATCATGACGATGGTGCGCTCTGGGATTTCTTGGATGAGAATCCTTTTCAAATACACCCGGAGGATGCTGAGTATGGCGAGGATGCGATTCCTCCCGAGCGAGCTTCCTTGAATTTACCTTCGCAGATAGGATTCGTGGCCGCCGTCGCCAACGGGCTCCAGACCCTGGCAGCCCAAGAGTTGGAGTTGCGCAAAGGCCTGATGAATGACATCCTCCACGAGCTTCGCATGGCACTTGGACTGAAGTCTTACCTCTACCGCAAGAGGGTTCGTCCCGCCAACAGCGTCGGAACCATGACCCGTGCACAGGCGGAGGTTCATGCTGCCGATCAGACCATCTTGGCCTGCGCCAAGCTCTATTCCACCAACCGACGTGCCATTATGCGCTTGGGCGCCACCGATGAAGACTTGGCCCTCTATCGCCCTTTGGATAAGAAGGACCTGCACGTGAAGACTGCCGTCATCGAGGCTAGCACCTCCGGGCTCAGGAACATCAACCTGGCTTGGTTCTGGACCATGGATGTCGCTGGAGATCGAGGTTCATCAGAATGGATGGACGAGTGTTCGTAATTGTCCGATCGATCTCTAGGCCTCCTGCTAATTCACCCTCCAGTCTATAGAGTGAATTAGCTGCGTGCCAGAGCTCGATATGAGAGATGGAGGGAGGAGCGTGTCTTGGTCCACTCGGAAATGGCCTGGACCATAGCCACCTTCAAGCGGAATGTGGAACGATGGGCTCACTGGCTCGAGATGACGGATCCTTCCTGGCGGGGTCATGTTTGCTATGCCGCCAGGCAAGTGAGTATGTGGCGGACCTTCGCCAGCCACGCCACTGACGCCTTCAGCCACATCCTCGCCCTGGACATTGAGGACGAAAGGGTGGGCGATGAAAATGTGCTTTGAGTCAGGGTTCACTGGGGTGTACGCATATTCATGTTTGCTATATCGATGTAGTGATCATCATGTATGTAATTCCTACTCACCAATATCACATTTGGCGAAGTGACCTCCATCCTCACCTGAGGGCTTCATCTCGGCATGTGCTCTCCAATCGCATGACATCAGACATCAGATAAGGTCGATCAGATATCAACCTCGGATCATCCACTCACCATCATGTCTGCCCAGTCTTCAACATCAGATGCGCGCCCCTGCCTGTTCTCCAGAGGGAGGTTGCAGTTGGAAGTCTACACTTGGAGGATCCAAGAAGCTGTTCTGGCACTGGAGCCTGACCCAGATCACTTCACCAAGGTCCGTTGGGAGGAAGGCTTGCGCTGGGAGATGGTACGCCTTTCTTGCTGATATCGCCTGACCCTGCTGAGTCCTGTGCAGTTCGCCGTCAGGGGTATCTGTGGCGACCTCGCGTTGGCGGGTCATGCTGACCATATTGACCATGGCGGAGTTATCGCCAGTGTCCTCACCATCTGCACTTTCAATCGCGAAGTTCTGCGCCCCATCAGCATTGACGTCAAGGCGATTCCACGCCCCACCACCCTCGTTCCTCATCCTAAGAACCTACTCAAGGATTCACCCGACTACTGGTGGAAATGGGATCGTCAGGTTGGGCCGGCGGGGAGCCCTATGGAGGCCTGGTGGTACAAACTTGGTGATCCCTGGGTGAGTGGTACGTTCCAGCACCTTACAGTCTTGCTGAACCTCGAGAATGTAGGAGAAGGTGTACACTGTCTCCGAGTCTACACTGGTGCAGCTTGAACAGCTGCATGTTCGTGTCGCAAACCTCACTAGTTGGTTGCATGAGAGGACAGATCAGAACCTGGATGTGGTGCTGGAAGAGCTGCAGGAGGCGACGCGGCAGCTGCGTGAGTTAGGAATGTAATCGCCCAATGCCAGGCGTCCGTTCGTGCTGTAGTGTGTCGAATATAAGGTTGTCATGTCTTTGTACCTGGGCAATGTACCTGGTGTGGTAAGGCGAAACATAGTAGCCACATACTCTCCTCAGGAGGGCACATCCCCAATAGTATCTGATGCATGGCTCGAAAGCCAATGCCACATGGGAGAGTTTGGCGAAGTCATTCTGGACTGCATGTTCAGATGGCGAGTGATATCCACCACAGTTCGCCAACCCTACTCATGGTGGAAAGGACCGCCATTCATCTCCACATACTCTACCCAGAAGGGCACATCTCAAATTGTATCTGATGCATGTCTCGAAACACCGATGCCAATTGAGAGAGTTTGGCGAAGTCATTCTGAACTCCATGTTCAGATGGCGAAGGATATTCGCCACAGTTCGCCAACCCTTCCCACAGTGGGAGAGAGTGTGATACTGCAAGGAGAGCTGATAGTGAGCTAACCAGAATTGGAGGGAATGATGGGTGGATTACGTGGAAATTATTGGCCGGCGGTAGCTCCATCATTGCCCTGTTAGGCGGTGGATCAATCACTGAAAAATATGCCCATGGCGGTTGACTGATCGCTGAGAACTACACCTATGGTGGTGGGCCGATAGGTCTGAGCAAGAGGTGCCGCATGAGCAATGACTCGGCGTCGGAGCCCCCTTCTTCTGTGGTGTCCTTCGGCTCGTACGCTGATTTGCACACGTCCGCATCCTCGTCTACTTCGTGCTCTTCGGTTGACTTCGGGTACAATCCGTTCACTTCGTATGGTCTACTTCTTGGCTCGGGCAACCAGGTGTGGCATCCGCCCATGCTTCCCCCTGACCAATCTCCACGTTTCATACATCCGCCCATGCTTCCCCCCGACCAATCTCCATGTTTCATACATCCACCTATGCTACTCCCTGACGAATCATCCGGTATGTTCCTTCACCCACCCATGCTTCACCAAGACGACACGGACACGATACGAGCCCAGTTGACAACCTAGGGCAAGGCAAATAACTCAGCTATGCCCGGGCTAGTCAGATATTTCAGGCGACCCATGCTTATGGGCTCAGAAATATACCTATGGCGGTGGGCCGATGGCTGTATAATAGCCCTGTGGTGGTGGGCCGATCGCTCAGAACACTACCTATGGAGGTCGGCCCATCGCTCAGAACCCTACCTATGGGGTTGTGCCGATGGCTGTATAATAGCACCGTGGCGGTGGGCTGATCGCTCAGAAATATACCTATGGCGGTGGGCCCATCGCTCAGAACACTACCTATGGAGGTCGGCTCATCGCTCAGAACACTACCCATGGCGGTGGGCCGATGGCTGTATAATAGCACCGTGGTGGTGGGCCGATCGCTCAGAACACTACCTATGGCGGTGGGCCGATCGCTCAGAACACTACCTATGGCGGTGGGCCCATCGCTCAGAACACTACCTATGGCGGTCGGCCCACCGCTCAGAACACTACCTATGGCGGTGGGCCGATGGCTGTATAATAGCACCATGGCCGATCGCTCAGAACACTACCTATGGAGGTCGGCCCATCGCTCAGAACACTACCTATGGTGGTGGGCCGATCGCTCAGAACACTACCTATGGTGGTCGGCCCATTGCTCAGAACACTACCTATGGCGGTGGGCCGATCGCTCAGAACACTACCTATGGTGGTCGGCCCATCGCTCAGAACACTACCCATGGCGGTGGGCCAATGGCTGTGTAATATATACCTATGGCGGTAGGCCGATCGCTCAGAACACTGCCTATGGCGGTCGGCCCACCGCTCAGAACACTACCTATGGCGGTGGGCCGATGGCTGTATAATAGCACCGTGGCGATGGGCTGATCGCTCAGAACACTACCTATGGCAGTTGGCCGATGGCTCAGAACAGCTCCAATGGCGGTGGGCCGATGGCTGTACAATAGCCCCGTGGCGGTGGGCTGATCGCTCAGAAATATCCCTATGGCGGTGGGCCGATCGCTTAGAACACTACCTATGGCGGTGGGCCGATCGCTCAGAACACTACCTATGGCAGTGGGCCAATGGCTGTGTAATAGCCCCGTGGCGGTGGGCCGATCGCTCAGAACACTACCTATGGCAGTGGGCCAATGGCTGTGTAATAGCCCCGTGGCGGTGGGCCGATCGCTCAGAACACTACCTATGGCGGTGGGCCGATGGCTGTATAATAGCCCCGTGGCAGTGGGCCGATCGCTCAAAAATACACCTATGGCGGTGGGCCCATCGCTCAGAACTATCACCGCGGCGGTGGGCCCATGCCTGTATAATAGTTGCATCATGGTGGTGGGCCGATCGCTCAGAAATACTCCTATGGCGGTGGGCCCATCGCTCCAGCATTCCCTTCATCGCCATGAGCCGATCACTGACAGCTCCTTACACAGACCGATGGGCTGACGTCCGCTGGCTGTCCAGTTCATGACAATGTCAGGGTAAATGGGAGTCCAGTTCACAAACATGACTGAATGGGCTGATAGCACCTTGAAGCACACTGCAGAACCTGTTAGCAATATGTATGCTATCAAGAAGCAGTATCGCTCTGATGGTATACCAGCAGGGTCAATTATTCCATTAACAAGCATACAACAAAGCTGTATGTTAATTCCAATCTTTGGAAAGAAGGCAGATATGATGTGGACAACTGATAGCATCTTAGATCTCTGTTCCTCCTTTCTAGTAAATAATTGGCTTAACCTGTACGCATATAAGACCATATGGTAGCTTGAATTATGCTTTGTATCTGTAGTACAAGTCTGAGATACTCTGAGACTACCTGAGGAATAGATACGTTGCCTGTGTTGCTCTGAGAAGGTTTCAGACACTCTGATTACGCCTCAGATAGCCTGGGAAAAAAAGCCTTTCCTGGGACATCCTCAGGGAAAAAGTGATTTTCCTGATGCTATAGGAGTGATAGATTACCTAAGTGTCCTATTCTAGTGTAACATATTATCCCTCAAAAATAAATAAATAAATGACTGTAATAGCCCAGTGACAGACTTACCCAGTGAACCACAGCAGAAACACAATTCTGATACAACATTGCTCCTATAGTTATGAAAACATTTTAACAGAGTCTATTTCCAGAACTATAAAAATTTATTCCTAATAGTAGCAATTGGGGGATTAGTGGTAGAGAATGATTAACAGGGCATAGCAGTGAGAAGGGAGGCATGAGCATTTTTGACTTTGCATTCACTTCAAGATACGGTACTAGTATACTCATCAGGAAAAACACTTTTGCTCTAGGTTACTCTAGGGAGTATGAACTTTCCCAAAGTAGCTCAGAGCAGCTCAGAGTATCTTAGAGTACTTTAGCACAGCCTGAGCTACCCTCAGAAATTGGGCTTTTTCTAGAGCATCTTACTAAATTTTGCACATCTCACAGATTATTTATCTGGAAAAACACTATTGCTCTAAATTCTATGTACTTTTCCAAAGTGTCTTAGAGCATCTTAGAGTATCTGAAAGCAGTCTGGGCAATTCTAGGAATTTCAGACTTTCTCAGAGTATCTCAGCAGCACTCTGAATCACTTTGAGATACTCATAGAATTTACAGTATCTATAAGATGTTCTGAGAAATAATCTGTTGCATTTATAAGGCTGTTATAAAATTTCACTCTTTACTTTATATAATAGTTTGCATTATAACATATTTTGCTTCTGCTATTTAGCTATTATATTGTTTTTGACCCTCTGAGTTTATAAATGAGGTCATTTGTGCTTGTGTCTTTTTGTGAAAGATAAGATTGTAATGTAGTTGAATTGTAAAGTACGTACTGAAAATGTGATTATAAGCATGCTTTGCATTGTGTTTAACTTAGCTACCCTCTTATGATTGGCAGAATTTGTCCAAGTCCCTTTAGCAAAATCTTATATATATATTATATATGAGTGTAACCTTATAAGCAGATATAGTGTGGTGACTAAAGTGTTTAGTATTATTTGATCAACATTTGAAACTTATGGCCTTAAATAAGGGTTGCCAGACTTACCTTCGAGGTTGATGGCTCAGTCCTGGCTGGTAACAAGTTGAAAAATCACTTTTTAAACTTAGATCCTTGGTACTCACTGCTAATCTGAATAGTATAATGGCAACATATTTATTTTTCTAATATCTACACTTGAGAGTTCCTTGATGATAATCTAAAAGAATATAAGGGCAACCTAGGAGAATTCTGAGTGCTTTATAGGAGTATCCTAGGTGCACTCTGAGAGTACTCTGAGAATGTCTGAGAAACTTTGCCTAAAAGACTTTTCTTTGAGGGCACTCTGAGTGCTCTGAGTGCTTTGAGCACTTAAAGTGCTTTAGAATGCTCTAGAATGCTCTTAGAGTAACCTGTCACTAAAGGTGTTCTTTCTGATGAATGACTTAAATGAACTTATAGCTCTTATTTAAGGACATAAGGACAAATAGGGCATAAGTCATATTCCCTGAGTGTCTGAAATTTGACTTATTAAGACTTATTTAAACACTTATGGCCTTAAATAAGGGTTGCCAGACCCAAAAGTCCAACTAAGTCCCTAAGAAAAAGTTAGGTTTTCCTGATGCTAGTGTAATACATATCGATTGGATTACATGTAAGAACATTGGGCATGAATGACAGCACAGGCAGCACATTAAACAGTGGCATATGAGATGCAGTGGACTCTTGCATTCTTGCTGCTCTCGTGCACAGGGCCAACAGCAGCATATCGCACAGGAATATATTGGGTTAACTTGTAGTTCTTGGCAATCCAGAGAACAAGCACTATTATGACACTGATATCTTCATCGTCTACAAGTGCAGGCATGTTGAAACAAACCCAAGTTATCAAAAGACAAAACATTGCACCAGATAGAATAAAGCTTGAGAAGGTAAAAGTTTGTATTTGGTTCATTGATATTCTGATAATGGAACAACAACTGCCTGGCTGTCTCTATTGAGAGACTCTGCCACCTGATCACTGATCATCTAGGATGCATCACACAAATGTCAGATAACCACTGATCGTGCATTGATCAACATTCAACCATCGTATCTCAAAGGTCTGAGCAAGAAAAAGATACCCAATAATTGTGAAATACTGGGAATAATCATAAAATTCAAGGCTTACCTTCCCAGCTTCACTCGAGATGTAGGCCATATGAGATCTTTAGAGCAGGAAGACAAAGACTTTGAACTTTCTGAGCATGATGGAAAGATAGGCAGGGCCAGAAATGTCCAAGTCCTAAGATCTGAGACATTGAATGAAGTGGTTGAGTGGAAGGCATAGCCACTAGCATAGGCCTGTAGCTCTGCTAGAAAATGCATAAATGTTTCAGTTGATGAATCACATCTTGCATCCACCGCTAAGAGATCCACAAAATTACAGAATCCTACATAATGATCATCTTCCTATACAGTCCTACATAGTACTACATAAGTGTGGCAATTCTACTGAAACCTACAGCAGGGGCTGTTCTACAGAAGGAGTTCACCTTTGCAGATGGATGGTGAGATACTATCTTGCCATCTCTTGCCTCATAAATCTTACTCTGTACATACATATTCACCTTATCAGATTCGCACTATGCTGTATCATTCTTACCCCCACTGTCCGGTTCTGAATCTTGAGAAAGCTGAGGGAGAACACAAACCCAGAGAGATGAAGACACAAGTTAACCGGTGGATAAGTGGTGGACCGCCTGTGGTGAAGCGCGTTACTGATTATCACATGATATGTCATGTCGTGTCACTCAGCCTCAGCCGGGAAAATTGGTCATACCAAGGCTTTTCCCAAGGGGAACGGGCCGCCGCCCACCCAGGGGTTTTGGCGCGAAGCGTCAAAATCGTGCCCAGGATTTTCTCACCGACACGTCAGCGAGAAGGTTTTATTCTCTATATCATCCATCTTCTGACAGGCCTAAAGTCTACAACGGGACTTCTAGTTCTCATTTCGTGATTTCTACCTCCTCGATGTTTCAGCTTTCGGAATGACATGCGTGCACGGTGGTCACTGCACGCACCTGCGTTCTCCCGTCGAACTGAATGATAGTTTGATGGCATGCTCGTTCTGAAATCAGCACACACCAGGTGAGCAAAACCAATGTATTTTCTTATTTTCTCGTGATGCTAATGTTTACTGGTCCACCGCCACCCGCCTTCGTTCACGCGCCAATGCACATCTCTGCACATCTGTCCCTTAGCCATTGTACACCCACGTCGGGCCTCCTGCTGCTCCACGCGCGCAGTGGGACTGAAACCAAGCCCCACTTGTCTTCCGTTGTAACTCATACCCCACATACCGCTCGCGGCCTGTATCTCTTGTTTGGCAGTCAGCAAGACCCCGCGTCACCACCCGCTGTGTTCCCGCCTCCTACCTACCATCTTCCGTGCTTGTGTTGGGCTCCCGTGCAGTTCATGTACTGCAGGGCTAGCTGCCAACACTCAGCGATGCTGTGCATGGTGCGCGGCCTACACTTCAGCCTCCAGTCTCCCGCCATTTCCCACCCCTCTCTACCCATCTGTTGCCCTGCCTCACATGGGTGCTTTTCATTGTGACACCATCTGTATCCTACGTGCAATTCACACTCTTGCTCAGTGGTCAGTTACCGGGTATGACAATATTGGTACACATCTACCTTTTCTTTGCCTGCAATTTTCCTTCCCCTCCTAGCTTTCCCTGTTCAGATTATGTTCTGCAGGGATTTGTAGTATAAAATATATTTTATGGATCCTTTCCATGAATACGAGAATAGGGTGGGCTCCTGGGGCCTGGTGCATTAAGGTTAGGGTTAGATTGGTCCGAAGTCACGCGTAGGACCAATCCGACCAATCGGTCGACCAATTGGTCCGGACCCTTGGTATGGCGTTGTTGCCCTCAGCCGCATATCGTGGTTGTCATGCGGTTACATACCTCCCCCTCTCAGAAACTGCTTTCCTACAGTCTGCCTTTAAAGACTATATCCTTACCTATACTGTCTCTCCTAATTTCTCGCCATGCACTTGAACAATATAGAAGTTTCCATTTTCTCGCAAGAGAAGACCCTTCAGGAGTATGTTGTACACATCGAGGACACAAATACAATCTCCTGCTACATCCCAAGCGAGGCAGGGAAGGTACGGCTTGGCAACGGCAAACATCAGATTATCGTTTTTCTGACGATGATTTTTCGCAGAACTTTGAAGTGCGGTGGCGGATTGGCTCGGCAGCCACACACGCTTTCTCCGTCAGGTGCTATCTCGACGGGCGACCGGCTGGTCATACTAGCGGGAAGCCTGGCTGTTGGGGTTATCGCACAGGGATCAGGACTGCAATTAATATGCGACGGCCGTTCCAGTTTGCAAACCTTCAGACGACGGGTATGGTCTTCATCTACACCGAATGTCGCCTGTGCAATCTCATCCAGGCCAATTTCTTCATCCCTATCACAGATGACGATCAATTCTTGGATGCATCCAGAGCTAACGAGAGGCTGGGTTTAATTAGCGTGTGCTTCCTCCGCGTCCTGGAAAGGAGAACCGTTGGGTTCGAACCGAAGACGTTGGAGGACGTGGGTCCTGTGCACGAGGAGACAAAAAAGATTAGCGTGCATTGCATCTCGTGAGCCAATCCATCCAGTGACCTATTCTATGTGAGCTAGGAGGCAATCTGGCTCGTAGTTTGGGAGACGCCCATCCCTGTCAACCGCGTCGGAACACAAAGGCGAAGACCCTGGACACAAATGAAAATCCGTTCCTTAATTTCATTTTCAGATACAAGCCACGTGGTGAGTCCACCGCTGATAAACATGATTTTATCCAACTGAAGTCCACGCCACAGACGTTCTGAAGGCCGAAGGCATTATCTCTTCCTCTGCGACGATACCACGTGCAAATGTATCTCTTGTGAGAGCGAGAAGAGGTCCGTCAATGCCACCGAGCACAGGGAGAGTCATGCGCCCAAGGAGAGCCGCTGAGTCTCCAGCGCAGGGCGAACGCGAGACGAAACGGCGAAAGACAATTCCAGAGAAAAAGTTACAAGACATTGAGTTTTTTCAGGCACGTTCCTCTCGCCATAGTGACACTGGGCACTGGCGCTCTCCATTTACTGACAGGAACGCCTTTCTGCTGCAGAGCCAGTTGGGCGATGCTCAGAAACAAGTGCGCAGTATTAAAACCAAAATTAACAATGCGAGGGCTTTCCGATCCCATCCTTTGCCTGTGAAGAAGGAAGAAAAGCCTCTACGCTTCAACTTCTCGTCGGATGATGTGATCGACTTGACACTCGATGAATGATGGCTCTGGTAACTTCAGGATGGTCAACAATAATGATCGGCCGTGCGGTGTGTTATTCTATACCTTCTTATTCTGGATGTGTATAATGTCAGGGCGGTTTTCTATGTAATACAGTTGAAAAAGCATGTACGAACTCCATACGATGTCTTCTTAATCTCCAAGCTTAAATCTCAGTGTTCTTACCCGATTCCTGGCATTGCTCCTCTAGCATATATAGTGTTAGTAAAACCGGACCACTTCCGACCGCATTCTTTGCAGGACAACGCCGCATACAGTCGGCCTTCAAGCTTCAGGCGTACTCCAACGTCTCCGTATAAATTACATTCGGTGAGTACCGTGAAGATACATTTGGACTTTGATTGTGCATTTCCTCGAGCTCAGGCTGCCATACATTTACACTTACGTCCAATGTTATCACTCCAGCGCAGCGCGCATCAACCCCGCGCCTGAGGACCGCCCACGCTAAGCGTCATGCTGTGCCAGCCTTCCACCATAGACTTGAACCTGTCGCCCAAGAATGCGAAGGTCACCCTGCTGAATTTTCCGGACGCATGCTCTTCTACGAGCATCGTAACGATGCCGTACGTCATCCCCTCGGCCCATACCCTGCGCGCTATCCACGGGAAGTTATACAGTTTCGCATTCCCGATGAACACGATGAACGCGCACGAACTCGAGCCGCTGCGCACGTTCTCGCCTGCCTTTGGCAGCTTCCAGAAGCTGCCGTCAAGGGCGGCGATGACCGTCGACCCTTGGTCATTCACTGGATCCATGTTCGCCGTCTCGGGAAATCCGGTGCGTTTTCGGCGGAGAAAGACCGCAGGAGCCGCCTTCGCGGTGAATTTAAGGTACCCTGCGTCGTCCATGCTTCCCTTGGGCGCATGGTCCAGCCACCAGCCAGGTGGCCACCGCCCGTCAATCACCTTCTCTACATGCACGCTCGGCTGGTCGGTGTCCACGCGCCCGAGCCCCTCGAGGCTCCTTGTAGGGATGTATGCCTTACCGGAGACGGTTGTGGTTGGGAATATGGGGAAGCTCGAGAGCTGTCTGCTAGGGGGCAAGTGGAAAGAGGACGCAAGCCAGCTCGCGGTGCCACCCTTCTTGAGGATGGCCTGCGCAAGTGCGATCGTTGCGCCGACGCGGTCGTCTTTGGCGAACTTCTTCGGGTCGAGGGTGACGCCGAAAAGGCCCATGATGCTGAAGACCATGTCGACGGGGCGCGAGGACGTGCGCATCAACGCGCTGCGCCAGATGGCATGCTTTTGCGCGTCCAAGTTCGACAGCAGCATCGCGCCGAGCAGGGCCCAGACATGACTCTTGATCGCCTCAGTCGTGTTCCCAAACATGCGGATGGTGAGGTCCAGGTGCTGGTCGCCACCGTCCCTGCCCGTGAACACCGTGTCGCTCGTGTGTAGCTGCAACACCTGCGTGAGCTTCGCGTACGCTGACCGCCGCGAGACGAGCTCATGCACATGTGTCTTTGATCGCTTGAACTGCCCCGAACCGTGCTTCCACGAGAACAGCACCAGCGACTGCTTCGGCGCGACGACCTCCTGCAGCGTCCACCCTCGCTGTATCCACGCCGTGTCCGCCTCGAGGCTCACGAGGTGGCGCATGCCCCCGGGCAGTACTAGGCACGCCGCGCACGACTGGTAGATGTGGTGCATGCTCTTGATCTGGAACGACTGGTCCGCCGAGCTCGTCTGCATGATGCAGAGGCTGTCGAGCCAGACGTATTTCGTGTCGAGCTTCACCGCGGCAGTGCACGCGTGCATGAGCGTGTCGACACCGACCTTGTCGCCGTCCTCCGCGCCGCGCACCGAGAAGGCGCCGAACTTCTCCTGCGCAGCATGCGCGGCGCTGATCGGGTTCCCCCGCCAGACGTACGAGATCGCACAGTAGGAGAAACCTGGGAAGCCCTCCATCTCGTAGATGCGAAGTCTCTCTTTCTCTGTGAATTGCACGCAGTCGATGAGGCGGTAGCGCTTGGGCGTGCCCTTGGAAGAGAGATCCACCGTCTTGTCTCTCAGAGAGCTCAGCGGGACGTCGTAGATGACTTCGATCGTCATCTTAGTACAGTCGGTGAATACAATGTGTGGGCGCAAAGTGAGCGCGCCTGATGCGCTATTTATCGTGATTCGAGCGCTCGCGAAGACGGTCGAGGCGCATCGCCTTTGGTGATATGCATCACGGTAGTTGATGGAAGGCGAGGTTACGTAGCTGCTGTGCACAGTTAACAGCGCTGACGGTGAGAGGGCTTAGCAATCACGCTGCTATTCGGTGTCCAGCACACCATGGATGTGGTAGCTTTCCGCCAGACGATGATGAAACGATTGCTGATCGTACTATGCTTGATTAGTGATCATCGCAGAGACCGGAGCGAATGATGTGCCTACCCCGCGAAGATGTCAAGGTCGCCGATCGCGGAGAATCGTCCACAGCGTCAGGAGCCGTTGTTCAGTGGCACAGGGCCCACATTGTTTACGGATCTTTTAAAGGTCATCATCGAAGTTGAGCCTAAAGAAGTCTTCACTGGCAGGATTTCTGTTCGAATAATATGGTTAGCAGGTTCCGTGGAGACCTCGAAATAACTGACAAGCATAGGAGCGGTTGGCAACCGCGTTAATGGTGGTCTGGTGCGTATTCGTTGCTTACTATTGACATGTATGCACTGACTTCTGCACTCGCTATCCAGCGCCGACAACAGGTTCTTCGTCAGTTAGACTCTTGGAACTATTTCGTGAACCGAATGATCTATGCAATAATGTCGGTTTTTCGGTGAGTACAAGAAAGACAACTGCAATGCACCTTTTGCTTCCAAGACGACAGGAGAGCACAACTTGAATTCATCTTACCATGGGTTTCAGAGGGAATTATGTCTGCAGAAGAGAAATGGGCAATTCCTGATGTCGTCTATGAATTTGCTGTCATACTCGAAAGGCCACCAGGTGGCGGCGGAACTTGCTCGGAGACGAGAACGGACAGAATTGCCGCCAAACACTAAGCGCACAACAACTGCGTAAAAAGGACACTTTCACTTTTGGGTCGGGAGAGCTTGCTCTCCGAGCAAGAATTTTTGAAGTCACGACGTCCGAAGTGGCGTCATCATGAGTCACATTGTGACGCGACGCGTCGGTGGCACATCCGCACGATCCGGGCCGGCCATAAGTGAGGTGCCGCTTTGTGCAATAGTGCCACTAGCTACAGGATAACTCCCGTTCATTCCCTGACCATATATTTTACCTTTGCCAGTGTAGTTGTGTTAATTTAGCTCACCGCCATGTCCACACTCCCAATGTCAACAACACCCGCATCCCCCGACTACCCGAATGGCCCGAGTTCCAATCTAATCCTGAGTTAGCTACGTTCACCGCCGTGACTTGCCTCACAAACGCGAGAGCACAACAATCCAATACAATGAACATACTTATATCTATCGTACTTTTCATCGCAATCTACAGACGACACGTCGGCTCAGCCCTCCTGCATCTCGGCATCCTCCAACTGCGCTGCCTGCTTCACCTGCATTTGGTCAACAAGATATGCTAGGGTGGCGCCGTTCTCCCCGCAACTGCAGCATGCACTTCAGCACTGTCAAACTCGCTCGCAGATGCACATACTCACAGTTTCGAGATGAGCCCTTCGCAGTCTACTAGCGCTTTCCACAGCGTCCGCAGCACACCCGCATTCTCACCTGCCCGATCCTTCAGGTATCGCCCATGCGTTCCCAATACTGCCTGTACCCATACGAGCCCGAACTCCAGATGCGGTCCATGCTCAAGGCTCTCCGCAACACACTGCAAGAGTGCGCTCACATACACCTTCGGCAGGCCCTTCACAACAAGCCTGATATCATCCCTTGGGACAGCTGCAAACACCCGCTGGACGAGCGCGCGCTCATTGAGCCGGAAAGCGAGGACCAGCGCCGGTAGGAACGTTTGCGCCGCTAGCGCACTGATTACAGCTTGCGGGGTGACCTCAAGCGCGAGGTCCACTGGGTCGAACGCGGCGCCTTCGTCAAGCGAGTAAATGAGGAGCCCCTCCGTCGTAGAGGCCGCCCATGAGCGCCCCGTCGGCGCGAACCGCACACACGTCGTGCGCACCTCCGCGCGGTACCGCCTGCGTGCCATGTCGCCCCTCCGCGCGCCCGGCAGCTCGTCGTCCCTACGATCCTCCAGGTCGCTGTTCTCTCCCCGCGCGTCAATCAAGTCAAGGTTCCCCGCGTCCGTCAGGCGCCGGCTGTCGAGGAAGTCTTGCGTCCCGTCGAGGCTCAAGTTCTCCGACGTCCGGAACTGTTTGAGAAGGACGCCCTCGCGCACGTCGTAGAGCGCGATGTGGGGACTACGGCCACCTGCGAGCACACACCGGCCGTCGGCCGTGTATACTATGCTCGAGTGCACTCCATTGGCATTGGCTGCAGTGGTGAGGTCCCCTGCATGTCGGCCACCCTTGGCATCGCGCCGGGCATCAATGGAGCCAGTCTGCCTGCCTTCATTGACATCCAAAAACACGAGCTGGCCGTCAAGTGACGCCGCGACTAGCTCCTTCCCATCTGGTCGGAACGCAAGAGCAAGAACATCAGCCGACAGCTGAAAGGGATCAACATTGTGCGAGCGCCCAAAGACTGTCCACAGCCGGACGGTGTGGTCCCACGACCCGCTCGCCAGAATGTTTCCTGCCGGAGAGAATGCAAGGGAACTCACGGGCGCTGTGTGCCCAGACAAGACGTCCAGCAGCCGACCGGTCTGCACGGACCAGAGGAAGACCTCAAAGGTGTCGGCGGAGCCAGCGGCAACAACTTCACCGCTAGGGTCAACAGCGAGGCAGGAGAATTGCGCGGGTGCGGGTGAGGTAAAGGTTCGGAAGTTTCGATACCGGACAAGATCGAAAGCACGCACGGTACCATCAAGAGACGCAGAGAAGAGTACCTGCCCAGCTTTGGCGAAATCGACCGCACTCACGGCTGCGGTATGCTCCGAGAACGTCACGAAGCAAAAGCCGGACGCACTGTTCCAGACTTTAACCTTCCCATCATCGCCACCAGTCGCAATATGCTGCCCGTCTGGAGCATACGCGAGTGTGTTCATCGTCGAGAAGTGTCCTTGCTGTTTCAGCACGTATGATTGTGACTGCCATTCCCATACTAACAGCTGCCCAAGTCCCCGAGCGCCGAACGCAAGCCACTCTCCCGAGGGATTGACGGCGACGGCGGAGATTTTCTCTTGAGAGATACTGAGTGTGTGAAGGTTGGAGAATGACGGAAGCTCCCATAGGCCAAAGACGCCCGAGGAGAACCCGACCACCAGCAAGTTGGCACCGCGATGGAATGTGCTGCAAACTACTCTTGTGTTGGGCAGGCGGAAGTAGTGCCTAGTTTGCACTCCCCAACGAGTTTTCGCAATTTCATTGAAGGACCCACTTGACGTCGAAGCCACTGGCTCTTCTTCACCACTGTCAAAGTTTTCCTGTAATGGCTTCGCCTTCCAGGTGAACACAGCTCCGTCTCTGCTGACTGTATATATCTAATTTCACGAATATCAGTACTCACACGAAAGAGAGGGAGTAGCTACACCAACCGCCTTCGCGTCTGTGGAGAAGTATGCACCAAGGACAATATCCCTGTGACCAGCAAATGTTTTAGGCCGAAAGCCTTCCACAGGGTCAAGAGTGAATAGGCGGGCAGTCATGTCCCGCGATGTCGTGATGAAGCATCTGCCCTCCTTTGTCAACCTGTACGCTCCAAGGGATGAAAATCAGACTGACTTCGAGTCGGGTGACCATTCAATACTAAGAATCTCGCCATGGTGACCCGTGTATGTCCGATGGAGGTTGAATGGTGCGAACTCGCGGACCAGATGGTTGGGGGTACGCCAAACTTGTACATGGGAATCGTGGGTGGCAGCAATGTACCTGGGGAAGAGATGCAATTAAGGATCGTGAGCACGGCGATAAAAATGAAGGACGTACTTCCCGTCCGGAGAGAACTTGATCGCCTTGACAGGCTTTTGGAAGTTGAAGTGGTGGAGCACTATGCCCCGACGGAAGTTCACCAACAATGCGCGACCATCTAGTGAATTGTTGTGTTTTGTTCCCACTCAGGGCTGAAAATTCAGGAGGTATACCTTCGTCTACGCTGATCAACACATTGGCATCAGGGCTGAGTGCGATTGCTGCGATATTTTTCCGATTCTCGAACGAAAATGTGTGTGATTTGTTACTAAGCACCTTCAGCATAACTTCACACAGTAGAAGCTATAGTTAAAACTTACTTCACGAGATCAAAGACTGAGACACGATTTCCGACAGGACTGAGTACAGAATTGCCATCTGGTGTGAATACGATATTGCCCTGTCTGTAAACAGTACCGCATAAGTTCGAAAACTATGACAGAGTAATACTTCTTAGCAACATCAGCTAACTGGAAGCAGAAAAATCGTTAAGTACCTTGAAATTCGCTTTCATGGCAGATCGCAATTCCTCCCAAATCCGTAAACGGGTTTTCAAGTAAGTGATCGCAATAACAAAAGCAAGAGCTAGAAGTGCTAGCACAGCGCGAAGGGAGGAAGGCAAACAGATTCTGAGGCAAGCCAGGAAGATTCAAGACAACTTGAAGTCTGAAGACAACCGCGCAAAAGTTGATAGCACGTGGTCTAAACAGTTTATTCATGTGACTTGAACGGGTTCCGATGACGTGTCTGGTCACCCTCTGTAAAAACGGGAAGTCCAACAAAGTCATATGTAGTCAAACAGTATACAGTCGTTGTCGCATTATAGTCTACTGCTAGTCACAAAAATTGTCAGCTTACAAATTGAGAAAAAAATGCCAAGAAATTTGTCATACAGTAGTCTGCAATAGTCAAGAGATCTGCTAGAATGTATTAAAGCCTTCTTCTAGATCCTCTGCCTCTTCCTCTGCCTCCCTGGCCTCTCCCCTTTCTTCCGGGGTCAACCAATCAAGTCCTGGATGCTTTCTAAGCACATAGACAACAGACTTGTAGTTCCATACTCCAACAACATCCACAATTTCTGAAATTGGGGCAACTTTGATCTCATTAGACCACTTCCCCTTCCAAGTCTTCAATGGATGCTGTATATCATTGATTGGATGATAAACAGCTATTGTCTCTCCATTGAATTGGTAGAATGCAAGTGCTTCACCAAAAATTGGGGCTGTACTTCCAGCCAGATGACCCTCGAAGTAGCGATGAGATCTTGAGGGAATTTTGCCTTGGTGAAGCTCGCCCAAATGGCTGTTCAAGACAGCACCTTGACTGCCTACACGTAGTTTTCCATATCTTGTAACAATTGCATCAAGATTGAAAGCAATCTGCTGTGACTCTGAGATTGCTTGTAATTGTTGATAGAATACCGTTCCTGGTTTACGCTCCTTTTTGTTCACTGCAAATTTGGAAAAAAGCAATGGCTTATTGGTGTCTAGTTGTTTCGAAGTCGGTGCAAGTGCAGGATAGTATAGAAGAAGGGATTCAACAAGTTGTCTTTCCAAAATTAGGTTGGCCAAATTTGCAAATGGTGCCTTCTTGGAACGAATTTTTGAACCAAGTTTCCCAATAGTTCTTTCCATAGTTGCTTGTGAGCCAAGGCGTATAGAGCCATACCATTTGATGTGGATGGGCACATGAATCAACTGAAAAATGCATAGCCGAAATCTTGAAATTTTTTCTGGATCGACTCCAATGTATAGTGTCTGAAAACCTATCAGAAATGTCTTGATCATATTGTGAAGCCAGTGAATATCGGCATCGCTTCTAGGCCTGATTGTCATGGCAAACTCTACAATTTCCACAAATTGGGAAAAATTGTAAAGGACCATAGAATTGAAGCCCAGTTCCAATCCAATTGGAAGAATATACCAATGAAGCAAAGCCATCCATTCGTAGATTTTGTACTGGCTTTGTCATTTCAAATAAGGATCACGAACTGGTCCACAAAATGATGGAGGGAGTGAGGACATTGCTTCTGAGATCAGAGTTCCAAATAATGCTGCTTTCTCTTTGCTGAGATGAATTGGATCTTGAGGTGAACTAAAAGTAGACCACAAATCCCATATAAAAGCCATTTGGTTTTCATACTGGAGGTGAAATGGATCCAAAGGATAGAAGGATGGATGTATAAATGCATGACTTGCTGCAGCTAGAGGCATACGAGAAATTCCAGTATCTCGTGTAATCGCAGCTTGTTCTCTCTTTGAGGTAGCATGCAGAAGCTTTGCAATGGTGTCCCAATATTTCGTTTCAGTCCGCAATGGTAAATTGTCAAGATCATAGAAAGGGGTGCGACTGGGATTATATCTTGCATTATCTGGAGGTGATATAGGATAGTACTGTGCCTTTTCTCCTTTCTTGAGGCTCGAGCATGCACCCTGTACTTCACTAAATCGATCACCATGAAGTCCAGAGTGTCCTGCCATTCCATTCATTTTTGCAGAGCCCAGCATATCTCCAAGGACCATGCAAAGAAAAGCATGGTGAACAAAATACGAGGAATCGATGGCATCCCACATCCAAATGCCCTTACTTGCCATAGCTAGATCTTCAAAGAGAGGTTGCAAAAAGGATTCAATGTCTCCTGGACTTTGTGGGCCTGGAATAGCCATAGGAATGAGAATGCGATGAGATTTATAGCGCAGTTCTGGAGGGAGATTCAGCAAGATCAGGATAAGGATCCATGTGTTTGAGTGTTTCTTCATTGTGAGCTGAGCACCATCTGTGGACAAGGCAAATGCAATATCTTGTGAATCCCGAAATAGATCCATCTGTATATAATGATGGATGTGCACATTGGAATCTGCAAAATCTGAATAGAGCCTTTGAGACTAGAAAATTCTAAATCAGTTTCAAACATATTAAATATATATATATAAGTAAAACCTACCTGTGAAGCTTCTGCAAGCAATTTTAAGGTCTGCTGTAAACATTTATCCCTATATCGTAGAAGTCTTGAAGTCTCCACATTTGCAAACATGGCCTTGATAACTGCAGTAAATGGGGTATAAAGCATCTGTGCTCTGGGCTTTTTCGCAGCTCGGTACCGTGGCTTTCCACAGAGTTTATTGTCTCAAAGAAATGGACAGATATCCATCTTTTCGAATTGACCAGTATAAGCAATGCAGCTTCGTGGACACATATCAATTTGCAGTGGTGTGGTGTCTGTTAAGGTCATTGCTAGCTTGCGGACCAAATATAGGGACAAGATATCCACTTGGGATGCATCTGCCAAAATATTTGCATGATAGTTATATGCTTTCACTGTTCCATTGGACAGCTTCCAAGCAATATAATGTCGAAGAGATTGAAATTCAGACCTAGATAAATCTCGTGGTGGAGATGCAGAGAAAGGAGGCTCCGAGGGACAGGAATATTTATTCAGGAGAGCTTTCTGAAGATCCACTCGTGCTTGAGGATATTGAAAATGAGCAGGCTCCGCGATATTGTCTTGAGTCTCAGTATCACTTGAGTTGATACCACTTGTATCACCATCATCTGAATCTATATTACTTGAGTCAGTTTCTTGAATTTGAGGAGGAAATATACCACTTGTATCACCATCGTCTGAATCTATATCACTTGAGTCAGTTTCTTGAATTTGAGGAGGAAATATAAGAAGATTTTCATTCTCTTCCTCGACTTCTTCCTCAGCTTCTGTATTGGCTTCTTCCTCAGCTTCCTTCTCATCATCCTCCATATCTTCATCCACTTCCATAGCATATACCTCTTCCATATTTTCATCAACTAGATCTCTCTCCTCACTTATATTCAAACTGTCCTTAGCATTGGAGGCTATAATTATATTAGCTGTAAGATTTACCAATAACTAAGTAAAAAACATACAAGGATTCAAACTGTCTGAGTCTATAATTATATTAGCTGTAAGATTTACAAATAACTAAGTAAAAAACATACAAGGATTCAAACTGTCCTTAGCATTTGAGTCTATAATTATATTAGCTGTAAGATTTACAAATAACTAAGTAAAAAACATACAAGCAGCCAATATTTCACTGGAAGCTTCTGATGATATGTTCCACAGTGTCTGAGTGTTCAAAGAAATACAGGTGTGAAGATGGTCGCGAAACTCCTCTGTGTGAAACAGATGTTCAAGCTCTTCAATATCTTTGTAGAGGTGTTTTCGAATAGTTTTGGGACCGCGTTCCTTGCCGGGGTGGCATTGACTGCACTGGCAAAGCATATTGTCTTTAGTCTCAGGAGTGTAGAGCTGGTCAGAAAAGTGTAATGAGATGTAGTGAGAGTCAGAGAACAAGAGAGCGGTACGGCCAATAGCCGCGTTGCATCCGTCTGGTTACAACGTGGTCCATTTCCTAATTTGGATTGCTGACAAATCTCGAAAACTCAAACCTTGCGGACATGGCGCTCTCTGTGTTGGCCGTCTAGTAATGTCGTTCCAACCCTCTAATTTTTCAGATTTCTCTACTAACTTCTCTCTGCCTTCTGGATCTGCAAGTCTTCATCAGTCCTTCACTGATCATGACATTGCAGGGCTCGAGCTCTCCGAACTTATGAAGAATCGCCACATTGCCGACTTGTACACCGAGCTGCGCAGAACAAGTGCTCAGGTGGTCAAGTTATCTGATGTACAGACTGAATTGATGCAGGTTATGCAAGAAAATAAGCAGTTGACACAAGAGCTGCAGGCCTTAAAGTCCGAGAAGAGCCGATCCCCAAGTTTTGTCAGGTAAGCTTTTCCCCTCATGTTCGATCCGATTAACCTATATACTACACAGTACTTCGACACTCATGCCAAGCGACTCTGTTTCGCATCGCGGTGGCACGATCTCACAAGATAGCAGCATCGTCTCTCCTCCTGTGCCGAAAAAGACATATCCATTCACGGTCCTCTGGAACAAAGAGGATTGTAAGAAGGACGACGATGTCCACATCACGGTAGCTAATCCTGAACGGATTCCTATGGATCAGGCCATTCGACACGAGAACGGTGACCTCATCTCAAGCGCAGAGTGGCACGCGATTCAGACGACTGCACGCATAGTCAAGAACGAGCTTCTCTCTCTTCCACCTCCTCGAGACCGTCGGTATCGCAACATAAAGCGAACAAAAAAGGTATTCAAGGCTGCATATCCACGCGAATGGGAAGCATCCATGCTGAAGATGGAGAAGCAACAACCGTTGCTCGCCCTTTGCTCAGACCATTGGAAGGCAGAGTACATCATTGGTCCTATGCTGCTCCAGCAGCACAAACCCGACTCCGAACTCGACAATGATGATGACGACGTTAGTCACATCAGCACTTCCACCACCAACACTTGTGCATCTGAGCGCGGTGAAATCTCCGCCTCGATGGCCTCGCAGGTCTCTGTTGCCAACAAGAGGCGCCGTGTCCACTCCACTTCTTCAAGCAAGCCGAAGAAGAAGCCTGTCGTGGGTGTGGTATCGCAACATGCAGAGGGTCGAACATCTGGCCCAGTGGCCACACCTGCATTGGAACCGCAGCTGAGTCTAACGTCTGCCCCAGTGACCATGCCTGTGGAACCACAGCTGAGTGCAATCGGTAATATTCTCGGTAAGTAAATTTACATGGTCCTTTTGCGTTATTGAACCTCATGGTAAATAGCCCAAGTGCCTTCCGCGCCTCCCTCTGTCATTGCCTCTGTCATCTCTCCTTCAGTATCTGGCCTAACGGTGAAAAGCGCCATTGACATCAGCTTCATCAATGTCGATCTGTCAATCGAGAATTTGATAGGTACGCTTCGTTCATCATTATTGTTTGTTTATTTATTTGCTTGCAGATGCCTTGTCCAGTAGCCATCCGGATTTAATAAGTGGTTTGGAGCTGCTCAATTCCATGAAGCTCACACCTGTATTCGACATCGGTTCTCCGACATCGGAAGTCATCACATTCATCGAGCGCATCGAGAACGCTGATCCTAACTCACCCGACCTCTCGGAAGACGATCTTGGAACGGCGTGGGGCCATTACCAGTTTACAGCAGGCTCGATGACCTCCAGCTCCACGCTTGTCTCATGGGATGGCATTGGGAGTGAGGCCACGCGAAGATTAATTGCCGCCACCATCAAGACGTGCAAGGTTGCAAGACATGTGTGTTTTGTCAGCGGGATCAAAACGAACGCGTATCTTAGCGATGCATACTTGGAGACGACAGTCGAAATCCTTTGGAGGCTCTGGAAAGCCGCAGGAGGAGTAAGTGCTATATTATCTTGGCGGGTGTTGCTTCTAAATATGTTCACTACAGCCTGTTGTGAAGGGGAAGGGCAAAGCTTTCACATCATTGGACTCACACACCATGTCCACTGCTGATGCCATCGCCAGTATTCCTGACTCCTCTGCCGCCACTCTTACCCCCTCTGCCACCACTTTGGTCAATGTCTCTCAGCCCTCTGCCAACATCGGTTTGTCCATGAACTCTGATTCGTGCCCTTCCAACTTGTCTGGTAGTGGCAAACCTATGGCCAACAGCAATTCTGACCCGCGTGCATATATCACTGTACGTACATTTAGCCTTTACCATTTATTTTCACTGATGTGCGCCACCGGATAGTCACTCAACAGAGACGAATTGTTTGAATGGATCATCGATCGGAAGTTGGCGGTCAATATGAAGCTTGGAAAGAAGAGTTCCTCCGTTAAGAAAGGTAAGAATTCTCCATTTTTTTTACCTTCTGTATGACTTGGTGCACTCATTTTCGTGTTTACAGACAAGCTCGTATCAATCATTCTGTCCGCCGAAGTGACCGCCCAGCCGTCTAAGGCAGAAGTCGACGTCATCGTGCAGCAGGTATGATACTAGTCCCATTCTTCGCATCTACTTCTGACACTTCGGTTCGCAGCGCAAGCTTAAGAAGATGGCCACTTCAAGAGTTTGAGCCTCATTGCGAGGAGGGGAGGGGCGTGTCGCTGCTGTGTCGCTAGTGCCAAATTGTTCTCATTTGTAGTAACTCTGCGTGATGAATTCATGACTTTTGATGACCTTTGATGACTATTTCGATGAAAGAGAGTGACTGGAGTTTGACTACTTTATGACTGAAATTTGACTATGGATGACTATGACGGACTATTGTTTGACTTTACTTGGTGGCTGCGGTGTCGTTACCGCTCCCCAACTCCAGACTAATTCTCGACTTTTTGTAGACTAAACCTGACAAAAATAGTCACAGGCTGGTAGCTAAAACACAAAATTCTGGCCAAATTGACTAGTACACGACTATTTAATGACTCTACATGACTTAGTTGGACTTCTCATCTTTACAGAGGGTCACCTGTCGATCGAATGATCTAATTTCAGATCTCCGAGGCGGCCAGTAGACCGCTATTGACGAATTTAGTAGGCCTATAGGTTCGTGCTCTGTACTGAGCTGCATCTCAACAGTTCTTGTCTCGCTGCGGTTTGCAGCATAGTAAATGCCACCGAAGTTCGCTTGCTCCCCAACACCTCTCAGAAACTTCGGACCGAATTCTCCGCTACATACAGTGGGACCATTTTAAAGTATGATTACGTCGGTGGACGCCCTGACGGTCCTCCTCTTGAGGCGACAAAACCGGTATCGGACGCCCGAATTTCTCCTATGTGTGATCCTGATTCCCAATCAAACCACAATTCAAATTCATCGCTCCGGGTATGCATTGGAGGTCACAAACTTTGTAGTACCGGTTGCCCACATGCCCACCTGATCCGTCCGCCTTTCCCCCGCTTGATTGGAGCGACCGTCCGCTATAGGATATCTGTTTTCCACTCTCCTGAAGGCCGTCTATATGGTGAAGCAGCGGGCCTGTATGCCGAATAATTACCGCAAATGCCCCGTGTATGCGAACGGTGGGGTAGCGGGAGCACACCGGAGTGGACTCGCAGACGGTTCAGCAGGTCAGACCACTCCTTTGTACACGCTACTATCCTGCCCTTGAGGAAGAAGCATAAGCATAAAGCCTCCGACTTCTCAACATGAAAAACACCTTCACGCCACTCCGTGGCGGAATTCTCACCAACGCGATTATCCCGCACTCCAGGAACCCCGTGAAAAACATCACTGTGGATAACAACTCAGTAACCCAGGTATCATATAGTATTGCAAGGACGTGGTAATGTACATGTCTTAGAGTACAGCCTGTTATTACAGGTACGTTACAGCATCGTCAGTGTATTCCACAAGAGAAAGGAGCCAATATCGCTTTGCAATGCAGTATGGGTAAACAGCGTGACTCAGTCCAAGACACACTCAGCACCAATGGACACAGCACCACTAGGACAGCTTTCCAAGGCCCTGCAATCCCTCCTGTAACGACCTCTCGCGGATAATTTACGCAGAACCCTTATCGCTGTAGTCCCTGTCGTCGTGCTTGACATCGTGCGGGACGCCAACAACAATACGGTTAGAGAGGTCTTCGCCATCGAACAGAGCCGCGGTCTCTTCGAGTGTGTGGTTCTTCGTCTCGATTATCATGAAGTAGCAGAAGAAGAACTCAAACACGAGCCAGCAGACGTAGACGATCTATACTTGGTTTCAGATATGAGTGTAAATAAGAGAGAGAGTCAAGACTTACGTAGTACTTCCACGCAATGCTCTTGAGCGCGATTGGGTTGACATACTGGTTGAAGATGAGCGCGAGAGACACAACGAAATTGAAGACGTTGAAGCCCTTCGCGCGGATGGTGTATGGCAGGATCTCGACAGTGTACGAGACGATAAGCGGCGTGAATGCAATGTCGTAAAATGCGTAGTACAGGAAGATAAAGGCGATGACGGCGTGTGCAGCGGCCTGCGTGCCATGGATAGCAAACTCTGCAGAGCATACGGTCTGCATCGCGAACATGACGACCATACCTGCACAAGATGTGAGGAACAGGAAGCGTCGGCCGAGGCGGTCGACCATGAACGCTGCGAGGACGGCCCAGAATAGGTTCCAAATGGCAAGGATACTGTCCACACGCTCATTAGTCCGTGTGTCAGTAGAAGAGTGAAGGAGACGTACCCGTTAATGAGCAACTGGATCGTAGGACTTGTGATGCCAATACTGTCGAACACCTTGTTCAAGTAGAAGGACACGAGGCCGTTCCCAGACCACTGAGAGAACCAAGCGATGGCAACAACGAGGACCATACGCTTCCTGTTTCCAGGGGTAGCGACAAGTGTCCGCCAGCCAATCTTTGAACCAGCTAAACCGACGCAATCAGGGACCGATCTGAAAGTCGTAGTCGACAAGGTGGCCTACCATCACACTCCAAAGTGATAGCGGCTTTTATTTCCTCAAACTCGTACAGAACAAGCGGATCTTGCTCGTCACCATCGGCGTGGTAGTAAGCAAGAGTCTTGAGAGCCTGCTCATCCTTGCCCTTGGAGATTAACCAACGTGGACTCTCTGGGGCAAACAAAACCAAGAAAAACTGGAATATGGAAGGGAGACCCTGGAGAATAGAGGGAATACGCCATGCCCAGGTGCTGTTGATGTGCTGAGTTCCGTACGTCGTCCACGATGCACTACAGGCGTAATATCATTAGAACAATCCTTGTTCACCACAACCCAGTAAGACTTACATGATATTACCAGAGTACCATAGAGAGTTGTAGAGTGACGTAAGAGGCGCACGGTATGTCGGGTAAGATATTTCGGTGACCAACATGGGCGCCGCGTTGGCTGCAACCCAAGATTCAGTATGAACAACGGATTATTATCAATCGAATGACTTGCCAGCAAACGTCAGTCCAAAACCGATGCAGAATCGGGCACCGATGAACATGCCGAGACTGTTTGCGGCAGCCTGGACGGCGACGCCAACCAACATGATTGTTGCACCGATCCATATTGCAGGTCGCCGACCAAGTCCATCAGAGACATATGGCGCGAAAGGATAGCCTGCCAGAGAGCCGATATTCTAACGACGTTCTATTAGGACTAATTATCGTCGAGATATCAAATGACAAACCTGAATAGCGTTCAGAACACCAAGCTTACCACCCTGAGGGTTGTTGAAGTAGTCTTCCCATTGACCTAGAGACTGGAAGCCATTCATCAAACTGTTATCAAAACCATTCGTAGAAGCCGTGATAAGCCTGATCCGAATGTGTCAGAGGGAAACAATCTGCACAAATGACGTCCAACTCACAACAGGACAATCCAGGCGTTAAGAGTGATGAGACTAGTATACGAGTGAGGTCGTCAATACGCATATCCAACACACGACGATATGAGAGCCGTACCGCCGATTGTTGTACCACTTTCTGTTCGGGTTGATCAGGTGCGCGTACTTTGCGTCCACCCCCGTCACTGCAGCAGCTCCTCCAGCCATTGTGCGGTGTGAGATGTGGATCCAGGGGAAATCTGAGCAGATGCTGGGGAACGCTGGAAGTCACCACGGAGGTTTTATAGGTATGAACATTCTACGGCCAGGTCCATCCATGTGACTGGCGATGGAATTCCCCGATGATTTTTCCATGATACACTCGCACGATTTCCCCGTGGTTTCCCCCACACTTCCCCGGATTACGTTTGCCGAAACCTTTTCGCCTCTTTTCGCGGACCGCTGGAGAGTCAGGTACGCTTGCATATCATCACATCGGATCAACATGACACAAGTTCTGCTTCCGGAGGAGACATGGCCACCTGAACAACGCCAGCGCGCGCTAGAGGCTCGCATGTCGTACAGCTAAGCCAAGGTCTGCATTCCCCTTCATTCCAAGTTGTGTGAGGAATGTCCACTTCCTGTCAGAAAAGCTATAAACTCCTAACCGTGACAAAGCCCACGCTCCGGGCCGTCCAAACCGCATACGAGACTGCGATGCTTCAAGTCGAGCTCACCTCAAGGCACAAATGTTTATGCTTGTCCGACCATCATACACGGATTTGCTTCGCGTCGGGACAGTTACTCCATGCCGAGATGGGGCAGCATCCAGGCAGTTTCAGACGTCAATATTTCAATTCCCCCGACGGCCCGTCCCAGATTCGTTACACAGATTAGCCACTGACTCCAGATCTTCGCAAGGAGAAGCCTCAAGGACCCGGAGTCCATATGTCCGATGTCATGTTTATTCGTACTGCATATGATACTTCTTCGCTCTGTGCGTTTCGCTAGACGAGTACCGAGGCAGGAACAACCTGGGAATGACTTGGGTACGCACTGTGCGCGGAGTGATGAGTCCGGGATATGGCTTCGCGAAGATGCTACCATCATGATAACAATAGCTTCGGCGCCATCACGTGGCAGAGTCGCAACTTGAACCACAACTTTATTGCCATTTGCAGTAAAGTTGGCGGTCGCGCGGATTTCGCGCGTTTCGCGCGGTTTGCACTGTAAATGAAGATGTTCCCATATCTCGACAACTAGCCACCGGAACCTGCAACATATATATATTTTCTGAATCTCCTAGGTCAGGGCTGTTGAGCCCCGTGGTTTTTACAACGATCCGAGCAGGTTGAGTTGCGGCTCTCTGAGCTTGCCTCATTTTTTGCGGATGTACCTCTACCTCTGTCAGTATACACCAGAAAAAAATAGCTATTGAATTTCTCACATCCTACTGAGTACCTGTAGTGAGCCCAGGTAAAAAATCGTGCACTTGCAAAGCTGAGGCCGAGTGCGGCACCATCAAGTACTCTTGTCACACGTGAAAATTCATTCCAGTCCCCAAGTTGCATCTGTACAGTCCATGTCCCACTCGAAAACTGGTCTCACCGCTTGCCTGCCAAGCCGTGCATGAATGACAGATCTCCCGTGCTTGTAATCGGAGAGCAGGTGCTCAAGTGGTCATCTCTTGCATCCAGTGTATTCAAGAATTGAGGCAAGGTCGAGCCTTTGGACCATGTGTAGCAGAACTTCTCGAAGATCATCTGAACGTGCTTTGCCTTTCGCCATCCATCCGAAGGCCTCTGGAACAGTAATGCCAGGTACAGGTGAAATGAAAGACCAAGAGGCATGTGCAATGAGAGCGACAGCGCCGCGCTCGGTCTCAGCTTCGCAAGTGCACGATTTTTTACCTGGGCTCACTACAGGTACTCAGTGGGATGTGAGAAATTCAATAGCTATTTTTTTCTGGTGTATACTGACAGAGGTAGAGGTACATCCGCAAAAAATGAGGCAAGCTCAGAGAAAAACTCAACCTGCTCGGATCGTTGTAAAAACCACGGGGCTCAACAGCCCTGACCTAGGAGATTCAGAAAATATATATATGTTGCAGGTTCCGGTGGCTAGTTGTCGAGATATGGGAACATCTTCATTTACAGTGCAAACCACGCGAAACGCGCGAAATCCGCGCGACCGCCAACTTTACTGCAAATGGCAATAAGGCAGTCTGAGCCTGAATCTTGACATCGTCAGAATTATGCTGGCGGTCGAAGCTGTGCGCACGTCGCATGAACGACTTAGATGTGCCCAAGTATCTGCCTTGACGAATGTGTATAGGCCTGGCACATGAAGATAGTACTAAGACCTACACGATGGACTCGAAGAGGAAGTGAAATCTGCAGGTGGGTAGGCATTACTTCATAGAAAATATAGATGGGCAACCTACTTAAGCCTGCTGCATTCTGGTGTCATCAGAAAGCGCTGCCAACGAGTCCCGAGTTCCGGAATGAAGCTGCGTGCAGCAGAGGAAAAACGAATAAACTCAGACAGAAGTGAAGTCTGAGTCAGACGATGAGAAAGAAGGTCTTGGATTCATCGATATCCCCCCCCGGCACTTTGCAGTGGCGAGGTGAAAGGTTCGAGCTCAAAAGCGTTGTGTAAGATCGTTGGCGCACCTGTGTGATCGCGCCGACGCCAACCAGTCGGTGCGTCGATCGAACCCTCTGCACCGACTGGTGGTGACACCCATAGAACTCACCAACAATGGTGTATGCTCAATAAACTGAAGTGTTCCTTACGACGGGTTTCTATGGGGTGAGGGAGGCCATATATATCCTCATTCGCCCTCATGTCGCACTAGTGATGCATATAGCACGAGGCTGGTGGCTCACAGACGCCAGTCGCACTGTGTTAGTTGAGAACGTCTCGCTTCCCCCATACTGTACGACCGCTACCTCGTCTGACATATCAAGAATGAGACAGGGTTGCCTAATAGACATGCATCAGTCGGCCGTTATCTCAGAGGTTTTGCTGCATTTTCTCAGCAGAGGGGCCTGTTAGGATTTGATGCCACGAATGCATTCAAAGCGAGATGTCAAAGAGTGGACTGCACATTTTTCGTGCGTAGATAAACACTGAGACGCCCACGGACAAATTTGTCTGCTAGCGATCCTACATAAGGCGAACTGGGCCTCAAAGCATGAAGGTTTGACCGGAGATATTCTTCGCAACAAATTCGGTGCATTCATCGCCAAGAGACCGAAGGTGATGAGGACAGACCACTTAGAATTAAACATTTTGGCGCTACGATATAATGGGCTAAGGAAATCGGGTATGCACGGAGAACAAGCGAAAGGGCTCACCCACATGCAATTCAGAGACAATGGGAACTGAAGGAGAGCAGGTTACTGGTTGAAATCTGTCTTATAAATGTGTCTACCAACGTCCGCAGACTCGATCCCCGAGCAGCTTCCCGATGCGAACCCGCGCTAGCGTGAATACTTCTGCCTGTGGTGCCAACATGTCGGCCTGGTCGAGTCTTCCAGGGCTGAACTCGGACTCTCCAGAACGCGAACTCTCCAGAACGCGAACTCTCCAGAACACGAACGCTTTCATATCCACCTAGCCACATCGAAAGACGCGACCCAGAGGAAGGGCTTCTCGGCGACAATTGTAGGAAGACGAGTCGCACATGTGATGGTCGAGACGATAACGAGCGCATGTACGCCAAGATAGTCGCAGAAGCCCCGGTTCGTCCAAGGTTTTGCATATCTATGGGCGGGACTCACACGAGTAGCTTCGGAGCGGCTTCGGAGCTATGGAGCATGGCTTGTTCACTGATCGCAATGCCAAGAGGCCGAACAGCATGATCCGGCTGGTGCAGGATGCGGTATGGCAGCGCTGGGACAATGGGATGCGCTAATTGTGGACTGCGGGACACAACGAATACAACAAGGTGGCGGAAGCGCTGCCAACTTCGCCCGTTCATTGACAGGACGTCGACAGGGTTAGAAGGATGTGGTACTAGTGCGGAAACCAGGGACGCTTTATCCGTGGAAAGTCGCACGATCTGATGAGGGCCAGGTCATTCGCAACAATATTAATGATGCGTCAAGTGTGAGGGCCTCGAATACCGGAACGGAGGTCAATCATAACGCCATACATCGTCATACACATGAGCAGCACGTCTACAACCATCTTCGCCAGGAAAGGGTGGGATGGCCTAGGTTTGACGGAGGCATCTTAGGGTTGAGTAGATTCCAAGAATATCCAGTATCCAGTATGCACTGCGGAGACAGTTGAAACTGAGAGAATTATCAGGACCGTCGTCCACTGTGGGGTTAGGACGTGGAGGATAACGCGCTTCGGTACATTCTGAGAAGCAGACCCAGATGGTACATTTGTGTTCCTCTCAACGAAAGACAACGGGAAACGTGGATGAATGTAAATGGTGCCAGTCGACACGGGACAAGTTGATATTCTTGTGAATAATTGCGAGAGCGCCATTGACTTGTGACTCGAAGGTTTGTGTTGAACAGCCGACCAATCACACCCCGGTCATAGAGTAGGTTACACCAAAGGAAGATATTTCGATTCACTAGAAGCGTGAAGGCAGGATGAGAAGATATGCAATTATTTCCCCTTTAAACTTAAAACTCACGAAGTTTGATTGCAACTTATCTATAACGTATGGAAGAGTTAGTGAATGAGGGGGTAATTGTCTACCAGCTGTCCGAGGAAGGAGATTATAAAAATCTCTCCAAGTAGGAGAAGCCGACGGGAAGGCTCTAAGAATTGCGCTTGTCCTCTCTTCGGCATACAAGACTATGAAGCATGTGAGGTCGTCGGCCACAATCAAGAGCTCATATCAGAGAAGTCACAATGGACGATAAGGTTTACACCACGTCTAGACGAGCGGGAGAGCTGCTGCATTTGGCTCGTGCTTGAGATTATTTGCGACTAGTGTAGACAAATAGTGATCTTGTTAAGATAGGGATGACGGCCGTAATATAGAACTAGTGCACATTACTGTATTTTGAAGGGCTACGAAACCAGAAAGAATAGCATGTGGTCACCAGGCTGACACCAGTTCCTGTTCATCTGTAGAGCTTGGTTGAAGACTTCATCGTAGCGAGAGTGGTAGAGTGAAAAGGGTAAGGATCTGAAAATATCGGATAGAGTGTTCCTTGATGCAGCCCGCTGAATAGAGACACATGTTATCTGCCATCGAGTGACGTTAAGAGATTTTTTCAACGGGTAAGCAACTTATCTTTGAAATTGAACAATGACCTCGTTTGAACCAGGCTCAGGCTAGCGTACTTAGTACTAACTTGAAGCCAGCACATCACGTGCACGACGCGTCTTTATGCACGCTCTACTCACCGCCAGCGGTTCAAGGTGATCGACTCTAAGTTCTCTTCAGGAGTGCTCAGAGAAGGTATTGTTTCATATGAAAGCTGATGCAGAGAGAAGTGGGTCATTTTTGACCGTTTAGCTAATCTGGTAGGTCCTTTCTCCAATTCTGATACGAAGCTGATAAGCAGGTGGGCATCACGTCTTCCAATTCGCGGTGTAGCTCCGCCGGAGCGGTGAGTGAGACGTCTGTTCCCGGATGGCGCGTTATCATGACATATCGACACACTGGGCATTCTTTTCTAGATGTGACTGCTTCAAAAAGATAGCTTCGGCATGTCCTATCGTCGTCGTGGAACTTGTGCTCAGGGCGCACCCGAGCTTATGTCCCGTCACATAAATGTACCGCATGTGTAGTCACTCTTCTATCGGTGTCCCATTACTCCTTCTCCTCCTCCTCTGTCATGGCCGATACGGGGACTCTGTCGCCTCTTTATGACGACGATAAACAGTTCTCTCAACATGGCTCTATCGAGAAGAAGTTGGACGACATCGATGTCACTATCGACGATGAGCAGAAGCTGAAGGAGGTCGAGGAATTCAAGGAACGCATCGATAACGACGAGGCTACTGAAGACGAGTATCGGGTTGAGGAAGCTTACGAGGTTGCGATTAAGGTATAGCGGTACACCCAGCTGCGTATCTACCGCAGAAGATATTGCATCTACATCATCTTAACAGGTCCTGTCCACGAGGGATGATCCCGAACTTCCATCTATCACCTTCCGGAGCGTCCTGCTTGGTCTTGGGTTTTCCGCGTTCGGAGCGTCAGTGATTTGTTTGTAGAGTACATGATCGGCGATCTGACTGTCACTGACAGCGTACTGGCGCAAATATACTATTTCAAACCTCAGACGTTGAGCGTCTCGAGATTACTCTTGCTTATTCTCACCTATTGGTTTGGAAGTGGCATGCATCTGTTCCTTCCTTCGAGAGGGACATTCAAGTATCTCAACCCTGGACCATTTAATAGTATGTTTGTTTTTATGGTCTTTGTGCTTCTCTGAGTTTCTCCGACAGTCAAGGAACACGTCGCCATTCTCATCATGTCCTCAACTGCTGCCACTTCTGCGACGGCAATTCAGGTCATCTCTGTGCAAATGTGTGAGTTGTATGCTGTAGAATGAGATAGACTTGACGGTTGATGATTCTCTGTGGAACTCAGTGTATTATGACAACAACATGGTTTGCGTTTCACCGCAGACACTGTAACTTATTGACGTGAATGGTTCTTTTTTTCAGAATGCCGGAATCGCGATATTCACTCTAATATCCTCTCAGCTCATTGGCTACGGTTTTGCGGGAGTATTGCAGGATGTACTCGTATACCCATCGAAATGTTTCTGGCCCGCGAATAGTGAGTTTCATAAGTGCTGTCTTCAGGCATTCCGTGGAGTACTCACGAGTGTTTTCATAGTCTACATTGCCAACCTCCTACAGGCACTGCACTATGACAAGCAGATGACGTCGAAACGCGTGCGATTGTTCTGGGTACTGTTTGCAATCATGTTCTGCTGGGAAATTGTCCCTGAATGTAAGTCTTTGGGTTTGAGAGTCGATATGATAACGTGTCTGATATTTTTGCCCAAAGGGATCTTCCCACTTCTCACTGGAGTCTCGATCTTCTGTTTGGCAGACAACAACAGTGTCGCTTTCCGAAACATCTTCGGGGGTGCCAGCAACAACGAGGGCATGGGCTTGCTTGCTGTATGCTTCGACTGGAACTACGTCACCAGTAGTTCCATGTGGTTGCCACTTATGTACCAGCTCAACATGGATATCGGGGTTTGCTTGACCTATATACTTATGGCTACGGTTTACTACGGCAACCTATGGAAGGCACAGTCATTCCCGTGGATGAGCCAAGCGCTTTTCGTGCGTATCCGATCCCAATATCTTTGAAGCATAATTTGATGATCGTGATTTTTAGAATAGCACTGGAAGCCAGTACAACCAGACTGCCCTGCTTACCAATGGCAAGTTCGACCCTGTCAAGTACGCAGAACTCGGTGTAGGTTGCCTGCTTTGCGTGTAACATATTTGCACTGCTGACCTTGATATCTTTGCAGCCCGCCTACTATTCCGTCACCTACGCCCTGTCCCTTATTACGTCTAATCTGTCTCTTGCTGCGATGGTTACACACGTCGGCCTTTACCACTGGGATGACCTCAAACCCTTCATTCTCTCGCTCAACCCTTGGAACAGGCAGAGCTTCGCCATCCACGATGCTGTGAGTGACCGCCATTATACCCGGGGAAGTTCCGTTATTCGATGCATTTCCCGAGCTTGTAGCATCACGAGAAGATGAAGGCATACAAACAAATTCCGCGTTGGTGGTACGTCTTCGTGCTGTTAGCTGCGTACGGTATGGCACAAGCAAGTGAGTACGCCAGCGCGGAGTCGGTGGCCACTTTCTCACGTCTGTCGATCAGCGAATTACACCGGCCGCTCCCAATTGCCGTGGTGGCTGCTCACCGTGATTTTGATCATCGGGTTCCTCTTCACTGTACTCTCTGCGACCTTGAGCGCTACGATTGGATTCTCCATTACCCCTACTGGCTTCTTCGAGATGATCACCGGTGTGTTGAGCTTGCTTGGAATGTCTGTGTGTCTCCAAACTAACTTCATTCGCAAGGCTACATGAGACCAGGCTATGCGGTCGCGAATATGTATGGCGCTCTTTACGGAGGACAGCCTATGTCGTAGGGTGTGAGCTTCTTGCAAGATCTGAAGCTTGGTGTGTATGCCAAACTTCCACCCCGTTCCACATTTGCAATGCAAATTTCTGGTAAGAGCTAAGCTTAAGCTCGACGCGACGTACACTGAAATTGGGATGAGCACAGGAACTATTGTCGGAGCCCTCTTGAACTGTAAGCTTCTTTTGACCGAGATCAAGCGAGATTATTATAGTTGCGTAGATGTCATGATGTTATCAATCATCAATGCGCAGAGACCGGGTATGTTCTTCATAAAGTGTCGTCCTTGACACGTTTAATCACCTGAATCCGATATGTAGCGCTGCTCTCAATATCTGGCACTCGGTAAATCTTCTAGAGTTCCTATGCTTTGCAGTTGTTGACAGTATCCCCAGCTTGTGGTCGGGTCAGAACGCCCAGGCGTATAACTGTTAGTTATGTCCTGACACATGCAATGCCATATCTGATGCCAACGATCACGTAGCGAATGCCATCTCTTGGGGCGCCCTCGGTTCAGAAATGTTCGGGTCCAGTGGAACCTACCATATGGTACCCATTGCGCTGGCCATCGGTCTATTCCTTCCTGTTCCTTTTTACATCGCTGTACGTGATGCCAGGTCGTCTGGATAGTGATCCTCACCAGAGCTTGCCTTCGTAGCACCGCATTTGGCCCAAAGCCGGCTTCCAGCACATCAACACGTCCATCATCCTCGGTGTGCGTCTTGCGTCTATTTTCGTCTGGTCCTGATCTCACACTACTCTCAGTACTCCGACTATTTGTATGTCGGCATCAACACTCAAGTCAAGTGAGTCTCACCAGATGTCAAGAAGGCGGAAATTTAACTAATGCTTCTTGCAGCACTTCGATGGCTGTCGGGATCTTCTCCCAATGGTGGGTGCGCAAGCACTATCCGCGCTGGTTCACGAAATACAAGTAGGTGGCGTGATTTTTCTCATGGATGTTTCTTACCAATAGCCCTTCGCAGCTACATCGTTGCTGCGGCTCTGGATGGTGGGACTCAAGTCATCATGTTCATCCTGAACTTCGTGCGTACCGTTCCAAAGCTTGACTCATACGTGTTGCTCACATGCTGGCCATTACGACTAGGCCTTGTTCGGTGCAGCAGGTACTGCCCACCCCTTCCCTGAATGGTGGGGCAATGGTAGGTCTCCCACGCTTCTACTTTCTGTGTGCATTGCGGGTAAACTGACCGTATATTTCAGACTACAGCTTGTCTGCGGATAGATGTGTCTTCCCTAACCAGTAGCGTTTACCTTCTCCCTGTCGTGTGTACCATCATCTGTTAGATTGTGGATATTTTTACTATTCGAATCTTTCCTTTTTTTGGGCTCCATGCTAATTGGTGGTGCCATGTGAGCGCTGCAAGTCTAGTTCCGATATTGGTACCTTGAATGAATGCTCCAAGTTCCTAGGGCAGCTCCAGATTGCTTGCGTTAATACTCGCGAGGCTTCAAGGAGGAAGCGCAGAAGTACCGCGAAAGAGTATAAGTTACATCCGGAACTATGATCGTCTATATACATGTCGCTAAGAATAAACATCGTTCAGGCATGGGTGAAATGCATAACGACTGCTCTCCAGTAGCATTATCGAATAACCCTCGGGGGTCGGGCGTAAACTAGGATGTTTTGAATGCGGAGGAGAGTCAATAGTGAAGGTACGTGGTGACATCATCGTCGTGAGAGCTCTTCCCGCACAGCCTGCACGACGGCATTCGGCTCTATGGGTATTCTCTGATTCAAGGACGACTCGTCTGGAAGCATGACTGGAGGCAAGGAGTCTCCGGTGAATTTTCTAGGGTGCCATGAGTAAAGCTCAACGATCACCAGACGTGGACTGACCGATCGTTCCACCATGCCATGTATCTCAGGCCCAGCGAACGCGCGGCGAACTCTTGATCACGAACGAATGTCCCAGGAGGGAAGAACTCCATGAGTATCGGTCCTGACTCCGCTTGTTCTTGGGATGACGGCGCAGAAGGCGAAGCAAGTGATGACGAAGGAGAAGGCGACATAAAAATGCTATCCGCTAGGTGGAATCCATAGGGACCGAGTACGACCTGAAGAGACAAATGTCCATTGAGCGAAACGGCGAAGAGCACATGTCGAGCGAAGACACGGTCAGTAGGCCTAGTAGCACTCACACTTGATCTGGCAACTGCATTCATCCGTTCTTCCCATTCCCACCCGTGCACATCCACGCTCCCGTTCCCTCTCACTACGAACACTTCGCTCGCCAGGCCCTCTCCCTGCAGGTCCGCCAGGCCTGCGACGAGCGCCTCGTGATGATCGTCTCGCAGACGGGGGCCCGCAGTGAACGGCTCGTCCTGCATCGACACGTACGTCACGACCGGTTTCACCACCGCCTTCTTCTTCCTCCACCCGGAGCCCGCGGAGGACTGGCTTTGCTCAGGTAACCGGAGGTACCGCGCGAGGGCTGTGCGGACGGGCGCCCACCAGCCCTCCGGCGCCTTGAGCCCGACAAACGGCGCAGCCCACGCGGGCTTGCCGTCGTCGTCTTCGGCTCTCTTGAAATCGTGGTCGCTGATTTCCGCCATCCTGTCGGCGGGCCTCCACCGCCTGCCCCAGTTCTCCCGCCCTCTCTCCGCCGCCCCGCGATCCGCGATCACCACCCGCTCCAGCAACCAAGGAAGGTTCATTTCTGCGAGATCCTCCCAATCCTCTTGGTACCATAGCCCCAGTGTGGGAATCACGGCTTTCGGTAGCAGAGGATGGAAACCTGGGAAGCGGTGAGCATTGGCGTCAGCTGGCTGAAAATTCATGGAGTACCATTGTAGGACCGCTCTCGGGGAGGGGGGTGTATCTTATTGTCACCACCAGGCGATGGCAGTTGTGGGCTCGAGAACGTCGGAACATGTGGAAGCATCAGCCTCAGTGGCGCCGGCACTCCGGCCTTGGAGTCGGGCGACGACAGAGTGCTGTGCGCGTGGAATAGCGAGAGGAAGGTGTACGGGTCTTGCAACGCGGGTGGGTCGGTGGCGACCCATGAAGTTCCGTAAATTCTACGTCGGTGTCTGCCTTAGCTGTCATGCTAAAAGATAGTTCATGCAAATCGTACATACCTGCCACCGTATGTTCCTAATTGTGTTCTTGCTTCGTCTTTGGTCAATACCTGCCAGTGCTGGTCTGGGGGTTGGGTGTGATCTAGGGTAGAGGACGCAATAGCCGCAGGCGGGGGCAAGGACGAAGGGTCATCAGTGACCAGGAAGAACGTGCCGTTTGCAATCAAAACGTTGTCGAGGATGGTATACCCTGAAAATAATACGACAGTCAGATCAAGCCAGCGTGAGTCAAATAATGAAGTACCCGGAACATGAGCAAGGGCCTTCGTCACGGGCACGTCGGGCCCCCATCGCACGAACTGCTCGTGCACCGATACCCCCTTGTTCACGCCGACGCCCCAATCTTCCTTGCCTGCGCTCCGGCTCGCCTTCCTGCCAGACGCCCCACCATAGATCGCCGCATCACCAAGCCCCAGACCTACCGCTCCGTGCTCGACACCCGAAACCTTCCCCTCCTCCCATTGCCAATTTCCGAATATTAGAGCCTCGAGATCGTCTCGCCACTCTTTGGGCCGTCGCCCGTCTGGGTCGAATCCCGGATCCTTCGCGCTGAGGCCTGATACATTAAGAGCGTCAGTACGTTCGAACGAGTTTCACTCTCAAACGAGTCCATGAGACAAAGGAGGGGCAGTCTAGTATCCGCGAGTAACATGGTAATAACACAGCATTGGATCTACTGCTCAACTGTCGCCCCTGTACAAGAAGAAACATTCAACGCACGGTCAAACACATCTTCCAGTTGTCCCCAGCGTGGGCCGCCGGGAAGAGACACCTTCACGATGTGTCTTATCGGCCAGTAACATGCGGTCTACCACCTCCGGAGATAGACCGCAACTCAAAAATGTACGGCTCCATAGTTCAAACCCCCCACCCCGTGTGAACACGGAATATGCAACACGAGATCGTCAGACGCAGAGAACGCGCATCCCGTGTCTGAGACATATTGCGAGCAGTGCCATTGAACCTGGTGCAACATCCACAGGGTTTAACTGCCAGACACCAGTCACGGAGATACATTTTCTGCACAGCCTAGAAGCACTCATGTTGCATATCCTGAGCCCAACGGAACGCGCACATATCACGCACCGTGTGTTGAGACACCTTCATAACGCATTTGAACACAACAAGGGAATGGACATACCAATAGTAGATAGATAGGCGGATTTCTCTGGATGAACTCCTACAAAATGCAGGGACGACTCAAGGTTGTACGCAAGCACAAATATCGACAAGGAAAACAGCAGGAGTGTTAGCTCGCGGCGGGTCGGTGGAGAGAACCAACTTCGCGACGGTGGCATGTTCGTATCAAGTCAAGCCCACTGTGTGAGCAGTAGGCGCAAAATGTGCTCAGAAGCAGTGTGAAGCAGCCGGTGCACGCGCACAGGTCGTCTAGGGGTGCGCGATGTTCTATCTTCGTTGTGAGACTCTCACGTGTGTAATAACCAGTCGCTCAGCACGAACAAAACTAAAGCGAGGGGTAGTGTAGGATCTCCAAGACGTCTTGAGTGTGAACCAGAGACGATATGTTAGCGGACCAACTGCGGCTGAAGCTGAAGCTGAAGCGCTGAAGGCAGCGTTGCCATTCCCGGAAGTGGCTCAGTAGTCGAACTTAATGCTGACGAAAAAAATTCAACCCGTGCATGAGCATTAATGCAGGAGATGCGAGGTATTGAAAAATGAAGAAATGATGGCGTTCATGACGAATTGGCTTCACACATCTACACGCTGAGAGGTTCGCATAATTTGAATCGCACGGGATGCGTGAAGGGCAAGGAGCAAAATGATTGCTATGTATTACGAAGATTCCTAATGTATATCGGGTCGCCGGATCGGCGTGAACAACTACCATGCCCAGTGGTCAGACCCACAAGTGGTTCCGTCTAAACTGACGGTACCAAAAGTTCCTCCTTCTGCTTGGAATGCCTGTCCAGCAGGACATTTGTGCACACCTTGAGCGCTTCCGACTCCTCCGGTTTTGGGTCTGCGCAGCCGGCCCAGCGAATGCGGCATTTTTCGTCAACAAGGTAAACGTACCCGACGTGACGGTTGGTCATGCCAAGATCGTCCCGGATGTATCTGGTTCAGGCGTCGGGTTTGTAAGTCAGAAAATGTAGTGAATTGACACGTACTCCATGTTTTGGCTGCTGACGAGATACTTACCCCACCGCTCTTGTGGGACATTTTTCCGAATCCCGGAAGTGAAGAGTGAGACCAACAGAGATTTCAGCAGGTTCTCTTGCAAGTTAATCTGTATGTACTGATACGCCGGATGAGATGAGTACTGAGCATGCGCCGCGTCTATGAAATTAGCGGTTTGAATCTACCGACGGAAAATGACACAGGTCAATGTGCGATCACGCAGACATTGACGGTACGGACCTCAGAAATCTTGGACGAAAGCATAGCAATGATGGAAACCTTCCCAGTACAGAGGTGCGTAGTATGTGCTTGGGTATTGTTATCCAATGTTGTACCGGAGATGTCGGGGAAGTACAAAGCTTTCTGGGGATGTAACATCAGAGTGCGTCACACGGTCAAAGATACGGACGTAAGGATGAACGTCACAGCAGCCATGCATTTCGTCTAAGCAAAGAATCGTCATAGTAACTGAGACGAAACGGTGCTCACATCCTCCCGAATCATCACCCTCGGAGCAATCCACGTTTTGCCGCCGTGCCGTCGCGTCGCATTCAAGTCTGCGAAATACCCCTTCGTAGCCTCTTTCACTCTTCAAATCCACGAGGAGAACACTGAGCACATAAACAATTACACGTGAAGAAGATACGCACAGATGGTTCCGCTTCTGCATGCGCATCTCCTGGTCCATGAGCTCCTCCCTGGTCTGTGCCCACGTCTTGACTAAACTGGTTGGACGCCCGCGCACGCCGAGCGGTCGCTGCAACAGCGGTAGAGAAAAGGCCATTTCGTCCCCTTCATTCTTTCCCGTAGCTTCTGTTGCTCTTTCCTTCCCCTTTCCCTCCACATTGGCGGTGGACTTGGCCTCGGCTGCGTTGCCAATAGATTGGGGTGGTTCTGCCGATCGACGTGGACAGCTGACAGAGATAAACCGTGTTGCTGGAGCTTTCTGATGTACACTAGAGGTTCCTGCACGTAACACAGGAGAGAAAGTGGGGCGAAATATCTGGGGGATAATCATCGTCCGTACTCGACTCGAGCTCAAAAGCCAACGTGCCGCTACTCACCGCCAGATCAACGCTCATCACGTGATTGAATTCGACAGTGAAACTTCGCGTTTGGCCCAATGTGAACTGAATTGTTCTTTCTCCAGCTTTTTTCTCGTTTGCGTTTGTGGTCAAATTTACTGCCAGCATTTTCGAATGACTCAACTCGTAATGGTGGACTTTGAATGGTAACTACTAAAGAACTTCCAAGCCTACCACTTCAGCTTACATGGACCGCTTTCCCCCCAGAAAACTGCGGGATCTTTCTCGTGGCAGAGTCGCATGGCCCGCATGCAGAGTTGCGCTAAGGAAGGACCCTGGATAATCCCCACAAAGGTCGCCGCCAAATCCGGACAGATTTTTGCGAAAATCGACCTCACGCCGTCGTCATGTCCGGACAGATGGACCCCCTAAGGACCATGTAGCCGTCGTACTATCCGGACACGGAACTGTTCTGGGGCAAAAATCGCCGGAAAAAGCCGAAAATGGCTAAAAATGGCCACAAATTGCCTAAAATGGAAGTCCCCAGAGCGAGGATGTCGCTATTTCCGAACAAAAAACTCCCTCAACTGGCCAAAAATGGGCCGGACAGATTTTTGTAAATTGGGGGGGCTTTGGCGACGACCTTTGTGGGGATTATCCAGGGTCCTGCTAAGGACTGGTTCTCGGAAATGTTTGTCCCGACGCCCCGAGCTACTGGTATCGCGCTCCGAGCCAACCAATGGCCTATAGAGGATACCACATACGATCGGGGCCTTAAACTTCCGCCGATTATGAGTGGATACACCTTGGATACCTTGCTGTGCCTTTTCACTTGGTCTACCGTCCCTGGAAGAAGGGAGCCAACCTAAGCATCTAGTCCTGGTTGAGATCCTTCTACGGAATATTGCTATTTTTCCCGCAGAAATATCGGTAGCTTCCTTGCGCCGCCCGTTCGTTCCTAATAAATGCGGAGTACAACAGAGTTCTTATATTTAGGACTCTGGCGAACATCGAGTGTAAGCCTTGACGATGCATAGAGAAACTTTCAGCTCGTGTTCTTCACGTCCTCCACGTTCCGTTTGTGCAATTTATCGCAGGATCAGATTTCTGTCGCGGTTTACATACAGCCTCGCCGATGCAGCATTGTGAGCAATGAAACAGAAGCCTGCGCGTTAAGTCAGGTGGTAGATTGCTGGCAAGCCTCTGAATAGCACAGATACAGTTCTGCGGATAGAGTCATGTCATAGAGAGGTCGTGTAGTTCACCGTGTTTACCCAACGAAAGGCCCCTTGTACCCCTCTGACGACATTTTTGATCGACATTTGTCAAAGTATACGCCACTGCTTTAGTACTACGTAGTACGCCGCTTGTCACCGCGCACATCAAATATCCAGGCGTAGATTCACAACGCCTCCCCAAATCACTCCTCCTGCCTTTGCGAGCGTAAGCTATGAAAGAACTGCGCACGGGGATTCGCGATTCTTCTCACTATTTCACTGATAGAGTCCCATAGACATTGCCATTCAAGTTCTACTTCGCCGTCGAGATTAGACTCAATGCTCTTGATCCGGCCTCCAGCACAATCACCTTCACCACGGAAGCTCGAGGAGCGATAAAGGCACCGTCTGACCACACGCGCCTACCGCACGCATCCGATGCTGTTGGCTCACATCCGCACGAACGTGCTGTTGCCAACCGTGGAGGCGGTGCATTAGATATTGGCAAAACAGGGATCTCGGGATGAATCCGTCTCCTCTGTCGATGCTAATTCGCTTCCGCGATGTGTGCTTTGGGTGGGCCGGTGCGCTCGGCACGACACTGGCACGGCAGCCACGGCTCAACGCGCCACCCGGATGTCGGCTGCACGAAGCCTAGGACGACGGACGCATAAAGGGCAGAGATTGTTGTTTTATCTCTGCTATCTAAAGAATGATCAAGCCGCCTCAGGCGCTCTAGTCAGCATTACTTGGGCTCATCTCGAGTCAAACGTGCGAGATTTGAATTTGCAGACGCAGACTCAAGCAAGTATGGCATGAAAACTGTGATGCGCAGCAAGCCAATTCTTATACTCTGACAGGAAAGCTACAGCTATGATGAATGCAAGACCAATCCACCGTAGTATCAACCACACTGCAACGCGGGAGGTATTTGGTTATATTTATCTGCATTGCGGAAAACGGGCAGCCAGCGGCGGATCTGCGATCTAGATTTGGAGATATGATCGAGGGTTGGCACAAACTCCTATGTTCAATTCACCAGCGACGGCCCATTGGCAAGGGGTTCCGACGATCTGCGTATCATGCTCCCCCTCCCAATAGGAGGATAGCGCACGTTACTTATCATTCGGGGTGGCCGCAAGCTGAGCGACAGGTGCGAGCTGGAATATGTACAGCCCGGATCTGATGCGCCGCGAAGAGGCCCGACAAGACGTCTAAATACACGATGTAGCTTCCCGGTGGCGCGGGTTCCGTTCCTTCCACGAACCACTCGCAAAGGCGTGGTTGTACCATCACATCACTTCGCCTGGCTCCTTGCTGCCACAAAGTCACCGCAGCCTCATGTTCTCCACGCTGTAGCCGTCCCTCAGTCACGTTCTCCAGAAGTAAAAGGCCAGCCAAGTGGACTACTTCTCGCTCTTACCTAGGGTATCCTCTCCGCTCAGCGATCCTCCACACTCTACTCTCCGCATTCCTTTGCGCCACACTCTTCTAGCCGCTATGGTCGCTGTTACCGAGCCCGCCGCTCCAGCCCCCTCACCACCAGCAGTCGGCACCTGCATCGACAATGGCACCCTCGAACTCGTAGAAATACTCGGCTACGGAGGTTATGGTGTCGTCTATCGCGCAGTCGATATTTTCTCGCCAGACATCTCATACGCGGTCAAGTGTCTGCCTCATTCCCGGAAGCGCAACGCTGAGCGTCAGCGCCAGCTGCACTTGCGCGAGATCATGCTGCATCAGCTCTCGTCCGCCCATCCAAATGTTGTCACGCTCCACCGCGTCATCGAAGACTTCAATTACACTTATCTTGTCATGGACTACTGCCCTGACGGCGACCTCTTCACCCAGATTTTGCACAACCGCCGATATCTGGGCAGCAATAAACTTATCAAGGAAGTCTTCCTCCAGCTGCTTGATGCGGTTGAATATTGCCATAGCTTGAATATTTATCATCGCGACTTGAAGCCAGAAAATGTCTTGTGTTTCGATGGCGGGAAGCGTCTTGCCATCACTGATTTCGGACTCGCCACGACAGAGAAGATGAGCACCGAGTTCCGCACGGGCAGTGTGTACCATATGAGTCCGGGTGAGTGAGCCGAGTCTTGCTGACAAACTCCTATGCTGAATCATACACAGAATGTCAGGGTGGATATTTTGCTCCGACGAAGTCATACTCACCGCTCTTTAACGACATCTGGTCGCTCGGTATCATCCTCCTGAACCTGATCACGGGGCGGAATCCCTGGAAGTCCGCGTCCGTGGAGGACTGCACGTTTCAGGCATACCTCCAGGACCCGATGCACTTCCTCCCCACCGTGCTCCCCATCTCTGAGGAGGTGAACCTCCTGCTCTCTCGGACGCTCGAAGTCGATTGGCGACGCCGGATCACGCTGCGGGAGATGCGTCTGTCGATCATGGTTATCGATAACTTTTATTCGCCCGACGTCCTGTTCGAGGATAGCATGGCGCGCTGTCCGTGGGAGGCGGGCATCCAGGTCGATACGGACAGCGAGTCATCGGAGGAGGAGGAGGAGCCGGAGCCGGAGCCGGAACCGAAGGAGCTGCCAGAGGCACAGGACGAGGGTATCGCGTCGACGTGGAGCAATGATTCGGAGTCAGACATGGTGTTCGCGACACAGTCAGTGACGGACAAGTCGTCTTGGGCGTATTCGGAGTCATATGCGAAGCGCGACTCGTACGCGCGGTCCATGTCACCCTCGCCAGATTCCCCGCTCTTCACGACGACGAAGTTGTTCGAGATGATGAACACCCCCAGCGCTGTGTCTGCGTATTCGATCCTGTCGTCTTCGCCGTCAATACCGTCGCTCCCTGTTACCCCTGAAGGCGGCGAGAGTCTGCAGCCGGCAGATTCGCGACGACCGAAGGCCCTCACGCTTAACACGGCCGATTGTCACCCCAGCTACTACGACAGCAGCGCCATGATGCTGTCCGCACGGTCATCGACCATGCACACAGCCTTGGACTCAGCCTCGCAGTTTGACTCATATGGGTACTGTTCGATCTTTGCCGAAACTATGCCCACAAAGGCCTCGCTGCTCCTCGACTCCACACAGGACATTGGCATGATCACAACGCCCATTACAGCCGAGGAACACATGGACACGAAGTCGATGTGCTCATACCCGACGATTGACGCAGACCAGTCCATGGACAGCGCACGTCCCGAATCCCCCATCCTCGGCTTGTCAACAGGCGTGAACACAGCGGTGAAGCCAGAGGCAGATTGGGAGCAGGCACCTCTGTCTGCGTATTCCTTTCTGACGTTCTCCAGCACCCCTGCAACCTCCCCAAGAACCGAGCAGCCCTGGCCGGCATTCTCGTTCCTTTCCTCCCTCGTGCCACACTCTGAGCACACACCAAAGGGCTCTTTCCGCACAGACACCCCCCCATTGCCGTCGCGCCCACCTCTGTCGCCGCATGCGCACGACAGGAAATCGCGCGCGTCCACATTTATGCGACCGATCAAGCTCGCATTCACCCGGCGGGCATCCTCGCACGACACACACTCCACGAAGGGCCGCCTGAGCCGCACGATGCAGACCGAGTCTGTGCCGACACTCGTCGGGCCCAACTGGGTCTTCACCGCGTCCACGTCCAGGTCTCCGTCGCCGCAGCCCCACCGATGCCTGCCATCCTCGGAGAAGGACGCGCCACGTAAGAAGTTCGCGGACAGCGAGGGCCTGCGCCGGCGGCGGAGGCGGCTACGGTCTCCGCGAGCGTGGTTCTCGTCGGGCAAGCTCTTCGCCTCCGTGCTCCAATCATAGAGGACATTGATAACTTATACCCGCATTCTCGCATTCACGGATACAACTCACATCACCGTCACTGCATCATATAAACATTTGCTTACGCCAACGATACTTTATAAACTTGCATGGTTTCTTCTATCATTATCTCGGTAGAGCCGTGTGCTTTTCGTTCGCCTTGTTGTACTTCCTATGCACGCCAATCATCATATGTGGCTACGCAAATATGCGGAACTCATCACGTCGAACTGACTATGTTGAGAGGCGAGCGAGGACTTGAATTGCGTATCCGCTTCAACAGTTTGGTAATTCGAACAGTGAGTCCCGAAGCACGGTAAGAGAACGTGGTAAGATGGCAAGACCGATGGCTAGTATTTCTGACTTCCCTGAGCAGTCGTCGACACCCCAATATGTCGTCTGCTTCAGAGTGGATCGAGTAATTAGACAAAGCATAACGGTAAGCATAGACAACCCATCTCCATCGACTACCACGTCCGGAGAGGCACCATCTTCCTGCCTCGGTCTCGTGCGATATCGTCGGGAGAACGCATCCCTACACGCTTGTCCAGTCTCCGCCCCTTCCCACCAACACCATTGCCCATGCCCATCGGGGCATTGCCCGGCATCAACATTTGCATCGTCGCCCGGACGACCATCATTGGGTTCCGGCTCCCCCACACCTTTGCGCTCGCGTCCCTGATTCCCGCCGCCTTCAGTATGTGGTAGATATGCGGGTTGACGTGCAGACCGAATCCGACTGGCCGCGGGCGGATAATTACGCGCGTGGACGCGAATTTGTTCTCCATCTCCGTCCAGACTGTGCGGTCCTCGAAGCGCTCGACGTAGTCCATGTTCCGCACGGCCTCGACGAGAGCCTGGTGCATCGCATGCGCACCGTCCGTCGCCTTTCCCTCACCAACGCCAACGAGGCCGTTCATGTCCCCGGCGACCATCATGTAATGAATTCTGGCCACTTTTCCCTTGCCCGTCTGCTGGACAACGCGGCGTGAGACCAAAGGATACTGGTACAGCTTGTTGGCGATGTCGCGTGAACCGATGTGGAGGAAGTTCAGAGGATCAGGCTCACTGTCCCTCTCATGTTCCTCAGCATCCGGGTGCTTTTCTTGCGTCTCGCCCAACTTCTCCTTCAGCGCGAGGAACATGGAGGGGTCGTTCCGGATGACTACTTTGTTTTCGTAAGGAGTGAAGCGGCTGGGGGGGAACGTGGCAGAATCGTGGAGGTCCATGAGGACGTCTGGCTCCATCAGGTCGGGAAAACCGCCGTCCTCCTGCAACTTTTGGAGGTAGAGGCGCGAGCGCTTGTCGACTTCTTCCTGTGATGGCGGCTTCGAGACGTTGGAGGAGGAAGGGACATCAGTGTAGTGACGGACAGAAGGTAGCAGGCGACATTGTCGCCGCGTTCGAGCAGTGCGCGAGACACCTGAGACGAGTGTTCCGCTGAGCTTGTTCATCGTCGCCGCCGTCGCCCGACTCGGACGTGGTCGAGCGTAGCAGTGAAAAGTTGTGTTTGAATTAATATCCGAGGTACGAGGTTGAAGCAGAGTGTCTACCATCTGCCTTCGGGAGACTAGTTTGAATGGGCGCCTGGGAACTCTACAGTCGCTTGCAAAAGTCGTGAGAATCCCGTGATTTTTTTTTAATTTCGCGCGTCGCGAAGTTCGACCAAAGGCGTCGTTGTAGCTCATTCATTACTCTAGCTATGTATGTAGTATGTATCGTGTACCAACAATAAAAATAGCCCGCAGACACCTGTGCAGAAATCGGGACTAACGGTGAACTCGGAGCACCGCGGTGGCAAATTTTGTGTGCGGTACACTGTCTCTCTGCTTCCTACTTCATGGCCAGGCACGGACGAAAGTCTGGTCATCTAACTGCTACACGGAAAAAACCTGGTCGACCTCCTGAGCAACCTGCGGAACTTGGACCAGATCCCAAACTTACACATCTGCTTCTCAAATTGCCTCCGCATCTTCCTCCCTCGCATCCGCCAGTGCAATCTCTCATCGAGAACTATATCAGTCCATCGTCTTCAAGCAGTAACGAGGATGTTCTGTATGGAGCGCAGGTGACACAGGATGATAACGATGATGGCGTTGTTCATAATTCTGAGACGGACGGAGATGACATCACTGTTACGGAACCAGCCTCTCAGTCAACTCAGGGAGATCATGGGAAGGTTATAACACCCCTACATGGTATGTCATCATTTATTCGTATTGTACAGGCCTTGATCTACATTCCACACACTCAGCACAACCGGTAGAAGTAGAATACATGGTGCCGAAGCATGACGGAAAGGCTATGAAGCGCGTACCGTTGTCTTCGGCCATGACCTGGGATATTGTCCGTGAGCGGCTGCGCATTGTGATGGGATATGACAATGTCGACGACATGGCGCTCTCGTATCGCCTCTCCAAGGATGCCAAGTCTGTCCGCAAGAGCCTCGAAGATGACAATGACTATCAGGGCATTGTCCAGTCCATGCAGAGTCATCGCCGGAATACCCGACCTCAGCAAGTAATTATATTGGATGACAGTGTATGTATCATCTTCTGATGCTTGCCAAGCTCTCACCTTCCAGATAGGTGAATGATTCAGAGCAGGAGTTGTCACAGCCCAAGGGTTCGCACAAGAAGGCACCCGGGATGAAAGCAGCCGCAGTCGCACATGCTTACGCCACTGTAGAGCATCAAAGCCAAATTGATGAAGTGGTGGAGGAGTTGAAAAGGCAGAATCCGAAGTGTAGTGAGCACGCCATGTCATGTTGGCTAGGGCATCCGTCTGGAGAGCACGTCCAGCTCACGGAGATGCGTTTTGCAGCTTGGGCAACTGACATTGTGAGTGCTTCTGTCTTGGAAGTGCACTGTACTCATCTCTTTTCATTCAGGTCAAGCAACTGTCACTTCCAGAAATGGAACGCACAGTGACCTATACCCATCCACCGAACAACCGGATGTTTGACGTACCTCCCTCGTTTCGTCATCAGCATGCCCCATCGGTGTCGAAGGCCCCTTCCACATCTATGCCTGTTCCTCCAATCATTATCAACATGCCTGAGATGTCTGGTTCTCACAAACATCTTATAGTATCTCCATCATCATCTGATCCTGTCAATCCTGCTGATGCTCCTTGGCCATCGCTCACCGACTTCCTTCTGCATGCAGTAACTGTAGACCGTCACAGTCGGAACTATCCTGCATATGAGCCAGGTCTTCGTCAAGCTGACCTTCTGGGCCCGGATGACATTGAGAAGTGTACGGAGGAGGAGCTGAAGAAGCATTGTGATATTCCCATTGGTGCTGGTCAATTCTTGATACATGAGGCTAAACTGGTTTGCAAGCAGATTCGACAACAGGCACAGATACCACAGAAGTGTTTCCGATTTGACTAGAGTACAACTTTTGAATTAGTCTCTACTTTATTGTATATATCCAGTATCTTTGAAGAACCCATATGCATCATCAGGAGTAATATGATCAAGTCCTTCCATCAGAAATACCCATGGATGTGCAGGGCTGTTGGTGCACCTCATGGCTGCACGTCCTTCAATGTAGTTTCGTCGTATCCATTCCTTCAGTTCATGGAACAGTTCTTCAATGGGCTGTAAGTCTGGAGAATATGGTGGTAGAAATATGTAGCGCATTCCACTATAACCCAACACAAAAGTTAATATAATATAGTGGGAGCTATAAACAACTGACCGTTCTACAATCATGTCCAAAGTCTCTTCGGAATGATGGATGCTCGCATTGTCAAGGAGAATGACACTATTTGGTGCAGGGAAAGGATTCATTCGGTCAAGTAATGTATGAATGAAGTGTCGGAATGTGATTGCATTGAATGATCCTTCAACAATGTTGACATGTAGTACACCATCGAGACTCAATGCGGGCAGAACAGAATATCTACACATACAAATCATTAGCTCATAAAATGTCCTTATCAGCATACACACCGAATACCACGTTCCAACGGCACTCTCTCAGAAGCCCGTACACCACTATAGGACCAGCCGAAGTTCCGCGTCATGTTACGAGTGTCCACCGCAGCCTCATCGACTGACACCAACTGGGCTGCATCATATTGCTGCACCGTATCAACAAAAAGTGCACGCCTTGCGTGGTCGCGTTCACGAGCAATCCGAGCAAGCTTAGATAGCACATGAATACATCCCGCATGTCAATAAGTGTCCAACTCACTCGTTTATGTGTAATGCCATTCCGATGAAGATACCGGCAAAGAGCAGCCAATGATATGTCTACATTTTGCAGCTCCAATTCTTCCTTCAACTCATCAAGATAGATGTTTGGCTGAATCTCGCAAACCTCCAGAATGAACTGCAGATCATTTTGAGATCAGTTCATGTCAATGTACAGCAAAACAACTCACCTCAACGTCGTCTCGGGTGAGTGCACGAGGCCGTCCGCTGCGAGTGGAAGTGTCATTGAAGGAGCCGGGTTCATGTTGTAGGGTGTGATAAACAGTCGATCGCGGGAGGGCTAGGAGGTACTCAATCTCTGAAGCAGCAAATCCAAGGTGAGCAAGATGTAAGACTCGTTCGTGAAGGTCGGCAGAATATTGCATACCAGGCATGCTGATCGCACAAGGGAAAGATTAGTGCATCGAGAGCAGTAATCGGGCTGCCGCGGTGCTCCGAGTTCACGGTTAGTCCTGATTTCTGCACAGGTGTCTGCGGGCAATTTTTATCATTTGCACGCGACATATACTACATACACAAGTAGAGTAACGAATGAGATACAGCGATACCTTTGGTCGAACTTCGCGACGCGCGAAATTAAAAAAAAATCACGGGATTCTCACGACTTTTGCAAGCGACTGTAGATCTGCTCCGCCACATCTACTTAATTACTACGTACGACTTGTTTAGTTTGCTTGGACAAAACGTCTTTGCTCAAAGTATTATTTGGAGCGACAGCAGAACCACGAGAGGAGGTATTATTTCCCCAGACCAGTGACACGGCTTTGCTACAGCAAGACTAAAGGAACCTGCGCTAGACCGTGACAATTTCGTTCGCCAACATCTCTTCCGACGCTCGCCACGGTCGAATCATACTCAGCTTCATAGAAGTCGCATCTGAAATAACTAGATTCGAAATCTATGACTGTACATGCCAGGGTCCTTCCCGTAAGTGGCTCACGAAAATGAATCTGCCGATCAACAACTGCCAATTTACCAGCCAATTTGCCATGGGAGTCATCGGCTGTTAACAGGAAGGAAGGTGGGTAGCTGATCTGCCTGGAGAGGTTGACTGACGTTGCTATCTTTATCACGAACGACGTCTGGATCGCAGTACTCTGCTGAGAACTTCTTATAACTAGCAAAGAGTTCAACATGTTTAAACTCGATGTCAATAAAGGACGCGATGGAGCCACCTAACCACCTAAGTTACCTAAGTTGCTTATAATCTCTTCCCCTTTGGGATGCCTACTGATATCTTGAGATTGGAGTGCCTATACTGCTGCGTAATACGCGAAGCCAATGATGAACCACCTTGCAGTGAGTTGTTAGCTTCACAAAGACAAGTAAGATAGAAGCGATAAGCACTCGTGAATAGAATGCGACCCATTCTGCGCGGCGCAAATTTGTCGCATTTCACGTAGAATTCTTTCCTTGCTTGCTCATCATTCTCAGGCGGCGGATGATTCGGATAGTCAGGATTGGCTCTCCATTCCGTCATTGCCGCCTCGTATGCTGCCTCAAGCCCCAGTGCCAACGACTTGAGTTTTTTGCACGGTCACTAAGTGAAGAACATAATAATCAACGAATTCTGGGTGAGACGCTCTGTGGCAGCATTCATGGAGGGACACGGCTGGACAGGAAGGATGGGTAAGAAGGCGCTCGTTTGCTTATTTGATGAATTGCTATTTACACAATACTTGACGGTCCTGACAGATTTGCCACACATGTTCTGAAGGTTGAACTAGAACGCGCGTCAGTCTTTGCTATATATGTAGGGGCTTGGTGAACTTGTTCAAGTTGAGCGCTGTTCTGCGTTGCAGGGTGGCAGTTTCGTCACAGAGTCACGTATTGTGACGGCGACCTATTGTGATTTCGTCCTTGCGGCAAGGCAAGTAATTCCATCACCATCGTCCTTGACATCAAAGCGATTTAGGTTGTGAAATTTGCTGGTAGATTTGGGTGTATTCTCTCAAGCAACCTCCTCGTCGTCACCCGATGGCAGACGCGACCGGGAACTCGCATAACTCCATATCCTCTGAACTGGCGGGGTCGGACCTGTCCAACCTTTACGGTTCGATAGACAGAATCAAGTAAGCCTTGTGCACGCGTTCTCCTGGACGGCCGCTGTAACGAGCGAAGTGTGCACGGTTTGAACTTGACTGTGCCAGAGGACGCGCAAGCTGTGATCAAGCCGTGGGACGAGCGCGAAGATACGTCCAAGTCCGCCGAATCTGGCGTGGATGACCAGGTCCGGGTGAACTGCGTGTGCTGATTGATTTCCTGACCTCGTACGTCCCGTAGGTCATCATACACGTTCCGTTCACCCAAAATGTACGTGTAAAATCGGTGCTGCTCAAGCTGGGTAAGTGTTTCTAGACTCAAAGTGTGCGGATCGGGAACGTTTATATTACTGGGTGCGTCAGGCAGAGGTGAAGAGACTCCGCGCCGGCTACGAATATACGCGAATCACACCAACATAGTCGATTTCAACGAAGCCGAGGAAGTGACACCTCAGCTAAACATCAACCTTCTCGAGGGAGAAGTTGCCGTTACCGAATATCCCATGCGCAGTGCTGTGTTTGCGAATATTCATTCGCTATCACTGTTCTTCGTACGTCTCTTCACTCACGTCCAGGCATTCTTGTCAAATTGATACTCCTCCACAGTGTGATTCTGTTGGTGGGAACTCTCTCAGAATTTTTTACATTGGCTTTAGAGGAGACAGCCGAAACCAGCGCAAGGACGCTACCCAGAAGTTAGAGATCCCCGCTGCCAATGCTGCTGATGCGTCTTTGGTGGATCGAGTGTCCGAGAGATCTAGAGGCTCACAACAGCCAACAGCACGATGACAACTACATGTGTATTGTATCACCCGCTGCAATCATCTATCTGTTCACTCATACCTGAAAAAAAGGTGCATGGAAGTCCAGTGATCATACTTCCGGGTGATACTGTAACTATATATCAGTGACCCGGATATGCCGTAAGTGCCATACTTTTTTCTACAGCCCCGACCGATTGCCTCAAAAGTTATTCAGAGATGCTCTTATTCATTGCACTTCAACACTGTAAAAGTTTGAGAATTCAATGTGGCCATCTTGGGACCCATGAAAATCGGGATTGCAGGAGTGTATTTGCTGGTGCCACACCTCGGCATGTCTCCGAATGTTCAACACTACTCAGAAAGATCTGAAAAAAGGTCTGTAGCATTCTATGTGCTACAGAAACAATCTCTGAGATGCCGAAGACAATCGGGCAAGATGGCATGTGGTGGGACCAGAAGTGCCATATTATGGCACATCCGGGTCATCGATAAGTAGTAGTACTGTTTGCTTTGCACTCCTTGGGGCATGCAGGTCTCGATACATACTTCTAAATAGTTGTGCATCAAGGGCGGCCGCGCCGCCGCGGGCCACAGACGCGTAAGGGGTCACGTGATCTGGCGTTGAATGGCCACGCCTTGAACTCCCTTTGCCTTGTTCTCTCAATTTCCTCGCACTTTCCCCTCCATAGGCCGCCACATTTCCAAACTGCAGGCGAAATCGGGCCAGAGGTACTTGATTTTGGGCTGTATACCATTTTAGGGCCAAATAGCACGAAAACCAAGTCGGAGACTAGAGCACATCCACCAAACCGCGCCATCCTCTTTTTTCCCGCGACGAAGAGCGAAGAGAAACAAAGCAGATTAGACATAGAGACAGGGCGGGATGGAAGTAGTGCGTGGTGTTCCTTCTCACCCACATCAAATTTTCTGACGGCGCCACAGGACGAAACGGCCGACGGCTTGCTCACGCTGTTCGACATAACGCTCGAAAACTTTCCCTGGCGCCCGCCGGTCCCACAGGAGATTGAGGCGCGGCGCGTACAACTCGCAGATGTGCTTATTTTTGATATTCTGCTTGCCTCGGGTGGGATCCGGCATGCAAGCATACTCTACCCGCCCGCAGACGCGCACGCGCTGCAGCGCCTGCTCGATGCGATCGTCAGTTCGACGTACGACGCGCTCAAGCAGGACTGTCTTATCTATTTTTTGCTCAGATGGCATCGTGATGGGCGAGAGCAGCAGTTTATGAAGGACCGGTGCATTTCGCCACAGTTCGTGGCGCTTGCGGATGCGTACTGGTACTTGGATACGGGTATAGATGTTGGGGTGCGCACAGTTGGTTCATCATCCTTGGCTTTGCGTGACGGTGCATTCCAAATCAGAAAGGAATATCTCTGCTCGCCGACGCCCGGCTAAATAAAGACTACACGTCGAAGATCCTGCAAGTGCTGTCACTAACCGACACTCCCGGCGCGTTCATCCGCCAGTACGTCCGCACCGCGAAGCCACTGCTGACGGAGCCCGATGACATCGATGCGTACGCACTTGCGCTCGCGGAATCGAGCCTCATGGAGGCGTGGCAATACCAGCGGACATTTTCCGAGAAAACCGACACACGTCGGCAGCTTCTGCGGGGGATCCTGGACTGGTGCTTGACGCGTGAGTCCTTCTCAACCCATATAGAGACCCGTCGCTGACCACTCACACTTCTCACCTGGTACAGCAAGACCTCGCGCAACCCCGCTCAAGCACCTGCTAGCCTTCCCCTTCTCCGACTACGAACAATCCTCCGTCAACTCCTACGCGCTGAACCCGCCCGCAGGTCTCCCGCCACATTCTGTGTCCGCAATCCAGGACCTCGTATGCCTGCGCCTCGTGCAGAGCGGGCAATTCGCTGCGGCGATCGTGCTCGACCGCCGATTCTCCAACGTGTCCGGGTCCGGCGGCGTCGGTGACCGCAGCGAGCGCGCGGCGCACGAGCGCCGGCAGATGATGGACGAGCTCATGACGCTTATGCCCGCGGCTGAGCGGCTGCTGCTAGAGCTCGAGCTCGAGCAGCTCGCGCAGGGCAAGGGCGAACCCTCGCTTTCTGCATCCTGCAGCGCGTCACCGTGGACTACGCGCGCGAGCGACTTGAACATGTCCTGGGAAAACGTGCGTGCCCCGCTGGCCGCAAATGGTGCGAGTATATCTGCAGGGGCGAAAACCGCGCGCGTCGACAGTCCTCTCCCACCAATACCGCGCCGCTCTGGCGCGCCTCGGTTCGGCATGTCGGTTCCTGCACATCAGGCTGTACCCGATGACGACATGCTTCCTCCCCTCATACCCACCACACAAGCACCCCACATTCCAACATCCATCTCTGCCCCGCCAAAACCACCGATCTTCCACTCTACCTTCGCTCCCCGCAAATCGCTTGGAAGCACGCCCTTCGCGGGCCTCTCAAGCCAACCATTCGCTGCGGGACAGCCATTCTCCCCATTGCAAAATTCGCGAGGGCCTGCATTGCAGGCCCGCCCGGGCTCGCTGTTCGAGCTTGCGGGCAGCGCGAACCAGAAACCCAACGCGTTCTACCAGCCGCCGCCCCCTGCGACGGGTAAGCGGCCGTTCGGCCAGGACGCCCCGCGACCGGCTGTACCTCCCCCACCGCGTTCCGCACCACAGAAGGCCGTCACGCCCACACAGCCGGACGAGGACGTCACTATGGAGCCAGGAGAGCCTCCCGAGCACGTAGGAAACGGCAGCGCGCGCGCAGGCGAGCAGCATGCAGACGGCGAGCGCGTATCCGCCGAGTTCTCCGTGTCTGTGTTTTCACGTCCCCTCCCTCCGGACACTCTCGCGGACGACGAGAAGCCACGTCCTGCACAGCCTGAGCTCCGCCAGAAGTCAACGTCACTCATGCCGCCCGGCGCGTTTCTCCCGGATTCGGACGAGAGCGAGTCCGAGCGCCTGCCTACCCCAGTAGTGCCCGCACCCGCGCCCACGCATGCGCGCAGAAGAAAGCCGGAGCCGCGCACGCCTTCGCCCCCGTCGGCGCACACGCGCAGCGCGCGCCGCGGCTTGCGGCGGAGCATTCCGGGGGCTCTGATGCCAGACGACGGGGACGACGAAGAGGAAGAGGAAGAGGACACTGTCCCGCCGCTCCCACCAACCACCGCCCGCCGCCCGACTCGACGAGCGCGCGCACGTAGCAGCGCGGAGAGTGTCGACAGTCAGGATGATGAGCCCCCCACACCCGCGCGCCTGCGACGCTCGTCGCGGCTATCCGCGGCGCCAGCGCACGAGGAAGAGGTGGTTCCGGCGACACCTGCAAAGACAAGGAGACAAAGTACGCGTCCGTCGACTGGCACGACACCTGCGAAGACGGCTCGGAAGAAGCGGTGAATGCGGACGTATTGCGTGTTTTGATTGCTGTGTATACCTGGATTGAAATTTACAGTAGTATGTTAGTCTTTCCTTCACCCTGCAAATATTGATACCACACGGTTACGGGTGACGCTCAAAATCAACGTGGACTTACGAATTGGCTGCGAGCTTCTGGTCATCAAGTCGAGATGATAAGTCACGGACCATGAGAAAGCACAGAAATGAACAAGTACTTTGGGAAGTCGACTGCTCTGTTACAGCTGACGCCGACGCCACAGCGGTTGTTGATGGTTGTTGTCCAAAGGCTTCGACAGCCACGTGCTACGCTACACCTCCACAACGATGACGTTGCCAACAGGTACCTGCCTAGCGCCAAGGGCAGGCTGGACTCTGGAGTACATCACGCGCCTGTAGGAGCCACACCTTGGCGCGATCTCCGCTGCGCATTCTCCACACGCCATTGTGCATAAAGCTCGATGATTTGAGTTCTAGCGCATCTCAGAAACCCTCCTCAAACATCTCCGAGTCTTAACTGAAGTACCAAATAATTTCTCGCACAGCATGGGTATTTTTGGAAAGAACAACAACAAGGTATGCAGTAAATTGTCCGTCGCAAAGTTCTGGCGTTGACCAGGCAGATACAGAAGCAGGCCGACGCTAACCCAACGAACCCAATTAACCCAGCCAATGTAGGCCAAACTGGCCAATACGACAATGCTGGGACGGGTCAGTACGACAACGCAGGATCTGGCGTCGGGAACCAAGCACCTACAGATAATACACAGCCTGGCCCTCGCCACCACCATCACCATCAGCATGGCGGCGGCGGCGGCGGCGACCTCAACACCCGCGACTACGCCGGTGGACCTAACACCGGCTACGGTGCTGGAGGAAACCAGGGCAACATCGGAGGATATGTAAGTGACCCCTGACCTCCTCACATCTCCCACTTACTCAGCTTCACAGAATGCCGTCTCGGACCCGCACAACCAGCCCGTCGGGCAAAGTAGTGTCCCGCCAGCGGGCGCGATTAATGACGGCCCGCGCAGCAGCGGGGGTGGCGGGCGCACGGTCGGCCGCGTCGAGCAGGCGGTGGGTTCGATGGTGGGCAGCCAGGCGCTCAAGGAGAAGGGCCTCCTGAAGGAGCAGGAGGCCGGTGCGTTCAAGGCACAGAGCGCTGAGATAGGCGAGGCAGAACGCCTCGAGCGAGAGGCCGTCATGCGCCGCGAGCGCGCAGTCGCACACGGTGAGAGGGGTTTGTTGTCTAGAGGCCGGGAAAAGATTTTAATGCCTGTGATAGGTGCCCATCCAGACAACAAGTATCTCGGCGGAAGGCAGGGTGGCCCCACCGGTGGTTCTCGTGAAGAGCAGTATTAGAGCATTCCGACAATTTGAAGACCAAGACTAATGTAGTGCAGGTAGAGTCATTGTCGATAGGTCCTTGAATATTCCGAGAATCTGTGAGAGACTCCTTGATATGGTCGACGCGGCCATGATGCCTGGGCTGCGAATCCGGGACATCCATGCGCTCGCACTCAGGCAATTACAAAGGTAAGGTGTCCCTGACACAAGTTTCAATGGATTTTAGAGAAACTAAACAACTAGCAAGAGCTGTAAGTATGACTCAGGAAGGGATAAACCAGAGCCAGACCTCCCGACACGTATCCCACAAGGGAAGCTGAGAAGCGTCTCTACTTATACTTACAGGAGATATACCCTAGCTTGTAGTAATCACGTCGCTAAGTAGTTACCCGCACCGGTACTGACCTATAATGACGAAGCAATAAGAAATGCACCATTTACACTCGACCAATGTCAAGCAACTGACGCTCTACTACGTGCGCCATTGATTCTGGAAGCTGCTCGACCTCAGGCAGAATCCCTCCGGCACGAGACTTCACATGAAAAGTGCCGCGATAATGACATCCACCAATTATGATGTACTCCAAGGATGGAACATTTCCAGCTACCTGTCTTGCCAATCCTTGATAAGTAGAATCAAGGACATGCGAGGGTGCAGATATATATATCTCTCTCGTGCCAATCAATGACAGACCGACGAGCGACAGGGCACCCAGAAGGAGTGTGTGTTCCACCTGTGCCACAAAGGAGTTAGCACATCCATTTCGCGGGGATAACATGCGTGACCTAAACGCACAACAGCTCTTTCGAATAATCGATGCCGCAAACGTCGGAAGCCACCACGGAGAATTAAATACTGCACGTGAGGGGCTGCTTGTGCTATTTGCGTCAGGCATTCCGCTATGTCCGAGACGACGCATGACAGCACGATCGGAGAACAACGCTGGACATAGGACACGATATTAGGATATGACTCCCACTCATACAAGTCGAGGTGACGGGCACTGCATGGAAAGAGCGTAGCGTGGAAGGACCCAACGTGAATGCGATCCATATTCTCCCAGGCAATACTGTCCTCTTCACGCCAGGAGTATTCCGCAGAGACAGTTAGGTCTAGATAACGGACTGCGGGGAATGCATGCGACAGTTCGGAAAGGTCGACGCAACATCCCACCTCCAAAGTGTGAACCCAAGGCCAGACGAGACTGCCAGTATAGAATGAAGAATGACCGCTGATGCGGAGTACCTGCAAGGAATCGATGAAAGGGCGGAGCAGTAGGCCGTGGTTGTATCCACTCAAGTTAGAGAGATTGATTTCTCGGGGCCGGCTAGCCATCTTGGATAATAATTCGTACGTCTTGCATCCATCTGAGAACAATTCCAGGTATTGAACGCCAGGAGGTACCCGCAAAGCACCCGCAAGGACAGGATATGTCTCAAAAAAAGAGTCGGGCATCTGGACCGATATTGATTCAAGACGAGTAGCGCGCCGGACGACTTGGGACAAGGAGTATGTCGCGGCTCCAGACTGGGAGAGAGCAGAAGCATCCCAGATACTCAATCTTCTCAAGTGCAGTATACGACCTGGGGAATCTGCGAGCATGAAGTTGCAATATTGAAGAAGCCGATCAACGTCCCATGAGTTATGAATGAGGCGGAACTCTTCGAGCAGTCGTGGAAGCGCCGCAGCATAGACATTCCTGCACGTCCTCATGAAAGGAAAGAGTTTACGAGGATGGATGTTTGATATGATCTCCTGAATCACATCGTCATTCAGAACATCGAAGTACAATTTTTGTCCTTCCTCCTGTGTGAAACGGCGATCTGCAAAAGCGCTACAATGGTCATACAAACTTCAAAAGGACGTGCATGAAAGCTCGAACCTGTTGATACTTCCGTCATGATTGTGAACGCAAGCCCCTAGAGTTATAGCTGGACAGTCAGATATATGGGCTGAACTGCTCTGCGTGCAACGGCGTGAGCGACTGAGCTGAAGATAAGCAACTTGTTGACGAAGGCGCAGACAAGTTCAAGTTGTGCAACGCCACAAAGGTCACGGCGCTTCCAATGTTCCCAGCACGTGATGTTTTAACCACGCGAACGTATTCTTGCACATCACTCTCATTTTCAGCCAATTCCCTCTGCTCCTATCCCTACTTTTACTATGGATGATTTCACACCATTCTCACCCACTGACGACGGTTACATTGAATCTGAATTTTCCACTTACATCTCCCGTGCCCTTGTCGCAGCCATTAATGTGGACGACCGTACGTTTTTGCCTCTCCGAGCTCTTGCCTTGCCGATATACAACCCCGCCGCACCGCCGGAGCATCCATATATCCGGGCATCATCCGGGTATTCCGTCCTCGTGCAGCTATACGCTCGTTGCAGTCAACTGTACTTACGCTTCGCGCGCTTTGTGATATTGCCCCGTGGTGATCCATCTTGAGCATGCGCAGCGGGATTCAGGTAAACATCAGTCATGTTATCCTAAATTCTATGAAAATTCTGTGGACAGGGGCATGACGCAAGACTGCAGGCAGGAAGGTATATTAACTCCAGGACAGATAACACAGCATAAATCTCGAGACAACCACATCTACGAACTGCATCTGCTACCAAGACATCGGCAGAGACCTAGATTTCAAGTAAAGAAGCAACAACGATGCACCACTCATGAGCGACCTCTGTCGAGCAACTGCCGCTCTATGACGTGTCCCAAGGATTCCGAAAGCTGTTCTACTTCGGGCAGATTCCCTTCGGCACGGGACCGGACATGAAAAGTGCAACGGTAACGACGGCCACCGATGATGATGTACTCTAGGGATGGAATATTTGCAGCTACTTGTTTTGCCAATTCCTGATAGACAGAATCAAGAGCACGCGATGGTGTCGATGCATTTGTCGCGCCGACCAGCGATAGCCCAAAGAGTGACAGACCGCCTAGAAGGTGCATGTGTTCCGCCTGTGCCATGAAGGATGAGTTAGTACATCAATCTCGTCAGTATGGCATGTGTGATGTAAACGCACAAGGTCCTTTTCGAATAATCGGTTTCGGGAATGCTGGAAACTACCACGGATACTCAAAAACTGCACGTGGGAGGCTGCTTGTGCTATTTGTGCAAAGCATTCCCCTATATCCGTGACCATGCACGACAGCACAATCGGAGAACAACGCTGGACATACGACACAACATGAGGATATGATCCCCAGTTGCACAAGTCGAGACGACGAACATTGCACGGAAAGAGAGCGACGAGGGAGGAATCATAATGAATGTGATCCAGATCCATCCAGGCGATGTCTAGCTCATCACTCCAAGAGGGCGTGGCACCAAGACTGAGGACAAGACGACGGACAGCTGGGAATGCATGCGACAGCTGAGAGATGTCGACCAAACATCCTACCTCCAGGGTGTGAACTAAAGGCCAGACGAGGCTGCCAGTACGGAAAACCGAAAGACCACTAATGCGCAGCACTTGTAGGGAATTGACACAAGACTGGAGCAATTCATCGGGTTTGTATGGATTATCGAAGTGAGAAAGTACGATTTCTCGGGGATGGCTGGTCATCCTGGGTAGTACTTCGTATGCGCTGGGCAGATCTAACGACAAATCCAGGTATTGAAGATCAGGAAGAGCTCGCAAAGCATGTACTAGGCCGGGATATGATGCAAGGGAGCCGGTGGACATTTGGATTGATAGCGATTGAAGGTGAGTGGCGTGCCGAATGACGATTGCCAAGGATGCCGTACTACCAGAGTGAAAACAATCGTTCAAGATAGTCAATTTCTTCAAGTGCGGTATACGATCTGAGGGCTTTGCGAGCATGAAATCACAGTACTTGTAGAGCCTCCGGGTACCCCAGGAGCTATAACTGAGACGGAGCTCGGAGAGCAGTCGAGGAAGAGCTGCAGTGTAGAAATTCTTGCAACTCATCATGAAAGGAAAGACTTTCTGTGGCTCAATGTAGGATATGATCTCGTCAAGAATATCATCGTTCAGAGGGTCCATGAAACTCGCGGGCTTCTGCACAAAACGGAGACGCGCCAAACAATGAGTCTGTAAGGTATCGATGAAGAGGACGGAGGCTCACTTGTCAGTTCCTTTAATTGAATTTATCCACCTTGGGAGCGGTGAGTATCGCGTATCGTATATGAAAACTACACCGGGGCCTACAGTACTATATCGTACTGTTCAGCGTTACAGTGTCGGGAGTCAACTTGAACACCCTGAGTTGACTGTGACTGATAAAGTTCCCAGCACGTGGTCGCGCAACAACAATGTGACACTTAGTGAGTTAACCCCCAGACAAATCACAGAAAGCCTCAGAAAAATGTGTATCATTTTCAAGGCAGCTGTAAGGTATACGTTTTGGATCACTAGAGTACACACAAATTGCAAGCCAGCCTGCCACAGTCCATGCGTCATAACCTGCAGAGAGAGCCCGAACGAAGGGAGGTATGCAGAAATGTCAGGTCCGCGAATGCGAGTGGTGCGGAAGAAACTACTCTAATCTGTCCATTCAGCGCAGCTGGAGTCCGTCGTGGGTGATCGCATATACAGTTCGCCTTACTGGGTCCCCCTTCCCCCGGTCTCGTCCTCTAACCCGAAACAACGACGCGTCTACTCGGTGGTGACAGACTTCGCGCTGGATCGACAAGTAATCAGCGCCAAGCCCAAAGAAATGCAGAGAAGTAGACGTAGAAACACTCACAGGTTCCGTGGGAAATCGACGTCGAACCCATTTCTAACAGCAAGGTGGTAGCTGAGAAGCTGGAGGGGGATGATGTTGAGGAGGCCCTGCAGGCAGTCGACAGTGCGCGGGACGCGGATCGTTTTGCAGCCAGTGGGGATCCCGTCGTCGTCCTCGTTGCACACCACGATTGGCTGCGCCTTGCGCGCCGTGATCTGCGCATACGCGGACTGCACCTTGGGGTACAGCGAATCCTGCGTCATCACGATGATCACCGGCATGTTCTCGTCGATCAGCGCGAGCGGCCCATGCTTCAACTCGCCAGCGAGGATCCCCTCCGAGTGCATGTACGAGATTTCCTTAATCTTTAACGCGCCCTCAAGGCACGTCGCATACCTACAAAGGTCATCACCGTTAGCACGAGTGCAGGGGCGAAATGTGACGGATGACGCACTGATATCCTCTGCCCATGATGAGCAGACTGCGCTGGTTAGCGAGCACGCCAGTGGCTAGTTCCTGCAGGCCCTTGTCGCCCTCAAGCACCTTCTTGATCTGCCCTGGCAGCTTGTGCAGGCCCTCGATGATCTGCGTACGGCGCTCGGTCAGCGAGATGCGGTCCTCGGAGAGCTGGAGCGCTATCATGATGAGGGCAATGTACTGCGACGTGTATGCCTGAAACACAGAGGTTGAGCGTGTGATTCACGAGAAGCGGCGCATATAGCGACTCACCTTGGTCGACGCGACACCGATCTCCGGGCCTGCGTTGATATGCACACCGCAGTGTGTCTCGCGCGAGATCGTGGAGCCGACGGTGTTGACGACACCCACACAGAGCGCACCGCGCTCAAGGCAGTATCGCAGGGCAAGGATCGTATCGGCGGTCTCACCGCTCTGGCTGACGAACACACACACGTCGTCACGGAAAATGGGCGTCTTGCGGTCAAGGAAGTCCGACGCAAGCTCCACGCTGACCGGGATCTCCGTGAGCTCCTCAAAGATCGCGCGCGTCGCAATCGCGGAGTGGTAGCTCGTGCCGCACGCGCAGAATACAATGCGGCGCCCGCGGCGGATGATGTTGAGGTATGCGCGCAACCCGCCGAGCGTGATGACGTTCTTGTCGAAGTTGACGCGACCACGCATCGTGTTGACGACGGACTCGGGCTGCTCGTAGATCTCCTTCTGCATGAAGTGGTCGAACTTGCCTTTCATGATCTCCGCGAGTTCGAGCTCGAGCGTCTCGATCGTGCGGTGCGACGGCGGAGGCGCACCGCCCGGCGTCGACGACGAACGCAGCCGGTGAATGTGCAGCTCGCCCTCGGCGATGTGCGCGATGTCGTCGTCCTCGAGGTACAACACCCGCTTCGTGTGCTCGATGATCGCCGACGCGTCCGACGCGACGAAAAACTCGATCGGCTGCGGCATCCCGTCTTCCGACATGAATGCGCGCGACTGCGAGCGCAGCAGGTTAGGGCCGTGCTGCGTGGGCGGCGCGAGTAGCGTGCTGGTGGCGGCGGTTGACGGCACTGAGTAGATGCGTCAGAACACGTGCGTCACCAAGTTCTGTACACACTTACGAGCATCCATTTTCTCTCCCTCAGGGCCGGAGACTTCGACATCGACGAAGTCGACCTTGAGCTTCTTTTCGGTCTTCACACCAATCAGTAAAGGCGAACCGCGACGGGCGGTGACGACCTCGTTGGGGTAGTGAGACGACTTGAATACAAACGCGAAAGAGCCCTCGAGCTCCTTCAGCACTGTCTTGATCAGCTCCGTGAACGACATGCGCTTGTCGGGTTGCGAGTCATAGATATACTTGGTGAGGATTGCGACGGCCTCCGTGTCGGTCTCGCTCTCGAACTTGTACCCGCGCTTCTGGAGGACGAGCCTGAGCGCGGCGGAGTTGGTGACAATGCCATTGTGCACGACGGTGAACTCGGCCTTTGGGTCAGACTTGAGCGGGTGGCAGTTTACGATGGACGGGGGACCATGCGTCGCCCAGCGGGTGTGCGCGATGGACACCTGCGAGAGGAATGTCTTGGTCGTGTCGACGTTCGACTCCGCGATACGCTTTCGCAATCCGGCGACCTTGCCAACCTCCTTGAAGAAGAGCATCTCTCCCGGCTTGTCGCCATCGATGCCGATGCCTGCGGAGTCGTAGCCGCGGTACTCCTGTCTTGCGAGGCCATTGACGAGGATCTCACAGATAGTCTTCCGATCCTGGAGTGACGGCGCATCAGCACGGTCAGGTCAAAGGGCAGACGATCATTATATGCGTGTCGCGGCAGCGTGTTCACGATGACGACGCGCTCCAAAGTGGACGATCAGCGAAACGAGGTAAACAAGCCTCCTTCTCGATGACGTTCGGACAACGGCTATGAGGCACGTTCTTCGCCGGTCATAGGTATGCGCTCTAGAACACTTCTGCTCCGCGCGTCGTACCATTGACTGCAACAGAATGATGTCCAGCAGCAACAGACAGCATAACTGATGCGAATGCTTGTTATCCTGAGCATGCCCGATGTGGCAGTAACACAGGCGCACGACATCGCCAGCCACCTCACAGACGTCGTCCCATCGCGTCCGCTTGAACCGCGGCATCTGTACTCTCTCGTCGCCACCGTACCCACACGCGATGCAATGAAACAAGCGACCAGAGACTAACCTTCTCCTGAAGGTAACTGCAATAAGCGAAGATTCCGCACATCGTGAATGTCTAGCCTGTACATTGATAACAGTTAGCTGAGCTAGACGCGAGAGACGACGAGCACGCACGTAGTAAAGGACTGAACAAGGAGACGGAACTGGTATGGAGATGGAAATGAGCGGCGAGAGATATAAGTAACCGGGCAAGGGCGGGATTTGGCTGTGCTTGGTTCTGGGTAATTCCGCCGAGCGCTAAAGATTGCGGCCGCTGGCGGCTGAGCTGTGTCGCCGACCTGTGCTCAGCAACCGGCTGCAGATCCCTCTTTCCTGTTCCCCCTCGTCACTCTGGTTTTAGATATAGCTCACTGCCTCGTTGACATTGCAGAGCATGTTCCTGCAGGGTATTGGGTTCGAACGGAACACACTGCTTCAAGGGTATGTGGCTGGCGGCTTTTGCTCGCATCATGTACATCCACGCTAACGGCGGGCAGCCAGCGGCCATCCAATGCCGCCCACCAGACTTCAGTTACTAAAATAAAACTCGCGCGTATGCTGCTTCTTCTTCGCACAACGGCGATGGTCATTCTATATCTCCGTCTCCCGACTTCCAGTCCGCGAATATTGTTATGTCGAGAACATACTGGCGAACCTACCCTCGTCTCTCCTCATACCTAGGGTATGTATTATACACTCTTTGTCATTGTCAATGTCCTTCGCTACCTGATGGTTCCCGCGCAATCGTGTTTCCCCAGACAGTTCTCCGGCACCGATCAGAATTGCTGTTCTTCGCTACCCGGCGCTCCTCCGTAGAACCTTGTCATGTTCCCTCGCGTGCGGACGTCCTCCCCTTTGAGAATCCTCTAGGAACGGCACGCAGCATGATGGACGTGATACCTCCGAGCGTATGTCGCCTACCTGGTCCTTAGTTCCTCCGTCTGTCACACCCGTGCGCCTGACGGTGACTTGTTCTATGCCCCTGGTGGTTGGAAAGCCCTCCAGCCCGGACTCGTTTACACCGGAACCTTAGGAGGTTCCAGCCGCAACGGCGGGCGCACATTCAGTACAAACTCGCAGACTTGGGGGATCAATTTGGGTGCGCACGATGGAACTTAGTTTGATAGTGGCTTTTGGCATTAGTGATGCTGCTTGCTGTTGAGCGCTGTGCATCGCGAGTATGCACCAATCAGTACTCGCACGTTTCGTTCGTTGGCAGAATCCTCTCATCTGCTCTTTGGTCTTTCCTCTGTATTCATCGGTCATGGTTACAGTGACTTCAGATGAATGTTCAGTTTGTTCTGTCGTAGCAAAGAGTTCAAGTCGGATCGTGGATGGCACCCGCACTGTCTACCAACACTTCGTGTCTCGGTAGTGCTCGACTATTTTTCTTCGGTTTTACATAAATGCTGTGGATGGCGCTGCGCCGTCATCGACGCTGTCAGTCTCCTTCGAATGACTCCAGCTGACATTACAACTCCACCGTAGCGGGTGGATAGACTTTCGTCACATATCTACGCAGCTTCTCTGAGTTCAACTTGAAGTTCTCAAGTTGTTTAAAGGCTTGGATTTGGCCTCACACCGCGAACGATGCTTTGTTTTCAGAGATGGTCCTTGCGAGTTAAACCCAAGGATTTTGTGCCCAGAGGGCTACACCCCGCTCATACATGTATCGTCTTATCAGATAGAATAAGGTTTGAGAAGGTAATTGTAATTGGTCCATTGACGTTCTGATTCCAGAACGACTGCCTGACTGTCCCTGTTGACAGACTCTGCCACCAGCCACCAGTTCGCTGACCGTCTATGATGCCTCGCACAGTGGTCGGGTATCCACCAGTGGCACGTCGGTCAAAATTTGACCACCGAATCTCGAAGGTTTGAACAAGTAAGTGACATCCGTTCACTATAACGAAGACCTTGGAATAATCATGAAAGTCAAGACTTACTAGTACCTTCCCAGCTTCACTTGGGACGTAGCAGCTCACCGTCTCATCAGGCTCATTAGTTAGGGAGTATTCTTCAGGTTTCCTTCCCTTACAAACAATGTTGATCTCGAAGCCGTTGTACAGTGTCTCTCCAGGGTATTAGACGGATGGTAGTCGCGGTTAATGTTGTTGCCACGAATATTGTGACCAAACTCGTACATGACACCAAATGCGTCATTCAAATATTCATGATGTTTTCTTCGCTGTCTGCTGAAAGCAAGATATTATTGTGCATGTTATACACAGGCATACATATATAGCACTTGCAAGTGTGCCATTTCTCCAGAACGATCATAATGGATAAATATTCTATCAGTATCGAGGACTAAGTTGCGGCGGACGAGCCGCAACCGTATCAGACTTGTATGCAATTGAGAGTGGGCGAGGATCACCTCAAATGCGACTCAGAATAACAATCGGCATCTCGGTGAAAATGAAAACATCATAACCCATTCTAACTCAATCATCCAGTGTTAAATCCACTACCTCAGGCTCCCAATCTCTGACCTTGAGGCATCCGGGTCTCGGCTTTTCTTCCTTCTTTACAGCCTGTAATGATGGCTTGCTACCACCAGCCACATTTCCGGTGAACCTCGCAATCTTACTTTGAATGACTTCCAGCTGTTGTTGGACACCGCTCAGCTGCCTCTGTTGTTTGGTTTCACAGTCATTCCTACATGACCGAGAGCACGCCAATGAACGAGGCTTACCACTAGAGACACTAATTCTTCTGCTTCTGACGTGTTTGTATTCATGTCCTGGGAATTGAGAATTTCCGGGCTCGCTGGCCATTCTTGGACTTGTAAGGGTCTACCAAGCATTGGCTTGATATCATTCGTGTGCGCATCTCCGTGCTCGGCCGCAGCCGGCGCTCCAGTATGCACGCCTTCTTGTGACGATGTGGCCTCATTCCGACGCTTGGGACGCGGTCCAAGGTCGTCATCAGCCGCTCGTGCACGCTTTCTGCCCCTTACAGAATTGAGGGAATGGCTGCGATCCTTCTGGCTATGCATGTTCGTGGACGAGGTCTGACTGATGCCGGTTTCCAAATCGGCTGAATCGGATGTCCGTTCGTCAAGATCCTCTGCAGGCGCGGGGATGATGCCTTGTGCTTGTAGTATTGCTAATGGAAAAGATAGATATCATCAACGTCCATAGAATTGTTTATCCATGGAGATACGCAGAAACATACCTCGAGGTCTGTACCTAAATATGAATTTGAGGTACGGCATGGTCTTTGCATCCAGATATTCTGGGTGCCAATGCTTATAGGCTTCAGCATCAATGGTATCCCCCATCCTGTGAAGAAACAGTACAGATATTAGCAGCATGGCCATGTTAGTGGAACAAACAGCGTACGTTATGCAATGAGTACCCTGCTTTTTGCTTTTTTCGTGCAGCGTAATAACGTCAGGAAAGGTGGTGGGTTTGGAAAAAGGGGACATCCTTTTTTTCTTGACTCTACAGATGTGCACAGCTATTACACCAAGGTCCACTATGACATTCTCGGCAAATGATGCAGCATCATCATCTTAGGAAAAAAATTGAGAGGGTTAACCAGGCATGCAGGAATGGGCTCATTGATTACAGTACCAGTGGTGTGAACCTCTGCGAATTGGTACAGTCGTTTAGAATTCACGGACGTCCTCAGACCGTCACGGTAACCCGATTCTCCCGGCATACACCCAGAGTTGCCGCCTCGACGGCCATCCAAAAGACAACGTACAGCACAAAAATGAGAGATCCCGTGCGGCATCTTCCAGTGAATCTTGAAATTCTACAGGGCAAAAAAAGACTTAAAACTGAGAGTCTGATGCGGAGGTGCATACTATGAAATCTCACCTTTCCAGCTTCGCTAGGGATGTAGCACGACACTGTCCTATCATCTACTACCTCCACGGAATACTCGTCAAGAGCCTTGCCTTCACAACGGATTTCAACATCGAACGCGCGGTGACGCATGGATACTAGTAGCAACTTGAACCCGACTTCACGGTACTAAGACGATCAATCTGCCCAGTCACGCATCACAGCAATTTTCAGAGACCAACTCTTGCTTACCAGGGTTATTCCCTTGATTAAGGAAAGTAAAGGAGATAGCCCTGTAAGAAATATTGACTGCAAATACACTATTTGAAATTTTAAAGATTTTTCGGGTGTTGGCCGGATTAATGGTCGTTTTAGTACAGTAGTGTGACGGCAGGAGACCCCCCGATTAGGCCTGATCCGAGGGTAAATTGTTTTAATGTCCGTTCGGAAAAGGCCATTTTTGGCCCAAAATGTCCGTGGAAAATGAGGCCTCACCACTTTTTTTTTGCCTCCGCGTTTCTTCTCAGGTAGCGTTGGTTTCTAACCCATGCATCTCAGTCCCGGTGTCTTCATCGTTGTTCTGCATCATGCTGGACAATAGCTGCGAGCAATACTTCAGTGTTACGAGGCTTTTAGGCAGTTTGTGGCCTATAGTAATGATTGGCAGTCACCTTCCATTGCTCGCAAGTCAATGTTACCATGCCCCTCATTTAAGCGGCACTTTGTCATTTCGAATGCGAACGTCGATCTATCCCGCCGAAATCAAATTTCTCCTTACAAAGAACGTGGCCCAGAGAATACCTGGTCTGTATTTGTAGTACTGGGGTTGTGCGAGTTGCCCTGGCCTCTGTAATTCACGTCAGTAGTTGACAAAATGTCATCTTTTTATATAAGATACTCCTCAGAAGAGATTTGTAGAGGATAACATCCACCAAAAAGATGAAGTTATCATAGTGGTTGGAAGGACCCATCAACGGTGCAACACTCCCCAGCGTCCGCACTGATTAATGATTAAGATCTTCTGTGCCATCTCTGCAGACGTCCAGCTAATCCTTGTAGAACGTGCCACCTGAGCCAGAGATGGAGGGACAGTGAGGAGACCCCAGTAAATAGAGGTTAATAGATTTAATTACCAAGTCTAAACGAACACAGTGCCAAGGCCTCAAGCTTCAAGTGGCTGACTCGCGCAAGCCCTGGTCTGCACCGTAACCTGCCTCGTCGAAAGCAGCGTTGTGAATACTTAGTGAGCAGCCGTCGAGGATAGCAGCCTATCGTCCTCCTTCCTCGACCAATAGTATCTGGCTGTTCACTAGGTAAGACCCTGGTCATGATTCGCTCGTCCTCGCGACCTGACGTTTTTCTCTGGCTGCTCGCTAGTCTTTTCGGGAGGCCTGCGTCCTGGTACATCTCGTGCCAGTGTTGACCTGAGTGCACCCGGAGATTAGTATGAGGATGTACTGCGCTAAATGAAGATGCTGAAGTTTTGGAAACGCCAATTATCAGTAGCCAAGTTCTGCAACCATTGTTTCTATAGCATTAAATTAACCCCAAACCTCGACTGGACCGTATTCGTCTAAGTCAGTATGCCTTTTGCAACTCAGAACCTGAGATCCTCGGGCTACTCAAACCGGCGCGGGGTGCTAGGCACGAGCGCCCACAAACAGAACATGAAGCACATCATGGACACAAGCCTACAACATATCATGAAGAGCGCAGGCAGAGACTCAAAACATGTGAACGCACAACGGCTGCAGACTCTTGATACCTTCGCGTGACGCCAGCAGCCCAGCCAGGAGTGGGAAAAAAGCGGAGCCTGCCTGTCCGAAGCCAGCAATCCATCCGATACACCCAGTGAGAAGCCACGGCGGAAGTATGCGCCCGGAATGGTTCATGACGATCGGGTAGATGGGCCCGAGGAACATGCCTACAAAAGACACTGCAACGGCGCCCCCGATCAGGGAGGGCACGAGCCATACGACGAGTTCGAGACTGCGGGTGGCGCAAAAGGTCAAGTACAGGAGATGCAAGCAGAAGATGGACGTACGCGATAGCCAGAAGCATGTAGAGGAATATTACGCGGCGTTCACCAATCTGAAACGATGATTGTCAGGGTGCTGACAGCGAGAGAAACGAGCCTCTAACCAGTTTGTTCAGCCAGAGTAGGGCCACCCGACCCAGGGTAAGTCCTATTGATGCACAACGTTAGCTACGCTACTGGAAAATATTTGAATTGCAATTTACCGCCAAAGAATCCGGAGGAAATGTAGCCAGAAGACGGACCGCCTTCACGTACATTGATAATGAAAGTAACGATCCAGCCTGCCAGAGCAGAGAAACTTTTAAGACATGACACGCTCTGGTACGAAGTTGAGGACTTCACCTCCTATGGTTACTTCAACACCGACGTAGACTAGGATGAAGAATGCCAGAAGGTGCAGTGGCCGCAAACGGAAAATTTGCTTGTACTTGCTGTCTTCGCTGTTTGACAGTGCTGAGTGGTCGGCAGGGGCCTGTCCTATGTCTGCTAGGCACTCTGGAAGTAGAAATTCACCAATTTATGATACTAAGGTGTGGATTGTGCGATTTACCGTCTTGTGTTCTGAATCGGATAACGGCGATCAAAAAGACGGTATTCGCAAGAGCTATGCCGAGCGACACTAGGTAATGAAGGGACCACCGAGGAAGCTGCGAGAATTGTGTCGACACAAGGGGTGACGACAGCGCACCTACGCCTGTTAGACAGACAATGATGTGGTGCCGGCGATTGATATTAGTTCACGAAACCTACCGTACACGGCGTGCAATATGCCCATCCGTGTTGCTGAGTTGTGGGCAAGGCTGGCAACATAGCCGTTTGCGCCTGCATCCTGAAATGCGGATCCATAAACGAGAAGATATGGTGAGGAAACGAGAGTCAAACTACCTGCAGGGCTAAGCCGAACCCGTTGACGGCGTAACCCATGACGAAGACCGGGAAGGGTGGTGCTGGGGCTTCGAGCGCATATCCTATCACTTGGGCAACCGATCCTGTGACAGTACTGTGTTCATATGACTGTAGCGATACGCCGAGAGTATTTGTAAACCTATCACCATCACCTATGTGAATTAATCACCACAGTGAGCGTGTATGGAGTTGGACAATCTAATGATGACATACAATTCCAAAACCAAATTTATCAGTGAGTGCGACATTTGCAGCCGCCGCAACTACGAATCCCTAGATAGCAGACGTGAATATTATTCTGGATATACGCACGACATTACTGAATACTACCACGCAGTTGAACACAAAAATCAATGATACCAGAGCGAATCCGACCTATTCATCTCAACGACCGCAATTTCAACAAGGTATATTGGCTCAAGCTCACATTATACACTTTCTGTATGCGCGGGAGTAGCGGACCAGTAGTGCCATCGTTCCAACCAGCGAGAAACAGACACAAACACATGGCTGCGAACTGGATGTTCGCCTTATAATGATTTATGCGTCCTGGAGGCAAAGTGGGTTCGATAGAGCCTGTATTGCTGCCCTCTGCATCCTCCTCTTTTGCTGATTTGACTTCACCGATCTCCGCCATCTCCACAGACATTGAGTCTTCATTCGGCATGGGTTTCGAGAGTTTCGGAGCAGACGGGTAAGGTGACCGGGAGCGCACAGAGATTGTGCGCGCGTTAACGTCCATGTCCCACTTGGAAGAAAACAGAGAGACGCTTCAGCGATTCGGGATGAGCATCGCGGGGATGGATATCGTAAACGTGCATGTGACACTCGCAACGTTCTCGCCAATTTAACTCGTTTTCTCGGTTTCTCGTCTAGCTCAGCCACTCTTCAACAGGGAGCACGAGGGCGTGGTAGTGCTCAGGCTCCTAAAACCATCCGTCGCTATAGCGTTCTCGCTCCTACATCCCAACATATGTTTTAAATGATCATGTGACATATGTTTTATGCGACTTACCTGTTTGAGAGACTATTGCCGGAAAAGGATAGCCGAACGAGAGGAGGAGAACGCTATAGGACGGCTGGCCAAACTGGTCGTCCGAGGATACGCCGAGCGCGCATACCTAGAGTTTCCCGCTGGAAATCTCGAATAAACCCTAGCATGGGTCTTGTTGTCTGCAACGCGCGCGACCCAAATTCGGCGTTCGCGTAGTGCTCGTCGTGCGCCGCCCCTCGCGCAATGTTGTCGATTCGGGGCATGGGAGCACGGCACGGCTTAAAATTTTCAATTGATAGACCACCAAGTTGTCTAATCCTCGCTCTGAGGTCACCCTCAACCTGCGAGCCTCTAAGTTGATGTGTCGCACTAGTACTTGATTTTTTGCAGCTCGGGACCCTGCACTTACAACCAGAGCATTCCTATTAATTTCTAAGACAACCACACTGTACTTTGGCTTTACAACATATCTCTACAATGCTACACGAGGGGGAGCACTACGCGAACGCCGAATTTGGGTCGCGCGCGTTGCAGACAACAAGACCCATGCTAGGGTTTATTCGAGATTTCCAGCGGGAAACTCTAGGTATGCGCGCTCGGCGTATCCTCGGACGACCAGTTTGGCCAGCCGTCCTATAGCGTTCTCCTCCTCTCGTTCGGCTATCCTTTTCCGGCAATAGTCTCTCAAACAGGTAAGTCGCATAAAACATATGTCACATGATCATTTAAAACATATGTTGGGATGTAGGAGCGAGAACGCTATAGCGACGGATGGTTTTAGGAGCCTGGGTAGTGCTGTGTCCAGGCGCAACTAGGTGCAAGATTTTAATTCGCGACACTGGACGAGGCCAGTGACTAGTGACTGGGAGCAGGCAACACCTTGAGTTGATGGTGAATTTATCGAGTCTGTGATCTGACTACAAGAAACAGTTTAATTAGACGTCCCTCGCCCACTACGCAGTATGCAGTAATCCCGATAATTATCCGCTGCTGTGCGAGAGGGCATCTCCACGACGCGCTATTTTCCCCTCGAAACATATAGTCATGACTAATGCGAAGACGAGGCTGAGGTTACAAGGAGATAACAGCTGGCCCTTGGTCAACAATATATGATGGTGAAGCTTGAATGTGGGTGGAATTAAGTCACACGACTGTCTCTGGATGCGAAGCGAGCACGCCAGTCTGGGAGGGGAAGAATGCAGTGACTGCCTGGCCGAAGCCTGCGATACAGCCGATGCACCCTGCCAGGAGTCATGGCCGGAGTACATCCCCAAGGGAATTCATCACGATAGAGTAGGCGGGCTCAGGGAGCATTCCGACGAAACATACCGCAACCGTGCGGCCGATCAGAGAAGGCACCAGCCATATGATGAGCTTCAGACTGCAACGAGAGGTAAGTACTCAATAACGAGGTAACCATAAATACCCGATAGCGAAGATGACACGACGTTCGCCGGCCTAGACAGATATTCAGAGGAGCGGCGTTGACAGAGCGAAACAAACCAGCTTGCTCAGTCATAATAATGCTACCCGACCCAGAGTAAGTCCTGTCAAAGGCTTGGCATGAGTTATGCGGTCGTCTTGTAAGGCGATCCAAAATGGGTGCTTACTGCCGGATAACGCTGAGGAAATGTATCCGGAACAGGGACCACCATCTCGCACGTTGACCATGAAACTCACGATCCAACCTGAATAGACAGGGCTGCTAAAATATGCCATGAAAAGGACAAGGCTCACCTCCTACGATTACTTCTACACCGACGTAAACCAAGACAGGAAGGCTAACAGATACAGCGGCGCAAACGGAAGGTCAACTGTACTTGTCGTCCAATCTCAGGCCCGGGCTGAGGATGGGAATATTGTCAAACAATATTCCCAAGGCACTCTGGTAGAAAATATGTTAACACTAGGGTAGTGACTTGACATACTGAGAAATCGCCGTCAAGAATGTAAGAAGTTATTTACGCGTGGTTGTGGTGGAACATGATAAGAACATACCAACCTTCTTCTGAGAGGCTGAGACCTGAAAACGGGAAAACATGAGTGACGTGTCGTGTCACGTTTCACTTCACCGCTTCGTTCCTTTCCTCCATTTTACTCAAGTCCTTTTCTTTCATCTCGTCAGAAGATGGCGTCACCTTCACAGCAGTTGCCGCCAGGTTGGGCTGCAGAATGGTTGGTCTCCCGCGCACGAGTCCGTGTAACATTCTGAAGCAGTCTTAGGGACGCAAACAACCAGCGGTACCTCTTCATCGGTGCGTGTTATATCTCCACAGTTGTGAATGTAGATGATAACGGAAATGTAGAAACCGCTACCGGACGTTCGCAATGGGAAGTGCCTGTCGCAGGAGTTGCAGGGCCGGACGGTCCTATAGACTCACCATCCGCATCTCCTCCCCCGACGAACCCACAACATCACGCGAAGCGCCGTCAATACGCTGCTGGCCAGACGCAAGCTTACTATGGAAGTGCTGATGGTTTGGGTCCCACGGCATACGGGACTGCGCCCCAACAGCCGCAGCAACCAACGCAATTGTTCACCCCAGGGCTCGCGGTGGAGAACCAGTTCCAGCAACAGCAGCAGATGCAGATGCAGGGCGCGCAGGCCTCGTACTTCTCTGGGGCGCAAGCCGAACCAGAGTACATCAATGCGCCCGGGTTCGGCCAGCCACAGGCGCCGGTGGGCGCGCTGGCGGACCAGTTCGGGCAGATGAACATGGGGCAGAAATCGCTGCGGTTGTATACGACAAACCTGTTGACGGCACCACCGGACCCACGAGAGCTGCAGCGGTCACCGCCGGACATCTGCTTGCCACCGAACGCGTGCATCTCGCCGTCGCCGTACGCGAACGCACCCGCGTCGTACCAACGGTCCACGTTGAATGCGATCCCGGTGTCGAGCTCGCTGCTGAACAAGTCGAAAATTCCGCTCGCGCTCATCATCACGCCCTATCGGTCGCTCAAGGAGGGAGACGACCCGGTACCGGTCGTGTCGGACACAGTTATAGCGCGTTGCAGACGATGCAGGACGTACATCAATCCGTACGTGCAGTTCATTGACGGAGGTAACCGGTGAGTGCATACCGAGGTCCCTGTAAAGCGCTCTCACAGTTGACGGGTGATAGCTGGCGATGCTGTATGTGCAACATGTCGAATGAAGTTCCACAGTTGTTCGACTGGGATCAAGTCCGGAATCAACCTGGAGATAGGTGGGCGCGTGCAGAGCTGAACCATGCAGTCGTCGAATTCGTCGCGCCTACAGAATACATGGTTCGACCCCCCCAACCGGCGGTGTACGTGTTTTTGATTGACGTCAGTCATGCTGCTGTTCAATCTGGCATGGTGGCTACTGCGACACGCACTATACTTGAGAACCTTGACCGCATTCCGAACGAGGATAACAGGACCAAGGTCGCGATTGTCGCCTTTGATGTTTCGCTGTACTTCTTCTCATTGCCAGTAAGCTATTTCCGCATACATATATTATGTGCTTGTCCTAAGGTACGACAGGCTGGTTCGAGCGAGTCATCCATGCTCGTCGTCTCCGACATTGAAGACGTTTTCTTACCGAAGCCAACCGATCTTCTCATCAACCTCACAGATTCTCGCCTAGCTCTTGAGGCGCTCCTCGGCAGGCTCAGTGATATGTTCCAAGACAACCACACCATTGGAAGTGCATTGGGCCCTGCGCTGCAGGCTGGTTTCAAGTTGATGGTCTGTGTCATATTGTTGCTGCATCTTCTGAATTTCTAAGCTTCTGCAAAGGCTCCTATTGGTGGCAAGATCATGGTCCTCACGTCCAGTCTGCCCACCCTGGGCGCTGGCGCCCTGAAGAACAGGGAAGACCCGAAGATCCTTGGCACTAGCAAGGTGGGTATCCTGGTTGTTGAAGTGTTGTACCCTAACGCGACTGCAATCATAGGAGTCGGGGCTTCTACAAGCCGCATCACCCTTCTACAAAACGTTTGCCATTGAGTGCTCGAGGGCCCAAGTGTCCGTCGATATGTTCCTTTTTAGCGCCGCGTACCAGGATGTTGCAACCCTCGGTAAGCTTGAGCATAACCTCAAATGATGTCTTGATATCTGACTACGTCGTTCTCTCCTCAGCTTGCCTGCCTCATTACACCTCTGGTCAGACCTACTTCTATCCTGCGTTTAACGCCTCCCGCCCCGAAGATGCTGTTAAGTTCGCGCACGAGTTTGGAGAGGTCTTGGCTATGCCGATCATGCTGGAGGCTGTCATGCGTGTTCGTGCATCAAAAAGTATGTTTCTCAAGTATGCGCATTTACTCCAGAAGTATTGACGGCTGCTGTGTTAGACCTGCGTATGTCGTCGTTCCACGGCAACTTCTTTGTTCGCTCTACGGACCTACTCGCCATGCCTGCCGTTCCTCAGGACCAGTCGTATGCTATCGAGGTGCAGATCGAGGACACCATAACTGCACCCTTCGTCGTGTTCCAGACGGCCGTATTGCACACGACATGCTACGGTGAGCGGACAACATATATATCTTCCTAGTTGTATACTGATCTCAAGTGGTATATCAGGCGAGCGCCGCATACGTGTCATCACGCTCGGGCTGCCCACTACGAACAACCTCTCTGATGTCTTCGCTTCCGCAGATCAAGTCGCACTTGCGACCCTGCTCGCGAACAAGGCGGTCGAGCGCTCCCTCACACACAAGCTCGAGGACGCTCGCGATGCGCTCATGGCGAAGATGGTTGACATCCTCACCGCATTCAAGGCAAACATGACCGCTGGCGGTGCAGGCGTTAGTGCGCAGTTGGCAATCTCGGAGAACCTGAAGATGCTACCTGTCCTTGTCCTTGGTCTACTGAAAAACGTGAGTGAAAGTATCCTGTAGGCAGTCTTTTTTTGCTCATCTGATGTTTAGGTTGGGATTCGGCAAAGCGCCCAGATTCCTCCGGATTTGAGGGCGTATGCCCAGGCGCTCCTGACGACGATGCCCTCGCAGCTCCTCGTACCTTACCTCTATCCCATATTCTACTCGCTACACAACATGCCTCCTGAGGTACGAATTCCGCACTTGTCTTATACCTTCTATCGCTAAATTTAGCGGTGCAATCAGTGCGGAACTGTTGGAGAGGAGGGTGTTATCATGCCCCCACCTCTTCCTCCAACGTCAGAAAGGCTTGAGAGACATGGACTATTCCTTATCGAGGACGGCCAGACGATCTTCCTGTGGGTTGGGCGGGATGCCGTTCCTCAACTGATCATGGATGTCTTTAACCTACCGAACTACGAGGTATTACGAGGTGGGAAGGTGCGTTTCTCTAGACGTCTCTCTTTTTCACTGCGTTTTTGACCAAATACATCACAATAGATGACATTGCCGCTCCTCGACAACCCCTTCTCGCAGCGTGTGAACGCTGTCATTCAAAAGACGCGTGAGATGCGACGTGGGCCATATTACCCACACTTGTACATCGTCAAGGAGGACGGCGAGCCCCCGCTGCGGTTGTGGGCTCTCAGCTGTCTCATCCAGGACCGTGCAGATGTCTTGCCCAGCTATCAGCAATTCATATCTCAGCTGCGGGACAAAGTGAGCACACCAGTTTGATGAAGTCGTTGCACCGTTAACTCGTGTCTCCAGGCGAATGGGAGTTACTGAATGTGAGACTTGAAGGACTGGTCTTGGATGCAAATTCGCGTCGGCATTTCCGTTTCGTTTTCGTTTTTACGTATGATATCAGGTAGTAGTTTTCTCTCCTCTATAAGAGCCTTGGACTTGAATTCGAGACCGCGGGGCAGGCATTAATACCATGACTTTGATCCCCTCAAGCATATGGTATGTAGAAGTGTTTATAAATTATATGCAATGCAGACTCAGCACAACGACAACACATTCAGTACCTTGAAAAGTAATGGTGAAAATCAAGCATAAACTTCCCTTCCACTAAGCTTCCTATCGCACGCCGCCGATGCGCGCCCAGAACATCTCCTCCCGCAGCCGGACGAGCTCCTTCCACGTCCGCTCCTCCCAGCTAGCGTCGCCCACGTATGCACCGATGTATGCGCCAGTGCTCTCATCGGAACTACGTTCCTCCTCGCTGGTTTCCTTGGGCTCGATGGACGTATCCGAGTCCGGAGCACCGTTCAGCGACTTGCCCTCCACGCGCTCCGCTGCCCCGTTCACTGACGCGGACGTGGAGTACGATGGCGCGTCCTCGGATGGTGCTTCGTAGAGACTTTCATCGGCGTCCTTCAGCTCTTCCAGGGCAGGCGAGGCTGCCGCCGTTCGCTCATCTTCAGTTGGGGTTTCTGTAGCTGTTTCCCCATTTAATTGTGCTACATCATCCGATTGCTCAGCTTCTGTCTCCGCAGATTCATCTTGCTCCGCGTCTGCAGGTTCTACTGCTTCGGTAGTAGGCTGTCCGTGAACAGTTTCATCGTCCTCTGTAGGCTGGACCTTAGACGCTTCGACTGTCGCTGCCTCCTCTTGCGCCGTTGCACCAGGCTCAGTACCATTCGACGCAAACCCATTGGTCTCGACCACAGGTGGAGCCTCAGACTGTGCGGGTTCGGGAGCCATAGATACGCGTACCCGTGCAGCCGCACGGCGGGGAAGTGGTGGTGGCGCGGCGGGCGCAGCCTTCTCAGTCTCTGGCTGATTCGGCGCTGGGGCGTCGGTGGTAGCAGGTTCTGCGAGAGCTACTTCAATAGGCTCGGCAGCAACAGGCTCGGCAGCCTCAGTAGAAACAGGCTGAAGTGAGTCCGCAGTGACTAGCTCTTGTGTTGGAGGCTGCACTGACTCCACGGTGATGTCCTCAGGCTCGGGCGTGGGCGGGGAAGACAGCGGGAGAGGGATGGTAGATGGCGTGCCCGGGCGCGACGAGGCGAGTGAGGCCGGCCCTTCCTTGGGTGTGGCGAATTGGTCTTGCGACTCTGCGTGCGCTATTGGGGGAGGAAGATGCTCCGCGGCTAGTGGCTCCTTTGTATGCGACACGTCCTCGTGGCCAGTAGAGCCCGTCGCGTCAGGTTTCTCTGCGCCGTCCACACGATCGACGGTCGTGGTTGAAAGGTTGGCTTTCGACGTCAGGCCGCGCTGCCGGTTCCGCGGAGGCAGTGGCGGAGGCACCGCCCGCAGTGATCCAGGTATTACGACCGAGGACAGGGACGCAGACTTCGAAGGATGAGTGGGGGGCGGCGCGTAAATTCGTCTCGCCGTGGGTGGCGGCGACTTGGGCAACGTCTTCTCCTCAGGCTTCTCCCTAATCTGGGGCTCCTTCTCTTCTTTCTCTGGCGTAGTTACGCCGCTGCTGAGGCTGCGCTGCACCGAGCCCCACAGCATCCCGATACCCATGCGCGAGCGGCGCGGGGGCACGGGCGGCCTCTCCGCGCCCGACACGCCATTTACGAGCGCGGGCTTCTCGGAGCCGTTCGGCGTGGGCGAAACGTATAAACTCTCCTCCCAGACCTTCTCGACCACGCACGTACGCACGAACGCCCAGAGCGAGCACGTCGTCCGGAGCCGCATCAGACACCACCGCGTCGTGCAGAGCGGGTATATCGTCGACTGCCGGGCCGGCACCGCGGGCTGCTGCGAGGAGACCGGCAGCGACACCGGCAAACCCGAGGATGTCGCGTCCAGCCGGAAGATGTAGATCTGTGATGGCGGATCGGTGGCCGGAGGCGGGAGGGAGTCGCGCTTGTGTGATGGGTTGGGGCTCGAAATCGACTGCACCAACGAGTTCTTGAACAAACTGGAAGACCATGAGTTATTATGTAGGCTAGAGCGCGGAAGCCCGTTAGAGGCTAGTGGCGTGTCGCTCGCGGAGGAAGAACCGAAAATAGGAAAGCCACATAGAGCACACATAACATGGCTGTGCCCAGTCCCGGGAATGACGGATGGTGCGAGCTCTTCTAGCAGTGTCGTAGTCGACATGGGCTCAACGGTGAGTTGCCCGCTATGGATAGCAGACAGCACCGACCTTCGCGAGAGCCAGTTGAGCGACGGCGCGAGGTCTAAGCGCACGGTAGGATCCCTGCGAGTAGGAGATCAGTGGAACGTGCCAAATGAAGTCATTGCGACCCACGAGTCTTCCGTGACCAGTCTCGCAAGGAACGGCTGAGGGAGGAGGGTTGACATCGCCGGCGGCTGCTGGCTCGCTGGTCGGATAGAGCGCAAATGGGAGATGAACGCGAGATACTCCTGATACGGCGCATGTGAGGAGAGTAAACGCGGTCCTGTCGAACGGCTGCGTTCCTGGGACCGCTCAACCCACTTTCCTTTGCCCATGGTGACCCGCATGTCCTCCACCCTCCTATCAGCAGTCTCCTTCTCCGCCTCGAGGGCCTGCATCTGAGCCTGCAGTACGCCGACGACCTCCTCAGCGCCTCTGAGCGCACGCTCCGTCTCCTCCACCTTGCGCTCGCTGCGGGCCTGGGCCATGCGGGCCTCCGCGACCATGCTATTCGCCTGGTTGAAGAGCGAGGCACTGAGATCGTCGAGGTCCTTCTCGATCTCGGCGCGCGCGGACTCCGCCTGGCCGCGCTGTGCAGCCTCGTCGGTCGCGCGCTCCATGAGACGGGTGAGCTCGGCGGTGACGTTGTCCTTCTCGACGAGCAGGCCGGTGCTCACGGCGGAGAGGTGCTGGGAGCGTTCGAGCTCGAGGTTGGAGATCTTGAGCGTAGACGAGCGGAGATTGGACGTGGTGACGTGCAGCTCGTCCTCGAGGTTGGACATGCGGTCATAGGAGCCAACGAGCTTGTTGTTCAGCTGGGAGACCTGGCCGAAGAGGTCCTGGATCTGCGAGCGCAGAGAGGCGATGACCATCGCTTGCGCATCGGGGTCGCTGTTGCGCCGTCGGAGGTGCGCGTCTTGGCCGTTGACCCCTCTTGGCACGACCGTCGTCTTCTGATCGAGTAGATCTGCTTCCTGGTTGAGTTCGTGCATCTCTGAGTCGACAGAGAACACTCGAGCGTGCGGCATCGACAGGACGAGCTCGTGTCACCCAGGATTCGCGCCTGCTGGCAGTGACTGAGATTCCTCAAAGTCCCAGTAAGGTCGCCGACCTTGGCAGTCCTAGCAGAAATATGACAGCGGCAAGTAAACGAATAGAGAAAGAAAAAGACAAAAATGAGAAAGGAAGACTGGAGAAAAGTAGGGCGCAGTTGTGAATTCCAAGTCAAGCCACAAATTCAATTCAATTAAATTAAATTATTTAAATTGGACTGATTTAGAATGCGGCAAGTCTCTCTACAGTACTACCTCACTTTCGCAGAACTGTCTGTGTTCAAAGGTGTTCTCTTGAGACCTGGAATAATTTTAGGTAGGAGAGACTTAGAATTTGCCCACGTAATCGTCGAAAACATTCGGCGGTCCGCATCTGTAGCTTACGTAACGTTCATTACTTTCATTCAGCGTGGATAGGCAAGAGTCACTTGCACCGTGACCACAATGTCGTCGGCGACGACGAGCAAGGTATCCTTCACCATCCGACGCCCGACACCTGTGTCTCGCGACGAATCGTCTGGCGGCGACTCTGACTCCGGTTTCAAGGTCCCTCATCTTCCGCGGCACCTCGTCAGCGGCGGGAGTACCCCGGGCAGCCCCCTCGCGCGCAGCGCTCCTGCCTCACCCAAACATAACTCGCGCAAGTACACGGAGCGGGACAGCTCGGATGAGGACGAAGAGATCGAGGATGAGCTCGTGACAGGGTTCGATAGCTTCGGTGTGCAGCGGTGTGTCTTTTCAGATTCCCCCATGAGGTCAGGTTCTCAACTCACAGCAGTACGCTTCTGTTGCAGGCTGCATGAGAAGCGAAAAGAGCCTCAGGGGCCTCTGGTTATCCCAGCGCTGAAGAATAAGGACTGGCGCGAGCTTGCGAGGAAACGCAAGGCCTTGTATGTCCCTCCTAGTGCCCAAGCGGAGACGGGCGCAGATGGCAGCGTCGGTGGGTTTGGCACTAGGGATGCAATCAATTCGGGTGCACAGCTATCTGGCCTTCAGATGAAGAAGCGCGTCAAGCTCGAGGACGAGGCTATGGCTGTCGAGGAAGCACATGAGACACAAGTAGTTGCCAAGGTAGAGAATGAGGTGAAGGAAGAAGAAACAGAGGACCAGAAGGCCATTCGTTTACTCCTCGCGCGTGCGCGCTCGGACGATGCCACAGGGCTCGACGGTCCCGCCATTGAAGCCATCCCTCCACCCAGCGAGGACGACGCATACCGTCAGGACGTCGTGGAGCTCCCGGAATCCGCATCACTTGAGGACTATGAACGTATTCCAGTCTCACAATTTGGTGCCGCGCTGCTGCGTGGCATGGGCTGGAAGGAGGGCACTTCGGCGAGCAAGAAAAACAAGGGCCTCATCGAGCCGTGGCTGCCACAGGCGCGGCCCGCACTGCTCGGTATCGGCGCGAAGGAACGAGAGGTGTTCGACGACGGGTCAAAAGGGAAAAAAGGCAGGAAGGGCAAGCCAGACAAGAAGTACATCCCAGTGGTGAAGCGGGAGAGGCAGCCGGGCGAAGGTTCTGGCTCCGGTACCGGTTCGGGCACGTCGTCGAGAAGACGTTCACCGTCCCCCATTCGCACCAGCTCGAGGCGCGCCTCGAGATCACCGTCTCCAGAACGCAGGCGCGACCGGGACAGACGTGATGCAGATTATGACCGCGACAAGGGCAGGGATAGCAAGGACAGAGAGCCCGATCTGAACAGGGACAGGGGCGGAAACAGAGACAGAGACAGGTACCTGGATAAGGGAGAAAGGGATAGAGACAGAGATATGGACCGCCGAAGGGACGATCGTCGATGGGAGGGCGACAGACGGGCGGAGAGCTCGGGGGATAGGTATGATTCAGATGGTCGTCGCCGTGACAAGGATCGCAGAGGCTACTGATCATACTTTTAGATTCTATATTCACGTATCAATGTCAATGTGCAGAACATAGTCAACATAGTTAGGTGGTGTTCGGGTTGCCGATCCCATATCGTGTGTTCATGCGAGGACACAACCGCTGTGGCGCTCATTAATTTCTGCGCAAGTTTGCGTACAGGCTTCTCTGACAGAAAGATTGGGTTCCTCTTAGTTCAGTATGTAAGGTAACAATGACCAATTATGCACAAGGATGCTCCATACCCAATGTATCAACTTTCTGCAAGTACATTACAAACGTAATGAGTGAGACTCATTCATCTTTTTCAAGCTGCGAACAGACCGAGAACATCAAGCGTACGGCGACAGATCAAGAGTACGTGCGTATACCGATACTTGAATACCAACATCTATCCCAATTACTTTCCTGCCAAGTCCATCCACTCACCCGGCCTCGAATCAGCCAGCGTAACGTCTCGAATGCTATCCAAGAGAGGTCCATATCTTCTAAGTAGCACAGCGCCCAGGGCGCAACGGCATACGATCCCTCCATCGACAGCACACATTAGTGATGGGTATCCGTGTAAGTAGGTAGCGATAGCTTCGACGCGGCCCCGGCCGCGGTTGCATCTCGCAATGGAAGGGTATGGATCTGTACATGGCTTTGAACAGCAGCGAGAAATCCTAGAACGAGTGTGGAGCGAGCAACGGGCCTGCAAATTCGTCATCGGCATGCCAGGAGAGCCATGAAGGAATGAGGACGCACGAGTATGTACAGTATATGACATGCGGTTCTAGAGGACCTGCGGCTTGATGTCGGATGCGGCGTCTTCCCCAGATTCGATGTCGCCAATCTTTCGGCTCTCCACGTCTGGTACGCCGTACGGCGATCCTTCGTCGGCGACCGCGAATGTTTGCATCTGGAACCGCGCAAGTAGGGTAATCAGCCATAGGTCCTAAGAGGCAACCAATAGAACGGTAGCGTACCTGGACATGCACGCCGCCGCTGAGGCTCTTGGGGCCCATCGGGTGGTTGTAGGTGTGGTGGCTCGCGGCGGGGTTCGCGGCGGTGTGGAAGCCGCCGCTGGTACTCGAGCTGAACGTGGAATGATGAGATAATGGCCATGGAAGGATATTGACTGTATTGACTGACTATACCTGGGCACCGTTGGGGGTGAATTTGGAGAGACGGCGTACCGCGCGGGAAGCGACGATCTGCCGGTATGTCAGACCTCACTAAATTATGTTCGTCGCTACAAAGGAGACACAACTCACGGTTGACGCGACGGCCGCGGGCACGTTGAAGACCACGCTCATGACGGAGTTCAGGTCGAGCAGCATGAACACGGTCGCGATCAAATTCGCGATGAAGCTACGTCAGACTATCAGCTACTGGAACACAACGTGGCTCGCTAAGCATACTCACGCGACGAGGAAGTAGATTAGGCCATCCTTGAAGAGCAGCCGGATGAGCTGCGAGTGTCCCGCGCGAGGCGCGAGCTTCAGCGCGCTGAGTGTCATGACGAGCGCGTCGAAGCACATCGAGTAGATGAACGTCGCCGCGAGGATGGTGTTGCTTGTGTGAGTGATCACACAACCAGTGCCGGGCACCCACTGTGCTTTCAGGAGCACTCCTGTCGACGAGGTAGATAAATTAGTGGAAGGTGTTAAGCCAAACGGACGACGACCTGCCTTGCAGTATCAACGCCCAGTGTCCTAGGATGACGATGACCAGAAGGATGACGATGTAGCGATTTTGGGACCAGATAGCCATTCTAACGTCACGCCTCAGCATGCGGTTAACGCGTGCAACAGTTGCCCCACTTACGTGCGCAGGGAGAGGTTGATGCTTGCCAATCCAACAGCCGCATCACCGGCCAACTGTGATAAGAGTACACGATCAGACATCTCAAGTGACACACGATCGATCACGGACGCTCACCTGGTTGAACGTGTACAGGGCCTGGCAATTAATTTCGCTGAAGAGGACATTATTTGTTTAGAGGAAGATGCGACAACTGATTTCGCTGAGAACTCACGATGTCACATCCAGTGCAGTCAGGCTGGACAGGTTCGAACACAGTGAGCTTCGGAATGTGAATGCAAGAAGAGAAGACGTACATGCCAATCATGGCAAAGAAGAGACAGTATCGGCCCAACCAATAGAAGATCTGCACAGTTCCGTGAGACAGGTCAACAACGACTGACGCAGATCATATACTAATCGCCAGTTGAACTGCTTCTTGCCCGCTAAGAACGCCCAGTCGAATTCAAGCGAAACCGCGAATTCCCAACTGCCAACATAAAATCAGCCAAGTATGCCCGACAGAAGTACAGTTTTCATACAAGTAGACACCTGCGAGGCAGTGCATCAACTTTGTGAACGCGTCTGTAACAAGAAAACGTCAACGATACTTCGGCTGCACCTAACGAGACAGAGTACTGACCTGCGTCGACGGCAAGCTCAGCTTCAGATGACCAGTCAACCATAGCTTCCTGTCGGTTCTACAGGCGAGGGCTCTGGCAATCGCGGGACAAGGAAGTGTGCCAGCGACCAGGAGAAGAAAACAAGTGACTTTTGTAGACAAATTTGGGGGCTTCTGAAACGTCCCGCTTAGGCCTTCTGGGAAGTACTGTACATAATCTCGGCACAGTCCAGGAGTCGACGGAGCCGGTGTCAAAAGACTCACTGACGATGGTTGGACCAGAGTCTTTTCTGGCCGCGGTACGAAGGTCATTTCTGTAGCGAGGCGAAGGTTCTACAGAGACCTGATTTCCCACAGACGGGTTCGACTGTTGCAGGGTGCAAGTATGGGCGTTAAACGTTCAAAGACATCACAACATTAGGAACGCGACGTCGATTGAGCGCTCCGTTCTGTGATTTTTTTCCATTCACTCGATAAGCTGTAAGTCGTCAGATGTATCCTGTTGGATGAACGTGAACACACATTCTGCATACGTATTTTTGGTTAGTTTCTGAGGCTTCTTCGTGAATCCTTGATAGGTAGGTGTTGTACTTGCAGTGGCGCCACATGGCGCCACATAGCGAACAGAGAACAAATGAATTCGATAGTACTCACGCGTGATGCGTGACGCCTCGCGTTGTGTCCGAGGAAACGCCGCGCAAGAGCATTTCCATCTCGAATAGCATTGCATAGCTGTTCAGTTCTCTGCATGCCAGCCCTTTCATCCCTCTCTTGATAACAACGACTTTGTTTCGTCATACTGTATGTGCTGTTGAAGTGTTGATTCTTGCAGAGTGTCGTAAGGTTCTTTGCAGACGTGCACGACATCTGTCACCAATCTGTGACTGATCGCGTAGGCTCGCGGCCTCAGCCCTGACCGAACGTTGTATGAAATCTTGCCTTGCTCACCTAAAATCTTTTCCACTTCGTACCCAGCGGCGGCGGCCAGAAGGAAGAACTGGACAGTCTTACAAGGTACTCACGGCCGAGGGGCGGAGGAGCGTCAATATTCATTCAAACTGAGTATCTCCCAGGAAGCTTTGATCGTTACAGAACAATATCTCAGGCTCAAAAGGGGATGCCTGCGATGGGTTCTCCATTGATCCTCCTCTAGACGGCAGTGTGTTTGTTCGATTCGCTCTTCCGCCCAGTACGCATTAAGCCGTGCATGATCCGCACGTCCTCAACTTGAGAAGCAGCGGTGAGTTCATCATCCTTTGGTCTGATCCTTCTTTTTCTCATCAAGTTCCCTGATAGCGCACCATGATACCAGTGCCGCCAAGCCGTCCATTCTTTCCTAAAGCCCGAACCTGCCTGGCGTCAAACTGTTTCACGATGTTCGACGTGTCCACCTTCCCCCCTACGCAGCTTGGGCCTGTACTTCTGTCACTCCTTGCACTTGTCTACATAACGCGCTACACCATTATTCGCAAGCGTCAAGATATCGAAGGACTGCCTGGTCCCGTGAGTGTTGACATTCAACTTCGCAGGGCCAAGTGCTGAAGCAGCGATGTCTTTCGTAGTCGCGCAAGGATGCTACCTGGCTGTGGGGTCATGAACTCCTGGCGTTCGAAAACTGTACGACAGACATGTACACCAGATGGGCTGCAACGTTTGGCACATTCTTCAAGATCAAGGGCGCATTTTTCCACCGCGACATCGTAAGCTCGAACGTTCATCGGGTAGCTGAACACGATGTTCACCGTCTTGCAGATCATCGCGACAGACCATGCCGCCGTACAGCACATATTCCAGTACTCCGATGATTATGGTGAGGACTTGATCCAGAAACAATCATTGCGCATTGTGAGGGAATTTGTGGTCATGGCTCACAATGCCTTCCTTCACAGTGAAAGAAATTGGGATGCGGGAAATTGCCGGAACGAATGTGGGCAGAGGCATCGTATGGGCCGAGGGATACGAGCACGCGAAACAGCGCCGACTGCTCGCACCCGCCTTCTCGTAAGTCTCAGAAATCCCACCCCTGGTGGTCTCGCCGAGAGAGTGCCTCCCGGCATATTATCGTGGCGTTCAATTAAATAACGCTTCTCCCGACAGACCGGAGGCCATCAAGGGGATGACGGATGACATAACAGAATCGTCCGAAAAGGTGAGCCGATGGGAATCCGGTGCGAGAGAGATGTTACTCAAGGGCCCCGCGACGCGACGTCGCAGCTCGAAAGCAGGTTGACGAACCTCGTCCTCGCGCACGATGGAGGTGTCACCGTTAACGTCGCCGACCACACCTCGACGTGCACGTAAGCTGTTGCATGATGCGCATTCCACCGTACCCGCTCGCGTACTGACCAGCCACCGCGCCGCAGCCTCGACATCATTGGCCGCATCGCATTTGGGCATGACTTCAGGTCGGGCCAGTCCGCAGAAGCCAAAGAGATCCGCGCCCTCTGGGAGAGACAGGTCAACGCGTCAAATACGCCCAAGGCCTTCGTCGGTGCGCTGCTACTTCGCACGTTTCCCATCCTCACCTCGCTGCCGTTGCCCGTCATGAAGGAGGCGCGGCGCACGAGGGAGATCGTGTTCGGGCTCGCGATGCGCTTGCTGAAGCGCGGGTACTTTAGCGACAAGGGGCGAGATATTCTTAGTATCTTGATGCGCTCGGGCAGCGAGGACGGAGTCAAGGAGAAACTCTCTGCTAAGGAGATTTTGGACAATGTAAGTGGGCTTTTCGGTCATTGCATACTTCCATTGAACGTAAGGCATAGATCACCACGTTCTTGTTGGTTGGCCATGAAACCACCGCTGTATCATTGAGCTTCACACTGTGGGAGCTGTCCCGGCACCCAGAAATACAACAGAAGCTGCGCGAGGAAATTCGACAGTTCGGCCGTGACTTCAACTACGACAATATACAGCAGCTGGAATACCTCGATGCGGTCGTCAAAGAGGGGTGCGTCTTAACGTCGCAAGCCGTATTACCGTACTTGCGCACCAGTCCGTGGTCTTGGACTGACCATCTGCCGTAGGCTTCGCTTGCATCCTGCCTCACCTATCACCGAACGTGTAGCGCTGAAGGACGATGTCATCCCTCTGAACAAGCCTATCCGCACGTCGGACGGTCAGACGGTCTCGTCAATCAGCGTGAAAGCAGGACAGGCAGGTCTATTCCTCCTGCTACACCACTTGCCACGCAGCTAACTCTGAATCATTCTTGGTGTGGCTATTGGTGTGCTTTGACTACGAATGGCATAGGTATTCCACATCCCGTTCGTCAGCATGCAAGTCAATACGGACGTCTGGGGCCCGAATGCGGCGGAGTTCGTGCCCGAGCGGTGGATCGTCCCCGGTGGCGTGCTCCCTCCTGCGGAACTGCCGCACGGATGGAGTGGGCTCGTTACGTTCTGCGACGGCCCCCGGAATTGCATTGGCTATCGACTTGGTGCGTGGTTCTTTCTTCTCCGTTCGTAGCGCACGAAGCGGCTCGTGCAGAGCTCCCGTCCGCACCGCCGAACCCCTTCTGCGATCTTTCTTCACCTTTGGACTTCATTTCCGCCGAGCGCTCATATCTTCTGTGCCCGGAATATCAGCGGTCTTTGAGTTTAAAGTCATTCTTTCGACGCTCATCCGTACGCTCGAGCTACATGAAACGACTGCAAACGTGGAGCTGAAGATCAAGCCGACGCTGCAGGCCTTCGTGGACGGTCGTGGAGGTTTCCTTCCCATCCATTTTACCTTGGCTCCATAGTTGGGCATCCTCTTGCTAGCCCATCGATTCGTGGAATGTTGAACGCCGAAAGAGAATGTACGTTACCGTAATGTGAGAATGCGGACCTCCGTTACTTGCGCGTCATTGAGGCTTCGCTGGTTTGGCTTGTTCTCCCAGTGGTAAGTGTTTCCCAATCGTCGTGTGCAGCACGGTCATCTGGCCATGTGCATGAGCAACATGTTACCAACTGTATCCAGCCTCGAAACAACCTCGAAACGGTCTAACCTGACACCTGCACATACGACGTTCCTTTCTAAGATCTTTGGCCTCGCACACGAAGATCCTCAAAGCTTAGCTTTACAGCTGTCAGCGCAGATATGCTAACGCCACCGGTTAAGTATCTCAGGTGCCCGCGACAAGACCGCCTATACACGATGCCAATCTGTTCCTGCGCTGCCACATTGCCCGTCGTCCCATCGCGCACCTCAGCTTTAGCTTGAGACGCCCGAGGCCCCTTTTTTTAGCAAGCAGTTCTTCCTGGCCGACCTTTCCCCATCGATGCTCGCGTTTGTGTTCGAATCAGGATGGGCTCGGCGACCGTACATCTGCAGTAGCAGAGGCCGTGGATGTGGAGCCGCTCGACAGCTTCGGTGCTACCATGCCGGCATGGTCAGATTCTAGCTGAGAAAGCCAAGCCACCTTCTCTGATACAGCCCACGTGGGCTAGACAGGCTCACATCGAAGGTGAAAACGAGCGAGGCCCACTGCAGCGAACGCACTCCCGAAAGCGCTCTCGCGGTGCGCACCGCCGCGCAGGGTGAAGACACTACAACGTTCCTGCCAGGGCAAATATCATCAGAAACATCCGGGGGTTCCAGAATCGACGGGAGAGCGCGACGAGCTGGCCCATCAGAACTGGCCGGGTGGACTCGAGCTCTTGGGAAGAGAAAGCTTCACTATCATCGCGCGCGCGCATACGCTCTAGGATATAGTATCGTGCAGCAACGAGGAATTGGGTCGCCCAGCGGCCATACGATACGTCCGGTGCCGGCCACATGACTGATATTTTCTGCAGCAGCGCTTGGCAGTATCATCGAGAAGACTGGCCGAGATCAGGCAATGAGAGCGACTGCAGTCGCCATGCCATAGCGGAGGGAGAAGATAATCAGATTCATCGTACGCCGTCGCTGCAACATTCCACGGAGGAGTAGCGACGGGGGTCGAGTGTCGTAATCGAGCTCGTGCTGTAGCACAGGGGCCGAGACAAGTACTTCACAGCGTAATTTTTGACCTGGGATGGCGATGCCAGAGCTGTCGAAAAGTGGTACTAGTGTGAGTGTTAGCGGACAGTTTGACTTCGGCTCAGACCCGTTGACGACCCTGGTTGGTAGCGTAGCGTAGCATCGAGAGTTTGAGATTCGGGCCATCACAAAACCTCCAGTCGGTCAGCTCGCGAGCGACGGGGCAAATATCAGAGCGGCTCACGTTGACGAGCACCATCAATTGGGAAGAAACAAGTGCAGGCGGTCTGGTGGCACGCGAGAAGCTTACCTAATCATCAAACTTACTTCCGCGTTTATGAAGATACCAAATTGGGAGTTGTTCGTTCGAAAATACAGCGCATCCAGCATCAGAACAGCGGAGAGGACGTCAATTGAACCTTCGAAGATTGCGACTCTTCGTGCAAATACTCGTGCCAGTCAGTTTCATATCTAATTCAGCAACGGAGATGAGCAGGTGCCATGCAGGTACAGTCCAAAATGTTCTTTGCACTAAGTACATCGACGAGTCTTCAAAGCTTCACCTTCGCTGTCGACGGGTGAACGTTAAGGCCGCCGTCGTGTACTACTACAATTCGGTCGTGGTCTTGCTTTATTCATCATCGACGTCAACTGGATACGCCTGCGCTTCGCGTGATGGAATGTACTGTGCTTAATAGTCCTGCGGCTGCAGTCTACTGACAAGAGACATTATTTTCATGCAAATTTTATCCTTGTGTGCCAATCGTGATACAAGCTCTTGCCGCGGTACCTCGTATGCCCAACTCTCTCCCCCACAAGAACCTCGTCTCATTCTGCGCTGTATGGCGCTTTTTGTCGCTGGAAATGTTCGAGAATTCGTGATTGATTTGGGGGTTCCCCTCTTTGGGCGTCTTCGCTCTTCGTTCATCAGCTGTTGACCCAACTCCAGTCTAGGATTTCTGGACTCGAGTACGCTCTGTTGTCGGTCCTTCGGGAAGGTTTCTTTAGCTGGGCGAAATATGGGAAGGGACATTAAATTTTGTGGTCCCTGAATTCGGGTCAGAGCAGAGAAGCCTTACGGCTTTCGCGGCCAGTTCGCAGGAAGAAGCATCTTCATGTCAACGCCAACCTTCTCCCTCTCTTCACCGCTGTCATATATAAACTCCCCTTTTTTTCTCTCCCTCTTCGTCGATCATTTCTCTGCTGTCACCGTCCAACTCCCCTCGTCGTCGTCGTCGTCGTCATCCCCGTCCTCGAGTGTCGTTCACTCAACCACTCACTTGCGTACCCACCAACTTATTTCTGAGCCATGGTCGACTGGACATCACCGGCGGAGGTTGCCAAAGATGGAGGTGAGGTCTGTCGGGATCTGTGATGTCGAAGTACTGCTCATCGCACTCCGCCCGGGCAGACGCTTTCGACAGGTTTATGCACACGCTGCTCGGGCTCTACCTCTGGGAGTTCTTCACCTCTTTACCTTTGTATGTGCAGAGCTCTCCGTCTGTAAAGTAGTGGCATCTGATGCACACGCCCCTGTAGTGATTGGGACTTCATCAGCGGCAAGAAGAAGTTCAGATGGCCTCTGGTTAGTTCACTGCCGTAGAGAATTTTTACACGACGTTGAACCATGATAACTCTATTTAGATCTTCTACTTCGCTGGCCGGTACTTCTTGCTGTTCGCGCTGATTGGCATGTGAGTCTCCACTTTGATATATTCGTCCGTGGTCAGTGGTATTAACCCACTGGATTGCAGTGCCATTGCGTTGAATGTCACCAAGTATGTTGAGCGAAATATTCTTTTCTCAGTGTGTCTAATTAATTCCATCAGAGAGGTAAACTGTCAAGCACTGTACACGTATAACCAGGTAAAGATATTTTTCTACTTATATTACGTCGTCGAGAACTGTGGGACTGACTATGTCTCTGAAGATCTTCGGTAACGCGTCGATTGGGCTTGCGAGTATCAACCTCTCGTTGCGCACGTCAGTGCGCCCGTTTCTGCACCGAATGATAGCGCATATATTGACACATTCATGCCACCACAGGATGGCAGTTTGGTCGCAGGCGTGGTACATCGTTGTCCCGCTGGTACTCGTCATCCTCGGACACTGGTCATTGCTTCTGCACGGAGTTCTGCTGAAAGCCGCTTGGATACCCGCGGACGGCGGCTGTGTCATCACGAACACGGACAACACGATCCTCGCCGTCACCTTCATCTACTCCATGGCCTTCGACTTCACCGTGCTGATGCTCACCGCATTCAAGCTTGCTTTCCCTACCCGCCGCAAGGAGCAGTCGCGCATCGTCCAGCTCATCTTTGGGGATGGTCTCATTTTCTTCATTATCGCGTAAGCTAGATTCTTTTCAGTGCTGTAGCTTCAACTAAAACGAGTATTTACGGGTGGCTATATGCGCAGTTTCCTGGCGAATCTGCTCGCAACGGTGGGTTCATGTTGCCTAACCGTTACGCGGGCGCTGAGATCATATTGGAATTAACAGATCTTCATGTTATTGAACCTCAATGCTGTCATGTCCATCATTGCAAACGTACCCGCGGCAATTGCGTCGACGGTAAGCCCATTTTCACTCTTAAAATATCTTTTTATGCCTAAAACTTTCAAGATCGTGGCGTGCCGTGCCGTCCGCAGGCTCAGCAACTACACGACGGAAGGTGCAGAGGTCTTTGGGTGCGTCTTTCCAGTCATTTATTGACTGACCTCAGGACCAACCTCGCTCCTATGTAGCTCGTCGCTCAGCTCCACCCTTGCGTTCAGCCGCGGCGGACGAAGCCGCAACCCCGCACTATCTGTTCATGATAAGAAGCAAGAGGGCGTGCACGTTCAGGTCAGTACACAGTTAATGTTCAAGTTTGTCTCTCAACTCTTGCTCCGCAATATTGATCTAGATGGAGACGTTTGCGGCAGTCACAGATGGACTACCCTCAGACCAATCGTTCATGCAGTACGACGTTAATGGCAAGGTCACCAAGCAGGATCATGAAGCCTTCGACGTGGAGTCTCAGGTGTTGCCAGACGAGTACAAACACGAGCTCTAGGCGCCTGAATGCACACGGCGTTCCCTTCGTTCGCATATCGTCGCCACCCCGCCTACCCAAATATCGTGAAAATCATACCTGTAGCATTTGTCTCCCTTTCTTAAGCCTTTGTGCAGGAGATTTCCCCACCACTCCCTTCGCATGTGTATTCGTTATCAGCAGCGTCTGTCCTTCCGTCATCCGGCTGCGCCCTTCCGTGGACCGTTGTACCATTTATTGCATTCTTGCCGGCACTTTTCGCTGCCTCTCTCCCACTTTCCTTCGTTCCCTCGCCTAGATGTTCCCGTGCTGGTCTCGGGTGGAGTCTGTGCTCAAGCAGCTCTGCGTCCAGAGTTCCTCCAGACGGGTGCTGACTTCCTCTGTCGTTGACCTTCGTTCCACCCACCTCAAAACATTCACTGTAGACTTTATCATCACTGTGTTCACCATCTGCGCAATCCCCACCGTCCCGCATTTTTTTCAGCAGTCCAAATTTGTCGCACTTCGCCTTTGTGCTGTCCTTTGCAAATCATCGTTGTTTTGGGTCTCGCTCGGTCCATGTATTGTGCATACTTTTTCCCCTTACATAGAGCACGCCGTTGCATCGTTTCTGCAAGTGTACGCTTTGATAACGAGACGAATACATTGTATGATAGAACAAAATATTTCCCTGCGAGAATGCAAGACGGAAGGTACGACTACGATAAGGACTTGACAGCAAATTTCGAGCTTGCAAGTTCAAGCTCACTCGCAGCGCTCAGCGCTCAAGCTTCAGGTGGACAGATTGTTCAGCACCTGGCAGTTTTGCACCATATAATCCTTGCAGAATTTGACCAACGACGCCGCGCTGTACGTCTCTGCATCCTTCAAGACTGGAAGTAGGATGCCATATGTCATTAGGACGCTGCGCTGAAAGACATAGAAAACTCACTCAGGCGGCACGTAACGGGGTTGACCAATCTGAAGCGTTCCGCAATGAGCCATTCCAGGTGTGTCTTCAGCGAGCCCATGTCCCATCTGTCGGCTACAGCAAGCAGCTGTAGGAGATCGTCCAGTAGATCCGACGCCTCCTCAGCGTCTGTGGGGTCCGGAATCTGTATTTCCCCTGTATACACAAAATCTGGTGGAGAGTTCAACACTGGCCCGCAACATCATAGGTAACGGACTCACCGATGACTGCAGATGCTCCGAAGAAGCTACCCAGGAACGGATACTCCTTCTGCTCCCATTCAGCCCACCCACTGACTAGGGCCGCGTTGATGTGCGGAATTGTCGCCGCGAGGAACGCGGAGTGCACTCTCAGCTTGTCCGTCGCCGTATGCCCGCCATCAGACGAAGTTGGGATGAAGATCATGTCCGTCAACTGCCCCGCCATGCGCATCCTGTTGAATTCGGCGCGCAGGCCACTGTCCTGCTCCTCTCGAGTCGTTTCTTCGCGGTCCCTGACGAACTTGGGGTCCTGCACCTCGTGTGCACCCGCCGCGAGCAGGAGGGACCTGTATGGCTGGAGGAAGTCCCGCACGCACAACAGGCCGTTCTCGTCATAATGCAGGTTGAAGACGAGCTCTTTGGCCGAGCACCACGCCCATTCATCCTGGGGATCGTCGACGTTCAAGAACAGAGCGTCGTCCGGACGCTTGAGAAGGGCGATGCGGAGCTCTTCCTGATGTGACTGACTGTTCAACCATGCGTATGTCTCGCGTAGATCCTTCAACAGAGACGCATCCCGCGTATGGTGAGGAGCGATCTTGAGTGACAGAACGCCGAGATGGGCGACCTGGTCGAGTATGTTAGCTGGTTACCTACGCAATGAACCTGCTGAGCGCGGACGTACTACTTCTGCAGGCCGCGGAACGCCCAAACTTGGATTTACTGCGACGAGATTATCTGCGGGCTGTCGTTGAAACAGTCCCCGTTGCGTCCACGCGATTCGTTCGAAGGCCTTCCGCACCAATTGGGCGGGAGAAACAATGTCAGGTAACGGCGAACAATACTGTCCCACGTCGTATGATGCGTGAAGGTAGCGCTGTGCCTGTCGCCGGACGAAGCGGAAATTATCGAGGGAAGCCCATAAAGAGTTGTTACGCATGATCAGCGAGGGCAATTGGCATTCGTAATATTCGTATATCGTCGCGACTCTAGTCCCAAGATTTCCGCCAGTGGACCTCTCGACATCGGTATGAATGGCAGCCGCACACTTTTCGAAGGTTTGGTAGGTGACCTGGTACTGTAGTCCCTTGGAGCGCAGTCCAGATTGGAGATCTCGCACGGAAGGATGTACAAACCGAGACGCCTCATTAGTCTGAAAGGCGGCGGAGAACAGAGGGATAGATTTGTCGTATAGCTCCGCGACCGGCACTAACGTCAGATTTCCGTCGGGGACTTTGAGCATCCGGTCCGACAACACAAGACATGTCCGTATCAAGGTGATATAGTCGCCAAGTTCATTGTACTCCAGTGGGGAGCGCAACACTAAGTGGTCTGAAACGTCTGATGCAGATAAAGCGCGTCCCCTGAGTGCTGCGTTTCGACATTTTTTATTAGTGGCTAACGTCCAGAGACGTATGAGATCCAGAGAATACTCCGTGATCGTGATTTGGCACAGAAATTTCGAAGCAATTTCGATCGGGACATCTGCAGGAAGCATCCGCAGCTCGTTGGCTGGGAGCAGTAATTGGTAGCCTCCTTTGCGTGAAGGCCAGAGCGGCAGTGAACGGAGACAATCGCGCAAGGATGTCTCTGATACTTCTGTGAGATGCAAAGGAAACTGTGTCCTAATCCACTGAGCTAACCGCTGCAATTGAGAAGGCTGCAACTTCTCTGTCAACGACATCGACAACACATGTGGGGTGATCGCTTTCAGAAAAGAGGTGAAGGTGAAAGGAAGCTGAAGCACAGGTGGAGGCGATCGCAGGACGGGGATGTTCAAACTATTCATGATGGGAACTACCCATTCTTCGCCCGCGCCCGGGTCGGGAAGAACCTTTCCTTCCTGACAGAATTTGATGGAAACATGATCCTGGCCATGAGCGCGTATGAGCGGGTAATCTTCTAACAGCTTGGCGGATGGAGGATCTGGCAGGCTATTATAACAAGCCCAGAAGGTCTGTATCCATTTTGATGTCTCCTCCGAGTGCTGGCATCGCGGAACAGCCGGGACACCCTTTACAGAGTGAAGCAGTTGAACAACTGCATTACCATCAAATGAGCGGACATTCGATGCGACATTTCCTTCAAACTTCATGGCGACAAGACGTTTCACAGTCTCCAAACCATACTCCGGGTGAATGAAGGAGAAGCTTGGAAAGAGGTTCGGGCACCGCTGGAGAACTTGTGGAAAATCATACACCGTACAAGCGTGTTGAGAACTAGGTGACTGGAAGACTGACATCGAGCGGTCAGCGCGAACTATCAGCGGTAAATTGAGTAGCGACATTTGACCATCCAGAAGATATCGCAGTAATGAATCAATTTGGCTGACTCCAATCTTGCCTTCACTGAACAGTCTGCGAAGGGTGGCAGAGATCATGGGTCGTTCAAGGGACTGTCCAACATAGCACGCCGTTGCGGTACGGAGGGCATCCATTGGCATCAAGGGGAGAATTTCCGCCGGCGTCCGCACATAATCAGAGAGTGCCAACGTTATCAATATCGCGCTGACGTTTCTTGGTTCCAGGTGGGAAAAGACGGCCTCACAAGGCGATACGAGATTTCCGGCAGCGGTCGGACAAAGACGGTAAGTCGTCTTCGGTAACATAGAGTAGAACGACCTCACAACCTCTCGAGAGATGGAATCATCGGCTTGTCGGGGCCACCATTTCAACAAATCGCCCTGCTTTTCTGGAATATTCGCGAGTTCGCTCAGACTGTACATGTACAGCTCTGGCACGAGTGTCGAAAGGATCCACATATTATACACGGATTCAGGGATCCGCATCCCTGCTCCATCGGGTGGGTCAAATCGAATGCTGCGACGGTCGGTAGATATGGCGAATTTCGCATCCACATGTACTGGGAGTAGGGTCTCTTGAGGTAGGCGAAGACCCGAGAAGAGATAATGTCTAGAACACATAGTAGTCGAATCTAATGGAAACGCCAGCCGAACGATTAAGCCCACTTTGCTTGATCGGATCCTTAGTTTTTGCGGAACGGACTTGCATTCAGGCGGAACAGATGGCAGAGGGGTTGTAAAGCTAGTGATGAGCTAACGTTCCGCGCAGGATGCGTGGTTTGGATGAGTGAGCTGTAATCGGAGGAATTGTGCGGTGGGCTTTGCACCAAGCTGCGTCGGCTCCATTCGCTCTCCGCAAACGGACCAGAGTAACGAACGTTCTCCACTGATGGGCTGACGATAAGCCATAACTTGTTTTAGGCAAGTGAAGAAAAGGGCGTTTCGAGCCAACTCGTAATATGAGCCCTCCAGCAGGTTGATGCAATTATTGAGAGATTGCACTTGGCTTGACAGTAAGCTCGGCTCTCCTCTCAACGGAAGTCGAAATATCGTCTGCATCACATGGTGAGACCAGCTTGTATACAGAATAAATTTTCACGACATACGCCATGGTAATCCGTTATGCTTGTGGAGAAACCAAACAATCCATCGAACGGTTTCAATAAGTCAGGATACCTCCTAGATAATAGTATCGATGAGCGTCGCAGATATAACCACATATATAACCTGAAAGAAGATCCTATGACTTACTTGGCAATCTGTGAGAGCGGCCGGAAGACGCAAGTCCTTCTTCTTCCCTTGCGAAGAGGGAGATAGCGCGCACTTGGGTCCAGAATCATAAGATACTGTCCGGATACAACCATCACAACCTTCAAAATTTGTGAATGACTAAGAGATATAATTTGGGTAAAGCAGACAAACCTCCGAAAAATGATACATTGCTAGTGCTCCAAGGCCGAACCTACCGATACTGTCAGGATTTTCGCTCTTCCCTCCGATCCCGATGGAGCGAAAACCATCGAAGTCTTCTTGGGAAAAAGTACCGTCGTTATGCAAGACGATTGATGGAGCTCGCTGGAATCGCGCCATGTCTAGAGTCAAGATTGAATTAGAATCGAACGATCGTTCGTCCAATAGAACCGACACAGAAGATGCGCCTGCATCAGATGCGTTGGCCATTATCTCGTTGAATGAGTACTTGATGTCGTAATCATGCAGGACGCTGCTGATGCGGGTTCTCAGTTCCTCCCTCATTTCGACGTCATCCTCATCCTCATCTTCGTCCTCTCCAAGCTGTAAGCCACTCAGAAATCGCAGGCATAGATCAACTGCTAGCAATCTTGAGACACTTGGATGAGTCGGAAAGCCATGCTCAGGCACAAAGCTTTGGCCGCACTTCAGGTCATCATAGTACACGTCATGGTACGGACGGAGATGTCCAAGGTGATCCGGGACAAGAATGCAGTTTGTAGTATCAACTTGGGCCCCATGCTTCGTGTGACACGAGATCTCTTCCAATAGCTCAATAATATTGTGGATAGTCTGTTTAGTTTCTGAAGGAGCGAGCTCGACGAGGAGGCTCTCCAGCGATGGACTAACGAACGATGAGTCTGACAGAATCGTAATGGCGGATGGCAGCTACTCACCGATCCACACAGCCCATGTGACGTAGAAATTCGCCACAAGTGCCAGTTGCGAGATTCCGAGGCAAGCTACGGAACGATGCGCCGATTCTTGCATCCCGTGCCAACAGCGCCTGCCGTGTCAAGAGCAAATGATCTGACGACAACGGAATCCATGGACAATCCAAAACAATGTCCTTCAACACTGCGATGTCCTCGTTAGTCATCACACCCTTCTTCCACTGATCGGCCATATAGCTTATGAGACCAGCTAGTCTTTCCCCGCGACACGCAATTGTCTCCGCACCCAGAGTGGACGACAACTGTGAATGTATCACATCAAAGGGAAGAGCGTTGGACCAGCCTAGCGCTGATCGAATGTCCGGGTGAGCAATGTTGACTTCCATGACGGACAAGACCATGTCGAATAGGTACACATCCGAATCTCTGTCCCGACACCGGGTACGACAACAAAGGCTTCCGCCATCGGTCGGCAACCACTTATCATGGGAAACAAGACAGCTAGCAAACGATGAACACCAGGCTTGATCGAGCAGTCGTAGGAGGCTCTTCGCGCGAGTTGCAGCAAGTTGTGTACTGTTCAAACTTGAAATGGACTTTATGCACTCCGACACCATGCCTGGGTCTAGCTTGGATTTAAAGAAATCCTGTGCCTGCATCATACTAAGAAACCGTCCAGACTCGAACATCCCCGAAGGGAACTTGGCATCGTGCTCCGAGAAAAGAGTGGCAATGTCGGACTGTGGATCGATGATGTCGGTCGGAGTAAATCGCCCTATGCCTCCACGGACTGGTATGAACTTGGTGCGCTTTAAACAATCTATGGCGCTCTGTGAGAGATCGAGCAGACGAGGGATAATCCTTGAGATCAGCCCGTCCAGTAGCTTGAGAGGCTGCGTGCCTAGATGGGGTATAGCCAGCTCCAGGACTTTGAGCTCGTTACACGCGCGAGCAGCTGCATTTTCCTCGAGGCTCGACGCAAGAAGATGAGTCTCCGGCGCAAGCTCAATGAACGTGGTCGTCCGTTGAAACTTGGGCAGAGGACAGTCATCAGCTACGTCGGGCTGCAAGAAAATAAGATCGCCTGTCGCAGGACCGAGTGTTGATATAGCCATTATCTCACTAGGTGAGCTGGGGCAGACGCGGATGGGAAAGACAGGGAGTAGCATCATTTTCGCTCGCTCAGTTTTATTCAGTTTCGTAGGGTGGATTTGCAAACATTCCACAAGGAATCCCTGAAGAAGCTTAGACGATCCCCGGTCAAGTCGAAGCACAAGCGAAGCGTCGATGTTATTCAGCATGAATGAGATGTCATGAGAAGATACCGCAATGTTTGCGTCGCTCAAGATGGAGACACCGGAAGATTGAGCCACCAACGGGTCGAGAAAGCAGATCCCAATCGACGTGAGGATGCTCATGGTCTCGATACCAACGTCACCAGGAAGCGATATTCCACTTTGTACCGTACGAAGGAGTCCTGCACTTGTAGGGAGTAAATGCAAGCGGCCGATAGTAGGAATAAGATCCTTCCGAGGAGTCTCAAGACGCTTCTTCCCCTTGGTCTTGCCATTGTATGCACGAGGTGTGGCCTTCTGTGAGGCCGAGCCTTGATTCGTCTTTCCGGACGAACTCAAGTCTCTTCTGCCGTTCAGCCATGCCCAGAAGCGAATGTACCAATCCCACGCAACTGGAGAATCGCTTATTGGTACCGCTTCCGCTTCAGGGTCCAGACGGCCAAACATTGAGAACAGAAACTTGTGCACTGTCTCCGCACCAAGATCCGCAACGTTGAGATATTGCAAAGCACTAGAACAATATAGCGCATGTCTGGCCTCTGGTGACATTGATGACAACGCGATCATTTCAGGCTCACACTCCCCGAAAAGAGTAGCCTCTTCGTCTGTCACCATGATGAGTTTGTGACGGCCTAGTGTAGCCTTGGAAAGCGCCGTCCAGGACCCGCGAACAAGCGGGATGATGGGAAGATGGACTACAGAGTCCAGATCGGGCGGAGATGGCACAAGAAAATAATCCAAAATGATGTTCTTGTCTTTGTCAGAGCATGCCGCCAATTCGGAGGTGCGACACTGGACGAGATACAAAATAGTCAGTGGGTCTCCAGCGAACATGGATTAATCAAGATGCATACCAATAACTTTGCGTGTACGACTTTGCGAGACAGAATAGCACACTGCAAGGCTAATCCAGTGTCATTTAACAGCTGATAGATGTGGAGAGGCGGCTGAACAATGTAAATTCCAGCGCGTGTCAACGCGGACAGCAATGCCACGTCTTGATCCGGTTCAGCAAATACCACAGAAGATGATGAGACATATGTGCGTTCCGACATTGTTGGAAAAACAGGAAGATCGCGATGGATGACCTGAATGAGCATCTTCACAAGCATGTTGCCCCAGTAGACATCCCCCGCCTGTTCTGCCGACAGGCTAGGAGGCCACGCCGACCAGGCATCCTCGATTCCGTCTTCGTATATGAGCGTATTCAACATGTTCGCCCAAGTGGTAGGCGCGAACTCCTCGAACAGGATGCGGTTCCATACGGCGAGGAACCTGGGAAAGCACTGATATCAGTAGTGAGGCGATATAGGGTCTCAATGACTGACCTCTCGCGAGCCTTCACTCCAATTCCCATCTCCTTCTCGTTGCGCAGACACTGCCGATCGGGCGTTAGAGCGAATATGGCATGCATATGCGCGGGAAAGTTGGTGACGATAGGTAAAGGCAGAAGGGTGAAAAGTCGTCCATCTAACTTTTCCTCTTTGAGCGGAATCGCGAAGGCTACGTGGGCAAACAGTTTGTCTTCCTTGAGCTGCTCCCCAACATCGTACGAGAGACGAGCGCTCATGATTTTCGACGTCTCAATGGGGCTGCTGCACGAATGGCAGATCCGCCAAACGCACGCGGTGACGACGTCGTGAACGCGAGTAGTGATGGGGCATATGAACGCACTGGCGCTTGCGGCCCGGCGAGACGATGAGCGTCGCGCAGAGATGGTAGGATCGGTGATCTTGACTTCCGCAAGAAATACGTCCTGGCCTTCGGGCGTGACCTCCCGCAGCTGGATAGAAGTCACATGCTGCAAAAACAGTAAAGCAACACCCAGTTCGTTCACAATGAACTGCTCGAAGAACTGTTTCATGTCTTCGATGTGCATACTTGTCGACTTGATTCTGCTTTTATCTGCTTGCAGATCGGTACGCAGGGGGAGCCGTACAATCGTGCTATCAACGCAAGCATCTAACATCGGAACCGCAGAGTCAAAGGCTGCCAGTTGGTCGCAATATTTCGACCCGTCTTGTTGTATGTTGATCTGGACACCCCCTTTGATAGAACCGGAAAATTCTTCGTGAGGGTCAAAAATAACCAACTTATTGCCGGACAAGACATGCGGGTTGTCTGTGACCTATGTAGCAATAGACGTTGAGTCAGACATAGAATAGGACAAGATACAGATACTTCACATGATAAACCGCCCTAAATCCCAGGCCATACTTGCCAGTTTTCCTGTTCAAAGTGTTATCGAGCACATGTGCGGCATACAAAAGCAAAATACTAACGTTTCGTCTGCCGTCTTGTTGGATCCTCGAATGGTGCTGAGCGCTGCCCAGTCGCTATCTTTGAAAACGCTGTCATTCCATGCCAGCAACGCGGGGCCTTGAGTATCCTTCAGGACGGGATCGATCACAGAGTCCTTGCTGTGAGTGCGAGTATCAAGTACGTAAATCTGGCATTCGAACAACGGCTCAACAGATTACTCCTAATTATACCAGCATGAGGAACTCACCTGTGTTGATGCACCGGCATCGTCAGAGTTTTGCAGCAATTCTCGTAAAATAGAATTGCCGGGGTAACTGTCGAGAATTCCTTTGATGGAAGACGCGACGTCGACGTGTTCTCTGAAATTCTCTGGCATCATGCGAAACAGTGGGCAAAGTTCGTGGTCAACGAGCTCGAGCAGGAAAGGGGTGCTACCCCTGCCCCTGGACGTTGGTCGGACGTTCAAAAGATCCCGGAACACCCAAACCAAGAAAGAACGGTCCTTCTTAGGACTTCAATATGAGATGTACTAGTATCTTTATTCTACTTTCTTCTGTCCTGCGCATAGTCACGGTGCTGAAGAGCTTGAGGTCTCTTCACACCCGACTGCGTGGACTTAGTCAGTCATGTCGTCCGACAAAGCATAACAATTTTTACATACCTTTGCCCAAATGCCATACATCTTGTAGATGGTGAAAACAATTTTGACTGGATTCGATACAATAGAACCCTGGTTTAGAAAAGAACATGTAGGATTACGTAACCCATCACTTGCGCCACAACACCTTCAGGCGCTTACTGCACTAAACTCTAGCTGCTCCTTCTCCTGGTTGAGTGCTAGTGGGCGTATTCAACGATGGCTAGCCTCCAGGGCTACGTCGACCGTGAGCTTTCGGCCTCAATTCAGCGTCCTGACTCGGAAATCTAATCTTTTCGTGTTGGCACCATTCAGATCGAGTTCTTCTCATCCTTCAGGACGGACGTGCCATCGTGGTATGTCCTGCTATGGTCGAGCACTTTGTGTCTGTTTAGTTACTGATATTCCTCGTTTGTCGTTTTAACGTTGCTGCACGGATGATCTTCCGGCGTGCTTCACCTCCAGGGCGTAATGGCGGGCTACGACCAAAAATCGAACGTCGTCCTCTCCGACTCGAAGGAGCGCGTATACAGCATTGAAGAAGGCGTCGAGGAGATTCCGCTGGGTCTCTACCTTGTGAAGGGTGACCAAATGTGCGTAATGAGCCACCGCCACATTTGTGTGCGATAAACTTACACTTTACACTGTCCTTGCAGTGTCCTCATCGGTGAGCTCGACGATGCGATCGAACAGACGGTCGATCTGTCGACGATCCGTGCGGAGCCGCTCCCTCCCATTCGATATTGACGACGGCTGGAGAACCAGGTTACAATTATCTGCTCCACGTCCGTGCTCTCAGGCAAATCGTCCGTTGCGCCTCACGAGCATACCGGGTCCGCTCCCAGCTTGAGTCGTGAATGTCGACGCGCGGTGCAAACCTTTTGCCTATTGCTCAGTCGATTATACCACTGAGGCCTGATATCTGGGGGCATGCTGATGAGAGTTCCCGTACGACTGTGGAATGCGGGCGTCGAAAATGTACGTTATGGACTGACCAGTAATGTGATGCACGCAGATAGGCAACTTCAAGCTTCGACATCAAGATGTCTTTGGTTGAGCTGATAGTATTAAGAATCACATATTATCGCCGACGTTCGGAACTCTTCCTTTGTCTGCAATGTCACATTCTTGGGTAAGCGGCATTCCAACAGTCGAAATTGAAGAATTCAATATTGCTTGTTTACTCTGAATGATACATACAAGCACCGTAATTCTCTGATCCAGTTCATCTCCGTCATGGTTCCACTTTTGTCCATCACAATTCTTCCTCGCCACTGATCGGCCAAAAACTCTCCTCGAGCTCAATGACACGCGCCCATATCTGCTCTGCGCGAGCGCAGGCTTCAGATCCAGGCTGAATGTTCAAGCTGGTATGCCACAAACAGGCCAGATGAGAATGACATTTGATTCGAAAGAGTTAGCAAGATGCAGGAGACGGTGAAGGTTCGTGGCGGTGAAGATGTCAAGGATATAATGATAATGGCATGGCACCGAGGTAAGGAAGGAGGAACGTTAACACAACCGCAGCAAATGCGCCAAGAGTATATTCAAATTGAGATTGAACCCAAACTCACCTATTCACAACGTCTGCGAGATCGTCCACGAAACCGACGAACTCAAGGTTCGTCCAGTTGGCGACGAGCGCAGAGACAGCAGGCGCAGTTGCACCAGAGCTCGAGCCTGGCGAAAGCGACCCGACGTACTTCCAAGCATCCAAGTACACCCGTTCCATTGCCCACAGGAACACCAGCCCATCCTCAATCCCTCCCGCACTCACTCGCACCATCTCCGCGGTGTAGTCTCGCGTTGCCTTGCGCTCCCTCCATCCTTCGAGCGGCAACTCCCACTTCTCCGCGGTCTCGCCGAAGAACTTTACCTCGCGCACGACGTTCTCGAGTGCAGCACTGAGGATCTGCACGATCCGCTGATTTGCACGTTCCTGAGGCGAATTGAGCGCATGTAGAGAGGAGAATGGTACCGCGGCAAGAAGTCGGCCGATGAAGGCTGGATAGGCATGTGCGGCGTAAATGCGGTCCTGAGAGAGGTAGAGCGCGAGGAGCGCTGGAGGAAGTGTGCCATGACCGGCGGCGACGAGAAAAGGGTGCTTTGTGGCAGTAGAATAAGGACGCGGGGTCGAGGACGATACTAGGTGGGTGGTAAGTGTCTCATTAGTCGATGTAACCGTCGTCGCCATCGTTGAGTACGATGAACTCGGACGGAGCGGATGAGGTGAATAGGCGCCGAAGGACAGACTTCATACACCGGGTCGCAAGCTTGCCCTGCTCAATTCATGTTTTCTCAAAGCACTTGTTCATCGCAAGTCGATCGCCGCCCATGATTTGTCAAATTTGCTACGCCGCCTATATCAACAACTGTAAGGCGCAGCCGCTGACCCGACGCTTATCGACGTTGCAATCTAGGGCCAGCAAAGGGACAGTTCAGTCGTCGTTTTCTGCGTGCATCCATCGGGGTCATTGCAGGGACGGACAGAACGAGCATATGCTAATGATTGGGATCCTCGCCTGCCGTTGCACAGTTAAGAAGACCCGATCTTCTGGGCCTACTCATCGCTGCGTGCATGTAAGCTGTTTTCGAGTGAGTGCTCTTGAACACGATACCTTCTGAACTTACGATGTACTTGTGTTGTGGAACATCACATAACGACACGCAAACATAGACTGCCACCGAAGTCATATCGGCCTACCGGACGTATGGCATTTACGAGCCATCTCCCATACTTTCCTGAGGTACCAACCCGACACCGTCAATTTCTCACTTCCCAGATGCTCCGCATGCTCATAACATGCAACATCATCTCACGTTCGGTTAGCCAATACAGTATCGTAATCAATCCCAACTTCTTTACTTCTGGTGAGTCTAACATTTTCTTCGACGTGCTTGGACTGTCGCATATTTATAACTGCGTTTCGTCGATATAGCGCAGGTTCGCGGTCATCTCCGAGTCTCATGCTTTCGTGCTCAATGGTTGTCGGTATGGTTTATTCGCATAGCTGGACTGCGTCCTGTCTTCTCGAGTCTTCCGAGCATATTCCGCTGGTACGAATCGCCCAGCGGGCCGCCTGGGACCGCCGTTTGACAGCTTTTTCTCGCGTTCTGTATTTGATCGGCCCATTACGCCCACGTGACGGCGACTGCGGCTGTGACGCGAACCCAAAACACTCCAGCCTTCTGACCACAAATCTCTGTTCTACGCGAAGTCTCCGGTCTTCTGCGCATCTCGGCGGGCCGTTCAGGAGCGAGTGACCCGCAGTTCCAGGTGACGCCGTGTGACGCCATGACCAGACAGGCATAAATGCGCGCGCTCGAAGCGGGTTCAAGTCGAGTCTCTTTTCAGTGCTTTTGCATCGACCCTTGTTTGTGCCTTCGATATGTTTGTGTCACTGTACTTGACGGTGCTTGGATCGCTGGTGACTGTGGCCCTCGCACAGAAAGTCTGCGAGGTTGTTCCGTTGGGCGGCAACGAGGATGATGGGCCTGCGATCAACAGCGCATTCGAGGATTGCTCGCAGAACGCCACGGTGGTCCTCGACCAATATTATTCTGTTGATAGCTTGCTCTACACTGCAAACCTGAGCAATGTCACTATCGTGCTAAGCGGCACAGGTCAGCTTCTTGCCTAGATACCTGTATGTTCCGCTGCATGTTCATTTCCCGTCTTTCGTAGTGCAATACACTCCCGACATCGCGAAGTGGTCCCCTGGTAGTTACTACATGACATACCAAAATGCGTGCGTATTGTGCATCCTGTCTTGCTACGCTCTAGATATGGATAACTACTATCGTAGAACCACCTTCTGGTTCCTCTCAGGAACCAACATCCACATGTACGGCGGTGGTACAATTGACGGCAACGGCCAAGTGTGGTATGATACTCTGAACGAAACTTCGGTTTGTCTTTTGGCGGGTGCTGCGCAGCTCGCTGATGACTGAAGTTTGACCTAGAATGCGGGAACTGCAGGCGGCTCGTCGATTACTTTCGCCCGCCCGGTTCCGCTTACGGTGGGCAATGCATCGCATGTCCTCATTGAAAACATCACCGAAATAAACTCTCCGTTCTGGGTAAGCACCACCGGTGATCACCTGTTATTTGAGTCGGCTGATCGAATCTATGTATCGTGAAGAACAATGTAAGGCATCTTCTGAACGACTGCACCACCGCGCGTTGAACTCGGATATTGCAGTTCGTCTTCCAAAGCACCAATGTCACATACAGGAACATCCAGTTCGTGTTTTAGGACTTTTTAGCTTGAGCACGCGTACTCACTCTAGACGGGGTGCAGTATAAACGCCACATCATACTCCAGCGCACCCGCAAAGAACACTGGTAAGCATAAACTATCTCTCTGTATAAAGTCTTGTCCACATGGAGATGACATACAGACGGATGGGACATCTACCGCTCCTCTGACGTGACTATAACGGATTCTGTCATCAATAACGATGACGACTGTGTGTGTGCGTATTCTACATTCATCCAGTCATCCTGACTGTCACCTGAAGTATTTTGCACGCGTAGCGTTGAAACCAAATAGCACAAACATCATAGTGAGCGACTTGTGGTGCAACGGCTCGCACGGCGTGTCTGTCGGTAGTCTTGGCCAGGCAAGTATTCACATGCGGTCCTTCGCGTATTGACGAAATAATCCTTCCCTTCAGTATGCTGGCGAGACGGATATTGTAGCTAATGTCACAGTTTTCAATATCACGATGCGATACGCGGAGAATGGCGCACGCATCAAGGTCTTTGGTGGCAGTCCGTACCTTAGTATGTCCTCTCTTCGCCACTCCAAAAGTTTCGCAAATTCACGCGCGGGCCCAGATAGCACAACTGGCGGCGGCACCGGTTATGTGAATAACATCACTTTCGAAGACTTCGCTGGTGAGTATTAAGTGCCTTGTTTGCACCACCGTCCAAGGATTTATCTTCGTACGCAGTGTATCATGTGGACAACCCCATTCTGATCAATCAGGTGTGTCTCGTCGGTGTACTACTGCACGGACCGACTAACGACTTATCCAAATCTAGTGCTATTTCACCAACGCCAGCATCTGCCAGCAGTACCCTAGCAACTTGTCCATTTCAGACGTTCACTGTACGCTTCTTTCCCGTGGTCTGCTAGAACGCTGGCTAACGATGGGCGCAGATATTAACATCACGGGAACCTCCTCCGGCGCAGAGGGCACTGTCGTCGCCGATCTGGAATGCTCGGCCGAATGCCAGGACATCACCGCAGAGGGCACCAATTTGACCTCTCCCAGAGGAAATGCAACCTATATTTGCAAGAACATCGCCAGCGAGACCGAAGTTTGTTATTTCAGTTCCCATGGTCTCTAGAATGTGAGGCTAAATCGTCGTTCACAGCTCGATTTCGACTGCACGTCACCCAGCTAGGCGTCTTGCTGATGAGTCACTTACACACGTTCGACGAGTTGGTTCGTTTCAGTAATCAGGATCTGATGTGTAAGCTTGGTGCTTTCTGCGTACATGTATCATTAAGGATGACTGCGAATGACAAGTGATTTTTCCTTGACGTATTTCTCAGCCTCTAGAACTAGAACAAGTCTCGACAGTGCTGCTCCACCTGCCGTTGTCACTGTCGGGCGTCTCCGCTAGTCAGATCGATCGCATACCGTCCCCTTCCGTCCCGAGAAAGTTTGAGACTTTTGACTTCGACGATCTCCGAGATAATGATCTTTGGTGGACGCGAGATCCCTAACTGGCCAGGACAACCGATTTGGAATTGGCGCTAGTTGTGGTAAGGCTGCAGCCTGAACCTGCCGACTTCCCAGTTGACCTGGTCTGCCCTTCAGATGGAATACGCGGAGGATGATGTGGCTGTAACCCTCCGTGTTTCCACGTTCTCTCTTCCAGTGTTATCACTTTTCGCTGGTACTAGTCACCGTTCAAATGATGTCATTCTATTTCCGCCGCCAAATCACATATTAACTTCGTTAGAGCGCTGGAGTATTCGGTAAACAGTTTCCACGAACAGCTCTTCTGTACTTGCAGCCTCCGCTGTCAGAGATTACATTTATAGTAGACGCGTCGGGCATCTATCACGTGCTGTGAATTCCAAGTCACTTACTCGCAGCTGTACACTGTACAGTACAGTGTACTGAGAAATATCATGTCATCTGTGTGTCTCCAAGGTAATCCTCAAATCGAACCACTCAGGCTCAGCTATGAGTAAGGGAACTCCCGATTGTCTGTGTGGTAGAACTCGCAGGTAAGTACTTCCATCCACCTGCGATCGACGATTGCATTATCGCCGATGTCTTGTAGCGCACCTTTCTTCCCAGAAAGTAGCCGGAAAGGATTTTCTCAACAACGATGTGATCCTGGTGATCATATCCTACATCGAGCCCAAGAAGCCATGATAACTTACCGGACTGTCTACACTGTGGCCCTTCCACGGCTACTTTTAGACCTCCACTTTGATGAGAGATCGTCAAGCGTCAAGCGGCTGCCCAGTTATTGCAGATATATGCTTGCGGATCGCTCAGGCCGGATACCTCACTTGAAGAGATTATTTATCGCAGACGGCTCCTATATAGGCGAGGAATCTGCGAGCCTTCTTGGCAGAAGTCATTCTTCACGCCAGTTGTCTTCAAGAGCTAGGACTTGATTGCACCGACGGATTTTTAGAGTCCTATGCGCTCCTTGCGGATGCACTACGGATTCGTTCTGGGCTTCAATACATGTGATTGTTGTCCGCCGGACACGGGCACACCAACTGCTATCCGAATGACCAGCCGGCCCCAATTATTCAAGCTACAATTTCACTGCACCTCTCGCCTACATGCGGCTTAACCCACGGCCAACTGCTCGAACCCTTCGTCGAGTCTCTACAAATGGTGCACAATACCGTACAGGACAAGCTTGACTTCGGCGGATTCGTCTGGCCCCACGTGCGCATACTCAGTGTAGGATGTGAGGCTGACTTCACGCGGCTGTCGAAGGCATTCCCCGCTGTTCGCGATCTTAGCCTTACCCATTTCGTGGCTTCCTGTTTTACGGAGGACCGAGACAATACATGGGCGAATCTCGTTGATCAGCAGGCCTTTCGCATTGTGCCTCTTGCGTGCCACGCCCGTCGGCTCAGTTTGTACAAGCGGCAATTCCGAGTCTATCCGTATACCGCACACTGCATCGAGCTTTGCTCCCCGATTGTGGTGTCCTGCGGGATGGACGTGGAACTGCAGGACTGTTTCAGGATGATCTACTATCCGTTGTAACCTCGAGCTCTCAAATATTCTCTTATACAGAATATGTCTCTGTGTTCTGGAATCTTTCCCGCGACTACGACAGCTTGGAGTGACAATCATGGAGAAGAAACAACTCGGTGTTAGTGAAGGCGAGCCTCTCAGGTACGTTCGGGCAGTAATTTATACGTCTAGGCGCCCCTCGAGTACAGGCTGTCACGCAGAGGTTTTTACTTATTGCGAACCTTATAAGATGTTCACGGGAAGACGTGTCGATAGTACTGTAACTGGTCCTCGTTGCTTGCCGTGGATGATCCCCAGCACCTACGACGCGGTGCCTCACAAAGTTTCTGCTGTCGTCCTTAGTACTCTGGTTATCCTCAGTATCAGAAATGATACAATCATGTACTGATTGATCAGTACGGAGTTACACCACGGTCTCTGATCTTCTGATTTCTTCATGACATGTTCTGACGTCTTCTTGTATAGCTACCTGCAGAAGGGGATGCTTGCATCTGACAGTGTGAGTACTTTTAAAGTGTATGGGGATATGCTGCCAAGGATCCGTATGTTCAGCACGCGCTTTGCCCAAATAATGCTCTTACAGAACGACAGTATCAGATTATGCACCTTCCGAAAGCTGATGGTGCTGGCCTGTCATAGCTTGGCTATGAAGCCGATATGCCTCAATGTCTGTGTGCATCGGACGTGCACAGTGAGCGTACCTTCAATGGTAAATCCACGTCGCCGTCAACCGTTCATTCACCCTCGGGTCGCGAGGTTTCAGACCTGAACAGGTGTTCACAGTGCGTTTTAGCATCTCGGGCGGCCGCAAGCTATCGACGCCTCGTATTTGAAACTCTCGGGACCTTTGCTCGTTCTGCGTCAATGCTTCTCTGATGATTCATGATGCGGCATATTGCGATCCTTCACACGCTCGAACATATAAATTCAGCAGAGTCTCCCAGGCTACACCCAAAGACGCGGCCCATCCTTGGAATCTCTGCAATACTAAGCCATGTCCACCACCCACAAGTTTGCCATGTACGTCCTCGATGCATCCGACCCGGGCGCGTTCGAGCGCCGGCTGTTTCATATGAGCACACACAAGGAGAACGCAGCCGCGCTTGTCAAGAGGGGCATCCTCAGTGAGTCTCTCGAACATACCGACTCGCACTATCGTCTTCAGCCTCTTCGCTGACAATGCGGATCTAGCCTACGGTGGCCCGCTGCTCTCGTCCGAGTCCATCGTATCGCCGACCGCGGAAAAGAAGATGGTCGGGTCGTTGATGGTCTACGAAGCCGACAGCCTCGATGCGGCCAGGAAGGTCGTCGAGAGCGATCCTTTTTATACCAATGGGGTGGTGAGTACTCATGTGTTACGGCTTGTCGAGTTGAGAGTGATTGTTCTTTCGTGCACAGTGGGATAAGGAGAAGCTGCTCCTCTTTCCATTCGTACAAGCAGGCGCTCTGTGATATGATGCGCAGATGATATATTTACACTTTACTGGTGTACAATGAAGAAATTTCCCAGTGCCTTGTGGTATGTAAAGTATGTATATATGTCGTGCAATAATTCGCCAAGTAGTCAGGCAGTCACAATTAGATGTGGAGCTCCAAGAATTACTGCGACCATTCTTAAGTACATCTTTGAGCTGCTGGCTATCTTAACGTTTTACTCTTACTTCTGGAAACAGTCATTGGTGCATCTCTGAAGTCCCCACTGGCATTTCACACTAAGAGCTTCCATTGATATTTCCCTCGGGCTCTCCACTATCTCTCACCTTCCGCTCAAGTTCAACTGCAAGTGAGCACCATGCAAACTCGCCCACGAGACCCATGCAAGACATGCCAGCCCCAATTCACAATCGGTACAGCGGACTGAACTCATGTTTGAACTCGTAATTTAGGGCCTGTTCGGTAGCCAAGGAAGAATTTTCTCAATGACGTTCAGGCATTGGGATGAAACTCTTATGGTATAAGGCTGTAGTGCCGTGCAAGCACGGCAGGACCCGCTACCTGTAGGGTGAAGGAGAGGCGCGAGGAGATGAAGACATATATTCGGCGTATTAGAACGTGAGGAGATATAAGTACATTAACGTCGTACGTACGAGTATAATACAATGAATCTGGTAGGCAAAGCTTACATTTGGACCGGCAGAAGGTACGAGCGATACAGTAAAGCTGGCAGAAAATTTAAGTACAATGGATAGTGGGATGGTTACGTTGTGAATCAATCAGTCTGCGTTGGCTTTCTTGGGCGGAGAGGCATCGAACTCGGTGAATGCCACAGGAGGGTTGGAGGAGGTGGTGGTGGTGGTGTATTACCGGCATGGGTCCCAGTTAGGAACGCCGGGTTGTCACTGTAATAAGTACAAGCAAAGCCAGTAGTACTAATATGCTACGCAATGCTTAGTTTGCTATTACAGCAACGCATCGATAACCGGAGGAGTGGGCAGATGCGCAATTGATAGAACTGAGTGTGAGATGGGGAATGATGCAGAATTGATCGGATTCGGACTCGGAGACATCGATGACAGTGCCGATTTTTCCACCAAAGAATCAAACAGAATTAAGGCGGGAATTCCAAGATAATTGCCCAGAAGTGAGAAGGAAGGCATTTCAGTGCAACGAATATTATCAGCAAGCAGAGGGTTGGCGATAAATGCGGACAATTAATGCGAGCGATACGCAGAGTCGACGTGGAGGATGCGCGGCGAAAGATTCGGACGCTTAGTAAGGCTTACGAAGCATCCCACAGTTAGTAAAGCTTAGGAAGCATTTTGTAGACCTTTCAATCTTTTGTATAGTTTAGGACCTCCAAAACTGACAGTTTTTGGCGGGGCCCCTGCGTGACGAAAGATGCAGCAAGACCCACTACCAAAGGTAGCGGGAAAAAGACCTCTTGTTAGCTCTCATAACATAAATGTCAGCGGGTGAGTATCTCGATGCATCTCTGTACTGTGATTGCATAACCGATGTGATAGTGCACTGAACGAAGGGAGGAGCATGAAGGGTGTATTTCAATCGATTGTCTGACAATGCTATCCAGGAAATCATATCTCTGTCCCTTCATATTGACTGTGACACTTCTACATCTACTTTATGAGCCCGCTGAATGTCCAGCGCTTCCTCGAGGATCACAGATTCGTGCTCGCAGATCGCTTAAGATGCATTTCACCGAGGTTAAGTATCGCGCCCAGTTCTTATCCAAATGAGGAGCGGGCGGGCATATGGGTAGAGATCATCTTTTACGCTCCGATGGTGTATTAGCCAACTCACTTTGACCTTTTAGAGTGTCTCTGGGACTCCTCGTCCGTGAGTCGATAGTAGGTGTGCATTATTCATCGGCTCATAGTTAAATAACACTGAGACGTAACTGACAGATACTGCATAGTTACGATAACCAACTGCTCGTAACCTCACGCTCTCAAATATACCTTCACTGGACCAGGGTTCCCAGCAACGACGACGGAGAAGTGACTATATATGTCCTCCTTCTTGGGGCCCGAGCATCGCAGACACCGCAGACTTGATGGCCAGCTTCGATGTCTTCTCCTTATCTACACTAGTCTCGAGAAACGGGCTGATTGCCTCCAGCGTCTTCTTTGCCGCGTCGGCGCTGCTCCGCTGCCTCTGTTCCACCGCGACGGAGAATAATTGCTTGACAGCGCGCCGTTTCGCGTCTTCCCTATTGCTCGGCCTCTCGTTGTACTCGTCGATGTCCGTCTTTACCGATGCCGGAGCGTCCTCCGGCACTCTGCCCGCCTTGCCGAAGGTCCCGCGTAGGCCGTAGTCCCTCCCATGGTTCTTGGCCACTTTCACCTTCGTCTCGAGGTCCGAGAGGAACATCGCGCAGAACCGGTAACATTGGTACTCGACGGGACAGTCCGCCGAGGTGTCGCCTATCATATCAAAGACGGAGCACACGTCGGAGAGGGAGAAGACCGGTTTCGCGGGGCAGCGCATCGTCAGGATCTTGTGGAAGCTTAAAGGATCAAAGTTGCGCGGTGCGCGGCTGATCTGATCGTCGGTGGCCGTCGTCGACAGTCTTTCCCGCTTGTTTGTAATAGGCCGCCGCTCGACGCGCAGATACACCACCTTTTCCCCGTCGAAGATATCAAGAACCAGGAACTCGTGCCCTTTTCACCGCGCGTCAACGAACGGCGTTAATCCCAGGACGTATGTCCAACGCTTACCCAGAACAGTCCGCTCCTTGTAGTGCGTCGCTTTCACGAGCTTGTACTTACAGTTCTGCTGCTGATGCGATTGCACGTTTTCCGAGAACGTCCTCAGAGACAGCGAGGTTCCTTCAATGCAGTCAGAATGCAAGAGCACGGTGGCCATCGTGGTCTAGGGTAGAGGTTTGGGACCGAAACGTTGCAAATCTCGGCGGCCTTATGTCCTTGTTGTTTACACTGCGCCACACCACAATCCGCCACTCGCCACCAGAACGTTGCGGCCTGCGAGCTGGTTTCATTACTATAACGGCACTCACATTTCTGGTTCGCTGCGATAAGTCGTAACGCGAATATCCTGGAACATGGAATACGAAGCAGAATATCTTTCCACAATACTCAACGCACGGATCTCATCGGGCCACCGGGTCACCCAGCTGATCCGTCAAAAGTGAGGGCCTCGCTGGCTCCGGCGCACTCTTTCAGCTTGGGCTAAGTACGGTTTACTCTCCACGCAGTGCTGTGTCCTGCCTGCGGTTCCGTCACCAGTGGTGAGCGCACTTTACAAGTAACCATCACTGGATTAGATATCCGGCCAGATATCCGCGGGCTTAAGTGCCTTGCTGCTACTACCAGCCCTCTACGATACCGCGCCGGACTCTGCGCAAGCCCGAGTTATCGTTCCCTTCAAAGCCAACGTAGAACCCGACGAATCGTGGAAGAACCGTCGGGGCAGGCGGTGGGATACGAGCCTTCGCATATTCGGGCTCTCGTACCGCTCTTCGTCAATGCACAAGCCCTCAATCCTCGGTCGACACCCTGATCGTGAGCACACCTCTTTGCGTACTCTCTTTCTCTCTCTCCCTCTCTTCCTGCCCACTGGGCAAGCCAGCTCAGCCTTCAAATAACTCTCAGATGGGCCTACCTGCCGCATCTATTTACTTGCTCAGTCCGTTGTGGCATCCAAGCTCTGCTATCGTTCGTATCTCGCTAAGGCGGACTCTTCACAAGAAGTTAGAACACTGGATATCCGACTGGCCAATACCCGCCGTCTCTTCTTTTCTTGTCATCATTAATTACCGTGGCGCCGCCGGCTCTGCTCATACCGTTCAAGCTGGAAGTGATGACCCACACCATACTGGTAGTCGTATCAGCGACACTGCGCAAGTGCGAGTTTGACGTTCCCACCGAGCTGGACGCGGAACTCGACGAGTCATGGAAGACTAATCGACTCTGCACTCTGCACTCAAGCCCATGCCCAGACGTGAGATGAGTCTCCCGAAGACGACTGTCATGGCTCCCTGACGGTAATGTGAAATCAGCCTCAGGTCGTTCTCTGCACAGCTACGCCTACGATGATGGTCGATGTCCCAGTTCAGGCCTACTCATCTGCCGCATAATCTACCATTTCACCCTGAAGACGGAACGGTTGTCCCAACCGCAGAACTTGAACTCGGAGAGGCGAAGCGGTGGGATCCTCCGAGTGCAATTCGAACCTGAGCGCCGTCGAACATCCAGTGTCCATCGCGGCGCCCACCGCGAGGTCATCATAGCACGACACACCACACCATTCCATACCACAAACTCTACGCAATCAACCCTCCAACCTCACCCCTCCCCCCACCCGACACAGCGCCAACAGAATAAGCGGAGGAAGACTAAGGCTAAGAGTAAGAGGAGGAAGAGGAATAGGATGCAGTGTATGTATGTGCGCATATATATATCAATATTTCTAGTGCTTGCTTACAATATCCAAGACCACCCGAGGGAGAGGGAGAGTGTGAGGGGGATGGTGAGTCGTGCGGTGATTGTTCCGTAAGGCGTAACAAAATATGTGTATGGGTACGTGGACGAGCCGGGGTGCAGGGGTGATAGCGATGTCCGTGACGTCAAACTCTATTTGCTTCCCGAGGTCTTGTAGAGGACGAGCCCGCACAGCGCGATGGAATATCCTACGCACATACGGGTAAGCACTCCGGCAGGCGAACAACAGAACGCGGAGACAACGCACCGACGACCTGCAGCGGCGTGACCATCGCGCCAAAAATGAGCACCGAGCCAGTGATGAGCAGTATATCCTTGAACACGCCCGCGAGCGTGAGCACGAGCCCGCTCCCCGCACCGATGAGGAACACCGCCGCGACGTTGAGCATGAACGCGATGCACGCGTTCGACAGCAGCACCAGCGGCCTGGCGGGAACGCATCAGCCATTCTGGCAGTGTAACGACAGGCCGAAACGCACCCGACACGCATCACCTCGTAAAATGGCGCGAGCCCTTCCGTCAGCGGGAGCACGAGCAGGTTGATGAGCGCGCAGACGGGCGCGTAGTAGTGCAGCGACACGAGCGGGTCCATCTTCAGGCCGTGCAGCAGGATCTCGATCATCACCAGTCGCGACGACTCGAACTGCGCAGCGTCAGCACTCTAAAACGCGAACAGGTGACAAGCGCGGGAGCACGTACAGCGACGGCGGCGGCCTGGGTGAGGAAGCCGATGAGGTTGAAGCGCAGCTCGCCGTGCGACGCGAGCGCGACGCCCGCAGAGATCATGAACACGATCATGGCGAGCTTCTTGTTCGGGTCTTGTATGCGGAACGTCCACGAGATGAGCAGGATTGCGACGGGGTTGAACGCCTGCGCGCACACCGAAAATTATGGTACATAAAGAGCAAAGTCGGGACGAAGCGCACCTTGAGCATCTGGATGTATGCGACGCTGAGATAGAGGTAGGCGGTGTTGCTGAGGATGAGGGACCCGCTGAAGAGAAAACCGATGGGGAGGATGGAACGCAGGAACATGTCCTTAGAGACGTGCACATCCTTGGCGCCGTCGAGCAGGTGCGTCGTGCGCTGCAGGACGCGTGTGCCAATGGCCTACGGGATCAGATGGTCAGTGATTGTGGCGAGGCGTGTCCCACGTCGTGTAACAGGCGCCCAGAGTAAGTGACAGGAACTGACACCCGCACGAAAAGGCAATCTGTGCAAGAGCCAAAAAGGCAAATGCCGTCATCTGCGATCCTCGCCGCGCGTCCGCTAACAGCCCACAGGGCGCACCCAGTCATGGGGACGCTCCCGGCCGCACGAGAGAAGAACAGGAGCCAGGAACCAGCGATCGCAACGAAGATGAAACATGAGGGCGTCGCCGTCCCGAACATATCTAGCCCTAGGCGGTCTTCCATGCCCGCACTGAGACCATCCGCGTGGACGAGAAAAATGGCAACCAGCGTGGTACGAAAGGGAGAATGGCGACGTTGTTAAACGATGTTGTGCGCCCGCTCGCATTTGGCAGTGCACAGACCCCGCGATAAGGATCCAGACTCGTACGCCCACAAGTCAACCCCGCGTGGCAGCACCGAAGGAGCTCCCGAGCAGAACCCTTCTCGCCGGCGACAGAAAAAGAGCACTCGACGCGGCGACTTGCCGCTCTTACACCAGCGAGATACCCCTGTATATCTCACACCCCTCCCAACTTCTCCATGTCTGACAGCACACCGATGCAGACAGGACTCAGGAGAAAACCACTCACGGCAAATGTGAGGTGCCAGGTGACGAGGAAGACGGGGAAGCGGAACTCTAGCGTGTTGTACAGGTAGTTGTTGTAGATGATGACCGACGAGCTGAGGACGATCCATATCGGGATGATGGCAGCGGCGGAGAGCTTGGTGGACTTGGACGAGCGCGGCACGGGTGCGGAGACGGGCGACGGGAGCGCGCCGTCCAGCACCTTCTCGTCGGGTACCTCGAGCTGCTGCATATGCTCGTCCTCCTCGCCGGTCCCGGGCTTTTCGTAGTCGGTCGACATGGCTTGCTGGGCGGTCAGCGATCGGGTTGTAACGGCAGGTCGTGAACGTTCGAAGCTTGCGCGGTGGAGCAAGCCGGTGAAGCGTTCGAGGGGCTGGTGTAAAAAGGAGAGACACGGGTCTGACGCAGAGGCTAAGTACTGTGGACAACAAGAAAAGGAGTGCTGCCGCTGCCCGGTCGATTGATGCCGCTTTCTCTGCCGTTTCTCACGCCACCGCTCCGGCCCTCGTATCCTCGGAATCCTCGCAAGCTCGCCACAGAACAGCGAGAGCTCTGCGTGGACACCCTCACATACAGGATGGACGTCCTGCATACTCTCTTCCTCTAACAGTCCTCACCGAAGCCTCGAGAGTAGTCAAGTACTCTCAGGCTCGCAATTATCGAGCCTTATCTGATACGGAGTAGCTCGGAATCCCCAAACGTCTACATGACATCGCCTGGACGGTGAACGTTGAACTCCTGACGTCCTGCACGCTCCTTTCCACTCGAAGACAACTCGCAAGGTTCGCTGGAGCCTCGTTCTGCCCTATCCTGTCATGAGAACTCCTCCGTCTGGCCCTCTGATCATCAGCCGTGCGGCGCTCTCGTGGCAACTCTTTCCGCGTATTACTCGGTCCCGCGTTCTTTTCCACTCGAGGAAGGTGTGTAGTCATTAGTCCAGAGATAGACTGATGGATAGAGCTCACGTTGGCCGTATCGGCATAACTATACCGCGAGATCGAAGGGAGGATCGCAAGCAAATAGTTCGAATGGTGCTCTCAGAAGATTGCATCGTACCAATCACCTCCCTGTGGTCTTGTCTATCTCCCGTCTTTACAAACCGGGCGACACCCGGTGACCGTATAATTAATCTCAACCTGGACGGACGTGGCTCTTCCAGTCTAAAACTTCGTCGCCTCTCCTCGAGGCAGCGGCGTTGACCATCAGTATTCCTTGCAGCACGTAGGGGCTGCTTTTAGCCTGGTTGGCTGTTGTTCTCCTTGACCTCTCACCCACCTTACGTCCACTCGTCGAGATTGTCTTGTACCCTCCCCCCTTTGGTGCCGTCTATGTCATCGCAAGCAGAATACGCTGGGGCGTCATTAGACGAACGTCGTCTTAAACTCCACGTTACCGCTCTGTCGCCCCCTCGGTGCAGCTGCGGCGTCGTCGTCGAGGTGTTGCATCCCGCCGTGAGCTCTCTCGTCGACTGCTACAGCGCCCGTCTTTCGAGATTCGCGCCTTGTGTAGTAACCGCACAGCACTATAATACACTCGGACTCGCCGCCAATACCAGGCCCGCCAGCCGCCCACTCCCGTGTACGGTGTGCTACGCGGAGCAACAACTCTGACTCGCAATAATGACACAGTTGGCTGATCCGTGATGCAGACACAGCCTATCGACCAGGGCCACGGCCCCACGTCGGTGTGTTTCCATCTTTGATTAGGGCACACACGGATGATTGACCACCTCGACGGTTATCGTAGGAACAATCTGCCAACACTCACGAACGCGAGGGGACGCAGAATCCCGAACGGATCGCAAGTCTGATATCCTGCACTCCCAGGTGTGATCATGGTCTTCACAGACCGTCCCTGCAAGAGCCCTCGTGCGGGCAGAGGCCTCCAAAGTTGTTCATATGTATCATCCTCGTGGGGGGTAAGCAGCCTCACTTTCCGCTGTGCTTCGAGAAGGAAAAAAAGAAAATTGGCAAAGAGCAGTGGACGAAGATGGCTTTTCGGAAGGTCTTCAGATGGAATACTTTCAGCACGAGGATGGATGTGGAAAGTGACGCGGTGATGACACTCGACAAAGATTGCGTACTCCAGGAATAGATTCTTGCTCGGAGAGCAAGCTTTCCCTACCCACAAGTGAAAGTCCCTTTTACACGTTTGTTGGGTGCGTTTTGTTTTGTGGCAATTCTGTCCGCTCTCAGACTCTCCGCGCAAGTTCCGCCGGTACCTGGCGGCCTTTCGAGTTGTTAACAGAGACCTTTCTTACCAATTACTGTATGAATTAAGGCTGAATACAGTATTGAACGAGGAAGGGTGGGGTTAACAGGCGTTTGCTGAACCTCGAGTACTGCATAGAGCCTGCCAAAAGAGTTGCATGTCAAACCAAGAATCCGTCTGTTCGTGTGTCTGTTCACATTGGACATTCAATTTTGAGCACCAGATTGAATATGGACTCACCACCCCCACTCGAGGGCACCAACAATCACAACTTAGACGAACAATTTCTCTCATCTCTGATATACTTAATAACCTCTCGCACCGCTCTGCCCCATTGACTTGGCCCACCAGATCAAGAATAGGACGCGTCTGCAGTAGCCAAGTGCGCCTGTGCGGTGGCGTGTTGCGCTATGGCCGCAGCCTGGTCCTTGGCAGCCGCGGGTGCATTGTTGTATGCACTACGTGCACGCCATAGCTCAGTTGCTAATTGATGGGCGGGATTTGAGAGCACGTACGCGTATGCGCGCGCAGCGTAGCGGTGTGCGTTAGCTGCAGAGTGGTACGCCTGTGCAGAGGCTTGATTCTTAGCAGCAGCCGCCATGGTACTGAGTGCAGCGGCGGCAGTATTATGTACGTCTTCCGCAGCCTTGTGTGCGGCGGCGGACTCTGCGCGAAGCCTATATGCATATGCTCAATTCTGCATCACATCAATGGGGCTTACTTGTGTGCCATTTTCATACTAGCTACACTCTGAGCAATCTGTGCAGCGGCAGAAGCCGATTGTGCAACCATAGCTGCCTTTTGTGCAGCTGCCATTGCATCGGCTGCCGAACGGCTGAATCGACGCATATTAGAAGCAATCGAATATTAGACAACGGGATCTTACGAAGCTCTGGCGAGGACCGTAGCCGCTGCGCTGCGTGCATTTGCTCTGGGGGGATGGCTCGCGTGAACCACTGCGGCCCGGTGGGCAGCAGTCTCAGTCCCGTGTGGGTCAGCGATGACATTACGATCGGCACGGAGCGTGAAAGGACGCACCAGAGGTCATCATCGAACCGCACGAGCAGCCTAGAGGCATCACTTGCAGCATGATGAATCAAGAAGGGACATTTACTGCATCTCATAGTCGCGTCTTGATGGTGAGTCAGGTCAGCGAGAAGCCAGAATGCACGACCCGCGGTTACTTACGCATTCGGCTGGATCCTGCATATCTCCATGTGAGCTGCATCCGGCGTAGAAGAAGAGCGGCAGGCGTACATTTGGAAATCCCTCGGCACGGAGCTATGGAAGTTCAGTAGTAGCAAAATGGTATAGAGACGCAAGCACATACATATACTGTCCCAGAGACGGCACAGCGGTTGACAATACCAGTAAGGAGATAGAAGCGCACGATGAAATATCGAGCTGGTCGTTAAGCGAGTTGCAAAGCGTGAAAAAATAAAGGAGAAGTAAGGCTACAAATCGGCCGTTTGTGAGCTGTTACATGCCTGGAAAATACACTAGCCCTTACCAACCGGCACCTGTACTTGGGAGAGAAAGTAAAGAAAAAGCGAAGAGACCACTGCCAGTCGACATTTATACAACGCCACAGACGGTGAATGACAACCGAAGTGACTATGCAGACTCATCGTAAGAGCACAGCAGAAGTTGAATTACAGTATCTCCAAGTCCAGCGATGCTGATCAACATGGCTGATAGATCAATGAAACCTCTGCTTGACATGTACAGCCTCCGGGCATTCAAATCCTTCCAACGTCGTAGAGCAACACTGTTACTTCGGATGATTTCATTCCAGCAGCACTACGCCGACATCTTGACGAGTCGGAGTTCCAGGAGAATTCTGAGCGGTGCCAAGCAGATTTGGTCGGTGAATGAAGAATATTGAAGACACGCAGGACTGCGTTTTGATTTCACTGTTCGACCTAGGAGACGTAGGCATCCAGCTCGCTTGTGTGGTCAGCAAACATAGCACAGCAAGCGAGCCGGCCAGTAAATTCCTGAACCTCCTTCCAACGGTGGCCAGTGACCGTTCTCAACTAACGTGTGGGGAGGGAGGTACGCTCGTCCCGGCATCACGATCTACGCCACATCAGAGATAGGCGTAAATCACAGAAAATAATAGTTTAGATCTTAAGAGACAAAATCATGCTGACATCGAAAGAACTAATGAAAACAATATCACCGCACTTTGAGCGAAATTCGCTGGTAGGAAATTCGAAGGAAAGTCAAACTTTCCTGCGAATGTCCCTCAAATTCACTTCGGAGCAAAACTTCAGGAAATTCGCAGGATTTGTTCCATTTCCTGTGATTTTCCTTCGACTTTGTTTTGACCGCCATCCGCAGGGCTCGCTTTCGGCCCCTAGCTACCCTTGCTTGTTTTCTCACACAGCACTGAAGTAAATTGCTCATAAAATGGCCATTGTAACAGCTTGTATATTAAGCACATAATCTAGAAGTTTACTATGCAAAGAGGATACAGGACATAACGCACACTTGGTGCACACGATGTGAGATGAGACCCGACTTCGCGCCGCTAGGGTATTGGTTCAGAGTGGACCACCTTCAACAGGATCACAGCGGCGACATCAACAAACAAGCATATTTATCGGACAGCTAGATAGCTATCAGCCACAGCGCACAATGGAAAGGACTGCCCATACCATTGGTCAACTTCCAGGCCCCAGGGGAGCCCTGGGCCTGAGAGTGTCACTCTCGTTGCTCAACCTAGCGACCGGAAAGGCTGCATATGAATATTGATCAGTCGAAGGCTCTGACCTTCGTACATATCAGTATGCATGCCGTACTTGTCGAATTAGACACTCACCAACAATACCTCCGCTTCGCTACGCTAAGTGGTGCCAATTATTGAACTTACCGACAAAACTCCGCACTTACATGTGCGTGGCATTGCTCGGAATGACTAGTAAGAGATGTCAACAAAATCCGTCACCAATCGGGTTACACAATGCTCACTGGCGCAGTTACAGACCACACTATAAGGTTGCTTCGTGATATCTTAGCCTGGTAAGAGAGTAAGGGGGAAACTCCAGGCAAGATTATTGAGCATAACGTCAATTCAGACGAAGATGATATGCACCTTACCATCCATTTTTTGCAGCATATATGCTGGGTCTGTGCGTTCTGAGGCGATTTCGCTGGGAGCTGTAAGAGTATGTTGCGTTCGCCGGAATATATGCAGCATTAATTGCCATCTCGATCTGTAAGAGGGAAACTCACATCTTTTGTCCCATATGTATGCTCCGCTGAAGATCAGAGCTATGCTAGCTACGTACTTTGTGAATGGTATTGTCATACAAATTGAGAGGAAAAACATATCTTTTAGGATATTGTGCCCTCGATTCTGGCAATGATGATAATTGATGCTTGGTACTGTAATAACGTCATCGCACTGTGAGCACAGGGAACACAGGCAGCACTGGGCCCACAGAAGCGGTACTTGGGAAGTCACGCTACCAGTCCAATTCACGAAGCAAATCTGGAGGCACATCAACACGAAAGAGGCCAGAACTGCACAAAAAGGAAGCTGAGTTACAGTCGCTTGCAAAAGTCGTGAGAATCCCGTGATTTTTTTTTAATTTCGCGCGTCGCGAAGTTCGACCAAAGGTATCGCTGTATCTCATTCGTTACTCTACTTGTGTATGTAGTATATGTCGCGTGCAAATGATAAAAATTGCCCGCAGACACCTGTGCAGAAATCAGGACTAACCGTGAACTCGGAGCACCGCGGCAGCCCGATTACTGCTCTCGATGCACTAATCTTTCCCTTGTGCGATCAGCATGCCTGGTATGCAATATTCTGCCGACCTTCACGAACGAGTCTTACATCTTGCTCACCTTGGATTTGCTGCTTCAGAGATTGAGTACCTCCTAGCCCTCCCGCGATCGACTGTTTATCACACCCTACAACATGAACCCGGCTCCTTCAATGACACTTCCACTCGCAGCGGACGGCCTCGTGCACTCACCCGAGACGACGTTGAGGTGGGTTGTTTTGCTGTACATTGACATGAACTGATCTCAAAATGATCTGCAGTTCATTCTGGAGGTTTGCGAGATTCAGCCAAACATCTATCTTGATGAGTTGAAGGAAGAATTGGAGCTGCAAAATGTAGACATATCATTGGCTGCTCTTTGCCGGTATCTTCATCGGAATGGCATTACACATAAACGAGTGAGTTGGACACTTATTGACATGCGGGATGTATTCATGTGCTATCTAAGCTTGCTCGGATTGCTCGTGAACGCGACCACGCAAGGCGTGCACTTTTTGTTGATACGGTGCAGCAATATGATGCAGCCCAGTTGGTGTCAGTCGATGAGGCTGCGGTGGACACTCGTAACATGACGCGGAACTTCGGCTGGTCCTATAGTGGTGTACGGGCTTCTGAGAGAGTGCCGTTGGAACGTGGTATTCGGTGTGTATGCTGATAAGGACATTTTATGAGCTAATGATTTGTATGTGTAGATATTCTGTTCTGCCCGCATTGAGTCTCGATGGTGTACTACATGTCAACATTGTTGAAGGATCATTCAATGCAATCACATTCCGACACTTCATTCATACATTACTTGACCGAATGAATCCTTTCCCTGCACCAAATAGTGTCATTCTCCTTGACAATGCGAGCATCCATCATTCCGAAGAGACTTTGGACATGATTGTAGAACGGTCAGTTGTTTATAGCTCCCACTATATTATATTCACTTTTGTGTTGGGTTATAGTGGAATGCGCTACATATTTCTACCACCATATTCTCCAGACTTACAGCCCATTGAAGAACTGTTCCATGAACTGAAGGAATGGATACGACGAAACTACATTGAAGGACGTGCAGCCATGAGGTGCACCAACGGCCCTGCACATCCATGGGTATTTCTGATGGAAGGACTTGATCATATTACTCCTGATGATGCATATGGGTTCTTCAAAGATACTGGATATATACAATAAAGTAGAGACTAATTCAAAAGTTGTACTCTAGTCAAATCGGAAACGCTTCTGTGGTATCTGTGCCTGTTGTCGAATCTGCTTGCAAACCAGTTTAGCCTCATGTATCAAGAATCGACCAGCACCAATGGGAATATCACAATGCTTCTTCAGCTCCTCCTCCGTACACTTCTCAATGTCATCCGGGCCCAGAAGGTCAGCTTGACGAAGACCTGGCTCATATGCAGGATAGTTCCGACTGTGACGGTCTACAGTTACTGCATGCAGAAGGAAGTCGGTGAGCGATGGCCAAGGAGCATCAGCAGGATTGACAGGATCAGATGATGATGGAGATACTATAAGATGTTTGTGAGAACCAGACATCTCAGGCATGTTGATAATGATTGGAGGAACAGGCATAGATGTGGAAGGGGCCTTCGACACCGATGGGGCATGCTGATGACGAAACGAGGGAGGTACGTCAAACATCCGGTTGTTCGGTGGATGGGTATAGGTCACTGTGCGTTCCATTTCTGGAAGTGACAGTTGCTTGACCTGAATGAAAAGAGATGAGTACAGTGCACTTCCAAGACAGAAGCACTCACAATGTCAGTTGCCCAAGCTGCAAAACGCATCTCCGTGAGCTGGACGTGCTCTCCAGACGGATGCCCTAGCCAACATGACATGGCGTGCTCACTACACTTCGGATTCTGCCTTTTCAACTCCTCCACCACTTCATCAATTTGGCTTTGATGCTCTACAGTGGCGTAAGCATGTGCGACTGCGGCTGCTTTCATCCCGGGTGCCTTCTTGTGCGAACCCTTGGGCTGTGACAACTCCTGCTCTGAATCATTCACCTATCTGGAAGGTGAGAGCTTGGCAAGCATCAGAAGATGATACATACACTGTCATCCAATATAATTACTTGCTGAGGTCGGGTATTCCGGCGATGACTCTGCATGGACTGGACAATGCCCTGATAGTCATTGTCATCTTCGAGGCTCTTGCGGACAGACTTGGCATCCTTGGAGAGGCGATACGAGAGCGCCATGTCGTCGACATTGTCATATCCCATCACAATGCGCAGCCGCTCACGGACAATATCCCAGGTCATGGCCGAAGACAACGGTACGCGCTTCATAGCCTTTCCGTCATGCTTCGGCACCATGTATTCTACTTCTACCGGTTGTGCTGAGTGTGTGGAATGTAGATCAAGGCCTGTACAATACGAATAAATGATGACATACCATGTAGGGGTGTTATAACCTTCCCATGATCTCCCTGAGTTGACTGAGAGGCTGGTTCCGTAACAGTGATGTCATCTCCGTCCGTCTCAGAATTATGAACAACGCCATCATCGTTATCATCCTGTGTCACCTGCGCTCCATACAGAACATCCTCGTTACTGCTTGAAGACGATGGACTGATATAGTTCTCGATGAGAGATTGCACTGGCGGATGCGAGGGAGGAAGATGCGGAGGCAATTTGAGAAGCAGATGTGTAAGTTTGGGATCTGGTCCAAGTTCCGCAGGTTGCTCAGGAGGTCGACCAGGTTTTTTCCGTGTAGCAGTTAGATGACCAGACTTTCGTCCGTGCCTGGCCATGAAGTAGGAAGCAGAGAGACAGTGTACCGCACACAAAATTTGCCACCGCGGTGCTCCGAGTTCACCGTTAGTCCCGATTTCTGCACAGGTGTCTGCGGGCTATTTTTATTGTTGGTACACGATACATACTACATACATAGCTAGAGTAATGAATGAGCTACAACGACGCCTTTGGTCGAACTTCGCGACGCGCGAAATTAAAAAAAAATCACGGGATTCTCACGACTTTTGCAAGCGACTGTAAGGTATCGGGACTCTGAGTCAGTACGGAGAGCTCGAGCATGCAATGACACACGCATCACGCATCGAGACATCTGCCTTCGTGCGAAAGGACGACCTGGACACACCACATTTCAACAAGCGAACCCACGATGGTGCAAGAAGAGACTGGGTTGGTGTGTGACAGAAAGAGCGGAGATGGAAGGAGCGACAATGGGAGCACCGATGAGCAAAGGCAAGACGAGCAACGGCAAGTCACAACTTGGCGTCGACGTCGCGTTCACACCGCGAGCACGTGAGCGGCAAATTCGCCCCGAATTCAAAGTCTGATACTAAAAGACACCCTGATAGGATAATCAGAGGAAATTTACAGGAAAACCAGCTTATCCTGCGACTTTCCTCGCAGCGAAATCAGGGTCAAAGTGCGGTGATATCATTTTCCATTGATTGCACGGCCAGTCAGAGAGCTCGGCCGTGTCATCTTGAGCGACGACGCTAAAAGGTTAGCAACCGTCCAAGTGGATATGTTGTCTGTGTGACGTCATGTCGTCTACATTCCTGGCACGTGTCTCCGTCTCCACGTCTAAGCCACGTGCGGCCCTGTGTTTCTCCGCTATTTCTCCGCGGCTACAATGGCTGGACAATCCTTCCAACACCATCATCCACCAACTGACCAGCGTAATAAAGAACACCTGTGAAATAAGACTCGGACTGTTTCTGTACGTTCAAGCCAAACAGTCCTTGAGCCGATACTAGGTCATGCGAGTTATTGTGACAGGCACGTACGACTTTCCTAATTCTGCGTACTTAGACGGTTGGTAACATACCCTCACCTACCAGGCGCATCCGGCGTGCTCGGGGCCGCTGTATATGCAGCATTCAAATCTGCTGAAAACACAGTTCTCGGCCTTGCTCATTCACGACCTGGGGAAGAGTTCCGCCAGCTCGATCTTCTCGACGCGCCATCGGTCGAACGCGTCTTCGCTGAATTCAAGCCAGATTGTCGGTAGATCTCATTTTCGTCCTGTGAATGATATTCACGATCATTTTCTATCAGGGGTGATACATTGTGCGGCGGAAAGGCGCCCCGATGTCGCCGAGAAAGTATGCCCCCATAGAGCTGGTGGGATGGATACTTACTGCTGTCGAGATAGGATCCAGAGGGAGCGCGAAAGGTGGTGTTCTGGAGAGAGATTCTAACTATTCGGCACTCATCGGACCTTAGTTGAATGCCTCAGTTCCGGAGCACCTCGCGCAGCTGTCGAAGACGCAGAAATTCGGTCTTGTCTATATCTCTACCGGTATGTGTTATAAGGAAGCTCTTTGATTACACGATGCCGACGATGCCGACGATGCCGACTATTTGCTAGACTATGTCTTCGACGGCACATCGCCCCCGTACACGCCCTCCGCACAGACAAATCCGGTCAATTTGTATGGACAGACCAAGCGCGACGGCGAGTTGGCTGTCCTCGGCGTCTTGGGAAGCCGAAGCATTGTGTTGCGTGTTCCGGTACTGTACGTGTATATTCCACCGTGATCTTCCAGTATCATGCCCAGCTCTGTCTGGTATGCCGATATATTGACAGTACTTACACAGGTACGGTCCTGCGCCAAAGAACACAGATAGCGCCATAAATATCCTCTTGGACGTTGTCGCAGACCAGTCTGGGAAACAGTATAAGATGGATCACTACGCCACGCGATACCCCACGTGCGTCGTTGACATCGCAGACTTTTTAGTGCGGCTCACATGTACGTAAATTCCGCGCCAGTGTTTTCTCTCCTTGTCACTAGCCTGACTTGTGTGTCTACTGCAGCAATACCGCCGAATCGCGCCATCCCGCCTATCTTGCATTACTCTGCAGGCGAGCCGTTCACAAAGTACGAGATATGCCTCGTTTTTGCGCGTATCCTCGGCGTTCCCCACGTTCATATCATCGCCGATGCGGAGGCTCCGAAGGTAAGCCATTGTCTTTCATCCGCTTGGCGGCTGTTTCTTCGCCGTACTAACTACTGTTTGGATGCCCCAGGACGCGGTGACAACGCGCCCGCGGGACTGCCAACTGTATACGCGTGAGACAGAGGATCTGATGGAAGGATATGGAGGTCTCGGCTGGACGCCGTTCGAGGAGTGGTGGGTGCAATACCTCAACGAGAAGCAGTGAGTCTAGGTGCCGTTTATAGGTGTCAGGAAGTCAAAGCAGAAGACGAGGCCCGTGTATATATTAACGTGTGTCTCTTGTCGTGTCTTGAGCCTTCAGTCGACATCTTCCATACTCTCTAGTCCTTCTGCGTCGATGCCTGTGTGTACAACTTGAGCTGCCAGAATTCGACTCAGAAGGAGATCACATTGCAAAATCTGGCTACGTTATGATAGCGACATACTTAAGTACTTCTTCCGGATTATGGGGAATCCTGGCACTAATTACGGCTGCGCTGACGGCACTCCTTCCCACCATGAGGACAAAGGGCGACCATATCTAGAAGTGGCGTTTGACATTGGCCGATACTTGTTTGACATACAGCAGTCGGAGAGTGTTTCTCCACCTGATCTGCAGATGTGCATCCGAGCCCAGCATGAACTTTCCGCTTCTTCGATTCGGAATTCGGTGATGCAGCGATTCTGGCCTGGCCTTGGAAGTTCAACTGCATAAAGGGCTGCGAATCCACCGACGAGCTCGAGCGCCGCTCTGGGTTTGACCATTCACCAAAGCCTCTCACCGCCAGCGACCGTACCGCTGAAGCTTGAGATCTGCACTCTATCAGCTCTCCAGTTCAATCGCAATGGACCATTCTCATCATCCTTCGTCCCAACCGATGTGCACTATCTGCCGCCAATTCGTGGACATCGAGAAGGCCCATGAAGTGTACAGCGTCCGTATTTTCTCGCTGGACTTCCACTTCCACAAGTGTTGCGTTCAACGGTATGCATGCACTTCCTCTATTACGCATGCCTAGGCTTACATATGCACGCGTTGTGGCGGATAGAATTGTGCTGAAGGGTGCTCTCGTTGTAGGGGCTGCCGCTCTTGGAGCGGGTCTCGCAGTATACATCGCCCCGGCCATCCTAGGGCTCCTCGGTTTCAGCGCCGCTGGTCTAGGGAGTGACATGGGTTAACCCGGGTTATATCCGGGTCAAACCCGCAGGTAATTACCATCGAGAGGTCCTGACCGTACCCAACCCGTACCCGTAGACTTTCACCCGGGTTAACCTGCGGGTCGCAGGTGGGTTACCATCAGCAAAAGTGCACAATTGTTACAACGGATTACGACGATTGTAATACTCCGCGGTATGTGGTAACAGATTAGAATGACATTGTAAACCTTCAGAATAATTGGGTTGTATTGCAACCTCTGTAATCGTTCCCGATGTATTGCAACCCTCAGTAACGTAGACAATTAATTGCAATGGCATCACAATGTGCTACAATGCTATGTGAGGTTGTAAGGGCTTGTAAGGTTGGGCAAATTTTTGTCAAATTACAGGAGCAACTACGAAGGGAGACCCAAAAAAATGGTCGACTGGTAGGTACACGTACGATGTAAAGTCCAGAGAGCAATCTATAGCGATCTACTAGGGTTCGGGTTCACCGTTCCTTCGACGCACTCCGAGATGTGCATTGTCTTTTCTTCCCAGCTTGCAGGCCACCTTCGAGTCTCTACTATGTTTATTTACTGCGAGTTCTGTCGCTGTATAGATCCACCGGGAATACATTAATACTATAGGGTCTTGAGGCATCCAGTGCTCCATGTCAAGCTTCTCAATATTGCCGGTAATTATCTTTCCCAGGCTACCTAGCTAATGATCTACCGTACCAGTAATCCAAAGCCCTATTAGGCCCGTAGTGATTCTTCCCGATTTGGAAGTAAAGGCGATGACGTAGCTTCTTTCTCTCATAACCCTGGCCCGGGCGTATATAACGGACGGTGAGTCCCATCTGGCGCCAAATACTCCTTCTTCCCTTCTCCTTGTATCCTCCCACCTTACTGATGGCTTCAAGGACAACAACAATGACAACAACACCGCAGAATTGGTTAACGCCAACGCTGCTCATGCTCCCGCCCATGTCTAACTTCTCCTCTCCTTCTATCGCACTCCAGAAGGATCCTTCTCCAGGATACTTCCTATGAGCCTCGTTTCCAAGACGACGCGCTCTTGCTCTTCCGCTCCTCACATGCCTATTAGAGTATAAGAAGTACCTCTCATTTGTTCACACTTGAGAGTAGAATCGGATCACTTGCGTGAGTTCTCCGGTTCATCGAAGAGCCCAATGATGTTCTGGAAAATTTTCACAGTGTTGAATGTCGAATTAACCATTGTGCCCACTCCAATGCATCTGAGAGTTCAGCCATGGTGCATGCTCTGGGGGCATCAGGAAAACCCAAATTTTTCTTAGGGACTTAATTAGACTTTTGGGTCTGGCAACCCTTATTTAAGGCTATAAGTGTTCAAATAAGTGTCAATAAGTCAAATTTCAGACACTCAGGGAATATGGCTTAGGCCCTTTTTGTCCTTATATCCTTAAATAAGGATGATAAGTCCATTGAAGGCATTTAAGTGCTCTCTTAAGGAAAAGTTTGGTTTTTCTGATGGGGGCTCACATGCTCACAGATCTAAGATTCCTGGGCAGGCGGGTTGCAGTATGCGCCCGGATGGCGGATGGCAGGTGTTGAGTCTGCACGGTACCGTCTGCATTGGTGTTGATCTCGAGAGCGTCGTGAAGTATAAGCATCGTGCAGACAATGATAGATACTCATAATATCTCCCACAGTTTCTGGGCACCGCCTCGCCGGTATTGATGGTGCCCAAACTCGGTATATGCATCCTCCGAGTACGTATTCATATCCATGTCACGACGTGTCTAATGAATCATTTTATTATAGTCAGGTCCTTCGTGCCAACGCCAACGAGAATGAGCGTGCAAACCACCGCAATGGTCACAACGGTCTCGCAACTCTGAAAGAGCAACGTGCTGCACACTACCGTCAGGCAGCCTCACGTTCATCATCACCATAGTCGGTAAGTATGCCAACATATGTATCGTGCCATACAATGTCTTACAGCTGTTCGTGCAGACTGCCGACCTCGTATCTCTCCGCGGTTGCTGCCCCTCTCCTGGACATTCTCATCAGCCATCAGCATTCACCTTCGCTCCCTCTCCTTGTCGTCGTTGCTCCTCCTCACTAACTGTGCTTTCTTGTTGCGTCTCGACTGCTCATGTCCTTTGTGCTTTCCCTCGGTCTCCGGATGCTCACTTCTTTTGCCCTCTTTGTGCCAGTGTGGTGTTTGGCTGTCGTGCTCCTTCTCATCTTGCGCGCTGTGCTCCTGCTCTGTTCGGTATCATGGGATCATGTGGACTTCGTAGACTCTATGTTTGTACTCACCTCTGTCGTATGTAATATTGTACAATGATTACTGCATTTCTCGTAATGTGCCGTGCCGGCTACAAACAATATTATCCATACAGCCATTGTAAGTTTTCCCCGGGTGTCATCACTGCTTACAATAGCATTACAATACCTTATAAAGCTTGGAATCCGTTATAATAAGTCCGAAGTATTCCGGGCATTCCGAATAGATTATGTTGATTGCGAATGGATTACTGAATAATTTAAGACATTGAGAAAAGTTCGGAACCACCGTAGAGAAGTTACTATCCATTACAACTTTGCTCAATAATTTTGATCAGTGTAATGGATTTCGTAGATTATAATGCTATATAACCGATGGTAACGAAAGTGCACTTTTGCTGATGACCTGCGGGTAACCCGCACTACGTTCTCGTTATTATTCAATAAAACTATTTCCGTGTGCTACAAATCGACGTCCATCACTTCCCGCTCCTTGCCCTTTGCACTCGTTAACTGTTTTTTACCGCCAATAAAGCTGGCACATGTCTTTGTATCGTGCAATAGAGGAGTTCCTGCCCACGACCCAACTGCCACCTGAGCTTTGAATGACTGAGACGAGGTTTGGTGCTGAAGGTGGTTGACAGTCAGACGGCCTCCGGAAAAGGCTCGCTCGGCATCTACAGATGATGCTTGCAACAGGCATCAGATTCAGACTACATATAGCTGGAAAGAAGATCGTACTGGGTGCAGTGAGGAAGTTGAGCGTCATTCAAGCAAGGCGAGGACACATTTTCGATGCTTGTGCCCAATATGCCAAGACTCCACTAGCCTGTTTGACATCATCTCTTGAGACAAGCGGGAACTCCAGATAGGCATCTATGCTGTCAATGGGATGTGTGCTGGTTGAGGGCTCATTCCGGAATGAGCTTGCCCACTTTCCTCTCTAGTGGATGAGGTTAGGCCACTCAGTGTTGCTCTTCAGCATCAAAGAGACGCCATACCTTCAATGTGGATGCCATCACCGAAACAGTGGGAGTGTTCACAGACATGCCATTTGAGTCACCAGCATAAGATTCGGTCCAGCGCACTCGTAGGATGCGTGCTGCTTCCGTACGATCTTCTGCTCGCCAATTGGGGTTCTTGTTGAACCACTCGAGCTTCTTGTCAGGACACATGGCTGGTCAGTACAAATGAGATTAGTGATAATGGTTACAGCAACGCATAGTGGACAAACCAATAGTGATCCGGTATACATCCATGTCGTCGGTCAATGCATAGTACTTCCCGATGACGAGCAGGCTAGCCTGTGCTGCGATGTGGATGACAGACGGCAACTCCACGTCCACATCATCGCGGACTGCCGTAAGTTGATGTTCGAGCTGCTCCAGCATCGGGACTGTCTCGTGTATCAAGGGAACTTCGGCTTGTGAGAAGAGGTCCGTGAGATCTTGGAAGATCTACCTCAACGTCAGGTCTCAAATCCATCTACCGAGTAACTGTGACGTACCTCAAGAACTGGCCCCAACTGCTTAGCCAGCGACCATTGTTCCCTAGTCAGCGCGTACCCCTGTAGCTCATTCTTCAGGTCACTAGTAAGCTGTCGCACAGGAGTCTTGAAGTGGATGTGCGCATTCAGACATGCGAAATCACTGTTCCATCTCATGGCTACTCGATGGTCAAGAGCATTCTTGCTTCTGACAAGGTCTGCTTGGGCATCAACTAACTTCTCGAATTTCTCCTGCAGGGTGGGTGAATCGTGAAGGCGACGAGCGAGTCCTGCTACCTTGGTAAATAGACTCTGTGCATCGGATTCTTCTTGTGCGGTCATTGTAATATGGTAGTCTTCCCGTGCAATGCGAATTGCTTGAGCATGTACCGAACTTACTGCAGCCTCATCGTGAGCAGCCTTCCCATCATCAAGAGCAGAGATATCATCATCTTCGTGGGTGCCATCCACTGTCTCGTCAATGATATGCAAAGGGTCCCCGTAATCAAGCACCACCTCTTGAGTCTCGGGCTCTCCGGGTGGTGGTGCTTCAGGTGCAGATGCTTGCTGGCGTGCACCAGCACCACGTCGTTTGGGCTTCGATCCCGCGGCAACCTTCACGACCTTCTTCTTCTTGGGCTGCCTAAAGAAGAATGAGATGAATGCCTGTCGACGGCTGTTAGTGGTAAAATCAATGAGAACGTGCACCAGGCTTACCTCGACAATGAGATTTACTGTATGCGGGAAGCAACGAGTGCGCGACATGGCACCACGGAAACTATCAACGAGTGGCTCCAGCTCAGTAGCAATTGCATCGCAGTTACTCGCATTGTCCATGCAGAGTGTGTGCAGCTGAATACAGTATCAGTGCATGTGAATTTATGCAGCGGAGCATACTTACCTTCTTCTGGAGGCCGAATTGTTTCACGCAGTCCGCCACCTTCTGCGCGAGATACAGGCCAGTATGCCTTTCAGTTAAGCTATGAGAGTGGGCTGTGAGGATCAAGAACACTGGAGATATTAGGAATGACTTACTGAATGAACTCCAAGATGGAGCGCCAGAGTTTGTCGCCATCAAACCAGATTACCACGATGCCAAGATATGATGCCATGAAAGGCGCCGTCCACCCGTCAATAACGAGGTGAATGGCTCCGTCGAGTTTCTGTAAACACTATATGTTAGCGTCGGGTAGAGATTGTTCAGATGGGGAGTACTAACTGAGAAGTATTCTTTGATGAACTTAGAGCCTTCTTGGTAGATCTGCTGCACATCCCGTGAGACCATGCGTGGTGTGGGTACCTTAGTTCCTGGGCGAAGAAGCTCCACTTCTTCAAGGTAATATGGGTCCGCGACACTGTGGAAAGGCCGGTGTGATGCAGCGCAGTGCAGTGCCACGATGGCTCGGTGAGCCCTTTCGGAATACCTGGAGATTGCGTTCATCAGAGTCTGCTGTGCACCTGCATGGGGGTCATCTGATGGCCCGACACCTCGCCACTTGAAGCAGGCTTTCGTGGAGCGGTCAAGGTTCTTCGTGCCTTGGCTTGTCTTGCTCCGCTCATGATACTGGGTTCGGTGGTTAGCGGGATCATATTTACATTTGAAGCAGAAGAGGAGATGGTCGGCCTTTTCATCCTTCGTGAAGTTCCGCTCGAGAGTAATATTATAGTGATCATATGCATTCGACTTCCATGCACTATGCGCGAGAGCTTTGAACGCAAACTGTCAGCAATGTTCTGCAAGCATATTTTGAGGCATACCAATGATTTCGTCGTCAGGCATATCCCAAACCTCCAAGTCGGAAGAGGTATGACTCTTCCGCTTTCGCTGTTTCGGTGGAGATACAATGACCACGGCCGACGGTGATGATGTACGAGCAAGACCAGTGCGTGCTCGCGTGTTCTTTGCAGAAGAGTCATCCGAGGATGGACTTAGTGCAGTGGAAGGCCGCGCTCACTTACGCGATGGAGTGTGCAGCTCACTTGGTGCGGTAGAAGGCCGTGCTCACTTACGCGATGGAGTGTGTGGCTCCCTGCTTGGTGACGGTGACGAGGAGGGGTTGGATCCACCAAGGACACGTATGCGAACATGAACGTGAGACATCGGGCCCAACCCAAGCTCTCCTAGTCGTTCGTGGAGCCGTAGCCACCGTGTGTGGGGTACCGCCGCATACAAGTAAAGGGATGTCTGGTCAGCTGGAACCAGGCATCTCCGCTTCAGCAAGCAGATGATATCCTGCACGGATGTGGAGTTCGTGACAAGTATAAAAGCACAAATCAGTTCTCGATAGGCAATGGCCCGAAATTTAAAGGATTCACTCACGAAGAGGAACAGAACGCCCGCTTCCTGCACCAAGGACAAATATGGTATACGGTGCGAGGGAGATGACTTTGCGATAATGTTGTGGACGCATCTTGGAGACATGGTGGCGGCGGTAGCGCACCCGAGCTGGGAACAGTCAATGGAGGGCAAGAAAGTGCGGGAATGAGAATCCCCCTTGTGTCTCGTCAAATACCATGTGTCAGAAATTTAGAATATTGCTCACCTAGTAGCAGTGAAGCTACAGTGAGGTAGCCATGAATCAAAGTGCCAATAAATGCGATATCATGATAGAAATCAGTAGTACTATCAACCAGGAGAGGATGCAGTGCAATGCAAGCCGGCACAGTCGAGATAATAGGGAGGAGAACAAGAATGGCTATGATCATATACCATGCATTGCACCGATAGCTGATACTTCGGGTTGTTGTGGCACGAAGAGCTGGAGAGCTCTTCACACTGGAACTCATCATGTACAAATAGGTTCCCTGGCGGTGGAGCTGCAGTCAGTCAAGCACACCATATATATACACCATAATATCATATTGGAAAATGCTGGGCACCAAAGCTTTGCAGAGAACCTGACAGGATCGCCAGGATCGTGAACTAGTGGAAAAATTGCCATGGTGAGGAATGGAATGAGGGCGAAAACAGAAGATACTAGGACAGAATTGGGCAGACCAAGCGCATCGTTGTACTGCGCACTGCAATGAAAAGAGAATAGTGAAAGTGATTTCGACCACTGTGACTTGGCCACGATAGTAGTTCGTTGTCTGCCATAGCAACAGGAGGAGAATTTCTGACGCTCCCCATAACAGGTAGCCATGGGTATACCCGGGCCTATCCGCCGTCACGGCCGGCATACCCGTACCCAATCTGGGTCTACAGGCGGGTCACCCGGGCTCTATACGGGTCACCCGTGCGGGTGTGACATGGGTCGGGTCACAGGTTTACCCGGGCAAGCACTACCCATGTCACTCCCTACGCTGGTCCTGTTGCCGGTGCGTGTTGGCTATCGTCTTCTCCCCCCACATCGCTGATGTCACTGCTGGATGGCCTGCTAGGGAGCATCGCTGCGATGGTCCAAGCTGCAATTGGAAATGTGGTGGCGGGCTCGCTCTTTGCTATCTGTCAAAGTGTCACGATGGGCGGCGCCCTTCCTGCCGCTGGGTATGTCACGGGCGCCACTCTTGGCGCTAGCACTGCTGCTGCGGTGGTGTGAGTGGGCCTGGAAAAACTGCCTTCTATTAGCTCGAGTGCTCGGTTGTTCACAAATATTGGTGAAAGTTTGTTTATTACGTACTTTTGTCTCCATCATCATCACCATGTAAATATAGCACTTTGAACACGATGAACGATGTGCTGGTACTAAATAAACAGAAAAGGTGGATTAGCCACATGGACACGTTGAAGATTCTGCTTACTATCGGAGTCTCGAAATTGGCGAGGCTATTATTTAGCGGGAGAATACTCTGATTATTCCAGGGATTCCCTACGTCCTTATATACGTATCAGTAGAGCTGCGCAGTAAGTGCTTGGCCTATATACTAATATGACATCATAGCTACGGCGTAGTTAAGTATTATGAATGCGCAGAATAATGACGAAAAGCGCAGAGAATAGAGGCAAATATGCGCAGTATCGTACGAATTAGATAGATAATAAACAGAGGAAAATATCGAGCCCAACATTACCCCTTCGTTAAGATCTTTCATTCCTCGAAAGATAATAAGTAACTATCGTATAGTAGAGTAATGAAATCAAAGATGAAATGAGTACGTTTACCAAGGGAGATCGTTTTTCTGGAGCTCCAGGAAAAAAATAAGTGCGTGGAACAAACAATAACAAACATACTTTCACTGCTGTCCTCGGCGACGCACCAGGTCAGCTTTCAATCGTTCGTTCGCATCCTTTCGCTGCAAGTCCGCACTCGCATACCACAGACTGGCCTCTGGATCAATAGTTGCTGGATGATACCTCTTCAATCTCTCTCCATTGCACAGTCTCCGAAGAATGTATCCGTTTCTTGTTGCAAGCTGGTAAGTGTTCTTGTCAGTGACGTCTTGAATGATAAAAGGTCCATCCCATCGTGGGTGGATCTTCGAGTCCGGTTCTGACCTTCGAAGTATCAGATCTTCAATACCCAATGCTCGCTCGCAGTATCGTTCGTCGCGGCATTCGGCCTGCTGTGCAAGACGGATGTGGGCACGCTCGTTCACTTCTGCATGGAGGCGTTCGAGGTCCTGTACATGCTCGAGGCGCTCACTTTGCAGCTGCTCGATTTCTTCATCTGTCGGAGGGTTGCTAATTGTATCGGCAATGAAGTCATGAGGAAGATGCGGAGTCGAGCCGTAGGCGAGATAGAAGGCAGACGTTCCAGAGTGATGGTTGACATGTGCGCGGTGCGCGAGTAGCGCATCTTCGATGTAAGTGTCCCATAGATGTTGAGAATTTGGAGTACAGTAGCACATTAACATTTCTTCAATTTCATAGTTAAAATGCTCGAGACAACCATTTGTCTGCGGATGATACGGTGTCATACGAAGGTGAGTGATCAAAAGGCGACGAAGGAAGTTCTGAACAAGGTAAGACATAAATTCTTCTCCATTGTCGGTAAGAATGCTTATCGGCTTTCCGTGCATATTAATAATCTTCCTCAGCATAAGAATCACGGATTCTTTTGAACGGCTCGGCAAAGGATCAGCATAGGTCCATCCGGTACCATAGTCCATAGCTGTAAGAAGGTATGCGTTGCCGTTTGTCGTACGTGGGAGCGGTCCAATGAAATCCAAGGCCCAACGGCACCAGGCACCAACTCGTGGAAGCAGATATAGTGGCTGTGTAGGTACCGGACCCCTTCATGAGAACTGACAATGATTGCAGGTACGAATGATGAACTCGACCATATCTGAGAGGTCCGGGAGCCAGGCGCGTTCTTTAACTGCTTCGGCGACAGGTCGAAAACCTAGATGACCAAGATCATGATGGATGCCACGGACGAGCCGCTCAGACTCATCAAAATTCCTCGGCACATAGAAGATCTTGCCATCAAGAGTGCAGTATAGCTGTTCATTATACATGAAGAAACCACACTCGTCGGGTTGGCTGTTTCCAGCACGCGTCCTCGCTCGTAAGTTATCAAACCATTTCTTCAAGGTTTGATATACTGACCTGTTCCCACCTTCATCTCATTGTATTTCTTCAACAGATTCTTCATCAGAGTCAACGGCAGGTCTATCAGCTGGTTCAGGTGGTGCAGGAGTAGCAGGAGGTGCAACCGGGCCTTCGTCATCCGAAGCCTCATCAGAATCCCTAAAGATTGATTCTTCGCTCGAATTGCATGAACGCAGGCCAGCGTCGATCATCGGATAGCCATACAAGGGGCCTAGCATCTCGGAATCGGGCACAGCTTCTCCTTCACGGCGCGATAATGCATCGGCGGCGAGCTGGAACTTTCCGGGACGATATACGATCTTCACATTGAAATGAGCAATGTTGTCCGCAAAGCGCTGAAGATGTCGACCAAGATTCTTCTGGGTAAGGGAATATTTTAATGATTCATGATCAGTTCTGATGATGATTGGTGAGCCTTCAATATAGGCGTGCCACTTCTGTAGGAGGTAATCAATTGCAAGCATCTCTCGTTCTTGCACCGAATACCTCTGCTCGGTCGGCGTCAGGCGGCGGGATTCATATGTGATAGGACGAAGGTCACAATCACGGAATTCAAATCGGGTGTCGGATGCTGTATCATCATGTTCCTCAACCTCTCCCCCTTCATTAGATGTCTCGAGCAGCGAGATTGGTTGCTGTGAAATTCCACCAATGCACTCACCGGACGCATCACTGTCGATTACAAATACACGCCAAGGTACTGGGTAAACCAGTAAGGGAGGGGTTGTTAGCTGTGTCTTGAGAGTGTCGAAGGCACGCTCACAAGCCTCTGACCATTCAATAGCTGCTCCTTTCTGCGGATGCCCATGCAGCAAGGTATAAAGTCCGCTGGCAATCTTCGCAAAGCCACGGATAAATTTGCGATAATATCCGGAGATGTTCAGAAAACCGCGAAGCTGAGTAATTGTCTGGGGACGTGGCCAGGTAAGTATGGCCTTAATTTTCTCAGGATTAGGTCGGATACCTTTGTGGGAGATGATGTGTCCCAGGTAGAGTAATTCGGTAGCTCCCCAAATACATTTGTCCTGGTTGAGGACAAGTTCGTGTGAATTGAGGGTTTGAAGGACTGTATTGATGTGTTTGGTGTGCTGTTCCGCAGTACGTGAATAGATAATGATGTCATCGAGGTAGACCATGACGAACTTGTCGAGATGCTCTCGAAGAACGTCATTCATCATTGTTTGAAAGTTGCGGGAGCATTGACAAGTCCGAAGGGCATAACCTGGAACTGGTAATGACTGAAACGGGTTTGAAAAGCAGTCTTTGGCTTCGTATTGTCGCTGAGATGCACCTGCCAATAGCCTGATTTCAAATCAAGAGATGTGAAATAATGAGCACCGGCTAAGTTCTGATAGGAATCGTCGATGCGCGGCAAGGGATAACTATTGCGGATGGTCCTCTCATTCAGAAGATGGTAATCCACACAAATCCGCATAGAACCATCTTTCTTTCTGACCGGCATCAACGGTGATGACCAGGGAGACTCACTTGGCTCAATTACACCATCTTGTAGACCTTCTTCAACAAAACAGCGAATAGCCTCATGCTCCAATGGCGAGAACGGGCGACCGTGTGCTCAGATTGGCTGTTGATCCGGGTCCTTGAGAGTGACTGAGTGTATCCATTTCTGAATAGGCGGGAAGCCTACCTTCTTGCGGAAGAGTCGCGGAAATTTATTCTTTACGGTGTCCTTCAATTTTGAACAAAAAGACTTGTTCTTCATCTGCATAATCTCTTCATCGACAATAACATTCAATGCAGATTCCACGGGCACCTCCGGTGATGGAAGAGTAGCCATGATTTCGGCAAAAGTCGGCTGACGTGGCATCAAGATTGTCGACATGTCGGAAAACTTATTCGTAAATCTCCAAGAATTATTCTGCCAGCGAGGCTGCGCATTATGGCGCTTAAGGAAATTTCGCCCGAGGACAAGTCCATACCGCAGATTATTGTTATCAAGTACATAGGCATATAACAAGTACTTGAAACAACCAATTGCGATACGAAAACGGGCAAAGGCAGACGTAGTCGTGCTGCCAGCACCTAAAATATTGCGGGTGTCGATTGGAAAGACTTCGGCATGGATCCGTCGAACAAGACTCGGCTGAATATAAGCAGGGGCGCACCCGGTATCCAGCAGCACGTCACTATCATGCCATTCCCAGCCTTCATAATCTGCGACTTTGATACTATATGATGGGAGTACCAATTGGTCGCGTGCAATCTGTTCGAGATTGTGTAAGGTTAGTTCTCCAGGTACGAGTTGTTCTTCAACTTCCGCGGGAAGGGGAAGTGCGTCTGGAAAAAGCGGTGCATTCTCGAATGCATGCAACTCTTGGCAAGGGTGTGCACAAGTTGTCTGTGGCTGTCGAGGTTTCTTGGGTAAGCGACAGTTTTGTGCAAAGTGTCCGACCTGGTTACAATTGAAGCAATGTAACCCGAGTATTTGGCATGTTGCTTCCTCTCGGCATTTGCTGCATTGCATCGAGCTCCATAGGTACAGGTCCCGAATTGGACAGTGCAGACGGCATGACTGGAGTAGGCGAAATAGATGGCATCGCAGAGCCATTACTAAAAGCAGAGGAGCGTGGTGGGCCCCTATGAAAGAGGTGCTTCGGCTTCTTGTTAGACGACACCGAGGAATGATTTTGAGAACCACGGTGGAGATTTGAAAGGCGATCAAGTTCACGCGCGTTGTAATACATCTCCTTCGTGTTCTTCGGCTTCTCGCGTCGTAAATCCCTAGCACTATCGGCAGGCAAATGACTAAGAAAATGGGAAAGGCAGTCACCAAATGTCATCTCCTGTGCAGGGATTTGACTCTCGTACATTCGGAAGTTCTCGCTATAGCGCGCGAGGTTTCCTTTGAACATCAAATTGCGTAGCTCGTTACGCAGGCTCTCGACTCTTAGCGGTGAGTCGTACTTGCCTTTCAGCCATCCCTTCAACCTATTCCAATCCATTGTTCGCCCCGTGTCCTGCATTTCCTTCTTAACGGCAATATAACTATGCATCACATCGTCACAGAGTAAAATTGATACTTGAGTAACCCAGTCGATGACGGGAACGTGCTGCACTGTGAGATAATCTTCAATTATCGAGATCCAGGTGTTGATGTCGTCCGAGTCTCGACCTCAGAAGATTGGTAGATCGGCCTTAATACTCGCAGGACGGATGCTTGGTGCAGAAGTCTGCGGAGGAGGAGGAGCTTGAACAGTGAAATGTGCTGTGGACAAGGCATTCTGCAACATATTCTGCATTTGCGTAGCATTCAGAATGCTTGCCTGTGTCGTAGCGGCCTCGGCAGATACCTGAGAGATCCTGTGGTGGAGCTCTTCGAGGATCGGCTGTAAGGCCATGAAGCTTTCTTGAGGAACGGCGGCAGCAAGTGCTGCAAGCATGGGAGGGAGGTCAGCCATCGTGCAAATCAAAAATGAAAATGCCTAGGACGTACTCGAATAGAACCCAGATATGATAAGATAAGAGAGCGAGTTAGAATAGAGATGAAACCAGAACTAGTCAGCTGTTATAGATGGTAACAGAAGTTTACGTTATCTGAATGAAGGGTTCAATAGCCCTTCATTTGCGCAAATGAAGATTCCGCTTACTATCGGAGTCTCAAAATTGGCGAGGCTATTATTCAGCGGGAGAATACTCTGATTATTCCAGGAATTCCCTACGTCCTTATATACGTATCGGTAGAGCCGCACAGTAAGTGCTTGGCCTATATACTAATATGACATCATAGCTACGGCGTAGTTAAGTATTACGAATGCGCAGAATAATGACGAAAAGCGCAGAGAATGGAGGCAAATATGCGCAGTATCGTACGAATTAGGTAGATAATAAACAGAGGAAAATATCGAGCCCAACAGCATCTGAAACTCACGTGGAGCATGTCACGCTGGTGCATATATGACATTGTGGAGAAACGTTAGACGCGCATACTTCTACTGGACAGTGTACAACCAGATCCTTCATAAGTTTCGACAACTGATTACTGCGACACATACTCCAATATATCATTCTGAAACCTTGGATTGACATGAAGCATGAGCACCAACAGACCTGCAAGCATGCAGCATCGACTCACGGACTATAGACTCGTCCTTCTGGATATGTCCGTGCTCATGCGCTCCTCAGCTGTCTGTCCACCATGGAACACCTACTGAAATATATACCGACAGGAGCGAACGCGTAATGCTATTCACACCCTCAAGGACTGAACAGATTCCACTTCAATTCACGATGTTCCATGCCTGTAGCAGCGGAAGCGCTCTCGCCGTCGAGCGCGATGTCCAGGCGCGATACCAGGACCCCCGACAATTGGGGAAGGTCCCTGAGCCAGTTACGGACAAATTTTGAACTTTCGAGAGCCTCATGCCTGGTATTCACGGACAAATCAGGGGGGTTGACCGCCGGATAGCCTGAGCCATTTCGCGGACATCGGGGAGGCAGCGGCCTGATTCGAGGCCGGACAAACGCTTGTGGAAGGCTGGCGAGGGAGAGCAGGCAGGGCCGAGGAGGAGGCGGCATAGCCGCCGGTTCAGAAGCGCCCAAAATTACCTTTTTAGGGTTTAAACCTGAAGAGAAACGTGGACCGCGGAGGCAAAAAATGTGGTGAGGCCTAATTTTTCATGGACATTTTGGGCCCGAAACGGCCTTTTCCCAACGGACATTTTTGCCCTCTCCAGATCAGGCCTATTCACCAATTGTCGGGGGTCCTGCGATACCTAACCATGAACGGAAGGAAGAGGTGAAAACGCGGCTGCGAGGGCAGACGCTGCTACGTCTGTCTCACGCAGCAACCCACTGATGTCAAGAAGTCTGTGCTGATGGAAACGGATACCGAGGTGGTGGGGCGTGCACCGGTCAGCACAGATGAATTCGAAACGGAGACAAATGCACTGAGGATGAACTGAGGATGGAAAATGTCTAAGGCCTGGATCCGGAATCGGGGCTCCCCAGGACCTCGGTCCAGCCTCATCTGTCCACCCAGGGAGGATTAGTGCTCAATTGCATACTGGAGCAGAGGATTGGTCACGAACCGTGCCGAGCAGCGGGTGCCGCTGCAAAGCCTCTCCCAACCACTACCTCTTGGCCTTAGGGGCGACCTACAAGGAGCCCATGGTGCGCGAGGTGATTTCAGACCAGCCCTAAAGAGGCGGCTGTGCACTCGGCTCGTGCGTATTCCAGTAGGAAAGAAGAGGAAGCCTCCTTTCTTCTCAACTAGTATGTGCAGGGTAGGGCCAGCTGTTAAGGCCCCTGATGAGGCCCCTTGGCAAGGGCCGAAACCCTGGTCTCCCTGTACTCATTTTTCCTCGCCAACGTGCAGAAAGACCAGAGCCCTATCCTCGGAGACAGGCTCTGGATCTTTCATTGGGTTTTGATGCTTGGCTGGACGTGGTGGCCAGGATTGTTCCTCACCTGGCAATGTCACTAAAATATTGGCCCTCATCAAATATGTCCCTCCCTACTTTCCCTACTCTCGCCTTGGCACTCATCGTGATCTGATCTCCGGCATTATGTAAAAGGTGTGTTTAAAATATCTCAACACTTTGTAAGATCATGTGTGCATCCTTTACAGGAAAGGCTGCAGTGTTGTGCAGGGCATGATTGGCTTTCAAACCATATAAAATCCAAGCATAACGAGGGAAAACTGTGTCCACAGAGCAGAGTGCCGAGGTGATTAAAGTAGGGAAAGTAGGGAGTACGGTTGCCGAGGGAGGACAGGTCTATTCCCCAAGTTCTCGACACAAATCCATGGCTGCGGATCAATTGTTTGATGGGAAAAACAGATATTTAATTGACTGCCGAGGCTTGTGGCCGGTTAGGCGGTTAGGCGCCTGCCAAGCTGGCTATTTCCCATGTCTACTCACCATTCCGCCGTGGCACCGCGATGTCGCGGACATCGCGCACACGCGCGCTCATCGTCTTGCACGATGAGCAGGTAGAATCAAAAATTTCCATCTAATTTTGGCTTTCTGCATGATAGAGAATGTGTCAATGATTCAAGCAATTTATACAGTCAACTGATGCATGATTAATTTTTGCTTATCACAATGCTGCAGAGTTGGACTGAGACTGAGTATAAAGAACGAGGCTTGTCTAGTACATGTCCTAAGCCCGCTGGGGTGAAGGCGGATATCACATAGTAAACATAGATAGGCACCCTTACCATTTACTGTGATGTATACAGAAAGAGGAACCATGTACACAAAATCCTGGACTCAGCAGAGAAGTACAACACACTCACTGAGTCCCTTATGGCATCATGGTTTGCAGTAGATCACTTCATAGCTGTCTTCACTACTAGTATCTGCCCATCATTCACTAGGTCCTCTTCTATCTTAAAAAGTCGGGTGTAAGTGAGGTACAACCACTCCCTCCTGAACAACAGTTTTGGCCTAACTCAACTGCACATTTAATAAAGATGCATGGAGTAAGAACCAGCAAGCTAATACTACCGACAAAGAAGCAGAAATGACACCAGAACATCGTGAAAGACAATGAGTGTGAGTGCACGACAGGCGGTGCCGCAGCAAAACGGTGAGTAGACATGGGAAATAGCCAGCTTGGCAGGCGCCTAACCGGCCACGAGCCTCAGCAGTCAATTAAACATCTGTTTTTCCCATCAAACAATTGATCCGCAGCCATGGATTTGTGTCGAGAACTTGGGGAATAGACCTGTCCTCCCTCGGCAACTGTAGGAGGGACATAATTGAACAGGGCAATTGGCTGAGAACTCTTAGGTGAAATCGGACAAATTTGAGCCCAAAATCGGCCCCAACCCTTGGTCCAGTCCGGACATAAGGGAGAAAAAAATTTTGGAAGCCTTATTTTTTTTCCGGACATGCAGGCAGATTTCAACCCTAACCCTTATTCGTGGCACTTGTCATGGAGCGATGGTGGTGTTGACATGCGCATTACACTGTTCGGTCCTCTCAGATGCTCTCGTCTACAGCGCCCTGCCTTGGGATTGAATCCTCCTCGTCGTTCTGCTTGATACTGTGCGGTCGCTTGGTTGTTGCCCAAGGTATGCATATCTAAGTGTGTTGCTAGTCCAGTATCGTACTAATGCCAACATGACCCCCCACTGCAGTGCTCGCAATTTACACACAGGGTGGAGGTAAGGCAGGCCCACACAGTTGGCAATCAGAGGCCACTTCTGTCAGTGCAATCTCCTATATCTCAGTGCAAATTTTTGAACAAGCATACAGCTTGAGCTTCAGAGCAGTCCACCAGCGGATGGCGACTCTCCGTGCCTTCACTTTTGCACATCTCCCTTCCGATACCTTTCTGCTGCGACTGCCAGGTCGCCACACTTCGACCGTGTACCAACAATATCTCAATCTTGATGCCAGTAGCTATGATTATTTTGCCCATTTACTGCCAGATTCACAGATTCTTGTAGCTGTGTGTCAAGAGCTTCAGAAGCTGAGACACAAAGGTGCGAAGGTTAATACTAGCAGCAATGATCTGGATGAGGTGTAGTTCTGTGTCGTTTTGCAAACTGTGCCGTAGACCTATAAAATATGATGTATTTGAGGCCTTGTCCTGCTATCTGGACAAAAATTGCCATATTTTGAAGCCTTATCTTAGCATCCAGACAAAACTGTGGTTCTGGAGGACCCTCATCCGCCACCCGGACAAATTTTTTGAAAAAGTGCCGAACCCTCATTCAAATCGGACAAAAACGTCGGATTTGGCCTTTCGGTGCTTAGACATTTTTGCCTCCGCTGGATAAGGGTTGCTAGGACCCCCGACAATTGGTGAATAGGCCTGATCTGGAGAGGGCAAAAATGTCCGTTGGGAAAAGGCCGTTTCGGGCCCAAAATGTCCGTGAAAAATTAGGCCTCACCACATTTTTTGCCTCCGCGGTCCACGTTTCTCTTCAGGTTTAAACCCTAAAAAGGTAATTTTGGGCGCTTCTGAACCGGCGGCTATGCCGCCTCCTCCTCGGCCCTGCCCGCTCTCCCTCGCCGGCCTTCCACAAGCGTTTGTCCGGCCTCGAATCAGGCCGCTGCCTCCCCGATGTCCGCGAAATGGCTCAGGCTATCCGGCGGTCAACCCCCCTGATTTGTCCGTGAATACCAGGCATGAGGCTCTCGAAAGTTCAAAATTTGTCCGTAACTGGCTCAGGGACCTTCCCCAATTGTCGGGGGTCCTGGGTTGCTGGGCTATTTTCCAGGGTCCTGGCTCCCCGCGGCACTGTGCACGTGAGGCGCCTTAAGAGAAGCACCAACAGGCACCAACTTGGTGCCAAATCGGATCTATGAATCTATTACATAGGTGAGTGCTAGTACCAGCAGTTATTGGTATGCATCGAGGCACCTCCCTAATTCTGCAATGCAGGAGTTTTGCATTGCGCAAAGTGGTCATAGAGAGGACGCAACGGCGGTAGTGTAACTGGACCTCGTCCACTGCAGTGGAAGACGCCTAGTACCTCCACCGCGGTGCCTCAAGACTTTCTGCTCTCGTCCTTTGGTATGTACTCTCAGTACCAAAAGTGATACAATCACATACTGATCGATATGCCCGGATTTTACTCCACGGTCTCCGATCTTCTGATTTCTTCATGACGTGTCATGACATCTCCTATGTCAAATGCAAGGGGACATACCGCCAAGGATTCGATGTTCAGCCCGCGCTTCGAAACTCAGTTGGTGTCTCACACCGCATACGACTGCATCAGAGAATGCTCCTTCAGAAGGACAGTCTCAGATTACGCCCTTGCGAAAAGCTGATGGTGCTGGCTCCTCTTAGCTTGGCTATGAAGCCGATAAGCCTGGATATATGTATGCATCGGACGTGCATAGCGAGCCTATCTTCAATGGTGAGTCAACATCGCCCATCAGCCGTCCGTTCATCTGCGGGACGCCCCAGTCCCATCGAGGTTTCAGGTCTCAGTTTTCAGTGCATTTTAGCAGCAGCTGCCGCTTTGGAGGCCCCTGCTCTCCCCCAAGTTGATCGCGTCGCCGACCGCGGAGATGAAGATGGTTGGGTCGTAGACAGTCTACGAAGCCGACAGCCTCGATGCAGCCAGAAGGTCGTCGAGAGCGATCCTTTTTATAATAATGGGGTTGTAAGTGCTCCTATGTCACTGCTTGTGCAGCTAACGGCGATTACTCCTTTTCGCACAGTGGGACAAGGAGAAGCCGCTCATCTTCTCGTCCGTGCACGTAGGCTCCCCGTGATATGACGCGGAGATAATATAATCAGACCTTACTCGTGTATATGGAACAAATTCACTAGCGCGCTACTGTGGTCTTACGTGCAATACTTTGTCGGAGAGCCGCAACTACATGGGGCACTTCAGATTTGCAGCGACAATTCGCAGTCACATCGGTGAGCTGCTTGCTATCTTCTCCCCACCTGCATGCACCTCAGGAAGCAGCCATTGGTATGAATTCATTTTGAATCTCAATGACTCGCCGAATCTCTGCAACGAGTTTGTCCCTCATACTTTTTGCGCTCTTGACGTGTTGATTGCTACAGAGCTGCAGAGCACCTGGCAGACACCTTGCATTCTATCGTGTTCATCTGTCACTAATCTGTGACTTATCACATAGATTCAGCCCTGACTGAATGTACGCCACGAAAATTTGCCTTTCGTACCTAGTCTGGTATCCACTTCCTATTCCTGGAAGCGGCGGTCATAGCCATGAGGAAGAGCTGGGTAGAGATGCATCTCCTTGTCCCCCGTCACCGAAGTCTTGCAAGGTACTCGTGTACGCATGGCCCGTGGCGGACCATCCATTCATTCAAGGCGCCAACCGGGGTGAAGCTTTGATCGTTATATTCAAGGTTAGAGGCTGTCTGTGAAATGACTTCTCCATTGAGCCTCCTCTAGGCGGTAGTGTGGTTGTTCGATTCTTCCGTTCCACTAAGTAAGGCGTTAATGATCGGTCCGCAGACTGAGAAGTAGCGGTGAGTCCATCATCGTGCATTCCAGACGGGGACCCTTTGGTCTGATCTTTCGCTTCTCCGCACAGTCTTTCTCACCACCCTCACTGATAGCGCGCTATATTATCAGTGGAACCAACGAGATTCGTTCCCTCTTAAAGCGTAGGTCTGTCTGACGCAGCTTGGCGTCGAACCGTCTCGCGATGTTCGACGTGTCCACCTTCGCTCCTGCGCGGCTTGCGCCTGTACTCCTATCACTCCTTGCGCTTGTCTATATAGCGCGCCACGCCGTTATTCGCAAGCACCAAGATATCGAAAGGCTACCTGGTCCAGTGAGTGCCGATATGCCACCTCGCAGGGGAAAGTGCTGAGGCAGCGATGCCATTCGTAGTCTCGCAAGGATGCTACCTGGCTGTGGGGTCATGAACTCCTGGCGTTCGAGAACTGTACGACGGACATGTACACCAGGTGGGCTGTAACTTTTGGCACGTTCTTCAAGATCAAGGGCGCATTTTTCCACCGCGATATTGTGAGCTCGAATGTTCATGGGATAACTGAACGAGATGTTCACCGTCTTGCAGATCATCGCGACAGACCATGCCGCCGTGCAGCACATATTCCAGTATTCCGACAATTATGGTGAGAACCTGATCTATGTACCCATCGTCCAGAATTCAATCGTCCGGACACAATCATTGCGCTTTTTGCAGTCAAGGCTCACGCTGTCTTCCTTTCCAGTGAAAGAAACTGGGATGCGGGAAGTGGCCGGAACCATCCTGGGCAGAGGCATCGTGTGGGCCGAAGGACACGAGCACGCGAAACAGCGCCGACTGCTAGCGCCTGCCTTCTCGTGAGTGTTAGAAATCCCACCCCTGGAGGTCTATCGAAGCGTTTGCCTCCAGCGCTCAATTAATGTTTCTTCCGACAGACTGGAGGCCATCAAGGGGATGACAGATGATATATCAGAATCGGCCGAAAAGGTGAGCCGACGATGAGCGCTGCACGTGATGTGTCTCATGCTCCCCGCAATGCGACATTACAGCTCGAAAGCAGGTTGACGAACCTGGTCCTCGCCCGCGATGGAGGGGCCACCGTCAACGTCGCCGACCACATCTCGACGTGCACGTACGTAACGTGTGTCTCAGTGTTCTCCCCCCCGCACTGACTAGCCACCGTGTCGTAGCCTCGATATCATTGGCCGCGTCGGGTTTGGCCATGACTTCAGGTCGGGCCAGTCCGCAGAAGCCAAAGAGATACGCGCGGTCTGGGAGAGGCAGGTTAACGAGTCGAACACATTCAAGGCCTTCGTCGGTTCGCTGCTGCTCCGCACGTTCCCCATCCTTACCTCGCTGCCGCTGCCCGTCATGAAGGAGGCGCGGCGCACAAGGGAGATCGTGTCCGAGCTCGCGATGCGCTTGCTGAGGCACGAGTACTTCAGCGACAAGGGCCGGGACATTCTCAGTATCTTGATGTGCGCGGGCAACAAGGACGGGGAAAAGGAGAAGCTCTCCTCTACGGAGGTCGTGGACAATGTCGGTGAACTGTTTAGTCATTGTTTACTTCCATTGAATTTACCCCACAGATCACCACGTTCTTACTGGTCGGCCATGAAACCATCGCCGGATCGTTGAGCTTCACACTGTGGGAGCTGGCCCGGCACCCAGAGATACAACAGAAGCTGCGCGAGGAAATTCGACAGTTCGGCCGCGACTTTGACTACGACGATATACAGCAGCTGAATTACCTCGACGCGGTCGTCAAAGAGGGGTACGTCTTAATTTGCAAGCTGTCATACCGTGATTGCGGACCAGTCCTTGAACTTGGAATGACCATCCGCCGTAGGCTTCGTTTGCATCCTGCCGCAGCTATGACCGAACGTGTAGCACTGAAGGACGATGTCATCCCCCTGAACAAGCCTGTCTGCACGTCGAACGGTCAGACGGTCTTGTCAATCAGCGTGAAAGCAGGACAGGCAGGTCTATTCCTCCTGCCACACCACTCGCCATACAGCTAACCCCGAATCACTGATTATTCTTGGTGTGATTGTTGGTGTGCTTCGACGACAAACGTTGCAGGTGTTCCACATCCCGTTCGTCAGTATGCAAGTCAATACGGACGTCTGGGGCCCGAATGCGGCGGAGTTCGTGCCCGAGCGGTGGATTGACTCCGGCGGCATGCTCCCACCTGCGGAGTTGCCGCACGGATGGAGCGGGCTCGTCACCTTCTGCGACGGCCCCCGGAACTGCATTGGCTATCGACTTGGTGCGTAGTTCTTGTTTTCTCCGTTTGTCGCGCATGGAGCGGCGCGTGGTCCCCGGTCCCCGATGCCAACCCCCTTCTGCGATCTTTCTTCATTTTGAATTTCATTTCCGCTGAGCGCTCATACCTTCTGTGCGCGGATGTCAGCGGTCTTTGAGTTCAAGGTCATTCTTGCAACGCTCATCCGCACCCTCGAGTTACACGATACGACTGCAAACGTGGAGCTGAAGATCAAGCCGACACTGCAGGCCTTTGTAGACGGTCGCGGTGGTTTCCTTCCCATCCATTTTACCTTGGCTCCATAAATGTTCATCCTCATGCCAGCCTATACGTACAAGCCAGTACTATGCCTGACCGTCGTTCAGTCGGTGCTTTTTAGGTACTTCATAGCAGTGCTACGTGACGCGTGACGCGTGACGGACGCCACCGGACTCGTACAGTATAGTATCGAACTTCATCGTCGAATTGACTGACCCGCTGTATTCTCCATATGCTTCAAATCATACCTCTGACTCGCATGCCCCGACTGAAATATGTGCCTCGTTCACAATTTGCGGGCTCGAATTGCACGCGGCACGCTCATTAGTTGGCGTAGGTCGTACACGGGAGAACATTCAGTACTCACCAGAAGCACCAAATCGTACATACACAACAAAATTCCACGCCATGACCATATTTTGGCTGAGATCAAGCATAAATGCTCCACAAAGTCACCAAGGAGAGAGAATGAGATGCATGCAATGTTCTGTGGCGCACGAGCTGGCCCGGGACAATAGAAACAATGCCCTTTGTGCGTGTTTATGCCCCAGGATCACAGACAACAGTTGCGCTTGCTTAGCGCGCTCTTTGGCAACGCTTTACTTACGTTCTTGTTGTTCTTCGTCCTTGTCTCTGCATTTGGTATATATACCCCACATATTTCACGTTTCCACGCGCCCCGTTGATTCATCGCCACCGCTCACTGCACGCCTCACGTCTCTGCCACCAGGTCCGTTCACCTGTCGTGCAGCCCTCGCTGCACTCGTAGAGATTCTCAATACAGGAATCGAATTGTCAAGTTGCAAGTGTAGAAACTACCCGTATGTCAGAAATTTATGGTGAGTAGCCCAGCGGCATCCGGTTTGTGGTTGCATAATCGATCCAACTCTCAGAACTGTATCTCGAGGACTCATGGAACGATGTGCGGCTCATCAAATATTGCTCTTCGATGCTTGAAGACCCCTCGCGTGTGCACCTCAGAAGCTTGCGGATCCCCACAGGATTCAATCCTGGTGAAAAAGTGTCGGTCCTCTTGGCAGAAGTTGTCGGTTGGGCTCCTCTGGAATCGTTATCGCTGGATTGCTCTGATAGCTTCTTCAAATCGTGTCCAGAGCTTGCGTATGCGCTCGCCAGCTCCCTTGGAATTCGATATTTGCATCTTGGGCTGTCATCCGCTGGATACATGACCCTTCGATGGTTGTCTCAGATGGAAAGCCAACCCCGAGAAATCAAGCTTTCAAACTTGGAGATACATAACCAGTTGAGCTACTGGCAGCTGCTGCAACCTTTTATCGATTCATTGCAAGTGCTCCGCGTGGAGGGGTTTGACCGTTTTGATACCGGCAATGGTCTTGTGTGGCCTAGGGTGTGTATCCTCGAGGTGGGATGTATGGCTGACTTTTCCCAGTTGTCACGCGCATTCCCTGCAGTCCAGGACCTTGTCGTAATCGATACAAAGGTCGGTTTGGATTTCAACTGCGATATTCCGCTACACACGGAATGGGCAAATCTTGATTGCATCGCGTACTGGACGCGAACTGCTGTCGTGCCACTTCAATGCCACACCCGTCTCCTGGACCTCCATGAATGGAGGTTAATCCCTCCTGTCATGTACTGCATCCAACTCTGCTCTCCAATTGTCCTATCGTGCAGGATGAACTCGCGTGCGAATGAATGCTACGCTGACCTTACTCAGTTGGCACAAGCAGCCCCTCTGATGCAATATTTGAACATTTTCTTTGACCATACAGATGCGGAATCTCTCGAATGCGTCGTATGTTGGACTCATCCTTACCGTTCTTCTCATTCAATGATGCGCTTATTGCTACTTCGCAGGTGGGGCAGCTGTACGTGCTCGATGGCCTGGCGCTCGCCGGAATAACACTGTATACCTCTTCTCCGTTGCATGTCTCTGACTGTGTTTATCAGAACTGGGCGCAGGAGGCTGCTGCACTCGTCTCGTCTCTGACTAAAATCACCTTCGGTGATGTCTCCGATGACGAACACTACGTAATGTTTTGCATCACTCGTGCTGAAGGGAGTGTACCTGAGGTAGAGCGAAAGTCATCAAGCGAGGAGTTTAACGCGCAGTGCGACTTACTCAAGCCAGGATGCTCCGCAAATTGGTCAAATACTGTTTGTATACAGTAGTTTGTTACAAGAATTTTAAACATCTTGAGTACTGCTGCGGCAAACGCCAAGATCATAGCAACCCGCGGCTATGTTCAAAGTCTCGTATATTCCTCATTGAGGTCCTGGCAGGGGGGCATCGCAACGAGTATGTCACGTTCTGGAAACCTTTCAAATCACACGTCTTGAAAGCTTGACTATTCACGACGATCGGGGCAATATTTACTCAGTCATGGTAGATGTGACGAGCTCGCAGCTGATCGGACGATGTACACTTACCGTCTCAGCAAAGCACGTATCCAGTCATACATCGACAGGATCTGTATGTGCACGAAGTGCGAATGCTAGAACGACCATGCATCGGTTGGTCAATAAATGACCAGGGAGGCAACGTGTCGGCACACGCCGTCAACAAACTGTAGACCAAAGCGAAGGCTTGACTACTCTCAAGAACCTGACTGAACTCAGAAGACTCCGTCACACTTAAAAAATGAAGTGACAATTGCTGCTGGTACACATCCGTTAGATCTAAGTGAATAAAATTAGACTGACCGTCAACATGTACGTACTAGATGCCTATCACAGCCATTCATACGCGAATTCGCTCGGAATACGAGGCATGCAACTTCGAATCTTGCTCAAAACCGGCCGCAGAACTCAGACGCAAATGTATAGAAAGTCGTCGATGATCCACGGAGCGGGTGTACCAATGCCGATTTGGCACAACCGCGTCAGGTTCTCCTCACTGGTGAGCGAGGTCAGAGACGATGCGCCAAAGCAGACCTTGGGCGATCTCGGAGAAGACCACGAGGCCACAGCTCTTCTGGGAGTTGATCAAGTTCGGGCGGTATTTGCAGTGCAATCGATCTGTCAGGTGGAGTTAGTAGGAAGGACGTGAGACGTATTTTCTGGTGTTGATGAATTGCTGGAAGACGTGGTGTAGTTGAGCGGCTGTGTCCATCAACGTGACGCCCTTGCGATGTGGAATCGCTACCGTAGCCTGGGGCATGGCAATCGGAATCCTAAGAGTTGCCTTTCATGAATATGTCGAAATGCCAGATTGCGCTGAATCAACTGGGAGAGTATTGCGAGTACGCGGCGAGGGGGGAAGGCGTCCAGGGGATGTCTGACGGATCTAGAGCGGGACCAAGCACAGCTCAGTCTCGTGCGATAGCAAACGAGTGACTGAGGTGCATCGTCCGAACGTCCGCCAGTACTACCTACGTGATTACGTAAGTAACGTGGTGGCGTAAATACCGTACTACTCTGCCCGTGTCGCAATGTATGTACTTCAACACGCCCACTCAGGGTGACAGGGAATAGAGTATATAAATGAAAATACTTAAGCCAAGCCCATCCCCGCTGAAAACTTCTCATGCTTCTCACGGGGAAGCCCCTTCGTCAAGACATCAGCAACCTGATTTCCGGTAGGAACGTACTCAGGTTCGATCTCGCCGGAGTCATACTTCTCGCAGATGAAGTGGTAGCGGACGGCAATGTGCTTGGTGCGTTCATGGAAAGCAGCATTTTTGGATAGCGCGATGGCGGACTGATTGTCGATGAGCAATGGAGTAGGGCCCTTCTGAACCTGTCCAATCTCCGAGAGGAAAGCGCGAAGCCAGACTGCTTCCTTTGTACCATGAGCTCCAGCCATATACTCAGCTTCAGTGCTGGACTGCGCCGTCGAGTGCTGCCTCTTTGAAGACCAGCTGACAGCGCCTTCCGATATGAGGAAAACAAAACCTGTGACCGATCGACGGTCGTTGACGTTCGCTGCCCAATCTGCATCCACGTATCCGAGAAGGAGTTCCTTCTCCTTGGTAGTGCCACAATAGACGAGCTTCTTGTCTGCTGTCCCACGCAGGTAGCGATAGACTCGCATAAGAGCAATCCAGTGCTCCTTGCCTGGTGTTGCAGCATGCTGGCTCAACGCGCCCACTGTGAATGCAAGGTCGGGGCGAGTCCCAATCATTGCATACATGAGAGAGCCAAGCACGCTCTGGTAAGGCTTCGGGTCGATCTCCGCCTCCGAGAGCTTGACGAGCTTCTGGTTCTGTGCCATAGGTGTGCTGACCGGGCGGCAATCGGCCATACCATGTTGTGCGAGACACTTCTCGACATACTGGTGTTGCGAGAGCTCGAGGACACGGCGAGGACGATCACGAGCGATTTCCATGCCGAGGAGCCACCGTGCTTCACCAAGGTCGGTCATCTCGAAGCGAGACTTGAGATCTTCCTTGAGGGTGGTGACAGCAGTGAGGTTGTCAGAAAGAATGAGCATGTCATCGACATAAATGGCAATAATGAGGAGAATACCGTCATCATTCTTGTAGAACACGCTGTGGTCCGAGTGGCAGCGGGTGAACCCAAGCGCCTCGAACTCAGCACGGATCTTCTTGTACCACTCACGTCCAGCCTGCTTAAGACCATAGAGGGCCTTGTTCAGCTTCCAGACGAGGCTGTTGGACCTGCGGAAGCCAGAGGGAACCTTCATGTAGATCTCCTCATCAAGATCACCATTCAGGAATGCCGATTTGATGTCCATCTGGTGGATCTCGAGGTCGAGCTTGGCAGCAAGAGCAAGTAGTGTTCGGACAGAAGTGAACTTTGCGACGGGTGCAAAGGTTTCATTGAAGTTGAGGCCCTCAACCTGTGTAAAGCCCTTGGCAACAAGTCGAGCCTTGTACTTCTCGATTTCACCGTCCGGTCCACGCTTGATCTTGAAGACCCACTTGCAGTCTATGACCTTGCGATTCCGCGGGCGCTCCACTTCGTCGTAGAGCTCCGCTTTGACAAATGCGTGTAGCTCCTCTGTGCACGCAGCCTTCCAGCGCGCAGCATTGGGGTGTGACATCGCCTCCTCATAGGTCTGTGGTTCATCCCAGCTTGTGGCTTTGTGAGCATTCTCTGCATCGCCCACTTCCTCTGCGTTCTCCGAGTCTGCCGCTGCGGCATCAGCGCCCACTCCACCCACATCATCCTGGCCCTTCGGTTTCCGTGTGTAGGAGGACACGAAATAGCGGTCATCATCGGCCACTACCGGTGCCGTGCGCGTTCAACCTGAATGGCACAGTTCCGGAGCCGGGGGAGGAGGTGGTGGTGGCTGCGCGGTGCGTGTGGCGTGACGCCGGCGCCTAATTTCGGGCAGTGGAACATCGTCGTTGCTGTCCTCATCCGCGCTGTCATCGTCATCCTCGTCGTCGCTGTCGTCCACATCCAGGAGTGCAGGTGCATCCTCATCTTCATCTGGGACATCTTCGACAGTGGGCCTTGGCGGGCGCGGAGACGGCGGCAGCTGCGGCCGCGCGTCGGGCGCCTCCTGCGTAGGTGTGACGTCAATTGTGACGTGACTGGGTGCGACTTCGGTGCCTTCATCGAAATACATGTCGCGGGATTCGACGATGCGGCCGGTCGCTCTGTGAACCAGACGGTAGGCCTTGCGATTTGCGGCAAACCCCAGGTGCATGCACTCGAACGTTTTCGAGTCGAGTTTCTGACGTTTTTCCTTCAGAACGTGGACATAGGCTTTGCAGCCGAAAACGCGGAGGTGCGCCACGCTCGGCTTGTTTCTGGTGTAGGCCTCGTGTGGTGTGAGGTTGTCAGGGAGAGTGCGGGTTGGAACAGAGTTAAGGATGTGTACTGCATGTAACACAGCATCACCCCAGTATGTGTTCGGCAGTCCAGCGTCATTGAGCATGCTCCTGGCCATCTCCTCGATGGTGCGGTTCATCCGCTCGGAAATGCCATTCTCCTGTGGAGTGTAGGCATTCGTCTTTTCGTGGTGGATGCCCTTCTCCTTTAGGTACGCTTCGAATTCCTTCGACTCGTACTCACCGCCGCCATCAGTCCGCAGGATATTGGCACACTGCCCGGTCTCGATCTCCGCTCGTTCAACAAAAGCTTTGAAGTGTGAAAGCGCTTCATCCTTCGTCTTCATGAGGTTGGCGACAAGGTGGTGCGTGTGTCCGTCGATGAACATGATGAAATAGCGGTGGCCGGACCGCGTCTGAGTCTGCATGGGACCACAGACATCGGAGTAGGTGCGATGGAGAACGCAGGGATTCTCGACATCCGACTCCTTCGGGATTGGCTGGCGTGTCTGCTTGCCATGGAGACAGGGCTTGCAGGTGACGTTACTCACCTTTTCTCCGACGATCGACATGCCCTTGACCATTCCCTTTCGCACCATCTTCAGCACAGAGTCTACGGAGATGTGACCAAGGTGGCGATGCCAGACCTGAGCACTCGCACTGGATGTTGTCTCCTTAGCAACAAAAGCGTGGAGTGGGGGATCATCCATGGAGTCATCGTAAGAGGGAGGGAGATCTTCTGCCTGCAGGATGTAGGTATGCTCGGGGAGCTGCGTGGTCACGTCGAGAACATAGAGATTTCTCCGCATGTACCCAATGGCGCTAAGTCGGCCCTGGGCATTGCTGATGCGACACGTACCATCAGCGAACCTAACATCGTAGCTGTTGCGGTCAAACTGCGAGACAGAGAGCAGGTTGCCATTGAGATCTGGGACATGGAGAACTTCCTGCACAATGCCAGTGTTCGTTGAGCCATGGTCGACTGCTGCACGGAGTGTGACCTGACCGATACCAACGGCGAGGATAAAGCGCTCATCTCCGAGGTAAACACGCTTGGGCATAGCGAGGGCACGGTAGTTTACGAACCACTCGCAGTGAGATGTCATGTGGGAGGAAGCTCCTGAATCAACAATCTAGCGGTGGAGGTCATCACCACGTGCCAACTCCTCAGCAACGAAGAGGCGGAGCGTCTCGGAGTCAGCCTCACCGACACTGGCGATCTTCGCAGATTCCTTTGCATCAGCAGCCTTCTCAGCTTTCTTGTCGCCCTTCGCTGTGGCGCCCTCCACCTGGCTCGCCTTGAACTTCTGACACTCGTCCTTCGTGTGACCAGTGTAGCCACAGAAAGCGCACTTGCCCTTCTTGTTCTTGTCCTTGTCCTTCCCCTTCGACTTGGTATCAGCATGCTTCGCAATGAGCGCAGATGCTGCGGTCATCTCGCCACGTCGCTTCTCCTCGCTAAGGACCTCGTTGATGACCTTCTCGACTGTGAGTTTCGAGTCAGAGGCCATGAGGATAGTGCGAAGGGTTGAATAGGATGGAGGAAGGGAGATAGCCATAGCGATGGCGATGAGCGTGTCGTCTAGCGTTAGCCCGAGCGTCTCGAGGATGTGGGCCTTCTGCTGCATCGTGTTGAGCTGCGGCTCTAGCGGCGACTCGTCACTAAGTGTGCTGCAGAAAAGGTCGCTGATGAGATAGGCTAAGGTTTGCTTGCCTCTGCCCTCGTAACGCCTGTTCAACTTCTCCCAAGCATCCTGTGCCGTCATCGAGTACATCACGCCGTTGAGCGGCTCGTCCTTGAGCATCAACATGATCTGTGCAAGCGCCTCATTGTTCCGGACATCCCACTCCGCCTTCTTCATAGTATCCGCTGTTCCGGGGTCGACTTCGGTGCCGTCGATGAGCGAATAGAGACCACGCAACCGGAGGATGGTAGTTGTGCGGTACTTCCACGTCTGGAAGTTTCCGCCATTGCTTTCGAGGAACGGGACATCGTAGAGGCGCTTCGACTCAGCTTTGGAGCTGGCCTGAGATATCGGCGGGTATAGAGACATGGTTCAACAGGGGTGTGAACGAGAGAAGCAGGTTGTGGGAAAGGAAGGTGATGACGAGCGATTGAGTTCTCGATATTTCCGATGCTGTCAGATTCAGTTGGAGCCGGGGCTCATAACCTATTGCGAGTACGCGGCGAGGGGGGAAGGCGTCCAGGGGATGTCTGACGGATCTAGAGCGGGACCAAGCACAGCTCAGTCTCGTGCGATAGCAAACGAGTGACTGAGGTGCATCGTCCGAACGTCCGCCAGTACTACCTACGTGATTACGTAAGTAACGTGGTGGCGTAAATACCGTACTACTCTGCCCGTGTCGCAATGTATGTACTTCAACAGAGAGTGGGTGGACTGATCAGTGAGGGGAAATAATCTGAGCACCACTGGCATGTGATTGCTGCCATCATGCGAGCCCGAGAGATGAGGGCCGCAAAATATTCCCGTGTAGCCGTACGTGCATACACCACGTTCAAGCACTTACGAGTCAGTAGGACACGAGGTAACGGACGTAAGTCAGCATGGATGCCGACGATAGACCAGAGTCCCGGCAGAAGATAGACCTTTTTCAATATGGCTTGTTGCAAGCTGTGCCGAAAATTTTTGCTGGCACCAGAACGTAGGACCGCCGACAGTTGGGGAAAGTCCCTGAGCTGAGGCAGAGCCAGTTACGGACAAATTTCGAACTTTTAACAGCCTCCTGGTATTTCAAGGACAAATCAGGGGGTTGACCGCCGGATAGCCTGAGCCGGACATCGGGGAGGCAGCGCCCAGGGCCTGATTTGGGGCCGGACAAACGCTTGTGGAAGCCCGGCAGGGGAGGGCGGGCAGGCCCGGAGGAGGAGGCGGCGCAGCCGCCGTCTCTGAAGCCCAAAATTACCTTTTTAGGGTTAGAAACTCATCCTAGGCCTGAGGAGAAACGGGGAGGCAAAAAATGTGGTGAGGCCTCAATATTTTTCACGGACATTTTAGGCCCAAAACGGCCTTTTCCCAACGGACATTTTTGCCCTCTCCAGATCAGGCCTATTCACCAATTGTCGGGGGTCCTCAGAACGTACGATCTCCACCGCGAAATGAATGCCACAACATGAGGCCTTACGGCCTGTTCATCGATGGATTCGATGCTGCAGACTCGGGCAAGAGAACACGCAGTTTCCTTGCACACTGATGGGCAGACGATTCACTCAGGATCCTACTAATAGATGCCAACTTCAAAAGGAAACCTACACATCGCTGACAGGATTGAAGAAAGGACACGGTCCATAGCAGAGGAGCACTAATACAAAGTCAGTACATTTGTCTGCAACTGAGTTATGTTCCAGGTGTGCGCACAACAGAAAGACTGAGTACGGCAGCTCTTCGCCGGGGGGTATGGTGACACCACAGCGACTACCGCCACCGTTGTGATCACGGCCACTTCGATCGCATCCCTCTCGCATTGTGTGGCTGAGTGCCACTGCCAAAATTTGCACCCCTTACAACGCCAATCTCCTGTACTCAGATCTGCCTCATGACAATGACATGCGGCAGCCTTTGTTGTCAGAGCTTCTCGGGCGTAGCCTCGTGCGCTCTTTATTCGTCAACGTATATATACTTGGCCTCTGCGACCAAGAATCTCCAACATCTTCTACTTTTACCCCAACAATCTACGACCAATGTCATTGTCGCTATCCCATCATTCTATGCCGCAGCGATGTCGGCACACCCGCGGGCCAGTGTATCGCCCAGGATATCGCGCTCGTCCCATTGCGGTCCTGCGCGCTCTTCAGTTCGAGCTCCTCGTCGTCGAAGGTGTGTTTCCGCCCCACTCTTGTATATCAGCTTGATCCTTGACTCAATCTTACCACAGCGAACAGCCGCGTCGAACCCGCGAGCTCGACGATGACGCTCGGAACTTCGAACACCCGACGGGGGAATATCACCCCAGCGCACAACTCTGGCTGCAATGCCCCCGCCGCATGCAGCGACTTTCTTTATCAAGAAACAGTTTGTTGTCGCCGTGAAGCTGTCTGCTCATCTGACGGACAATCCATCTCTCTGGCGGACACGTCGCCAGGTGTACAGTGGCCAGGCGCTCACTCTGATGCAACTGTTTTGGCCACAGCATATGCCTATCGTACTACGCGAGTGCTTTGGTGTTTACCTTCGATCGGAGCGTGGCTCGCTCGTCTCAGAAGCTCTGCAACTCGTACTAGGGTCCTCTATCAGCGGTTCACCCCTCTACGTCTTGGATTTGTCACTGACATCTCAGGAGAAGATCCCGGAGATGGACTCCGGCAGGCCTGACTCCCGTCCTCGGAAGAGGACGCGGAAGTGTGGGGGGTGTAGGGAGAGGACTGGGGAGAGGGATGTGAGGTGAAGGGACGATCGAGGACGGGAATGTCGAGGCCCGTCTCGAGCATTTCCAAGCCGGTCAGTGCAGTGACCGCCTTAGAGGCACCCAATAAGATCGTTCCGGAGAAGAATCAACTCGCTGTTTTATCGTCGTGGAGTCATCATGCAGAGGTCGGTAACATGTCGTCGCGAGCCACATGCATATGCTAATGATCACCTCCCGGCAGTGCTCCCAACAGGACTTCTGGAGATCCCCTGTTATGACGCCTGGAGCGCTCTCCGTGTTCGCCTTCGGGAATGACATTCGCCCTCTGCTGGCAGACGTGCGGAGGGAATCGGGTCCTACGGAACTCTGTGTTTCTATGGAAGATGTCTCCACGATCGTAGTGTGACTAACCGCGGAGCACAACGCAACCACGTCGGGCACCCGCCCTCCTAAGCGCGCCGGATGAAAAATGCGTCCCCGAGCTCGCCAGACCGCGGTTTGCAGACATGCAAATTCGTCGGTGTCTTCATCCAACCATCACCGATATCGATCCCGACGTGATGTAAGGCCATCGGATCTTGATTTCTTCCTGGCATTATTACGACACCGTTCGCCCAGCAGGAAACCATCTGCTTCCATCTCGCTATCCTCTCAACATTAGGTGCACCCTTGTGCTTCAGACTTATCAAGATATGAACATTGATTTAGCTCCTCGATTGTGGCCTATACCGTCCAACGGTCTATCATCAAGATCAGCCTCGTACACTTTCAAATAACCTCACGCCCCCCTCGACCATATACAGACACTCATTGTACGACTCGAACTCTACACCGAGTCGCCATCCCCGAGTTCACAATTCACCGCTCGCAGCACCGGTGGCACTATCCACTCCCTCGTGCTCCCTCTCCTCGCGCTCATACCTACAGAGGCTTACTCGTCCTGCCAGCCATGACACCTCGTGTCGTTCTCAGCACATTTTCGCCCCAAAACCCGCCTCGAGCAGTGAAAAACTGATCTCTTCGAGTTCAATCAACGATCTCCCCGCAAGAATATACCTTTCCCCTCCAATCCTCAGTCTCTTTGCTAATAGTGTACCGAGTCTTAGGAGTGCCGTTCGTCCATCCGCGTGTTGAGAGTCAATCTCTCAGATGCGCAAACTCACCTCGCGGCTCTCTACCTTCTACCCATCAGCAGCATCCCAAGGTCTTCCCTAAACCACAACAAAACCACAACAAAACTCTTGTCTCGGCTTACTGAGGCCCCCACACCTCAAGGTCATTCCCTAGATAACAGAAAGCTCCCTTTCACCTCTCCAATGTTTTGAATTGAAAATATAGGGTTGTAGATTTCTCCTTCCCATCGCCGTAGCCTTCCCACCATTAAGTAGTAATAAGGAGCATCACTCACTGTGCAGTGTACAGTGCAATAAATATATTGAATTGTTCGCGTGCTTGTTTGCTCGACCTAGAAGGTTTTGTTATTGAGAGCGTCAATGCGCAAACGTTGCCACGGAAAGTTTGGGGGGTGTCGATAGAAAGATGCTGAGTGCGACCTGCGCGGGAGTGTCGCTACTCATCACACTAAAGTTTCAAGCTGTGCATCGCTGGCACATATCCTGGAACACACGTCTGCGTCATCTCGTTCCATCCAAAAGGCAGCTTTTGCTTCCGACGAAGTCTACCGGACTACGCCACCGTCCCAAGGAGCGACCAATGTTGGTCCGAGATTGGTCCAAGACCAAATCCTACTGCACTTCATTTCCTAGAATTGATCTGTGACTAGTCAGTACCTCTCACCATCTGCAGCTCACCACTGAACATAAAACTTCTTTGATATAATTCTCTAAGCTACGTGTCTTCTTTACAAGACATCCGTAGCCCTCAGATAGTAATGGAACCCTTGTTCATTCCAGAAAGAAGCACCGTGACAGATCGCGTCCAGGGAAGGCACGTGATTTTAACCCGATGTGGCGTAAGTTGTGACACCCGCGTACAACTTCACCGTCCCAGGTGACTTTGAAGAGCCGTTGGTGCTCCGCTCGTCGTTCAGAAAAGGGTAAGTGTCACGCATTGCATCCAACCAGAATAAAATTTAAAAGATATGTTTCATCACACATATGCCTTCTCAAGTTCGAGCGGCTGAGCTTCTTCCGAGAACTCCCATAACTTGAAGCAGTACCTAGGTGCCCAACCCTCCTGTCCTCGAATCCTCAGCATTGGTATGGACGCTTCTCACCACGACCTCAAGTTCCTCTTCACAACCTTGGCCAAGCTTCAAAGCTTCATCCGTGCTGATTTTCTGCCAATGCTTTTGAAGTTCAAATTTCGCACACGCCGTCCTCAGCATCTATTCAATGCGGGGTCCTCTACTCCGGGAATTTCAGTCAGTACAGACGACTGTCTCCGGCCTTTGATATTATTTGTGTTCATTACGCAACTTTCTCACCTGATCACAAGTACTCACTGCCAGGAATGTCATACGAACACAGAGTGAGACACTCATCGGCAGTCAGGACACTAACGATCCTATCGGAAGCCATGACCGCAAACCACCCGCGAACGTTTAGGAGCTCCCGTTCCTTGAAGTTGCCCCCAGCTTCCCATCATTGTTCTACCTCAGGATGACTCCCTTCCACACGAGAGCTGACATGGAGCGCGCGTGAGGTGGGGTGCGGCTTCAGACTTGCCACTACTGAAGGTGATGTAGGTCAGTAACGGAACCTTTTCGGCTGCCACTCCTTCCCTCCTGATAAACGAAGTCAGGAACATCCGACGGAAGCACGCTATATAAGGATACACCGACGAGCGACAGGCCGCTGAGGAAGTGCAATTAGTTTACTTGCGAAGACGTAGAGACGAATGGCGATCACAGACGGTGGCAAAGAAGTCTGCAGTGCGCAGGCGGACGGGACGTAGAAAACGAGCGATGCCACGCTACAGAACACAAGGAGTATATAGAGAGACAAAAGAGCCACGTATTGAAGAGCGCTAAGCACAAAAAAGACAACTGCGTTTCGTATAGACATGAGAGCCAAGCAAGTCCAATTGTTTTCACCTCATTACCACTTTTGGCTTGCAATTGGGTTTGCTTTGGTTCGTTTGCTCGGTAAGTATCGTTTTGGCTCTTCCCCCCCCCGCGTTGATGCGCTCCCCAAATTTTCCCTGCTGGTCTGTCGACCCGCCCACAGGCTGCTCGTGAACGTTGAATATCCAAGGGACAAGCCAACCATGGTGTGGATGGAAATGATTATATGTGCGCCTTCTGGTTTTTCACTCGACAAGTTTGATCTCAGTTTCACCCTCACGGTATTGAGGTAGCCCAGCCTTCTCGATGGTGTCGACCGTCGACCTCTCCCAGCGTCGACAATATTGCTGTTCCTCTGCGTCTTCGCGCCGCCGTTCTGCCGGCGCCCGTCGTTTGTCACAAAGTCATTGTCCCCAATATCACCCGCCGAGATAATCAGGTCCGTGACACCGAGTAAAGGGACGAACCGTTACTGGCGAGCTTGAAGGTGAAGATATGCTCCGAGACAGCATCTTCCTCGACGGTTGTGGTCAAGTACGGATCCTATAATCACAACTCGGGTTATTTGAGAAGACAGCGATGATGTGTCCATACCTGTGGTTGAAAGCCAAAGCAAGGACTCTTCGTCATGCTGGCAAGATACTGACCACCCGAGTCAGCGGTGGCACCACCAAAAACTACACCTTCGTGAGACTCCAGCATAAGTCAACGCAGGTCAGACCGACTTGTAACGGCGTACGTAGCAGCGGGCCATCAATGCACTCCGGCGCGTTGAATGCTCTGCTTCATAGATACCCGTGGCGAAGGAATTGTTGGCCCACACACTCTAGGAGGATCGAGGCTAAACTTCAGTATCTCTCAGTGGTACGTGAAAAGTTCCACAGAATGATCATAGCTAGCATACTTACAGACTTTGAACCGTACGCCGGTCCACGTATTGCAAAAAAAGAAAACGAGTGACACGTCGTGTAACGGGAGGTCACGTGAAGTGAGGCCACTCTGTGACTTCCGCGGAATGTCCAAGTTTGAACTTTGAAGTCGTGAGGTTCTGAATTTGTTGCCACGTCAGCAGGCAAATTGCTGCTTTCCCTTTCCCCCGGAGCTACAAGGCGACCAACTTTTTTCCAGAGGGACAGATCTCATTTTTCGCATAGGCTTGGCGACGCGCGATGGGGACTCTGGACGTAGGCGTCGAACACCTTCCCCGTCTATTCTGTTCAGTGAAAAGTGTTGCATCAAATTTTCAAAAAATCATCTCCCTTGAAGGTAGTTTTATAGTCCTCAACGCTTGCATTTTCAGTTTGACCACTTACCTGTTTGGCTTGACGATACTCGATTCCATTACTGTGTTTTCAGGCCAGTATCGCGTACTCACTCTAGAAAACAACTTGTTCACGCGCCGAAAATACTGCCCTGTCGTAAACATCTCAGTCATGGCCCATGCTCGCAACCTGGTCGTCGACTGTAGTCTCTTATCGTGACGGAGGACGCTCGCAAGCCTCCGACACTGTGATATGGGTATTTTGCCTTCTTTTCCTGCGTGAAGAAAGTTCTATTAGTAAGTGTGTGTAGCTCTCACCATTTCTCTCTAGATTTTTATGATAACTTCACAGCCATTTTCCCCGAATCTTTAGGCGAGATTTGGGCATCACTATGCAGGCCATTCAATTCACCACCTCAGATGGCCCAGAAACCGCCTCCTATGGTCAAAAATAACGCTGGAGGTTTCCTCGGAGTGAAGATGCATCAGAGTGTAAGTTCGCGACCGCAGATATTTACTGGGTATCTCAACGTGTCGAGCACGCTAACTTAATCTCGTGTGGCTAATAAATTGGCGCTCTGCGCACGCGACGGTTGGTTCAACTCTCATTCCATTTAGCTGACTGTCTTCGAAGGTACACTGTCGCTCCGCAGAACGTATCACCGCAATACTTACCTCCCTCCTACCACAGCATATTCACCTCTATTCCGCTCACATAATGGACAAGCCTATTCTCGACGACTCCAAGCCGGTCAGTGCAGTGACCGCCTTAGAGGCACTGAATAAGATCGTTCCGGAGAAGGATCAACTGGTTGCTTTACCGTCGTGGAGTCATCATGCAGAGGTCAGTACCATACCGTCGCGAGCCACATGCATACGCTAATAGTCACCTCTCGGCAGAGCTCGCAACCGGACTTCTGGCGGTCCCCCGTCATAATGCCTGGAGCGCACTCCGTGTTCGCGTTCGGGAATGACATTCGCCCTCTGCTGGCAGACGTGCGGAGGGAATCGGGTCCTACGGGACTCTGTGTTTCTATGGAAGATGTCTCTCCCACCCCAGTGTGGCTGAACCCGGAGTACGATGCGACCGTTTCGGGCATCCGCCCTCGTAAGCATGGCCGTAAGGGAGAGACGAAGGGTGAAGATGGGAATGTGAACTCAGACGGAGAAGGCACCGGGACCTCCCCAAAGAAAGGCAGGTTGCCCAAGGGTCAACCGGTAGGCCTCTCATTCAACTGTCTGTATTTAGTGGAGCTGACTTTTGACCAGGGACAGAAGAAGAATGCATCTACGTCGAACCCGCGGTCTCACCGGAAGTAATGGACAGAGACTCACGAGTGCTGTGAGGCCCTCTACATGCCTCGAAGTCATCCCCCAGTCGACAACGCTTCCTCCCCCTGTCCTTCATCTCTCTCTCTCCCCCCATTTTTCTATCTCATCGCATACGGAAGGCTGGCCTTTTGATAATTACTTGCAGTCTATACTAAGTGTATCAGTGGAGTTTACCCTAGAGTTCGCCCTATACTCACGGAATATGACCACGTGACCGTTTCCTCGTGCATGCAGCCGTGCTCGACTTGTACGTCACTTCAGCGATGAGTCGAAGACAAAGTGGGGAGCGAGACAATGGATGCTGTTCACGAACGCGTCGACGACGGTGGTGGTCAGAGGGAGAGATGGGGAAGATGGGCGACTCGCACGGGTCCCACACTACTTGGTACTCACGGGCCGCCTTAATGGGCGTCTATCTGATCCGCAGGAGTATCATCACATCTGGCGAATTCGGCGGTCCCACATAATCTCCTTGCCAGCGTTCACTTTTACGTATTTTTGGTAATATTGGCGCATATTTTTCACCTCCTATTGACGGCTTTTTGGGCTCGCTGCCCAGTGTGCGCGATGACGCGGGGCGGAGACGCGTCTAACACGCGTTACATTGGGCACGTGACTCGCGTTCTGTGACACAAAGGTAACGTAAGTCGAACAACTAACTCATCGCGACATGCGCACCACCGCACTATGCTTCTCACTTGACACGACAAGTAACTTGCACTGCAAGTAGCCTTATGCAGCACCAGTGCCATCAAAGCCTTGAAGTATGTACCGCTTTAACCTTGAAACTTGAAGTCCACCGATGACGGGTTAGATGTTCTTCAAAGCTGGAAGCGTAAAACACCATCACCCGACACTGCACCTCACCGTCTCCCCCGATGTCCATGTCATGTCCTGTCTCATTACAGGGGTTCCTAACAAACAGCAGCTCGTCCTGAATGGTTCGCCATTCGCTCGAATTTTCCATTGGTTCTGGCGCAATGCGGCATATACTGCGAATGTGCTCCTTGGTTTAGATACGGGAAGATTTTCCGATACATGTTGTGTTGTGGCTCTGTGTTCCAATGACGTGGACGTCTCGATGGGCGTCGACCGATGTTCAGCATAGTCGGTGTCCGCACTGTCACTACCTCTTCCCACAACTGCATGTCTCTTGCGTGCGTGCGTGCATTTGGCAAATATTTCGCTCTCGACGACGGAGAAAGCTTTTTTTGCCATTGACAGGTGTCCTTGGGGTGAACTCAATGGGGTCTCAAGGTCTGGATAGCAAACGTACTTAGAATCGTGAGGGGATAATTTCTGACATTATTTTATCCATCCCTGCAGCACCCACTCGCAAGGTACATATAACATAAGTTCATTCCGTACAATTTTCCTAGAGCTACACTCATACGTTTAGTACACTGTACACAGATTGAGTCGAATCCTTGGACAACGTTGTCATCGTCCCCCTTTTATCCGCAGCTGCTACCACTTGCACGGATACATCACGTATGTGGATTAGGACCACCCACGCTGAGGGTTACCCCTCCCCAAGCATCCATCACACTTTTGAACCGGTCATCCGCCTGGTGCATGCTCCTGGACAAGCATCGTGATGGTGCCCCACGCCATGCCCTCGGCCCACACCCTCCGCACGATCCACAGCAAGTTGTACAGCTTCGGGTTGCCTATGAACACAATATACGCGCGGATAGTGTTTTGCGCGCATCGGTTGGTTTGATTTTGGCAGGAGCCAGAGGCTACCATCGAGCGCAGCGATCACAGTAGACCCCTGATCGTCGACGGTATCCATGTTGGCTGTCTCGGGGAACTGGGAACGCTGCTTTCGCAAATATACAGCCGGTGCAGCTTTGGCCACGAAGTTCAGGTATCCCGCGTTGTCCATAATCCCCTTGGGCGTATTGTCGAGCCACCAGCCCGATGGCCACTGACCATCTATCACCGCCTCCACGTTCACTATCGCACTGCTTGTGTTCACGCGCCCAGTTGTCCGGAGGCTTTGTGTGTCGAGGTAGGCCTTACCCAAGACATTAGCTGTCGGAAATATCGGAAAGCTGGAGAGCTGGGGGCAAGGGGGAAGATGAAATGATGCGGCGAGCCAGCTCGCGGTGCCGCCGTTATGGAGAATTTCCTGCGCGAACGCGATCGTAGCGCCGATGTGGTCATTCCCATTAAATCCCTTTGTGTGACGCCGAACATGCCCATGATGCTGAACACCATGTCTACGGGACCTTGCGCATGTTCGGCAATACGACCGAGTATATCAAGAGCCATATTTGGGCACTGCTTGGTGCGATGACGCTGACGAACGTGGAGGCGAAGCTGCACGCCGTGTGGCGAAGCTCGATGATGCAGACCTCCTCGTGTGAGGTCGAGCTGCTGCTCGCCGCCGTTCGAGTTTGTGAAAACAGAATCGCTTGTGTGTAGCTGCAGGAGCTGCGCGAGGCCTGCGTAGGCGGAGGTCTTCGACATGAGCTCATAGACATTCGTCTTTGAGCGTTTGACCTGCCCCGATCCTCGACCCCATGAAAATACAACCAGCGACATCTTCGGCGCTATGACCTCCTGCAGAGTCCACCCGCGGTGGATTTACCAGGTATCCTCCTCGAGGCTCACAAGGCGCCGCATCCCACCGGGCATGACAATGCAGGCCGTGCATGACCAGTAGATACTGTATATGTTCTTGATCTGGAACGCCTTGTCATCCTTGCTCGTCTGCATCATGCAGAGGCAGTCGAACCAGATGTTCTGGGTCTTCTGGGTCTGCGCCTCCATGCACGCACGCATGAGCGCCTCGATACCGACCGGGTCGCCATCCTCCGCGCCATGCACAGCAGACGAGTCCCAGCTATCCTGTGCAGTGTCAAAGCGACTTCGTAGATGTTCTCGATCGCCACATCTCGATGGCACCGTTGATGGCCGATGAGATCTGCGACTGGCGAAATATGAGGTCTGCGCTGTTTGAGCCCATAGTCGCTGTTTGATGCGCTCTTTATCGTCGATTGTGAGCGCGCGCCTACTCTGTCCAGTACTTATTGCCAAGCTACTGCGTTGACGCGGCTGGACGCTGGGCGCTGGCCGTCCATTAGGCGCCCGTCGCAGCTTCGCTAGCTAGCAAGCCGCTCGCTCGAGTGTGGATCTGGCAACTTGGGCCCTACGGAAGGATGAATAGCGCCTCGTTGCTCGATGATCATCACAAGGACTTTCAGAAGACAGACACCGCGACACTCAGAATGTCCCTCGTGGAGGATCGTTCGCATCGCCATTGTACGCTAATTTGGGTAGACGACAGGTCCAGGGTTCCCCAGATTTAACCGATTCAAGCAAGTACACTTGTTGCTGCAACTGTGGTGCCGACTATTGATCTGTGGTCTCGATACCATTGGCAGCAGCAACGTCAAGACTCGGAAAGACTCATTCCTGGGCCCGACGTTGTTGACGAGTGGGCACATCAAGCTCTCGATTTGGCAAACATGATATCAAGGAGAGCCTCCGACGTGCGAACTGTACGGGAATTTCCTCGACTTACTTTAGAAGACGGCAAGGCCTTATTTTTGTTCTTGAAGTGTCATAGCCGGTGAGCACTGAACAGAAACCTGTCAGACATATCATAATTCATCACCACCTTCGTGTCCAAGCAAGCTGAGGCCCTGCTTGCACGATTCCAAGCCACATGACTTCGGGTTGTCTGGTGACTTGTTAAAACCGCGACTGCAGACACATTTGAATGATGAGTCCACACGACTGTATTCTGCTGGATGAACGACACGATATGATCTCTATTACACAAGCGAGAAAGCTAGATTATGCAGATGAGGGTGAGTGAAGATCAATTCACTGAATTACTCAGAAGTCACGATGCAGGTCACGAGCAAATGTGCATGTACATCTCAGCACCGTATTCAAGAGAAGCTCTGAACCTCCGAAATCAACCGAATGTTTCTTCTGATGCTGCACTTGGCACTGGTTCTTACACCTGATCAATTGGGATCCAAGCCGGAATATACCTCGCTCCCTCCCTCTTCGCCAGCCAGTAGCACGCTGACACCATGTTTCAGTAGTCCGGGGCACTTTCTTCTGTCACAAAGGAGACTGTCAACAAGATACTGTGTTGTTATCGACGTCGTAAAGCATTGAGGTGCGCGAAGCCCTGGCAGTTCTCGAACTTTGCGGTTGTTTAGGCGCCTGTACGTACACAAACCACGTGCGCGCGTCGAGAGCGCGTAGAAGTACTAGCACTGAGCACTCGGAGTCCTCCCCATTCTCCCACCGTATCTACTCCCTCTACACTCTCCCTTCCAGATATTCCAACCACTAGAGATATCTCTTGCTCACATAAAATCTTGATCTGTTCAATCTACTCAATCTCTTGCCTTGTCAATCTGGCCACTAAGTACTAGTCATGAAGTTTGCACGGTACGTATATATGCTGGGTGAATATGAATCTGGAGGGCTAAGATTTTTCGGCGGTATACTCTAGATATTTGGAAGATACCCAGGTGAGCTTCCAGTTGTCTTGTCGATCACATTCACTAATGTGGTGCTTTTGTACGCGCCTCATCTCAGATTCCTGAATGGAAGAAGGCATACATGTGCGCACTCACCGTTCGATCACAGTTGTTCGATTCTCGCTATTTGACTCATCTTGCTCCGCATAATCTTACCTGCTGACGGTTCTGGTCTTCCTTTGTCAGTGACTATCGAGGGCTGAAGAAACGCATCACTGCCATCCGCCGCGCTCAAACCGCGGTACAACCTCCTTGCGGTGGTACATCAACAACTGGAGCAACGCCAATTATAGAGCCAACTGAAAGCCACGACGCAGAGAATCCCCTGGGGCCGAGTGTCTTACCCCCTCCAATACTTTCTCCCAGTCATACTCAGTCGTCGCACTCCACAGATCACACAGCGTATGATCCTGAGACGGAATTCGCAGCGGAAGATGAGCCCCACAACCTTCTTGGCCAACAAGTACCAGAGGTTCCAGCACGGCCACCACTCAGCCGCTCAGCTTCAAGCTCTGGGACTGGTGTACACCCCGCTGCTACCCTGCGCCGTCGTAACACAGCATTTTCCATCCTGGCGCGTGGCGCGTCGGAAACTTTCAACATGTCACATCTCTCCGATCTCCCTAGTTCACTCAAATGGGATCCTACGACGCCTCCTCCGCTTATGGAGCTCCTTCCACGATTGGCGCCTGCTCATCGCGCCTATTTTGACGCGCTGGATGCGGAGCTTGACAAGGTTGAGAGTTTCTACTGCGAGCGTGAACAAGAACTGAAAGACAGGTAAGTTTACGCTAGTAACATGTTCAATCCCAAAAGCTGTAGGTAGCGAAGCATGGATTGTTGGGCAACTGATGCATGTGCTGATGCTACTTCTCTTCAAATATGGGTGGCTCTATCACACATGTAACTTGTTTTTGCTACAGGCTGTGTAGCGGTGAGAATGACCGGCGTGTCTTTGAGGCAAGCTCATCTGTACCTTCTTACATATTTTCTCATATCCTTGTGCAAGCGGGTAATCAATAATATCGTCTTTGTAGGACCGCTGAACTGAAAAAGCAGTTACAGGAACTCAAAGACCACAGACGTCTCTTCTACGTAAGCTCATTTCGGTCTGGTGCTTCCACCCTCTTTCATGCCGTTGCTAGCAGGAGGCTCATCCACTCACCTCGTCCCAACCTGCTTGGTTCGCAGTTCCCTTTACCCGCCTGCGCCGACGAGTGCCGAAGTTCTTACCCCACGCGGAGCCACACCCTGACATACAGTCAGTCTTACCCTCTTCACTGAAACAGCGCAGAAGATCTCCTGCTGCCAAGGCTTCCGTAGACGCCGGCGGAGGCGCGGGCGACAAAGACACGGAGGTACATCCAGAGGATGAAGGCGCATCTCACAAAAATGGCGTGAACTTCCAGCTGGAGAATAACCAGGCTCTTAAGGAGCAAACCAAGGATGTCGAGATTGAGAATGCCGGTCGTTCCGCTTCTGTCAGCCTGTCACAGACGCACGCAGACAGCGAAGACGGCGACCACTACAACCACTCTCATCTCCATATGCATCCGCATGTCCGTCGTGACAGCAGACAGCTCCAGCCCGCACGCGCCAAAGGTGGCCCCTCAGGCCGTCGACTCAATCCAGAAGAATACCAGAATGCAAAGAAGAAACTCAAGAGGGCAGTGCTAGAATGTTACCGGTGGGCATCTTCTCAGCTGTGTTTTAAGTAACAAGGTTGTTGACTCCAATCCAATTAGTGGCTTGGAAATCTTGAATAATTACAGGGCAAGTGGCTGACATACGTATGATACTAATAGTGTTGACAAAAGCATGCATTGGTTACAGACACTGAACCTTATTGGGTTCCGCAAAGCTCTGAAAAAATTCGAGAAGGTGACCAAGGTTTGCAATGAATTGGGCTTTCTGTTGCCTGTCGTCGCTAACTCTGTACTGTGTCTCCGCGTGCCTGGGCCATAGATTCCAGTGCAACATGCATATTTAACCGAGAAGATAGAACCTAGCGCCTTTGCATCAGGCGCAACTGTGGAGGGAATGATCCGTGAAATGGAGGATCTCTTCGCGGCTCGTTTTGGTGCGCACATCTTTGCCTACCGATATATCACTGGCTCCGCCTTTGGTGCTGACGCCGGATTATAGCGCGGGGAGACAGGAAGAAGGCGATGGATCGGTTACGGGGCTGGCAGCGTCAGAGCCATCATTTCAGCTCGTTTAAGACGGGCTTGATGCTGGGCCTCGCTCTTCCAGCGTTCGTGGATGGCGTGTATCAAAGTAAGTTTCACCAACTTCCAACATTATTTATTCAGATACCTGGACGCGAAAGTGCAGTGAGCAGCTATGTCAGAGTGCGTAAGGCTGAATGTCTATTTAACAGGCTTCCAGGATGACACGCGTGCGGCGTTGCCCACTTGGAACGGCTTGCTGTATGTATATGCTGTATTCTTCATCCCGATCTTGCTCTCTGTCCTAGTTGGCGTGAATCTTCTGGCTTGGTCCAGCGCACGCATTAAATATGTCTTCATATTCGGTATGCTTACTCGGATGTTTTCGTGTGAATTCATTTACTCATGAAATTCTCAGAACTGGATGTGCGTACGTGTCTCGACCAGCGTGAATATTTCGAGGTAACGTTCTGTTCCTACACTACGTATTCCGCGTCGATTATTAATTTCCTGCCGTGATTGGTATAATCTGCTTAGGTGCCTTCCATCCTTCTGTCTACTCTCTGTTATGCCTTCTGGCTTTCTTTCAACCGCATTGGGGCGCATTCCGTCTCACCAACCACGTGGCCGCTTATATGGCTTGCCTGGGCAGTGGGGATAATGCTCAATCCGCTTCCCATTCTGTACAAATGGTCGCGATGGTGGTTCATCAAAATGCTCTATAGATTGGCGACGCCTGGAATTCGTCGGGTAGAGGTGCGACTTCCTCAAATTTTTAGCGAGCGGCTCCGTGTTCTAATTAATGGCGTAGTTCACGGACTTCTGGATGGGGTCGGTTGTCCTTTTGTTCTATGCTGCAAGTGGCTCATCGGGCTCTCCGCTATTGAAGTGATCAATTCTGCAGTCTTGTCTTTACTTTGACAAACATGTTCTATGTCGGGTGCGCTTATAAGCGAGGATTGGATAATTGGCAGCAGTGCACAGAGGGGAGATACTGGGGACCAGAGTTTGCCCTTGCATGCATTCCTTTCCTAATACGTGTCATTCAGAGCATCAAGCGGTGGGTAGACTCTCGCTTGATCACCCATCTCATCAATGTGAGTGTCTGAACATAGCAAGACATGCTTCTGATATGACTCATTCGTCGTCTGCAGGCGGGAAAGTACGCTGCTGGATTGCTCATGTATCTCTGTTATTACCTCTGGAGGCAGCACGGTCCGGTCTACCGTCGTATTCTCCGAGCGACAGACATGCTGAATGTCTCGATAGGTGGAGGTCGTGGTGTCCACTTTGTGGTGTGGTGTATCTTCGCTACTAACTATTCTCTATATGCTTCATCATGGGTACGTCTACTTATATCGAGCGTGCTCACCAACTTACGCACCATGCCTCCAGGATATACTGATGGACTGGTCCTTATTGCAGCCGCACGCAAAATACCCTCTGCTTCGATCCGAGCTCTTGTATCCTAGCTATGTGCCGGTCAGTTGCCTATCATGAGGAACTTCAGAACGACTCATCGGTTTTATAGCTCTACTACATGGCAATCGTGCGTCTGAGACCTGTTGCAATATCCGCAATATTCTCAAGGGACTCCTAGGTCACAAATGTATTGATCAGGTTCATATGGGTATTTTATATACCTGGAAGTGGGCCGAATTACGTTTTAAGAACCTTTATCGCGGGTTCATTGGAGTCTTTCAGGAGATGGCAGTGGAACTTCAGTGCGTCATCGAACATTCTCTCAGATGCATTTGTCTGGAATATCCGAATTGTTGATAGTTCGTTTAGAGAACGAACATCTAGGGAATGTGGATCAATATCGCGTCACTAGAGAAGTCCCCCTCCCATATGCACTTGAGGATATGTCGCGCGAGTCGGACGATGAGGATGACAGGGATAATCACAGCAGATCTAGGCGCCGACGAAAAACTCAAGACTCCTCGACGGAGCACATGGAACAAGGCAGCGAGTCATGAAGCATGTTTTCGTGTCCACCCTCGGCATTAGAGTATCATGTATACGCAGGTGACATGGAGTGTCGTTCTTTCACACGCAACATTGACGGTGGGGCTGTCGTTTCGTATTTGTAGACGTGTCAAGAAAGCGGCGTCTAACGATCTCCGCTGTTGATGCTTCGTAAAACCGGCAGACCCAGAATCTCACAGACACTCATCGGAGTCTAGAATTCTCATTGTCCAGGAGGGTATTACATCGTAGCAATGCACGCTTGATTGTATCAGCAAAACTGGCATGAGGAACTCGACAGGCTTTGTCTTGTAGCAAAATATCCGTTGTGCAGCACAATTGAGTAGTCCAAGTGTCACTTCATAGAAGCTGATATTTGCTCGAGTTCTCTTGCAATTAGAGAATTTGGGCATGTCTTCCTGAGTTGCCTGAGAAATGAGTGTTAGATCCGGACGAAGGGGACACGAATCCTTCAACTTACTCCACCTTCGCCTTGTCACCCCTTTCCTTGCACTCCTTGCCGGCCATCCTCCACTCCCCGCACAGTACGTACAGGTCAATCCGTTTGTTGGCATCGCATCGCATGACGTAGGAAGCAGCTTCTTTGTTATAGCCCTTTTCGACCAGGTGTCGCACGAACGCCTCGTAACCGATGGGACTCCGTCTCGACCGAGCAAACGCGTCCAAACCTTCAAAGTCACGCACCGAGGTCAACGCCTGCAACTTGACATACCAGAACCTGATGGAATGTATGAGTGCACGGAACCAACTAGTCAATTGATAGCAACAGACCTCTTGTCAGGGACCTTGAAGTCCGACTTGATCTTATCAGCTCGTTTCGCCATGCCATTAATCAGGCAGATCCGGATGGTCTCGTTGACACTGAGCCCAAAGAATGATATCTTCCCGTCGGCCTCCTTCTCCAACTGCTGTTGTAGACTTAGCAGTTTTGCGTACTCGTCGGTCATCTGATAGGGCAGAAATCAACGGCTGATTCATATCAAATCAGTGAAACACTCACCCTCGCCTCAAACCCTCTCTCCTTGTCTTCTGAAAAGAACTTCTGTGCTGCCTTGATCGACGTTATCTTCGAAGCAGGATCCTGGGAGTGATGCCATAACATCAGGAGAACATTATACCCGACGGAGACTCACGGTCATGGCAGCAGCTTCTTCTAGGGAAAGTACTGCACTCTCGACCCGCCTGTCGTCCGAGAAGTAGAAATCGCGTAGCATTTCGCGGTTCTGGTCCCGCGCATAAACTTGCAGCAGCTTGCTTGCGGGAGCCAGACGCGGACCGCCCTCCTCTATGACGCGGAAGAAGGTTCCCAGTGGCAGGCGCTTCTGCAGATGAAGCAAAACATGATAGACTGCAAAGATGTGTACTCAGCAATGAGGCGGTTAGGTTGTAACAAATCAGACAGACCAAGGTCAGTATCCCCACTCTCGACCGCTTTCGTCAACGCAAGGCGGTCTTCCTTCATGCTGAGCAAGAGCGGAACTTGGTCTGAAGCCCGCGGTTCATGATCCAAAAGCTGGTAGACATCGATCAGAGAGAACCAAGAAATCAAGGATCAGCGCGGACTTTTGTTGCTAGCTCCGCCCTTCCCACTTCCCAAGCACGCTTGGCGATATCGGCGTAGCTTACGCCTCCGCCGCCGAGCTTCCCAAATTTCTCGACGATAGACCTGCAGACAACGTCATCACCAGCAAGCTGAACGTCCTGACCTGAACCGGTCGCCGTTGGCTTCGAACGCACGATTTTTGCACACGCCCAGTGTTTGAGCACTGCGTCTGGCTTGAGGGAAAGGAAGGACGATATGCGGAGGGCCAGGAGATGATGGTTCCGTGCGGTCAGCCGATTGATGAGATGGGAAGGGGAGACCTGAACGTATCTAAACAAATGTCAGAGCAGCGACGAAGGGGCCTTTGCTGCAACATACTGTGTATATGATATAGGAATACCAATTTCGTAGTACCGCACAGCATTGAGGACCTTCAGAACCTGCCCCATATGCACGAAGTCTGAAGGATCATATAAATCTAAGAAAGCTCGACCGAACTTGGCTGCCTGGCATTGGATAGTTCTCGATCAGTGTTGTGCATCGACACAGTTGAAGCAGCTCACGTTCAGCAAGCGTCGCTGCCAGTAGGGTTCCCATTCATGCCCAGCCGCATCGATGCACTCATTGACGGCCGCCGCTAGCTCTGGACGAATACTACGGATGCTCTCATCTGCTTTAGGTGACCGATGAGAGAAGTTCTCCCAGGCATCGTACAAGATGGCGGACGGCGAAGTGGACCCGGGACGGAACACAGATACAGAAGCAGCTGATAAACCTTTAGGTCAAACCAGGAGCAAGCATCGTGATGGAAGCCTTACCAGGGACCTTTTGGAGGAAGTCGCAACTGTCCGGACCTATCACACGAATACCATCTGCTTCTGTGGTGACAAAGGTCGGTCCTGTGTAGAAATACCTTTAAGGATGGCATCAGAGAAGGGTGACAAGCGACGAGCATCAACTTCTTACTGCAGGGTGTCTCCGAAAGGTCCAACGAGAAGAGCTAGTGTGTCCCATGTCACTAGGACCGCGTCATTTCCACACCATTCGACCTGTCTGACTTCGCCTTCGGCACCAATGACATTCAGAGTATTGAATTCCGCAAGGCTTCGTGAGAAGTCAGTCGAAACAACCCAGAGTAAACCTGTCGCCAGCAGCAATGCGAGTGATTTACCGTTAGGCGACGGAGACATGTGGGTGAACGGTCCTCGAGAGAGTTGCTGGTCGACACTCTCCAAATTATCGACACTATAGATAGTGGACTCAACAGAGAGGAGGACCTCAACATGTCGAGATATGGTAAAATCGGGGGGAATGACCGTCCACGAATGTGGAGGATGAGACAAACCTTGCACAATACGTCAATCCCACGCAGCACGCGGGCCCGTCCCGAGACTCACCTGGGTTAGCTAGGGTGAGCGGTTTTGCACCTTGCCAATCCTTGACCTCGAGTAGCGTCAGTGAACCTGTCAGCGCTACGAGGCCGCTCTCATGTATGCGTGCATCCACGATGCCTAGCTCTCCCGCCTCGCTCCCCAACGAGTATTGCTGATAGTCACCCTGCAGGTCATACAACCGGTACACACCCTCCTCATTCAGCACAACTAGCCGTTCGTCCCCGGTCCAACCGAAACGGATGATCTTCCCTTGATCCCACTGTCGGGAACGTCAGTCTTTGAACGTCATCGTATAGACGTGCGGGAGATAACCACACTGAATAGCAATATACCCTCGCCAGCCAGAGAGTAGACCTGTATCTGCGCCTTCGCAAAGGACGGTGTTGCGCGACCGAGTGCGACCAACTTCGCATTGTCCCGCATGAGAGCTGCGGAATCAAACTGTCAGACTAAGCAAGCAGACGAAAACTGCTTATATGACGCGACCTAGAGGACCGCCATATCGACACCCAGCAATAATGAAGTCGCCGAGGCTGGGTAGCTTTCCTGAAATTGAATAAATCTGGTGCCGCTTATAGAAGACGTTGCCATCTTGCATGGCCTCCCAGGAAGCTGTTGGGTGGTCCGTCATCCTCCCCTCTTAATTCGAGACGTATCCTTGGGTGTACAAAAAAACTGAGAGCGACAGCGGTGGATACAAAGCAGTAGGTTTACTCGCTGAAGCAACCTGAGTACACTGGCATGTGGTGAATTGAGACATGACGCGCCGCAGCGTGACTTCCGGCGCCAGCGTCTATTCACCTCGTGAAATCCTTCACCCTGGGAGAAATTAAGTTCAAACGGAACCTCTATTGAAGGGCATGCCAGGGTAGGGAATTCATGCGCATAGAGTACATTTGTGTTTCTTTAAGCGTGGTGACTGTACAACAGTGGGAAAACATAAATGACGCCTTCATAACCATGTAAACGAATGTCAAGCCGAAGTCCCTCAAGGATTTGCACAATATCAAGAGAATGTAGACTCCAAATTCGACTCTTGTGGTCGAATCTGAGGGAGGACCTTCTGATCTTGTCAGACGAGGCGTATGGGCACCCGGCCTCGCACTGCGTCCTGCCCGAACGCGACAGACACGTCCAAGAAATACTGCACAGAGCGAAGTCCTAGTCAGGGCTCATTCGGAACACGCAAATACAGAGGCAGAAAACTCACCTTTATGCTCAAACCAGTCCACTTAAAGGCTGGCAACATGTGCTTGTCGAGCTGTATCTTGCCCTTATACAGACCATCGGGAAGCGCATTGTGCGCACTCAACGACGGATGCCGCTGGTGGGGCTCCACACGCATGCGAGGGCGTTTCGGGAAGCCTACACTGACGTCCGTCTGCAATGTACGTGTTTCGGACAACCACTCCCCCGGCAAGCGTGGGAGCGGCTTGTCTGGCGGTGGTGGCACGCCGAGTCGTTTCGGGCCTGGCGGCGTACGCATGAGAATGGGCGGTGCGCTCTTCACGGCTCGCTTGAACAGCCTCCGTGGAGGTGCTGGAGAAGGCAGGTCCGGCTCACCGCTTGAGCGAGATGTACGGGACGTCGGTGAAAGGGAAAGAGATGAGGCAACCGGCGGTCCGTCTATGGTGATCTGACGCACGAGCGAAACGGCGACGGTCGCGTCTGCAATGATCTCGTGGGCGAGCGTGGTTGACCGAGGGGTGGTGGTAAACACAACAAAGTAAGGAATGGTGCCCGATCGCGAGAAAGATGGAGGGTCCGGAAGAGCGACCTAAGACAAATGAACATGAATACAAAGTGTCCGAAATTTCGTAACGTTACGCACAGCACACGTGAAAGGGATAGGGCGGTCTGAATCCAGTGGTTTTTCCAACCATGATTCTCTTTCCAACTCAAGTCCATCTAAGGACTGAAAGTCTGTATCTGGCTCAAATAAAATAGGTGCCTCTAGTCTGTAGTGGGGCATCAGAATGAGCTGAACACCAAGTATAATTGGTATCGTGAGCTCACGAGATATGGTCGTTCTCTTTCATAGGCTCCCAGGTCGCGACGATCTTGTACGCTACCTCAGCACGTTCCACGTAGGCTCTACTATGAGTCCCAGTCTGGCCCATTACCACAGAGGAGAACGTAGGCGGCAGTTCCTCTCCTGCTCGTGTCGAATGTGGGAGATCGAACGAGAAGGGAAAATGCTTCAAATTCAACCTTATGTCCGTCTGGCTAGGCCGACGCTCCCTCCGCGGTCGGACGCTGGAAGCGAAGGCTTCCCGAAGCGACGAAGAGGACCGCTGATTATCCATCGCAGTAACGGGTGCAACCACAGACGAGAGAAAAAATACATGTCGGTGAGCACTCGTACGGTGCACGTCCACACTGTGATCCCCCACTTTCATGTGCGGTGACAGGAAGACGAACGCGCCTTCAATCTAAGATCTAACGTCAATCGAGAGTTGACAGTATATGAATGGAACTGACAGATATTGTCAACCGACCACGGGTGGCAGCGCCCACATCCAGGACAACTGTGCCCTCCACCTTGCTGTTCTCGCTGAACACAGGCAGATACCGGCTAGACTCCTGGCCTTGCTTGACGACCTTTGTGTAAGGACTCCGCACATGAATCTCTATCTGACCTCGACTGAGATTGGAACATGAAGAACGGTTCAGTATTCAGTATCTCTGCAAGCTATCGCTCACCGGAAAACAGAGGTGTGGACATAAGGGTGGTCCTCATGCAACGATGGTACCCTTTCTTTGACCGGCGTGTAACTAGAGGGTGCAGCATCGCTCCTTTTTCTTGTCCTCGTTAAAGGAAGGTCAAGGCCAAGACGAGGTCGACGAGGGAGCATACTCAGAAAGATTAAATACGCTCAGAAGAGACGAAAGAGCCATGCAAAGGCCAATAGGCCATGGCGCATTGCGTACACGGAAGGAGCTTATAAGATATTTGCAGCAAGCGCGGAGGTATTTGCCCAATCATTGCGAATGGCACCGTTCTTTCCAGAACCTGTCTCTAGCAGTGGTACTGAGCAACTTCGACGGTCCGGATAAGCGTTAGACCGCGCGCCTCATGATAGCACACTCGCATCACACCCGGAGGAGTTCTGTCCAACTTGACATAGAATTGTAACAGATGACAGGGACTACTATGTACAAAGTCGTATTTACCGCTCCAAAACGACAGCAGCACTGTGTGGCTCGTCCAGAGACCGGTCTGGCAAACGGAGACATCGGCCGTGCGCTTTGACGGTGAGTGTTGAGAGAAAAGTCCACGGACCAACACGGGACTTGCCTGAATTGGTTCCTGATACGCGATTCGCCAAACGCTTCGGCGCAAACTGCGATTGGCTAGCAAGGCCGAATCTGCGATCGTGGAATCGAAAGATTTCCGTATTCTCGAGTTGGTACACAACCGGCGAAACACTATTCGCACGGCGTTGAAGGAAGCTAGTACTGGCTGACATTCGAAACGCACGTCGTCTGAAAGCGTCAAAGTCAATGGGAAAGGCCCATCTACATAGACTCACCGGCTACAACGCATTTGACAAAGAACACCAAAAGCGATCCAAGAAGAGTGCAATGTCACCTAGGTGACCCGATGTTGCCGTCAGGACAGGGTATCATATCACAAGAACACGTACGACATCAGCACCGACTTACTCACAGTCTCCGATAGAAACCATCCAACATTCTGCAAGGTACAGTCGAACTTGCGCGTTCGCCCTTGACATTGTCTTTCAGAGAATCTTGACAAGCACACACCCATACCAGGCAGCGCAGCGGCGAAACCCGTGCTTCCTCAATGTTCCGGCGGAAGTACGGAGAAGTATCTTGCCCCTGCTTCCTATGTGGCGTAGACCATTTCTCAGGTGGTTGAAAAGACGAGGGAGGGCTTGCCGGTCATGAGAAGGGTAGAGATGCACGGACGAGTGAAAAGACCAATGACATCGACTAAACAGGAAGTATTTATCAGCTATGCCGCTGATAAGCTCGCAAAGTACAGTGGGATGAAGTTACCGGACTTCGGAAATTAAGACACCTCTGTACGGGTCGCACGCTGACGCCTGCCATCTAGGCGACAGGTTATTGTCCGTAGCGTAGCGTACCATTGGCCAAGGGTAGCATGATCATGTTACGATATAGTTGGGTCAATGCCATCAGCGTTGGTACAGCGAACAATAACAGGGCAGACTCACGAAGAAGTTCTCCCTAAGGTATTGCGCGGTTACTCCAGCGGTGATCGTATATCCTTACGTTGTATAAGCTTCTCTTCAAATGGTAGATCCCCCAGAATCGTAAGAACAACTACAGGTTCTCAGGAGCTGTTGAAAACACAAAGTCACAGGATAAGGTATCCAAACAACGAACGCACTGCTATACTTCGCCAATGGGGTGAGACCAATGTTGCACATAGGAAATTCCTATGGCCTGTCTGAGACGAGCATGGAGTTATGTGGATTGATAGTTCTCGATGTCTGGCCTTCTAACACGACCAAGCCAAACTGGACCAGCGGATTAGAACTTCGGGATCAATGTACGGTCGAACGAATAAAAGACGCCGCAGGGATTTAGCGACAGCCTTGCAACAGAGTGTAATGCTAACTCACACGAAGGGAGCGCTGTGACAGTGAGCGATCTTCTCCCACGTGGGAGTATACGGCGTACTTCTTAGTATCGCGATGGTTCTAAGGAAGAAGGTAAAATGTGAGCGTGCAGCACACTGAAAAGTCCAACTTCCCAAGCTGTTCACAACGTTCTCCCTGGATGTCTCCGAAATACCAAAAGCACGCCAGTCGCTAACGATCATGCTTGTCAATATGACATCACAGGAATTCGGGAGGAAATGTAGTATAATAGGCTGCAAGGTAATACAAACGTAGTGGACCAATCGTATGCAACGCAATTAGAACGGTAGTCTGGTGTAATTTGTGTGGCGCGGTACACTTATAGGGCTCGGCCTCTTCCTGCGGTATGTCTGCAACACAGGGATGAACCTGAGTGTAATTCAGAGGTCACAATGAAGATAACACGTACCGTCTTAAAACGTTCTATGCGCTTCGCCATACCCTTCATGAGCATCTTGCGCTTCTCCTCTCTCTGCTCGCGGGTCCTTTCCCACTTGTGCCCCTTGAACATCCTCCTCTTACCCGCATATAGCTTGTTCCCAACATCCTGGCCAGGTACCTCCTTCTGCTTCAACTTGCCTTCCCATTCCAGCTCGTACTTCCAAAATTCCGAGCGAGCCAACACCTCTGGCTTAGCCACCTTCACCTCCTTAGCCTCTATTACTTCATCTACTCCGAACTTGAGTCCAGGAGGGAGAAGGTTCAGCGTGTTGCTCGCACGGGCCTTCTTGATGAGTTCCGCTTGTCGACGCAGCGAATATTTCGGTGGTGCCCACCGTCCGGTGTCAGGATTCTTGTGCGGCAAGAAGGGATTCCGTATTTTTAGAGAACTGTTCGCCGTGAGTGCGTCAATTTTTGGGAGGGCGGAAAGCTCGCGAATGCGGAACCGCTTGATAGCCTGCAACATGGAGGTGAAAGCGCAGATATCACGAATATTTACCGTGGCTTCAAGGTCAGATGTGTGTTAGTGATGAATTACGTAATTTCTAACCCACTTGTCTGCACCCGCACTCAGCAGGAGTTTGCCTCCTTCCTCGTCCCAATCCTCGGAAGCCGGGCGAACCCAAGACCAATCCTCTATCATATATCTACCTCGCCGTTGTCAACAACAGATAGCACCTGTTATACGGTCTTTTTTTACTATCGATTGTGCTGATGCTCTCAGGCGACATTCCGCACCCCGAGATCGTGTGGCGGCAGTTGCTCGCTAGCTTTACCATGTCAGACGACTCTGCGGTGGGCAATCTGTAGGCCTACATATTTTTGTGTGCGTTTGGAGAACTGTACTCTACTTATCGGATACAGGATTACGAACAAGATCAGTGGGGTAGAGAGAAGCTACATACGCACACGAGTGTTTCACCGTGACCTTCTTCTCGCTCTGGAAGTACTTGCTCAGTGCGATTCACAGTCGCGTTGCACGGGCACGTCCAGAGAGAGAAGAAAGTGAAAGCGAAGTGATAAATGGCCAGAAGGAACAAGAAGGCCAGACGAGGATGCAAAGCAAGGGAAGGAACAAATTGGGGAGGGGGTCAAGAAATATTGAATGCAAGAAGGCAGACAAGAACAGTGGAAAAAGACCTGCGCGTAAAAGGCGAGTGTGTTCAGTAGATCTGAGACCTGAATTTTTGTCAGCACTCAGATCGAGGATCGAATTGTGCACGAGAGATTCCATCAACATCTCAGAGTGCAACGATCCCAAGCCCCTGCGTGCCGAATCACAGAGAGAAGCGTCGAGCGGTTATCCAAGTGGCTATGTCAGGCCGACGAGGAAAAGAACGCTGAAGATGCTTCTCCCCAGAGGTAAGCCAAGCCGCATGCGATGCGCACACGGAAAGACACCGATAGACACGGCGCATGCCCCGTAGGAGCACCGACGCACGTCCTCGTATGTCCCGCTCAAGGCTGTTCTGGCAGGGGGGAGGGTGCTGCAGCCTTCAATGTGAGACCTACTCTTGTGGGCGAGTGAGGATGGGAGGTGTGTATGGGGGTTGATCGTTAGCCCGTGAAGTGGGTTCTCATTTTTGTACGTGAGTGGCGGAGTGGCTGACGATTGTCAGTGCTAGCCTCGTGTCTAGCCTACCCTTCCCGTCAGCCTCTGCCGCGTCCCGTCCACATCACGTGTGGCTCAAACGTACTGGCATCACCGTGTCACTGTCGGAATATCCCGCGAGAACCATGGCGGACTACGCGCACATTACGACGTTCGAACCTATCGTCTTCCCTTGACATTCAGGGAGAATCAAGTCATTATCACTCGGAGTAACCGCTCCCGCAAATGAACCTGCTGCGACTAGACCACGATTCATCACAAGAGTATGGGCAATTGCATCTCAATGATCCCTCCCCAAGAGACATACACGGTATACATGACTGTAAATACAACACTTGTCCGAAGCCAACCAAAGATTCACCGCTACCCATGCAGCTATCCATACACATGCTTGACCTATTCAGGTGAGGTTTGTTCTTCCCATATCGTTTGAAACATTGTTTCATCTTTGTGTGCCATGCTACGGGAATTAAGGCCGACAGCGTCGTGAGCAACAATTTTCGGCTTCTCTGTGACGGTGTACTATCCGTCGTACCAAGAGAACGTAGCTGCACGTGTTTAACAGTGCACTATTACGCTTTCTTCTCCTGCGATGTTACCACAGTCCAGGCCAGCGAGCCCACAGACGCAATTACCAGAGCTGGTACCCTGTAGAGGCTGAAGCTGCGGAATAATTTAATCGTGCTCAAGACCGAGGGAATGTACTCTGGGTTTACACCCCAGGACCCACCGAACCTGAACCAGTGGTCGGCACAGGAGTGCCACTGGCCTGCTTTTATACGAGGGCCGCACGACGCGTCATGATAGCATTGTTCCTTCGTTGGAGATGTCGAGATTGACCTCGATTTAGTCAACCGTCCAGATGATACGCTGAGTAGGTCAACGTGAAACGCCTAAAACATGTCATGGAGATAGGCAATAACATTGAAGCATCCAGAAAGCAGAGCATACAACGATAAACGTTGAGCGATGACCGTGGACGCGCCCTGAATGTGCCTCGGTCGCGCGGTGTCACGGAAGCATGTGACGTTGTAACGTCGCGATAAACCGACGACACGTGCATCAATTTTACTGAAGGCAGCGGGGAGCGTAGAAATTAGCGTATCGTGACTGAGTTGGAACAAATATGATCAAGCACACACGAAGAACATGACACGTAGTTCTGACTGAGATCAGAACAGGGTGAAATCGCCGTGGTCCTGCACCGGTGGTTGTGGGAACAAAGTTCGACATCAGCAACTAATTTCCTTGCCGTTGAAGGCAGATGAGGGTTCGGTTTCAAAGACAGAACAGAAATTCACCGCAGGCCTTGGGAGCTGGGTCATTGGAATTAAATATCAAGATTAGTAAAGTCAGATAGGCTAGTGCGGAGGTTCATATTGCGAGTCAACGCCCTCGTATACACGATCCCGAACTACCCAAGGTCCGTTGAACCACAGCCGCTTTTGGAGCGCTAGGTACTCTACGACAGGCTTCGGTTCGTTCTGCTGATGCAACAAGGTGCCCCTCTTGGAGTAGACCTCGAGACTCTGCGCTACATCAGCAACCGCAGAATATGAAGGTACGCACAACTGACCTGTAGCGTATCGAACTTCACGAGTGCCTGAACCAGTAACCTGCTGCCCTCAACCCCCCGGTCCATGTTCCCTACTACCGCACGGATGCTTAGTACGCGGGATGGCGAGCGTTCGCCGATGAGTTTCCATTCATACACACGCGAGAGATCTTGGGCACGCGCAAGCTTCAGATAGTGTACTTGCTCTTCTCCCGCCGTCAGGTGCTTGATCGTTTTCTCGTCACGGCTGTCAGTGCTATCAGAAATGACGGTAAGAGACGGACGCAATATCGGACCTCGCGACGGCTTCGTTCAGCCGCTTGTAGGTGTCGAGCGCGATCTTCCGGAACGGTGCGAGCCAGGTGGAGTCAGAGGTCGATTGCGCCCGGAAAACTTCCGGTGACCAAATGTTCTTGATATGCAATCCGGGAAACCCGTCATCCTTGGCTATCCTGTACATGCTGTGACATAATACTTAAAGGCCAGCAAACGGACCGGGGCTGAGCGGGCATACGTGATGATATTGATGAACGCATTCCTCTGGGTCCTAAGAATGGCGGAGATATGGTCCCGCCACGTGGCATCCTTTTTGTACGACTTGTAGCTCGGGATGTGCAAGTCTTAAGCTTGTCGATTCAGGCGAGACTGACGACATAGTGGGTGCGGGCTTACCCATCGTTTCGACAGGAACCAACGACGGGTCGTAGCGCATGGTGCCACGCGAATATTGCAACAGCTCCATGAACTCCAGTGATTTCTCCTTCGGATCTTTTGAGTCCTCTCGTGGTTTACTGTCGGGTTTCGAGATGGAAGCGTATGAGCGACGGAGACCGATCACGCATTGCGGCGGACATGGACAATGTCTATGCTCGCTAATTCGCGAGACACGGGTGGCAAGGTTAAGACATTGTCGTGGAAGCCGGGACATAGCGTCGATGTCGTGCGCGACGGAGACAATTTTTGAGGTTATACCCAGAAAATAAAGGCTTAACATTTGCAGATAAATATGTGCAAACATCAGGAAAAGTCAACTTTTATTTCCTAAGGAGATCCCTTCTCTTGTACCTAAAGCTAGATCAGTTCTCTACTCAGCCTGCCATGACTAGAGGTGAGTTTTGAGAGAAGGTCATAGCTCCGTACCATTGAGTGACTTCCGACCATGGTACACACAAATTTGTCTTCACATCATAAGATATAAATGTCTCTTTCTGCTATACATCTTCCAGTGTAATAGTGCCCAGTCTATTGAAATAGTCTTATGATAACTCTAGATGGCGGGGTCTTGAGTCCGAGTCGCTCAGCGTCCGCCGCAGCGTGCGCCCGCGCACCGTGCAACTTCTAAGTTTCCACCATGAGCATACATGCTTCGGTGAATATAAAAAGGGATTATTTTCGACCCATCCACCACCGCCCCCAAACACTGCACACACTGCTAGCACACGCGCTAACAGATCCTCGTGCATACACAGCACCTGCCCCTCACGGAAGCAGTGTAAATACTCGACAAGCTTGTTGTCCACACCATCAATTCATCGCACGCTAATGCGCTGCTCACAGAATCCGATGTCGCGATGCGCCGCGATGTAAATGCACCGACGTGCTCACCTCGTACACACGATGCGTCGCGCGCGCGGCGTGCTTTGGTATACTCGGCCGGTTCATACTAAGCCAGTGGCGCAGTCCGCGGGTGATGGACTGACGTGTGCCATACGTGGGTCGCAGGTGGCAGGCCCATCAAGTATCAGCTGGAGCAAGACATGGTACCTCAAAAAGCGCACCTCTACGTGTGATGCAACGGCTCACATTCGAAGTGACTGTGTCGACCTGCCAGCAGGGATGCTGATGGACTTGCCATTCCCACGTAGGAGTCTGACGATGCATTAATACAGGTGTTCCTCCAGGGCTGGGAGTTGCAGGGGTGTTCTCGGGGAGGGACCATACCATATTATATCTGTGCCTTCAATGTTTCAACACTGAGAGGAACACGTGTGCATAACAGATTCGCACCAGTGTCCAACGTACATGAGTTCAAAATGTGATAACCAAGCGAAAACGTAGATATATGTATGATGTACCTCCATTTCATGTAAAAAATTGACTGCATGGTGAATTGGTTGGTAGTTCTGTTTTTTTTTCTCCGCTACAAAAATTGAGACAGTTCAGCAGAGTCCTCAGGTCATTAAACTTGAATTTTCCCCAACCTTGTCGTCAGGAGTGGAACAATGCCTTTCTAATGGTGGAAATTTATTTCAACATTAGTCCTCGCTCGAATCCTACCGGCAGGGTAGTATGGAGGAGTGAAGGAATATTTACCGAGTGAGAGTTCCAACCTACTCGCCCAAAAGCGGTAACAAGGACATAGCCGAGGTTTCCCGGCCGAACGCACGTGCCTCTTCCAGAAATTGCGCGTCGACGGCATCTTGCACTTCGTCTGCAACCACCACCATCTCTTAAGCACCCACTTAATTATCATGCCTGTATGTCTTTTTCTTGAATTCAATTGCCACAGAGTAACTCACAATTCTTGTCCACAGCGTCAGTCCCGCTCTCGCCCCGCTGCTCGACCTGCTGCTCCTCGGCCTGCAGCTCCAGCGCAGACCCGCAGTGCTTCTACCGCCGCCGCTCCTTACGCCGGTTCTGCAGCCCCGCATGCGCACCATGCTCCGCCTGTTCCTCCTCAGGCACAGACGCAGTCACGAGAGCCCGGTATGCTCGCGCAGATGGCCGCCACCGCTGGCTCAGTAGCGGTCGGCTCGACCGTTGGCCATGGTATTTCGCACATGCTTTTCGGCGGCTCTTCCTCCGCTCCTGCGCCCGTCGAGGCACAGGCACCTCCCGTTCAGCAGCAGCAGTCCTACCAATCCCAGGGTATTAGTTGCGATGTTCAGGCCAAGGGTGAGTATTTGACCTGATCTCGCGGTCAACCTATGGCTGATTAATCGTCTGGTGATTAGAATTTACGAAGTGCCTTGAGAAGGCTGACCTGCCTTCTTGCACTTGGTATCTCGAGCAGTTGAAGGCTGTGAGTAGCTTGTGCCTGTCTTCGTAACGTCGCTTGTTAAAATGCTGCATCTCCAGTGCCAGGCTGCCGCGGCGCCATACTGAATCATACCGTAGACTGTAGAGTCGATGAGATGATTACTTGGGTGTCTGCTTGCTGTGAACTCTGCGCTACGCAGTCTATCCAGCTCGTTCGCTCACAATATACTTACGTGATCTTTTGTTCGAAATCTCGCCGGAGATTCTGAGTGAATAATCTCATCGTCCCACTGGTTGAGGGTGTGAATCCTGGACTATCGTGCATGATAATAGATGGACTTCCTGCAAGGCTGTGAGTAGACGCAGCCTAACAGCGAACGTTCATGCCGGGGCAAGAAAGCAGGCACTGTCGATCTCAGGATGCTGCTCGATCCTCGCCTCTTTTGCTATTTCTCTCCGTCTGTACTTGGTCTGTGCACTACCGGAATATACGCGCAGTGAAGATCGACGATACTCTGCCGATAAGCGTACATGTAATGTGTTTCTTCTATGGCATCGTCTCAATGAGTCTTCCCGATTTGGGCGAAAATCCTTGGTGCTGACGTAATGCACGCTGTCACGTTTCTGTGCACTGGGATTGTTGCCAGCTGCAGTCAGCCAGCTCAACGTTTTCTTTTCTTTCCGTCGACGTGCTGTCCTTTCCTCACGACCATCACCAAGGCTCTCTCCCCGCACTCGTTGAAGTGCGGCTTTCCTTTGCTGTTGCTCTGCTGAACGCTTCTCTGACTCGGCGCAGCTGTCTCGGTAGGCCCCGCTAATATGGAGCAGCAGGCTAGAGCTCCCCAGGATATCCGGAATGTTGTCGACTTTCTACGCAGTAGCAAGGCTGGGATGAAGGTGCGAGTGGGCGTGCTGAATGGGAAGCGCTTAGACTATTTCAAAGGTGCGCGCGAAATCCTTCGGAGCGTGTCATCCGCTGTACTCACCTGCCGCCCGTCACGCAGGCAAAGCCGCGATTAAAGCCCTCATGTCACCCGCATACGCCAAGCTGAAAAACGTGCCCCATGTTGCGTCCGAAGAGGACGCTCAGTCGCTGCTCCTCTCCATCATCCCCCTTGCCTTCTTCCTCCGCGTCGAGCGTGGCGCGCCCTCTGGCTCCTCCTCTTCCCCGAAGCACCTCCAAATCACGCAAATGCAGGTGTTCGCGCCGGGCGACTACTATGCATGGTTCTACGAAGGTTCACAGTGGACGACGTACCTCGGCGGCGTCGCGATGGTCGCGATCATGCTTGCGGGCGTCATGTTTCCACTTTGGCCGCCCATCATGCGTCTCGGCGTGTGGTACATTAGCATGGGAGTCTTGGGCCTCATCGGCCTCTTCTTCGCGATCGCGATCGTCCGCCTCATATTCTACATCATCACCGTCATCGTCGCCAGCCCCGGGATTTGGATATTCCCAAAGCTATTCGCGGACGTCGGCTTCGTATGTCCCTTTCTCTCATTCCCCCCTGCTGGGATCGCCGGCTGACATGTGTGCATGTGTAGGTCGATTCGTTCATACCCCTTTGGGAGTGGGACATCCCAAGGAAGAAGAGCAAGAAGAAACACGCGGAGAAGAGCGCGAAGGGGAAGGGCAAGGCGGTCGAGAACGGGGCGTACATCGAGGAGGTCCCGGACTCAGGCAGCTCGCGCCCAGAAAGCAGGAATGCCCGCGTGGAGGAGGTTCCAGACGATTCGTGATGCCCACACTCATATATATCTTACGCTGTATCTATGTTCTATTCCCCTCCGATCCTGGATACATTTTCATCTGGGTTAACGATCGCGCTCATTGTGATTGTGGGCTGTCCGAAGGGGCATTGGTGCCATTACCACCGATTTGTCTCTCGATGGAGGTGCGCTCAAGACGTCGCAACGCCACTCGTGCCGCCATAGTGCCCTCACGCATCTTGATACGGTTCGCCTGGTCCAAGCTCTCCTTGAACAGCTCGCGCGACTGCTCGTGCTCGCCTCGCATCTAACACCGGCGGGAGAACGTGGGTGATCAGTTATGAGCGCACACAGCCTGAGCAGGCGAGAAACAGAAACAAGGCGCTGACCTCCAAGAGAGAGCCGATATTGAACATGACGGCAGCGAGCGCCTGCTCGCACGTCGCCAGCTCCTCAGCGCCGCCGCGCGCCTCCGCCTTTGTGCGCTCGATCGTGCCTCGCGCCTGTCGCGCCCACAGCTCAGCGCGCCTCCGGTTGTCTGGGGTCGGCGCTTCGCGGATGGTCAGCTCGGCAAGGTTGTTCATCAGCTGGGCACCTGCCATTGCAGACTTTCAGCGCGCAGATGGTTAGAAGAAGCTCGTGTCCAGCAAACCTCGGCATTTTTCTTCGGTCGTGGAGGTTTTATTTGAGCCCGACGGCGGTACGAGCAGGTTGATGGCTTGCAAGTATAGCGGGACGGCGTACCTGCAGAATCAACTCAAATATGACATTGAGGGTGATACGTCCGGACTCACTCTACCTTGCCACGTCGCGCGTAGAAGTTGCCCAGCGCCTCGAGCGGCGCGCCCAAAGTGGTCTTACTCACCCACGGCGGCATTTCTAGCTCTGCCAGCATGAGGGGGACATCCGCGGGCTCCTCTCCGCCCACGTCTGCCCCACGCTCCGGCTGCGCCTCCTTCAGGATTTTCATCAGCTCGCTCACAGCCCAGCTGAGCCACTGCTCCTCGTCCTCGAGCGGGAGTTGGTATGTCTCCGCCATCTCGCCGAGCTTCGACGCGATGGCGACCGCGCGCATGCGCTCGGGACCAGAGAGGGGCACGCCCTGTTTGCGCAAGCGGGTGAATTGCTCGATCGCGTCGACGTACGCGTCCCAGGCGGGCTGCGGGCGCTCGTGCGCTTCTAGCACCTCTGCAAGCGAGATAGCGATCCCGGACAGCTTGAGGTACGGGGACGTGCCGAAGTGCGAGAGCGAGAGCGTCTGGGCGGTGTCCCAGGCGCTGTGTCGTATTAGTCGTGTAGGAGATGTGAATAATAGAATGAAAGGGACGCGTACCGTTGGAAGAACTTCTCGCTCAGGGAGAGGTTATCCTGACGTTTCGCCTTGACACCCGCTCGCAGGTCCGCACGCACCTCCTCAGGCCACATGGTGAATGCCGAGTAAAACTCGTACCTGCGCCCCGTGAATTATGTTCGCCTGAGAGGAAAAGTAAGAGCATACAGGCCATAAGCGGTCGACACGACCCCCAGGGCAATCAGTGTGCCGAACATTGTCGATATCCGTGAGTCTGAACGAAGCCACGACCTCGAAGAAACGCCTCGAGTAGTTCTCCCGAAGAGTCCCGACAAATATGGCGGCGCAGGCCGACATGCTAGCTGTCGAAGGCTCCTTTTTGACAGTACTCTTAATGTTGAAGACATCATGGAAGTCGCCCAGCTCTGCCAGTCGAAATTCGACCGCTCCACTTCAGCGAGGGGTTAAGCAACAGTGTTACTGACCTTGAAATGAGCTAATTCCGTCTAACTAAGACCAGAGAATATAATCGTGTGCCCCAAATATTCCACTAGTATCCAAGCTACCCGAGAGATAGAGCTGTGTGCGGTCGAGACGGCGAGTAAACGCGTGACCCCGTAACATGGCACTCTAGCCGTCACAAGTTTGTGACGACATCTCCCAGCGTTTCTCCCGTCGCATATAATCAATGGGGCCTTGTGGCACTTGAAGCTTGAGGTTGCAAGCCGAAGCTTGTCTCCAGATGAGATGAAGAATTTTTTTCATATATGCTTCTGTCTCCTGCAGTCGACCTGGGCCGTGTTACCTCGCCCCTGCGTCTCCGAATATCCTTAGCCTGGAAGCTGCGCTATTCAAGTTGAGATGATAGCTGTCCAATTCACAGAACATACCAATATTAATGCCGTCTGCGCGCTATATCTAGGAAGGGCCTTCCGGGCCCGGGGCATTACTACTGCAACACTACTTCGTGTCGGCGCCATGAATGCATGACATTGAATGGAGGCCGCCCTCATTCTTGATGGCTGTTTCTCAACCACTAGTGCAGTGATCATGATCCATGCGGTATGGCGGAGGTGATTCAAGGATCTTTCCTGCCCGCGCTCGCGTCAAACTCCAGCCCCAGAGCGCGCATGAATCCCTGCTCCTCCTCCAGCCCCGCCATTGCAAGTTCGTTCAGCTCGTCCGGCTGGGTACTGAAGGATGTTCCGACCGCGAAGCTCGTTTTCTGGCTCAACTGGAGCCTACCAACCAGCCTTCGAACCTTGTAGAGGTACGGAATTAGTGGACTGAAAGTACCAGTCAAGAAGTCATAATCTGCGCTCGAAGTGATTATGACTTCCTGACTGCCGCGCGCGTTTGGTGAGCGCATCCATCCAGATCCATCCAGATTGTGAGTTCGCAGATGCAGCCCTCCATCAGGAACTTACTATCGTTGATCCGGATATGCCAAAATTTGGCACTTCTGGTCCCGCCGCGCAACGCCTGGTGCGATAGTCTCCGGCACCCCATATGATGTTGGGATGGCACGTAGAATACTACAGGTGGGTTTTCTGGATTTTTCGAGCTATGTTGAACATCGTAGACAGATGCTGTGTGGCACCAGCCAACTACAGTCCTGTGATTGAGAATTTTTTGGGATCCAAGCAGGCCACACTTACGAAAATTTTGGATCATCAAGAGTAGGCACACAGGCTTCTACCTCTGCAATTTCGAAGCAATCAGGTAAGGTAATAGAGCCGTAGGAAAAAATTTGGCACTTCTGGGTCATTTGGCATATCCGGGTCAACGATAGTATCGCTGGAGCGGCACGGAAATTACGATGCCGGAGAGTTTGCGGCTGCTGGGCCAACGCCTTAAGTCCTTTTGTTTGTAGACAACTCCAGCCCTTCGGCCAGGCCCTGGCACACGCGTTGTGCCACGTTTCACAACTCATTCTATGTCCTCTTGGCACAATCAGGTTATAACGTTCTGGCAACCTGCTGTCTGTCGCATCCCTGGCTGAAATGATGATGTCTGGCGTAGACTCGACCATCACAGGCTTTCTATCTGCGCCATACACACTTGCGTACGCGTATGTCGTCCCGCGTCATCTTTCATACTAAGCTAACCCGGTCCACACTCCACTCGAAGCCGCAGTGCACTTACAAGGACTGTTCCACAGGCATTTCCATGGTCCGCCGTGGAGACTGACCAGGTTTCTCTCAACGGGCAGGAGCACGTCCGGTTATGGCATGCAAATTACCATACATGACAGACCTTCCTCTTTCTTTCTTCTTTCTCAAATGCCATTGATTATATTTGCCAAGTACTTTCGCTGTGCCATGGCAACGGCGGGACAGCGGGCCGATCGGAATACGTGCTCTTGCGGCTCAGACGGCTCAGTGCGCCAAGGAACGGTTTACGTTTGGGCACCCGGATCCAGTGCCTTGATTTGCCAAATAAAGATCTCCTTAATCACGGAGCTAAAGGAACTAACCTTAGCTTTTTCGTGCTGAAGTCACAGATTATTCCCGCTGGTTGGCCAAATAAGGAAGCAGGCCTTCTTAATCAAGGAGATAAGGCACCTAACCTTAGTTGACTGTTTCTGCGAGTGGCGCTGCTGTGCTATCTGATATGCATGCCTGGCGCTTGCCAAGCGGAATATTCTTATTTAACGTGCCAGCCCCACCTGTCCTCACTATGGGCACGCCTCGCTGTTTCATAAATTATCTCGGCCACACCTTTCCTGACGACCATGGCGGCCACAACCTCAACCACCACCATCACCAACAAGTCCTTGGCATGCCCTGCCTCACGGAAGGTGGTGTCACACACATTCCGGCCCAAATTTCCTCTTGACCCCCTTGCCGGCACAAGGTACAACTCGCCGTGGCTGCTAAACGTGGAGGCTCTCCTCTCGACAGCGCTTCACGCCCCTCGCCATGTCATTCTTGTTCTGGGAAGTGAGTTCTGCCATTAGCATATATACCAAGCGAATGTACTGAGGTCAGAGCAGCACCATCGTTCGACGAGCTCGACACACTGCTTCAATCCCGCCACCTCTCGCAGTCGCTCGTGATCCTCGCGACCCACACGCCACCTGCCATTCCACCCGATATCCTCCCCGCTTTGCGGATTCTCCGCCTTTCAACACCCTTGAACGAGGTTGCAGGCGCAATTTCGTTCGTGAATGTATTGGAGTGGGCAGAGCGCGTCGCGCGTGTTTGGCGCGAATACGGCGGCTCGGGTATAGCTGAGCTGTCGGAGAACGACGCTGGCTGCGACTACAAATCCGCGCATCGTTCTAGCAGTGCTCCCGCTCGACCCGTATCCCTTCTGGAACACCTCAGTGACTCGCGAGCTGGGTCGGAGCGATCCAGCAAAATCCTGCGTCCTCGCCCCCCCTCGCTTCCTTTCGCGGATCCGACACAAAGGGCGTTCGACGCGATCATCAACTTCCTCCCTGATAGTGTCACAGACAAGACGCTCCTCAAGCAAGTGATATTCACTACCGGGGTCGCCCATCCGTTCCTCAGCGCCAGACAGGGCTTATCACATTCTCCATCAGCGTTGCCGCTCTCACTATCATCTCCGTCGACGCCTTCGTCCGTCCGCTCCAAGCGGCGTTCCATCTTCGGCGCACTCAGCGCGGCAGGCGGCCGGGCCTCCATCTTCACATCGCCCTGCGGGTCCAAAAGTGACCCCTCGTCCGTTCCACCCCTCTCCGCACACCTCGTGCACTTGCTTCCCTCCTCACTTCCGTCCACCTCCGCGCTCGCGAAGTTGACGGAAAACATCGAATCCTTCCTACTCTCATTTGCCTACCCGGCCGCCCCAGACCCGCACGCGCCAGAACCCGCGCGGCCATACGTCATGGGCGCCTGTACCTTCGGTACCGCACTGAGCGCAGGCTTTGGTGCCTTGGGCTTGGCATCTGCTAACGAGGCACGCTGGACGGTTGCCGACGCGGTGCTCTGCGGCGCGTTCGACGGCGAGGTCCCCGCGGGAGGCCTGCGGGAGGGCCTTGCAGCGCGGTGGGGCGCCGCGCCCCGGGCGTGGATCGCGGACGCGCGGGACGTGGTGTACGTGCCGTCTCCAGCGTCGTCTTGGGGCGACATCACCCCTCCGCCCACTGCGCATGTGCACGCGCTGCACACGGGGGCCCTGACCGCACAGACGGCCATCGAGCGCCAGAGTCTATCTGCGCAGGATAAGGGGAAGGAGCGCATGCCCGGCCCGCCGGAGATCATGTTGTCGCGGGGCGCGAGCGCAGAGGGCGGCCTGCAGCAAGCCAGTCCGCTGACGCCGAGCGAATTATCGGCGGCGGTGTGTGGGATGCCGCGCTCGCCTGTTGTGAGCTCGCCTACACCGCCCGACTCGGACGATTCGGGCGTGGAGTCGTCAGCGTCGAGCGTCGCGGACGGGGAGAAAGGGAAGGCCGTGAGTGGGACGCGCGGCGGGTGGAAGTTCTGGAGAGTGCTGGCGTAGGCGCATACGGGGGTGGACAAAGCAACATCTTTATCTAGCATGGTTCGTCGCATATCTGCAAGGTTATATTAGACGATCATATTTATCCTCACGTGAATACTTATCCATTGACATCTCGCTTACACTTTTCCACACAAAATACTATCGTTACCCCAGTAATGCAATCACGATTGCAACTCTGCCACTGCTCCTTCGAATCGGGCCCGTCTTGCCTCAAACCTCTTCAGGTCAAATACAGGACATATGAAGTATCTTCTGTGTAACTTCCAATTTTTTTCATGGTGTTGTGTGAATGCGAGACCGAGCGCACCGAAGGGACTTGTTTGCATGCAAGAGCGCCGAATCGGTCACAAATCGTCACGCCTGCCGACCTGCCGCACCGTTGTTCTCTGTCTTGTCGGAGTTTGAATTGCCACGCTTCCTGTCACGCCTGAATTACTCCAGACTTGCAATTCATCGACTTGACACCCTTCCTCTCCGCATTTTACCTGCAAGTTGTGCAGTCAAGGTATCTGGGATCATGCAAATCCAGTACACATTTTTCTCCAATTTTTGCAGCAGAATGGCTTGAGATCGCGAAATTGCACAACTAGTCCTGATTGCAACACCAGGGTAATGATAGTAGTGGAAGAAATCCAGTGCGAGTGTGGATACTAATCTCAGTCTTCCAAGGATCCTTTAGGAGGATGCATGTAGTTCTTACCTCGAGACTACAGCAAGCACCCAGGACGCTTCCACGCTTCCTGCAGGGGGCGTGCGGTAGAATCTGAATCTGATATCGCGATTGTGGATCATTCCCACGAGCCGATTGACATCGAGTGCTTCTGCACCGTACGACTCACTCACATACAGTACTAATATGTATATAGCTTAGCACTCCCGCGTCCGAGGACAATAATGCGAAGTAAAAAAAGGAAACAAGAAACACGAATAAGAAAATATCGAAGCACAGGTCCTAAGATGAAGCTAATAGTGGTGACTTGGTTAGTCGCATGCCGAGTACCTTCAGATTGGGACCACATTTTCGGTACGTGACGTAGAATGGTTGAAGAATAGCATTGCTATTTCTCAACCATCCTACGTCATGCACGGATTTGCCGTCACATAATCAAGAATCTGGCATGGATTTGTGATCATATACGAGCCGATGAATAGTCAACGCAGCATCAAACAGCAGGTATCAGCCACAGTGATAATTAGAACCTAGATGCCACGACAATCGTTCTGCATGGGCCTTGCGGTCATGGAGACGCACAACAAAATGTGAGACAAAAAAGACAGAGACAACACGACATCACAGGCGGAAAGAGTTGAACATTACGAACAGCACCATGAAGATAGCCAGGACATTTGGCGTAAGGTGGTGCGCGCTGCTAAACAGCGGCGCTGACTGCCCAATCGTCTGGTTGAGACAATTCAGCAACGTCGTATCCACCCAGCTTGGAAGGGCCGTGGCGGTGACATTCGTGTCATTCCCAAGCACCGCGGTGTCGTTGTATCCATCCAGAGTCAGCACGATGCTGCTCGCACGGTAGAACGCGACGGCCTGCTCGGGCAGGGGCTGGTCCTGAGTGGCGTTGTATGGCGCCGGTACCCTCGACGACGACGCACCAAGGGTGCAATTCTGGGCGATTGACGCGATCAGTGAGGTCACGGTGCTATTGTCCGAAATCACAAAAAACGTGCTGTTGCTGCCCGTGCTGTTTGACGTGAATATAGCTTCCGCCAAGGGCCCACCCGGTCGGCTGGTGTTGCTTGGGAGGCCATACTGGTAGTCACAGATACTCATCAGAAAGACTGACACGAAATACGACTGGCCACATTACCTCGGGATCGTGCAAATAATATGGGCCATATCCATAACCGGGGCCCCAGACAACAGGCCAGAAGACAAATGGGAATGGTCGCCCCAAGACGCTACCGGCGACGAATCCTGGGTAGCCACTGCCGTACCTTCTGTGGGCACTGTCAGCAATATTTCAAGATCTTGTAGAAGACACGCACGATGTTCCATATACTTGGCCGCGTATGGCGCCGCCAGATGTACGACCAGCGAACGGCTGGCCCGCAGGGATAGTGAAAATGCGCGTCGTTCCACTGCCGTATGCCGTCGCCGAGGTCCTTCCTGCTGTTGAGCCGGAGATGGGGACAGACTTCTGGGTACTCTTGCCGATGTTGCTGCCCTTGCTCCCGCTGCTTCCACCGTTGCCGCCGCTCTCGCCACTACTGCCAGAGTGTCCGCCACTGCTGCCAGAGTGACCACCACCGCTCCCGTGACCACCCCCGCCCCCGCCGCCTTTGCGAGGGTACAGCCGTTGGCTCAGGGGAGAGATGATGGGGATGAACATATGAAGCCCGAGATGGAGGAATTGAAGAGGTGCGAAAGACGGGCTGCCAGCTAAGCCTCAGCGGTCCTTTATACTCCTGCATTCCAAGGCGGTACGTAAGTTTTTTCCCGAAAAGCAAGACAATCGGTTTCCGCATCCATGGCCGCGGTGGACAGCCTCAGCGTTGCTTGAGATTCTACGCCGTGCTACATCTGCGATCAGATTGAGTATGAGATCGCATCACGTGCCCTGGAATAGTACGCGTCGCGACGCGTTAAGAATTAAATTGTGCCAGCCCCATCTTGTAAACCGTGAAAGTATCAAGAACCTCTTGCACTGACGACGATTAGTAGCAACGCGCTGAAGTCTTTCAGTTGTGTCTCAGCACAGCGTCATCGCTCATCGCTCAGTTCAGGCTCCGGGTCACTACGCCACGCCGGGCGGTAAGGCTGCGTGGGCCTCGGATACAAGCCTGTCAGGAGCCAGGAGATTGTAGCCCAAGGGTGCTTACTACAAGCCGAACGGCTGTTGATGTCAGTACACAAGCACCTGTGTCAAGAGGGCATGTCGCGGCGACGAACAACCGGCATGAAAGCTCGACAACCAAGATGGCTCGCCTATAGGCACGGCGCGCATTTCCGAGACATACCGTATAGGCGCTTTAATTTCTTGTATATAGCTGCCAGTGGAGATAATGTCGCTTTGACTCGGATGAGGTGTACAAGCGCCCGATACGCCACTGGGGAAGACGCTTGCTTGGAAACCGTAGCGGCTGGAGGAGGATGATTCGGGCAGCTTCTATTATCTAGACACTTGTAAGCAGTATATTTTGCCGTTTGAATATTTTTTGTGATGCGCACAATTCAGATACCCCAAGCACACTACAGGTCAGCAGGTATAATGTTTGCGAAAACTTTGATCTGTCGGCAGTCGTGCGAGTCGAGAGAGTCATGAAGAGACCAAGAGGACACCTGTAGGAAGCTTCAGAACAGACAAAGTGAGTGGGAACGTGAAACTTGCCGGGCCTACATGTGCTATCGCTCTATAACCTCATCTGTTGCCGCCACTACGCCGCTCGACGCCTCTACTGCCACCGCCGCTCACTGACCAATCTACCAACAATGATCTACTCTATAGGAAGTGGACGAAGCAAGGAACTGACTACAAGACAAGGTAGCATAGGTAATCCGAGCTGCACCTGACCCGGACGTGGCGACCCATCCCTTACAGTGTACCGCACAGTGCAAAAAATTTGTGAGATGGAACTCATCAGAATTTAGGATATGCCTGCGTAAGTGCCGTAGCAGTCGTTACGAAGCTCGAATTCCGTAAGAGCGACAGTGTCCTCGTCGTTTTAGGAAACAGGTGAAGTGCGGGAAGACGCCCGACAGCAACTGCCTCGCAAGACAATATTCTGCGACCAAGAGAGAGCTCGAGAAACAATTGTAGCCATTGTTCTCTGCCAGAAAAAGTATTTGCCCTGAGCCGTCAGAAGACAAGACACCAGGAGTACGCCGTGCAGGTCCACTATCGCTGATATAAGATCGCAGATTGATGATAGAAGCCACGAGACGATAAGAATGAAGCAAAAGCCTGATGAACAAGCTCGAAACGGACGACATAAGGTGTCGTGTGCAGTGGATATGCCCCCTGCGGAGCAAATGCAATCGAAGACATTGAAACCTCGAGGATACAACACCTTGTACAGACGCTCGCATGCTGTGACAGTGTAATTCACACACAAAAGAAGCGAGCGCTCACTGAGAAGCCGTCCACTGCAGTACTCACGTACTAACGGAAACAGAACACGCAGCCCAGACATACACCAGCACGACCAGCACGCGGCCGGAGTAAAACAATACATCTAGCGTGGTCACCTCTAGGAAGCCAGATAGTTCGCCATAGGTCACATGGATGCATTGTATTGCGCGCGAGTGGTAGACGAGAAAACATGACCATAGGTCAACCATACAGGGTGTGATCGCATAGAACGAGAAGTACCCGACGATACGGATTTTAAGCCGTGGCCCTGCAGACGAGCAAGGTCAGTGACAAAGGAAGAAAAGAAGTGGAATCGACACACTTCTTGTGTGATGCCTTCGCGGCTGCCATCTTCTCCTTCTTCTCAGCCACGCGCTTCTGAATGAGAGTACTGTGACAACGTCAGCACAGAGACGCCAACATTCATTTGCACGAAACCACACGTACTCGTACTCTCCCTTCTGCTCCTTCTGACGCTCGATCCGGCGGCGCTTGAGAGAGCGCAGATGACGGCGGCGTTGTAGACGGAGTGGGGTGACTAACCGCTGAATCTTGGGCCTACACACGCGGAGGCGTATGAGCTTCACCAAACAATACGGAACTCATCTATGCAACTCACGCCTTGGTGTAAGGCTTCGCGTTCTCCTTCTTCGCGCTCGTGACCTCTCTCCGCACGACATACTTCCGCACGTCATCCTCCTTGGAGAGGTTGAAGAACTTGCGGATCTTGGTCGCGCGCTTGGGGCCGAGACGCTTGGGAAGGACGTTGTCAGTGAGACCGGGGAGCTCGTTATCGCCCTGCTTGACGATGACAAGGGATAGCACGGCGATATCGGGACCGACAATGCAACCACGGACGGACTTGCGCTTGCGCTCGCCGGTGCGGCGGGGGCGATAGCACGAGTGGCCGTCGGAGAGGAGGAGCCGCACCCGATGAGGGAGGAGCACGCCCTGTTTCATGGGGAAACCCTGCTTGTCGTTGCCGCCGGTGATGCGGAAGATGTAGCCCTTGAACTCGTCACCCAGCGGATCCCCAGGGACTTCTTGTGACATCTTCTTGTCGTAGAAGATGCGGCTGCGGTATATGTCAGGAGCATGCGTAGAGTGAACGAGAGGCCGCCGTACAATTTCCTCTCATCATCAAAGTCGATAGTCTTTTGTTGCCCAGTTGCGGAGTCTGTCGTAGAACGTGAGCAGGTCGATCAGGACTACTCCGGACAAGACTCACTGGCGATGTTCAGCTTCATGCTGCTTGAATATTAGCACCAGTAATTGTAGTATGGGATGCTGGACGTCGACTTGCGTTTAGGACGTGTCTGGTGCAACCGGGAGTAGTGTGGGAACAAGGTTTAGAACTGTACAGTTGTCGCAGCCACACTTACTTTGGCACGTGCACCATATCTTCTGCGCCCAGCAACGGCACACACGACGACAAGCCCTCAGACTCCCTTTTCCGCAAACTCTGTGCGTAGCTTACGCTGCTATGCTGTGCGTGTTGCTGACGATGTGTTTTCAGAGTCACCATGGGTCGCATGCACGCTCCCGGAAAGGGCATTTGTGCGTTTCGCTCATGCTAATCCGCTGAAAGACGTACTGAAATTGTGGTTATGTCTCGATTAGCGTCCTCTGCTCTTCCCTATCGCCGTACACCACCTTCCTGGCTGAAGACGACACCCGAGGATGTCGTCGAGCACATCACGAAACTCGCCCGTAAGGGTCTGACCCCGTCCCAGATCGGCGTTACCCTCCGCGACTCGCACGGCGTCCCCCAAGTGCGATTTGTGACGGGTAACAAGATCCTCCGTATCCTCAAATCCCATGGTGCGTGCTCCCCTCACTGATCCCTCTCCCGGCCGTAAAATTCAGTACGCCGCTCTGGAAATGCAGGTCTCGCGCCGCAGATCCCCGAGGACCTCTGGCATCTTGTGAAAAAGGCGGTTGCGGTTCGCAAGCACCTCGAGACGAACCGCAAGGACAAGGACTCCAAGTTCCGCCTCATCCTCATTGAGTCGCGCATCCACCGCCTCGCGCGTTACTACAAGACGAAGCAACAGATCCCCCCAACGTTCAAGTACGACTCGGCGACCGCTTCCACCCTCATCGCATGAGTGTGCGTGCAGAGTTAGCTGGCTTGACGAGTTGAGAGACGGGGAGAGGCAGGCGGACACACTGTGGGTCGGCCGTCGACGTTATGTGTTATATCGCGCTTTACATGACACCATCGCAATGCAAAATAGGGTTATGCAATATCGTTCTCTGTATTGCGATTTGATTCGATTTGCCTCGTCTGTACGACTCCTTTTCCTTTTCACCGACCGTATACAACAGTGTAAAATCTACTCCGGCTTGGCCTTCTTCGCAGGGGGTCTCGACTCAGGACAGAAGCAGTTAGTCTAGGTTCTGCTGTTATAAAGTCCAACATCTCAACTGCACAATCATATGTACACTCTATCGACAAGATCCGCTGCCACGTATCCGTCCATCGTGTTATACATACGCTCAAGCACGTCCAGCGGCGAGCACCTCCTGCGCGGTCTTCTTCCCCTCGACAACGCTGCGCATGACCTCGAGCGCGCGTCCAAAGTCCTTGAAGACGATGTGCGGAATCTTCTCGCGCGTGCAGTACGCCGCGAGGTCGTTCTCACCGTCGCCCTTGTCCTTGACGAAGAGCACGTCCGCGTGCCGCGCGGCGGACAGGTCTGCGTTCGGGTCAGCGAACACTGCGCAGCGCACAGGTGCGACAGGGACTTGCCTGACACGCCGTCACCGAAGAAGAATATCAGCGGAGGGTTCGGCAACCTGCGGTAGGGCAAGATCGCCTGGCTCTTGTCGTGGCCGTACCCGCTGTGCAATCGTTCACCATCAGCGTCGGGGTTTGCGCGCGGAGCGAGGAGGGCGCTCACCTGCTCGGGTGCCGAAACTTGATCTCCCACTTGCCGTCGGGATGCACGTCCACGTCGTTCGACACGATTTCGATCTCCTTCGCCTCCTCCTGGTCGAGCAGGTTCGTGAGCACGGCACGGATCGTCGGCGTCATGCCGCTGTCAAATCGAGGTCAGTCTCTACCTCTGCAGTCAGGGGAGAACGCGTACCTGGAGACGATGACCACGGGGATGTCGGCGCCCTTGCAGTACCGGTAGAAGTCCTTGAAGCCCGGATCGAGCCCGATATCTGCGAGACTCTCCAGTCAATCTCTAGGACCTTTGACGAAACGCAGCGTTACGCACTCTTCCGCAGGACCTCCTTGCATTCGTCCAGCTTGTGTCCATTAGCGACCACACTCGCGAGCATCTCCCGGAACGAGTCTCTGCATGCGGCGAGGATGAGCGGGAGCGGAAGAAGAAGAGAGGGGTGACATACCGGAAGGTGATCTTCCCAGAGAGCGTGTCTATATTCCCCTGGCGCCGCTTCTCCTTGCCATAGCCAAGGTTGTCGGTCATGTCTATTGAACACAGCACACCACATCAATATCGATCTGCTATTCCGTGCATCTTTGAGGTATGAAAACTCACAATCATTGGAGTCGCGAGTCGTGATAGTGCCGTCCCTGTCATCGCGACCCGAAAAGCGTCACCGCAAGAACAACACATACGAACAATAGAGAGAAGAAAACTATTAGTATCTCGCCACAGAAAACACAGATCTCGCCCGGCGGGACTCATGGGAACGGACCAACCAACCAGTCGGAGAGGACGACGAACTTCTTGTCCTCATGGATAGGTGGGTATGGCAGCGTGCTGACGGGAACGGGCTCGTCATCGAGGCCGATGGGCTCGCCAGGCATGGCTGTAGTGCGCTGTTCTGTTCGTGATATGGTGATATGATGGTGGTGGTTGAGGAAAGGACTTGAGAAGTGGGAGACAGGCCCGCTCTCCGAGTCTGAGATCAACTCATCTTATCTTATCTCAGGACAACCCGCTAATTCCCCCAAGCGCCTGTCCGCAACGGGCCTCCTGGAATGAGTTGATTGTTTCCTCACTCAGGGCATCTCAAGGAAAAGAGAAATTGCCGCATACATTTCAAGTCGCGCTCCTATCGAATCACAACGGAAGACGACTCAGGATCCATCATCTTGTAATGCATTGTCTGTATTGGTCTACATCGCTTGTCAATGGTCTTTGCTTTGGAAACGTAAGTAATGAGTGTCGGAATTTATGATTTGACCGGTTTTGTACGGTACAGTAGCTTACTAAGCAGATCGTAGGATATCTACGAGATAGCTCACTTCTGTACTCTTTACGTGTTTGCAGAGCTCAGACTTATCCTCATTGTTCATCGGGGTCTCGGCATCCACCCGTTCATTTCAACACAAATGCGTCGCGGCTTGCTACCGCTCACCAAAGCTACTTTCAGAGTCTTGAGATCCTTTATTTTGGTACCCCTTCCCTCGTCGACTCTCATTCGACTCTTCGTACCCGATCTCGATGATCTCACTCATCAAAGCCCTGTTCAAGACTTACAGGCATTGTTCAAAGACCTCACCACCCTAGAGGCACCTTGGATTGCCAGATCAGGCCGATCACAATCAACGTCAGCTGCGGCAGTATGACAGGTGCGCGTTGTATCCAAGTTAGCGGTCCGCGACTGTCGCCCATAGCGTGAGCTGGGAGGTCAGAGAGCCTCATATCTGGAGGGAATGCTGTATGGTTGAGGGGTATTGTGATTGGTGGTCAGGAGGCAGCAGAGGGCAGAGGTGTTATGAGGTGGGAGTCACCGTGGCAGATCCCATTGGTGGTCTTCAGGTTGTTCCTTGTGTGTGGATTCTTTGGAGTTGGATACTCCTGGAGTTGGTGCTTGGAGCTTTTGGATGTTGTGCTCGGATAGCATGCATCCGTGCCTTTGTGGCACACTGGCACTTTTTAGCGCATTGGCCATGACTTGGCCATTTCTTGTCGATCTGTGGATCAGACATGTTTGCTCGCCCACTCGCTTGTGTGTCCTTGCACTCTCATCGTCCACTCATCACCTGCATTTTTGCCACCACATCAGGAAAACCCAACTTTATCTTAGGGACTTATTTAGACTTTTGGGTCTGGCAACCCTTATTTAAGTTCATAAGTGGTCAAATAAGTCTCAATAAGTCGAATTTCAGATGCTCAGGGAATATGCCTTAGGCCCTTTTGTCCTTATGTCCTTAAATAAGGACCATAAGTCCATTTAAGTTATTTAAGTGTCCTCTTAAGGAAAAGTGGGGTTTTCCTGATGCATCCTTTCACTCGGATTTTTTTGCCATCACCCGCTATAAGTCGTTGGATATGCAGGCATCATTGCTCTTTCCATTCCCATCTCGAGGCACATCAACTTCATTGGAAGTATTGTTTGCTGGCTTGTTCAGCAGCCATGCAGTTCATCCCTTTTCTCACTCGACATCTTGGCCAGCTCTGATCTCAGGTGGAGTTGGGTTCCTTCATAGTCTGAGGGGGAGTTTTGTTCACTTTTGGTCTATTCCTTACTCTTTTACACTTGTCTGTACCTTTCATCAACTGAGGGGGAGTGTCGGAATTTATGATTTGACCAGTTTTGTACGGTACAGTAGCTTACTAAGCAGATCGTAGGATATCTACGAGATAGCTCGCTTCTGTACTCTTTACACATTTGCAGAGCTCAGACAAACACTTATCCTCATTGTTCATCGGGGTCTCGGCATCCACCCGTTCATTTCAACAATGAGCGATTTGTAGCAGGGGGTCAAGTTGAAGCTGTCTTTAGTAATTCTCTGATATATTCATCTAAATGACTCGGACTCGGAGATGCAGCCACCGTTTGGATGAAGCTTTGATGTAATCTCCATGCAAGAAGCCTCCGTGCACCTGAAGTTCCGCGTGCGACCAAGCGGACGAGCATTGACGACCTCTCCACCGGATGGGTTTGACGCACATGCACGATTCTAGTGTGCATCGGTGTCTACTGAATAGGATTTAAGTTTAATCTTTCACCGACAATTTATCCAGGGTGATTCACCAGTCTATTTCTGGCACTCGATGGCGCCGGGTTACGGTGACTGTGGTTCAAACACTGTGATCTTCCATATACCCCCTCTCCAGAATGTCATAACTTACAACAAATGTCCGCAATGGAAGAATCACCATGTGGTTGCGAGGTACAGGTAAGCTATAATAGGATGTGTGAGATGTACTATTGGTTTCCTTGAGCATCCAGCACTTCATATAAGCATGCTGTCCTGGATGCGGCTTCGTCCAGAGACTTGGCCACTGATACCACGTGCTGCACATACTACGCATTACACGAAATGGATATAGATTCACCTGCACAGTTGACCTCCCCACATGAAAGAATCGGGCCTGTAAGTCATTCTTTACTTTGTCCCAGGTTGAACGAAGTGTTCATTTCTCGAACAGATTGACTATCGATGGACATCTCTCAGTAGTGGCATTCTGGACCTTTACGTTGAGAGCACCTCGAAGGAGGATACAGAATTGTTCCAGAAATGGAAGGCCGACATGGACAATCTCCTGATGCATCAGGAAAACCCCACTTTTCCTTAAGAGGACACTTAAATAACTTAAATCACCTTGCTTGTCAAGGTCTCCTCGCCCCCCTTAATTGCACCACTTTTCCGTGCCCCATACCTGCCCGACTTCTCTCCCGAGTGTCTCCGGTTAAGGCCTTTATGTTCGACTCCCACTGTCATCGCATCGTTAACCCTGTACAGTCTGTTCAAGTTGTTGAATATATAGAACCATCGGCGAGCGTCATGTACAATCTGTTACGTGGCATTGCTTATTCAATCAGTAACAAACATTATCCAGTTGTCTGTTCTCTTTCGAAAATCAGCCCGGTTGCTGTATGCTTGTACTTGTCCATTCAACACTTAACTATAACTATCGGACACAGGGTTTTTTCCGCCATTAATTCAGCTTTTTCTCTGTCACAGCACATGTATGTAGTCTATAAAGAAAATTCACTAGAAGTGAATCTGTGGTGTTCGTCACCCATTCACTTAATGATGGCTCTGACATCTGAGATCTGAAGTACTGAAATTGAATTGTGAACTTCCCCTCCGATCTTGTACAACCTAAACCACTCTGTTGGGGGGTGAGTATTGTTTACTAATACCCTTCAAAATGTCTAGACTACATGTATATCTAACAAATGCATTACCACTCGGCAAGCAAGGTCAAGGCCGACGCCAGTCGGCGCTTCCCTAGTGGAGTTATAGTCCATATTTAAGGACATAAGGACAAAAAGGGCCTAAGGCATATTTCCTGAGTGTCTGAAATTCGACTTATTAAGACTTATTTGAACACTTATGGACTTAAATAAGGGTTGCCAGACCCAAAAGTCTAAATAAGTCCCTAAGGAAAAGTTGGGTTTTCCTGATGTGTTTGTCTGTTGGTTTTTCTCTATCCTGTGTTTTTTTACTCATCCTTTCGTACAGGCAGGTCTTTTTCCACTGTGGTGACTGGTTTTGCAGTTACATCATATCTAACTCTCGAGCAAGACAGTGGCACCATGGCAACACAACTATTACAACAGATTCTTGTGACACTTCAGGAAAATACTGGAGAAGACATGCTATTGCTGCTGCAATCCTCATCAGCATCAGCATCATTCCACCCTACTGCATCTGTCATATTTGTGAACAAATGTTGGTTCATGAGCCTCATCCTCAGCCTTTCTGCAGCTCTGGTGGCTATCCTGGCCAAGCAATGGATCTACTATTTCCACTCCGGATATTCAACTAATCCTGCCATAAAAAATCGCCAGCGAACATATCGCATTGCTGGACTGTATAGGTGGCAGTTGCCCACCCTCATATCCCTGCTTCCAACCTTTCTACACATTGCCTTGCTCTTATTCTTTGTAGGCCTGCGCGAGTTTCTACGGAACCTTAACACAGCTGTGGCCAGCCTTGCAACTTGCTTCATTGATTTCACTCTGGCTGTGTATGCAATTACCATCATCATACTCCCCTTTATTTTCACAGCTTGTCCCTTCAAAACATCCCTGGTCTCCATTTTTTATGGCACCGCCTGCAATCTTGTCTCTGCCGCAATTACTTTGCTGGATTTCGCATGGGTTAATTTTCTGTACAGTCTGTCAATCACCTACTCTGTTGAACCCCTTATGGTGATCATGATATACTGTTCCAAACAACTAGGCTTCCAGGATGTCGAGGCCAGGATGGTGGGGATGCACCAGATGCTCTCAAGCAGATGAAGGTTTCAATATGGCTTTGTCATCCCATTTTTTCGTTGGATGTGGCATTGCCTATCCTCGATATCGGCTAAAAAGGTCGATCTCATCAGAGTGGACTCGAATCCACTGGATGCGGAGGTCCTCTCTCGATTACTTGGGCATGCAGGCCCAGCAGACATGAAAATGCTGGTGGAGGATTCGTGTAAATTCTGTGAACAGTCCAAGCACTGGCCATTCCTCGTCAGCGATGATGCTATCATCTCTGTATTCCGGTACTTGGATTTGCTCATTTCTGATCACTGGACCCCCCCTCCCACAACACAGCACATTACACATTGCTTAGACATGTTGGTGATGATGGCCACGGAGGAGAGTGTGACGAGTCGCTGGGATGCATTTCGTGCTATTCGCTCAACATCGGCAGGAATGAGCTTTCCTTATGACATCCAAGAACCTGATTACATCGAAGATCTCGCCACTACTGTATCAGGCTCGATGTGGACCAACTCTCCCTTGTTGCCTGCATATGATTTACATATCATGGCCGGCATGCTACAATTGAAAGTCAAAGCATTCTGCCATAATGCTGATGGTTGGCGTCGCCGTGGCCAACAATGCCTGTGAGACTTCTACAGGAGTCTCACAGTAACCCAGGAGGCATTCGCAGAGATTTCTGATGATGCACACATAGTGATCATCCACACGATCATCTACACCGCCATCAATGCTGCTTCTGTAGAGGAATTTTCTAATTCCTCGTCCAATTTGTACTCAAACCTTGCTATATGTTCTCTAGAAGTACTCACCCATATCGCACAAACGAGAAATTTAACATTCACCGCTCGCCGTCAGCTGTTGTGGGGTATTTGTGCAATCGTCGATCCCCCGCAATGGATTACATGTTGCTTCGGCACAATCAACATCCCACAATTATCCAGTTCAGAATCATTTCACGGTCAAGTTGCTGCGCTTATCTCTGCGCGTTCGGTTTTGCGTATATTTTGTGACACCATCCCAGACCATGTCCGTCAAACCATGGAAGAAGTTCTTCCGAATTTTCTTTCTCCCAAAGCCCCTTACTCAACTGCGGACCGTGTTCATCTGGCCAAAGAAGCTCTGCGCTCCGCAATGCTTTCCATCGAGGGCTTTATGCTCTCCACACCTAGATCTGATGGTGCAACAGATCTGGATAAAAAAGATCGAGCTCGCATCATCTCTGCTGGTCTTTCTGACTATTCCAAATTCCTTGATGCTTTCACAGAGAAACTGCAGAGCGGCCTTTTAATGGATCCATCGTTCCTGTGGATTCTTGTTTGTATCATGCGAATTTCAAGCTATGTGGTGTTCTATTGCCCACCAGACGACCTGCATGACAACTCAGCACTCGTTCCTGCATCTAAGCAGAGCCTGAAGGATATAATGAAATTCCTGACAGGAAAAGTACACAAACCACCCTTCCGTGCTTGTCCTCTGAATATCTACTGATCGTTATGTCATACCGCATGCAGGGTTGCACTTCTCCAGCTAGAGGATCATGATTCAATCGATCGACAAGGGGCCTGGTCAGTGGAAATGCTATCCAATGATATGTCCCCGCAGGATGTTGCCATCTCCTTCTTTCAGGTGCTTCAGGGGATCTGGCAGATTACTGCGGCTGACACAATGCCATTAGACGCTTTGAATGCTGTTCTAAATGTTGTGAAAGGACTATTTTGCAACACTGCGATGGACAGAAATCCCGAAGCTAATGCAGGAGCAAACAGAGACAATGATGACAATGGAAACCCCTTGGGCAACGATGCAGAGGGCATCGCACATACAATCATTCCTGTCCTGTTCACTGAGGAGGCTCGAACTAATCATACTCCCAAGGCCTCTAATAGAAGTCCCGACCATATCCTCGAGAATGAGGCCGATCGAAATGCACTTGCCTACGCAGTTGCGAAACAATACACTTCCTTCCTCACTGATGTCAGTAGCAAGAATTTTCCTCAGTCGTTTTCCTTGAAGTGTTAGGACACCTGATAGACGTCTCCACTACTATCATCGACCGTTTCCAGAGACCACTGCTGACACCTGAATCATCCGAATTGCCCAAGCTACACCTTGAGGTTCTCGGATGGAAGGTTGCTTATTCGGTATTGTCGATGCTCCAGCGAATTGAGGCCAACCAGCCAGAGTCTCATCCCGGTGATATTGAACCTATGACTTGTGCACATTTAGATGCTGTTGCAGTCGCCCTCAAGTGTTTATATTTGGGAGTCCAGCCTAATCTCAGTGAAAAGGTCGTTCAACTTCGAACTAGCATATCCGCCTTACTCAAACAGATGAAGCTGTGATTTGTTCTGAAGGAATGGGCGGAAGGTATATTGGAGAGTTCTATCGGAGGAATGGCTTGACTTTTGGACGAAGAGATAACCAAGGCATGTGTATGCTACTTATATCCATGATGTCTTCGCTCACGATTAGTACAGTTCTAGCAGTGTTTCATGAGGCTTTGCTACTTATCCATAAGGCTCCAACTATTTTATCTATTTATCATGTATATATGATTTATTTAGTATACTATATACATTTATTTATAGTGTGACCTGTACATGGTAAATATATAGTACATAAATAGTATATGGTTATGGGCTGTACAGCCCACGTGGTCTGCATATTCTCACATAAAACCAGAGAAAGTTCAGCCAAAAGCTATAGAGATAAGTTTAGATTTTCTGAATCATAATTGTAACTCTAAAATAGGGTTGAAGTGATGCTTGACTAACTTTGGCTCATGTTAAATATTGTCTCTGACTTTCAATAGTCATTATGAGAGTCATTAAGTCTTAGCATTTAGTGCAGCCCTCTCAACTTTCCTGACTGCGGAAAAAATAATAGTAATATATATAGCAGGCTACAGTCTTATCTGAGGTGCAGTTCTGATAATTATGTAAACCATATATTTACCTTATATTTACCATCTATCTACCATATACCATTTATTTAGTGGTTGGAAGTGTAAATAGATTAAATGGTTGGAGCCTTACTTATCCAGGCCTGTAATCTTGGAATCTGTGTGCGTACTCGGTCTGTGACGGTGAAATGACTCGTATAGTGTTGAAATATTCGGAATGAATCCCATGTCCACGAGAAGCGCTGCCAGCGACCCAGAAACAAGTGAGTTGTGCAGTACAGGCTGATGGGACGTGAGAACTCGTACATCTACATGTAGAACAGCGATTCGATGTCACTCTCGTGATTGTTTCTCAAGTTTCCCGCATGTGTGTATGCCACGCAACACTATTTACGACCGAAATACGCAATTTAGCCGCTCAAACGAGGGGTGATCCCTGTACGCACAACGAGGCAATCAGGCCCACATAGCTCTGAATTTCTCTTCGAACTCCCTCGATACTGTATCGATCACCTCATACACTTTCCAATCGCGATCCGATACACCCACAGGTCGCTTGAGCGATCCGGAATCAGGACCACCCTCGTCGACGTCCACTTCTGCAGGGTCGAATGACCCATAACCGCTGTCGATATCTCCACTGGCGCTAACAGCATCCTCCTTCGCCTTCGAGGCTTTTAGCAGCAGCTGCCCAAGACCCGCACGAATGGCCTTCAGGCTCAGGTCGAAGTCCTGCAGGACATACCAGAGATCACCAGGCCTGATGCCGTTCGCTGCGGTCAACGCCGCAGGCTGGCCATGGATGTAGAAGTCGAGCAGGTATGCGTTGAGCGCGTAGAAATCGTCTCCTGAACCCGGGATGGTCGTCAGGCGGTGCATAGTCGGGATCGCGTGTTCGTTCAGGTGCAAACCGCGACGAATAGTTCCCGTCAGCTCTTTGACTGTCTGAAAGGAGTCGCTATGACCGGAGTTTGCTACGAAGAGGGAGCGAGCCGATACTTTTACAGCAGTCCTGTCCAGGTAGTCACGGAAAGGTGAGCTGGGGTTGTCGTGGCTCAGCGGGTACGCGCGTTGGCTGAGAGGCAGCTGCGAATCAGCTCCAAGCTCCTTGGAGTACTGCGAAGCGTAAGTCAACGCATAACTTGTGAACACCTGCAAGATCTCTTTGTCGTGCTCTAATAGTACTTCTCGCGCGTCCGCAGGGAGAGGTGGAAGAATGACCATAGACGGAGATTTGCGAATGAGAATCTTGAGGTTCTTCTCTGTAACATATGACTTAGAGAGGTACCTCCGCCCAAATAGATGGCACAAGAGGATGAGAAAATCTTTCTTAGCAGTGATTAGATCCGGGTGTGAGCAAATCCTGTGTATGACTCCGCGGTGCATCAGGGCCACGAGCGCGAGGTTGCTTGGTTCTGTGTAATACAAGTGGGCAGCAATGCCAAAAAGGTTAATAGGATTGCCCTCATGGTCGAGCAGGCCGGCACGACGTAGATAATCGATGCTGAATCTGATGTGATGAAGGATCTGCTGCTCCTCTGCTTCCGACACGAAACTGACGTGAGGCAGCTTGAGCAGACTGCGAATGGCGTTTTCGGCGACAGGAGCATATGGAGAGCCGACGATGGCTTTTCCTGAGGTAGGCTCCTTCTTCGAGCCTTGCAGAAGGTTGAAGAGACGTAACACCATGGTAGATGTCAATGGGAAGTTTCCGCCTAATGATGGGAGCCGCGACAGCACCAACCTCTGGCATCTGTCCATGGCAATACCGTAGAATACGACCTTTCCTAGCAGATCATAACCGCGCCTACCAGCTTTATTGAAAAAATCGTGGACAATTATGAGGTTTGGAGAGGGAGTAAATGACTGAAACTTACCACGTCCTGCACATTGTCGATACTGAATAGAAACGATCATAAGAGTCAGCACTGAATTACCTTCAGAATGCTTGTTACTCACCATAAGCGCGGTCAGGAAAGGCGAATCGCCACAAAACACAGATGTCTTGGTGGGAGCATTGATACCCAAAGCCAGTGTCCCTTCGGCAAACTAGCGTTAACTTGTGAATGGAATACGAGAATGAAAGCCAAACGCACCCGTGGCGATCACAACTCTCAAGAAACCCAAGCGGAATAAGCTAGTAGCCGGCAGTCACGTTAGCATGAAAACCGCACTTACGCGAGGATGACTCGCCTTTCCACCAGTGTTCTGTACTGTTTGTTCATTCCAGAATGATGGATACCGATGCCTCTGCGCAAAGCCTTGAAGAACCAAGGCTTGACCGACGTCCATCGCGAAAGCGACTCGATCTCCTCGTCGAGCGTTGTCTTCTCGAACTTAGAGATGCCAGCGAAGGAAAATTGCGGAGAAGGGTCTGCAGGGTCGAACGAGCTCTCCCATGATGCCATGACCTCGTGGTCAACTTCATGCTCTTCCGTGCCCTTCTTCTGCTTTTTCAGTCGTTCCGCCTGGCGCTCTCGGGCATATGCCTGTAATTTCCAGGTCTCCCACTGTTGTATCTTCCTTGCCCATTCAGGACTTCTTGCGCGCCAGTCATCTTCAGCAGCCTCCAGATTATCTAACAGCAATTGCCCCATGATCTCGCAAGCTTTGCGATCGAACTGGAAGAATATTGCAGGCTAGACAAGCGAAATTCGTCATTCATTGCAATAGAGATGGAACCAAGTATATCCACGATACTTACCAGGTCACCAGAGGAATGCAAGTCCGAGACAAGATGTATGAGGTTATCATAGAACGCCGTCCTCGATGGTATGTATTGATTATCTACACTTTGCAGAGCAGGATCTACAAGGCAGCCGATGACATCATTGAGCGCTGAAGATGCGTCTTGAGGATCTGATGAAGAAATCAACTTGGAAAGCCCTGTCTTCAGTTCGACCTCATAGCGCAAGATATCCTTCTGCTTGAGGAGAGCGGGCGCAGAGCCCGAGAAAAATTGCGAAGGATCTAAGGCACCGGGCTCGAAGGGTATCCTGCCACGGCATTTGTGGTACGCCTGGTACAACGTTAGGCAGTCCGCAGCCTCAAGAGAGAAGTCTGAAGGAAGGTCGGAGTTTCGGGCACCAAACGATAACATCGAAACCGGATGCAAGAACTTGAGCCGGTTGGTACTCGAGTAGTTGGAAAGCCCAGTGAACGTCTGAGACTTCTCTTGGACTAGATAGGTGAATTTGCGCAAGTGAGAGTACCTGTGCGGGTGTTGAATGAACGTGTGATTGTAGCCGTGGGCTTCCTGGACAGATTGAAGCCAGTCATTGAATCGCTCGGGGTGACCAATCGTGGCCGACAAACCGCTTCAGTAATGTCAGAACAAGATGCACGGAAACTTCAAGAGTTGTCACAAACATGATAGGACAAGGAGCGAGCAGAATGATCTGCTCCCACACCGCACCTCCCTCTTGCTGTCCAATCGAGTGGATCTCATCGAGTATGATGCTGCGCACAATAAAAACATCACTTTCAGTGGAAACTTTGCAAGACATCAGTGTCTCACGCACCGTCGAATCCGTGGTGTCCAAGTGCGTGTCAGGGGAGGGGACAGCAGCAGCGTTGCCAAAACCTCGGGCACCGTCACTAAGATCTGACAATTTTGCGGATTGTGGATTCGGTAATCTCTGGTGTGAATGGCCCAGCAGCTACCTAGATCAAAGTGCGAGCTTGGGGAGAGAACGCGAGGGAATACACCGAACACTTACCTCCATTGACTTCCTTCTTGAACCGGGCATAGACTTCTGCCGCGATCTGATTGACAAGAGCCTTCGTCGGTGCTACGTAGACCAGTATGCCATTGTCGGATGTCCTCAGAACCTGCTCCATGGCATAGTATGAGATGAATGTCTTGCCAGCACTGGTGGGGGCTGAGAGCACGCCGAGATCAGATAATGCAGCACACAACAATACCAGACACGACCTACCAATGACAAGCACGGACTGATTGGCGTCGAGACAATCGAGGACTCGGCGTTGCCAAGCATCAGGTTGGAACGAGACACGGGAGTCAGGCCGACTATCCATGCTCCGGTCCATGAACTCGCCGAAAAGACGTAGTTGCCAAACGATGGGGTCTTCCACGATGCGCATGAACTTGAAGAGCGACGACTTGCTCTTCGACTTGACGAGTTTGACAAAGTCAAAGCTCAGTGAACGGTCAGCAGCCAAGTCCGCTTCCACTGGCGTCAGAGACGGTATATAGTCAGCAAACCCTAGGACGGTCAGGACATTTCCGATGATTTTGACAGCAGTAGGGAACAATCCCTTGCGCTCATGCACGTCTTTCACTATTCGCATGATGGGTACAGTAAAATGGTCGCGCACGCCAGCACTCTCGCGATCGGGATGGTAGATCCATTGCTGAAACTTGAGATGCAATCTGTAGAGGTGGATCTCCACGGCGAACCATCCTTCTTCTGTGCGCGAATTGCGCAGCAGGTTCTCCGTGGTAGTGATTTTCAGCTCTGTTGACATGTTCGCCATGCTGTTGAGCTGCTCTTGCCACCAAGCTCGATTTGAGTCATCTTTCGTCGATTGTTTCTTCGCTGCGTTGGCCAGTCGTATCTTGTCCGCAGAAGAGATATGTACAGCTTTAGGCTTCTTGTTCGCATTCTGAGTCTTCTGAGACTGTTTCTCCTAAGACATACACATCGATGTGAGCGGACAAGAAAAGGTCAAAAAAAATCACCCACAGATAAGGTATTGGCTATACGACTTCCAACATCCCCTTTCCGAACACTCGCAGACTGTATCACCATCTGTTGTAGCGTCGCACCGAGCGCTCCCGTGAGCGTGCTAGCCTGCCACTGCATACTGGACATGAACCGCTGCTCGCGGCGCAAGGCTCGCCTACGCTGCCACTCATCCATCGGCTTGGCGTCCTCGCCGCCCATGCGCCCGGGTAGAATAGCTTTGTTGTTGTCGTGCCAATGCTGGGTATCATTGAACACTGTATCGAACTCCAAGTGCGTTACTGAGGCTTCTTCCACTGCTCCCTCGACGTTCACGCGGATGGACTTGAGTTCATTGTCAAAGACTGGATGGCTGAACGGCAGAAGTCCTGACGGGCGGGGCTTAGCTACAACGATGTCTTGCTTGACACCAACGGGCGGAAACTGGGCGCAGAACCTCCTGTAGTCGACGGGTGGGAGCTTCAGAGACACTGTCCAGATGTGGTGAAGTGTAGAGTAGACCTGCGGCCCCAGGAGAGTGTCTAGTGGTGCGGTGGTGTTCGTCGACAAGAACGCGAGTAGTGCCGCGAATATGTGACCATCGACATCGATCGACACCTGGGACGAGATATCCTCTAATGCAAGGAAAACTGATGGAAGGAAAGAGTCGAGTAAGAGGTTTTTCAGCTTAGGATGCAAGCTCATGAGTGGTCTGGCACGTTGCTCGATGGACAACGTCGGTACAACAAGTAGATGCGCAACGAAGGCAAACAAAAGCTCGTATCTGAACTCCAAACTAGACGATGTCGTCGACGATGATACAGCTCGTACGAGATTGGTGAGAACTTGATGGTCATGACGGGGCAGCGGTTGCAGGCTTTGAGGCGAGAAAGTCGTCAGCGAAGCCACTGGAACGCCATGCCGCGCATGAACTTCCTGGGCTTCCAAGGACTCTAACGCAGCAGAGCTTGCAGCCCACAGCTTGCCATCTAGTCTCTTCCGAGCGCCGCGGTCGAGTCGCTGTTCGTAGACAAATGACATGACCTGCAAGAGCTCATTCGGTTACCGCATGACTGCGTGCTCGAATTGGTTGCTCACCTTGGAATCACGGAACTCAGCGCCTTGAAGCAGAGAGACTGGGGTTCCTTGAGAGAGGAGGATGTAGATAAAAATGCGTTGAGTAAGAATGCATTCTGGGAGAGAGAACGTGTTGCACTCTTGATCCAGGACTCCACCGTCGTTGGTCATCACAAACATCGGCTATCGTTCAGTGTCAGAATCCAGCCCACATAACATCGCCTGTGGAACACTTGCCTTCGTGAACTTCATATATTGCGTCCACAACGGGTCATCAAGGTTAGTGAATACATGTACTGGGATATCCAGTTGCTTCAGGTGCCGCACGAGAAGTGTACGAGCCAAAGACCTTGATACAAAAACGTAGCCCGATGACCCAGTATGCAGTGTGAGATGTCGGTTCTCTAGTGGAACAGCCAACCCCGTCAGTCATATAGAAGCCACCAGAAAGAATAGCGAAGACCTTGGAAGAATACTATCTCGAACACAGCCGAGCGATTGAGGAACTCTTCTAGCATGCGTTCAAGCGAATGCAATGCGTGCGGCAGCTGAAAGCTGGTGTCTGCCGACCATCCTCATTGTCAGAGATTGACACGGGTCGCGATGCTTGCAAAGCGTAAGCTCACCGTCAGGACGACCTATGCCAAGGAGCGAATCGTCCAACACATGCTGGATAAGAGCATCGCCTGAGATGGCTTGAGTTGGAACTGGCGTAAAGTTGATGGGGCCTCTTACCATCGATGACGAAAAGTTCTTGCCCCGCGTAGTCACCAATCAAGTCCATCCATCGACCTCGTCTGTTTGTCGCCGCATACCACTCCATGTCGATATAGTCGACGGCATCCTGTGCGGTGTACAACGCCAATGAAGGGGGAGGAGGTCTATCTCCAATCGCGCTGTCAAAATCGTCCAAATCCATGGCTAAAATTGGTGGGTGCAAGGATCTGAACGCGATCGCAGACTAAAGATCATATACTTATGAGAGTCCACCTGGCACGAAGCAGAAAACCTTGAGGTTGTGGTGAGGCTGCAACTATCAAACTTACACAGGGGAAGGAACCTCTATAAGATGGTCCTCAAATGGTATGTTTGCGTGTGTGATGTCCACAGAGAATATTGCAGAATTACGTGGCAATAAGCTAGAGCAACCCTTACCCTGTAAGCGTTACGTACGTTCGATGTAGATTCCTTGGAATAACTCAGATAGAGATACTCAAAAACACCTCAACTCCGAGTCAAAAGTTGCGACACTGTCACGCCGTGTGTGTGACAGCACGCGAGATGACGCGCCTCGGGCCACACGGCCCGGGGGAACGCTTGTACTGAGTTTCGTCTTCATTCCTTTCAGTCGCGGCGGTACGCCATTCGCAACAAAGAAAGCAGTTTGCGATCCTTTCCCGTGCCATTTGACACTCATTTAACTCAAGGGGCAGTGGCCTCCACACTTTGAGATGTCTTGTGGAAGTTAAGTCCGTTTGTAAACGTCCACCATGGTCATGCGGAAGGGGATTCACAAAACGAGAACCGCAGAAACCGGCCCTCGGACCGCCAACGTCGCGGCCCAATATAAAGGGCAACTTCGAGCATCGAAGAGGTCCCCGCAACCTCGCACCACTGCAGCATGGCGTGCCCGAAGATCAAACTCAACAACGGCGTAGAGATCCCCGTTTTCGGTTTAGGTAGGTCGAGCACCAGAGCAGTCTGCGGCGCCCTTACGGTGATATGCTTCTGCAGGGACATGGCAGTCTAAGCCCCATGAAGTCGCCAACGCGGTCGAATATGCTCTCAAGGAAGTCGGATACCGTCACCTCGATTGCGCGTGGTACGTGTTGTTTCCCGGAGCGTGCTGCGATGATCTGACGACCATGTAGGGCCTACGGTAACGAGAAGGAAGTGGGCGAGGGCATCGTCAAGTCTGGCGTGCCACGCTCCGAGATCTTCGTGAGTCCGACCATTGTGCAGACCCAATTGTACGTCTTATCATTTTCTAGATCACCAGCAAGCTGTGGTGCACGCACCACCACCGTGTGGAGGCAGCGCTCGACGAGACGCTGGCGAACCTCGGGACGGACTACCTGGACTGTGAGTTTCTCTGCAGGTCCCGAAGGCGTACGGACGAGCTCATCCGAGCGTAGTGTACTTGATACATTGGCCAATCCACCTGAACCCGAACGGGAACGATCCCAAGTTCCCTACGCGCCCCGATGGGACGCGTGATGTGCTGACGGACTGGAAGCTCAAGGATACGTGGTCGCAAATGGAGGCCGTCCTAAAGAAGGGTGAGTCGGCAGCATTACGCACGGTGTGCCGCATTAACGTACCGCTGGCTAGGCAAAGTCAAGGCCATCGGTGTATCAAACTGTTCTGAGAAGGTCCTCGAGGAGCAGCTTCTTCCGTTCGCCGAGGTCGTTCCCGCAGTGGACCAGGTATGTCAAACGAAGTTTTGGTTCGTGTATACTCTCTTGACATCTTCTCGGGATAGCTCGAGATCCACCTCTATAACCCCCAACACAAGCTTGTGGAGTACCTCAGTTCCAAGGGCATCGTCACTCAGGCGTATTCCCCACTCGGCTCCACGTCCTCCCCCTTGCTGGCCGACGAGACCGCTGCCGAGCTCGCAAAGAAGTACGAACTGCAGCCGGCCGACATCCTCCTCGGGTATCTCGGTGAGTACAAGCTTGCCCTCGTGTGACGGGGTGTCGTGAACATCTTGTTATCATGCAGTCGCGAAAAATATCGTGACACTCTCCAAGTCCGTCACCCCCGCGCGCATCAAGGCGAACTACGTGGGCGCGCTCGCCGCGGCGGCGAAGCTGACCAAGGAGGACATCGCGAAGCTGGACGGTGTCGCTGCCTCTGGAAAGCAGAAGCGGTCAGTCACATCAAACCCGCGCGATTCTCCACGCACTTATGACTTTTTGGTGCTGTTGGCAGGCTCATCTCACCACCTTGGGGTAAGTGCTCGCTTTTCTGCTGTGACGAGCGTCCACTAGACTGGTTGCGATATAGGTGTGGAGCTCGGATTCGACAACTGGCCCTGAAGGAGGTGGACATGGACCTCGCGGAAAGTGCCTGGATGGATGTGTATCGGGTTATTGGATTCTAATCTGCGAACCTGACTGCGAAGGTCGCTGTACGAAGACGTGACGTTAGCTGGTTGAAGGGAGGATACCTATCGTCAAAGGCCCATTTTGTGAAGGCATCACTTGTAAGTAGTGCTACTTGGGATCGAGATAGACAAATGGTAGATGTATTTTGCGATTGACTTTCAAAGTCCCCCAAACTTCCGAAAGATGGTGGTAGAACGCAGAAAGTAAATGTGAGGGGATCCCGTTGCACATCATAGCCTCCAGCGGTGCTGTCCAAGGGAAATGGACTTCCCTCTGGAGTGGATCCAGTAAATCAAGTTGAATTCGCACGCTTTGAAGTAGCCTCGAGCGCGAGAAGTTATTGAACGGTAGCACAAGGGGATGGATCGAGGTGTATTCGTTTTTGCGTGTAATAGTTCCCCAGCAAGAGAACTGACGGAGTAGCGGCGCGCCCAGGAGGTAGATATCTGGTCCGGAAGTCGGAGCTACGCAAGCGCAGCCATCTATCGACGTCCACCGGTTGATATCCTGCACCATACAAAAGAGGCGCTCCGTTTCGATCGTGACTTCAGTTGGGCTTGACGCTCTGCAGAGCCTGTGTATCAACCAGGTGGTAGAGAAACCGCATTTTGGGACACAGCACGACAACTGATCTCTGGATGGATGACCATTGCTTCCGCAGCTTTCGTGAGGACGAAAGTGGTGGACAGCTTGTGACATGGAGCTGGAAAAAGACATACTTCTTCAGACACCGGAAGAAGGAATAGTTGAACCACTCTCGCCTGAGCGTGTACAAGCGAATGGCGTTGGGATTGTGAAGGAAATGACGGTCACGGATTTTCCTGGAAATATTCCGCGCTGATCATCAATCAGAGCCTCGTCGGACTCCTTCAGGCCATTGTACTAGGATCTTTGTGCATCATGAGCGCGACGTAGTGGCAATGTCGACCGCCTTTGTGTTTTCGCAAACAGCCTCGTAGATGGTCTTGGCTATGCACAATAGGTCTGCCCCGTCTCTTGCTATAACAATTTCGATAAATTTATCTGTACGCAATTCTGTCCACCGCCGGAAGAAGGAATCTTCATACGATCACAATCGTGCACGTGTACGTAAGGAGAGTGAGTGGGCCGCGATGAAGCTATGCCCTGCAAGATCGAGTACCTGCCGAGACAAATAGCACTGGCAAATTAGTAGTATGCGACAAGAACGTAGGGAAGCATAGCCTTCACCGTATACGGGACCGGAACTGTGCCAACCTACCGTTTTACCTTCTGATTGCGGTGCTGCTGTAGCTCATCTGCACTAATGCCTGTTCAAGAAAAACAGCATATCTGTAAGTCACCTACAGTGGTCCAAATGTCAGAGCTCGCACTAGACGTGAGTCGCACAGAGGAATGCAGCCATCGCGGTCCTGAGGCTTGACAGCGTGCACACGACCGTGGCCAAAGCTAACTTACAGTGACGCTGCGATCCGAGACTCACCCTCGTGGGGAACCATGGCCGTCGGTCTTTGTAATAGGATGAGTTCAAGTCAGTAGATCAGAGAGGTAGTAGTGGGGAGTAGGCGCCGGGTAACCGAGGTCTGTACCATCGGCCATGCCTGACCTGAGTTAGCTGTGCCGCGGTATGGTTCGCGGTACCGTAGTCAAACGAACGACTAAGGTCGACTCTGTATACTGCACTCTGTCAGATTAATGCAGCAACATATATTAGTGTGGGGAAGACAAAAGTGACCTCAGGATCGTTGAAACCGTGCCATGAGCAATGGCGGCCATGACTTCCAGAGAGGCGCGTAGCCATGAGGCGCGGGGCGCTGGTTTGGCGTCAGCGCCAATTGGCTCAGGACATGTACCTCCGACAGCTGTGCAAATCCAGCATACATCGCTTCTCTCCAAATTACCATGACAGCCTTTACTCTAATCTTCATTGCGACTTCTCCGAGTCCAACAATTGGTGCAAACGACAAATTCTTCGGATACCGCTGGTGACGTCTCGAATGCTGTGTAAACCTAACTTTTGACGCTATGAGTCAAACGTATCACTGCGGAACTGCTGAGCGAGAACAGCAGGTACCGGCTGGCATGCGCGTATGATCGCGGATGAGCACAATTAGCTCACCTTTAGGTGTACTGGGCAGCTTAGGGGCTATAAATGCCGCGCGAAGCCTGTCGCATCCGCAAATAAACTATTCCCCCTCCCCCACATACACCTCCATCACCGTGATTGTCATGGACAGTGGCAGCTCCAGCCTAGGAGACCCTGAAGGGTCGACCGTCGTCGGTGGACCAGTTACCCAGCCCAAAGGTTATACATCGCGCAGGGAGAAGTCTGGTATCCAGGAAACCTTCGAGGGCGGTCCAGCCACAAAACTCAACAGAAGTAATTTCATCAAGGCGGAGGACTTCGTCGCCGAAGACCACCCCTTCTTCTTCAGGATCGGCAAGGACGGCCTGATTGCCGCACTCCAGAAACTGGATACGCAGCTGAGGAATGTGCGTACTCTCCTGTCCCTGGCGTATTTTTGTGCTGAACGTACCCCTCCCTAGTCCGGACGGCAACACATCCTCTCTAGAATGGTACGATGCTCCACCTCTCCCACTCGTGTCTGCCGCCATAACGTGCCGGACAGAATCCCACCGACTGGATAGGGGAGGAAATCACCCCCGGACGACTGGGCCTCATCAATCATGGTGGCCTGCCAAAGATCCTGACGCGCCCGGGGCGGTATCCGGGTTTCCCTATCCGCAACTGGTGGGCGCGCAGGTGGTGTGGCACCAAGGGCCGTAAGTGCAACCTTGAGCTGTAAACGCGTCGTCTGTGTCTCAATGTCTCTGCAGTATCGGACACCGTGATAGAATTCCAAGGTCTTACCGTGGTGCAGGTGTCCCAGAACCAAGTAAACTTGTCTTGGAATGATCTCCGATGCCTGGCTCATTTTATTATTATTGTCCAGGCTGCTGTCGTCGCAGATCCTCAGGTGCGATCTTTCGGGTCCCTCTGCGGCTGCAGTGAACTGACACAAGCTCTTCTTTTAGAACAAGATTTTCGTTGTGAAAGACGGTGGTTTCGTCTGTTATGCAATCGAAGGTTCCTACCGAGTACTTTCGATCGTCGACCAGACGCATCTCTCCCACATGCAGATGGATGCGATCACCAAGGTCGTCCTTGGATGGTGAGCACCCCTGGCTTAGTCTGAGGGACAAACAGACCCACTGATCTCTGTGAACAGGCGACATGAGGTGAAGATGACGAGCATCAACAGCGATGGGAAAGAGCAAGACTACGTGGTGGCGCAATTGTCTGTTGTCTCCGCCTCTCATGGCTGCCATGTACTGACTTGGCGCCTGGCGCAGCTTCAACATACCGGCGAACAACTGTGCAATCTTGCAGAAGGGCGACGACCTCGAGCTGCTGCCCGCCGGCCAGCACTACATCACCACCCCGAATGTCACGCTACGCGCGTTCTTCACCATGGGCGAGAATCAGCTGGAGATGCCCACCAAGGATATGTGCGTGCATCTGCAAGGGGGTCCGGTTTTGCATGGCTGAATCGGTTTTCATTCTCCCAGCTTCACCAGGGATCAAGTACCCGTCAGCCTGACTATATACCTCAAGTGGTGAGCTTGTTCCGTTCTGTTCTGGTCTTAGCTACTAAACTCGCGACAGGCAATTGATTGAGCCGCTCAAGGTACCTTCGATAAGTGTTTACTGCGAGGACACCGTCTCACAGACTTGACAGCTCACAACGCATGGCTACAACACGCCCTACGACGCCCTCCGAGACAAGACCCAATCCATCCTCACCCAAATCGTCGCACACCGTAAGTCACAATGGCTCCAGCTGCACCCGCCCACTGATGCTGAGCGCACGACAGTCGACTACAGCTCGATGGTGAAGCAGCGCTCGCTCGGCCCGGACAACCTCGACGAGGGCGGCGACGCGTCCTCGCCGTTCCTCGACGCGCTGCGCACGCGGGCCATGGACGACCTGCACCTCGCTGCTCTGGATTACGGCATTATCGTCAAGGATCTCGGTGTGTTTTCCTCTCTGCTCATCCGTACTGTTCCCGTCTGACGGTGTCGTCCCAGCTGTGATCGACCGACAGTTCAAAGGTAGTTTCCCGCTGACATCAAATGCTGAAGCCCGGCTGCTCACGCTTCGCTAGGTGATATTGCGGGGACGATGGACAAACTGACCACGAGGGCTCTACAGGCCCAGGTGGAAGCCGCCGTACGTGCCCATTGCACAGTAATCAGCCGTCTTCCTCACGCCCTATACGCAGAACGTCGACAGGGAGAACAGCAACAAGATCAAGCAGGAGGAAGGCGCGCTCGCTGTTGCGCGCGTCAAGGCGCAATCCCAGAATGTGAGTCATCTCCCGTTGTCTCTCGCATCGTCCATCCTCACACGTATCACTCTGCCAGACCCTCGCGGACTCCCGCGCCTACGGCGTCGTCGCCGCCGCCCGCGCGGACGCGCAGAAAGTCGAGATCGAGGCGGAGGCGGGCGCGAAGGCGACGCGCATGGCAGCCGAGGCTGAGGCCGAGGCGGTGCGCCTGCGCGCGCGCGCGGACGCGGCGGTACTCGACGAGTTCGCTCGCGAGATGGAGATGCGCCGCGTCGAGGTCGCGCGTGTCGGTGCGTTTGGCGAGCGCGCGGTGTTCGTGCCCACCGATGGCCTCGGTGCGCAGCTCGGCGGCGTCATGGCTACGGGCATGGCTGCTGGCTTGGGCGCAGCCGCCGGTGGGAGTGGGAGGCGGGCTGTTGCGCCTGCTCCTTCGTCGCACAGTTGAGGGGGTTTGAGGATGGACGTGATTCCCTCAGCCCTCGAATGGAAGGATGGCTCTCTACTTGTGGTCTTCTTGGGCTATCGTCATTCACTACGGAGTTTATGGACCGTGTATGCTAGTGTATACTAGGTGGAATTCACGTCTTCATAGTCGATGCCCGGTCAGTCCTTAGCCTCAACTTATCCACGCCATTCATTCGATGACTCGTGAGATGGAAGGAACGACCGTGGACTGCTTGTCCAGCATATATAGGGTACAGACACCATCCAAGAAAGTACAAATACAACCATCCATAGATCTGCAACGTCGGACACACGCGCAGCGCCACACTCACACCTGCCTGCGAAACGCAACCAAACATATCAAACCCGTCACCAGCAGTAAGAAGAAGGGGACCCACCTGTCGCCCTTGTCCGCCAAGCGCCCGAGCTCCATCTCATCGCGCGGGGGAATGATGCCGACGCGCAGCGGGTCCTTTGACACTTGCCACACCGCCTTGTACACGTCCGTGTTCTCGAGGTCGTTCGACAGCGTGCCGACCGTGCCGGCCGAATCCGCCTGCGCGAGCTCGAGCGGGACCACGACCTTGTCGTCGTCGATCGACTCGCTGACGCTCCCGCCGGAGAGCATGAACGTGCCGTGCGAGAGCGGCGCGCCCATGTTCCCGATGTACGGCGAGGCGGCGCCCGCGAATTGCATGTCGGACATGAAGGTGCCCGTGCTCGGGCCGGAGGGGTCGCCCGAACCCGCGCTCGAGCCGGTCGCGTAGTAGATGTGCCGCAGGTTGAGGAGGAAGCGCGAGATGAGCATGGAGGAGATCCTGGTGGAACGAAAGGTGCGCGGTCAGCGGTCAGCGGTCAAGCGCGCGCGGACATGGAGGAGAGACGCACGGGGCGACGAAGTAGAGGATGTAGACGTATGGCTAAGTGATGAGGTCAGATAGATGGTCAGATGCGCGGATCACCCGCGGTAGCAGGGGACGAACCGTGCGGGCGTCGAGCACGATGGCGATGATGTTGAGGCATAGCAAGCACCTAGATAAGCCGTAACGTGTGAGCGATCAGTCCTCAGCGCTGCTTGCGTTCGACGCACAGAAAATAGAATGTGCCTAGTTCGTACACTTCGTCAGTACGAGCACGCAGACCCCATTCGCGCGATCGGACGCACCGTCACGGAGGAGCAGGGTGACGATGGTCGCCTTGATGTTCGCGTTGTCGGCGTCCCGCTTGATGGTGTACGTGTTGAACCATGTGACGCACAGGACGATAACATCCGATGCGATTGTGCTTGCGATCGAGACTACAAACAGAACGTCAGAACGCGTGCGAGCTAGAATGTTGGGGATGGTGCATTACGCCTGCGAAGAATATATCAGTAGCGCACGATACGTCACGCCGAGTGTGCTCACAGGATAGCAAAGTCGGACGTCAGGTAGGACGTGTTTTGGCATATATGTCCTAGCACGGGCAGGACCACGACGAACGCGTAGGACGTTTTTGCGAGCGAATACTATCCAAATTCGTGGATAAGCAATTTTTACGGAGAACCGACGAGAAATCGCCTTACAATGTTAGCGGCTACTGGTACCATTCCCAGCGCTACCGTGGGGACGGTGAAGTACCAGTTGCGGCTGCTGACGGCATACACACGCAGCCCAGAAAATACTGAGATACAACAAGTTAGCGGAGGGAGTGACAACGGGCGGAAAATTCCGACCTGCCCATATTGTGTACACCATAAGCTGCATAACGAATCTGAACAATAAAATCGTTTCGCATCTATAATCAACACTGTGAGGACACACGCCTCTGCGCACTGCCAAAAAAAATTATACCTCTGTGGGCCATACAGGTCAGGGTGCAGTACTCCTCCACGATACGATAAAAACGCACCCGCGCTGACTCCCACGAGAACAGACCCAGAATATTCACGATGGACCATACGAACAAGGCATATCGATTGATGAAGAAAATCACGTTGGGACCGGTGAGCTTGCGCCCCCACACCAAGTCGTACTCAGTGCCAAAGGTGACGAGGTGCTCATACAAGATGACAGCTGCACGAGCATTTATGAGCGAAAAATTGCGGAGACCGACAGTGAAGGACAGGGCTTGCCGCAGATAGATAGTTCACAACAGGATGAGATAAAGCTGTGGGGGCGTTCATCGATCAACTAGGGTGATCCTGGAATATTAGATGGGTGATCGAGACGGACCTGCCGTTGAGGATCATGAGCAGCTCCTCGAACTGGGCAGCGACCTGTGCGGCGGTCGGAGTGGACATTTTGCAGGTGTGGAACCGGGGAGAAGGCTGTAGGGTGGAGAGAGGGCGAGCCGTCAGGCGGTAGGGAAGTGGATTCGGGGTTATAAGAGGCGTTTACCGCCCAGATTGCGTATCAGCGATCGGGAAGGTCTGACCATCTGTTCGCTAGTTGAAAGCAGATGCAGCTATTCGCTGGTCGTGATCACCGTGATCAACGTGGGTGGCGCCGTTGTGATGCAGCGTCCCTCAAACTTCCATCGAGAAGAACCGTACAGCTCTGAATGATACATCTTCCGAATCCTAACCTCTCTTCTATCACCGATCTCAGGTACTATCTCTCTCTTAGCTTGCGCTCGTCCACGACAATCCCGACGAGAGGAAATTCCACTCTCGTCTCCAAGTCGGATTTTGCACGTTACCTCCATCCGACCATCGCAGCTTGCAAATTGCCGACATGGGCGCGATGCGGAAGATAAGAGTCTGCCATGCGAGAGCATCGCCGACATGCACGGGACCGTTGGACAAGGCTACGTGACGGGTACCCACAGGCTCTCTGACCGGTCCTGGGTTCTGCGTACGCCTGGACAGCCTGGAAATGTGGTCCTGTCACCGCCGTGGGACTCGACAAAACGAATTGTAATGTCAGACTGGCTTCCGTGCGGATGCGCCGTACAGACGAACTGCCAAATGCGCTGAAATGCGGGGATAGCCGGCGACACGTTGATCCTATTGGCACCAGTCTCCCGGAGTGCACGCGTCGCGATCGCAGTGGCGCGGTAAGTGGCGCACGCGTGCTCGCACTCGATCTCGAGTAGATAGCGACGTCTCTCTCGTGGTCGGCGTCGGTCGGTCTGACAAAAGTCAACGATCCCCGAAGGCAATGGCGCCGTCGTGGCTGCTCCGCTTTAGCTCCCACCCCTCAGCGGCGCCCAATCACCGCGAGGGCGCCGGGCCTGTCTTCGAAGAACACCTGCACTGCTTTGCTGAGCCAGCCTGCGATGTATCACGGGACGGGGCACAATCGAACGGTAACATTCACACCGGGGAGCATGGACTGAGCCTGTACCTCAGGCAGTGGACCTGGAGCTGCAGCATGATCAGTCAGTCTGATGGATCCCCCCAGCGACGGGATGAGGGAAATCCGTACCCTATCTTGCATCATTGCTCGCCAGACGCTGCTGTGGAGGATGTGATCGCTGACATGGAGGGGAAGAACTACTTATCCTGCATATCGCTGCACGCACCACCCTTGGGACTACCAACAGCGTTCGTGACATGTCCCGCAAGCTAACACGCAAGCGCTCCATTGGCCTTATGCTTTGGCCAATGCAGAAATCGCGAATGAATGCCGTGCGGAACATGGATCAAAGGCTATTTTGGTAGTGACTGAGCAGGAGGTGATTGTAAAGGTGCCGCCAGGGCACATATAAATGAATAACAGCATCGGCGAAGGAGTTGCAAGGTCAAGCGCGGCGAATCATGCATGATCATCGCAGGCTGATTGAAGATGAGTTTCAAGAGGGTCTCCGAGACGGAAAGAGCCAGCAGCCTGCTATACAGGTGCGTTTGCTTCCCACCAGCTGGGCGCGTTATGTTGGAGCGCCAGCTATCGACGATAAGTGCGACGAGCCCTGGTAACAAAATACAATATCAAGCTATGGCCAGTGCACAGCGTCAGAGGATTCGCGTCAGAAAGCGCCAGCTGCAGGCAAGTGAGTTCGTCCGCAAGGAGTCCAAGTGGAACAAGCTTCATCGGCCAGCACGGTAGAAGTTCCATTCGAACCAGAAGCCACCCCGAGTATTCGAGTGTTGGAGTGAGAAAGGGTGGCAATGCTCGAAAACTCTCATATAGCCAGCCGCAGGCGCAGATATTGTTCTCTAAGTCGGTGATGCGGAGAGAGAGCCCGGTGGGGGACCATGAAGGTAGCTTAGTAAGCAACATACCATAAATAATATGCTTACTAAGCAACTCTGTTCCAGCAGACGGTCGCGGTCGCTGTCACGGTGACAACTGTATTTTGTCAACTCACCATCGCGGGTGAAGTTTGTCGTTGCCTGGTGGAGTCTATCTGAACGCGAAACGCGAAACGCGCAAAGGAGGAGTTGAAGGCAGGAGATTTTGGCCGCTCACTTCAAGCCAGGGTCTGGTTTGGGTCTGCTACCTCTGGTACCTCTTCGATTCCCTAGCAAAGGACTCTCATTCATGGATCGCTGAGAGGTTAGTAGGCACTTTTGGAGCTGTGATTGCATTCACTTCGTACCTGCGCAAGTTGTGGTATACTACTTTCTTAGACTGCGGCGCAACCCATATCCCTCCGATTACCCTCGAGCTCGTTCTGTCGCTGTTTGTCCATGTCGTTCAAGGGACTCTCTCTGCTGACTTGGGTCTTTGTCGTACACCTCGCAGCAATTTACCTGTACACACGCGGTTTTCTACTCACCCGCCTCTCGCTCTCGGACACATCCTCGTGTCCAGATGGCTCCTGCACACTACCGCCGACTCACAGTCGCGCAGTGGTCCTCATCATCGATGCGCTGCGATTTGACTTCCTCAGTCCGGATCCCCCGCAGCCGCCCTCACCTCACCACCACAATGTCCTGCGTCTTCCACAGGAGCTGACCGCCGCCGACCCATCGCGCTCCCTGCTCTTCGACGCCTTCGCGGACCCGCCGACGACGACGCTGCAGCGCATCAAGGGCCTGACGACGGGCTCACTCCCGACCTTCGTCGATATGGGCTCCAACTTCGGCGGTGCGTCCATCCTCGAGGATTCGCTCATTGCACAGCTGCGCGCCGCCGACAAGAAAGTACGTCCTCCGCCTCCGCCCGCTCTCCCCCGCCGTCTCACGCCCCGGCGCGCCGCAGGTCGCGTTCATGGGTGACGACACGTGGACGGCCGTCTTTCCTGACGCGTTCGCGCCCGGCCTATGCTTCCCTTACGACTCGTTCAACGTCGAAGACTTGCACACCGTTGACGCGGGCGTCGAGCGGCACATGCTCCCGCTTCTCGCAGACCGCTCCGCACCGTGGGACGTCCTCATCGGGCACTTCCTCGGCGTCGACCACGTCGGGCACCGCGTGGGGCCCGACCACCCTACCATGCACGCAAAGCTCGCACAGATGGACGCGGTCCTGCGCCGCGTTGTCGAGCTACTCGACGAGGACACGCTGCTCGTCGTGCTCGGTGACCACGGCATGGACAGGCGGGGGGACCACGGCGGCGACGGCGTGCTCGAGACCTCTTCCGCGCTCTGGGTGTACAGCAAAGGCTTCCCATTGACCGACCCGTCCGCGTTGATTCCCGCCGAGTTCCTTCCGAGGCAGACATTCCCAGGTGCGCCCGCCGCGCATCGCGTCGTGCAACAGATCGACCTCGTGCCCTCCCTGGCGCTCCTCCTTGGTCTGCCCATCCCGTTCAATAACCTCGGCACGGTGATACCGGAGCTTTTCTGGCGCGACGGGACGGACTTTGCACGCGCGGCCGCGATTAATGCGAAGCAGGTGAAGCGGTACCTCGATACTTACCGCGCGAGTCCGTCCGGGGGAGAGCTGGACGCCGTGTGGGCGGAGCTGGAGAGCAAGTGGGCTGCGGTGGCGAATGCAGGGGAGATGGATGCACTGTCTGCGATGAAATCCTACACACGGGAGGCGCTCGCAGCATGTCGTATGCTTTGGGCGCAGTTTAACGTACTGCTCATAGTTCTGGGATTGGTTCTGTTGGTCGTCGGCACATTAGCTGGGTTCGCGCTGTTCGCGAAGTTTGGCGTGCTCGAGGATAACTGGGAGGATTGGGCGGGAAAGACGCGGTGGTGGTGTGTGCGGGGCATGGCTGTTGGTACCATCCTCGGATTTGGGGCGTCGTTCCCCTTGCAGCGCCTTGTGAAGGGAGTCGACGCACTTGACTGTGTCCTCTTCGGTGCACCGCTGGTTTCTTGTCTGATCGTCATTATCATGTCGCGACCCAAACCGAGCGGCTTCTCCCTTGCCTCACTGCCCCTCCCGCTCATCCTGCACACGCTTGCGTTTGCGTCCAACTCCTTCACCGTATGGGAGGACCGCATCATCACCTTTCTCCTTCTGTCCTGTCTCGTCCCGTTTGTGCGCGTCGGGTTCACCGCGCCCACCGGCCGGCTGCGCAACCGCATCCTCGGCTTCTCTGCCATGTTCGCCGTGTGTGTGCGGCTCATGGCGGGGAGCACCGTGTGCCGCGAGGAGCAGCAACCCTATTGCCACGTCACGTTCTTCGCGTCCTCGACGCTCCCGTCCCCCCCGCTCCCGGTGCTCCTGTTGTTGCTCCCGGCAGCGGTTGCGCTACCGTGGTGCATGCGCAGGTTCCTACAGATCTCCAAGTCCGACAAGGGCATCGCCGGGATCGTGCTGCCCGTGATATTCCCCGCGGTCCTCGCGCAGGGGAGCGCGTACTGGATCCTCGAGTGGCTCGACTCGGCGGAGGTGCTCGGACCCGGATTCGCGGACATCCTGCGCTTGGCACGGACGATGCTCGCGCGCAGTGCGATGGGCACCATCGTCGTACTCGGCCTGGTGCTCTGCTGGTTCATCCCGTTGTGCCTGGAGATCAGTACGAATGTGGATACGAGCAAGCCGGAGGGGAAGAGGGAAGTCACAGTCGTGGGCTTCGCGAACGCGTTCGGCGCGCCGTATCTCGTGTTCTGGTGCGCGTCCTTCGGCCTGGTGTACGTGGTCACGCAACCGACGGGCCAGCTCGTCTTGTGCCTCGCAGCCCTCGCCGTGCTCGCGTATCTGGAGGTGGTGGACAGCGTACACGACGTCCGCGCGCTCAGCGCCGCGCTCGCCTCCACACAGCCGTCCGCTGTCCTCACCCTGGGAGGCGTGCCACGACAGGCGCCGTCGTTCGCGGAGCTCACTCCGCTCGCGCTCCTCGCGCTGCATACTTTCTACCGCACGGGCCACCAGTCTGTGATCGCATCGATCCAGTGGAAGACCGCATTCGTGCTCACGCCGACGCTGACGTACCCGCTCTCGCCGCTGCTCGTCATACTCAACACGTTCGGCCCGCAGTTCCTGCTCGCGCTCTCGGTTCCGCTCGTCGCGCTGTGGAACGTTGCGCCGCTGCCGCAGCCGGCGGCGAGCGCGCGCGTCTCAGGCGCGGCAGTGCGCGCGGGGCTCGGGGTGATGCTGTATCATGCGACACTCTTGCTCGGCAGCGCGGCGAGCTCGGCGTGGCTCCGGCGCCATCTAATGGTGTGGAAAGTGTTTGCGCCGCGTTTCATGAACGCCGCTGCTACAATACTCGCGGTGGACCTCGCGGTGCTGTTCGGCGTCGGCGTCGGCGTTGCTCGCGTCGCGGCGCGGGTGACGAAGTTGTTCAAGGGTGTGCCGGGCTCGAAGTGAGCGTTCGCTTGGGTTTGGTGGTGGTGGTGGTGGTGGTGGTGGACATGCTATCTGGAAAAGCAGGGTAGGCTATTATAGTTGGATCTAACCTCCTGTAATTATAATTGTCTCGTTTGCGAATCAAAGTATTCGAAATCCAAGATGTGGCTGCGATCCCTTTGAGTCCGTTGCTACTGATTTGGCAAGTTCTGCGTCGGCGTCAAAAAGTACCCCGACAACATTGATGTACACAACAACCACGGCAATATCGCACGTCGACGAAGGCCATGTCTAAACCGTGCGTTTTATTTACCAGATATCGCACAGTGTTCCTGGAGCTGTGGTCTGTGGATTCGATATCTTATTGTGGTTGATGAATACACAGCAGTAGCTGGGAGAAGCGCATCTCAGCGCCAAAAGCGGACTCTTCAGCCTCGTGTTCTCCTCCCGTCTTTATCCTTCATCTCCCTGCGCCCTACCGCAGCAGCTATGGCCGATTACTCTGATATGCCAGGCCTTGTAGACAACCCGATGCCTGCAGGATACCCTGGCGCAACGCCCTATCACCAAGGCTTCGGCAGGACCGTGACCTCATCGGCTTCGGGGACACCGTGGACTAGTGCCAGACAGGACGGTGGAGCAGCTTGGGGCGAAACAAATTCGCCGTGGGGAGGATACGAATCTACAGAACAGCAGCTGTGGCCTGCACCTTCTCCACAACACCAGCAGGCGTCGCCTTGGCCCGCGCCTGCGCCCAGCTTCGTATCCGCGACGCCTGCCGGCTATGTCCCAGCGTCGAATCCTGCCATGCCCACCACGATGGATTCGTGGGGCCGCCCCATCGGGGAGATGGTACAGAACGAGCGATACAACGATGAGCGGTATACCGATGAGCTGCCATGGAAGAACGGCAGCGAGCTCTCGGCCTTGCGCCGGTCCTTGTCGCGAACGCACTCAGCGTTCTCCTCGAATACGCCCAGCCCGGCGTCGTCGTCGCCTCTCTCGCGCTCGCGCTCGGTGCGGTCAGTGCTCGACCGACGCACGCTCCCGCCGCCCGAATGGCGCCCAGAGTTCAGCATGACCCGATCGGGGCTCAGTCAGGCGCTGGGCTCGCTGTTCACCAAACGGCGCTCGTCGTCGATATCCCTCCCGTTCACCAGCGGTGTGTATTAATATCAGATGCGCACGTATCGCGTCCCGCCCGTCTGACGTTGACCCGCCCAGACGTCCGCTGGCCGAAGCTGCACCCGTATCTGCGGTACAACGCGACGTCGCCGCCCATGTGCCTCGACATACGGCAGGTGCCGCTCACGATGCAGTTCCGGGACGTGCGGCGGCAGGTGAACGCGTGGGACCTGACGCGCTTCGCGTGCGAGCCCCCCGTCGCGCGCATGCGCCTGTACAACGCGCACCTCCCGTGGTTTATCGACGTCGAAAGCACTAACCCTGTCGGCGTCACCCTTCACGAGCTCTTCAACGCCATCTGGCAGTCGATGATGACACCGATCACCACGATGGACTGGTTTAACTGCGAGATGGACGATGGCGCGCGGGGCCGTATCGCCGACGCGTGGGCGTCGCGGTGTACGAGCCAGGAGGACCGCAAGATGGGCGTTCGCCGGGTCGATTTCTTACTAGATCGCGTCGTCCTGGAAGGGTTTGCGAAGGGGAGGGAAGGAATGTGGGAGATGAAGCTCAACAGGCTGCTGTGATTTTTTATTTGGTGTGTGCTCGCTGTTTGGTAAATCACTGACATTGGAAGTTAGTACGGATTCATCTCCATTTTTTTTTGGCTGATATGTATCTTTGCAATATTTTCAGCTAATTGGCGCGGTCAGTTCTTGAAGGTCTAATTTCTACGACGTAGATGTACCACCATCGTACCTTCGAAGCTTGTGGCTGGCCGCGGCTTGTGTACTACTACAACCCAACTCTTCGTAGCTTCCGATATATATACCTCACCACTTCCTGTCCCTTTCAGAAAAATCATTGATACCTTTACCCATGCTAATGCCGGGTTCCCCGAGGATTGCAGCACTTTGTCTCTGGTCGAAGTTCTGCGGCATGCGCACCTGAATCATAATGGCACAAAGGGGTAGGTGATCCGAATCGCGGTGGAAGAGAGGTGTGAATTGTCGAGCTTGTTGCCAGTGGTTCGTGAAATGCCAGCTTTGCAAGATGTTTTCGCTGGTTGCACTCTTTGGCTTTATATAATGTTTACGAGACTTCAAGTCATCCACGGCCATAGGACTTCGAAAGCACCGCATCCCGTCCGATCTGCGAAGTTAACCGAAGTGCCGCCCAGTTAGTACCACGGTGGGGGACCACGCGGGAATCCTGGGTGCTGTGGTTTTTCTCCTCTGTTTTTCTTTGTCTCCGCTGAGCCCGTTTCTAGTTCTTCACGACAAGATTTTTCTTCGACTAGTTTCTAATTCAAAATTTTCATGCAAACCGATACATCCCTTTCTATCCACTTCCTGCACATAGCAATGTACAGTCACAGGCATCTGTTTTGATTGTGTATAATAACACAGGGCTAGTGTGCACACATTAATGTTCTCTGTAAAAACCAGAAGTCAAGTGAAGTCTAGCAAGTTTCAAAAATTTGGCACCATATTCACAGAGATAAGTCCAATTTCAGTTGCCAAAGTGATCCTGCCAAGAAATTATGCCATCAAATGCAGTCAAATCCTAGTCTGCGAAAGTCTGACACCACAGTTGATTGTCTCATAATACATGGCATTCCGGTACTCATATGTTGGTTCTTTTGCACTCAGAGGTTGGAATATAGCTGTAGAGACATGATCTAAACCATATGAGGTCATGCAAGAAAATCATACAAATAGTCATAAATAGTCAAATTTGCCAGAATTTCGAATTTGGCTGACTACACTTTGACTTCCCGTTTTTACTTAACAGTCACAGACACGTGTGCGGAGTCAAAATCTTGTCGTGAGGAGGAGCTAAAAACGGGCTCAGTGGAGGCAAAGAAAAACAGAGGAGAAAAACCACAGCACCCAGGATTCCCGCGTGGTCCCCCACCGTGGTACTAACTGGGCGGCACTTCGGTTAACTTCGCAGATCGGACGGGATGCGGTGCTTTCGAAGTCCTATGGCCGTGGATGACTTGAAGTCTCGTAAACATTATATAAAGCCAAAGAGTGCAACCAGCGAAAACATCTTGCAAAGCTGGCATTTCACGAACCACTGGCAACAAGCTCGACAATTCACACCTCTCTTACTAGTAACTTATGAAATTTCCAAGAATACTACTACGAGAGCTACAATTAAGTCCTTCCTACAGTGGTAGATACCGCCATCAAACGATACAGAAGATTCGAAAGCAGTAACAAACGGACAAGCAGAGGTATAATCGAATGAGGGATATCAAAAGACGGATGGCCAGCGTCTTCCTACCGCTTGGCCTCTGCACCCATGCACGCCGCCATGCCCGCCGCCAACGCGCCGCCCATCTGCGCGCCCATGCCCTCAGTGGGCACAAACACGGTGCGGTCTCCAAACGCTGCCACGCGCGCGACGTCGAGCCTGCGCAGCCCCATCTCGCGCGCAAATTGGTCGAGCACCGCCGCGTCCGCCGCGGCACGCAGGCGCGTTGCCTCCGCTTCCGCCTGGGCGGCGAGCCGCGTTGCGTGCGCCTGCGCCTCGGCCTCGATCTGCACCCTCTGTGCCTCGGCCTTGGCCGCTGCGATAACGCTGTAGGCTTCAGAGTCGGAGATCGTCTGTGAGTATGTTAGGATGGGGTGTTAGTACGTCAGTATGGAAAGGTGAGACTGGGCCACTGACGTTTTGGGCTTGGGCTTTGACGCGCGCGACTGCGAGGGCACCCTCTTCTTGCTTGATCTTGTTGCTGTTTTCCCTGTCCACATTCTGCAGAAGTGAGACGGATCTGTGAGACGGAAAGACGGAACGAATCTACGACACGACTGACTGCTGCCTCGACTTGCGCCTGCAGCGCCCGCGTGGTCAACTTGTCCATTGTTGTCGCAATATCACCTATAAACAGCTAATGAGCCAACCAACAACTTCCATGCTCACCACAGGAAGCATACCCTTGAATTTCCTGTCCATGACAGCTACACGGGAATGATTAGCACCGTGTTCAGATCAGATATGACGCTATGGCGCACCAAGGTCCTTCAGCACGATCCCGTACTCGAGCGCGGCGAGCTGCAGATCATCCATCGCGCGCGTACGCAGCGCGTCGAGGAACGCAGACGATGCGTCCGTACCGTCGTCGAGGTTGTCCGGGCCGATCGAGCGCTGCTTCACCATGGAGCTGTAGTCCACTGCCAATCCGTCCGTCAGCGACGGATAATCGAGAGAGACGCTCAACGTACGGTGTGCGACGATTTGCGTGAGGATCGACTGCGTTTTGTCTCTGCGGGGAGACGGATCAGTAGAAGTGCGGTGAGGAAGGGGCAAACACCAACCGGAGCGCTTCGAAGGGCGTGCTGTAGCCGTGCATCGTGAGCTGTGAGCAGTGTCACTGAACGTAGCCTGTGAAATGTTGAGGGTAGCTACCTTCAACGGCTCCATGACTTGCCTATTATACCGTCAGCAACTAATTATTGCATATTAAAAAACTTATTCCGGCCCTCACCACTTCAGATACAACGTCATGTTGACAGGGACCTGGTCCCTCGTGAAGCTGCAGCATCGCGCACATCAGTACGGCGCACGACGATGAAGTACATGAACACAAACATGTCCTTGGTGGGCATCTCGAGCTGGTTCTCGCCGCAGGTAAAGAGCCCACGCAGCGTGACGTTCGGATTCGTGATGTAATGCTGTCCTGCGGGGAGCAACTCGAGGTCGTCACCCTTCTGGAGGACCGCACAGTTATTCGCGGGTATGTTCAAGCTGTTGAGGCGAGCGTCATCAGCGGAATTCACGATGTGAACCTAGTACGCACAAGAGCGCGACGACGTAGTCCCGCTCCTTCCCGTTATTCGTCTGGCTCTTCATTGTCACCTCGTGGCTCCTACAGGCACATCTAGATCAGCAAGGACATGCACAGAATATTCAGTCAAGGACGCACCAACCGAGCGTGATGCCTGTAGTCTCATCCCTGATCTCTGACGGGAGGTGCGTCTGGTCGACAATTGACAACACGTTGTACGACCCCTCGACCGCGTACGCGACGAATCCCGAGTTTTTGATTACGAATATCTGGTTCTGCACCGCCTGTGAGCTCGCACACCCCTTCGGACGCGCCGTCTCACGTACCTGCGGGTCGGACACGACCGCCGCCTGATTCTGTGACACCTGCACGACGGTCAGGCCCTCGAACTCGATCACCGTGTCCGACACTGAGTCACTTATTAGTAAGTATGCCATAGGAGGACGATAGGAAGAAGCGAGACGCACAGCCCTTCGTCCCGCACCACTCGCGTGCCCACCAGTTTCGCAGCGGCGGGCCTGGATAGCGCCCCGGGCGCGTGAGAATCTTGGGCAGACCGCCGTGGTTGATGAGCCCGAGCCGCCCGGGCGTAATCTCCTTGCCAATCCAGTCTGTCGGGCACTGCAGTAAAAAGTGAGAAAGGTATGGTGGAATATGAGGAAGTCATCAAAACCAAGAAAGTGGATCTCGACTGAACTTGCTGCTGGCACATTGTTAGATGCAGCAGAGTATCTCCTGGAGAAGAGAAGAGCCAACGACTGCAACTGTGAGTTGAGGGACGCTCAATGTGGTAGCCCAAGTGCATTCTGAAGTGATGGAAACCATACCGCCGCCTCTGCGGCAGTAACGCGAGCAACTTCGGCCTACAGGACCGCCTCCCTGTATTGAAACGAGTTGCCAAGCTCGTGGGCACTCTTGCAACCAGGCTCATCCCCTGCACCTTCCACGAAAAGGTTTTCCGTAAAGAACGACGGCCGCTCATTAGTGTTCAGCATAAGCTGTCAATTCTTTTGGTGTAATCGATAGCTCGGAAACTCGAGTACAATACCAGACGACTGTGTAAAACAACATACCTTCGATGACAAGACGTGTGCACGTCCAGACTACGAAGTGCATTAGCTGCAAAGTCAAGTATGATACCATCTGCACCAATACTCACATTCCGCAGCTGCCTGTCCAGCTTCTGAAGTGCTGCAATCAAACCATCCTTGCCAATGGTAACCAAAAAAGGACGGTCCTCCGTCATATAATCTTCCGTCTTGACAAAGTTGTTGTTCCTGACCCCGCCGGGTACTCCAGTGGTCATACTGCTTTGCGGGTGTGCACTGGATTTCTCATCGAAGTCCCCCAGGACATCGTGCGGTGTGAGCATCACCGACTCTGGACCATTCAGGACTGTGGTCTGGTTGCCACTGGTGCTGATGCCGTCCATAATCATGGTGGAAGACAGCCCCGAGGTAGACCAGCGAGAGTGAGACTTTCGACTTCAGCAATCGTTCGTCCTGTCGGGGGGCTTTAACGGGCTAGAGAAGCATAGCCTCGCGCTCCAGCGTATTTGGCGCACTGTCCAGGAGTTTCCACTCGAAATTCTCCGGTGCGCAGCGGGAGCGAATGTGGGCATGAGTCTTAGGTCCGCTGGCAGACCGGGGGCGCTTGGAGTGTCAAACATGTTTGGCCATAGCGACACCGTCCGACGGACGACCTACGGTAGTCTTCAAATTTTTCACATCAGCCTGTAAGTACTGTTTCCGACATAGAAGAGCTTTTCACTGTTATTTCTATCATTTTTCCTCGCCGGAGGGTTGGTCAATGAACTTGAAGGTTGAAGTTGAATTTTTGAAACGTTAGAAGTGCTGCGCATGTCTATCCCACATGCACTTTCCAATACAGCGCTAACCTTACCTCCAGGTACGGCGTTCAATTGCCGGTGCTGTCGCAGTGCTGAAGCGATGTCAACGGACTCGGAGTTGAAGTACAATTCCGTCAGGCCGAACCTGGGCCGAACGGACCCGGTCTCTTTGCTCCATTTGGCCGAAATTGGAAAAAAGTGCGGCTCTGCAGTCCGGAAAATGGGCATTTTCAGGAATTATCATATGATTTTTTGTCCCACGAGCTTCCGGCCCGTGCTTCGATTGATGGAGTACAATATAACTAAGATTTTCGCCGCCGAACCCCGAAGTTGGAGTTGGGTCGAACATTTTGGTCCTCCGGGATCGGAGTCTGGGATCGGGTGTGTTTGTCGTGGCGGCCCAAAGGCCAGATGATACATCGCACATGGCGATTGGGAAATACTGGCTTGTACCACGGGGAGAACAAGGCTAGTAACCGGTGAAGCCTCGATAACGTGCAAGTGGATTAGTTGAAGTAACGGAGGCCCGCACTGTATGCAATGTTAACGATGTATAATCTCTGCTGGCGTTCAACATCACGAATTGATAGGCTGGCACGCGGATAAACATCTACGGAGCCAAGGTAACATGGATGGGAAGAAAACCACCGCGACCGTCCACAAAGGCCTGCAGCGTCGGCTTGATCTTCAGCTCCACGTTTGCAGACGTATCGTGTAGCTCGAGCGTGCGGATGAGCGTTGCAAGAATGACCTTGAACTCAAAGACCGCTGACATCCGCGCACAGAAGGTATCAGCGGAAATGAAATTCAAAATGAAGAAAGATCGCAGTAGGGGGTTGGCAGCGGGGACCGGGGACCACGCGCCGCTCCATGCGCGACAAACGGAGAAAACAAGAACTACGCACCAAGTCGATAGCCAATGCAGTTCCGGGGGCCGTCGCAGAACGCGACGAGCCCGCTCCATCCGTGCGGCAACTCCGCAGGAGGGAGCACGCCGCCGGGGTCGATCCACCGCTCGGGCACGAACTCCGCCGCATTCGGGCCCCAGACGTCTGTATTGACTTGCATACTGACGAACGGGATGTGGAACACCTGCACCGTTTGTCGTCGAAGCACACCAACAGTCACACCAAGAATAATCAGCGATTCGGGGTTAGCTGCATGGCGAGTGGTGTGGCAGGAGGAATAGACCTGCCTGTCCTGCTTTCACGCTGATTGACGAGACCGTCTGACCGTTCGACGTGCAGACAGGCTTGTTCAGGGGGATGACATCGTCCTTCAGTGCTACACGTTCGGTCATAGGTGAGGCAGGATGTAAACGAAGCCTACGGTGGATGGTCAATCCAAATCAAGGACTGGTCCGCAAGCACGGTATGACGGCTTGCAACCTCAAGACGCACCCTTCTTTGACGACCGCGTCGAGGTAACTCAGCTGCTGTATATCGTCGTAGTTAATGTTGCCGCCGAACTGTCGAATTTCCTCGCGCAGCTTCTGTTGTATCTCTGGGTGCCGGGCCAGCTCCCACAGTATGAAGCTCAACGATCCAGCGGTGGTTTCATGGCCGACCAGTAAGAACGTAGTGATCTGTGCGGTAAATTCAACGGAGGTGAACGATGACTAAACAGTTCACTTACATTGTCTACGATCTCCGTAGCAGAGAGCTTCTCCTTTGCCCCGTCCTTGTTTCCCGCGCACATCAAGATACTGAGAATATCCCGGCCCTTGTCGCTGAAGTACCCGTGCCTCAGCAAGCGCGTCGCGAGTTCGGACACGATCTCCCTCGTGCGCCGCGCCTCCTTCATGACGGGCAGCGGCAGCGAGGTGAGAATAGGGAACGTGCGCAGCAGCAGCGAACCGACGAAGGCCTTGAATGTGTTCGACGCGTTAACCTGCTTCTCCCAGACCGCGCGTATCTCTTTGGCTTCTGCGGACTGGCCTGACTTGAAGTCATGGCCGAACCCGATGCGGCCAATGATGTCGAGGCTGCGACGCGGTGGCTAGTCAGTGCGCAAGCGGGAACGGTGAGATACGCGTTACGTACGTGCACATCGAGATGTAGTCGGCCACATTGACGGTCACACCGCGGGCGAGGACCAGGTTCGTCAACCTACTTTCGAGCTGTAATGTCGCATTGCGGGGCGCATGAGGAACATCACTCGCAGTGCCAACTGTCGGTTCACCTTTGCGGATGATTCTGATATATCATCTGTCATCCCCTTGATGGCCTCCGGTCTGTCGGAAGAAGAATTACTTGAGCGCTGGGGGCAAACTCTTCGCTAGGCCACCAGGGGTGGGGTTTCTAACACTCACGAGAAGGCGGGCGCGAGCAGTCGGCGCTGTTTCGTGTGCTCTTGTCCTTCGGCCCATACGATGCCTCTGCCCAGGATGGTTCCAGCCACTTCTCGCATCCCAGTTTCTTTCACTGCAAAAGACAGCGTGAGTCCTGACTGTAAATTCTCTAACAAAGCGCAATGATTGCGTCCGGACGATTGAATTCTGGACGGTGGGTGTATACATCATGTTCTCACCATAATCGTCGGAATACTGGAGTATGTGCTGCACGGCTGCATGGTCTGTCGCGACGATCTGCAAGACGGTGAACAGAGTATTCAGCCATCCTATGAACATTTGAGCTCACGATATCGCGGTGGAAAAAGGCGCCCTTGATCTTGAAGAACGTGCCAAACGCTGCAGCCCATCTGGTGTACATGTCCGTCGGACAGTTCTCGAACGCCAGGAGTTCATGACCCCACAGCCAGGTAGCATCCTTGCGCGACTACGGATTGCATCGCTGCCTCAGCACTTTCCCCTGCGAAGTCGCATATCAGCACTCACTGGACCAGGTAGTCTTTCGATATCCTGATGCCTGCGAATAACGGTGTGGCGCGCTATATAGACAAGCGCAAGGAGCGACAGGAGTACAGGCGCAAGCTGCACAGGAGCAAAGGTGGACACGTCGAACATCGCGAGACGGTTCGATGCCAAGCTGCGTCAGACAGACTCAGGCTTCAAAAGGAGAACAAATCTCGTTGGCTCCACTGATAATATAGCGCACTATCAGTGGGTGTGGTGAGAAAGACTGTGTGGAGAAGCGAAAGATCAGACCAAAGGGTCCCCGTCTGGAATGCACGATGATGGACTCACCGCCACTTCTCAGTCTGCGGACCAATCATCAACGCCTTACTTAGTGAAACAGAAGAATCGAACAAACACACTACCGCCTAGAGGAGGCTCAATGGAGAAATCATTGCACACATGGCCTCTAACCTTGAATATAACGATCAAAGCTTTTGGGGAGATAATCCGGTTGGCGCCTTGAATGGATGGATGGTCCGCTACTCGGGCCATGTGTACACGAGCACCTTGCAAGACTTCGGTGACGGAGGACAAAGAGAGGCATCTACCCAACTCTTCTTCATGGCCATGACCGCCGCTTCCAGGAATACGAATTGGATATCAGGCTAGGCACGAAGGCAAATCTTCGCGGTGTACATTCAGTCAGGGCTGAATCTATGTGATCAGTTACAGATTAGTAACAGATGAACACGATAGAATGCAAGGCGTCTGCTAAGTGCTCTACAACTCTGTGGCAATCAACACGTCAAGAGCGTAGAAAGTATGAGGGACAAACTCGTTGCAGAGAATCGGCCAGCTATCGAGATTCAAAATGAATTGTCACTGCAAATCTGAAGAGCTCCGTGTAGTTGCGGCTCTCCGACAAACTATTGCACGCAAGACCCCAGTAGCGCGCTGGTAAATTTGTTCCATGTACACGAGTAAAGTATGATTATATCATCGCATCATATCAAGGGGAGCCTACGTGTACAAACGGGAAGATGAGCATCACCGTCAGCACTTACCATCAAGTTTCGACGACCCGACCATCTTCATCTCCGCGGTAGGCGACACAATCGACTCGGGGGAGAGCAGCGGCCCTCCATAGGCTAGGCACGTATCGTTAGCCGTGTCGCAGACAATAGGGTACATCGAGATGTTTGAGAAGCTTACTGAGGATGCCCCCCTTGACGAGCGCGGCCGCGTTCTTCTTGTGCGTGCTCAGGTGGAGCTGTCGGCACTCGAACGCGCCCGCACCGGACGTGTCGAGGACGTACACGGCGAACTTGTGGGGGAAATAGTTTGGTATGCAGGAATTTCACGTTGAGCCCGCGTCTTTGAATACAGCCTGGGAGACTCCGTTGTATTTATATGTTCGGGCGTGTGAAGAAGTGCAATGTGCCGCATCATGGACCAATTGAGGCAAACGAGCAGAGGTAGCGAATGTTGGCGGCAGCCCATGATGCTAAAATGTGTTGAGAACACCAGTTGAGACCTGAAACTTTGGGACTGGGGCGTCCCGAAGACGAACGGACGGTTGATGGGGGACGTTGACTCACCATCGAGGATAGGCTCACTATGCATGTCCGATGCATCCATACATTCAGGCTTATCGGCTTCATAGCGAAGCTAAGACGAGCCAGCACCATCAGCTTTTCGCAAGGGCGTAATCTGAGACTGTCCTTCTGCAATTATCTGATGCAGTCGTATGCGGTGTGAGACACCAACTGGGTTTCAAAGCGCAGGCCGAACATACGAATCCTTGGCGGTATATTCCCTTGCATTTGACATAGAAGATGTCATGACACGTCATGAGAAATCAGACCTTGGGATTAAAATCCCGGCTTATCAATCAGTATATGATTGTATCACTTTTGGTACTGAGGTTAACCAGAGTACATACCAAGGACGACAGCAGCAAGCTTTTGAGGAGCCGCGGTGGAGGTACTAGGCGTCTTCCACTGCAGCGAACGAGGTCTAGTTACACTACCGCCTTTACGTCCTCTCTGTGATCACTTCGTGCAAATGCAAAACTCCTGCATTGTAGAACTAGGTAGGTGCCTCGATGCATACCAATAATTGCTGGTAGCACTCACCTATGTAATAGATTCATACATCCGTCTCTTCGCCGATTTCAACGTTTTCTCATTCATTGTTAATTAATCATCATTACAGACTCACCCTACCACCGCTGCAAGAACAATCCCGGAGGCCTGTCAAATAGACATTCTGCAATTGCACTTTCTATGTTATGGGCCTTTTAAGTCATTTGCACAATAGAAACGTATGGCAACAGTAGGCGGAATCAGCGATGGCAGCCCGCGCTGCTTCAGGTTACATTACGCAGAGAGATGTCGTTGTCGTATCCGGAATCAGACAATTGACACTCACGCGCCTCGAGTAAGTTCTCGGTGAGGTTATCTTTTGACCTGTGACAATTGTAGTACCTCCGGAAGGTCCGTGTTATTTTGAATTGTACCACGAACGTCCGGATCGATACAGGAAGAGTACCGACTTGTATCTCGACCAGATATAGGCGCAAGACGATATTCCTAGGGGCGAATAATATCATACATATGCAAACCTGCAGATCGTCTTCAAGGCTTCACCTTCAATGGTTGTTGACAGAATTGAGGTGTGGATGGACGAGAACTCGAAGATTCAACGGTGCATCACGTGTGACTTGAATGTGCACCCAGAAAGGCAACTCCTTGCACGAACGATCGTTTTCTTCAAAATGTCTTCGACAATTCTTCAGACAAAATCTGCAAGGACAGCACCAACACGGCTTGACGGGCGCAAAACAGACGACTTGAGGCCGTTGACTATCACTTACGAAGGATTGGCTCGCTCGGATGGCTCTGCGCGGTTCGGTTTCGGTGCGCTTTACGTCTGCCGCTCATATTTTACACAAAATGTCTTAACGCTTTTACCAGGCCCTGCCCTAACACTGGCATCTCTCTCAGGGCCCATTGAAGTACGCGCTGCTCTGGAAAACCCAACCCAAGCAACCCTCGACGTGCACGTCCGCCCGCTCGCCGGCATCCCGGGCACAGATGCGCGCGCCCTCGCATCGACGCTTAAGCTCCTCCTCACCCCGTCGCTTTTCCTCAACCAGTGTCCGCGGACCCTCGTGCAGGTGGTCGTGCAAGCGCTGTGCGATAGGCCTGGGGGCGCAAAGGGCTGGGGCAGCGTGCTCGTCGCGAGCGCGGTGAACTCTGCCAGTCTCGCGCTGCTCAGCGCGGGCTCGGTGCCTATGCGTGGCGTTGTGTGTGCCATTGCGGTCGGTCGTGTCGTGTTACCTGGTGCTGCTGCGGGGTCGGGTGTGCTTGTGCTAGACCCGTCGGACGAGGAGCTACCACGCTTGACAGGTGGGGGCTGCTTTGCCTTTCTTTTTTCTTCGGCTCTTCCGTCGGCGATACAAGCGGAAGAGGATGCACCCCCGTGCGAGCTCTTGTGGACGGACTACAAGTGTCAGAACGGATTCGGCGAAGACGAGCTTTTTAGGGCGAGACAGATCGCCAGCGGGGGCGCGAAGGCGGTCTGGCGCGCGATGAAGGAGAGCGTGGCCAGGATGGATACGACAATGCACAGCCACTCCAGCAAGAGTGGAGAGGAGCATCGTGGCAATGCGATGGATGAAGGTGGCGGAGAAAGCGCAGAGGAGAGCGAGGTGGACGACGACAAGATGGAGATCTCATGACAACCGTCCCTGGACACCATGGTGGCCGGCGGCAGCGCTGGAGGCCACAGAAGGGTAATATCGGCGCGCTATTCGGGTGGTTGGCCGCGGTTCAGACAGGCGTTGCAGGACGCACTCGTGCCTCTTCGTCTTCCACACTCCACTAGATGGATTCCCCAGGTCATGTAGACGACTTCACGTACTTTGATCGTCTTCCGCCCATACGCGGCTACGGTGCAAGCAGTGACTTCGGGACATGGACTTACGCGTCACTCCAACATAGCTCGCGATCATAGGGATCACAAATTGTATTGCTGTCGAACATCTCTCTGCAGCCTTCAGATATGCCAGTGATGTTCTTCTCTTACTGGTGGACGTGATTGAGTTGCCTACGCTGACAGCGATTCCAAAACGGTGTGCAGGACACGGATCGAAAATAACCAATGACATGCATTGACAGCAGGGACGAAGTATCGACGGTGTTATTATATAAGACGAGGCAATAGCTTAACATGAACATCAACTCGACCACATACCTTCCAATAACAATCTACGACGTGCTACAGCCAGTGTAGCACGAACATCGCTGACAAGACAACATCACCGCCTCTAATTCATTGGCCAGTCCATCTACTGGCGTTGCTGCTCATCATACAAGCAAGGCTGGTACTCGTCCTCTTCCTTACGCTTAGACCGGGTCGTCGCGCTGCCTGGAAAATAAGATCAGATGATCCGAACAAGCGATACCCCACAGCTAACACTCACGGCCGGGGAACAGCTCGACCTGCACGTCGAGGCCAGAGACGTTGCCTAAGACAGTTCGCGAGCCACCCTCCGCAGGGTCGTTAGACGCGACAGGCGGGCCACTCTGTTGCGGCGGTTTCGGGAGCGGCCGCAGCGGCCGAGGCATAGAGCTCACTGAACAAGCAGGTGCGACAGACGCAGCGGGCGGGCCACTCTGTTGCGGGGGCCTGGGGAGTGGCCGCAGCGAGCGGGGAGCAGAACTCACTAAAGCAGGTGGAATTACCTGATACGGCGGAGGACTTCGCAGCTGGTCATGCGCGGAGTCAGCTCCAACCATCTCCTCATGATTCTGGAGCGCGGTGTACAGTCGAGTGTAGTCTGACGCGATGGTCGGTTGGCTAGGAAGCGGCTGCACCGTGGCGTTGGCCGTCCCGGAGGGGGGCTGTGGCAGCGGGCGCACGATCATGTGGGGCGCGCCGCGCGGCGGGATAGGCAGCGGCCGCACCGTGACACTCAAGGGAGCCTGCTCTACGAAGAAGAGTGGCGGCAGGGATAGCCTCCTTGGTTGTGGCATTTGAATGGGTGGCTCCTGGGAGTATTCTGGTGGGGGTGTGGGCAGCAGTTCTTGCGATGCCGGGCGAGTTAGCAGAGCCTGGAGCTGGCTGGCCGAGGTGTTCGAATTCGCAGTGTGTGGCAAGGTGGCAGCGCGACGGAGGTTGGAGACGCCCTCCATCCGGCGGAGGGTGTGCTTCTCGGAGGTCGGCATAGCGTGTGGGAAAAGTCGTGGAGATGAAGAAGTGAGTATGTGCGAGCATTTATACGCCGCAGTATCCGTGGAGTGGCACAATGGGATCGGCGAATTTGCACAAAGGACGTGCGCTTCAGATCCAGCGAGATACAAAGGGACGTGCGCTTTAGATCCAGCGAGATCTACAATGGGAGTCAAAGCGTGGCCAATCACAGCAAATTCAACATACGCCAGAAACCTCTAAGAATAATTACAGGGTTTTCTGGATCCCTTCAAAGATTTAGAGAGAGAAGAAAATGTTGTCGCACGGGAGAGAGGAGGCGCAAAAATGCAGAAACAGCAACCAAGTTGCGTCCAATATACCGGCGGGCAGTGTGGTGGAGCTGCAGGCGCGTCCCGGTTGTTCCACTGGCCGTGGACCTTGCTGCATCCTCACGCAAGAGGTGCTCACCGTGCAGCACAATGCTTAATGCTTAATGCCTTGCGAGACTCGCATGCAGAATATTAGTATATGAATTCAGCGCGCAGTGGTAAGGGAGCCAGGCTTGTCCGAATCGTAGATCCACGATGCTTCCGTTGTGTGAGTTGCAATCGAGATATGTCGATGACAGGTCGACAGCGACGGTACGATCGCTGTTGGCTTTATTTTCGAGAAGTGCCAGAGAGCGGGCAGCTGCGTGCTTGACGTTTAACGTTTGACGTTGAGCATCATGCATCAATATCAATGGTGATCGAAGCGCGCCACAGACCTTATTGGTAGGATGATCCTGTTGAGGACGTGTAGGAAACAAACCCTAATGCCAAAGAACTCCTACATATAATCTGACAGTCCATCAAGAAACCGTCACGTAGACACTGGCTGTCGGGACACGTCGAAGGCCAGCAACGCGGAGAAAACATGCCTCACATACAGTTACTGGCTCACGGTGAGCAATTTAACGCGCGCATCGAACGGTGCGATGACTGACATCGTCCTCTAAACCCCAGTCGTTTGCCTAAAACAACAGTATGGCGTTAGCAATACGTGGATGCGAAGGTCCTCAAGAAACTTGCTCTGACTGCCGCAATTGTTGACCTCGACACCCTAAGATGCAGCAAACGCAATGCGTCCAACACCACGACTTGGAGGTGAACCAAAGAACCAGGATATCGCTGTCTGACTGCTGTCAACAATATTTGCGTCTGACATCTTCGAAAAAGGCGCTACGAGTTCAGCACACTAGGGAGTGGGAAGGGTTCTGAAGAGATCCTGTAAAACTAGTATTCTCAACGGAATAATCCTTATCAGCAGAACACTGCGGTTTGCGAACCTCGTACACAAGTAGCATAACGTAACCCCGGACCTCATCTTGCTAAGGATCGCAAAGAGTCGAACTTGACTTTGAAGAGTTTGACAGATTGCGGATCCACATCCAATTTTGGTCGATGGATGCCGGTCCCATCAGTGTCGGTCCGAGCTGCGGGCAGCAATTGCTGACGACGAAAACCAACGACGCCGTATTATACAACAGAGCACCCAATCGTGGCACATAACAGAGGAGAGCTGCATGTCCGATCACTCCTCAGGAGGGCGCCGTTTTCCAGCTATTATTCATCCGAGACGTAGCTTGAGGAACAGTACCCGCCCAGTCAGACCAAGAATTGTGGGCAAGCACTCTGAGCTCGAATCAGGGGAGGAGCTCACAACTGTATCCCGGCAGGACCACACGCGCAGCAGTACGTAACGCGAGAAGACTAGGTGAGATATAGAGAAGTCGAGATACTCTGGCGTTTGGACCACCGTGGTGCTTGAGCGGGTCAGAGGACCGCAGTGTACGACACCGCCGTCGTGCCACGACGCATCAGTCCTTTCCAGCAAGACGCCTCGCATATCGGTGCGAAGCCACGCTCTGCAATGTGTCACAAAAAAAGGCTCTCATCCTTCCTCGCGCGCAGTCTACGAAGCTTAGGGAGTGACGTAGGCAGGTACACGGCAGGGAAGGCTGGAGCCACGCGGCACAGAAAGAATGGCACAGCGTCATGTAGACAGATCAGATGGTGCAGCTCTTCACGTCAGAATGTATCCTCGCGGTGACACTAAGAGGAGAAATCCAGACGTGGGGGAGTTCACCCATGGCAATTGGTGTTATTCTGAGTCCATGGGTAAGGGAACTTGGAACCACAACAGCTGGAACAGTGATGCAGTGCACAGGGATGTGTATAGAAAGAGAATCCGTGTTGTCCGACTTGGAATCGGAAAGGCGAGACATGTAGTGAGGATACAGTCGACCGCAGTGCGGCTGATGTGAGAGTCAGATGATCCACCGTGAGAGGGAGATTCGCAGGGTATCGTCACAGGGTCGAAAGTAAAAAAATTTACTTCTTACTTCGTACCACCGTGGTGCAGACGAGTTAGACACCCAAGTTACTGCGTGTGGTCTGTGAATGACACCGTCATAATGCAACGCGCAGTGCCTGGATGCGACATGTATGTTGGCCAGGCCGTGCTTTTCCACATGAAGGAACGATATACTTTGCCAGAGCTACGATTTGTGAGCGATAAAGCTAGTACAGAGGAGGACCGCTCTGAGGCGGAAGCAAAACAGAGCGGAAGCAAAACAAAAAGCAGATCAAAATCGAGCCCGATAAGCGCTGGCGGCTCATTACCCACCTGCTATATTGGGGAAAGACACACTAGCCGCTGGTGGCTGCTTGCAGGCAGGCAGCAGCGAGCTGTTTTCATCAGTCATCGGCTCGATGCCTCTGTCGCATACATATACCCCTGTTCTCCTTCGCGTTTTGAGAGTCCTCCGTCCTCGAGAGTTTCATCGTATTTGACTTTTTTCCGACTCACCACTCCCAGCAGTAGCAGCCCTGATCTCGCATAAAACAATTGTACCTCACGCTCGGCCCACGACACACTCACCGCTGTCTCTTTCGGCCCTCAAAAACCCGCTCTGTCCGTATAAATACTTCCACCATCTCTCCACCACACCACACCACCACATCATTCCCATATAATACCCGTGCGGGCCACGTTTACACCAGTATCTCTCAGCTAAACCCGCACCATGACCGAGTACGACTTCTCCCCCGAAGCGCATATGCGGCATATGCAGACGCAGGCCCGCGTCACTCACTGGGTGTCCGACCAGCGATACCGTGCGCCGGCCTACACCAATCCGTTCGGGGAGAAGGACAACAAAGGCCCTGCTGCGCCGAAGGATCAGCGGGCGCGGGATCGGGATTGGGATAGGCAGCAGCAGCGGCCGAGTCATCCACGTGCACGGTCTGTGCCCCCTCCCCAGCCCCAGGTCTTCCAACCGCAGGTGTCTACATCCCGCCTGCCAGACAGGAAGGGCTCCCGCACGCGTGCTCTGGACGTCGGTGACGAAGCTCGGCGCCCTACCCATGCTCGCGGTCGCTCTGCCCCCCTGCTCGAACCTAGGGCGTCTGCATCTCGCCCGTCGCATGGCCCACCGCCCGTTCGCTCGCAGACCCAAGCTCCGCCTCGTCGGTCGCAGTCGCAGCACCATTCGCAGTCGCACGCTCCCCACACTGTGGAGCGCGACGTACACCGCTCAAACTCGCATTCATATTCGCACCGGGACCGGGACCGAGACCGAGATGTCCACCGTTCGAACTCTCACCGAGTTCATCGCTCGAATTCGCAGTCACAATCGTACATTGTACATAGCTCGAATCCACAGCCACGCCCGTATGATCTGCATCGGTCGAACTCGCGTTCGCAGCAGGTGCCGTACTATCAGCAAGCTACGCCGAGCGTCGCGCTGCCGCTGATTCCACCTGAGTATCGGCCTCCTCCTGGTGCCAGGGTTGTTTTTAACTACTACGACCCTGGGACGCGCGAGATAATGCTGCCCGAGGACGGGAATCTGCACTACATCATTCCGCCGGCAGGGGGAAAAGTAGTCATGGTGAGCAGTTACTGTCTTTTCTGTACCACTGCTGTAATCTTGACCGTTGAACAGGACAAATTCTCCGGGGGACATCGCCCGAACGCTGATTCCAAGAAGGGCACGCTGCTGAAGCGCCTCATTGCGAACCTCGGTCCGTCGAACCACGGCACCATGCGTAGGAGCAACTCCGGACGCTCGCATACGCGTTCGTACTAGCTCTCCAGTGCTCCGTGCAACTTTCATTCGACTTTCTCTCGCGGTACTTACGTCTTGCAATCAACTTAGTGCGCCTGCTAGTAAGATATATCATCATTCACTCGTTTATTCATGTTTATCGTGGTTGATCCACAGCCTCATGTCTTCCAAGTTGTTGATGCTCTTTACTTAATTGCATGCATGCACGCGGGTGTTTCCCCCACAGCTCACCTTCCTCAACTCACTCGATTGTAATTCCCACAAATATTTACTCTGGCTCCTGGTGCATAGATAGATTGCGTACTGTATGTTGTAGAGTGTAGAACGTACGGATACGAAAAAGGGTACGCTCGGGTATTAACGTCGTGCTTGATCAGGGTCGAACACAGCTACCTGCAGAAGATCTCCCAATCCTAAAAGCTTCTGTCGAATTCCCTCGGATCTGGTTCGAAATATACTTCCTCCGTCAACGTTTCAACGTTTTCAGCTCGAAGGCGCACGTGATACGCGTGTCTATCTCCGCGTCAATCCGGCGTCGCGAGGATGGGCGTTTCACAGGTTGTCTCCATTCCCGGCGGTCTCTGCCGAATAACAATGAACCCCTCTTTCTTCCTACCCACTATCTTCTGGAAGTCCTCCGTACAAAGTATGTTCAAAGTTGCCCGCAACTTTCAGCGCTATAAGGCAAAGACGGGCGGCACTAGGAGTCAACTGGATTCGAGAAGGACAAAAGATATCTGGGTGACTAGTGTCGACAGTAGCTTGCCATTCACCGACAATCTAGCAGGCGGGATAGTCTCTTTTCGGTGCATTGCTTGCTGCTACGAACAAAGGTGTTTATATGCGCATTGAAACGTCGCGCGGCTCTATGCTTCTCAGTAAGAGAACCACTGGTTTACTGCCTACAGTCACCGCACAGCGAGTCAGGATCGTCATCGTCCTTCCATTCAATACTCCAGGGGTGGCACTGAATTTTAGTCATTACCGCCGGAGGTGCGTCTCCTTCATTGTATAGTACTCTCACGCAGGTTGTCTCACGCAGGCCGTTTGACATAGATGCATTTGTTTAGGAAGCGAAGAGACTGGCCTCGCACCAGGTTTTCCTCGATTTACCGCATACCGCCGTGGTGTCTCCTAGGGCTTAATTTAACTCCGGTTCCCCTCACAGATTATCCGGTAATGTCTCGTCCAGTTGTGTGCATATAGCCGGCGTAACTGATGGATTGAGTTCAGAGGCAAGTTGCGACGTGACGCTGTCTCCAACATTCCGTAAGTTCACTCGTGTGTCTGTCTCAACGCGACGAGCTGACACATCTATCACTGTGCATCAGGCCTCAGGCCCTGGCACCTCAGGGCTGTTCGTTCGCGTTCTCACCCATGTGTTCTGCGACTCAATTGCTGTCTGCGTTGAACAATGCTCAACACAGGTGACGGAACACGAGAGCAAATAACTCTCCAAATTGAAAGCTGAACGCACGTGACTACAAAGCGCTATGACTGTTGTGCCCCAAGTCGTTTGGTCGGACCCAGCTCAATCGGCGGCGCTGTCAGAAGGATGTGGCGAGTCACCATTATGATCACTGGACTTCACTTCTGCATACGTTCACCGCATATCTCTCATGCCTGTCGCATAGAACTTCCTTGTGCCAACCGTGGACGAGACGTGACTGCCCATCTGTCTGCCAATACCCATGGACAAATCAGCAGGATCATCGCTCTTCTCTATCATGTGATGTTATCTCAAGGTGTGCGGAATCCTGCTAGACATCAGTTCAGCCCTTGCATGGAAGCTGTTCGTTGCGCAGCAATAACGCTTCATCAGCCTCGAGCGCATTCAAGACATTGACACCTCACCGCTCTTGAGACACAGAAGAAGACGGAAGAGACACGAATCGCGGAGGAACAAGAGACTGTTATCTTCAATGTCTTGACCGCATCATGACCAAGCCACCTTTATGAAACGAGCACCGAGGCAGGCAGGAATAACCCAGCGATACAAGGCCGGCACGCCACTATTGGGCCACTCTCCTTCCCGTAGGGGTGACCTCGCCATTTACACGCACCTACAATTCGCCTCGTTGCCTGCCTCGTTGGCGATGGCGGCTGATAGAGCGCTCTTGTTGGCGCTGTACCATCAAGTATATACCTGTCCGATCCGCCCTCTTGCTCCCACCTTGCGCCCACACACACTGCTCGATTCCAGCACGACAAACCCAAGCCTACCATCGGGCGCGCAGAACGAACGGCCGACGCAGGATTTCACGACCGATGCGGGATCTCGCGGCGCAAACGCAGTCTGGAGCGCTGTGCGAATTGCATGTTCTTTTACGTTGCCATCCGCTATATTTCTCTGATCTTGATCAAGGTGGATCTGACTAGGTTGCTCTTGTTCTACGGTGCCTCTCTGCTCTTGCCTGGCTGATAATAGGGTGCGGTGGCCCCTAGGCCTTCAAGTCGTTTCTACCAGCTACCTCTACTCTCTGGTTCCTCCGCATGGGTCAGTTGTCAAGTTTCGACCGAAAGCCAGGAGAACAAGGGCTACTGAACGTGGCGGACAGTCGTGCGGGTCATCATCGGCTCTTGCCCAATTTGGTTTGCCGCCTCTCAAGCGAGGTGGACCCACAAGTCCCTGGGCGCGCCCACAAACTGCCTCGTTCATGATCTGATGCCTCGCGACTGTCTGTTTTACATATCTCGCGCCCAGCTGATGATCGCCTTGTCCTCGCGGAACATATAAGCACCTGTCTCTTGCTGTAGCGTCCTCTTTTCCCCCCACACTCGCGGCTCTGCATTTTCAACCATGACTGCTCTGCGTGGTGTCTGTGGCGCGTTCGGCTCATATACCTTCCATTGGCGCCACCTCATTTCTCTTTTTGTCTGTCGTCTGCTGTTACTGGGCTTCCCGTCATTCTTTGTTGCTGGTCTCTCTAACGGGCTCTACCACTTGCTCTCCTGGCCGTCGCGCATATGGGCTGTCCGTTCTCGTCCGACTTGAGCACCACACCATTGCTTGCGCTTGAAGTATCCAGCTTGTGCTGTTGTTGCAGTGCTCACTAGGCCTCCTTGTGTGCTCGTTGAAGTCACCCTTGCCCTATGGTATCTTCGACCTGCGTGCGTCCCGCTGACAACGTCTATCGTCTCCCTGAAGCTGGTTCGGGTGTCCTTCATCCCTGTCTGGATGCAGTCCACATTCCACTTCGCCCGCTTACTACTTGTCCTCGAAGCAGTTGGTCTTCAATCGACGATTAGAAACCATTCACCAAAGACGAAACGTTTCCTCTACCCTGTAGGTGTTCACAGATCCACATTCGTTCCCAGTGACTAATACCTACGGATGGCTACCTGCGGATGGCTAAGCTCTGTGCATAGCCGTGCAAGGTGACATACCACGTCGACGAAAGCAGCTGCTTTCATACATACTCGCTCTTATGCGAAAGTCAAGCTGTGAACTTCTTTACTGGTGAATGGCTCGGGCATGGTTGTTCGGGGCGCCCACAGGGTGGTGTCGACCTCTTAACGTGATGGTAGACTCCACGCGTTCATCTCAGGTGAGCGCCATCCCAATTTCTGTCGGTCAGTAGTTGACTGCTCTCACTTACTCTCTCACTCGTGTAGTGCCTCAGCTAACAATCGGGCTTTGTATGGAAATGGGTATCGGTGCCTTTCCTTCTTCGCATCCTAGTCCGCCAATTTGGTCCATCTGTGTGGTGATTACACTTGAAGTTACCGTCATCGATGAAGCTTATTGCTTCCGTTTGCTACGCTACCGTGACCTCAATCCCATCCATCTGTTCGTGTCCTTCCATCTCATCTGTGCCGATGTTGGTGTGAGAATGAGAGTCTGCGTTTGAACAGCCTCCGGTGGCTCTCTATTCAACCACATAGGCTGGTCGCCCTGCGACGTGCGAAGGTATGTGGGATCCCTGTTTATCCCCCGTGTCGCCTGCTGACGGCTCCCGCGCAGGCGTTCACAAGTCTGGCCCACCTCCGCGCCGAACCAGCCCTCCATCTGTCATGGATCGCACCAAGGAATATTCTATCTGATCTGATATTCAGCGATGAATTTACACGGACCCACCCTAGTCGTGAGGCTTGATATTCCAGCCGCATCCGTCGTCGCGGAGCGCTCATCATGAGACGCCGTCTAGGTGCTTGGCGACTATCGTGCGACAGGTGTGCCTTGTTCTCCTTGGGGGATGAGAAGTTTGAGGGTGTGCGCGCTACCGTTCGCTGACTTGCAACCCGGGCTGACTTTGTCGTTTTATTGGCAGGAGAGACCCGGGATTGGTTCGTGCCGATGCTGCATTACACGTGCGAGCACGTCAAGAATCGACTTTTACCTCATCCATCTCTTCGCCGTTTCTAGATGGCTTCCATGTGTATCCCTATTGGAAAGCGACTCACGATGGCCCGAGCGACCGTGTTCGGCCTACACCGTTGGCCCGTGTCAGCTGATTGCACCAAGCGGAAGACGCTCGTGTAGCTCGTGGAACGACGATATGCTTCAAACCTAAACGTAAACCCCTTGTCCCCAACAAGAATATCTGGCAAACGCGATGAACATTACATCTATTCGATGCGTTTTGACGCAAACCGAGATACAAACAAACGAGATACAAACAAACGAGATACAAACAAACCGAAATAACGTAGACAGTGAGCACTGCACTAAAAAATGATAAGTACGTGATAGCTGACACAAATCCTACACAGTCCCGACGCCGAGCGGGACACCATCAGTAATCGATACAGGGCAACGCGTGTGTAATGATACAATGATACAACAACATTCTTGGCTTCGAGGGAGACACCGACAACAGGAGGAGAGCAGAGCAGAGCAAGGCGAAGAGTAATGCAAGGAACAGAAGACGACGAGGAAGGAAGACGGTCCGATGACCTCAGAATGCGAAGTTGGAATTGGCCGCCATGTACGCCGAGAAGGCCTGGTCGAAAAGGTCGGCCCCCGGCGGCGGGTACGGGGGAGGGTTATACGTCGGGAGGTAGGCGGGCTTCGCCGGCTCGAACTGGGTCGCCTCGAGCACGTCGATCACCGACGGCACGCCGTACGAGCCGTCCACCCCAGGCACGTTCTCCGGATAGTAGCCGAACGACGCGGGGTCGAACGGCTCTACTATCTGCTGCTGGCCGTTGAGATCGACCATGCCCATCGCGGGATCGGGATGTAACGTTGCCGAAACACCAGCGAATGAGCTCGGTGTTCCCGGTCCACTGGAGAATGTCGATGAATCTGAAGACCACGCGTACGACGTGTTAACGTGGAGCATCGGTGGGTGGAACGTCACGGCCTGCGACGAGCCAGGATCCTGCGAACCCTGCGGGAAGAATTCGAGCGCATTCGGGTAGGTCGTGAGTGGCTCGCAAGGGCTCGACGCGGATGGTAAGTACTCGTCGAAGGATCCGAACATGTTGGGGTCCTGTGGGTTTATTGTCAATATCTCGCAAGGTTTGATGTGAAGAGATCACTCACGAAAGTAGGACCCGCGGAGGGAGCAATGTGGTCCGACGGTAACCACGGAGAGGACGAGGAGCTGGCCGAAGACTCGTACAGCGAGATCGACGAGCTGCGGGACAACGACGCCAACGACGATGACGACGATGATGCGGAGGAGGGTTCCGAGCAGGTTGCCTGCGAACTGGCCGCACGCTTCCTGCCCTTCCCCTTGCGAGCCGACCTGACCGGACCAGACGACCCTCGACTGTAAGCACCCGCAGTGACGGGGGCGTCGAAGCGTGTGACAACCTCCGGTACGTGATTCTTGTCGAACTCCTCCATCGCGGCAGCGAGCTCGTCCCCCGACTTGCCCTGGACGAGCAGCGCTGCGATCGCCTCGCATCGCTTTTCGTCCTTGAGCCCGACCTCCCTGACCTTGCGCCTTGGAGACGCGCTAGGCTCCTTGAGGTGCTCCGGCTTGAAGACGTAGTCGGGGTACTTCGCCTTGTGCCGATCCAGTTCCATCCTCGCCTTGTCCCGCCAAACCTGCTTCCCCGGTTCGCTGAGGCTACGCCACGTCTTGCCGAGGATGCTGGAAAGCGTGCTGTGATTCCCCTCTACGCCGCGGGGAACCAGGTTCTGCTTGATCATCCATCCTCGGAAGAGGATGAATGGGTTGCACGGGCGAGGGACGTGGCCATCCGGTTTCTTCAACTTGTGGCCGGCAGGATGGGGCAGAGCGTCGCCGTCCGATGGCACTAGAGAGGACTTTGATGGGGTCTGTTTCGGAGGGGGTTCGTTGAACGTTTCCGGCGTCAGGTTCTCGGTGAACATGATAGGCTGGAACGTTGGTGGTTCAGCCGAGACGGCCCAGGTAAGTTCACCCTCTGAAGAGTATGTCAAATTTTATGGCCACACGCAGAAACTGCCCTGATTCTCTCACCTGCCATCGGCGACGAGCGTTTGGTTCGCTTCATCGAGCGTTCAGCGGGCATGTTCGAAGTTGAAAGTGAGTGATACGGTTTTGCGAGGGGATAAAGAGGTAAGAGCTTCGGGAGCGAATCCGACGGAGGAGGAGGTGTCGCAATTGGAACGATGGGGGAGATTACATACGTTTTATAGAAGAGAGTAGGGTGTGAACGAACTCCGAATAATCTCGCTACGACGGCCCAATCAGCAGATAAGCGACAAGGGAAAGTCCGTCCCACCACAATGGGAAGTGCCGAATATGGTTTGGGGCACACCATTCCCTCATCTCGCGTAAATTGGAGGACAAATCATCGATTTACGTCCGCGACCCGTGCCTGCGGATGATCCACTCGGTTATCCTGAGTGCTCTACACGACTGTCTGCATTCGCTAAGCGGTGAATTAGATGTGACAATATCTGTCGGGGCCCTGGAAAAATCATTGGTGAGGTCACTAACTCTGGGACAGAGAGAGAGAGGAAGATTTCGAAGCTCGACACACATGATGGTATGATCACGTGGAGTTAATGAACTAAGGTTCGTACCCTCCAAAGTAGTAACTCTTATACTAACGCCTCGGGAGTCGGCGCTGTACTTGAAACGTCCATTGTCATCCCCCCCAGAGATTGGATTTCGCAGGCAACAGGGTCAAATTATTGGCTAGGCCTCGAATATCTTGAACAGAGAGGGAGATACCATCTTGAGTCTCGCAGGCGGGGGCAGATACTAACTTAGTGGCGCATCTGGGACAGATATCCGCATCTAAAATTGATTGATCAGTGATCTGGTCCTGGCAAGTTCCGAACATGGACTCGGACACTTATCCATGTCGATGGGAGACCTGCTGGGATCCGACTGCCTGCCCGAGGGACCGCGATAGACTTGGATTAGACTGCCTGGACAAGGGCTGCCTCTCTTGGCCGGCGTCGTCATGGCTATCTGTTCCCAACTCTTCGATAGGCCTGGCGTCAGCAGGAACTTCCCCTGATCTACATCGGAGAGATGGCCACCGCCTTTAGCAGGTACCCCCCAACGGTGCAACCTTAGAAGCACGTTGCACGGACATACACATCCGGGCTGTGGTACAATAGGGTCTGCAACAGCGGCGATGAGTCAACGGTGGGTTGAGCGATTCGGGTGAATTGCCGTACTGTTGTCTGCCAGAAGCTCGCCAGGCGATGCACAATGGATCTCATGGTGAGCTTCTCGCAATTCTCGCAACGTCCGCTTACAGAAAATATCGAGTCAAATTTCTCCGGGGAATTTCTCCGTCACATCTGCGAACTGCAAGACGCAGATACCACTCTGATGCGACATCTAGAAGTATCGCTGGGCGATGGCCACCGGGCCTAGCCCGATTTCCACCGCTGCAGTGGGCAAAACCATCAATTTTCGCTGTCAAGAATGCATGCTGCATACCAGAGAATGGACACAGCAACGGGCAGCAATCCTCACACGAGCCCACGACATCCAGGGATCCAAGAATTTCGATGCTCGCAGAGCAAGATCAGTAATCACCTTCCAACGACTAGAAGCCTGCTCCCCTCATCACCTTGAGCAACAGCGGAGGGCACTTGGCTGAGAAAGCTACCCAAATGCAGGCAACCTTGTTGCATCCCCGAGCCCAGCAACGTAACCCACGTCATCGTTCCCCGCATTGTTCCAACCCTGTTCAGGAACTGCGAGATCTGTGGCTGAAAATCTTTCCCTTAGCGAAGGGGATGGAAGCGCTGTATAGTGTAAGTCCGGTAATGTGCGCGGAACGATGCCGGAGATCTACCAATCGCTGCTCTGAGCAGCCACACAGACGTAGCGTAGATAGCTAGGACAGCATGGGTAGAATATTCGTGAGGGGTGAGGGGACATTGCGGCAGTGGAGCATGCACGGGCGACGTGGCCATCACACGTGTCGGGGCGATAACGACTTCGGACCTCGAGCAACGAGTGCGCATGCTGGTCCATGGACCTCTGGCAACGCGTCGGGCTACACCGAACATTGAACGCCCGTCGGCGGCAGAGAATATCAAACGCTGCATGCACGTACAGACCACGTACCAGAGCCTAGGCAGTCGGCGCGCTGTGGGTGCATTAAGTGGTTAGACTCGATAAAATCAAGATTTATTGCGCATGGTGCAGCCTCTTCCGCCGCACTAATTAATCGTCGGCGCCTCCCTCGCTGGCATGGGAGGGGGCACAGCAGTCTGGATCGCCCGACACGCGGCTCCCGCGCAATTGCAGCCGCAGCTTGATTGCTAGAATAGCTGTGCAACGCAAGCAGGACACGTACCATGCACTATGGTACGTTAGGTTTCAGTAATTCATGAGGACTGATTATCGGCGCCGGTCTGGTCATGACATGGCGACGCCTTAGGTGAGGCTGCGGCACAACAGCGCAGTAATTGAGTTGCCCGCTGCCGATTGATCGGCGCAGCGAGCACAGACAGGGTGAACGGCCTGGAGGCCCCGGAAAGGAATGAGACCATGCTCAAAACGACGCACGACCTGTAGCCGTCATTATGCCTTTCGTCGTTAGCCCCATAACAAGCAAGCCAGAACGAATCGGACCTTGATTGACATTGATCATACAGGGCCAGAAGCACGTCCGTGAAGAGCACCGGGACGCCATGTTACTCACCCTATTCACGAAGGGGAGGATGTTTGATGCGGGCAGTATCTGGGTATTCCAGACGATTTGGGCCTAGTCTGTCTGCAATGTGGCAAGGCTCGTATGGTGACCGGATATACCGGATGATTTGTGATAAACAACACGAGAAGATCCTCTGCATTGCACGGGTTCGCACAATGAGGACGAATGGCTGAGGCGCCGTATACATTCTGAAAGATTTCCAAGCAAGCACTGAACTTCCAGAAGTCGAGTCTCTTTTCGAAGGCTAGCCGAGCGAAGACTACTTGGAGATAGACAACGGTTGGAATGATCGGACGCTATACGAGAACAAGCAGTCCAGGAACAGCCACGCAGGACCTGAATGTCGGGATGGGTCCTACCGCATTGCGAACGCTGGGAAAGGCTGACCGTGCACGGACAGCGAGTCTGTACGCGTGATGTTAGTACAGCAACCCACTTCATGAATATTTGTAACACGACACGTATGACAGCAGATAAGTCTGTATTTGAAGTTCACATTTACTGGACTGTTGGGATCATGATAATCGTTCACGACCATAAAACATCTCAAAAGCCCAGTAAATAACAAAAATCCCTGTAGGGCAAGATGAACAACGAAACGGAAGGTACCAGAAGTAGTCGGTCCCATGGAAGTATGACCTGATCGAGGAACTAGAGGCTTAATGCTTCGTTCGCCCGTTGACGACACAGAAGAACAACAACCATGACTGGTGACCGGGATGCTTTTTGGGCGAAGAAAATGGTGGTTAAGGATGCTTCACTCTACCCTGTGGAGTATCAGGTTAGAGCTATCTTTGAACGGCGAATCATGCGGCTCCTTCGTAGGTCTAATCATACCATTCACCGTCCATGCACGCTGCGACTGCTTCATACTGGGATTTGAGTATTCTCTTCGGAGTGGCTGGAGGTAGCGAGAAGAGTGGCTGCATGCCACAAGACGTCGGCGGACGGTGGCACTCCTGCGCCGCGTCTCTTCGAGGAGACGCCGGAGCATCATCGACCGACGGCCACCTCTCGCTGCGTTATATTTATTGACGGCACCACGCACCGTATGTGCAGATCTTCTACATGCACACCCGAACATCCCTGGCTGTCAAGCGCACATGGGACTGCCTCCAGGGTGGCGGCAGAGAGGACGAGGTACAACTTCACGCACAGCGCTTCAGCGTAGATTTCTAGCCTTTTCCTACAAGGAAACAACAGTCAATCTAGTAGACGTTTTACAAGCGTAAAACATCAACTACGGATGAGCGGGACCCGCAAGTGTCTTTGTTCAACGCCACTGCTGGAGCGTAATAGTGGCTTCGACAACTACCAGGCATCGGATTGCCTTCTACACAGATCTGCACGGTATTTCACGGCGTTAGAGCATGGCAAACATAGTAAAATGTATCTGCTCACCGACCGTTGCGACGATCTCAGGCTATCAGCTGCCAGTGGAGAAAGAGGCTTACGGCTCGTATAACGGAGGAAACGATTCAAATATATGAATATTGTACCTGTCATGGAGCTACAGAGGAGTCGAAGAGATGAAACAGGTATAGATGGAGGACAACTACGACAACTTGAAGGTGTGGCTGGGTGGAGCCTGACCGAGTCACGGCGGCCAGTCACTCGTCACTCAGCGCTTGTCACTAGTCTGTGAGTCCCGTGACTACCTACCCGTGATATAGAGTAACGTCACGCTTTGAGACCGATTCTGTGGCAAGTAGTATCATGATAGCAACTCGAGCTCGACATACGGGAGATTATAGTTATTTCTGCGTAGAATAGGACTGCACTGCATAGCAAGGAGAATGTCTCCGTGTAAACTTCAGCAGGGCGAAGGGTGTATCAACATCGTCGACTGGCCGACCAATACTCTGCGCTTCAATCAGTCATAATCACACAGGCATGCTCGCCCTTCACGCAGGAGGTTCATTGCTTCCCGAGACAGCTCATACTCAGAGTTACCGGTCGATTTAAGGGCCATGATTGACTTCGGCAGCAAGGGCTTGCTATCTGGATGCAGATAGATTCTTCCATTCTCCACAGTCGGGTCATCGATCGAGTGGCTACGAAGCCACGTGAGTAAGGAGGTAGAGGTAACAGTGAATGTACGCACAGATTTCGAACGTGCTCCTTCACTTGCGGGAGCGAACATTTACGCCCACCGATCTCGGTGCAGAGTGAGCAGCACCAGTGGCGGCGTAGCTCGTGTTTGAACCGGCGAGTGATTTGACTTTTGGCTTCGACGACCTTGACCTTTTCTGCTACATTTCCGTTTACGACCTCCCACTGGCGTTCAGAGACTCCTCCGACGTGCTTTCTCGTCCACTTGGGCTTCATCTAATGTACCAGGTCAAAAGAAGTAGCCACATTAGCTCGCCAAAGGCATACTTACCGCCAGACGCCAACTGACAACGCTTCTGGACGGAAGCGCGCTAGGATTCTTCCACCAAAACCTCGCATCAAGTTCGTCCATTGCCCTCGCGGTGGTCGAGCTAGGGTCTTTGCCGCACGCTTTGACGAGCATATATGCCCGCTGAACCGGACGGGAGCAAGAGATTGAAGCGGTCGACCACGCAGCAGTGCGTGCCTCCCCGTAGACCAGCGCCTGGTATTCGTGTGCTGCATCCGGATGGTAGAAGCCGTGATAGTACTGACGCATGCAGCCGTGAGCAATGATATTAGGATAGCGTAAGACTTTGCGGCACTTGGTGCATTGGAACCACGCTACGGCAAGATCAAAGATGTTCGTATCATCGGGAATGTCTGTGAGGCCTAGTTCTTCAGCCAACAGCAGCGTCAACTCTGCCTTGGCATTGTTCTGCCATTTCTCGACTAAGTTCGGAATCTGAGGTCGCAGCGCGAGGAAGTCATCTGGGGTAATGTTGACCGAGTCAAGAGCATCGACAAGTGCACGGAATTCCGACATCATGGCAAAGTCGACGAGATGCGGCAAATACTCGGATGCAGGCGTCCTCGGGATTCCTGCATAGTAATTGTCGATCAGATCTGAAAGGAGTGCGAGACGAGAATGCAGTCTTTCTCTGTGCTCCTCGGCAAGTCGCTGAGTTTTCAGTTTCTCCATGTAGGAGACCATCTCATCGCAAATCTTCTGCCACCCTGGAATTAATACAAATAAGTTGACTATCTCGCAGTGGCGAGAAGATGGGCGTACCGCGATCTGTAAGTGGTTTGGCCTGCCGAGCATGAGCATGGTTGGACAACGGAGAATATTGTTTCGGCTCAAGAAAGTCGAGCTCTTCTCCCCAACCCAGGTCTCGCAGTCTGGAGACAATCCTACCAAACACTTGTGAGGCTGACGTCATAAGGAGGATACGGGTGCACATACGATTCCAAACGAGCACGCCGCACATCATCCAGTTCCGATGCTCGGGATTTGACCCTCAATTTGGTCCATTCATTACACAACCTAGAGTACTAACGGAACTGTGTCGGTGCAGTTTGAGTGTGCGAGTCGTGCAGGGATACCTCTTTGATTTGATTTACGCGCTCAGCCTGTTCTTTGATGAGCTTCTTCTCTCCTTCGTCACTAGCAACAGCCCTCCAGGACTTCACAAACGCATCAATTTGAGGGACGTGGAACAGATATAAGTAGCGGCGCCCTGGGGAGCAGTTCATATATACGCATTCCGATCATGAACATGATGCCTCACCGGAAATGTGATTCAGCACGTTCACACTGCTGGTAATTTTACTCATTAAGCCCGTTGGAAGGCCATACGGGCTTTCAACAGTGCTATCAAGTCATCATGAGAATTTTTGTTCAGTGCTCTGCGCCACTAAATGCGTCACTTACTTCTCCTTCTTACAATCGTTGCAATATCGTACATTGAACTCCCAAATGACATTCTGAATGTTGCTTTTCAAACAACTCTGAAACAACAGAGCGTCAGAGAATAGTGGTAGCCATATCCGGGGCACTCACATGGCAATGTGGGGAAAACGCGAGATTCGCGTATTCAGGCTCGCTCAAATAAGGAGGACAGTCTGGTAGACCATCCACATTCTTCCTGGCTGCCTTCCACAGATGAGCAGACGTGCGGGTCATGAGCAATGCCCGGAAAGCCTTGCTCGTCCTTGCCAAGTTCAGTAGATCCCGAGGGTTCAAATGGCTGATTATCTGCACACCGACTGTTCGGTTATGATACTGTGATAATGATATAGAGTAGATTCGTGTTCTGACCTCAAGAACAATGTCGAGAGGCATGTTGGGCATGTCTTTCAGGCCACCCCTTCTACCGCGCAGCGCGCGACGTGCTGATTGCGGCGCAGCAGCGACTTCACGTGCGGCATTGGAAGGTGTGGCTTCGCTCTTCTTGGCCTTCTTCAGAGGCATACTATGAAATGGTAGAAAGAGACGCGGATACGACGATGATAACCCCGTGCGAGGAGCGCGACTTGGCGGCTAGGCGCCCGGCGAAGTCCGACCCAGCCTCGATTCCGTCTCGTCTGCAAGGCCTCCACGAGAGCAGGCCAGAGATGCGACCCGGGTCTACCAAGGTTTTGTTGACAGTTATATACTTAGTGAGTCTAGTAAAGATCTCGCGATGTAGGATATGCAGCTGAGAAAATTACAGTATCGCTCTTGGACTCAGAGTACCTACGACTCGACCGTTTGTCACAAGTAAAGTGCTGGTAAATTATGGAGATGGACAAATGTGCGCTATTACTATAAAATTTGTGTAGAATGAAAAGTAGACCGGAAACATTGAGCTCAGCGCACAACCCTGATGGACGATGGGTGGGATACGCATTGATAGTAGGGGACTTCGTTAAATCCCATAACACCCGCTGAACTTGAATTCGCCTGTCTCAGACCATCGGACGGTCACATCACTGGTGATGCCGACAACGTTATACCTGTCAAATAAAGAGGAGATTGTCAATCATTATCGCCGGTTTCGATCAAAGAAGACTCGAATACATCTTGGATGCAGTCACTGTGCCGATTCGGGACTCGAACTCGTCCTTGGTAAATTTCTTCATCTTCCAAGTGGGAGGACCACCCAGCGCCATGAGGCAGCCGAAGACTGCTGGGTCCGGGCATATGCCATCGTAGACCCACTTCGCCGTACCCGTCTTGCACGAAGGTCTCCACTATGCAAAATTGTCGCGCAGTGTGAGAAAAAGATAACGCATGAAAGGTTGATGAAACTCACCCCCATCTGCTTCTTGATTCCACTGTTCGCAGCTTTCCTGACCTTCTCAGCAGCTACTTCCAGCTCCTCCGAGCTCTTCGAGCTTGAAGCGCTAGCGTTCGTGCTCGAGCCTGCAGACACCGCAGACACTTCCTCTTCCAGCGCTCTCGCATACTGCGAGAGTTCTACGAGCAATTTCCGAACCGCATCATCGTCCTCGGCAACGGGATAGTCGTCCGGGTTGCCAAGGATAGCGTCGACGAGTGCAGTGGCTGACGCATGGGTAGTGTTCGTCTTCGCTTTCTTGGATGTATTCCTGGTTTACGAGTCGGATTTTCGCTTTTTTGTGGCAGTGGGCGTGGACATCTTGTTTTTCCGAGGTGATGCGCAGGTTATTGGGAACTGCCGTACTTTGACAGATGGCTCGATGAATTCTCGCTGGCGCCGTGGCTCTATAGCGCGTATCGTCACATCACATGATCTGTAACGTTTTCGTGACCGGAGGGCCACAATTATTTCGAGAAATGACTTGATAACTCAGCATCTGCTAACCAGCACAGCACAAAACCGCAGATTATGGATGGGGAGAAATTTTAGAGACTCTGAGATTCTGTCGCATTATTCATACATTATGACATCCTGAGATTGTCTTTCATTTTGCATCGCGTGAAATGTCGAAAAATGTATATTTTCTATGATTGTGACTTTCATCCAGGATTTGGCATGAGCTTTCCCGGCACGTGGTCATACACGTATACGCGTAGCATGCATCGATGTCGCGCATGAGTCCCCATACTAGACAACACCGACAGTGTGACTATATGCGCCTCCACTGCTTTTCTTTCACAGACCTCTGATTACATCTGGTACTCTGAATAGTGACCAGTGGGTGGACGAGAAGATTGTCTAGCTTTCTCGACTCCGATGGCCCCCACACTGCGCATACAATGTCGTTGTGCACAGTGCAGCAAGAGCACCAATGGGCATGAGTTTCAGACCAAACAAGTCTGTGCTAAGCACTTGAAGTTATATGGGCTACCTTGTCCTGCACCTGGGGTGTCACTTCCTTCCATCTCCCAACCCTTACTGGCAACTACTCGAAACAATGTCGCCTTGCTTCCTCTGGCTTCTGCATCCAGATCAAATGATGTTCAAGACTCTGGCTGAGTAAAGGTGCTATCACTTTCTCGGAGATGTTCTCTAACTGCGATTTATAGCCGAGCGCTTCTCACGGACATGGTGTGGACTTTGGCGACCTGGGAGATGCTGCCATGAACTTTCCTGGTGCTGATCTAGAGGTGCACGCTGTGCCTTCGCAAACCCCATCTCCTTTTCCTGAACCCATCCTGGAGCCTCCGCCTCAGCTTGACAATCATCCTGGAGGCGACTATCGCAAAGTCGAGCCGCCCTCAGTTGGTACTCCTGGTTTAGACCGAGATCAAGATGAGCTGCCACACATCTCCATCCCGGCTTTCAATGAAGAGTCTTGCATTCGTATGGCATACCTGCATGCAGTAATGGGTAACACGTTTGAGAATTTGACATGGAAAGCTGCGACACAACAACTAAACCAGTCACTTGATTGTCTGGATGCACAAGCTGGCGAACTTCCTATCAACCCTCAGCCAGCTCGGACTTTGGCTACTGCTAGGCGACATCTTGGCATCGATCCAGATGCATGGATCATACAGTATGCCATCTGCCCAGTCTGTTGGAAGCACCACACTCCGAACGAACTAAAGGAGCTTGCATCACCAGACTGCACTGTTCCTGGATGCTCGGGTAAAATTTATGTTGAAGTTCTTGACTCCAGCGGTAGGACCCGACGCGATCCCATCAAGATTAACCCACAAGTCTCCATCGTCGAGAGCATCCGGTGTATGATGATGCACCCAGGTTTTGCAAGATCGCTGTGCGATTTTCGTAGCCATCAAGCCGGATGCAACAATGATGAAGACTATCAAATGGAGGACATCTACGATGGGGACATGCTGTTCAAGCTGCAAACTGGTACCGTCCAAGAAGTTAACTCCACGGGTACTGTTCATGATCGACCGTGTGAGAATGGTGCAAATGCAACAAAGCTTGTTAGCCATCGCTATGGACTAGCGCTCTCCATGAATCTTGACTGGTGAGTTCATACATAAATGTCCTAGGATATATACTATGCTGAACTTGTTGATAGGTTCGGTCTTCTCTCTGGATGACCGCATTCAATGGGTCCAATCTATCTTGCGATCAACAACCTTCCACGTGAGCTTCGGTACCTTCAGCTCAACGTAATTTGCCTTGCAGTTCTACCCGGTCCTGGTGAGCCGAACCAACAGCAGCTTAATCATGCGCTGGAGCCAGGCATCAAGGAAATGATTAGCCTTCACAACGGTGATGCGGAACTTTGTCTGTTTTTGAGAGCATTCAATGAACAAATCATTTTTAATCAGGCATTGAGATGCGTGTTCACGATCAAGATTCTGCAAAAGTCTATGCCAACTTCCTCTGCGATAACTGTGACACCCCTGCCACTCGCAAGGTTAGCGGCACTGCAGGACACAATCATGATTTTCACCCCTGCCTTTATTGCGACATCGATATCCTGGACATCAACAAATCCAGTGGCTACGATAATTGTTTGCAGTTTTGTACCAACTACATATGATTTGTCACTACTGATGAGCGAGTTTCAGCTCGGGAAGCGAAAGACGACTACAAAATGCTGAAACACGCATTCTCTGCAAAAGGGGTCAATGTTCGTCACGAGAGTGCAATCCTCCGAGATCATGGGGTTCGCTGGAGCATTATGAACTTGCTCACTGGCTGGCTTCCTTTGTCCCAGACGGTTCTTGACTTCATGCATGCAGTATTTTTAGGTGCTTTTATACTCATCAATCTTACTGTTCTAATCACTTATATACACACTAGGAATCATTGCCCATCTATTTCTCGATGTACTCTTCAAAGGGTACATGTTCTCTGACACTGGAGGTGATGAGTCCCCGAAACAGAAGTTCGAAGATACAGTGAACTCGGTTCGCTGGCCCAGTCATGTTACCCAACTCCCAAAGAATATGAGTTTGTTGCTGCGATGCGCTCATCTGTTCACCTTCCCGCTCTACAGCTGGGTGAGAATCAGTCCTTGAAAAAGGCGGACGAGTGGCGCCGTCTCCTTACCATCACACCAGTTCTCCTATGGGTATGCTGGAAGGATGAACACGATCGCATTCCGAACATCGAGCCAACTATCTCGCCTAATGCAAAAACACGACCAACACATTCTCAAAACTGCAAGGCGCTCTACTTTGCCATTCTTTTACTATGTGCTGGTGTCCGTATGCTCGCATCGCGCAAGATCTCCATGTCACAAGCACGTATTGGTCAAGACTTTCTAACACAATACAACCGCACTCTGCAGCAGCTGGGCATCGACCTGACTATTAACAATCATCTGTCGACACATTTTGCAAAGTTTATCAAGCTCTATGGGCCCATATATGGCTGGTGGTTATTTGCATTCGAGCGCTTCCATGGGATGTTCGAGAAAGTCAATACCAATGGCCACGATGGTGGTTGCATGGAACTCACGTTGATGCGATACTGGGTTCGATGCCATCTAATCTACGAATATCTACTTGCTCTGCCTGCGAACACTTATACAAAAGAGCGTGAGTACATCGAGGCAGTCATCAAGTCGGAAGGACGCAGTGAACATGGAGGTATGATGACAGAGCTTGCTATCTATCGCAGTGAGGCGACCACAGGTATTCAATATCATTGTCATTCTTTGCAAGGCACATTTAATTGTTGTCACCTGCAGATCGAGTCAAACTGCCCAGAGTACTGGGGAAGCATATCAATCTGTGCATTTTTCTTGGTCCAGGAACTGGCGGTATCTACTGCCTTGCTCTCGACTATTGTCAACACTTATATCCAGATCTTCATCTTATCGACGACCTTTCGCTCGGTCACGGAACAGCTTTTGTTGTGACCCGAGTGGCCTGCATGTTAACTTACATCTGTAAGGACGGTATACGCTATGGTTCAGATTCAAACAAGCGCACTAAAGCAGATCGCTATGCATTTATTGTGGATAAAAACACAAATGAGCATTGCCCCGTCGAGATCGCAGCCCTTTTGGGTATCAAGGTCGCGGAAAAGGCACCGCACATTTGTGTGGTCATTCATCGGATGGTCTCAGATGAGGATATTCCCCCATTCCCATGGTGCACATAGTCTGTCCAATCAATCTTCTCAGCTCATTGATAATATGCTGACCGATGTTTTTTTAGTTCAGATCTCCTCGGGATTCACGTGTCCTATGCCAACCGCTTCCACGGTTACGAGATTGTACCTGCGGTAGCACTCGACGCACCTCTTGCACTCATTCCGATCCATTCTGAGCGCATGGGACAAGAACTATGGGCCTCTATTTCATTTGATCATGTACGTCGAAGCTACAGCATTACAGACTCATTCTCATACTGACGGCACAATTGTACAATGGAACAAGACGGGAAACGAGCCGGAGGTTATGGACGACGACGATGAGGTGTAGCTGGCGAAGGGGTAAGATGACAAATGGCAATGTATGTGCAGAATTGGAGACAGGTTCGACGCTAATCATCGAAGTACAGGTCATCGTCGTCGTCCTCGGCAGCGTTTTGACCTTTGCCCGCATCCCCTCCAGTGCTCACCTTCACTATCTTTCCCTTCCCTTTCTTCTTCGCCACCTTCTGCTTCAACGATCCTTCTCCCTTATCCTGTGCATTTTCAGTGAGGTGCACTTTCTTGTTCTTCACAATCACAGCCTTCTCTTCTCTCATTCGCTTCTGCTTCTCCAAAGTCTCTTCCGGATCTTCATCATCGCCCCATGCCCTGCCACTGTTCACGATATGACTCTCAATATCGTATTGCTGGTTCGTCTCGACTGCCAACCAGTGTGGGTCAATCTGTAGAGATTACGAGTTGCGGGCTATGTAGAATAATTGTAGGCCTCAGTTCTCTTGTCCGTAAGGAACTGAGAATATATTGAAGCATACCTATGTAGAATAATCATAGGCTAGGTATGCAGTCAGTAAGTAATCATAAGGTAATCAGCAGTTAATAAACTCACCCTCAGTTCTCTTGTCCGTAAGGAACTGAGGGGGAAGTAGTACGAGTACGCTACTTATGTAGTGAGTACACTATTGTTATGTATGATACAAGAGCATTCGAAAATCGTAGAATGGTCACTTTACTTTACTTATTGTCCATCTTGTTTAGAATCTCGATTACCTTTCCCAATGAGAACAAGAACACCACGAAGGGCGCGCACGATGAAGTGCAATATCCCAACACGCCCTCTCAATTCTCATGCAGCCCAATGAGGTGCGAGAGATGTTCGACCTTGATGCATGGCAGAACCTTTGTGAATATGTCTGCTGGCATGTCTTCAGTACAGCAGTATTGCAGAATGACCTGGCCATTCTCGACGGTCTTGTGGATGAAATGAAAGCGGATGTCGATGTGTTTGGTACGTGCGTGGTAAGCATCGTCCTTAGCAAGGGCAATCACCGACTTATTGTCACTGTGCAAGCGCACCGGGTAGCGGAGGATGTCAGGGTGGAGGACATCGGCGAGGAGGGAATGAAGCCAGAGTGCTTCCTTTGTCGCGTGAGTTATCGCGATGTATTCCGCCTCGGTGCTTGATAACGCGACAACATTCTGCTTCTTAGCAGACCACGAGACCGCGCTGCCATCAAGGAGGAACACATACCCACTAATCGAGTGCCTGTGCTCGGCCGATCCCCAGTCCGCGTCCGAGAAGCCTTCCACGCCATCCGTTGTCTCTCCGAATGTCAGCCATCTCTCCCTCGTTCCTGCGAGGTACCTAAAAACCCTCTTTGCTGCTTCCCAGTGCGGCTGTCCTGGATTCTGCATGAATTGCGAGAGAGCCGTTATGGCGTACGCAATGTCGGGGCGCGTCCCAAGTGCCGCGTACATGAGCGAACCGATCACTTCGCGATATGGTATGTTCTTCATGTCTTCAAACTGACGAGGAGTGGAGGGGCATTGGTGGATGCTGAGGACAGTCCCGGGGTCAAGTGGTGTAGTCAATGACTTCGCATCCTGGAGGTTGAAACGCGTGAGAATCATGTCGATATACACGTGCTGCGACAGAGACAATGTGCGCACGTCGCGGTCACGCTGCACTTCGATCCCTAAGATCCAGTGCATCTCTCCGAGATCTGACATCTTGAAACGCGTGCTGATCTCTCGCTTGAACCAGAAAACTGCTGCCTTGGTGCCTGCAATGGTCGAGTCGTCAACGGAAAGCGCGATGAGCAAGATGAGGACATCTTCTTCATTGCGAAGCCAGAAGACGCAGTGGTCGACCTTGCTCCTGGTGAGTCCCATGCTGCCAAGTTCGCCAGAAATCTTCTTGTGGAACTGACGACCGCTCTGCTTTAGCCCATACAGAGGTCGCTTGAGCCTGCAGACAAGGTGCTCTTTCCCAGGTTCAGCTTGCCCAGGAGGCTGCTGCATATAAATCTCTTCCTCGAGATCCCCGTTCAGGTACGCCCCCTTGACGTCCATCTGGTGCAGCTCCCAGTCATAGCATGCGGCGAGCGCGAGAATCAGGTGAATCGACGCGAGCTTGGCCACTGGGGCAAATGTCTCATTGAAGTCGATCCCTGGCACCTGTGTAAATCCCTGAGCCACGAGACGAGCCTTGTAGGACTCGATTTCACGTTCCGCGTTGTGTTTGATGCGGAAGACGAATTTGGATCCTACAATGTTAGTGTTCTTAGGTGGCTCAACCAGTGTGTATGTGCCATGACTATCAAGGTTTTGCATCTCCTTCACTATTGCTTCCTTCCATTTCGGCCATTCTGTGCTCTGCATGGCTTCATTCAGAGAAGCCGGATCCTGTCTAGGAGTCTCCATCAATGCTGGCATCGCGAAGATTGACTCAACTTCATCCTCGCTTTCTGCCTCAACGGCCACAGCTCCCATCAGGTCACCAGGTTGCAGACCTTTTGGGTATTTCGACTGGCTCGGGTGTCCGTCAGCGACACCAGATCCATCGTTCAATCGCTGGATGTATGTGGATGCCTTGCAAACACGATGTCCTCTGCCGCTTGGTGCCTCAGGAGCTGGTGCTTTGGGAGGTGACGATGGAGGAGTTGGAGCGGCAGGGGTCGGGGGATCGATGGTGTGTGACGCCATTTCCTCTTCTGGCGCTGGTACTGACAGCATTTTGGACACGCTCGGACCACCTGTCGCCCTCGCCCTCTCGGGCTGAGTGTCGTCCGAAATGACTGTTTCATGGACGAACTTGACGTTTCGTTCCACGGTTACGCTGTGCTTGTCCGACCAGTACACGCGGTACCCCTTGCTCTCCTCACCGTGACCGATGAATCGGCCCTCGCGTGCCTTGGAATCAAGTCTCCCGGCATCTTCAATGTGTACCCACACTTTTGCACTGAACTCGTGGATGTTGCCGAGGTCTGGGACTTTGCTGTAGCGCACCTCGTATGGTGTTTTCCCCTCGAGTGCATGAGTTGACGTTCGGTTCTTCAATCAAGTTGCGTGCATTATTGCCTCGCCCCAGAGACTCTTCGGCAAGCCTGAGGCAATCAACATTGCCCGCGCATGCTCCGGAAGTGTTCGATTGATATGCTCTGCAAGCCCATTGTGTTGCGGGGTGTCATGCACTGTAAGATGGGAGGCCGTGCCTTTCGCAGCAAGGTGAGCTTTGAAGTCAGCACTCATATATTCGCCCCCTCGATCGGACTGCAAGGCCTTTACAGTTTTGCCATCCTGTGTACTGAGCTTCGCCTCATAGGACTTGTAGGCCTGGAAGGTACCGGACTTCGCATGCAGCAGGTACAATTCGGTCCAGCGTGTTGCATCGTCTGTGAACGAGGTAAAGTATTTCTTCCCGCCTATCGTCTCAGTACGCGCAGGTCCCCATACGTCCGAGTGAACTCTGTCACCTAGTTCTTTGGCACGTGCACCGTCGCGCTCCTTCGGCACTGGGTGACGTGTGATTTTTGCCTGGATGCACGACTCGCATTGGTCCGTACCCGGCTTCACACTGTCTGTAAAATGGACACCTTCGACTCTTCCTTCGCGCACTAGGTGTTCGGCGATCATAGGTGAGATATGGCCCATGCGACGATGAAAATCCATGACTGATGTCGTCACCAGTCCATGCTCAACAACATCTCCAGGTGGCAATAGAACTATTCCGGCTGTTGTACGTGCATGCTCAACACGAAAGAGGCCATTGTTTGACGGGATGTGGCCGACAATTCGTCCTTTGCTGCGGGAGATGATACGACACTCTCCTTGCTCAAAGATGGCAGAATACCCTGCAGCATCAGCACGCGCAACGGAAATGAGTGCGAAGGCTATATCGGGTGCGTACAGCACATCTTGTAGCATGACAGTTGTCCACTGATCACCATTTGGAACCTTTAGGGCGACGGTTCCCTGACCTGTTGCGTGGAATGCCCAGCCATCAGCTGCTGTGATTGGCTTTGGAGGGGTTGCCTCAAATGCCGTGAACGTGTCGCGATATGGGGAAATGTGACATGTTGCACCGCTGTCATAGACCTCGATCCGGATGTTTCCATCAGCTGTGTGGCTATGAGCAAGTGCTGCACTGTCGAAGGTTGCCGTGAACGCGTGCACGTCCGTGTTGCTGCTGACAGCTGTGTTTGCACTCATGCCCGACTTGCCCTTATCGCCATCCTTCTTCGGGTTCTGGTTTCGCAGTCCTTGACCTTCCTTTCCACCCCCTGCATGCCAGCACTCCGATTTCATATGGCCCCTTCGGCCGCAATTGAAGCACTCGATGTCTTTCGAGTTTTTCTGCCCCTTTCCTCGCGATGCAAACTTTCCGGCTGGTTTGACAAACAGCACAGTCTCTGAAGTCTGGCCTTGGCTCCTGCGATCAAATTCCTCGCAGATCGCGAAGACAACATCATCGGATGTGAGTGTGTTCTTGGATAGATGTGCAGCGGTGGTGAGTGCTGTGAGGAGTGTGCCATAGGAGGATGAAAGTGACGTGTAGATGCATGCTGAGAAATCCGCGTCCGCCATCGCTGCGCCCATCGAAGACAGCTCTTCACGGAACTTGAGCATTTGATCAAGGTGAGTCCTGATGTTTGCTCCCTCGTCACACTTCATGTTCTGAAGCCGAGTCCTCACCGCGCCGGAGTACATCTCCGACTTCCCCTCGTACTCCTTCTGGATAGCACCCCACACGTCCGCACCTGTCGGGAGCTTCTTCACGCGCAGAAGCAGCGCATCATTGATCGTCCCGTAGATCTGCTGCCATGCCGCAAACTCCTTCTGCAAGAAATCGTCCAACTTGCTCTCAGCGGCCTCAACCTTTGCAAGATACTCCTCCGGTGTCAATGCAGGTTGGGTCGGGGCAGTGGTTGTCATTGCTGCAGTGGCAGACGTGCCTGTCGTTGCTGCAGTGGCGCTCGGCACTGTTACCGCAGCGGTACTTGGCGCTGTCTGAGGGTATGGTAGGGGGTCAGGCGGCTGGCGCGCGGTGCCCTCGAGATGTCGCATCAAACCGCGAGAGCCCATGACGGTATGGATCCATTCCTTGTATGTGATCCAGTTCGAGCCATCAGTGGCGAGCTTCGGAACAATGTTAAGGTGTGTATTAGTGGGGGTCTCGGTTTTGAGCGACATGCTGCCGGGGCTCATAACCTGTAGAGATTACGAGTTGCGGGCTATGTAGAATAATCGTAGGCCTCAGTTCTCTTGTCCGTAAGGAACTGAGAATATATTGAAGCATACCTATGTAGAATAATCGTAGGCTAGGTATGCAGTCAGTAAGTAATCATAAGGTAATCAGCAGTTAATAAACTCACCCTCAGTTCTCTTGTCCGTAAGGAACTGAGGGGGAAGTAGTACGAGTACGCTACTTATGTAGTGAGTACACTATTGTTATGTATGATACAAGAGCATTCGAAAATCGTAGAATGGTCACTTTACTTTACTTATTGTCCATCTTGTTTAGAATCTCGATTACCTTTCCCGATGAGAACAAGAACGCCACGAAGGGCACGCACGATGAAGTGCAATATCCCAACACAATCATCCACCATCGCGCTTTGTTCTTGAGGAGCTTGGACACCTTTGGCGGCTCATCGATGGTCTCTACTGCCTTGATGCGTGGGATGTACTTGCTCGATGGCGTGGGATCCCGAGCGGCATCAATCTCTCTGAAGAGATCAATCAACTGTTGTATATGATAATCAGCCTCGGAACCATGTGCCCTCAGCGACATGCTTACCACTTGGCTCCGGTATGTGGGTATGGAGGTCGTTTGGTTACGGTTCGTTTAAGGACAGATGCCGTGATGCCGACGCGTGGCCCTCACGTGGATTATCCAGGAGACCTCAGTCACCCCTTACGTGCACTAGTATTTTTTCTTTAGCAATTCTTGCCGCACGTCGTGCTCGCCGTGCGTCGGCTCGAGCTCATCATCGCTGACGACGAGCTCCACTACATAGTATATATGCCAAAATTCTTGCAAATTTTTTCATTTCCACTACTACCATATACATTGTAAGAGGTATTTGTCTCCTGCTCCCCAACCCTCATCATCTGCTCGCGGTTGTACATGCTCATCCCGCGTGCCCCCACGCCAAAGCCGTTCGGCTCCATGCGGTTTGCCCCCGCCAATATTGTGTCCTCGCGCGAGTCCGTGCCCTTGCCCGCGGTGTCTGCACATATACAAAGGGCTCGGACGTGTTTGTGTTCGGTGACCCCGTGCCGTTCCCGTTCACCAGCAGCGCACCAGTGTTCAGCGACACCGGTGACGAACGCCCTTACGCCATTGCGCGGTACCCACCCGGGCTCGGCACCATTGCATATGGGTGCAGGCTAAGCCCCGCATCGCATTCTCCCTCGCGTTCCCGCTCCCGCACCTGCTGCTGGCTTGCCCGCCGGCTCGTGGGCACCAGGGACTGCATGCTGATATGCTTGCATGATCCGCCACGCGAGTCCTGCCCCAGCTTCTGACTGCTGCTCTTTCTGTGCGCGGGCATCGGCGTGAGTACGAGTGGGGAAGAGGGTGACTGCGGCATGTCCTGCGGGCCATCTTGTCGGGCTTCCCAAGTTGCCCGATGGGGATCTTGCTCCGCATCTCAGGCGTCAGGTTCGCCATCGTGGCGGTATCCTTGATGAGTGCGGGCGCAATCGCACTGGATTTGATTCCGTCCTTGGCGTACCACAGGGAGAGCCAGTGGACCAGGCCATGCAGGGCGGCTTTGAATGATGTGTAGTGGGGTTCGATGACTCCGCTGTTACTTGGTAAACAGTGGAAAGATCAGTGGCGTCGGACGAGTGCCCGATGCAGTGAATTACCTGCAGCGATACTGATTATGATAGACATGAATTACCATGGATTTCGGGCAAAGGGGCACGCAGAGCGCACCTCGACGTGAAAATGGCATGTTCATATTTCTGCGCTTCCATGTGTGGCACACAGAGCTGCGCAAGCATGTAGCTCGTGCCGGTGTTCATCCGCCACATCTCTTTGAACACCTCCATGGGCACGTCATTGATATTGCCCAGCGGGCCAATCTTAGGCCCCGCGATGCCGTGGTTTGCGAAGAGGATGTCCGGATGCCCGATCTGCTGCACAACCTCAGCATGGAGGCGGCGCACCTCATCGTAGTTTGACAGGTCTGTGTGGAAGATGGCGAACCGCGCGTCGGAGCTGGCAATGGCCTTGAGGTCGGAGATGAGCGTATCTGCCTTGGCGTGCGAGGATGCCGCCTGGTAGTGCACTGCTACTGAGCAGCCGGAGCGGGCAAAGGTGCATGCAGTCGCCTGCCCGATGCCTCCGCTGTGCCAGATGTGGTGAGTGGGCGAGATATGATGTGGTATGCGATGTACTTACGTGCAGCCGGTGATGAGGACGGCAGCTTGCCCTTCAGGTTGGAAAAAAAAATAGGATGCTCCAAAGACAACATCCTATGCAGCCTGTCCAACATGGGCCTGAGTACAGCCGCGAAACAGCCCGGAGTACTTGTCAATGGGCCAGTGCCGGGCTCATGCACTCAGGCTGGACGCGGGATCGGGCGCAGACGTGCGCCAGGACAGACTAGCAAATTGCAGAAAAGTTGTTGTAGTCATATGTCGGGGAGCAGCGAGAATTTTGGCATATATTATGTAGCGGAGCTCGTCGTCGGCGACGATAGCTCGAGCCGACGCACGGCGAGCACGACGTGCGGCACGAATTGCAGGTGCTAAGGAAAAATACAAGCGCACATAGCGGGTGACTGAGGTCTCCTGGGCAATCCACGTGAGAGCCACGCGTCGGCATCACGGCATCTGTCCTTTAACGAACCGTAACCAAACGACCTCCATATGTGGGAGCCTTTGATATATAACGCCCGGTGAACTCTCCCTTCTCATTTAGCTCGTCCTCATCGTCGGACATCAAGCTGTCTGTGAACGCGGCATCATACTTGGGGTCATGCCACATTGATTCCTTCGGCAGATGTGCACGTTTGCGCTCGCGAACCTGAAGTTTCTGCATCGGTACGTGAGCTTATGGAGAATAAACTCATTAAATTATATCACGTACACCCTTAGCGCGGCTGGTCCTATGCGATGGCTTCTTCTGACCTCTGGCTGGCAACTTCGAGTTCGCCTCTTCACTCGGCAACACATCAATCCCATCAATCTCTATCTGCGCAGTCACCGATCGCCCACGTCCTTCAATCTTATGTGCGTCGCGCAAGGCTTTTTGCAGTGCCAGAAACTTCTTCTTGACACTATCCTCGACATCAACTCTTCCGAGTGCTCGAACAGCCTTTACAGCGGTGGGTACAAGCTCACCACCTTGCTGCATGATCATTCTAACCAGGGTGCTGATGTTTTCAAAGTTCTCGACTGCATCCCACCCGAGATCCCAGCGGAAGCGCATCAGCTCAGTCTTGGTCGCGGGGTCAATCGGTAAAGGCTCTCCATCCTTCGGCCACCATGGCAGGCTCGTCGGTTTGAGGTTTGAAATGCCCATGCGAGTCTGAAAGGCCTGGCGAACGAGTTCCTACGTTTTCCGAGTAAGTGCATCATCACATTCATGTGAAATCTATCACTGACTCGGTATGAAGTGTCCTTCAATGCGGCGACGCTGTCTTCAATCCGCCTCTTCTCCTTTTCGTCAAGCACCTCGTCATCGGAGTCCGAACCCTCTGCACTACCATTCGACTCATCAGACGAGACGCAACGCTCCTGAAGGTCGGCGACTAGCATCTGCAGCCCCGAGATCAAGTCAGCCTGCTTGTCCAGCCGCTCCGACACTGCAGTGTAGCGAGCACTATAGGTATGCAGTAACTTCTTCATTTCTTCTAGCTCTGCCTGCAGCATAACCTTCTCCTCCTCCAGGAGTTCAAGCCGCATCTGGTGGTTGGAGACCTGCGCAACGAGCGCAGCCGTCTTCGCCCTTTTCACAGTTACCCCTTGCTCGCCGTTAGCCGGTTCATCCGCCATGCTGGTGTCGATATGTGCAAGACCGAGTAGAGTTGCTGCGTCAGAGGCTGAGGACAGACGGGCAGTCGTTTGCATGGGGCGAAAGGTCTGCTTACTCCCGACCGCGATATGATGCCTTGATCCATGTTCTCGCCCATCATCCGTGTGCACTGAGCGCTTGCGCGCGACATGACATTAGTTAACCTAATCCATCGTGATTTATATGCTTCACTGCGGGATTGACAGATGAATTGCTACATCAATCAGGGAGCACGGAATAGCTAGCTAGGGGACGGGTGGTAGCTGGGGGTGGTGCAGGCTCCCTGGAGCGGTTATGATATGTTCGTCAAAATGTTCGCAAAAATGTTCAGTATAATGATAGCAAAATGATCCAAAGATTTGTAATACTCTGTACATTCTCGAGCTTGAGTATCTACAGAAGAATCGTGCAGGAATGATCGAAAACTTGACATTCTTCTCGGATTTCACCGACGTCAAAATCCGGGGCGTTGTGCTGTGCAGTAGGATCATGCAGTATGTCTATGTTACTATATGAAATCTTTACTGCGAACGCACTGAGTCTCTGATCCCGCATACAGTACTGTACTAGTATTGAGCCGCTTACCGACGCTAGCGCTCATAAAAATAGAGCGGAAAAAGGGCATCAGAGGTGTCCCGGGAGGGATCTTTAACGGCTGGGACGGAAAGCTTTCAAGACGAGTTGACGAGTTGAATAGCGCAGGATGCTGACGCTGACGATAAGTACTTGCAGGCAGTACTTGCTCTCGAAATTCTTAACCCGATCTTGCGACAAGATAAGGTCAAACTGACCCGTAGCTCACAGTTCGTTCGGGCCAGCATCCAGGAACAGAAGAATAGACCGTGACGAGGCAGCCAGTATCTTTGTAAACTCCTGGGGTTTTGGATTGAACATAACAAGTAAAATGCGCCCGAGAAATACTACTGATATTGTGTCATGCTCCGGAAAGTACAAGTTCTGCTGACCTTGAAATGTGGCACCGCTGGTCTATGCGATGAATTTCTTGCTCCTCCAATACCTGATCCATGCCTTAGCGTCTTCCTCTCCGAGAGGTTGCAGAGAGTCCAACGCGGGACTGATGCTCTGTGCCTTGGCTGTCTCGAACACAGGCAGCCCACCCACCTCAATCTCGCCTTCCTTCGCGTCTTTCGCGTGGTTCTCGAACGCCGTTAAGCTCTGGAAATACTCCAGAAGTTTGATCGCAGGCTAGAGGGGCATCGCTTGTAGCCTGATCGTGACAACTACCAATGAACTCAACTCACGATATTATCTAGGTCTTTCGCGGAGGCATCCTCGGCCGTGCTCTCCAGCTTGCTGACCCAATCCTCCAGCGGTACGACGGGTAAATTCAGGCCTAGCTCATTGTTAACTGCGCTCAGGATCTGGGGCCATAGAACAGGACGAGGATGCACAACATTGATGCACTCGGGGGGTTGCGGGTGGAGGATGGCATCGACCGTCGCACGAGCGACGGCATCCATTGGGACCCACGACACCACCTGCGCAGACGTGATGAGTACCTTCTTGACTGAAAATAGCAAAATACCCAACGTACGCCTTCCAACGTAGGCAAGCATCCTAACCCGATGCTGGACTTGATGAGGCTCGGGACCCAATCGGACGTGTTCCAAGCACCACTCTCCGCCGACCCGCTGATCTGACCAATTCGCAAAGTTACCGCGTTCATGCCTGTCTTACTCGCATTGGAGAGTACCTATACATACAAGAGTCAATTAATATGCCTCCTGCACAACATCAAAATTGCGCACCTCTTCCACCACGAATTTCGACATTCCGTAACCGTGGCCCAACGCAAGCGATGGGTCCTTCAGTGATGACTCTGGGACGGGCCCACGGCCTCCCGAAGGGCGCCATGCTTGGGCAATGGACACGGACGACGTGAAGAGGAAACGAGCGCCAGGTGCAAGGCCCGCGAGCCGAACGGCGGCACTAACGTGGGGCTCGAAGGAGGCGAGTACAAGGTTGAAGTCAACTCTCCATGCGTTGTGGACGATGTGAGTCACAGACTTTTGCAGCTGCGAAGAATCAAGAAGAGTGCTTAGCAGAAGGCTCATTTAGTGTTGCACTGAGCAAGCGTACCTTGTCCAAAACGGCAGGGTCCAGTCCGAGGTCTTCACGCATGAGATCCCCACTGAGCAGCACAAGCTTCGGATCGGCGAGAAGCATCGCCGGTAACTGTGATCCCTCGAACGCTGCGCGCTGGCGGTCCGCGATGTTTATACCGCGATTATGCGCATACACGCGTGCAATATGCGGATTGACGATTAGTTCAGCTAGGATGTGGGCACCGAGATTTCCCGTGGTACCAGTGACGAGCACCACTGCGCCCTCAACTGGCTCATCGCCGATTGCGCGCGACGCCTGCGGGAGTAATGCAGTATACTTGCTGATCATGGCATTGATCTCGTGAACTGGAGATTGAGACGCAGATTTTGTGCTGGGGTCAATAAGCTGAGCAACAGCAGTAGAGAGCGAGGCGAGAGTCGGATGAGTGAAAACGAAGTTGGGCAGCACTTCCTGAGCGGCTGCATTGGCACTGGCATCTGACGAACTGCGCAGAGCACCGATGATGCGATTACGCAGAAATGTTGCGCCGAGACTGATACGACCGGCGGCTATCAGCGTATAGGTCGACAAGACATGGGATACCTACCTGTCGAAGCCCCGTTCAAACAGATCATCAGTTGGCGCAGGCGCTTTCCTGCCGCTGATGGAGGCGGCGTGTTCTGTGAGCCATGCTTGTATATCGCTTGCAGCCCAAGAACGGGGCGGGGCGATCCCATGTGAGTCCTTGCTATCCTCGACGGTTGCATATCTGCAACGATGACAGCCTCAGCGAACTGTAATTCCTGAGGTATGAGTGTACTCACAATTCTTTAATATCTGCGGCATATAGCTTCAGAGTCATTTTACGTTGGATGGTTCCCTTCGCCGCCCGAATGACTGGTCTTGCGGGGTCCGCCACTAGGATCATCTCCTTGTAAATGCGGCCGAAGCCAGGAGCCCGACTATTGGCCTCCTCGATCTGCAACCTACACAAAAAATCATTGCCAGTTTGAATAACAGAAGCACACGGAAGTAGATGCCACACATCTACCCACCAAATAGCGTTTCTGAACTCCGCGATAGAACGCTCGTTGCCAGGTTCAACCGCATACTGGGGCTTTGGCTCGACCAAGACGCCAGGCTGCAGATGACCACGACCGAACATAAGTACTCCTGAAATCATACGATGGGCCCCAATGTGCCCCTCCTGAGGAATCGGAACGATCTTCTCTCCCGATCCGAGGACGATCACGTCGTCCGTACGACCAACCCTGGACGAATTGAATGACATCAATTGATGATCCACAAAGACATAAAGAGGTATACCTACACACGCCAGAGTCCAGGCTTGCTCGGATGTGGCAGCCAGAGATCCGAGGTCGCATATCCATGTTCGCCGTTTGGGAGATTTTCCACGCTGGGCTGGTGAGTGGGACAGGTCTAGGTACGATAAAAGGAGCGGCGTGTTAGAATGAGTTAGATGTGCACTTAAAGCGCGACGGTGACCACCTACCAGTAGTTGTAGCTCGTAAGTGCCATCTTCTTGCGGAGCCCACCGAGGGTTGCACTGTGGGGGAAATTGCATCCACCCCCAGTCGTCGCGCGTCTTCTGCGACCTGGATGCAGGCTCATCTACATCCGTATCTAATAGACACGTCAAAGTACCGAACTCTGTGGCTCCGTAGACAGAGAAAAACGGTACACCCGCAGCGATAAGTTTTCGCCCATTCGCCATCGAAATAGGGCCTCCGGCGGACATCTGGAAGCCGAAGCGAAGACGGTCTTTTAGACTAAGAGAAAACAGCTCAAAAAAGGGAGACAACATACCACGGCACGCAGCGATGCCAGGAACTTAACATCTTCATCGTGCTGTGACCAGGCCTGCCAAGAAGGATTCTGATGGGAAAGATGAACATACCGCGGCAGAAGTACCGAAGCTCACCTCAACGAACGTGGGTACACTGACGATGGCAGTTGCCTGTGTCTGGCGCACCGCCTCAATAGTATTTTCCGGAGTAGGCACCACAGCCGGTGCGGGTGCACGAGGCGCAAAAATGCAAGTGGGCTCGCCAGAGGCAAGAGGGCATAGTACCTGGTGCGTGAGACCCATGGTATGAAACGGAGGGAGCGCCATGCCTCCCCATCGGAGGCTGCGAACTCGAGCCACGGAAACAGCAGGAAGGTTGACCCAATGCAGGAGAGTGATGTCTGTCTGCGGAATAGGCTTCGGGAATCCTGTGGATCCCGATGAGTGCAGATATAGGACTATGTCAGAACGAGCGGGCGGTTGTGCCGGTGCAGGATATGAACTGGGAACAGCTGCTCCAGCGGTACTCCCAAAAGCAGGAAAGATGTCAGAAAGGGTAGGAAGGGCATCGACCTGCAGCTCGTATCCTTCAGAAACAGACGCGCGAACAGCTTCACTGAGCGGGGAAAGAGATGGTTGCGATACCACACGATGACAACATGTCCTCTCGAGCATATTGGCGATAGCGGGCGCAGAGTTACGAGGGGACATCGGGAAAGGCACAAGCCCTGCGCGCATGATGCCTACCACGAGTGCATGGTAGAGCAAAGTGTCGCAAGTGACCACCACCGCAACGACTGCGCGATCCGGTCCCGCACGACCAGGACGAAACGCATGGGCGATGCGATGGGTTGCATGCGCAAATTCTAAGTAGGAGACGGAAGCAGGTTTGACAGCGGTAGGATCAGCGGAGGGGTAGAAGAAGAAGGGAAGGTTAGGGTTTTGCTCGGCATGAAAATCAAGAAAGCCAGGGAGGACAGTGATGCTACCGTCAAGAGGAGGGAGAGCGCGTCCGTTGGAGATAGACATGGTGAGTGTTGTTCGACTGTGTGAACAGCAAAGATGATGGGCTACGAAGTCCAATCAGAGTAGAGCATATATATGCAGCGTTCCCACAGCGTCTAGATTCAAAGTCCACTGTTTCGAATACCTGCCAATTCGGAGCCTGTTCGTCCGATTCAGATTGCATGAAGAACCATACAAGAACACACTGACCCTCGTCATGGACCGCTTATGCACTGACATGCTTCTGTGCTCGCCTGACGTACAATGCCGTGAAGATGCGCTTCTGCCGCAGCGGTCGCACCTTAGGATGATCCGCCACATTCCGCTCCTGGCTTTCCGAACGGACCGAGTTTCGACAACGTTCCGTAGCTTCGCATGGAACACAAGTACCACAGACATGGATGTAGCAGTAATGTCTGATTTGGTAGATAAGCCCTGGCAACCACTTGGAAGCAGGGCCTAGCTGGATACACCCTCCCGGGACGTATAACGCCCGACCATCCGGACGATCACCACTCTCCAGCGCCGGACGGGCAGGCTGCGGATGAGCGATTGATGTACGATGGGTTTGAAGTGTGTGTGAGAAGCAGGTGTGACCGCCTTACTCACATGTCCGTCGAGTCATCTAGCAAGATACTGGATTTCCATGCAACGAATGGATAATCACGAATATCAGATCAGAACGCAGATGCAGAGAGTATACCAGCGTTGTGAGACACGCACCGCGGTGGTTTTGCGTATCGTTATCAAGTCGGAGCGATCGCACAATGACTGCGAACCCAGCGAAAAAGGCTGCCTACGGCATGTAGGAGACGGAAGCACACCCGGGTCATGAGGCGATATCCATTGGTCAGTAGGTACAATCAGCGAGGTGGATTCGCGAAGACACTGAAGCACGACTTCTCCATGGCTTTCCGAGCGATTGACATACGGCATGATAAGCAGCTGCAGTCTATCAGTTCGTCACAGTACCGTGCACCTATCGTGAGCCGCCAGCCAGCCTTGCTCCTCTCAAAGCCGCCCTGCGCTACGACTTCTTCGAAGGAATGCATTCGTATTCGGAAAATTTCCAATGAATAGAGTGTATTTGCAGCGAAAATCAATCTGAGGTCCGAGCTATCACAGTCGCTGCCGCTGCAATGGCGAACATGTTCTGGCAAACGAAAGCGCAGTTCAGTACTTCAGTAACAAATCGGTCGCAAAAAAGACGAGGACCAGTTGTCTCGGCCGACAACCGGGGATCGAATCCGCCATCGGACAAAGAAGAGCCTGAGATCGGAGAACGCGTTCGTCGAAGTTGCACCCTCAAAGATGTTTGGCACAACGGTTGCAATTGGAACGGATCATCGGCGCACATGGTTGGGTCCAGCAAGCTCTCTCTCGGACGTGAGGCTGACATTGAGCGCGTCAAACTGTTTTTACAGTGCGTACCACGGAAGGAGAACAACGGAAGAACAAGTCCACGCTACACAGAAGGGTATTTTTGACAGCGGAGCGCCAGAAGGCAACGTCGGAGGAAGCTCCACACGATGGTCTACCAAGTTCACGGCCTGAGGCCTGAAGGCCTGACAGCCTAGAGCCTGAGAACACCGTAAAATTCTTGTACTTCCAGAAAGTGGAAAAACGTGGAGTCCGATGCAATGTTCTTCGCAAGAAACGAACAACGGCATCCACAGCAGTAACGGCAATCGGTAACCGGCATAACCTGTGGAACAGAATGACGTCCTCATCGCAAGAATGGTTAGGAAATCAACATCACTATACAAGAGTACGGCGTAGACAACATCGATAGAGCGAAAACATTGAAGTACAGTCCCAGGAAACCCTTCCTACGAATCCACGTCCATGTGCGTGCTCGCTCCCTCCACTGGCCCGTCCTCATCCCCAGGCTTGCCCTCCACATGATTTTCGACGGCGCCATTCGCATTCACGGAGCGCCCAACCGGGGAGGCGAACGGATGCAACAGGTCAGGCTGCGGAAGCGGTGTTGGGGTTTTCGGCGGACTCTTGGAGCCTCCCCGTGCTTGCCTCACCGCTCGCGCAGAAGGGTTAAAGTGGCCGCACTTCGGGCAGACGTATTCTGCAGCCAATGAGGATCGGAACATGGCTCAAAAGTATGTGGACACTCACGTGTGTCCTCCCACACGCTCTCCTTTACGAGGCCGTTGTGCGCGAAGCACTTATGGCATATCAAAGCATAGCGCGAAGCAGCTCCAGTCGCTGTCTCCCCGTCGTCGCCCAAAATCGCGTCCGCGAGCTTATCATACCACTGCTTGCGCGGTGGAGGCAATGGACGCTGCGGGGATGCTACAATGACCGTAAGTTAGTCAAGACAGATATGCGCATGAAGGGAGGACGTACGCGAAAGGTATTGTTGCGAATTTGGGGACGCTGGCGGTGGCATTGGGGTCTGAACATTCAAGTGCTGCTGTGGACGCTGAGGCGTAACGGGAGGCGCCTGCGAAGGTATGCGTCGCCGCATGGTTTGGGGGCTACCCGACACTCCAGATGCGGAGCCATCATCGTAACGTTCGATGAGGTTCCGTGTACTGTAGTAGTTCGTCTTCTTCTTGATCTCTTCAATCTTGTCCCGTCGCCGTTTACGCAGCGCCACCAGGGCCTTCTCTACATGAACAGATGAAGAAAAATTATTCAGTTAATTTCATACAGAGAAATAGCCGAGGGATTGACGGGGAGAGACCGCCGTTGAAAAAAAAGCTACAGGAGTCGGTGGCGACATCATTCTACACGCGGACCGTAACATGTCGACGTTGAAAACTGGTCGGTCGATATCCAAAGGTTCAACCCACTGGACCGTATACCGTACAAGAAACAATAATATGTCTCGCGTGATGTGGCAGGTGACCGGAAGACAATGACCAGTTCCTCCCGCTTGGAATAGCACGATATAACAACATGATTCATCGGAACTCACCTTCAGTATCTCCCGTACGGGTGTACCATATCTGCACAATACGGCGCACGAATAATATTCTGACAGGGAGCCGTCAGACGCGCCATCATTCACGTACAAAGCGGAACACGCGACATACACGATGGGGCCCACGAATACTGGAAACGCCTTCACAGCCTTCTCAAACTTGCTGTTCCTGTGGTGCCCGCTGAGGTTCGGCAGGAGGTCGGTGTACCACAACCACAGGCTGCCATACGCCGCCCAAAGCGCTATGGCGTATATTGAAAACAGGAGCGTCGAGCGTCGTTCCCGCAGACGGATCTCGGACAGACGTGTTTCCCGCTTCTGGATGTCGAGCACAAGTTTCTCTAGGATTTGCTCGTCGTCACCGGGTGCTCTCTGCGGCCAAGCGTAAGGGAGTGCTCATTGGCGGTCATTCAACTGTGCGGCTTACCCTCCCAAAGAAACGAGCAATAAACGACATTAGGAATATAGCAAATAGATATGCTGAGAATTTGGGGTGAAAATTAGTGCGACAACAAGATACAGGATGAGAAGGAGGATGAGAATGAGGAAGTTGTTCGACGGAGAAAGACAGCTTAGGACTCGGAAGCGCTCGCCGCGTGCGTCACCAGAAACTATCACGTGCTGCGCACACGCGTCCGTGACCTTTCGTCACTTGTGACGTGTGACAGCCACTTATCCCATTTCGAGTCAAGTAGGGGCACCTCGAACTGATTCTTTGGAGAGAAATTGTTGGAGGATTGAAACCCGAGTCACTTCTATGTACTAGATCGCAGGTGCTCCATCCTTCGGAAGTACCGACGCGACCAATATCCGTGTTCTAGTGCAGCCTGTCTTACAACTGGATGCGAAGTGATGATCTGCACACATGCTTATCTGTTGCGCATGAACAGCACCATCCCTGAAGTGGAGACTCGCAGGTTCCACTGTTCCGCATATTCTACGGAAGTTCATGCAAAAAAACTGGTATAACTTACCAGATTCGAGTTGTGGAGATTATGCTTCTGCAATACTTCTGAGGTTGGTCCTCACTCTTTGTATGCATCACTAGCTCTCTAGGATGTAACGGAGCTCCTCCCCAAATCTTTGACGAGGTTCAACATTACTATGGCATTGCCGACACGGTCCAGACGAAAAAAGCGACGCCGCCGCAAACTTCGAGGGAATTTAGCACGCTTGCTCGACGTTTCCAAGCTTAGGCGAGTTTTGTGAGACTGTCTGAATCATACAGTTCTTCACAACAAGCCTGTACGGCTTGTAACAATTGTCTTGGCGGTAAACACGTACTAGTATACTTGCGGTGCATTGTCAGACGCTGAAAATGGATTTGTATGCTTCTGTGATAGGCAGCTCATAGAAGGCATGCCTCCCAATGCTGACTGCGCCATCCTGGCAGAGTAATAATCGGAGTGCGTGTAAGCACAAGCTGCTCGTACAACCAAGGCAAAAAAATGAGACTCCATGGATGCACAGACATGGAGCGAGTAAACGTACCTCCCTGATATCCCTATCGGAGGAAAACCTAGAAGGTCAGAAGAACCAACCGTCCCAAATCGCCGTGCCATCCTTCCCATGCGATCAAGGCATTCGACGCAGAAGTCAACCAGCTGCCTTGCGTTTTTTGAGCTCCCTATACATCCTCACGGCTCTCTCTCTCTCCTCTTCTAACATCGCCTTCTGCGCCATCGATAGCACGCCCTGCCTCAAGGTCTTCCCCTCCGCAGCCTTCCTTCCTGCTTCCTTCGCCGCAGCCACTTTCTCTGCGCCGCGTGGAAGCTTCTTAATATCTGGTGGCGCTTGGACAATGTCGTTGAGCCGCCGAGGAGCAGAGCTAGAGAGACTTTGGAAATCTTTTGGTCGCTGGTCGCGCTCTGCTGTCTGCTTCTCCTTGCCGCTAGGCACTGTCGTGGACTCCTTGCCGTCATCTTGCTCCTTCTTCGGATGAGATTTCGTTTCTGAAGGCGTTGAAGAAGACTTCTCCGCTTTCGCCACTTGCTCTTCTTTCCTCAGCTTCTTCACGCGAGCCGAGGATGCCTTCGCTGCATCGCGCATCGCTGGACGCATCGAGTCTTCCACTCGCCTGTGCATATTAGTCAGAACGTATACTAGACACCCATGCGACCACTCACCTATTAAATTGTGCGATAGATTCCCCAGGCTGTATCCTGATGTCCATTTTTCTATCCTGCTCTTCATGTTCTGCCCCGTTTTTCCGCTTCTTCCGTGCAGTACCCTCCCTGACGTCTTCCTCCTCTCCGATCTTTCTTTTCCGGTTCTTCTCCGCCCACTCTTTCTGCACTTTTGTAGCATTTAGCACGCGCGCAATGCTCTTTGGAATGGCTTCATTGTTGATGGAGTGCTTGGCTCCTGGAGGAAGATCTGAGCCTCTACGGCTGCTGTTAATTGGCGTTCATCGTACCCAAATAAATTACTTACGATTTTGAACGATTCTGCTCTCGAGCAGTGTGCTTAGCACGTTTATGAGGCATGACGGACTTCGGCCGACGTGGCAGCAGCGGGAAAAAAATAGAAGCACTAAAGAGGCAGGTCGCCTGCCTGATGGAGTAATAAGTACGAGATAGATTGTCTCACCCGGACGCTCGTGCTAATATTTCTGAGCTCCGCCCTGCAGGGTGCCAAAAAATCAATGTGTGGAAGGTCAAAAAGAACAGCGCGTCTGGCCAGTGCGTTTCGGTACAGCGCATATAGTTATTGCTCTCTTCATAACACGGAGGAAATCCTATATTGAACCGTCGAAATGCAGTACGTTACAGGTGGCGGGAGCCTGATCAATTTGATTCTCTACACAGGAATTACAGTGTACATATTACCGTCTGCGATACAAGTGTTGGCACAATCGTTTTGAAAGTCTACTCTAATAGCGAGTAAACTTCTCTGCGCACAGTCTCAGTTTTGCCCTCGGCCTCGGTGTTCGTATATATAGGGAGAAATATCGTAGCCGCTAGACATCGACGATACAGGTGACGACTGACATGACTCCAGTGTCAGGTGCCGCCTGCCACTCGTACCCTCAACGAATACCAGTCGTAACTCCTCCGCAAGGGATATTTAAATACCAGGGCTTTTTGCGACGGGTTCTCCATTCTTGCGTACAGTAGGCCACTTAATAGGCAATGGCATCGCTTAAGGTAAGTGTCAGAGGAAGAATCCTGCTCTGTCGTAATTATATCATGCAAAAGGATTTCTGAAGCCAGCTGATCTCCCAGCCTACTTTATTGAGTTTCTTTGAAACCCATTCTACGCGCGTACTCCTCCTCTTCCTGCTGTGTGAGCTGATCCGTGCCCGTCCAGTTCGCTGAACTGGTTCGCGCCCTGAACCGGCTCTGCCTCGTCCTGAATATCTCCTCCATCCTCAGCGGTCCAATCTTGCCGAAGATGTCGTCAGGATTCAGGGTGCTCTGCTGTTGCAGCGCATGCCTGAGCTCTGGCGACTGTGCCCACTCTGGCGGGTCGAACGTCCGCGGCCGATTTTCGTCCTCCGAGTCAGAGTATTCGCTATGAATCTCTGGCAGCTCGATGTCATTGCTCGACAAGGGCGGTGGTTGAGCGGCCTGCATCTGGGTCTTCGCCCGATTCGCCATCTGGCTTTGCACGACCTGAGAGGGCTGCTGGCCGCCGAGGTCATCGTCCTTTTGCGTTGCCGGTGCTTTGCCTTTCGCGGAAGCCTTCAGGTTGCTGGAGGATCCGGCAGTCTTAAGGTTCTTGGGTGGTTTCGCTGTGGACGAGGATGCAGCCGCTGACGAGTCCTGTGTGTGGGGGGGATGTTGCTTCAATGCTGACTTCATTGTCTTAGTGGAAGTTCCCGGAGCTGCCGCAGACGGAAACTTCCCTGTGCGTACGGGCAGGGCGTCCTTCCTCTCTTTAGATGGAGGCTTCTTCGAATCTGGTTTCTTCTCGGTATCACCGAGTTTACGCTTCTTGGTGTTATCCTCTTCACCCTGGTAATACGCTCAGAAGGAGAAGACAATGGACCAGTGGAGGATACCTACTTTCTTCATTGTACTTCTCAAGGGTCTCTTGTCGGTATGTTCTTCGCGCTCCCTCTTGCGCCTTTCGGTTTCCACCTTGAACTTGCGATCCTCCTCAATAGCACGCGCCTTGTCTTCTTCTGCCTTTCTTTGTTGCGCGAGTTGCCGGCGATTCTCCATCTCTTTCAACCTCGCTGTCTTCTTCTCGTTCTCTTCTTGTTGCTATACAGAAGGTCAGCGAAACCTAGTGAACCATTGGGGGAACGGGTTCGCACCTTCTTCGCAGCAACAGCAGCCAACTGCAAGCTCTTGACGGGTTCAGGCTTGGGTTTCTTGCTGCCGCCCAGCATGCTGCTCACGAACTTGCTCGCGTTGCCGAAGAAGCCCATCTGAGACTGCGACGATGATGCTGATGTGCTCGATTGTTGGCTCTGGCTCCGCGCCCTCAGTGGGTCATGCTTAGGCTACGAGACGGACAAAAGATGTCAGGTCCACGCGAGGCTAGAGAAAACAGACCGCTCTCTACCTTAACGAGACCAACTGTGGACTTTCCGGCGAGGATGATATCTTCGAGGTCAGTCTCTGGCTCCGGGACGTCCATCTCGTCAATCTCCATCGCCATGTCGGCCAACTCCTCGGCCTCAGCATTATATCCATCATCATCCACCTCGGGAACCGTCTGCGCTGGCTCTGGTTCATGTTCAGAAAACGCCTCTTGCACTTGCTCCAGGGCACGTGTGAGGTTCTGAGTCTGTAGCGGGCCAGTGTCGCCGCCCTTCTGGCTGGTGCTTCGGCTCGGGATCGTACTCCACGTGTCGTCCTTGTCGGCAGACGCGAAGCCGAACGGCGTCCACATCTGATTCGATGTGAACTTCTCGTCGACGTGCCAGCTATCATCGTCGTCGAGCTCGTCCGTCTGGGTAGCCGCTTTCTGCTGCGACTGCGAGCGGTACTCCTCGTAGTCCGTGTCCTGCGTGGACGTCATCCATGCGGGTACGCTGTCCTCCTTGTCGAATATCACATCGGAGAATATGCTCGCCTTGCTGGACTGAGCAGAGAGGGCATGCGGAGCAGAGAATGTGGGAGGCACGCCAAGCGAAGCCGCTGGAAGACTGAACAGGCTTGACGAAGGCAGCTTGAACAAGAAGTCCTTGCTGGGCCCTGTCGCAGCAGCAGGCTTATTGTGCGACACAGCAGTGGGAAGGGCGAAGACCGGGTGTGGCACCGGCTTGCTGAAGACTGGTGGAGGCGGTGCGGTGAATATCGGTTTCTGCGGAGGAGGCGAGTTGGGAGGTGTTGTCGACATACTGCTGTCCGCGACATTGTTCACAGTAGATGGTTGAGGAACAAGCTGTGCGGCTGGTGCAAGGTGCTGCTTCCGGACCTCGTCATCAGCAGAGCTGACAAGGTCAGATATACTCAACCTTTTATCGGACTCCTTCGGTGCGGTCGCAGATGGAGGTGCTGAAGAAATGACCTTTGGTACTGAGGGTTCTTCAACGGGTACCACAGCCATCCTTGACTCCTCTGTCATGATTATTGAGTCTTCGCCTTCAATCTTGTGCCTCTGAGCCACCTTTGCCTCTGCCGCGGCTCTTGCCTCCGCGAGCGCAGCAGCAGCGTTCTCCCCGAGAGATTTACCCGCGTTCTTCCCAGCGCGTGCACCGAAGCCCTCCACCGTGCGCTTGAAGCGGTCCAGCACGCCCTCCTCTTCAGCAGACCGGAGAGGCACAGTGATATCCTCAGTCGACTGAGCAGCATGCAGGGTGCGCGTGGTGCGCGTAGGAGAGGGCGGAGCTCGGAGAGGAGGGGTTTCCCTTTCACCCTTCGCAGCGATCAAGGATGGCTTCTCGACCGCGTTGTGCTCAGCCGATTCGTTGCCCTTGCCCTTTTGAATCGACGTATCCTCGATAGGCTCGGCAAGCTTAAGGACCTTGGGCAAGCGCTCGCCGTCCTCTGAACTTTTGACATTCAAATTGGACGCAAGCGACGGTATCGACGGGCCAAGCATCTCCACGCTCTTCCGCTTGGTCCCGGTCATCATCGTCGATGTACCAGCCCCGAGTGTACTGACCCTCTTGCTCGTGACCTCCAACGCTTTTGCCTCGCGGGCTTTGACCAGCCACGAGCTCCGCTTCCCGACCACAACGCCGGTGGAGGGCGCGGGAGTTGTGCCTGGTCCTGGGCCCATCGAGGGCTCGCGCGTTATGCCTCTAGAATTGCGCAGTGGAGAGGGCGCTGAGAGTCCTGTGAACTGGGACAGGCTCGGCTTGCGGTTGAGCACTTGGCCTGAGGTTTGCGCATCGTCGCGGATGGGTACAACGAGGTCGCCTGATTGGGTAGGGTCTGATGTTGCATCCTCGGTGGACGCGGACGGTACAATGGGAAGCGGGGTGGCCGACGCGTGTGCATCATCTTGAACATCCCCCCGGGGCATCGGCGGCAATGGCGCTGTGGAGTACTCGATGACTGCACTGAGTACGCGAGGTGAATCAAGGGGAATCGAATGGAAGGTCTGTGCAGAAGTTGATGCGAAGTCATCGTCCGGAGTGTGGTCGGCGATCTCAGTCGGGAGTTGCACTTGAATTTCGTTTGTGACCATATCATCGACAGGTTGTGGTTTTTCCTGCAGCCCGGACATGGCTGCTACAGGTGGTGACACATCTATCACCTCCTGTGAGGGGGCAGGCAAAGAGAGGCGGCTGCGTTGCTCGTCGTCCTCCGCGATGACAGACAACTCTTTAGGAACTATAGAAGGTTCCATGTAGTCGTCGACCACAAAGGCGTCCACTTGGGGCTCCGAAGCATGAAGCGGAGGCGATGATACATTCACCTGAGGAGCCATTACATGATCTTCACGTTCCATTTCAGCAGTCTCTGAGGAGTGACTGTTGGTGATCGCGAGGACTTTCTGTACCTTCCCTTTCAGTGGCTCAGTGGCATCCATCGCGTTAGATATCTCGCGCGACTGGTGATGCACAGACTCTTTCGAGGTAGCCATAGACGAAATAGCATCATTTTGCTCCTTCGCCTGCAACAGCGTCCTGTGAAAGCTGTTGACTGGAGCACGGTTTTCCTGTGACGCGTCATCCTCCTACAACTAGTCAGACAGCACAGCTAGAGCATCGCGAGTATATAACGCACCTCTAGGGACACAGAGAAAACCGCGTTCGCCTTCATTGCTGCCGCCGTGGCCGCTCTTGTCCTCGGTGCATCCTTCTTACGGCCTGGGGTCTTGAGCAGTTCCGTGACGGACCTGACGCGCACCAAGTTGATATATGTATGCGCCTTAATCATACGAAGTGCTCACTCGGTCTTTGGCCCGGACAACACGTTTTCAAGATAGCTGTCCAGAAAGTCAAATCCGTTTTGAATTTGCTCCTCCAGAAATTGTCGACCTGGATCCCTGGCCATATTGAAGCGAATCATATTGCACCACGCTATCACACCTGCAGCTCCTGGATCAGAGTTGTCCATAACCATGTTGCCAACGCCGAGCTCAGTCAAGGGACAATGTGGTGTGGACGCGGAGAAACGGTATTCGCCGGCGGCGACGCAAGCAATTGTCAACGCGCCTTCACGTGACCGAGAAGGTGAGTAGATCAACGACGTGCGAGACCGAGTCCACCATGCATGACTTCAACTCAAGCGACACTTCTCCCAATTTTCATTCGCCTTGTACGCTGAGCTACCTACGCGTGGACACGTGTGAATTCTTGTTATTACCAGCACAACGACGAGATGCACCGTCTTGGAGGAGCAGGAATTGCCGCTTTCGAGAGGCAGCAACAATCGCAACGGTCCTTCGCCGAGCTTTCCAACGCAATCTCTCAAGCACAAGTTGACTTACTCCATGCTCAGCTCGCACAGTTTCGCAGTGCGCTAGCGCACTACGCCGCCTCTCACCGCGATAGCATACGGCGCGACCCGTCCTTCCGGCATGCCTTCCAGCGCATGTGCACCACCATCGGTGTCGACCCATTAGCGGGCCCGCGCCGCGGCGGCTGGTGGGCAGAGATGCTCGGGCTCGGAGACTGGCAGTACGAGCTCGGCGTGCAGATTGTCGACATCTGTGTCAGCACTCGCGAGCGGAACGGCGGGCTCATCGAGATGGGCGAGCTGGTGCGCTTAGTGAGCAAGCTTCGAGGAGTCGCTGGGGGCGTCATCACGGAGGACGATGTCATCCGGAGTATCAAGACACTCAAACCTCTAGGCGCCGGATATGAGGTCTTGGATGTGGGTGACGGGAAGAAGATGGTACGGAGCGTCGTGAAGGAGCTCGACGCGGATCAAGCAGTCGTTCTAGCGATTGCGCAGGAGGAAGGCGGGCGTGTATCGGAAGGAATGCTGATCACACGGAGGGGATGGACTTATGACCGTGCAAGTGCCGCCTTGCAGAACATGCTCCTCCGCGATGGCCTGTGTTGGTTGGACGAACAAGACGAGGCCGGCGGGGTGGCTTATTGGATACCGTCCGCAATGCACTGGGACGAATGAGATGATGTATCAGGTGTGCCTTTCCGCCTCGTCGTATCCCGCTAATCACTCATGCTTTGCATGCAGATCTTGTGCGATGTATTATTACCTACTCCTGGCGCTGTATCCTTATCTGTTCTCGCTAGACCGCTCCAAAGGTAAATTTACGGCTATCTCCTGAACGTCGTGTGTTAACGAGCGAAAGCTCGCAGATCGTTATCATATACCACCACTGTCTTGCAGATTCTGTAAGTGATTTTGGAATACTATTTCAGCGTCGGATCGGAGCTCCTCATGATCTATTTGTCGTGAAAGACGCACGTCTTGTGTAGTAAGTCTTCTTCACCAGCGCCGTAGCATGATAAACGTCATGCAGAGCACGAGGACCATCTTCTTGCGCAAGACTAATCATTCACGCAGTGTAGGACCCACTGATCTGCAATGTAATATTAATCCGTTGTGCTATGTGATCCGACGCGTGAACTCCATGCCTGAGGCGGATGGGTCACTTGCAGGATATGACAGGTCCACATACCGCAAAAAAAGATCGTCTTGCATTCGCGGTCTAATATACAACAAGCAACGGCGTATAATGGACTGACAAGGTAGCAGCGCCACTTCGAATGATGAGATTGTGCTCCTTGGCTACACCTACTACCTAGGACAAACACCACCTCGCTCGCGCAGCCAATATCATCGTTTGCCCTGAGCAGCGGCCTCTGCACAACCAAACACGCATCAAAAACGCGAAGACGAACGAATATTAACCAAACCACACATACCTCTTCTTGTAGCGTCCTCTAGCAATTGCGTGTCGACGTGCTCAGCGGGCAGTTGCACATACCGCACGACGGAGCCACGGATAAAACAGTTTTTCACTGCCATCTATAATAAGCCACACACGTATGAGTTGTCTACAGTCTGCATGCAACTCAACAAGGACACACCATGTGTGGATGCCGCGCTTCATCCAGTACCTTGATTGAATCCAGGCGAATATTCAGAAATCTTTACAAGCCAACCTGATCATCAGCACCCACAAGCTATAGTGCCCCTCACGCCTCCTCGCGCTGGAGTGAAAGCGACTCACTGGTCAACCGACTTGAGCACCCCCGTGATCGACAAGTCATTCTTCAACTCAACCGTGACGCGCTGGTCCGTCAGCGTCTTGAACACGGAGAAGATAAGCTACGAAGTACATCATGTTGACGTCAGCAAATCCGAGGTACGTGTCCCAAGAGCGGCTTACCATGGTGAGGACTGGAAAGGAGGAAGGTTTTGGTCCGCGGATATGTTTCTGGGACACTTAGCGCTCGTTAAGCGCCCGTCTATCGCCAATTTGCTGGCGCACGACGTTAATACAGTGTGATAATCATTGCAATTTCATCTATTGGGCTCATTCCTCCCTCCTTAAAATCACGAATAAACCATGTCTGTTACTGGTTTACTCGCTGAACATTGCTGCCGGGTCAGATTAAGTATAGCTCCGTCGAAAAAGGGAGGCAATCACAGCCGGCCTGGTCGCAAAAGCGCTGATTGGGCATGCATATCGGCACACTATACACTTCACCAAATATCTTTGCAAAGAGTGCCACAATCCAGTTTACCGTATACGAATGCTCCGCTAATTTCGCCCAGACGCAATATTTCTAGGATCGGGCTCAGAAAATGAAAAATCCTCCAGAATGTCGAGAATGATCAAAAGTGGCAGCGCTCGGTATTACTGGTGACTCCTACGTTTTCCCAATTCTTGCTCAAATCACTGCAAAAAAAATGCCAACGCAACTTCAGCATTGGAAGATGGGTTTTCAAAAGATTCCGAGAGTGATCAAGACATTGTGGAAACACCCGAAGCAGAACTCAAATAGTTGCATTGATTGTATACACGGTCATCATACCGTAAGTACGCATCATGGCATGTAAGCACGAGGTGAGCCCGAGTCATATTATACAGATATCTGTGTCCACACAAGCCGCGCAACGTGAGCAAATGGCGACCGATCGCCTCAGATGGGACGTCGGTTCTAGGACGATTCAACGAATGCATTGCCAACGACTGTACTACAACCTTGTGGGATCGACGTAAGAGATACACGTATTTGTATGTTGTATGGAGCTAATCAGTTTGCCAGAACAGAGATGTAAGAGACAATAAATAGGCAAGGACTACAGAGATCGTCTATCGGGGAAACGTGGGGGTCAAGGTGGGGCTGATCACAAAGAAAGAGCACACAGAAGGAGCACAGCCATCGGTTTTACAAGCCGAGAACGACTACACACGCACGCGTACACGTTGATCTTACTATCAAGACATATCTATCATACTGACGTGCGGAGGAAATTCAGTGAACTCGCCAGAAAGAAAAAAATACGGTGCACTCACCGCTACTCCGCCTTCCGTTTTCTCCAACGTATCCTCCGCCAGGGCCACAGCCAGAATTTACCGCCGAACAGCGCCCACCGGCAGTCTTGGCTGCAAATGAGCACCTCCGATCGTATGCCTTCGCTGCAACCGCTTACCCTGGCTGCTCCCACTGGAGTCTACTGACCCCGCCAGCTTGGGAATGTTAAAGATCCGCTGGAAGAACGGCTTGCGCGGTCCACCGTTGCCGGAACCGGAGTACTTCGACTGCGGGGAGTGCGCGGACTTCGTTGTCGATGTGGCCGTGTAAATGGATGCAGAATTAGGTACCTGCGCAGACGTGGTAATAAGTGACAGGAAACAGAAAAATGTAGCAGAAAGTTTGAAATAGTACTCACAATGAGTTTGACTTTTTGACCTGGTGTAGGAAGAATATAGTACGTGCTTCCAGATGCACGGCTATCGCCATCGCTTCCACTCAGAGGAGAGGGTGAGCGCGATCGGGATGACGCTGAGCGGTCAACCTCAAGGAAGTCATGGACAGGAGTACGTCCCCGACCGTTGCTCGGAGCCCTGCCGACACTGCGGCTTCGCTCAACAGGCTCCTCGTAAATGACTGGAGTTTCCCCTTGCTGGAATGACCGAGGACCCGAGCCGGAACGCACGGAATGGTGCGAATGCAGCGGCACCGGGGCAGACTGGCTGAACTTTATCGAGGGAGGTCCTCTGCGCTGATTGTGGTGAGTCGCCGAAGGGGAATACACAATTGCAGGAGGCGTATAGCGCGACTTGCTATGCTTCGACGACGGTGCGTATACGATCGCAGGAGGAGAATAAGTGTACGGCAATTGGGACTGTGCGCCTCCGGAGAATCGCGGATCGACAAATCGAGTGCGATCATGTCCTTGTGGAAGCGGCTGCGATTGAGAGTGGGTAATCGGTGGGGAGTGGGTTCTGCCCTGGGAAAATTGTGCAGGGTCAAACGCGTGCCTCGGTGACGGCGCAACAATATGCTGCTGAGACGGAGCTCTAGGTACGAAACTTGGATTCCGCGGCATCATCGGTATACCGTCGGAAGACAACAATGGAGGCGGGGGAGCAAATGCAGATGGAGAGCGTGCATGAGCGCGAGAATCATGAGAATGGTGAGAATGATGAGAGTATTGAAATTGCTGAGAGTGGTGAGAGTGCTGTGACGGCACGTTGACAGGGACCTGCACCTGTGGCGTCTCGTCGGAGTCTCGAGACGGCAGCACCACTATGCTCTCTGGAGAGCGAGGGGGGGCTGGGTACTCGTGAGGCGGAGGCACTGGGATTGGAATAGCGGTATGGTGCGACGTGGCGTATGACAGCGTTTGGGCATAGCGCGGCTGATCATGATTGTTCGGTGACGTCTGGAGATGAGATCCAGACTTGGACCGTCGATGTGTCGAAGGTAGGGCACCAGGTCCGTCTACATTTCTCGGTCGTGGGAGAGGACGGTCAGAGAAGTTGTCCAAATACGAGATGGGTACGTCTGGCCTGCCATCAGTATACCGCAACATCATACGCGGTGGTATGGAGTGGCTACTGCCTTCGTCGTCCGAATCGCTTGGGCCGTAGCTTGGCGCGTCGGGGTCACTCAGAAGGGATGGGGGATATGACGGCGACACATACGCAGTCTCTGACCCACCGCTTCGTGAATGTACACCGACCCATTGCGCCGTACGCTCGCGCCATGTCAGGTACTCGCGAACAGCCTCTGAATTAGATGTGTATTCAGTCATGGTAAAGACCTGAACACAAAGTAATCCTGGAATTTTTCCAAGTAAGCTTGGGCGAGAGCAAGGAGAGAGAAGATAGATTCCTCAGCGGATAAGAAAACTTATAGGGCAATCACAGTGTTGGCCATGATCAGGGTTGAATGGCCGGCATCCGTCTGCGAAAGATTTTGGAGAGGGGATTCCTGGAGAAATCACGATGGGGGAGACGCGGGCAACTGTCATTGTACATAAACTAGATAACATGATGTGGATCAGGCCTGGGATCCTGGTCGCTTTCTATCTTCCAGATTACTACAGCAGGAACGTGTTGAAGGTGAGGCAGCGAACTCTGTCAGAGACTGGGTGACCATCTCCCGGGCCGCGTGCCACCCACGCGGCACTCGAAGGTTCTACTCCGACAACATATCTACACCTACTAATTCGACTCCGCCTGAACACCACTATCTTTTTCATACCGGAGCGCGGGCCAAAATAACATTAGCACGGCAAACATTTAAAATTTTCAGATGAAGATGCACAGGGTTCTTCTTAGTTCTAAAGCCCGGAATTCGGGTAAATCACAGTGACGGTCTTGCGACAAATAACTTGTTCCAAGACTTCTGCAGAATGCCGCCTTCAGCTGCATGGGATCCCTGCAACACAATTGGCCATTCTGACTCCTTCTCCGAACACACTTAACCATTCGGGACCAGCTACTGACACCAGACGCTTCCAAAAGACCCTTCTCGACTTTCGGTTCCTGTTGGCAATCGGAGTTCTCACCTTGACTATCTCATGACCCTCTATTCGTCATTTTGTACCTTTCGCTCGTCCTAGAGCACTATTGAGGCGGTGTGAACTGTGAGGACCAAGTTTTTAGTCCAGCTCGCCCTGCTCTGTGCTTACCATCGAACTCGGGTGTCCACTAGATCGTGCCCGACGTCCCCGCCAAATGCGCCAGACGCCGTGGCGTCTGCGGCGTTCCGATATCATGGACGAAGCAGCCAGACTTCGGCCAAACCTGTGCTATGATTGGAGACGGTGGGAGCGTCCATGCCGAAATGAACAGCGTCTGACGATATTGATGTCGTTACACGTTTGGCAGCTGCTAGAGCAATAGTACATACGTGGTCTGCCTCATGGACCGACTCTCGCTCATGCCCTGACATCGTTGCAGCACCTGCTCTGCTTTGTGATGGCTCTATGAAGCTCGTCAATGACTAGGGCTCGACGCCAGTTCGACATGATTCTCACCTATGCGGACATGTGACTGGCGTCAAAAGATAGATTTTGACTTCACAGTCCTATTCTACCGTCCTCGACTTTTGTTCGCCGTGATAGCACAGCGAAGTTACCGTCCTTTGGTAACTAGATACCCGGTGAGTGTAAATGGCCTCCACCCAATGTATCGGACAGGCAGTCATCTCGGAATTGAACGCAGTCTTCGCAACACGCGGCGGTGTAATATGCAATCCAGAACACGCGATTTCCCATTTCACTCACGCTGCAACAGCTCGGGAGCTACAGTTGTGTACCACCATCCGCCATCAGGTGATCTGGTGGAGGCATACATCGCACTTCGTTGTATCAGGGTTTCTTGGCATACAGCTTAAAGTTCCATATAACACGGCTTCACATCGAATGCCTTTGGCAGTCTTTGACACCCCAATTTCGTGGACAAATTCCTCAGCCGAAGCCATCCCGGATGAATCACGCGCAGCCATAAGTTTGACAGCGGCTTCGTGTACTGCGTCTGCTGCGCTCGTCATATCCGCTGTCCCTGCACCATCTCGAACACGGCAAATGTAATCTCGATTTTCGGCTGGTACCTCCCGTCGTCGTCGTCGTCGTCGTCGTGTCGATGTAGTTTCGTTCAAGCTGACCTGCAGAGTGCTGAAGTCCGGTTTTCAGCCATAGATGTTGTTCCTAGGTCACTGGGACTATATTTCCAACTCTTCTACAACGCGACTCGGGTCCTTAGCTCTAGGTCTGCTGTGGTCGCATGCAAACTCATGACTCATTCATCCGGCTGGCGCGGCAAGTTGAATTCGCAGATTCCAGGCTTTCAGAGGCAGCTGCAGGAGCCGCCGCGTCATATTGATCGGACTCAGGCGCAGGTGCGCAGGATTTTACTGAGCGCTGATCATGAGTCAGACTCTGACAGAAGTCGCCTTTGATTAGATGAAAAGCTTGGGAGAGGGAAACCTGGCGTATCACAGCGTGTGCGTTCATATTACTATCGATTGGAGTGCGATGGAGATTCTATACTCACTCACTTGTATCGCCAAATCGACAGAATTTTTTGTTGCCCTTGCCCAACGAAGTACCCTGCCTTCTTGCCGCCGCACTGCCATCGTTCGCTGCTGAATGAATGCCAATTGCAATTACTACGAGCCTGTGGGTGAGCTTTGATTGCTTTGCGCGCTCGTCCCGTACGACTCCGCAGGCGTGAAGCTCCGCATTTCATGGGCCTCGTCGGTTGAGATTCTCGGGTTCAAGAAAACCCGATACGTTTCGAGTGACAGAAGCTAGTCGCTGAGCAGGAACTTCCGTCTGCGATGACTCCAGACAGTGTTGGATGAACTCGGAGATCTGAGAGGTCGAGCCGAGGCGCGTCCGCTGATTCTCTGTGGAGGAACTGAGTTCCAACCACGGCGGCTGCGCCTTGGCCCGCCTGAGTGCCGACCACCGCATTACGTTCGACAAGATCAGAGATGGTGTTACCCCGACAAGTTCGACGGAACAGGGCAAGGCAACTATCCTCGCTCATAGATGCTTCCGCGAAGGGCTTCACCAATGGAACCGGGAATATGGCTCGGTCGTGGCCTTAAACTCCACCCTCTCCGGCATATCTTTTACGCGTCGTCTGAGGACCACAGGTGCACCAAGCTCCGGTCGATATCCAGTCGACGTGCTGCTTGCTATTCCAGACGGTCGGAATGACGTTATCGCGGTGTCACCGACCTCTATCTGAGCTTCACTCTCAACCACTGCATACGAACCACAGCCATTCCAAACGATGTCAGACTTGGCAACGGCGCGGGCGTACTCGACTGACTCGGCGGGGATGCACCTTTCGCACATGCTCCCTCTCAAGCTCCGCGCCATTGCCGAGGCAGGTTTCACGCAGACTGAGCTTGGCTTGCCGGATATCCAGGCGTACGCCGAGCAACTATTTCCGGGGTACCAGAATTCGGATAATAGAGGAAGGCGCGATATCGAGAAGTTATGCGAGGCTGCGACGAAGATCGGCGCGCAGTGTGAGAAACTTTGTTCGTTCTTGGTTCGCCAGGTTCGAGAGGTATGAAGATGTCGGGAAGCGCGCTCAAGAATTCAAAGAGCGGCGGCTTAGTTCGAGGTCTTGAAGATAACTTCATAACATCAGTGGGCGAAAAGGTACCTCACGCTATTGTAGATCTTGGCTTGCCAGACGCTCCAAGTCGGCTCGTCAGCCAGTAGCGCAGACTACGAAGTCATCGCTCGCGATCTGCGTCAACTCGCAGACGAAGCCGCTGCACGGGAACCGCCTATCCTTATGTATGCTACTGTCATCTGGGGCAGAACCGTCAGCTCATGGACTCTCCAGCGTATATGAGATGTGGACGTAGGGAGCTCACGTGTAGGCTTCTCCTCCTCTCAAGCTATCATCCACTGAGAAGTCCCCAGGAACACCTCGGAGCACACCTCGGAAGTCTGCCAGCGCGTAACAGACCGAACTTCGGGTTCTGCATGCGCGATGTCGGATCTGCGCAGGCGAGTGCTGGATAGAGTGTCAGCGTGCTCAGAAGAAGGATTGACGAAAGTGCTCACCGCAAATCTGGAAAGTATCGAGGGCCTCCTCTCCAAGCTCACTGGCCATGCAGCGGAGCTCACGTTCCCCTCCCTCAAGGCCCTGTCATCGAATATCCCGTCTGGCAAGATCTTCTATTTCCAGGTATCCGATGGCTCACGCACGCACGTGCAGGATCTGGTGAAGAGCGCAAAGGAACAGGGTATCTTTCCGCTCCACGCGTGGTCGAACGCCTGGCACCCCGTGCCATCATGGACGAGGTTGAGGGCGTAGCGAATGAGTAGTATTATCACGGGTATCTGCCAGTCGTGGATGTGTGCGAGGCAGTGCCGAAGACAGGGTGGAGGGGCCCATGGTCGTATGAGGTACGTGGGTCGTGCGTGGTGAGCACATGGGATTCATGGCCGACGAGAAGGATATGTCGCGCGATGATCCTGGGGCGAATCGTCGCGGAGCTGAAGGAGAGAGGGTTCTAGGAGAATGCTTGATCGCGCAGACAGGACGAACGCTGATATGTAGCGTAATGACTCGAAGGTACACGATAGCAAACCTATGTGTCCGGACTTTGAGCGCGGACGGTCCCGGTAAAATATGCTTCGACAGCGACGCCCAGCTTCTTTCCGTGCATAGGTTATCGGACTGAGCTGGCGACCGACGCATGGGAAGAGGCTAAACGAAGCGTGAACCGCAAACAAGACCATATCTTGCTCGTAGTATAGATAGATGTCCAAATCAAGATACCAAGTCCGCACCTGTGCTGAACGCCCAGACGATGTTGCTCATATATGCCACCTGCAGGGAAAACTGGTCTCAGAATGCTAGTGTCAATTTCCGCTCTACGACCAACGCTGATAGTAAGATATGATCGAAATGCCGATGCCCGTCTGGAAAAACAGTCAAAGTCGCATCTGGCAGAGGCGGAGACGCGTCGAGGGGTGGGGGAACAAACGAGGCGAGTTGCTGCGATGAGGAATCGGAGCACTGCAAGATGCGAACAAGTGTGTAGGCAACAATGAACGATAACACGTGGAACGCACGATGCACATGGGAGATCCGTCGTCGAGGGTAGTGCGGCAATCCCAGTGAAGTTCGACTGTCTCTAATTTCCACTTGAATTTTCTCTACGATAAAGTCCCATGAGGTGCATAGAATGCGACCCGATAACGTATGACTTACAGTCGAGCGAGGATCGTCCAGTAATACATTCTTCAGACGCGTCGAGTAGCTGCCGATCGTGACAGTGCCGCGATTGTGCATGACGCCTAGTCTGCGAGTGTGCCAAAGCACAGGGAACGTTAATCATGGAATACGTAAGGCAACGGATCACAACCGAGAACTTCATTATTGTAAGGAAGTCATGCGAGAGACTCGCATTCATTTTTCTGGACGTTTCATGTTGCAACACTTTCAGGAGATTTAGACGGCACTCACTCAAATTGACCGACTAGTTCGCCCTCCGCATCTGCACCCCGACGCAAAGTCGTGATGTAGGACAGCGGTGCGAACGGATTCAAGTTGAGCACGACAGAGATGAAGTAGATCGGCCCACGTCCAGGGTCAACGTCGCGCGGAGGCAGCAGGAACATGCTCTTTGAATTCCATGAAACAAAGCTGTATATGAGAGGTTGGCTCGGGCGCTCTATGTGCAGGTATCTGCGACCAACGAAGGGCGGTACCAAGTACCTTTAATAACACTCAAGCCCACCGGTGTTGTGCTCTCACCTTGGAGGCCGCGATGATCTTCCAGGGCCAGATGCCTCGCTTCTGTAACTGCACCGCAAGTTATTCAGCTTTGCGAAACTGCCGCATCCACATGTCCTCACTCTGGAAGAATTTCTGTAGAAGCAGGATTGTTGTCATCACTGAATGGATCTGTCCAACGACCGTCAGCCGCCGGCCATCCTCGAGACTGCATTTCGCAAAGCGCACCAGAAATTGCATCAATAATCATGGTGGTGAGGACAAAGAAACGCGCATTCTTTCCGCTGGCCCGCAGTCATGAAAGTTCGGAATGAAGCGCTGAACCTGGCAACCAACCATCCAATGCTTAGAAACCCACAATAAAACAAAGATTGCTTCTTTCTGGAGAGGGAATATGAATTGACAAAGACACATAAATACACTCACGCTCCACTTTGCCCTCACATCACAACCTAGTTCCCTTTCACATTCGTTACTCTCTGTGGTCTTACTGGGGTCAAGCTGCGGCTATGCCTATCGTGTTCCAAACGCCAATCTCAATCGACACCGCCCACGCCTTCGCCGCTTTCTTCACGTTCTCTTATGTTGGCTCTCTTTACGTATCCAAGAACGCGCGCCTTTCGTTCAAGAAAAAGACGGTCCCTAAACTCAAGGATGGCGAGCAACGTGCAAAAGAGCGTGACGAGCGCTGGCGGGACGACCCAGAGGTGATTCGTGCAAGACTGGTGGCCGTCGGCACAAGCACTGTCTTGAGCTGTGGCGCCGTGTTCTTGCTCATTTGGGAGAACGTCGGATCAGGCCCTGGGGTGCGCCTTATTCTCTTATGTTGTCAGATAGGTGGTGGAAGGATATATGGCTGCGCGATAAGGCATGCGAAGCGTGTAGGCTGCGTGAGCACCTTGCGAGTCTACTGTCCGACTGAGGACGTGTTCAAGTGCGCTATTCTATCTGGGATTTCCGCCGAATGTTACAGATTGGTCCCAGACTCGAATGATCTTGCGAACGCGGCGATATCCTGAAGGATCCTCACCGTGAGTTGAGGAATCTGCTGCGTTCGCTCAGGGCGACGATATTGCTCTGCTACTGATTGCAAACGCAGAAAATGGACCGCGCTCTACGGACAGTCCAGACGAATGTTCCGAAGGTTGACCTTGGGCATGCAGGATGAATCGGGATGCTGTTCTTGCGTCCAGCTATTTCTATCTAACTGCCGAAGTATTCTTCGTACGGATGTCTGATTATCCCATACCCAACAGACGTTCCGGATCGCTCTGGAATCCACGCTCGCCCGTCTTGGCTTATTCCTCGACTTCTCGCATAGGTCTCCATACGCTATTGTGTTACCCTGTCTTACCGCCCCAGCGCTCTTCCTAGGTCCGCTATTCGCAGAGTACCTTGCTAGTGCACTGCCCTTCCAGAGACGGTGGTCTATCCGTTTCAGTGTGCTGCCTATTTTTGCCACGTGGCAGGGCTGGAGGAATTACATCGTCGTGCGTGTGCCCATCTGACTTCGTGGTCATCCTTCTCATCTTTCTTTCTACGTAGGGTCCTATTACAGAAGAGGTCGTGTTCCGAGCATGTACGCTTGCAGTCTACCACCTTGCGGGGGTTTCGCGCAACAAAATGGTTTTCCTGAGCCCCCTGACGTTCGGAGCTGGTGAGTGCGGCTTGCATGCGCACGAATAGCTCTTGTCTGAGGCGTTTCGTGCAGCCCATTTACATCATGCATGGGACACGTTCAACCGCTACGGCCGTACAGGTGCTGCTGCAAGGCGCGCTCTCGTTTCAAGTGGTAAGTCATTATATTCAATATCCTGTTCGATCGCTCAACGAACTCGACAACCAGTGTTCCAGCTGGCATATACATGCATGTTTGGCTTCCACTGCGCGTTCCTTTTCCTCCGCACCGGCTCTCTGATCCCGCCGATCGTGTCGCACATTTTCTGCAACATCATGGGCATTCCTCAATACGGTTTGCATATCACGCACTTCCCGCGCAGGCGCACCGGTGCGTTACAACCACTCCTTTCTCCGCAAAGACTTAGCCGAATATTACATTCACAGCTATCAAATTTGCGTATATCCTTGGGATCGCTGGCTACGTGTACGCCATGTGCAACTGGACGCTGGCTGACGACAGTCTCTACTGGCCGCCTCTACCACGGCTCTTTCCTCGCTACTAAGACTCTGGGACACGGCGATGCTTGTATCTGGCTTGCATCTTATTCTGTTTTTCGATAATTACATGGTCGACGTGTGGATATGTGGGGTTCATAATATATGTGCCACTGATTCCTATCAGCTCTTCAACCCATCGGTGGTAGGTAGAGCCGACAACGGTAAGAATGGTTGTCACAGTAATATGCTCACTAGTATTTATATACCATTTCCAAATAGAACCCTCCTTGACCCAAGCCAGCCGTCGAGTGCGGACACGAAGAAATGAATCCAACACACATCGAGACAATCACGCCCGCGAGTATGTATAGTACAATCTAACACACACTAACACCTGAGGTGGAGAGCGTACTATCTCATCTAAAGCTGCTCCACCATAGCAAATTCGAAAGCCACAAAGCACGAAAGCTAGAGGAACAATGACCTGACAGCGCCACAGGTATAGCTTGGGTATTAAAATGCACGCCGGGCTCGGAAAGAAGAGGGCGGGTTGAGGAAGAACGAAGTAACGAAGGGAAGCAAGGTGCCTGGGAAGCTAGTTCATCTTCTCCTTGCCTAATATTCTGGACAACCTGAAAGAGAACTCGTGAATAGCCCTAAAGCCATATTATAAACGTACCAGGACTTCAACAACCACCACGTGTATTGACCTGCCAAACTCCAATTACCGGTTTCTAGAATTTCACGCAAAAGACGTAGGTTACTCCTCGGAATAATCAGGTAGTGGAGAATATTTCGTTCTCGAAGCTCTGTCAGCTTTTCTTCTGCGATGGCGGTACGCAAAGTGCGCAGGCGCGATAAAGCCGTACTGGCGGTGATCCGACCAGACGGGTTGTAATACGACATGTCTTGCAATAGCTTCAGAAGATCTGGCACGTCATTTGCCAGGTCCTAATGATGATGCTAAGTCGCACCGCCCGATCAGAGTACACGAGCAGCCCTTACCGGAAACCAAGCATAGAGGAGACGTGCTATTTGATATACGTCGGCCGCAAACGGGTTGAATGCCTTCTTGCCAAGCGTTTCAGGGGCTCTATGCATCCGGCCTTGCGGGAAAGGGAGTATAGTACATCGAGATAGAGGTAGATCCTCTGGAAAATGAACAGAGATACCGAAATCCAGTAAATAGTACCGCACGGGGAACGTCGATCTCCATTCTAAGGGAGGCCATATCTTCAACCCTTTCCGATCTTGGTCATACGTGTACTTCTTTGGCATCTTTCCGTGGTGATTAACCACAACATTCTCGAATGATATGTCCTGTTTGAGCAATCTTTGAGCTTTCACTACAGAGAATCAAAGACTGGCTCGTACCAAGTGTGCTATACGGTGTTTGTGTAAAAAACAGAGGGCCTTACAAGAGTCATCATCGGTTATGTGCTGTCCTCAGCTAACATGACTACACACCTCCAGTAACTGTTCCGCAAAGTCAAGACATTCTGATGCGTAGAGAAAGGGGTACGAACTAGAACTACCACAACAGGGCATGACGGCGAAGCAATAGTCTTCGTATTCAAGGAAGTCTAGGACCGGGACCGTTGTATTAGCTGGATCTGATCGCAGAGGCTCCGAGTTGAGCAGTTCCAGTGTTCTCCGCTCATTAGCCCCTTCGGTTCCCTTTGAAATCACCTTTATGACAACGTCTCGATTCAATCTGGAGTTGGTGTCATGGTGCCATTAGTCTTAGCACAAAAATGAAAGACGAAGAGCATTATGGTATCTACCTGTCTCGAGCAGCAAACAGCTGCGCAAACTGGGGGGCGAACGACAATGAATCACTAACTGCTTGCAGTGGAACTCACTTACTGGAGAGAAACTGCTGACGAAGTTGCTCCTGTCCCCATATAGGCCGAAGGACTCGAGAGCAGGCGGCGTCGCTGATATGGGAACAGTGAACGCGCCAGGGACTGCTTTTGTACGATAGAGTTCGTAGCCTGCTGCCTTAAAGAAAGGTCGCAGGACCTCCCACGGCTCTGCCCACCGTTGATTGCGCAGAGGATCAGTCTCTCTCCACGCCTGTAGCGACTCGGGCAGGCTCGACTGAGTCCATTAAACACCAACCAAACGAGCACTGGGTATTTCGTACTCACTGGTTGTATGTGATGCTTAGGCTCGACGGAGCTCATGACGAAAAATGTAGAGTGATTGTTTACATAAGCTCACTTGTCCCAGGCAGTGGGGTCCTGGAGTCTGGGGTTTTGTAGGTCCATGTGAGTCCAATAGGCCCATCGAGCTTTTTCCTCACAGGGACCTGGTTGAGATTTACCAAAAGTGTGTTACGGAGTCATCAATCATGCCAGCTGGATCATCGCAGTTTTAACTTGTACAGCATTCGGCTGAGCTGGGTTCAGAATTAACCCTTTTATCACCAAGTGACTCACAGCGAGAGACTTCCACAGACTTCCACTGTTCGCCTTTGGTGCCCTGTCATTCCGTGCTGTGGTGGCCTAATTTGCTCTGGCGCTCAGATATTCCTTCTATAAAATGGCTCCGAACATCCTGGACTTGATTCTCTACCCCACGTCAATACAGAGACAACAGCGATGCAAACACTTCTGCTATATAATATTCCAAACATACTCACTGTGCGTCTGCCATGCGATGATTGACTGGAAGGCAACAAATTGACATCGCCTATGCTAAGGGCAATGTGAAGATCGTTGATCGCTACCACGTTATGTATGGCCAGGTCGGCAAAATTGACGACAGGGCTGGGCTCACCACTGTATGTAAACGCCTTTACCACACCTCTTGATGCTCTGATACTGGCATTCAGGATCCGGCTACAGGAGAACTACTGTATACAGTCGTCTTCAATGAAGGCCAAGCTAATGAAGAACGTCTGAAATTTCTCAGACCGCAGGTAGAGGTTGCTGAGTGAAGATTTGCATCAATTGGAAGAGATCCTGTCCGCGCATGTGTTGTTGTACTCCGTTATCACGAACCTTGGAATTGATTAATTTGATATCCACTTTGCAGCTACATCATCCCTCGTCTCTATTTCTTCGCCTGCCCAGCGTATTTTTTAAATCTCAGCTGGATAATATGTACCAGTTCAGCATGACAGAATGTAGGTTCGAAACGCTTTTCACCGCAGAATCTTGCAAAGAATTTTCAAGTTGCGGTGAATTCGGCTCTCCTAGTTCTTGCAATCTCATACCCAATATCACGTAATGTTTACATTTTTCTGGCATACGCTAAACAGTAGAGGTTCTAGCAGTGGTGCTCGTTAACGCACAAACCTCCTGGTGATATTTTCACTGAGTATATGATACACGAATAGCCCTTGTCTGAGGCGTTTCATGCAGCCCATTTACATCACGCGTGGGACACATTCAACCACTGCGACCATACAGACGCTGCTGCAAGACGGGCTTGGCTCGTTTCAAGTGGTAAGTGCGGGATTATATGCAATGACCTGTTCGATCGCTCAACGAACTCGACAATCAGTGTTCCAACTGGCATATATATGCATATCTGGCTTCCACTGAGCGTTCCTCTTTCTCCGCACCGGCTGTCTGATCCCGCCAACCGTGTCACACATTTTCTGCAACATCGTGGGCGTCCCTCAATACGGTATGCATATCACGCACTTCCCGCGCAGGCGCACCGGTGCGTTACAACCACTCCTTTCTCCGCAAAGACTCAGCTGAATATTACACTCACAGCTATCAGATCTGCCTATATTCTGGGGATCGCTGGTAGCGCCAGGGTATAGTTTCGATATTAAAATGTACGCCGGGCTCGGAAGGGGCGGGAGGAAGATCGAAGTACAGAAGGGAAGCAGTTAAGGGTGCCCGAACTAGTTAGTCAATCTTTTCCTTTCCCGACATTCTGTAAAACCTGAAAGAGAGTTCATGAACAGCCCTAAAGCCATACTGTAAACGTACCAGGACTTCAACAACCACCACGTGTATTGACCTGCCAAACTCCAATTGCCGGCTTCCAGAATTTCACGCAAAAGCCTGAAGTTACTCCTCGGAATGATTAAGAAGTGGAGAATGTCTCGTTCACGAAGCTCTGTCAGCTTTTCTTCTGTGATGGTGGTACGCAAGGTACGCAGACGCGATAGAGCCGTACTGGCGGTAATCCGACCAGACGGATTGTAATACGACATGTCTTGCAATAGCTTGAGAAGATCTGGCACGTCATTTGCCAAGTCCTAACGACGATGCTGAGACACCACACTGGTTCAAAGTACACGAGCAGTCCTTACCGTAAACCAAGCATACAGGAGACGTGCCATTTGATATACGTCGGCTGCAAACGGGTTGAACGCCGCCTTGCCGAGGGTTTCAGGGGCTCTATGCTCCCGTCCCTGAGGAAAAGGGAGTGTAGTACATCGAGACAGAGGTAGATCCTCCGGGAAATGAACAGAGATACCGAAATCCAACAGACAATACCGCACGGGAAACGTCGATCTCCATTCTGAGGGAGGCCATATCTTCAAACTTCTACAATTTTGGTCATATTTGTACTGCTCTGGCATCTCTCCGTGGTGATTCACCACGATATTCTCGAAGGATATATCCTGATGGGGAGGTTTACACTCTCACTGCATTGAATTCGAACGCTAGGTCTCACCAAGTGCGCTATACGGTGTTTGTGTAAAAAGCAGAGGGCCTGCAAAATTCGGTCAACCATGCGCGATCTAAAGTTAATATGATCACACACCTCTAGTAACTGCTCCGCAAAATCGAGACATTCCGACGCGTAGAGAAAGGGGTACGAACTAGAACTATCACAGCAGGGCATGACGGCGAAGCAATAGTCCTCGTATTCAAGGAAGTCTAGGACTGGGATCGTTGCGTTAGCCGGATCTGATCGCAGAGGCTCTGAGTTAAGTATTTCCAGTATTCGTCGCTCATTGGCCCCTTCTTCTCCTTTTGAAATCACTTTTATGACAACATCCCGATTCATCCTGGAGTTGACATCATGGTGTCATTATGCTTAGCACGAAAATGGAATGACGAAGAACACCGTGGTATCTACCTGTCTCGAGCAGCAAACAACTGCGCGAACTATGGTGCACGTCACGCAATTAATGACTTCATAGCTCCTTGCAATGAACCCACTTACTGGAGGAAAACAGCTGGCGAACTTGCTCCTGTCTCCATATAGGCCGAAGGATTCTGAAGCAGGCGCTGTCGATGTCATGGGAACTATGTACTCGCCAGGGTGCTCTTTTGCACGATAGAGTTCGTAACCTGCTGTTGTAAAGAAACGTCGCAAGACCTTCCACGGTTCTGCCCATCGTGAATTGCGCAGTGGATCTATATCTCTCCATGCCTGTAGAGACCCAGGCAGGTTCTACGAGTCACAACAGGAGTCCGGCGAATATCTGCCAAATATTAAACGTTTTTCACTCACAGTTTGAACGCTATGCTTAACCTTGATGGAGTCCATGAGGAAGACTGTAAGGACGGAGTGCACCCTCGAGCGTAGAGTGAGTTCAACCGTCGTGTCTGGGGTATTGTGGGTCCATGCGAATCCACTGGCAATATTTGGTGCTGAGATAGATGTGTTGCGCCGAGCTTTTCTTTCCACGGGAACTGGGTAGGACCCATCGAATATATGGGCTACCGTGACCAATTTTCATAGGGCTCTAGGTAACCATTGGTTAGAGAGGAACGAGTATGATGACAATAGCGCAATCGTTCCACTACATGATCCAAGAGCCATTCAGATGAAGCACATCTACACTAGTATATATGGTATAGCTCTAAGATGTACACGAACACGCGCCGCTCGAATTTTGAAAGTGATAAAGCTCAGAAACAGGAAGAACATCGACCTATAACAACGGGTATCACAATGGGCACCAGGCCCAAGACAAAACACAAATGAAGACAGTACCGTAGCAGAAGCATAATTATACCCTTTCTCCTTTAGCCCCGACGATGTTCCGGACCCTGAACCGAAACACGTGAGATGCGAGACAACAAGACAGATTGCAGATACGACGAACCAAGCTTTCAACAGACCCCATGCAAATTGACACGCCAAAGCGCAGTTTCCTGTCTCGACGATATCGCGAAACATAATCAGATTACTCCTCGGAATATCTGGAAATGAGAGAATTTCGCGTTCTTGCTCCTCCTGCAACATATCAACAGGAATGGTGGAACAGACTGCACGTAGTCGCGCCAATGCCATTGTTGCGGTGATCCGACGAGAGGGGTTATAAGATGACATGTCTTGTAGTAGCTTCAGAAGATCGGGCACACTGTTCGCCACATCCTAATCGCGCTACTAAGCCACAGCGACGAAGTCAGATAACGAGGAATCCTCACCGAAAACAGCCCATAGAAGACGCGTGCTGTCTGATATACATCGGCTGCGAACGGGTTGTACGCTGTCTTTCCCAGAGTTTCAGGTGCTCTGTGTTCCCTTCCTTGTGGGAAAGGGAGTATAGTGCACATAGACAGGGGCGTATCTTCCTTAAAGTGCACTGAATAGCCGAAGTCCATAAGACGGTATCGCACGGAAAAGGTGGAGCGCCACTCTGGAACAGGACATATCCTGTATATTTTCCCATCTTCAAAGATGACAGCTTCTGGTAAAGTTCCGTGGTGATTCACCATAACGTTCTCCGAAGATATGTCCTAATGGCCAACATGAGCTCTCCTGACCATATAGGCTGACCAGCTTCTCACCAAATGTGCTATTCGATGTTCATGTAGGAAGGAAAGAGCCTATGCGGTTGAAGTCAGTCGTTGGCATGGCAAAATTTTGGGAAGGAGAGAATCACACGCCTTCAACACTTGCTCAGCAAAGTCGAGACATTCTGATGCATTCAGAAAAGGAAAATCGTCACTTCCGTTGCAGAACGGCATAACTGCAAAACAGAAGTCTTCATAGTCAATAAATTCAAGGACCGGAACGATTGTGTTGGCGGGATGAGACCGCAAAGGCTCGGAGTTTAGCAGTTGCAATATTTGTCGCTCATTTTCTCCCTCCTTTCCTTTTGAAACCACTTTAATGACAACGTCCCGGTTCAGGCTAAATTAGTGTCGTTGATGTCAACATAAAGATGGATGACAAAGCATGCTAAAATACCTATCTCGAGCAGCAAACACTTGGGCAAACTATGCGCATAGTTACCCAAGAAACCTCACACATACCACACAACGTGCCCCACTTACTGGTATTAATTGACTCTGGAAGTTGCTCCGGTCTCCAAAAAGCCCGAACGAGTCAACGGCCGGTGATGTTTCCGTATCAGGAGTACTGAGCTTGCCCAGCCCCCTCGCACGGTATAGTTCGTAACCTGCTGTCTTGAAGATGGGACGCAAAGCCTCCCATGGCTGCGACCATTGCGGGTCGCACATTGGTTCAATATCTCTCCATGACCGCAGCGACGTTGGGAGGCTCTATAGAGGTGAAGTGAGTATCTCGTCTTAAATAGCTACAGCCCGCGCTCACGTCCTGTACGCTCGTCATGGGTCTACCAAAGATCGGGACTAACAGCAAGTGATTTCTGTCGACGTGGGATAGAATATAGGTGAAGGAAAGGAGGGTGGAAGGTGAGCACTTGAGTCATGTAACGATGATCAAGTTCCAGATTATGTAAGCGTAACGACATCTCTCCCCGAATTGCCTCCGCTCTTGTCGCCCCATCATTAATGGGCGGCAGCCTGCTTGAGCCAATATACGTGTACTATCTAGCCACCTTGATGATCCACTCTGATGCTAAATAGCGCCATTCTACATTCCGGTACTTACTAATCGTATGGGCTTACTGGCAAATGCCAGTGCCGGATTCCTGGGCTTCTTCAACCGCCACCCGGTGCGTTGGACCGACCTCTCAGAACAAACTCATTATGGAATGTGTATAGACCTTCACATGACTTTGTGATCAGCTTGTAGTGTGAGTGCCGTTCGACCCTGATATCCACTCTGTTGTGCGTAGCCGTGGGAGTATTGTAGGTCCAGGTGGGTCCAGTATTACGCAGTCGGCCCTCACCTGTCAGCGCATCCCCGAGGCTATCGGTACTTGGGTTCTGGCGTCTCGTCTTGCTAAAGATTTCTTTTTCTATCCTTGGTGCACTTGGGCACAGTGACCTGACCTCAACCGGGCCAAGGCCCTTTGATGGTGAGCTATAAACTGATGACATCAGAGTGTGGCATCGTGGCGAGGAAGGAAGAAGGAAGAACACTATATCCTAGTGGGAGCTGAAATCGATTCATTTGTGCCGGTTCTTCTGGGACTGCTGCGCGGGAATATCTGGGCGCAACGGAACCATTATACTGAGAACGGACCGGAAGTGTCATCTACTGGTGGCTCAACTGGGACGCGCCAATTTGCTATGTATTTCTTGCTTGAGCCCTCTGGATTATCGTCACCTGGTTCGGTCAAGGATGAACTCCTGTGACCGTGACTGCTGTTTCATTTATATGCACTGTCTACAGGATGATATTCAGAGCATCCCCTTCGGAGTCCCCAAACATGTCTGTCCAAGAATTCGAAATTCCCCAGGGCACCGAGATGGAGACGACATTAAAACTCGGTTTTCAGCCAATGTTTGGAGTACGTTCGAAGTAGCGTATGGGCCGTGAACCGCTGTTGACTTACATGATTGCCTTATCTCACATAGAACGGTGTTAGAGTTGTTGACCGAGATCATGCGCGATATAAACAAGACGGTGTGGTGAGCAAGCGAACAGGGTGGTCCACGGTACGTCTGTGTCCATAGTGAGATATCTCATCTTCCAATACGGCATCTGTGAATCCAGGACAAGACCACTGGCGACAGAACGTATGTGGTCTATTTCGGTCAGGAGTCGGATATATTCTGGGGTCGGCAGTTGGTTCAGTCAGATGTTATCCAAAGAGCGAAGAAAGTCAGTGTCATTGACTTGTACAAGGGGGGTTCTAGCTCTGCCCGTTAGTGGCACGTCTTTCGATTTCACTGCGTGAGGTTGTTCAGCTCAAGATTCAACGATCTGTAGAAATCCAATTAGCACTGCCCCGTCTTCCCGCCCCCGTCGTCTCACTTTTCTGTTCCTATTGCCTGCCTAGGTTACTACATCGGCACAGTTGCATACTGGTGTTGTGTTCAACACCCTCGTGTAATGCTGTAGATTGGGGTTCAACGTTCAACAGCCTTGCGGTCACTGTAGATATCATTTGATCAATATGCGCAATGAAGAAATTTTTATCGCATGCCTGCATGACCCTCTGGCATCGGAATCTGGCACTTCCACCACCATTTCATTCAGCGTATGTAATACACCTCCTGCAATCTTCAGAAGCGGAAAAGTTTTGCACAGACAACCCCACAGGAACCCTGGAGGGTATGGCACAGCTGTCTGGGCTCCCGCGCAGCGGCTACCCTTGCTGTTGATTAGTCTGTTGTTGCTAGCTTTTGTCACGGATGAGCGTGAACCTTGTCCACTGCGGTCTCCGATCCAGACAGCGTCCTCCAGTGCTCCGTTGAATTGACTGGATTGAGTCAAAACTTCTTTCGCCTCCTTCACAAACTGGATTTCCGACAACCTGAACTGACTCTTCCCATGGTGATGCCCTGAATCATGTCTTACACTCCCATAGCTATCCTATGCAGCGACTCTGGGAATTCTGGGTTCACATTATACCGCTAGACCCCTGTCATCAGCCATCAGCGCCCATCAGGTATAATTACGATACCTTGAGGCACAGGATGATCTTCTTTCTGACTGATGCACGGGCCCAACGCTGCTACCATTCATTTCTATCTTCTTCCAACGGAATTTGCATTCCGGACCGATATCATTTCGGTGTCCACTAACGTCTACAAGTGCATACACCGGCGATTTCCTATCATTCATCATTCTCAGGGCCGATAATGTCTGGTGCGCGACGCGTGTAATGCATCAATAACACCCGATTGTAGAGAAAGTAGTTGCGACGCACTATGTATGTACCTTTAAGGAACCTCAGTTCCAACGTCCGTCGTCTCACTCTACTGGAAGATAATGGGAAACGGCGAGCGCTTCAGCGTCTGAAAGTGCCTGTCAGCGGAAGGGCTTCGTCACAGACTTAACCTGATCAAGAGAGACCCTACCGGCGCCTCGATGTGCTCTGGATGGTAGGTTCCTCAGAGCACTCGACCAATTCCGAATAGCTGTGACTCCACATCGGAATCCTCAGCTGTCTGCCGGGGCTTGACAGGCACAGCTCTGCGGTCCTTCCTCGTTGCCGTCCATCTGCATTTATGCTTGCTCGGTGCCTATCCAGCCCTAGAACGTTCCATCAAAATTCTACAGCGTTACCGACACTCTGCGATTTATAGGTCGTGGTTTCGACCTTGGCTGTGAAATCATCGATAAGTGAAATGCGGACTCACATCCGCCTTCATCGATGCCTCGCAGGCGTCGGCGCTTAGAAGTTCGCACGGCGCATGGACAACGGAAGAACATCGTACCTCCGAGCCATGTTAGCATGTCGTATCTGCTTTTCGCAACGGAATCCTGGTACATGAGACCCTGTGCGAACGTGTCTGCAACTAATTTGCCATCCTATGGTTACGCACAGGATTGACCAAGGTAGTCCAAAAACGTCCACATAGAATAGGTATCACGACAGGCACTAGGCCCTCTAATAAGAGAGGAGTCAAAACGGAGAGGAGAAGACGTTGAGCGCAGCTAATCCGTCTTCTCGTTTCCCGTCGTTTTGAACAACCTGGCAAACACCCGTGAGCAGTTACAAAACCAAAATTGTTCTGCAAGCACACCATATCTGCAACAACGCCCACGCAAACTGACATGCTAAACTCCATTTGCCGGTCTCTAGAATGTCACGGAACATGACCAGGTGGCTCCTCGGAACAAGCGGGAATATAAGAAGCTCTCGTTCGCGAAGGTCTTTCAATTTCTCGTCAGGGATGGTGGAGCGCAATGTGCGCAGTCGCGCCAATGCCTCTGTGGCGGTGATTCGACGGGACGGATTATACGATGACATGTCTTGCAACAGCTTCAACAGATCAGGAACGTCATCCACTAAGTCCTACGTGCATCATTTAGCCATTATATTTGCTTAGAAGAACATAAAAGAAGGACGTACAGGAAACCAGCCATAGAAGATACGAGCTGTTTGATAGACATCAGCCGCGAACGGATTAAATGCCTGCGTACCCCGAACTTCGGGAGCTCGATGCTCTCTGCCTTGTGGGAAGGGTAGAGCAGTGCACTTGCCTAAGCGGACATCTTCGTTGAAACGGATAGAGTACCCGAAATCCATGAAAAGGTACCGCACAGGGAAGGTGGAGCGCCACTCCTGAGGAGGCCAAATCTTCAAGGGGGGCTCATGCTGTCCCTGTAATATAAATGTCTGTGTCAACAAGCCATGGTGGTTCACCAGGATATTCTCGGTAGATATATCCTGATGTAATAACTGTAAGCTCCCATCGCCCGGAGAAAAACAGGGCTGATACATACCAAGTGTGCAATACGATGAGTGTGTAAGAAAGAGATCCCCTATAGAATTAAGGTTCATGATCTGCGATGAGAAGTTGCTGAAAGATAATCACGCACCTCCAGCACTTGTTCTGCAAAATCGAGACATTCTGATGCATGCAGGAAAGGACGTTCATCACAGCCATCACAGTAGGGCATGACTGCAAAGCAGTACTCCTGGTACTCAAGAAATTCGATGACCGGAACAGTTGAATTGGCTGGATCGCATTGCAGAGGCTCAGAGTTCAGCATTTGCAAAATTTGCCGCTCATTTTCCCCTTCCTTCCCCTTCGAAATCAACTTTATAACAACGTCTCGATCCATCCTAGAAAGATGTCCTTAGCATAAAGACGATGAACAGATTGCAACAACATACGTGTCTCGAGCAGGAAATACTTGAGAAACCTACACCACTGGCAGTAAGTCATGCACCGGACCTTCTGCGCAACGCGACAGGCTCACGGGGATAAAATGAGTTCTGAGTTTGCTTCTATCCCCATACAACCCAAAGGAATCGAGAGCAGGTGGTGTCGTTGTATTGGGGGTGCTGAGTTTACCATTAATGCCAGCACGATAAAGATCATAACCAGCTTCACGAAAGAAAGGACGTAAGAATTCCCAGGGTTGGGCCCATTGCGGATCGGCCGTGGTATCGATGTCTCTCCATGATCGTACCGATGTGGGCAAGCTCTGCGGATGAAAAATGAGTATGCCAGGCGTTAAGTTAGTCAATACTTGCATCTTGAACCGAGACACAAAGTGTAGCCTTGATATTATCCATTGTAGAAACGGTGGGTTCTTGCAGGTCAAACGATGGTACTCAAGTTAAGAACGAAAGATAAGTGAGAGGCCACGGTGACCGCAGTGTGCCCGAACGGTACGTCCTGTGAAGGAGAGCAGCAAACACAAGTGATATGGTGGGAACGAATGTGGATTGGATGTCAATCGCTGGAAACTACGACTAGGAGTAGGCTCATAGATACAGCCTCTAGTTACCCTGAGAAAGACAGTCGTTCCTTACTAGGAGTGCATGCGCTGTCGCGGTTGAGCGCCACTCGAAATTCAACTCAGATTGTAGATCGCTCATCCTTCCAAACGTGGACGAAGTGCCTACTAGTAGGCGCCCAAATGTAAGCTGTTGTGGACAATTTCTGTTTCAACCATCATCTAACAGCCACCGCCAAACCTTACGATGAAGCTGTACATACCGTTCATCCGTTCTGAAGTGCCCAGCACCCTCGTCTGGCCACGAGCTGACTGATATTAGCCCAACTGAGCGCCATCATCGCTCAGGATTCGTCTGCCGTCGTCCGGAGGAATCGGAGTCGCCTAACGAGTGACGACGAGTACTTACAGATGTCGAAAATTTCCTGAAAATCCTGTATAGCAGCATTGCTGGTATTTGTGTACTGCACAAAGTTCTCCGACGGACACGCCATTGGGGCGCGAGGACCACTGGCACTCGCGATCGATTCAGTACAATGGTCCATGCCAATCGACAGTTGTGATCGACTAGCGGTGTGTGATTCCGATGGTATTGGACATCTGGGGAGAAAAGCTTTCAGTCAACCCGCATCTCATGTGTGAAGCATGGACCCAAATGTACAGCAGAAGTCGTCTCGAGCTATTTCACTTCATCAGTAGATCCAAAGAGCGAGTTTGTATGGTCGACCATCGACGGAAGACAAGCAGCGAGACGTATGAACACAAGGGACCGAACATCAGCGGTAAACGGCTGTGATAGTGATACGCGTACAGTACAAGTCCGACATTCTAGAGTAAGTCAGTAATAGCGGAGATGCATTAATAACCACCGGTCACTCGTGCGTCGAAAAGCGAACCTCAAGGACATCTCGTTCCTCCATGTCGCTCGTGAGAGCAGGATGGCCCTGCCTGAAGTGGATCGTCGTTAGCTGGCTCATCCCGGATTCGTCATCCGGCGTGGCAGCTTTCCGCAGGTCCAACATGAAACGGCATGTCAGAATCGCGGTGAAGCTGAAGGAACTTGTAACTATGATACGTATGAGTGGATGGGCTCGAACGTACATGCTTATCCACATTGTCATGGGATTAGAGTACTGCAGAAGAGTCAGTCAGATCTCACGCTCCTCTCGAGATGAAGAGAGAGGCAGAGAACTTACAAATAAATCATGCCACACGGCGAGACTACTCACGTTGAGGATCAGGAGTACCCTGAGTATCATGATATGTCAGTCGTTCACGCCATTCGGAAGAAACTGTCGGCTCACAGGAAACATACTGTCCCTGTGAATGAGGCCATTGAGCGAACGGCCCTAGCTGTAACACAAGGCTGCTTACCATCCGAGATCAGTACGGTCATGAGTCGCATCCCGGAGTTAAACTTCCTGCCCATCGTGTGCATCGTCTTCAACCAAGTAAGGAGCACAACGAGCGCATCTGCAGCTATCGATGATGCTCGAGCACCCAAGAGCCCTGATACTCAGCATAAGTACATGCGGTATTACTCCGTGATGATGTTAGCAATGTTTACACCTAGCGAAGAAACATAAGCAACTTTTGCAGCGCTGACGGACTGATACTTACTTGTAGTAAAACGTTACAGGATCAGTCGTGATCCATATTCCGCATGACAAGGCAGTCATCGATGTAATCGCCAACGGTGCCGTCTTGGCGTAGACGTACTATGTGCGGTGTTGTAGCATTAGTTCAAAATGCAGGCCTTAAAGAGGAGTTTCATTGTTGACTTACTAGATAAATAGCAGGATTTCCTAAGGCGAGAACTAGAATAACTATGGACAAAGGGACATTGCGTGCATATAGGGCGTATATTCGCATCGCAGAGAAGACTGGATTCAAAGCTCAATGTCCTGCGCTGACAGGGAAGTACAATGTGTAGTACCAGCGGCGCCGATATAGAGCGTTATTATCGAACCCATTACGAAACTTTCGATCATAACACAGCTTCAAACTGGTTTTCATCTGGGTCTCCTAGTTGAGTATAGTAAGCTTACCTCTGGGAAGAGACGTCAGAAAATTGAATGGACCACTCAACAAGTGACTCACAGATCTATGGTTCTTCAGCCATCCTTGTGTCGCAAGGACTTCACATATTGACGACAATAGCGCGCTGTAGCGAATCACATAGAACAGGACAGATGATACTGATAACCTCGACTTCCAGATATACTGTACTTCCTCACTGAACGTGAGGAGGTAGTCATACCAGAGCAAGCCTGTATTCATGGTCAATACAAGGTGCACACTGAAGACGCACACCAACCACTTACACACGACCGCACAGTAATAACATGCTATGCCCTCGACGCTGAAAATCGAGGATCATCATCAGAAGTGATGGGTAAGCAAATCAATTCGGGCAACTCACTCTCCAGACGATATACGAGTAGCCACATCGTGCGGATCCACCATCCTGACGAGGCGAGCATTGCTACGTAGGCGTTCGTGCACTGAGGCTTAAGTACCTTCACTGCCATCGTTCGGAACATTCTGTGGGAGTTGTCTGACTGCACAGAATTCTCATACGCACGGGATTTATTGGTGACATAGTCAGGCAAGAGCCCTAGAAATAACAATACCAAAAGAGAAAAGTACATCGGAAGTCAGAACGCATGGCCACCTGAAAAAAGTGCTCACAGCGGGAAACCCCGAACGTCTTGCCCTGCGTGGGGTTGCTCGAAGGCATCATAAAAGGACCGGTTGGTAGGGGTTCAGACTTCGAGCTTTGGATCCGTGCACGCGACCTTCAAGCGGCGAGAAATGGAAGCGCCATCGTCTCCGGAAATTACCCTGGAAAGACAGCCTCGCGGTAATACTTGTCGCTCGGACGCCGGAATTTCTCGGTTCTGGATACACGTCCTCGCGTGTTTCCGAGCTAGCATGGGATTTCCCCACGCTGAACCAGAAAGTGCATTTGTCTTTTACGGAGTCTCGAGTTATCACGAAGCTGGGTCTGCACTGAGAGGATTTGAGAACCGTTCGCTGCATAGCCTCGAAACAGCTGTCGCAGCCCAGACACGGTCCCTACAAAGATGGGCTCGATTCAATTGAAACGACGGGTAGTGAGTATCGTTAGTTTTGAGACAGGAACACATACAATATAAATATCCGAAGTCGATATACACCTCGGGGACGAACTCCACATTAATCTAACCGTAGTTCTGTAGAGTCCGTGTCGAAATCGGTGGTGGAAGAATCCGTGGGCTGCGTGAAAGCGATCGTAGTCATCTGGCTGAAGCACGACCGATCCTTCGAGTTGGCTGCTCTGCGGAGATCAAGCATAAAACGGCAGGTCATTATAGCAGTGAATCTTCAGAGATTTGGGACTTGTCAGTAACAAGCAGCGTAGTCTTTTCTAGAACCTACATTCCGATCCACATCGTCATGGGATTTGAGTACTGCAAAAAATATTGAGTCAACCCACAAGATAAAACAACACCACAATCAGAGGACGAACATAATCATTCTTCCATACTGCTAGACCAATCACATTGAGAATCAGGAGGCACCTGTGTCACGTTGCAAATTCAAGACCATCCGAACTCGTGCAGATTGTTGGAAAATACATACATGAAGCAAGTCGTGCCTGAAACGACGACGTCAGAGGTACTCCTGGGAATGTCATGAAAATGGCTCACCTTCCGAGAGAAGCACACTCGTGATTGGCATCATACGCCTGAGCTTTACATCCATAGTTCGAATTGTCTGCGCCCAGGTAAGGGTTACGACAAGGACATCGGCGGCAATCGCTGACACTCGCGCAGCCAAAAGCCCTGTATCCTGGTGAACCGAAAAAATCCAGTAATAGCATGACTGTAATACGAACATCTGCGGTGTCTTTTCAGTATCTCGGATCCCAATGGCGAGGACGGATGTATTACCTCGAATATTCTGTCGTGGGAACAGTGGCCAAGTCCGCACCGCATGACAGTGCCGTCATCGATGTTATTGTCCGAGGTGCAGTTTGAGTGTAGGTGTACTACGCGCAAACAGACATAGAGTCAACTCTTACCGTCGAGTATCGCCGTCCTCCACTTACGAGATATATGGCGGGGTTTGTCAGACCCAAGAGCAAAACAAATATAGCTACAGGAAGATTACGTGCGAAAACTGCGAAAACACGCATTGCAGCAAAGACTTGCGCACAGAATAAGTACAACTTTGTCTGCTCATCGGAGGCCGACTTACTTGCCGCGCTGGTGTACAAAAGAACGACGAAAGCCATCACGAAACTCTCGAACACATAGCAGCTAACGTAGGTTGTTCAGGAAAAGATACCTAGCTTCCCTCAGGAAAATAGCGTACCTCTTCACAAACGTTATCAGCACATCAATTAGTCCGAAGAGTTCTAGAAATGCTCACCAGCTCGGTATAGGCCAACCAAGCCCGTAACGAGACGCATTCGGAAACTGTCGAAAGCAGAGCACTGTATCGCAGCACGTAAAATACAAATGAGGCTGGTGATACTGGCCGGTTCCACATGTGTTGTACCTCCTCGTCTAGCGTGAGGAAGTAATCATACCACAGCAGGACTATCGTGTACTGATCAATGGCACATTAAATTGGAAACATGAATAGACACATGCAACGGCACAGTAGTAGCAGGTTGGATCGATAAGACTCTGTCCGACCAGGCTAATAGAAGATGCGCGTAGGTCAGATTAAAAAAAGGCTCTAGAAGCACGCACTCACTCAGATGCGCTGGCCATTGCGGCAAATTCGTGAGAGTCTGGCCCATCAAGGAGTGAGGTCGCATTCATAAAGCGCGTTTCCTTGAGCAACAAGGATGGGGGCAGACAACGTCATGCCAAACTGGTCTGACTACATATACATATAGTCGAAAGGGCGAAACTCCGAAAGATGCAATCATGGAGAGAACCGGACAAAGACGTGCGAAACGGAAGACTTGTCACAAGAAACTGACCGCGTGGGTCACCTTGAGACGTTGTTCGGCGGGAAGCCATACAGCTTGCATCTGTTGTTGTCATTCTCTCAGAAGCCTCGTTGTCATAATTTCTGCAAAGACATCGCGATCGAGGTCAGTTCAAAATTGCATCTGGCAGCAGTAGTGACACTTGTACGACCTTCATGTTCTTAGGCTAAGCGGCCCAAAATGACGGAAATCAAGCGTCTTATGTCGCAACCCTCATCAGAGCGCTTCAGAGCGCCTCTGGATGCAGGTTGATGAGTTCCCCCAACCGTGATCTACAGTGGAAGACGCCACGACCGTGATGGTGACGCGGCCACCGCACCCAAGGGGTGAAGCGCTGAAGATTAGATGTAATTATTAGTCAGCAGATAAGATATCGGCTGGTCAGCGTCACCTTCCGACGACCGCCCATCCACCGTGCCACCATGTCCTCCATCTCGTCCGCCCGTTCCTTCGGTCTTTTTACTACATATCCAATGCATTGTACTCGTTCTATGCACTGGCATTCAGCCCAATTTCAGGCGCGATCTTTCGTCCGACTCCACACACCGTTTTCTGCGTCATGCCGTTCATCATATAATAGACAACAGATTCCCCGGAGTATGGTCTGCCATAGCCGGAAATTGTCCTCTTCCCGCTTAGCGCAAGCAGCACTTGCTACGAATGCTCCAGCAGAGCCGACGGTGTTGCTTGCATATCCTACACCTTCAACACTGCAGCATGATCAGGCAGCGGAGGATGAAGACGAGCCCGACGTAGAGCTGCTCCCTCCAGAGGAGGCGCGGTTGGAAATCACGGACAGAGCGGCTGAGGTATGTCTCTTTGTGGGCGCTGACGTGACGTATGCACTTATTCGTACACTCCTGGGTTGGCAGCAATTATGTGCCATTGCAGAACGGGAGAACAACCCAAATGCTGCACTTAGAGTTATAGTTGAAAGTGGGGGATGTCATGGATACCAGTACAAGATGGTACTTGCGAAGCAGCGCGAGCCAGATGACTAGTGCGTGGTCCTGTAGTTCGTCTCGACGTTCCCGACTTAGCGTACTTATGTGCAGCCAATTCTCACATCCAACACTGAAGCCTTCGAATATTCTCGTTGATGCTGTCTCTCTTGCTTTGCTCAAGGGTTCAACAATTGACTTTGCGACGGAGCTCATTGGTAGCAGTTTCAGAGTTGTTGACAATCCACAGGTGAGTCTCCGCCTTCATGTGTGAAGTCTGGGATGGTAGTCTTGAGAAGAATTAAGACCTTCTCGCCTACCATCTAGTTTGACCTTTACGCGCAAACTCTGCGGTCTGACATATTTTCTGTTTGCTTTCTAAGGCGAAGGGCAGTGGTTGCGGATGCGGAGTCAGCTGGGAGTTGAAGATGTAGCGTCGAGCTGCTACCACGACGATTGAAGACTTCAGAGTAGAAGTATCAGGTATGATCCAATTTGTATATTATTGAGGTCCTGTTTTGGCATATCTAGTTCAACAGAGCCTTCTCAACGGAAGTGTCTGTCCTATTAGATATGCGAAAACAATTTCCGGACGTTACGTACATCCTACTCTCCAGACGGCGAATCCATTCGTGAGTGTCCAATTGTGAGTGTTGGATTCAAAGTTGATGACAAGATTTGCATTGATGCGAATGGCGAAGGTAGTGAAACGCTTCAATTCGTTTGAAGGTTGTATGCACAGGCTGATGCTGTTGCGAGGCTTGATGAATGCTGGTCTGCGCGGCGTGGTCTAGCCCCCAAAGCCAGGGCAGATGCAGATCTTATGCGGATTTCGTTCGCGGAGAAAATGTTCGGGCCTGTCGAGACCGTAAGGCGTGCACACCATTGGCAAGTCAGAAGTTCGCAAATTCTGCTCCGAGGGATGCATTCTCAAACATGGCTTATGCCTCATTTTGCTATGTTTAGGTCACCTATGTACGGGCGCGCATCTTGTGTCTCTGCGCACTCAGATCCTCAATTGGCCGAGTGGTGTCTGACGTAGGTTTCGTGTTTACGTAAATCTCTGTATTTTCCATCAGATGACGCTGGTCCGCCATTGTAACTCGGGCGCCTCCCGCCTTGTGTTCTCCATCCTCCGTCACGCTCCGTGATCGCGACGGCGACGCTAGTCCGTCTTCTCTCACTTCGCCCTCCCCGCCTCGTGCTTCTGTCCGCGTGTACATGCAGTGAGCGGCATATAAAGACGTGTGGACCATGAGTTACTATCGAGTTCTCGCTGGCTATTCGTTGGAGGATGCTCTTTGCGACGTTCTTCGGTGCCTTGCTCTTCACGCATGCTCTGGGCACGCCCTTACAACGCCGCAGTCTGCAACTTCACGAGGCTCGAGATGCTCCCCCGCCAGGCTTCACACTCGTCGGACATGCTCCTTCCGACACTATCCTGAAGCTACGCATCGCACTCGTGCAAAGCGATACAACCGGGCTTGTAGATGCGCTCTATGACGTCAGCACGCCGTCCAGTCCGAAGTACGGGCAGTATCTCTCGAAGTCGGAGGTCAGTCCTCTCTCGCCCTATACAGCGATGCGCTTGCGACGAAATCTCACCCTTTTTCGATATATAGGCTGAGAAGTTTGCGGCGCCCAATTCGGAGACCGTTGCAGCTGTCAACTCCTGGCTTAGTGAGAATAGGTTGAACGCGACGCTACTATCCCCTGCAGGCGACTGGCTGGGTTTTGAGGTCTCGGTCGAACGGGCCAACGATATTCTTGGTGCAGACTACTCTGTTTTCACACATCAGAGCACCGGAAAGCGCACGATCCGGACACTGTCGTATTCTATCTCTCCGGAGCTCAAAGGACACGTTCACCTCGTTCATCCCACTGTCTCGTACGCGAATGCCCATCCTATGGTTCTACTCTGTATAATAGATGTTGCGCGTCAGATTCCCGAACCCAGTGATCAAGTCTTCGCACTCGCTCGTCGTGCCAAAGCGCTCTACTCCGCTCTCTCGCTCAGAGAATTCCTCCTCGCCATGTGGAGACGCAATTACACCTCCGGTCTCGCCTGCATGTCTGCAGTACATATACGACATTCCGACAACACCTGCTATCCATCCCTCGAACCAGCTTGCTGTCACTGGGTACGTCGAGCAGTATGCTAACCAAGCTGATCTTCAGGTATGGAGCGCGAGCTCGAGAAATGCAGTATACAATTCCTTACGAAACGATGGTAGTTGTTCCTGCAGCAGTATCGACCTGATATGAACTCGTCAACGACGTTCTCGGTCGTAACCCTGGACGGTGGCAGCAACTCTCAGAACGGGTCACTTGCTGGAACAGAGGCGGTATGTCATGGTTTTATTGTCCCTTTCTCTTATATTAGAACGCATGAATCTGTTAGAATCTCGACATCCAGTACACGGTAGGACTAGCCACGAACGTCCCGGCCACTTTTATCTCGGTGGGCGAAGACGAAGGTTCCCTGAACAGTTTCTTGGACACTATCACCTACTTGCTCGCTCAAGAATCTCCGCCACAAGTCTTATCCACCAGCTATGGGTGGAACGAAGACATGATTTCACAGACTTTTGCCATGTGAGTTTCACATCGTCTGGATGTTCACTTTATCTCACCACTTGGTACAACGCAATCTTGCGTGCAGCAATCTGTGCCACGCGTACGCTCAGCTCGGCACTCGCGGTGTCTCCATCCTCTTCTCGTCAGGCGATGGCGGCGTATCAGGCACTGGCTACGGAGAATGCACGACTTTCGTACCATCCTTCCCGTCAGGCTGTCCCTAGTAAGCCACCCGTCTTCTCATCTGCCACCTCTCCGGCTCAACTACGGCAGCGTGACGTCAGTAGGTGGCACCGCTGAGCTCCCGACCGAGGTGGGTGCGCCTTTCTCCGGTGGCGGCTTCTCGAACTATTGGAGCACACCGTCGTACCAAGCTTCCGCTGTTGCGTCTTACCTTTCAATCCTGGGCAATAATGAGTCGGGGCTGTACAACGCCTCGGGACGCGGCTTCCCGGACGTCTCCGCGTACAGTTCCGGGTTTCTGATTACGCTGGATGGAGAGGACGATCCTCGCCCGGTCTGCGGAACGAGTTGTTCGACGCCGACGTGGGCAAGCATCATTGCGCTACTGAACGATGCCCTCGTCGGGGAGGGTAGGCCTGTACTGGGTTTCTTGAACCCGTGGTTGTACTCGACGGGGGTGTACGCCCTAACGGACGTGGTCTCCGGGAACAACCGTGCGTGCACTAACGACACGGGTTTCGACGCTACGTCTGGCTGGGATCCGGTTCGTGTTTGCTACATGTTGTTTTCAGCTGGGGCTGATGTCTCAACAGGTAACCGGTCTTGGGACGCCGAACTTCAATAGCTTGATGTCTGTTTTAGGACTACGATGATTAGATCACCATTCAAGGGACATTTATATAGCGAAACGCCTTCTTGGTGCGGTCGCTTAACAACATTCGCTCGTGCATGGACATTTGTTGCGGTGGATAATCATGGACTCGTGCTCTGTAATCTCACCGTTGCAAAATTGATCACACATACCCACCTTGCGTCAAAGTAATCACGATGGCTCCTTATATAGTGCAAGAGCGATTTTTGTTTTGAACACACAAGTCTGGTGCACCCCTCGATTCGCCTGATGTGCGGCGGCGTTCACACGCGCTATCCCTTCGCAACACTTCCAGGTCAGACAGCACCAACATACCTTTTCGCCGCTACGCTCCGTTTCTTGCGCGGTAGCAAGCGACGCGTCGGATCCTAACCGTGGCTTGCGATTACCGGCAGAACACAACGGTCTTGACTAACGTTAAATACTAGGAAACAGCACGGCAACTGTCTTGGTCAATCCACGCAAGACACTGCAGGCGATACAAGGTGCACTAACGGTCTTCTATCTGGGGAAAGATGTGGTACTAGTCGCTGTCCGAGCTGCTATCGGAGACGGCTACCGCGCCATACCCGCCTCTTAGGCGAAGGAGACGAACCAACCTCTGCTGCGCGAATTTGATAACAGTATGTCGACTTCCCGCCGTACATACTTCTTGAAGTTCCGCATCGTCCCCAGTACAGGCAATCCCTGGAAGCATCGAGTCGGTGCAGATTTCTCCGTTAGTTCCTCGGTACTGCCATGGCGTGCGGGACTTCCTATCGTACTCGGTTAACCACCATGTACAGCATAAACTGCTGGTTCTGCTGCATCCCATCACACGGAATCGCTGGGAGAAGCCGTTAGAATGGGGAAGATCAAGAATGAACGTGAGGGTCGACCGTGGCGTTGCAATCGACACGTAGCAATTGCTGGCGGAGGCTATCCCTTTCGTCTGACTTCAATGTCACACCAGCATGAAGAATTGCCTCTAGAGGAGAATGACAAAGGGCTATAGGATGCTACACTGGCCCATCGAAGGTGTTATCGGCCCAACGAAATGGAATGGGCTTCCCATGGCGTTTCATCTCCCTGATCAGCTCTTGAATACAGTATTCATACTCGAACCCGATCTTCCTCAATAAATGTTTGCACCGCTCGCCTTTCTCCTTGAATGAAGGCACCCTGATGAACTCTGCAAGGAATCGCGAAGAAAGGAGGATGGTGCACCACTTTATGAGAAGGTTGACGATAGACGCAGTGGTCTCGGAAGGTGTCTTGGGATCGATGACCGCAGCAGAATGCAGGCAGATTTCGTGTACGAAAAACCGCAAGATGTCGGGTGTTGGTCATGTCTCCGAAGGCATGTCTTCGGAATTCATCCATTTCGATTACTAGCAGCTCCAGTCCAATGGCTTGTGGTTGATAATCCTCCAGAGCTGTATCGAACTCCACTTGTGAGGCTTGGGCATATAGATCACTGATGCGCTTGATTAACTCTAGGCAGGAGTGCTCTACCATGAACGGGATGACGGTCGTGTAACGCTCGACAGCGGGGTCGAGGAGGGGAGTTAGGAAGTGTTGGATAGCTGCATAATATTCTGGACCAGGAGAACTTTCTTTGGCCAGGACAAGGGTTACACGTTACACTACCTTGTCTGTCAAACGCAGTGGCGACGTCGCTGCCTGACACTCCTGTCCTAAGACATAGGGTGATAGTACTGAGAATTCGAACTTCCTTCTTCAGACGGCTCCGCCTTTCGGTCGGAATGGTCGGCTCATAAAATATTAAGTCGAACAGCGGGTCTGAGTCGGCGAAGTTTACGCTGCGGAGGAGCTGCAGTTGTTCGCTCAGGAGACTGAAGTGCCCTTGCTCGAGTACATCCTCCACGAATACAAAAGATCACTTACCAATATCACGATTTATATCATTTATGGCTACGGAATCGGCACTTCAAGGGAAAGATAGAAGTACTGGGATAAACTTGGTCAAGCATTGCAGCTGCCACTTGGAGAACAACAACACCTCCTGCATGGAATAGGGATCGCGATGAGTCAGGCCGCTGGAGGCTTCGCACTAAAGCCTCGAAATGGTCGTTGGGAGATCGCATATGGTAGGTATAAGCATAACCGGCATGGATCCCAGTCAGGAACGCCATATGGAAAATAAATACTATACATTTTTGACCAAGGACAAGTACGGTGTCCTCCCAGAAGAGCAAGGGACTCCTGCTCAAGATCACACTCCTGCTCAAGATCACACGCGTCCAGAGACTGCGCCTGTAAAAACAGATTACTCATTAGATCTGCGCACTGCGGTACAGACAATTTCGTCAGAAGTATACATGCATGGCAACACACCGATAACGCACGGAAGTTCTGATATCATACGCAAGCAAGTAAGTGAAGGAACAATATGGGAAACATAGAAAACGATACGGGTTCACTTGCGTGCGGCCGCCGGTGCGTGCTAGTTGCTTGCACTGACAGCAGTACTGCTTTTTCTCGTCCTGACAACCTTGTTCCGCAAAGCCTTCTCCTTTAATTCGTTCTCTCTCTTCGCTAGTTCCGTTCTATCCAACAAGACCTGTTGTGGAGCTCAGTGAGGCATCACACAATATCATGAGGTGCGTTTCACCTCATCGCGATCCGAGTCCTCAGACTTGCCCTTCCGTTTTTCAGCCTCGGCTTGGCCTTTAATCTTCAGCTCACCACCATTTTGCTTCTCCTTACCTTTAGCGTTGACCCGCTGCTCGTCCATAGCCACCTTATCTTCCTTTCGCGCAATTTTCTTGTCTCTGCCATCTGTGTCCATCGTCCTGCTCCTACTGCTGCTCCGACTGTAGCTCGGGGCCTTCTTGCGCCCCTTCTCTCTGTCCAACGAGCGGTCCCTTCTCCGCGGTGGCGAGCGTTCTCTCGAGCGACTCACACTCCGTCTTCTCCGCTTCCTCGGCGATGGCGGCGATGGGGACCTACTGATGCCCCTGCGTCTCCCGTACCCTCCCCGATATGGCCTATCTGGACTACGAGAACGAGAGCGAGACAGTCGCCTCCGACGGCGCGGGGGGCTGCGCGAGCCTCTATCTCTTACTCTGAGATCGCGGTCACGCGGCGGCGAGTAGGATGGCGTGCGCAGACGGCGCCGGACTACCGACCGCGGCGGCGAGCGAGAAAGGGAGCGAGGGGGAGACCGCCGGCGGTGTGGCGGAGAGTCGCGATTGCGATCGCGCTCGCGCGGGGGCGGGGGTGGGGGTATGGGAGACCGTCGACGGTGTGGAGGACTGTCGCGAATACGCTCGCGAGCGGGAGGCGCGGGTGAAGAGGGCCGGCCGCGCGGAGGCGGAGAGCGCAACCGGCGGGATCCTCCGGCGGGAGGAGGAGGAGGAGGAGGGGGAAGAGGGGAACGTGAACTGCGCGTGCTATTGAATGACGGTGAACGGCGGCGGCGGGGCGGAGAGCGTGGCGGTGGCGAGCGCGAAGGCGACCGCCGGCGTCCAGGCCGCTGAGAGAAATCAGATATAACGAACATCAAGACACGCAGAACGACGACTCACCCCTCCTCCTCCTCTGTTCCCCCACCCACTGTCGCGTGGCCTTCCGCTACGATCATCGTCGAAGCCGCCTCTGCCTCTACCTCTACCCCTGCCACGGCCCCTGCCGCCACCTCTCCCATCCCTGTCGCTATCCCGTATCTCGTCGAGCCTCGCACGACGATCTCGTTCCTCCAACGCACGCGTATCCCCCATTTTGCTTTGCCGCATCTCCAGCTTCATCTCTTCAACCAAGGTACGGGGAACACCAGCTGGTGAATCTTGCGCCTCCAGAAGAAGCTTCCACAGTGCTGACATGAAGGCGGCAGTATTGTTCGTCAGGAATCCGGTCAGATTGATCTGCATCTTTCTTGGATCGGGGGTCTGGAGACGTGACAGTGAGGAGCCACACAGAGAGAATTAGAATAGGAACACATACCGTCTGCTCCTTGTCTTCCAAGAGACCCATCGCATACTCGACGACAACCTCATCCTCAAATCCGACAAGCTCCACGACCTGCTTTACGATCCACGGGCGAATGACGTCTAATGAGACCTTTCGCATGTCCACCTGGAATTGTATGTCATCAGCAGGTCTGTTTTGCAGAAACACGATCTATCCACCTTTTTCTCGAATTCGCTGGGGAACTTCATAGTTTTCAGGAGTTTGAGCTCCTTGTCAGAAAACCTGCGGTCTTGGTCGGCTGAAGTGCCCTTGAAGAAGCCTGCAAACGATGAGCAATAAAAGAGAGTTAGCAAAACATAGAAATACCATCAGCCAAGAATCCTTCTCACCCGCGTCCGCCATTAATGTTGAGAGCGATGCTAATGTTGCTTTTTCGATGATGGCGGCGTTGTCGACGGCGGAAATAGGCGCTCGAGGTGAGAAGGGGTATCCTTTTTAGGCATTTCTCCTTGGTTTTATGTTCTTACCTCCCAATTCTGCGCTCAGTCTTGAACTTCGGGGAACATACACACGTTAATTGCCATGTGCTGCATGTCTTGGTTTGCATTTCGTAGGTTTGATTTGAGACCCGCGCGTTCGAGTGAGCTTCTGTTAAACCAACTTGTTACTCACCGCCGGTAGAGGATGAATACAGCTTGCGGCTGGAGTCTCTAGCGTCATACCACCACCACCACCACCGTGGAGACCTCGATTATTTCAGCTCTAGAGTTCGTTCAGCTTCCGTTTATGCCGCAAGGTACGCCAGCTATTGCACTTCCGTCGATGATGACGAGGCTCTTGCCACTGCCAATGGCAAACTTCAGCACCAGTGGAACATCATATTGCTATTTCTGGGGTTGCGTCCGATCGCCGTTTGTCCTAGAAAAATTGTGATCGCTATCTTGGTCCTGGCGTCGAGTGTTGTTCTACCGTCTATCGGACATGCGCATTGTTACTGCCCAGCTATGATGAATTCCTTCCCAAACCTTAGCTTGGGACGACCGTCTCCCGTTCCTTCGGCCTACATCCCACCTACCTGCCACGGAGTCCGTCCTTACACTGTGCTCGTTGACCCCCTCCCTTCCTCTCTCTCAGACATTGAGGTCGATTCTGAGAGTACACGCGAAGGAGTTTTCCGCATTACAACCGTCCCGCACAAGCGGAAAGGGCTTGTTGCCTGCCAGCGCACTCGCAAGGGCGCGGTCTCTGACAAGTGGCCCTGCTCTTCGCTCAGTCTTCCTCCCGTAGCAACTCTTTGGTTCTCGCCGTACTCTCGAACCGTCCGCACAACGCTCAAAAATGCGTACAAACGCACCCCTTAGAATTTTCGAGACGAGCGCTCTTCCATGCGACGACACCTTAGTCGCAACAGGTTCGGGACGCGTAGGCACATTTCTTACGGCCTCGCAACTCAACCACTCCTACTCGCCAAATGTCGGGAGCACGTGAGACGTCTCCGTGCAAGCCATGACCTTTCATGCGTTGGGGCACATCTGAGAGGGCGAAGAGCTTTGCGTCAATCATGGTAACTTGCTAGCCACCCGTGACGAGCGCGGGACTACCATGCGCGGTCTTTGGGTTCGAATGTATGTGTGACGTGTATACTCTGTATGGAGAGACCCTGGCCGAGAGCGACCGGCGACGGACAGCGATTCGGAGACTATTCGACGAGGTCGACAACTGTGCCAAGGAACCAACACTTGGAATGCGGAAGGTAAACCTCTCTGTTCTGGTGTCTAATTCAGTGGTAGCATTACTCATCACCTTTAGGTTAAATTTGCACTCCGTCTCCTGAAGGAAGAAGATCCTATGCACTAAGAAGCTTCGTCTTCTTTCGATACATTCCAGTTCTGTGTCCTTGTATGCTTCTTCGCGCTCGTCGCGTTCGTGTCTATCTAATGGCCTTTTGCAGGTTTCAGATTTCGTGAACGCAAAAGCATGGGCGAGGTAAGCGTGGACGGCATCATGCAGCACATCAAGCGCGGAAAGCCCAGCTGCACACTCCTTCAAGATGTATTGGGCAAACCCTCGTGCTCATCATCTGGCTGGATTACTGTCTGCTGGACCAGACTGACGGTACGGGAGAATGTGAATCTGGGCCATCTTACTATCTCGCAAGCTGCAGCAATATGCGTTTCATATCACAATTGCCAATCTGTGTGGACGACCTTAATGTGGCAGCTTACTACCACCTCTGCGTTGACTACCAAACTTCGTGGGAATCAGAGTTCGGTAGGTGAGGACTTCTGTTAGCTGAAGAATATCCACTTGCGTGCCAACAGAGGCCTTGCATGCATTTGCAAGCCTGTGATGGAACGCGGTGACAACGTGGATTTCACCTTGCATTGATCATGACCGTCAGGCACAGGTTAAAGAGGCGTACTTTTAGAACTTTTGCTGCTTTCCGTCTTTCCGAGTTCTTTCACCCATGATTGGCCGTTACTTTACCTTTAGGAGATTCTATGCAGACAGCAAGAAATGAGATGGATCCTTACGTTCTCACGCAGTCAACAAATGATGGTTCCAAAACACCCGAGCCTGGAAGTCTGCTATTCAGTACAGTGCTACTTATCTCAGCTATCTTGTTTCTCACCGCACTGCGGAAATACCTTGTCATTCTACGCAGGTCTCTCACAAGCAGAACTGGAGGAAACTCGCTCCGGATCGCCAACGTTTTCTCAGCCAGAAATAGGTCCTTAGACAGTCTGGTGCGTGCGCACACCTACTAGAAGACCTCACCCATGTTCTCTTCCCGATGAGTTCTGTCTGCACACAATTGACCCACCTGCCACGACTACTGACCCCCTCACCGCGACGTTCTTCATGCCTACTATGTCCGCGACTCCCACCAGCTCGACGGACAGTGCCGAGGCGAGCAACACATCTACTGCGCACGGGTTCCAGGCTCTAAGCCCGGCCACTTCGCTGCCCTTTACGTTCGTTATCGTTTTTGTTGCTGTGTTTCTATTCTTCGTCGGCTGCAGTTGCGGAAGTCGTCGTTTTGCTTGGGAGCTTCGCCATCGCATTGCGGTGCAAGACCAGGATACTCCTCGCCGTGTCCGCCAGTCACGACCGGTCTTGTGGGATGTATGGACACAGATGGGTAGAAATACGAGGAAAAATTGGGTAGGACAGAAACAAATAGAGGAAGCCGTTTTGGATATATGGTCCGCTGTGCAGGTAAGCGCACATCTACCTACTCTTGCTGCGGGCACTATGATGACCCATTCGTCGCAAGCCGCTGTCCGTGACATATGTTCGAGAGCATCAACGCCCTAAACACAGAAACGCAGACGCAGATTGTGCACGACCTCCGGTATCTGCAGCCCTTCCCGTTCCCCGGCCGCCTGCACCACTGACCTTACCTTCTGCGTTCCTGCGCGTATTCGAGCGCATACTGTTCCTTCCCCCGTTTATTCCACCACGTATACCACCACGTCGTGATGAAACGGAATTCCCTGAAGTGCCAAAAGCACCACCGCCTGTGCGCGCATTGCAGGTATCCATTCTGATTGCCATGCCGAGTCCGGTACGAGGGACAAGACGAATACCAAGGAGTATGGATGACCTTCCTGAGCAGAAGGAAGACAGGATCGTCGACGAGGAGCGGAGAGGGAGGACAACAGATGAGGTCACGAACGGGGATGCTGCGGATGGAGAAAAACTGGGAGAGTATGTGATTGGGATGACCGAAGTTCCCTGGACGGACGATGGATCATAGTGTTTGTTACTCTATTTAACTCTATTGTTACTCAGGAGCGTTACCCTGTTGTTTGCTAGGACGTATACATTGTATGCTGTATCATCATTTATTGGATGTAATCGATGCCCATATCCGGATTTGCTGAGCAAGTATAGCAGGACCATACTCACTTGAGCACAAGGATAATAATCATTACACAGGAGAGCAGAGGTACGAGGATAACACCGTAACATTCCAACCAGATAGGACGAAAGCGAAAACAAATGACGCATATATGCGGAAATTTTGAACGAACCACGAAGGAAGCAACCTACCACTTGGTACCGACATTCCTCCCCGACTCGACGCATGCACCAACACTAACGCCGCCCACGCCGGCACCAATGACCTCCAGCCGCCCGTTCCACTCCTTCTCCAGCACGCCCTTCAGCTCCTCCATGCGCGTGAGGTGCCCCACTCCAAGCGTCGGGATGCAGTCCGTATGGTGGTGCACGCGCACGAGCAGCGGTTCGGGGATCGGCGAGGACAGCGAGAGCTGTGCCTCTAGCGTCTTGAGAAGATCGGGGACGAATGACTCCCCAGTGTACGACGGCGGCGCCGGCGCGGTGAGGTACGGCCCGCCGAGGATCGCAGTGACTTTCGTGACGTTAGCGGCGTTTGTGTCCTGGTCTGCGAGAGCACACGAGTCGAACACCGTCCCGAGCAGACCGATCGGGTTCTCTTTGGCACTGGCGTCCTCCGGCGCGTCGGCGCCGTTGTAGCCTGCGGACGGACGAGGAACGAGGTACCCGAACCCGGGCGGGTGCAGGCGCGAGGGCGCGCAGGGAAAAATGAAGTTAACGAGGGCGACTGTGGAAGCACCGTTTGCGGTCAGATGAGGAAGGCTAGGGACAGTGGGAGATGATTGCACAAGCGTGGAGAGCATTGGCAGAGGGAGAGCCGAAACGAGGTGAGAGGCAGTAAACGTCGCACCCGAAGCGGATTTCACCTGAGATATGGACGGGGTCAGACGTCAGAATGGAGATGAATTCTTGTCTGCGGCAATTCTAATCTGTTGGTCATTTCGACTCATTCTCACCAATCGAGGGAAAGAGTCGAGATGACAATAGCAGACACCAGCTGGCATGAAGGACACTTACCTGGTATCCGCCATCAACTGTCTTGCTCAGTTCGACGGCAGCATCACCCTTGACGATGGTCACGTTTGGTATCTCCCCAAGCTTCGTCTCCAGCGCCGTGATGAGCATACCCAGCCCATCCCTGAGCGAGAACACGCTCACACCCTTCATGAGGGCCTTGGTATCTCCCAACTCATATTCCTTCTTCTCCTCTTTCTTCTCGTCCTTCTTCCCCAATCCGAAGATGTACTCGATGCCGCTCCAGAGCGCGCCTCGTACGACACTCCCGCTGCCCTTGCTGGCCATCTGGGGAAGGTCGGGAAACGCGGCGCGCACACTCAGCACCCGCGAATCGGCCGCATACACGCCGTGTACGAACGCGCTGCCGAACGTACGCGCGAAGTCCGGGCCAAAGCGGCGCCCGAGGAAGGAAGCTACGGACTCATCTGCATCTGCAGGAGCAGGCCCGTTCCCGCCCCTCCATGCATCCCGGAGTACGCCAGGGAGTAAGATGTGCCCGAGTGGTGTCGTCAGCAATCCGGTCAGCGAGCTGGGGATGCGTGAGAGGCCGTCCGTGCCTGGCAGATGCAGGAAACGATTGCGTGCTGCCGCTGTCTTGCGTGAGACAATGACTAGCGACGGCGTGAGATCAAGTAGGTTCACCTAAAGAACGGATAAGAAGAATAGACAGAGATGTACAGCTAAAATACGCGCCAACTCGAGCACGGCGAGTGCGACAGGCCTCACTGTGCGCGGACCCCCCTCGAGCAACACGCTCGCCTCTGCTTTGCCGCCAGCTTCATCCTGTACCTCAACCTGCACTCGCTCGCTGCGTAAGAAGCCGCCGAGCTGGGTGTCCTTCTCGAGAAGCGTGATACGGGCGTCGGGAAAGCGACGAGCTAGGTGAAACGCGGAAGAAAGTCCAGTGATGCCCCCACCGAGGATGACGATGTCCGTGGGCGCCATGGCCGTCGTTGACGAGCTCGCCGAGGAAGATGGTCGTGGTTGCGAGACAAGAGTCCAACACGCCTGTCCTTCTCGTTTATCACCACATCAGACGTTGCTGATCGCAGGCAGCGAATCGAAAATTTCAGAAGACTTTCCACGCACATGGTCTGGCAGTTTGAATTGTGTTCGAGACCCCTCCAGGGAAGTAAAAGCGGGGAAGGCAAGCAGCAGGCTGTGAGTGCCGCAGTTTCCGTCATTTGAAAGCCAGAAGACATGACCCTTGTGAACTTGTCAAAAAACATATGTATGTTCGACTGCTGACGGGACCCATGTCACCACAGTGCTGTGTAGCGCAGGCTGTGCGATGTGGTCTGTGGACATAGCCGGAGTAAGAAGGGTTGGGCAACAAGGCATTCCTATGCTGGACCAACTTTGAGTCCGACTACACAGTGAGTGCTCCGAAGTTGTACTTGGCGTAAGTTGTCACTCAAGGATAACTCAAGGACTCCATCCATCGTTCACCATAGTGCTGTCCTCGGGACCTCCAACGAAATCTCTGCCTCGGCTTTGTTCACTTCAAATCGACCCAACGCCATAGATCATGGCTTCTGACTCTTCTACTCATCAGCTGGATGTGCTCCACATCCTTTCTGAGGATTCGACATGGACTGAGACCAATGAATCCGTGAGTAGTACTATCCTATCCGCAGTAGTCATCCCTCACTTGGGCTACAGGTGCTGCTCGAACCGTTCACCCACATCAGTTCCATTCGGGGAAAGGAAATCCGGGGCCATATGATTGCAGCATTCAATCAGTGGCTGCAAGTACCCGAAGACAAGCTTGATGTTATATCTCGGGTCGTTAGCATGCTGCATACAGCCAGCCTCATGTGAGTGTCCCTGTTCCTCCCAGCAGACCTCGACGATCGATCCGTGCGAGCGCAGGGTAGATGATATTGAAGATGACTCACAGCTCCGGAGAGGAATACCTGGTGCGTCATGCCTGTGTGAGCCTTGAGGCTCATATGTATATGTGATTCAGTCGCCCATAAGATCTACGGAATACCGCAAACAATAAACTCTGCAAATTACGTGTATTTCCTCGCGTACCAGGCATTATTTGTGTTGCGCTCCGGGATTGGTCCTTCTTCTGAGTTGGAGATGGAAGGCAAGGGTAAGAAACGCTTGATTCCGTTCAGAGAGCTTGACCGAATTGTAACGGGTGAGTTCTGTATGCGATCGTACTTTGCGGACGTGTTAATGCGCATTGTCAGCGGAACTTTTATCCTTGCACCGCGGGCAGGGCCTTGAATTGTTCTGGCGAGATTCACTACAGTGTCCGACAGAAGAGGAGTACGTGTCCATGGTAAATAACAGTAAGTTATTGCTCCGTGATGCTGTACCTCAGGCAGCCAATTTGCCTTCACTTCGCAGAGACCGGAGGCTTATTTCGAGTCGCCGTGAAGTTGATGATGGCTTGTTCAACGACTAATGTTGATGTGTACGTTGCGTTCTTCACATAATCCCCCAGACAAATTGACTTTTGCACAGTGACTATGTTCCTCTCGTGAACCTCTTCGGCGTGTACTACCAGATAAGAGATGACTATATGAATCTGCAAAGTACAGAGGTGCGATCGAGTTTTCACCTTTTGGTCTAGTATGACAACTAATCTCTACACCAGTACACCGACAACAAGGGGTTCGCAGAGGACTTGACCGAGGGAAAGTTCTCCTTCCCAATAGTGCACGGCGTGCGTGCGGACACGTCGAACAGACAGATTCTCAGTGTGTACATCCTTCTGTCCAGCGTCGTCCTCTTATAAGCCCTTACCCATGGACAATTAGACGTCCTGCAGAAACGCCCATCCACACCAACGCTCAAGAAACATACAATTACCTACCTGCGGGATCATACCAAATCTTTTGACTACACTGTAACCGTGCTCAAGAAACTCGAATCACAAATAAGAGAGGAGATTGCGAGGCTCGGGGGTAATCCAGGACTGGAGCAGATCATGCAGATTCTGCAGCTCGGATGAGCCGCAAGGGCTCATCTCGTCGGGTCTTTCGAGCGTTATACATCATGTCAGCCATCCTATCGCTAGCATTCGAGCATTCGTAGATATAATATTAATGTTTTAAGTTCGGAGTCATCGAGAGTCATATACTAGTCATAGGTCATATATGTGTCACGCGCGCGCTACCGCGTTGCTTCCACCACGCGCCGCTGTTACTGCAGTGAAGTCACTTTTTTTTTGCAAACTTCCAACCTTTTGTTTGTTCCTTCCAAGCTGCCTTCGGGGACTTAGAACGACCCAGATCCAGGGAATTGGCCACTGGTGCTATGGGAAAGCACGAGATCGAGTCGTGGATTGCATCGACATCGACTGCTTCAGACGACCTGGACAGTTCGAATGCGAGCGGCCTACAGGAATGGCGACGAGACTACGTTTTGACAGACTGGCCAAAAGCACTAGATGTGGCGAGGACGCGACTGTTTACCAGCAGCACGAAGGTGCGGCTGCAGTTCTTGCGAGAGGAGCTGCTGGTACTCTCAAAATATGGAGGTAAGCAGGTTAAATTCCCACAACGTCTGCAGATCTCATCTTCCCATTAGATTTTAGTCTCTCACAAACGATGGATGTATTCAAGCTTCTCACGCAGACGTATACGCGGTACATTGATGCGCCGTCGCGCGAGGCTGTCGAGGCGGTAGGCTCGGAGCTGGTGCGACGGGACGAATTGCGCGGGACACCGGATGGTGAACCCGAATCGACCAAGCTTGGAGTAACGGAGCAGATATTTGGATGGCTATCTCATGAGGTTGGTCTCATCTCTAAGCGGGCAAGGTTCGTACTACAGTCATGCCTCTCCGGAATGTTTTCTAATGCTGTGTGCTCCAGCTCCCATGCCGCCGCTGACATGTTCGTATTGCTCAGCTGGTGCTGTGGGCTGTATGTGACGTGCCTAAAAGCCAATCCCAACTTTGCAGGCACTTATGCCTGGGACAAGATGATCAACGTGTTCGCGATGCTCGTGGACATGTTACTGGACAAGTCTACGCGAGTCAAGAAGTCGATACAGAAGAGCGCGCTGGTGCGGACGCGGCGCGCACTTCGATCGGTGCGCATTTTGTGGGGTGTGAGACCTGTATTTTCTGACTGTTTCCACAGTGCCCACAGTACCTGAGAGACGTAATGAATACGCTGCTCGCGCTAGCGAAGACCAGCACGTCACCGTTATTCGTGGTACCTCTGCTTGGTTTATCTGTAGATGTCACACTGCATCTCAAGAACCTCAAGGACGAGCAGCTCAAGAAGGTGGATCCAACAATTAAGGTTTGTTCCTTTTAGGTGGATGCAACCTACATTCTAACGCGTTTTTAGGAGGATATCTTGGCATTCTATGTCAGTTCTGTCCTCATGTCAAGATCCCCTGTGACATCACACACTTCGGTACGTGTGTTCGTTCGTAATTACAATCTTGCTAACTGCGTCTACCTAGACCGCGCTACACGACTTCGTCCGAACGCAAGTGACTGAAGACGATTTTACGACACTTGTTCTTCCGACTATGGAAAAGGCGCTTCTACGATCACCAGAGATTTCCATTGGCGGTACGCCTCTTTTACTTGACAGCCTACTCATGATCATCACACACGCTCTGCAGTAATCTCTGAGTTTGTGGCGGCATACTCGCATGCTATTGAAGGTGACACCTTCCGCAGATTGCTGACACCGACACTCAACAACGCCAGGTCGACGAATACCATCGTGCGTAATAATGCCACTGTACTTTTCAAGGTACTTCTTGAGAGGACCCCGAGTCCCAGCGACATGGAGTTAGCGTTGAACGAAGTATTGAGTCTCCCCAAAGCAGGCAAAACTGCTGGTCCCGACCACCGTCTGGCGCTGTACACGATGCTTGCATATGTGAAGCCTTCTACCTCGATTTCTTCCACTGTCGTTCAGTCTGTCTTGCCTCTTCTCGCCAAGGAAACTCATGATGCGGCTGTCTTGGTACTCGTTGCTTCTGTTACTCCTCATCTGGTGTTTTGTCTTCGCCAGAACATCGCCTTCCCTTCGGAGGTTACGGCGTTGGTTACGAAGGAGATGACCAATGCAAAGCCTGTAATTCGACGTGCTTTCAGCACGTTGGTTGGTGATACTTTCTGGCAGTTGAGCAAGTTGGATTCTGAGGCCTCGTTAATGTTTGCACGCGCGGTGTTACCCGCGTTCGAGACAAACCTCAGATCTATAGCAAGCAACCCACTCAATTCCATTGTCGGGTCGTTAGAGGGCTACGCTGCACTTGCGATTCTATTGGGTCCCTTCGCTCATTCAGGGAAATTTGGTACATGAGCTGTCTTTCCATGCAGATTTTGCAGACATTCTGATATCATTCCATTTCATGGTCCTTTCCAGAAGACTTCATCGCACACAGTGCCACAATTCAATCATTGATCGCTACAGGTTCGAAACCGTCGTTTCTGCTGTGGGACAAGGTCTACCATAGACTCAATGCGGTGGAGGACGAGACGTGGTTGCTCCGCGCAAGTGAAGCCTCGCTGTCATTCTTCAAGGACGAACTCATACAAAACGAGCACGCCTGGTCTGTCATATGCGTCGCTCGAAACTCGACTACGTGTTCATGTCTTCCTTCCTACATTACACAGTGCGATGATGGGAATGATTTTCTTGCACTTGGCCATCGAGAGCCACACTCCGCAAATCCGCCGTCTTGTCCTTACTTCACTGGAAACACTGACGGCCAACAATCCTGAAGTTGTGAATTGCGTCATCACTGCAGCGCTGACTGTATATCTGTCGCGACCGTCAACGCATAAATTTCCAAATGATGCTGGTGACGAGCCCAATTCTCCTGTTAACCGGGAAGGTCGCCTACCTGCAGTCCTCCTTGCATCTTGTGGATTTGCCGACAGGTGTGATCAGACAATCCGACAGAACTCACTTGTGAATCTTGTGGTCCTAGCACACCACCCCCTTTTGTGTAAGACGCTCTCAATGGTTGTTTGCCAAACTCTTACTGAGGCTTTTCCGCAGGTGTGCATTCGCGCCAAACATGGATAGAATTATGCCAGAAAGCGCATGTCGACCCCCATGCACTTGTGTGCGCGAGGTTGGATGACATCCTCAAGAAGGTTATGAATGCTTTGGATTCTCATGCCAAGGTAGAAACATGGTCGTCAGCCTTTGCAATCTACTGACCCTTGTGTGCTAGACATACCACGACGTTTTCGCGGAAGCCGGTTATCGTGCTGTGACTACATTAGCTTTTGTATCTCCACAAGAAGTACTTCCAAGGATTATCGAACAAATTCGAGCCGATATCAATCCGGAAGAGATCAATTCCTTAAGCGAAATGGACCTCGGAGTATGGTCGGTCCCTGAAGGAAAGACGTACGTGGATGGTAAGAATTGTGCCCACTCGCTGAGATCAAGTCCAAATGACGAGATTCATATAGTGCTTGCCTTGAAAGACATTGATGTGCCAGTGAAGAAGGGTAAAGGTTATAAAGAGGCTCAGTGGGAGGCAGAGGTAAGGAAGTCGTTAGCTAGCAAGAAGGGCAACGCACCGGCTACACTCTCTAAGCAAGATCAAGCGCTTGTTCACGCACAGCTCGAAAAAGAGTCGCAAATACGAACACGGGTAGCTGTCATAAAGACCAAGTTCGATCGTGGTCTCAATCTCGTGTCTAGCATCATAAACGCACACGTGGACGAATTTCGGCCATACTTATCGTCTGTTGCCACACTGCTACTGAAAGGCGCTTTCGGAAATGGAGTTGCTCTCGTGGGCTTCAATGCATTCGACAGATATCTGGTACGAGTTTCTGTTATTCACGTCGGATGCTGTTTTAACATGGCGACACAGGCATTGTCGAACACTTGTTCGGATCGTTTAGACACACTCCGGACGTGGATAGGCGTTGCGACCCTACGCAGTCTTGGAATCAATGAGATACCGGAAGATTACACAGTTGAACCTCTGAATTGTGAGCTCAACATGATTTTTAAGTGTTACGGGTGGTTTAGTTAGACCGTTCGCAGCGCTTGTTCTTCGCGTGTTATACCGTTTACGCTCCTTGTCAGAGCAGAGTCCCTTTGACGCCGCTACGTTTTCTTACTCGTCCCCATTATTGAGTGAAGTGCTCTTGAAAGGGGGCATTGCTCTGACGGATGAGGACGACCCTCTCGAACAAGTAGCTCTGGCGTTGGGTGTTGTTAGATTCCATTGCGGTGAATGTAAGTGCCTGTGTTATAGATGACTGGTCCTAGTTTACATTGTGATCGATGCAGTCTCAGAGCCAACATTTCCACGGATTCAGACCATGGAAAATCTCATTCATGTTATCAGAACTCAGCCGAAGCTCGCGAAGGAAGCATCTTCCGCTCTCATTGATTTGGGTGAAGCAATGAATCCAACAGCGACACGAGAAGAAATTTCTGCACTACTGCGTGGAACTTTGTTACAGGAAGTGTACGTCCGCAACTCCTGTCTCCAAACACTGCAGGTAAGATTAACATGCTACTTTTAATCGCACAATCCTCTTATCTGATCTAATAGCCATTCGACCTGACGGATTTCGACTGGTCTCCAGAGATCTGGATAGCTAGTCACGACACCGACGAGCAGAACGCCAGATTGGCCCGTCGTGTTTGGGAGGACAATGGCTTGGATGTTCCAGAGAGCTTCGTGGTTGATCTGTCAAAGTTCCTCGGTAAGTGGTGCACGAAGGCTACTCAGAGTGGGCGTTAACAGCTCCAGTAGAGCATGACAATGCCTATGTTCGCTCGAGTGCGGCTGTAGCTCTTGCTGATGCCGTTATCGACATCTGGCCGCAATCCATCACCAACGTTTTGGCTATTCTCAAGGATTTCTACCGCGAGAAGGTATGATCGTCACCGTTATGCATTGCTGTGTCATACTGATCGTCTTCAGGCGAAAGTTTTGGCTCCCGAGTATGATCAATATGTGAGTTTGAAGTGTGAATGACCTCACTTGTCTGTCATTGATGAGGGATCACTAGGGAATGGTGATTGCCCAAAGCCTTGATCGAAGTGACCCATGGCAAGCACGGGTAGCAATAGCGCGTTCATTTGAGCTCCTCTCGCCAGCATTCACAGCGGAGGACGTGGATCCATTCTTCAAGTTCTTGATCCTGGATGAAGCTCTTGGTGACCGTTACGCCGATGTTCGTCGAGGTATGCTTAGTGCAGGTACTGCCGTGATCGACTTACACGGACTGGCTCATCTTGCTGAGCTCATCGCGATGTTTGAATCACATTTGTCTGCGACGGGTTCGTCTACGGAGACGGCTGATTTCATCAAGGAAGCTGTCGTGATCCTCTTTGGCCGTGTTGCTAGACATCTAGAGCCTACCGATAAGCGGGTTCCGCAAATTATCGAACGACTGGTAGATGCTCTGAAGACACCATCGGAACAGGTTCAAATCGCTGTCTCAGACTGTCTTTCACCTCTGGTTCAAGTCATGCAATTGCCAGCTGCAGAGTTAATTGATCGCTTGTTGAATGAACTCTTCAATGCGCCAAAGTATGCTGTGCGACGAGGGGCAGCGTACGGACTTGCTGGAGCAGTCAAAGGCGCGGGGATCTCTGCCATGAAGGAATACAACATCGTAGAACGACTCAAGGCGGCATCTGAAGACAAGAAACGTTATGAGCCGCGCCAAGGAGCCATGTTCGCCTTCGAGACATTTTCGAGCACGCTTGGCCGTTTATTTGAACCATATGTCACCCATATTCTTCCGGTGCTGCTGACATCCTTCGGAGATACAGTGCCTGATGTTCGAGATGCTACTCATGATGCGGCCAGAGTCATTATGGCGAATATGTCGGGTTATGGTGTCAAGACGATCCTACCATCACTTCTTTCCGGCCTTGACGAGAAGCAATGGAGGACTAAGAAGGGGTCCATCGAGCTGCTCGGAATGATGGCCTATTGTGCACCAAAACAGCTATCACAATCTCTCCCGATTGTCATTCCGCGCCTCACCGGTGTCCTGACTGACTCGCATGCCCAAGTCCGAACAGCCGCGAACAAGAGTTTGAAGCAATTCGGGGAAGTTATCAGTAATCCTGAGATTCAGTCATTGGTGCCTGTGTTCCTCAAGGCTCTGGTGGATCCCGGTAAAACACCCAATGCGTTGTCTGCACTACTAAAGACTTCCTTCATGCATTACATTGACCATTCGTCACTGGCGTTGGTGAGTGCTCTGATCCACATACTCGAAGGTGCTCTCATGCTCGTTCTAGGTCGTACCCATCATCGAACGCGGGCTTCGCGAAAGAGGCGCAGACACTAAGAAGAAAGCTGCTCAAATCGTCGGCAACTTAGCGTCACTCACGGAGTCCAAAGATTTTGTCCCTTACCTCAGTCGTCTCCTCCCTCTGGTGCACGTAGTTCTGGTTGATCCAGTTCCTGAAGCTCGAGCCACCGCAGCGAAAGCTCTGGGTACTCTCGTTGAGCGGTTGGGCGAAATTCATTTCCCCGACTTAGTTCCCGGTCTACTTCGCACTCTCAAGACGGATACCTCTGGTGTCGACCGTCAAGGTGCGGCCCAAGGGTTGAGCGAGGTTCTTTCAGGCCTTGGAATGGAGCGAATGGAAGGCCTCCTTCCGGATATCATTGCAAACGCTCAATCTCCACGCAGCACGGTCAGAGAGGGCTTTATGTCTCTGCTTGTGTACCTTCCAGCAACATTTGGTACTAGATTCCAGCCGCATCTACCAAAGATCATCTCGCCAATTTTGAGTGGTCTTTCGGATTCCGAGGATTACGTGAGAGATGCGGCCATGCGTGCTGGCCGTATGGTTGTCACGAACTATTCAACCAAAGCCATCGATCTTCTCCTACCGGAGCTAGAAAGAGGCATGTTTGATTCTGGCTGGCGTATCAGGGTAAGCTCTTACACTGTTGTTTGGAAACTTTTCGTATACTGAGACATGAGTCCAGCAATCTTCTATTACACTCGTTGGCGAACTGCTATTCAAAGTCTCAGGAATTAGTGGCAAAAGCGAGGTTGAAGGCGACGAAGAGATCGGAGACACTGCGACGGCTGAGTCATCTCGTCGGGCTCTCGTTGAGGTTCTTGGTGTTGAGCGTCGTGATCGAATCTTGTCGGCTCTCTATCTTGCCCGCCAAGATGCTGTGAACGTCGTCCGCCAGTCATCCATTCATATCTGGAAGGCGTTGGTGCACAACACTCCTCGAACAGGTAAGTTCAGTGGATTGGAGAACGTCTATCTCAACTCACACGTCCGCAGTGCGGGAGCTTCTTCCCGAGCTCATGAACCAAATCATTCTTCTGCTTTCCAGCAGTGAGGTTGATCAGCAAGAGGTAAAAATGCACCTCTTGACCCCGGCTAGTCTGGAATTTTAATGCCCTTCTTAGACCGCAGCCCGCACTATTTCAGAGCTTTGTCGCAAGTCCGGTGAAAAGATATTAGGAGAGATTGTCTCAATCCTGAAAAGTAAATCAATTTCCACTGACCCACAGACGAGGGAAGGTGTCTGCTTGGCGCTGTGCGAGATCATGTGAGTGGGCATTTCATTGATGTGCAAGGGTAACCACTTATATTGTGAGAAGGGAAAGCACTACCGACAACCAACGAGAAGGACACGAAGATGATATGATCGCTATGGTTCGAGCCGCGTTGGTAGACGATGAAGCGAACGTCCGCAGTGCAGCTGCCAAGGCATTTGATACACTACAAGAACAGATCGGGGCGAAGGCTATTGATCAGACTATCCCAACACTCCTGGAGGCTCTGCGTCAACCCGGTCAAAGTTCTGGAACAGCTCTGCAAGCTCTGAAGGAAGTCATGGCTGTGAGTTGTGTACTTTCTATCTAGGAAATTCCCATCTAAACTTATACCTTTGCAGGTGCGTGCTGCAACTGTGTTCCCGGTCCTGATTCCCACTTTGACAACGATACCGATGTCGGTATTCAATGCACGAGCATTGGCATCCCTTGTGACCGTTGCGGGTACCGCATTGAGCAAGCGACTGACAGTTATCCTCACTGCTCTCGTGAAAATGATAGAATCTTCTGAGATTGAGCGAGATGAGGAGCTCAAGACCGCCGTAGACGAAGCGACACGTGCCCTGTTGGCTTCAGTGTGCGACCTTGAAGGTCTGAACACGCTAATGCTCTTGCTTCTCGGATGGTAGGTGTTGTCGTGTTGTCGCCGTGTTTAGCTCAATGTCAATTGTCAACAGGGCCAAGCATGACTCCATTCAGCGACGGGTCAGCGGATGCAACCTGTTCGCCTTATTCTGTGAAGAATCACAGCTAGACTCCTCGTTGTATCGCGCAGATTGGATTCGACAGCTGGTGTCGTTGCTGGATGATAGTCAAGTGGCCGTCCATAGCGCCGCATGGCGAGCTTTCGATGTCTTCGTCAAGTCAGTACCGAAGGACGAACTGGAACCTCTCGTGGTTCCTCTTCGGCGTACCATCGAAAGCACTGGCGCACCTGGAAGACATGTTCCTGGTTTCAGCTTGCCGAAAGGTGTATCTCCTACTGTGCCCATCATCATCGCAGGTCTCACTACAGGTAGCAATGAGCAGCGAGAACAGGCCGCGTATGCTATCGGGGATCTCGTCGAGCGCACACAGGAAAGCGCAATCAAACCTTTTGTAGTGCCTTTCACCGGTCCTCTTATCCGTGTTGCGACTCAAGCATCCACGTACCCACCTGCTGTTAAGACAGCCATCCTGAGCACCCTCTCTACTATGCTTGAACACATTCCACTATTCGTCAAGCCATTCTTCCCACAGCTGCAGAGGACCTTCGTGAAGAGTGTAAGCGATCCTGCCAGCCTGGTCGTGCGCACGAAGGCGGCACAGGCATTGGGCATGCTCATGCGGAGTCAAACTCGTGTCGACCCTGTGATCACAGAGCTGATCACCGGGGTAAAGAGCAATGACGATGGTATTGCAGGCAGCTTGATGTTCGCTTTGGCGCAGGTGGTGCACAGTGCAGGTAGTAACGTCGGAGAAAAGGCGAGGGAGGCATGTGCAGACCTTGTGTCTGAGTCCTTCAGAGAGAGCCACGATGGTGAGCGTCGTTCACATTGATTAGCGGGTTGTTTTTGACGACACCCGGGCAGAATATTACATCCAGTCCGTAGCCTCGCTCTTCGCAGCCTTGTCGGCGTATCCGGACTTGGTGAAACCAGTCGTCGAGTAATTCTCATTCGCTCGTGTTATATCTTAATATCTAATTTCTTTCTCTCTGCAGGGCCTACTTGACTGCAGGCACGCCAGCTTCCGTGTTGTCATCCCACTGTATATTGGCAGTTCTCTCACCAGACGAAGATTTCCATCAGAGCCAAGATACGACCGTATTCCAAACACTTGGCGTTCTACGAAGTGTCCGACAGAAGGTGCAGGAAAGCATTGCTAGCGAAAAACCATCTATCTCTCGCCCTGCGCGGGAGGCGAGCTCGTTGTTGAAATCTATTGATGATGAGCAATGATTATTTGTTCGGACTGTATTTCCTCAAGCTCCGATGTACATACGAAGGTCATATCATGCTGTGGAATTTGGACCAGTAGCTAGTCTGACTGACTTGTATTAGCTAGTGGTGTTGTGCAAACAGAAGACATCCTACAGAACGTTCCTAAACACTTGCCTGATGGGGAAGCCAACGCTTCGCGACACCGCCAAAGAGTCGGTTGAGCCGCTGTCCGTGCTTCACCTGTAGTATTGCTTGCTCCGTATTATTTATCGACGTATTCCTGGTCAAGAAGCCTGGTTTTTCGACGCCTTAGCATCTTCGCCGTCGGTTTCTCCGCTGCTCAGTCATTACTCTAGTCACATGACACTCTTCAGACACGCCCACTATCTGAGACTCAAAGTGCTCCCCCTTGTATCTGTGCCGTCTCCCTTTCTTCGATCACAAAACATGTCTACGACTGCGCTGCCTCTCCACAAGTTTCTCGTCTATGCTCCTGACCAGACTGATGTTGGCGCGTTAGAGCGTCGACTGTCTGTCCGGGCCAGTCACCTCGAGAACGCGACGGGAACTGCGCGGAAGGGTTTACTCCGTAAGAATTGAAACATCTTGACTGCTCCAGCTCTCCGAACGTTGAACTATTATACGCTAGAAACTGGGGGACCGTTGCTTTCGCCCGAATCGATCGCGTCACCTACAGCTGAGAAGAAGATGGTCGGATCGCTGATGATCTTTGAGGCCGATAATATCGAAACCGTCAAGAAAATTGTCGAGAGTGACATTTACTACACCAGCGGCGTTGTGAGTGTGTATTGTGGTCGTCAGAGAAGTAGACATTAATGTATTATTTAGTGGGATAAGGAGAAACTGGTCATCCTGCCATGGATACAAGCAACCTTCCAGTGATCTGCAGATGTAGATATCCGAACTTGAATTTTTGCTGCATGATGTACAGTATACAAGTATGGAACCGCTCTGTTTGGCTAGACAGAATTATATGAAGGCATGTGGGACTGTCACGAACTGGATATCGCCGATGAAGTATAACTATGGGAGCTAAATGATTCTGATCGCTCACTATGTTGCCACTAGATCACTGAGCTTGCTGTCAAATGTTGTCAAACTAGAGGTGGTAACCTGGAGGCAAGCCTTGAAGAGCAAGAGTCGAGCAATTTTGGCTGGCACCTACAGACAGATGCTGCATGTTATGCAAAGTCTTCCACGGACACCTGTTTCCAAGGTCATTCCTTGTGCATACGAAGCGGTCGATCTTCTAGCTCCCAGCTGGGCCGCTTGACGGTACGTACTTGTCAACTAAAAAACACGACGGTGTCAATTAACAACTACACTCGTGGACCTCGCTCGCAAAACTCATAAGTAAACATATCAGAGAGAGACAAGGTGGAATACATATATATTCGTTCCATGGTAGATGTTCAAGATAGTGAACGGTTATAAGCAGCCACCATAGCCAAGCATGGCTTGATCTTGGCGCCGGAGGCTCGCGCACTTGTGCTCTACTATCATGATCCTCTCGCAAGCCTACGCCAACGACGTTGCGTTTCGATTGTGATCCGCTAACATCAATGTTAGTTTCGGGCCCATCACCGCGCCGTGCGGGTGCTGCACGGGAACGAGCATTGGTGGCAGAACGGTTGGGGCACGGTACACGGGCCGTGATAGGATCTTCTGTACACAGCTGACCAGCGACGTCTAGAGCTGTATATAGAGCATAATGAAGGGGGTGAGCACGCAGCGCTGTCACGAACATGTCGTCGTCGAGCAACATTGCCAAAATCGAGGTGGGCAGATGTTTCGAGTCGAAGTGCACATCTCAGCCTGACCCGTCACCTCTTCGTGATGGATTGACGCTGTCACAATCCTGTCATACTCGTTTCTGCTCAGATCTTCCGCGTGCCACCTCGCTGGGTATTCGTCCGAGTTGAGACAGAGGGTGGTATCGTTGGATGGGGAGAAGGGACGTTGGAAGGGCATACGGAAGCTATCGAGGGGGCATATAAAGACCTCATAAGGAGATTCGTAGGATGGGATGCTGATAGGATTCAAGACATCTGGCAACATGCATACCGCTCGCGGTTCTATAGAGGCGGCCCAGTTCTCATGGTGAGTGTACATTATGGGCTCACTACACGTGAATCTAGCTGAACGTCAGATATTAGTCTGCGCTCTCTGGATTGGATATTGCCCTGTGGGATATCAAGGGCAAGAAACTCGGTGTTCCTGTCTGGCAGTTACTGGGTGGGAAGGTTCGCGACCGCCTCAAGGTGTACAGCTGGATTGGCGGGGACAAACCCCGTGATGTGATTGAAGGCGCAATGAGTCGGAAACAACAAGGGTTCACTGCTGTCAAGATGAATGGCACCGGTAGGCATGAACCCTTGACACCTCCGAAGTAACTGCCCTAATTGGTCTGTCCGTGCGCAGAGGCGATCGGTTGGATTGATTCTCCCGCTTTGTTGGAAGAGACCGTGGCTAGAGTCAGCGATGTCAGATCTGTCGGGCTGGATGTAGGAGTTGATTTCCATGGGCGAGTGCACAAGGGCATGGCCAAGCAGCTCGCAAAGCTGCTGGAGCCTCTTCACCCTCTCTTTATTGAAGGTACTTTATCACATTGTGCGGCATCTCTACCGCTGTTGAACATGACCACAGAACCGTTACTATCCACGCAACCGCTGGAGATCGCTGATCTTTCCAACTCAGTCTCTAGCCCTATCGCGCTCGGCGAGCGTCTCTATGGTCGTAGCGAATTCCGTCCATATCTTGAAGCTCGTGCCATTGATATTGCTCAGCCCGACGTACGTTGATCGGTCGGCCTTGCACACCGCTCTGACCTCGTACTTATATCTGCAGGTTGCTCACTGCGGTGGGATCAGCGAGTTGCATCGCCTTGCTTCCCTAACTGAGACGTACGACGTCGCTCTGGCCCCACACTGTCCCCTCGGTCCTATTGCACTTGCGGCGTGCATGCAAGTTGATATCGCTTCGCCCAACTGTAAGCTTGTTCTTTCGCCCAATTATTCTGCGTGATCGCTCATCCCACCTTTTGTCTCTCAGTCTTCATTCAGGAGATGAGTCTACAGGTTCGCCATATTATTTAGATACTGTCCAGCATTTACTGATTTTTTGCTACTGTTTTCGCTCTTTGGTAGATGCACTACAACGAGGGCGCAGACCTCCTCACATATCTCGTCGACCCGTCAATCTTCGCGATCAAGGATGGTTATGTCGAAGCTCTTCAGGGTACGTCCGTGTCCCATGAACTTGAATTTATAAGACTGACGCAATGGCTAGGCTCTGGCTTGGGCATTGAGATTAACGAAGCTCTAGTGCGTGAGTACGCCGCGAAGTACAGCAGTGATCACCCGTGGAAGAATGCCGTATGGACTGGGGAGGATGGATCACTCAGGGAATGGTAGAATTATATGCTCAATTATTATGTGAGGTCGAGGTGGGTAGTCTGTAGAATCGTTGAGATTGGGACTGAGATAAGATAAGATCATGGTCTGTGACGTATGCAGATCATGATCAGATCTGACAATCCCGATGGGCTCGGAAATGCCGCTCGACTGAACACAACTATAGGGAAGCTGAATCACTCATCTCTAGCACATCTACATTATGTTTCAGGATGTCTCTGATAAGAGATATACCTACTCTCAAAGTGCGTCATCATTGTGGTCTCTTGCTAAGTTATGAACTGACTCCGTCACAATGACAACCGAATTCGATTTTCCTCCAAATGATATAAAACAAAAACTAGCGGTGAGTCAACGAAGCGCATCATGTTCCGCAGAACTCCACAATACATTAGTAAAACCCAGACAGAGCTCCGGATGTTCATCGTCATTCTTCTCATCTTCTGACGGACCCGCGCCTTCGCAACTTCGCCGGTGGGGCATAGCGATGGCTACAGCGATCTGCAGCTGCCCCTCAGCTTGCTGTCGTGCTTTCTGTTTCGAGAAAATATACATGCTTGAAGACGTGGACTGCGATTCGCCGGAGACTGGTCTCTGGCGTGAAACCGAATCGCCAGAATTTTCGGATTTTATCGTAATGTGTGTCGTGGAGATAGGCTAGGCCCCCCTGTGAGCGGATGGATACAAAAGAGAGCGCAGAAGGAACACTCACCATCAAATTTTGCCACTTCGCCTCAGCCGGATGAGTGTCGCGCTTCGGAGAAATCAACGAGACGTCCCACAAAGTCGGATGACCAGGGTGTTTCGAAGACCCATCTGACTGCGAGGACTCGGCATTCCGAACGAGCCGCAGGTATACCCATCGTACGAGGAGGCCGACAGCAATAAATACGGCGACGGCGATCGCTGCGGGAATTGCAGCAGAAGCGCCTGTGGAACCGGAGGTGGAGCTTGACGCGCTGGCTGAGGTGGTGGCTGCACCAGGAGCAGACGCGCCAGGTGCGCCCGGGATGTCACGGCGATCTCCTGCAGTTAAGACAGGATGCATGGATAGATCGTCCGAATTCTGGGCAAGTGGGACGCGTCAGCTAGTGTATCCTGCGAAGAGATATTTTCACGTACCGAAAATCTTTGTAAACGAGTATTCATAGTTACGAATGCAGCCTTGTCCAGAAGTACATCCAGTTGAGTGTACGCGTCGAGCATAGTATTTGTCTCATCGCCAACGTCTGCAGGGTGGATAACTGCGTGCAGGGGAGAAGGAATCGTTGAAGATATAGTCGAGTGACAGCGCGTAGGGGACCGCAATTGTGCGGCGCTGTGCAGTTTCAAGTTCTGTGAACCAAGAGGAGCACCAGTCGTCGGCTATATACACCATTGCGGCGTGGGAGGTCCAAGTGACTCAGTCTGCGGTTACACCGCTACGGCTCAGGAGTCAACTTGGGCTGCGGAGCGCCTGAACGATGATCGGCAATGGGTGCATGCTCTCACGTGTCTAACGCTAAATGGCCCCTGTATGGTGTCCCTTGGTTAAAGACCGGCGCACGATCCTCTTGGCCTACGAATTTCATTTATGAAACATATGACTTTCCGATGAACCAAATATTGAACAGCTCACCAGCGCAGAAGAGGACACACAGCTTGGTCGTTCCCCGTTTGACAGGTTCGCTCAATGCGATATCTGACATTGAGGCGGCTGGTGTCGAGCGCCAGAACGTCGCAACCTCCGTGCAACTGCGGGGCTGCGGGTCATACGCCTTAGCGCGATATTAGCGCAGGGCCAAGGGGAAGAAAAGCATCCGCAGGACTCGATCACTCATCCGCAGAAGTCGGAAATTTGGGCAAGTGCTGAAGCGCCCGAGTATTTCTGTGCGCCGCAGTTGTTCTTCGGCCAATCTCGTTGATCAGTTGCAAGATACTATGGGTTGCATATGGTACGTGTGTGGTGCAGAAGGACGAGCAACTGTGCGAGTGATCGATGGGAGACGCTGAAGGATGAGTCAATGGGTGATTCCGGGGCATTAGTACCGCGTTCCAAGTCCAAAGCACGTAACGAGTCGAAGTTCGAACTTTGAATCAATCAGATTTGGGGTGAGACTCGTTCGCCGGCAGTGCCATGTGTGGGCAGAGGGCGTATGTTTCGCCAACGTTTCAGGTCAGAAACAACGGCGGCCATGGGCTGAGGGTAGCGTGCGGTACAGTCGTTTGCATATGAAACTACAGCCACGGAGTACTATTTATTCCGGCCAAATACCTGCCTAACGTATGCCAGGTGGCGGGCCAAGAGCTGCTACCTCCTGCGCACGCTGGCCTCTGAGCATTTGGGGTGGTGAAAAACACCATTAACCTCACCCACTAGACAAGACATCCTGCTCCCCGTTCATTCTTACTTGCCTTCTGACACTACGGCCGACGCAGACAGGACATGGGTGGCAGCTGAGCAGCCACGCCACCCGCAGATATTACCCGTTAGGTAGGTATTTGGCCTGAGCTGCGAAATCTGTAAATACATATGTCCCATGAACGCGACAGCTCCCGAGCAACTCTAAGCTTATAGCCACAGCTCGCTACAGGAGCCAATCTTTTTCGTGGACGTAAGTATTGGGAGAGCTAATTTGAACGAGCTTTGGAGGCCAGTGGTCACCTGGTCACTTCAAGTGGCAGTGCTCAGCGCTGGCAGAATCCTTTCGTACAGATTTACTCGGACTTTGACACTAGACCACGATGAGTGCTTGCGGTTTCAATGTCACACTTTCCTGGATCGTCGGACCTGTGCAAGTTCAGAGGATTCCACGGAGCAGTTCGGTCTTCAGACAAGTCTGATAGAGAGCTTACTGTCACATCAACTGCAACAACAAGACGCGGGACAGAGATATCGTGCACGAAGTAGGGAGACAGCAACGAGAATTATCCTGGAGAAATGCTGTTTACCACGATATGTCTGAGATGAACATGAGTCAGTAAAGGGACGAGAGATAATCGCAGTTGAGCGTTACCAGTGCCCCGCTTCCGCCACCGGACGTCCTCCATGAGCGCCATCACATGCCTGTCCAGCATATCGACATAGGGTTTGAGCGAAGTCTTCTCCCAATCTGTGCCGTGCGCCTCAGCCAACAGCTACGGGATGGCAATGGTAATACATACCCGCATGACGCTCTGCTCCGTCGCCGGCTGCGTTCGGTGCTAGCTCATCGAGCTCCCGCAGAAGTTGGCCTACAGTGGGAACTCGTTCCGGCTGGAAGCTATAGATAGAATCAGGATCAACGGGGACGCACACGCGCCCCGTCTTCGGATGTACACAGAAGGGCGCCTTCAATAAGTGATTTCTGTGCTTCGACACCTCCGCATCGAGGCGGGGGTACGTGTACTGCAGAATGATGTCCTCCCTCGCTGCCATTAGGATGTTCTGTAGGAGAGTTAAAAAAGCGTGCAGGTGGAGTTAACAATAGACGAACAAACTTGGGACTCTTCTTCACTTTCTTACTCAGATCGTCCCATTTGTCGTCGGAGGACCTCGGCTTCTTTTCCCAAGCACTTCGCAGTTCCTCGACAATTGTCCCATCAGGAATGAGCTTCAGCAACTCCTGCCAACCCTCTTCCGATGCGAAGCAGTCTTGGTCGCCAAGGATGAGGTCGCTGAAGACCGGGGCAAGCAGACCTAGGGCTGACTGAAGCGACGGCGGGAGCGAGCGCGAGCCCATGCGCACATTGACCTTCTTGCTCATGTCCTTCCCGCCCTGTATAACCGTGAGCCAGTTGACGAGCGAGCGGCGCTCCTCATCCGTGAGTTCCATCGCCTCCCTGTCAGATATCCACAGATGGATCCCGCGCCGACCCGAGTACACCCACAACAGATGCTTATAACCGAACTGGTCGCGTATCGCGCTGTCTAGCACGCGCATCGCGGCAGCAATAAACATCCAGCAGCGCTTGCAGATGTCCGCGCCGGAACAGCAGGTGCGGACACCGTCATAGTCGGTCATGTCGATATCGAACACGAGCTCCCGCAAGACAGGTGTGAAGGCGCCTGGCCGAACGGTCTTCTTGTCCCGGGGCTGCAGAGATGTGAGAGACGGTGTACCCGCGATGCTGTGCCACGTACCCGCGCACTGTACACTGGCCCTATCTCGAACCTCGTCGGGTTCAACGTGCACACCTGCTTCTTCAAGTCCTCCGCCGTCGTAAAAGAGTTGTAACGTAGATACACGTCTCCTTGTAGCGTAAACGAGAACTCTCGGTGGGTGAAGAGCCGTGTCGGGGCATGTTCGTGATTCAGCCAGCCGAAAATAGACTTGAACGGGTATAATCTGCGATAGAATGCCAGCATAATCTCAGGTGAAGGTAGCTCTATGTCATTCGCGATAGCCATGATAACAACGCGTGAAAAAGTATGGTCTGGTGGTAGATGTGAGAGTGGTGAAATGTGCCGCGCACCTTGTCAGTGCAACGTGATAAAGTGACAGTCGCGCTATGTCACAGTCACGTTATACACGTGCATGGTACGTGAATTTTGTTCCAAGCAATTCCAGCGTATCACATACGTAGCTTTGGTCGGGTTTGGCTGAAGGCGGCCTGTATTGTTCCTTTGGTCCTGACGGCCATGCCAGAGTACCCGCTCGGGGTTGCTATCCTCCTTACGACCACCGCGGTTTGCAGCTTCGGTGTGTTCTTGATCTCTGCTCGCGAGGGCAAGATACAGCTTCCAGTAAATGTCCGGGAGCAAGAATCTCTCCTGAACGACCCTTTCGATGTCACAACATCAGAAGACGCGCTCGATGGCACACCTGTCGACGAAGACAGCTTTTGGAGACGAGTAAGTTGCAGTGCTATTGTCACTATTTCTCGCTTACTACATTGCATTGCAATATTGCAGATGCGTCTCTGGAAGCTTGCTATAGTGCTGCTTCTTGCAGGTGTTCTAATTTCTGACTGTGTCTCTCTGGGATGGGCAATCGTTGAAGAATATCAAACCGATCTGACTGTCTGCTCTCTCCGTGTTTTGTTCGCGTTTTATGTGTTTCTTGTCTCGGCTCGCGCACTCAACCAGCAGTACAGTCTTCATTCTGAATCTGTCATTCATTTATTCGTCCTAACGTTTGTAGCGACTGCCTTGCAGTGCACGACAGCCATACTGCCGTCGTCTCGGTCTATTGGCGCGGCAGCGTTCGGCGATGTCTCTGTACCTCTTGCTCGTTGGTATAATGCTCTGGTGTTGTATACTTCGGCCTTCTTGATAGTGGTCAACATACCCTGTGGACCTCCTCTCCACTGCCCCTCGGAGAGGATATACTCGGACAAAACTCTCATGTTGGTCAACACCAGGGAAGAGGCCAATGTTTGCTGTGTAACGGGTAGGCCTTCAAGCGAAGGTGAATAAAAGCTTGACTCTGATTGACTATAGGTGCATCTGTGTGGGATATCTTGTGCTTTTCCTACTGCGCCAAAGTCGTGATGCTCGGTAGTAGCGCTGAAAGCATAGAGATTGCTGACCTTCCCATTGTCCCCGCCGACATCCGCATAGCGAACATATACGCAGGCATGCGTGCCGCAATGCGTCGCTGGAAACTCCGCATTCGGGACTGGTGTCCTAAGCTTGATTCTGGCTGGGAACTGACGTATCGACTGGTGCGGGTAAACGCGCACTCACTTATTCTTATCTTTATTCTCGCTTCCATTTCTGCGGCCATATTCTATCTTTCGGCATTCTTCCTGCGAAGGATTATTTCATATCTGGAGAAGGACCCCTGGAGGACAGACAAAGGATGGGCATGGGTGTACTGTGCAGGTCTCTTCTTCAGTAACGTGTTTGTGCAACTGCGTAAGCCAGCTTAATGATAGACCTTGCTTTCGGTGATTCACAGGTCCTGTGTGATAGTCACCGGCCAACTGTTCTCGGTCTCGTGGGTGAACCTCCAAGTACCGCTACGGGTGCAGCTGAACACGATCTTCTTCGCGAAGACCCTCGTTCGCAAGGATGCTGTATCAACTATCGTCGCCGCCCCAGCAGTCAGGAATGGTGCAGAAGGAGAGGGTGCCGGTGGTGGTGGTGGGGAAGCGAAGAAGGAAGGTAGCTAGGACGAGTTCTTGAGCAAGGCGCACGTCATGACACTCATGACAACTGATGTGGATCGCGTTGCCTCCTTCACTTGACAGCTAGCGCTCTTTATTCTTATTGACTCGCCTGTCGAGATCACAATTGGGACAATTTTTCTGTATAAGCTTTTGGGTAGGCAGCTTTTAGTCACATCTTATTGACCAAACTCACCTACGTTTCATATCTTAGGTGTTTCTTGTTTCTTCGGTCTGGCTATAACATGTCTGTTTTTGCCTCTGAACCACTTCGCTGGGAAGATAGTCGTGGGTGCCCAAGAGAAGCTCATGAAGGCCCGAGATGAACGAGTCAGCTTGCTGAACGAAGTTTGTCTCCTTCGTCTAATTGTCGATTCCGGATGTAACTGAAGCGTCTCTACATTCTCGGTGCAATCCATATGCTCAAGGTCGGAAATATTTCCCTTTATGTCGAATTTTCCCTGAATTTAATCAAATTTCCAGTTTATGGCGTGGGAAGGTAGCTTCGAAGCAAGAGTGCTGAAGGTTCGTGAAAGGGAACTGAAGTACCAACAACTCAACTACTACATCGAGGTCTGTGACTGTCTCTTTTGCCACTGATATTGCAGGGGTCACAGTGGTGCGAGTCTTCGGAGCCTCATCGAATTCCTTGGGAGACATGCTGCGTGCTGTGTGAACACAGTTTGTCACCAATATCTCAGGGAAATTCGCTGTTCATTATCTTTATCTCTCCCAGAATTCCACCCCGTTCTACTGGACGTGGGCAGGTGAGCCCGGTGCTGATACTCTCAGGATTGCTTTTCATTCGGTGTGCATAGTGACTCGATGGTTGTCTGCCTGCTTCAACCTACTCTCAAGCGCTGTAGTGGGCATTACTGGACTCATTGCTATCCTGACGCCCAGTATTTCCGTTTCCTTGGCGGGATTCACTCTAGCTTTTGCTTCAACCGTAACTAATGATGTATGTAATACACTTTCTTGTTTGTTGGTTGGTGCATACTGACGTGTCTGCGATGGTCTAGTTGTTGTTCCTGGTGTGCCGTGCATCTGTCTTAGTTGTTCATAAACTCAAATTTGTCATAGTCTCGGTGGTTCGTTGCTCTGGAACAGTCTATGGTCCATGTGTTGGTCGCTGGTGACACTGGACCTCGCTCACATACTAGAATGCCAATAGGTTGAAGTTGAACGAATCAAGGAGTTCTCCGAGATCAAGCGGGAGCCCCCAGAATTCGTGGAACAACGTCCTCCAGCATCGTGGCCAGAGCACGGCGCCATCAAATGCGAGAACCTAGTCATCCGATACGCGGTGAGTTAACGCTGCCTCCTAATGTCTCCCGTGGTGTTTCCTGATGCTGTGTACCCAGCCTGAGCTGCCAAATGTGCCGCACAGTCTCAGTTTAGAGATCAAACCGAGTGAGAAGGTCGGTGTGCTTGGGCGGACAGGATCGGGAAAGAGCACGCTCGCGCTGTCGTTCGCCGCTTCGTGGAGCCAACAGAAGGGCGTATCCTTATTGATGACTTGGATATTGCACAGCTGGGCCTCACAGATTTGAGGAGCAAGCTGACCATTATCCCTCGTCAGTGGTCTCGTTGCATCTGCTTCGTCTGAAATGCTGATCCTCGAGAATCAGAGGATCCTACGATTCTGAGTGGGACACTCCGCTCGATGCTCGATGTGTTCGATGAGTACGAAGATGCTGAGATTGTACGTCAACGCCTCACTGAAGAATAATATGCACTACTCACGTAAATCGACCTCAGTACGAAGCTCTCCGATGCGTCCATCTAATCCCCTCGGCCGACACGCCCGCTGAAGACAGCGGGACGTTGAACGCGAACGTGAACGTCTTCCGGAACCTCGAATCGCCCGTCTCCGAGGGCGGAGAGAATTTCTCTACCGGGTGAGTGCAATCATGCAATCCATTTGTGACCACTTTAAACAGGCTGGCAGCGAGAAGCAGCTGCTGTGCATGCCACGGGCTATTCTCAAATGCTCGAGGGTACTCCTGATGGACGAGGTACGTCCCATTGGCTGTGCGCAACTTTGGACATACACTGACACTTTCATTTCCAGGCTACTGCGAGGTCAGCGGGGATGTCTATCAAGGCAACACACGATTGACTGTCAATTGTTCCAGTGTCGACTATGCAACGGACGAGCTCATTGGCAAGACAATCAGACAGTACGTTGCTTGTTCTTCGCATTCACCGCCCTCCCGCATTCACCGCCCTCCCGCATTCACCGCCCTCCCGCATTCACCGCCCTCCCGCATTCACCGCCCTCCCGCATTCACCGCCCTCCCGCATTCACCGCCCTCCCGCATTCACCGCCCTCCCGCATTCACCGCCCTCCCGCATTCACCGCCCTCCCGCATTCACCGCCCTCCCGCATTCACCGCCCTCCCGCATTCACCGCCCTCCCGCATTCACCGCCCTCCCGCATTCACTGCCCTCCCGCATTCACCGCCCTCCCGCATTCACCGATGAATTGATTGTCTACGTATCAGGGAATTTGCCGACAGCACCATCCTCACCATCGCACACCGGTTGCGCACGGTCATCGACTACGACAAAGTAAGTACTCCCTTTCGTGTTGAGCGCCGAGTCTTCCGTTGACAATTAGCAGATTATGCTTCCAGAGGAAGGTCGAATTGTAGAGTTTGACAAGCCCGCCGTCCTCCTTGCGGACCCGGACTCCAAGTTTTGCTCGTTGTGCAAGGCGACGGGGAAGAACGAGTTCGCCGTGCTCAAGGCGGGTGTCCGGTCATAGAGAATCTGGTACTTTTAGAGAACTTAAGAGGTGTGGTGTGGTGATGCCGCGCCGTGTCCCTACTTGCGCGAACGACGGGCTCGATATGCTGAACCTGAGATTCGCATTGACCATCCGCTAGGCAGGAATACTTATCTCTGCGCGTGACGCAGACTCCTATTCCATGCTTTGCATATCGTTCTAACACGGATGCCCACTTCAAGTTGCACTATGTCTTCTCTAGTAGCATTTGTTTGCACAGGTCACCCATTCTTTGAGTGTTACTGTTTCATCTTCTCTTCGTACTGCTGCTCTCTGCCTGTTACAAAAAAATGAGCGTATGCTCACGTGCAGTTCTAGCACCGACAAGTACCATTACAAATGAACCCCGCGTCCGTGCAATAATATACAATCTCTACTTACAAAAAAATAACCACGAAAGCAGTATGAATCCCGAAAGCAGATACTACACACTGCTTTGTTAGCCAGGTGTTCCATAACGAATGTGTGGTGGTCTGGGCATGCAGTAATGTGTAGCATCTGTCCGGGCTACATGCCCACCCACCACATATTTGCGAAGGAACACTTGGAAAACAGAGCAGTGGTTCTTGACATTCAGCCCACTGACAGTGATGCATCATCATCCATATATGTGACATGTGCAGTCCCAATTGCAAGCCCGGACAGAGCCTCCAAGACAGCCGGAGCAGCCGCGGTCTCGCCCACCGCATCACCAAGCGGAGCAGTGCGGGGCAGACACCGGGAGGGCATAGCTATCAGCACGGCGACCTGTGCACGCTGCACGGGATAAGAGAAGGACATGCTCGGCCGCTCTTTCGCGTGCGGAGATAAGTACCTGTCCGCCCGTTGAGCTGGTGAACGGCGCATGTAGTGATTGGGGACACGTACCAGAGAGGCCGCGATGGGAGAATGAAGTTTCCTGTGGCGCTGAAGAGACTCTCGGCGGTGGGTGTCCGGAGAGTGTCCGAGCGGGTAAGTTCGCACGCCTCGACGTCGAGTGAGACTGCCAATGGCTGCGAGCGCACGAAAGTACATAGCAACGTTCACCGGTTACCCATGTCATTCGCTGTGTTCAATACAGGATGACTCACATGTAAGGACTCCCATGGTGAATGTTGATGCCCCACGGCAGAAGTCGGTGGCGCGCCCGTTATCGCGACCTCCCAAAGCTCCGGCTTGGGCCTGTAGGCCTCTGCGCGGCTGCTCTCCAGCTCCAGTCGCCCACGCAGGCGTCGCTGCGCCTTCCAGCGATACCACGAGGCGCCGCCGATCATTAACGCGCCAAAGGTGCCCAGGAAGACGATGATGAAGCTGAACATGACCGTGGTGGTGTTTGTGCGTGTCGAGCCATCACCGCTCGAGGACGTCGCTGACGGTGAGGGCGAGGACGGTGAGGACGGTGATGGCGGTGAAGAGAAGGAGGGCAACGGGGAGAAGACTGGGCCTGAAGGGTACTGGGTCGCCATCTAATACTGGGACTGCTACGCGAGTGCAGATCCGAGTCGCAGTCAGGGACAGAGGATCATTGCATGTCACGTTCCCCTACCCCCCATCATGCCATCAACAATCTACTCTTCTGTCGTCTTCACAAAACTATTAGAAAGTATTTCTCTTTCATTCCCGTCTGTTCCAGGATGAGCTGCACGAACATCGTGTTCCTTATTTCCATTTGTCGTCTTGATCGGTCGCCGCCACTTCGTTCACCCAGATCTCAGATGACTGCCAAGCTTTATCTCTACAAAATGCTCGGGAAAATGCACTGGCATGCAGTCGTTGCAAGGGATTGAGTACGGAGAGTCACAACCTGTACTCGGGGAACTGGAGGAAGACTGCGGGAATTCGCAGAATGCAGCGCGGTGTAATATAGGGCGCAATCCATAATTTGGTCAAAAGAGTAAAGCGCCACATACATATCTAGTTAGATAGTCACTGGATACCCGCCACTTTCTTGAGCACAGCGAACTAGTTCTTCCCTGTCGCCTTGCACAATGAGTAAAACATCGAGTCCGGGTCCGCGAAGAGGGCGGCGGGCTTGTCAAACTCTACGATCCGCCCTTCCTCTAGAAGCATAATCTGCTAATTGTCGACGAAAGACTCGACACTCAGCATGAAAGGGAGCACTCACTCTGTCGTAGTCGATGACCGTGCGCAACCGGTGTGCGATCGTGAGGATGGTGCTCTCGGCAAATTCGCTGAAAAGTGGAGATCCAGTTCATAGGTGAATGCGTGAATGCGAAGAGACAAGCAATGTACTGTCTGATTGTCTTGCCAATAAGTTCGTCGGTAGTGTAGTCGACACTGGAATAATCGACAGTCAATTGTGTGTTGTCTGGATAGACATTCCCCGGGCCGCTGTGATACGTAGACAATCAATTCATCGGTGAATGTGGGAATGCGGTGAATGCGAAGAACAAGCAACGTACTGTCTGATTGTCTTGCCAATAAGTTCGTCCGTAGCGTAGTCGACACTGGAATAATTGACAGTCAATTGTGTGTTGTCTTGATAGACATTCCCCAGGCCGCTGACCTCGCCGTAGCCCTGGAAATAAAACTGTTAGTGTATGTCGAAAGTTGGACACAGCCGATGGGACGTACCTCGTCCATCAGGAATGCCTTTGAGTATTTGAGAATAGCCCGTGCCATGCACAGCAACTGCTTCTCGCTGTCAGTCTGTTTAGAATGGTCACAGATCGATTGCACGATTGCGCTCACTCGGTAGAGAAATTCTCTCCACCCTCGGAGACGGGCGACTCGAGGTTCCGGAAGACGTTCGTGTTCACCATCTCGCTGTCCTCAGCGAGGGTATCAGCCAAAGGGATTAGATGTTCGCGTCGGAGAGCTTCGTACTAAGGACAGCGTAAATGAGCATACGTCAGTCGTAGAGTCGAGCATGGACGTACGATTTCGGCATCTTCGTACTTGTTGAACACGTCAAGCATCGAACACACGTTCCGCTCATAATCGTGAGGTCCTCTGTTCAGCCGCAAGGGTCCGTCCTTGAACCGACAACTTCGGCCAAAAACGCTGACGGGGAACGATAGTCAACTTGCTCCTCAGATCGGTCAGACCAAGCTTCGATATGTCAATGTCATTGATGAGGATGCGTCCCTCAGTCAGCTCGACGAAGCGGAAGAATGACAAAGCTAGCGTGCTCTTTCCCGAGCCCGTCCAGCAAGCACCCCGACTTTCTCGCCGGCTTTGATCTCGGAGCTAAGGTCATGCAGCACGATCGGCAATTCGGGCTGTAAAATGGGTGTGAAACAGTATATATATCGTATAGGAAAGATGGCGTTTTTCACGAGCTGCATAGCGCATGACGAGGTCCTCGCACTTAATCGCGCCTTGCGCGGGCCAAGATGCTGGAGGGCGTGCCAGTTCGATGAACTTTGGCGGCTCCTGCTTGAGATCTGAGAACTCCTTAACCCGTTCAATTCCGACCTATAAGCATGTTTTTGAGTTGCCAGACGTCCACATATGTTTCACAGATGTGCCATTGACTGCTCCAGGGCGAAAAACTGCCGGGACTTAGAGCAACGTCAGCATATATTGGACTCAGACCCATTAGACCGCGTACTAGGAATAGCAACTGAGAAAAGGTAATTCAGTATGCATCAGATTCAAGGGGTTCTGGCGCACGTACATCCAGTGTAACGGTCGACGTAAATGCGAGTGCGAAGGCCAGTAACGGTGTATTCCTACTGGGCGACAGAACGGAGACGAACCCAGCCGCGCCCACGACAGCGCTTGAGATCAAGTTGAAACTTGACGACCAGCAGTTCACTGACCGCGCTCAGCCGTGACCAGAGGGGTTCTGGGCGCACTCACCTCCCCACATCCAGTAGTAAGGGCTAGAAGTTGAATTCTGAGCGAACATCAGTAGATGTTGTGAAGAGTAAACGAAGACGTACGGTGTAACGGTGTGCAGCCTGCACACCGTTACAAGATATGACATGTACACCTGCACAGTGCAGGTGTCATATCTATGCATAATATACCGAAGACTACTGTAAGCTGAGCGCGATGCAAACTCCCCAGTAGTCATAGGACAGCGGACGCATGCATAGCGCGGCGAGCAGGCTATGCATTAAGCCGCTCGAACCTCGTAAGTAGGAGGGGCCTCTGAGAGGTCCCCCGTGGGAACCAGTGAGTTTGAATATTGACATCGGCCAAACGGCAGCGACCCCTCACACATGCATTGTATAGTCATTGCGTCCCCTAATAATGCTGGAAAAATCGCATTGTACTGCATGGTAATTACCTCCACATTTCCTGTACCAGATATGTGTCCTGATTCATCCGGAATTGCCTTGCAAATTTCGTGCGCGTTTTTGCCGTCGGCATGTTCGATCTCCGCAGTTCCCACGGGGGACTTCTCAGCGGCTCTTCATACGAGAATCTAGTCTCGGAACCAGACGTTCGGTGGTAGCAGGGCATCACGTGAAACTGACAGCGGAGAGCGAAAAAGAGATGCACAGCTACCACCTAGAACGTCTGGTGAAATTCGTATAGGCGGGGGGGGGATTGTCACACTTCGTGACCAGCGCGTCAGGGCGACGCGTCCTACGACGCGTCTTCTGTGTAGTGTGTAGCAATCACGATACACCTTCCCCTCATACATATTCTGCCTCTATGTCCTGCCCTGAGAGTTCTACCTCGACTTCTCGCTCATCTGCAGCTCCAACCCATACCCACGCATCTGCAACCACTTCCGCAAGTGACGCAAACTCAAGAGAAATCCCGGCGACGGCAGCGCAGACTCCCCATGACTCGCATAAGAACCGGAGAGCAAATTCAGCGAGAATCCTGCAGACTGCGCGAGAACAGGCATCCAAATTGCGCGGATATGACTCACGCGCATGCCGTCGTCGCCTCATTGAACGGTTCAGAGAGGCCAATAACAAATTCCCTTACGGCTGGCAAATCGACGTTGGAGAGGCCCTCGTTCTGGGGCTGGATTGCTCTGTAATAGCGGGTACAGGCGCGGGGAAAACGATGCCGTTCGCGATGCCTCTGTTCGACGATGATACTCACGAGAAAATTGTTCTTGTTATCTCTCCACTCAATGCATTGGAGCATGACCAGGTATGTTATATTTCTCCATCAATATGTCACTTCTAATGTGCCGAGTATCGACAGGCAGAGAGATTTAAAAGCATGGGGCTCGAAGCGACCGCTGTGAATGGAGAAGTGTACAATCCCCGTCTACATAAGGTAAGTTTGTGATCTAACTGCTTCTACATGTGCTCGTGCTCATGGTTAGTCTAGGAGATTGTCTCTGGAAAGTACAGGCTGCTACTGACTTCCCCGGAGATGTGCCTAGAACATGCGGCATTCTCCGCGCTTATGCGCTCGCCCGAGTTCATGAAGAATATTGCGAGTATTGTAGTCGACGAAGCACATTGTATCTCGCAGTGGGGAGGGGATTTCCGCAAGAAGTTCGCCGAGTTAGAGAAACTTCGTTCATTTGTACCACGGCATATTCCATTTCTCATCACTTCTGCGACACTCCCGCCACCCGTCCTTTCCGAAGTCCACTCAAAACTTCACTTTGACGCGGAATCTACATTTCACCTCAATCTCGGGAATGATCGCCCAAATATTACACCCATTGTGCAGCGCCTGTCCGGTGGTGCCTCTGCCCTGAACAACCTTGATTTCCTGGTCAAGGACGCAGCCTCGGGCACACTATTGACACGTACCATCGTATTCTTCAATACTCGCAAACTCGCTCAAGCAGCCAGTGAGTACTTGCAGAGCAAATTACCTGACGACATGAAGGATCAAGTGAACTTCCTACATGCATGTCGCACGAAGAACGCGCGCAAGCGGGTGATGAAGGAGTTTCGTGAGGGTAAGATCAATATTTTGTGTGCTACCGAAGCCGCTGGAATGGTAAGTTGTCGTTTTTGAATAACAATGAATGCTGAGCTCATGTATCACACAGGGCATGGACATACAAGATATCATTATCTCAGTGCAATACATGTTACCCTCGTCACTCTCAGTTTGGTTGCAACGTGCTGGACGTGCCGGACGCAGTGGCGCTCTTGCATTTGCCATATTCTTTGTAGAACCATCCGTGTTCCAGAAGAAAGGAGCCAAGAAACGAAGCAAGAAAAAGACCACGACGGAAGAGGAACATGAGCTTCTGGAGGCCATCGAGCGGTTGCAGGTAGAGCCGGAACAGGAAGGTGAAATAGCAGGGACTAATGTCGAGTACAAGAAGAAGACGGAACAAGGGCTGCGGGACTGGATTGATGCCGTCGATTGTCGTCGCCATGTCACGGATCGTTATTTCAGCAACCCGCCAGCTTCGCCCGATCTTCAAGCTTTGATGAAAACAGTGGACAGTGAGGGGCAGCAAGAGGATGTTGACGACACTGTGTTCATTTGTGGTGAGTAATCACATAACAGAGAGTGTCATATTGTACTCAACGCATCGTAGAGCAAGCGTCATCTTTTCCATGCTGTGACAATTGCGTCAAGAAACGGCGAAAGGCTGGCGAGGAGTTGTCAGATGGGGAGATGCATGTGATGAATTACATCAACCTCCTTGGTGGATTCACTGAAGACTCGGACCAAGACTGGGATAACGAGGGTGATGAAGACGAGGATGACGAGGATGAAGAAGTACCAGATGCTGACGGTGAGGATGGCAAAACTCGACGCAAAGGCCGCAGACGTGGGGAGCATCTCAAGAGATGCCGAGAGAGTTTGACCACCTGGCGCACTAATTGTTGGTTGCGGACTTACTCTGAGTGCAGTTTCGATCACACGGTTTTACTACCAGACATGGTGCTCACGGCGCTAGCATCGCGTGCCCATTTACAGACGGTGGATGACATCAAAAATGAACTCCCAGGTTGGCCGACAGTCTTCGTCGACATGCATGGCAGCGAAATCCTCCAAAAGCTTCAGGTCATCGACGCAGCTGTGGCACAAGAGAAGTTAACAGAGACTACACGTAAGGCGAACAAACGTCGGCTGGCGAGCGCCTCAAACAAGCTACAGAGAGATGAAGATAGGCGCATCAAACGACGCATTGAGCGTTCAACTGCAGTACCGCAAGCCGCGAAGGTCTTACAGCAAGTTCCTGTAGCTCAAAGTGTCGCACCTCTCACCCTACAACCACCTCCGCCTCAACAGTTCCACTTCATTCCACCACCGTACCATCATCCTGGGCTGCCACCACAGCATGGTGGTTACTATCCACATAGACCTTACGTTCAGCCATTCCATCCATATGTGCTACCATATGCGCCACCACCACTACCGCCACCATCGCTTCAAATGCACCACGAATTGCCCTCCGGCAATCCTCAGTATTATTCATACTTTGCACCTCTACTGCCATCGGGATCTGTGCCATCTGCACATCAAGCATATCCACTGCCGCCTAGCTTCCAATTCTACCCGTCTCTGGAGTCATCCTCCAGAGAGATTCACTCACATCCGTCATCACAGGCACCACAATCGCCATCAGATAATTAGAATTACACTCTATTATGTCGATATCATCCACAAATGCAATGGAAGCCTTGTTCTTTGACGGAATTACGGTACGCTCGTGCACAAGTCATCCCAATCTTGTGCTGTGGAACGATTTGTCACCCTCTTCTCTGCCCACTTCTGGATCACCTTTCCTTTCGCTACCAGTGCCGCGCCCTTTGCCAAGAAGTCTGAGAACTTATCCTGAGGTTTGAGCTTTGGTATGCGACCCGACGTCATCTTGTGAGCACCCGAGTTCCTATATGCTGCCTGTAACTTCGTGACATCGGATTCCTTTGCCGGACTCGTGTGTGATTTTCCTCTCTGTCCCTGATTTACTTCTCGTTCGACGTGATCCTTGATGTTCCTCTGTGCTGGAATTGAGGCCGAAACCTTGTTGATGTACTCCCAAGTTGCCCCAGGCCCGATAGCAGCAAAAGTGCTCTGACGGAATTGTGCAGGAGTATTAGCAGCAACCATCAGGCATGATCAATGCATTTTTGCTCATACTCACTTTGATATCTCTAACATTATGCTCCTGTACTTGATCTATCGGTGTCCACCCATTCGGTAAACCGGTCAAGTTCACCAACCAGCAGTTTTCACGTACGTATTGCCTGCAAGCAACATGGTCAGTAGTGATTCATATGTCGCACCACGTCCACTCACTCACTTCAGATCATCAGGCCATTCACTGTGCAGACCCTGTAGCAGCTCGAGGATCTCATTGTCAGCGCCTTTGTTGATGCATACTCCTTCAGAATCTTCTCCGCAAGATCGCGCAGTGCATCGGGGGGAAGATTGCGGAGACCGCTAAGATTCTCAACCTTGCCAACAGTGCACCAGATGTCACGGAAGTGCGCTTCGATGGTGTGGTCAAGTGCCTCCTCGAAGGTATGATGGAATAAGCCCTGAGTAGCTGTTGACTGCAGACCTCGCCTGTCCAGTAGATCAAAAGCATGGACAAGGCCCAGTCCTGCACGGGTGCCGGAGTACTGAGAGTGGGTGTTGTGCTCGTATGCCAGGAGTCCGTGGAACCACCCGAAGATTTCCAGGTTGAAGTCCTTTCGATCCCAGCTGTTGTAGTCCTTATAGCGGAACCCCTTCAAGCCACGTATGCGAGAGATGGTGAGCTGATCGCCGACATGAGGGAGTATGGTCTCGGTTGCTACACGCCTGCGTTCTTCAGGTGTGTTGAAACCCATCTGCGTGTAGAACTCATCCATGACACGATCATTTCCCTCGTAGCTTGCCTCTTCTATATGCAGAGTATCCAGCATATACGTTGTGGTCTTATGCTCCTTACCGCACTTCAACTGGCGAGTACGTGGTGGCGGCTGCAGGCGCGGACTCTCCTTGTACTCATATGAGTCAAGGCCAAACTCGGGTGCGTCAAGGAGATACTGGAGGATAACGTGTGTAGCACGTGCAGTTAGACGAGGTGCGGCGTCCATTTCTAGCTGGAATATCAATGATGCTGTGATAGGTTTCTTGCATCCACTAGCGCGTTTCTCTTGGAACGCAGGATTACTTGGAGGGATCGCATCTGGATTCTTGACAATATAGACTGTGCCCGCCGTTCCGCTATCGAAGTGGCTATGGTGATCGGCACGCTGTTCATACACTTGAAAGCGCATGTTCAAGTTATCGTAGGACATGAAGAAGGGGTATTTCTTCATATCATCAAGCAGAGATTGGCGGGCTCGAAGGGAGAGTACTTCGAGACTATGGTAAGTCCATTTCTGAGACATCGAGACGCCGAGTGCATGGAGGGTGTCAAACGCCTTCGCTGATGTCCCGCAGCTCTTCAAATAAACAGCCAAGAGCCTCTGACATAAACTGTTCCGGTTCGAGCGCGAGTAGGAGCCCATCGCAATCATTAACAGGATCGTTTAGCATGCATATAAGTATCAGTTTTGTTCTGACTCCGGGAACAAAGACTCACGGAATTGGGATTTTTCAGCATATTTCTCTTCTCCTGTTGTGCTGTCCACGCAGAACGATGGAATAGGTCCCAGACCGTAGGTGCTGCTATGCGGATCATCCCCTGTAGTTTCTCCCAGCTGATAGCAAGCAGGTCTTCTTCCGAGAGGTCCGAGGGCTTCGTTCTCATGACTTTTCCGACGCGCGCCATTTCCCGGTGTATTGTCTTTTTGATGCAACTGACTGCGAATGTATTGATCGCGCTTGCCGCGCCTTTCGTCTTGATGCCGCGTCCGTGTCCACGAGGAGGCTTGAACCATTTTCCGAGCAAGTCTCCCAGTTCATCGCTGATCATGAGTGCAGTGCGTTCGAATTTCGCCAGAGGATCTGCAATCAGTTCAGGTACATTCCAGCTCAAGGCCCAGAGAAGCAGAGGCAGGTCCAGCTTTTTCTCTAGCATATAGCCAAGTACTTCTTTGACCCGAGAAGCGATGTCACCTTGTTGTGCTAGATAGTTTCTGAAGTTGCGTGTGCGAATCTTGTGCGGTGGATCACTCGGCTCTCGTTGGCGCCCAGGTGTATTGTCAGTGTCTTCGTCTTCGTCATCAGATGAGTCCGCACTATGCTCATCCCAGTCCGGGTCGTCAAGTTCTTCATCATCCTGCACGGGATCTCCAGCATTAAGCTCTGATAATAGGGTATAGAGGTTTTCAGAACTCATAGGACTCTGGTGTAGCAAGTCCGGGTATCATGCAGAAGGTCCGGGTATATTGTGTACTATGACATGGTACCTGCTACCTACATCTCTAGACGCGACGCGCGACACACCTGACGTGCAGAAAGACGCGTCAAGATCACGTGAATGTGACAATCCCCCCCCCGCCTATACGAATTTCACCAGACGTTCTGTCTGCGGGCTGTGCAGGTGTTTTTCGCTCTCCGATTGGGGGCCCGCACTGACAGAACGGCTGGTTCCGAGACTAACGAGAATCCACAGGCTGCTGGCCTGAGCCTCTAAAGAGAGGAACGAGCCGAACGACTCCTTCTTCCTGTCTACTAGCGGCTGGTTAACGAGCCTATGCATATGGATGCATAGCGCATGCACAGCATACCGTAATAATTTGAACCTCCCCTTCTTTGCGCTCCCGCAGGTATACACACCCCGAGCTCTGTCAGCTCGCTGTGCAGCTTGCGGTTTCATTCGCGCCTGGACTGCTTCAGTCCGTCGAGCGTCTTGCGGAGTCGGCAAACGCGTCCGCTTCCATCATCGAAAGCCGCCTTTCTCTCGCGGATTCAGCGACACGGAGTACAACGAAGTCGACGGCGACCACCCTTGATTCCACATGGATGTCGTGCCGAGACGCGCGGATTCCCTTCTCTTCTTGCTTCGTGGCGTTCCTTGGCAGGCCCATCGATATTGAAGAGTCGAGCTGGCGGCCGACTCTGGCGTCTGGCGTATCTTGCAGGTGCTCGCCTCGGCTCCGTGCGTGTTGGCCTCGTTCAGAGGTTCTTCCAGTGTGGTTCACTTACCTTCTGATCTTCTTGCTTTCTTAACTTTCTTTGGACCAATGACCATGGATGGTCTCTCTGACGCCCGACGGACATGCAGAAAGCAGCAATATTGCGGAACTTTCCTATTGCTCAGGGCATCATGTCCGGGCCGAACTCTGGAGTATCACTCCAACATGAGCAAGTGGACGCTCTCAGGTGGTATTACTTAACCGCTCGTGGTATGGCCAAGCACTCTCACGACACGTGTAATGCCGAAGAAGCACAGTGAGTACTCCCCATGAGGTCTCAGTAGCGTCAGAACCTCGGCATCGTTGGCTGTGGTCGAGTGGCATCACATACGAAACCTCCCTTCTGGATGCCCTTTGGCCGTCCACGTTGACCCACTCGGTGTAATAAAAATAACCTCCCCAGCGCCCGGCTGACATTGTCAATGAATACTGTAACGGCGCCAGGCCAATTGGCGCCTCGTCCGCACCCCGGACGCAGAACGCGCAGGATCACCCGTGCCGGTTCCTGGCCCACGCTTCTCTTCTCGAAGATCGCGGCATTTCAAGGTTTCCAATCCGGTCCATCAGCCCGCACGGGTTATGCAAAGGCTAGAGAGCTGTAAGTTGTCTCACCCGCACCTTCTGTAGTGGGGAGTACGCCAGGTTCTATGGTTCGTGCTGCGGATGTTTCATTGCCTGCCAGTGGTAAGTGGTCCCGCCGGTCGTTTGACTATGGGAGCAACGATGGGCGAGTGGATCGTATTAGCGGCTCTCTTCCCTGTCCATTGCGCCGTCGTGAGGTAAAAACTTACCGTAGTGCTCTCTAATGGTACCGAACTGTTGTCACTGCCAGAGGTCCGCTGCCGACGAAACCCAACTGCCGATCCCCAAGTCCCTCGTCCTTATTCGTCCTGATTCCAGTGTTATTTAATAACCGCATCATCCACATTTCTGTTCACACCTGCCCATGACACTATGAGTAGCGCTATCCCTTGGCAGGCGTTCGCGTAGCCGATCTGCGATGACACCGCATGTCTACTTCGACTTCAGGCTCTGGTACTCCTGACTTTCGTTTTACTTATCTTGCTCTCTGGCTTGCCTCCTGAGATGCGACCATGACATCACTATCACTAGCGCTGCTCGTGCGCGGCAAGCCTACTGCATCGCTACCCCGCCTGTCTTTTATCTACCCCGCTTGACTACTACGCTTCGGATGGAGATCGATCGCATTCGCCCCGAAACGTTGCTTCGTGTCTCGGTACCTGCCACATTGCCCTTATCGCTCGCAGTTCGCACTTATATACCTGCTGCATCCTTTGAAGTCCAGTCTGCCAGCGGGGATGCGTCGTCGCCGCTTTGACTGCTTTTGCATTTGATGAAGTACCTTGCTGCTACGTGGATCCAGGGTTTTATAGGTCGTCCTCGTTGCCGAGCGAAGCTGCGCTCGAAAGTTAATCTCGCGAACGGCGTGTTACACTGATGCACGGGGAGGAACCCTTCCCTCCCTATCTCATCTCACCCCAGAAACGTCGTCGATGTCGTCAGCGGCGCCCAGATCCCCCAGTTCCTCGGCGCCTTCTGCTGAACTGAATCTCTGAGACCAGCGGATGGTCCGCCTGCGAAGTCGAAGCAGAAGACGCGCGGCAGGCGGAGGAACTCTGGCTATCTAGCCTCGGATTGCAACGCCATTGGACGGGACTTCTCCGTTTCCGTGAACATGCTGCCTCCGGTACGTTCTCGCCATGCTGTCATTCTGCTTCTAGCTCTCCCGGTAAGCGTTCTTGTCCCTTTCCCGAGAGTACTGGCGTCTGTCCGCCCGAGGCATTGATCCTGCACGCCCGCTGCCGTCCATTCCGAATTGGAATGTCGCGTTCGGGGTGTTCATGAGGTAAATTCCCTCCGTCCAAGCAGAGCGACGTTGACAAGTGTCGGACGCTTTCCGGTCTCGCTTCAACGTAGACCACAAAGGGCGATGTGCCTAGCATATCACCCACTTACAAGCTATAGTGCTTTGAGCAGCTCCGCGAAAAAGATGGGCCGCAGGCACCAATGACCACGATGATACTTGCTCGGCTGACACGCCGCGGGTTCACGGGCCTTCTGAGCAAGTCCCAAGTCCATGCGCGCCAGCGATCACACGTACTCAGTGACGCGCCATATGATTGCGTGGATCCCACTTGCAAACCCGTCTCTAATCCGCATGTTGCGACGAGTGTGGAGACAGCGGACCGGGCTCGGGTATGTCCGTGAATTGGCTGCCAAGCAGTAGATCGAGATTGCAGGCTCGGGCTGGACCGATCGAAAACGCATTTCCGGTATCTCTCGGTGGCAGATAAAAACACGAACAATTGTGAGAGCTAAGACTCATCTGCTGAAAGAGCGGCAGTTATATGGGTAAGGGCGCCAATCCGAAGGAGGCTTGGCTCACCTGTGGGTGGTCATGCGGACACTGAGGTAACATAGTGTACAGAAAGAACAAGGGCTACAGCTTCGTTGATCGATGACAGCGAGATTCCTCCACCTCCTCCCACTCCACCTCCGCGTTGCGCGGTGGTCACAGTCGACGCGTTAGCGGCCCATCCAGCCCTGCGAAGCCGAAAGCAAAGTTCCGTCAGCCTGGAACGGCATGACAGCGGACGACGAGAATGGTGGAGTGGAATAGTACTCACGCCGTCGACGACGAGCAGCTCCCCGCAGACGTACTGGCTCGCGGCGCTCGCGAGGAACACGACGGGGCCCGCGAAGTCCTTGGGCTCGCCCCAGCGCCCTGCGGGTATGCGCTCCGTTATCTGGCGCAGGCGCTGAGGGTCGTGCAAGAGGCGTTCGTTCCTGCAGGGTATTTCATCAGTGTATGAATGCGAAACATCAGGAGGGACAGAACGCGGTGCGCGCATCTCCCGATCACAATCGCGGCCAACTGGCGTACAGCTATTTAATACTGTAGCCAAAACAACGATTACGCATGGCGGGCAGACGCGCACGATCGCAAGTACTATCCGAGACGCCAGCACGTTTGCACCGGGAACCAAGGAGAGAGGCTCCATGACAAAACACAATGCAGACACTGATGGACGTGGCAAACGCCAAAAAATGACAACACTCACATATCAGTGGCGATATACCCCGGACAAACCCCGTTCACCTGCACATTATCCTTACTCCATTCATTACTGAGCGCCTTCGTGAGCTGCCCGAGCGCGCCCTTTGCAGCCGCATACGCAGGCACCGTGATCCCGCCCTGCCAAGTCGCGCACACGCGTCAGATGACGAGCACGGACGCAATGAGCGCAACGAACGCACCTGGAATGTGAGCAGCGAGCAGAAATTGATGATCTTGCCGCGGCGGCGCGGCACCATGTGGTTTCCCGCTGCTTGCGAGAGCAGCCATATCGATTTGAGGTTCACGTTGAGCACCTATTATTGGCCAGGTTCAGGTTCGTTCGGAGGTACACCATTCGGAATCAGAAGGGTGCGTTTGATACGCCGCGCGAGGAAAGAGCAGCACGGAAGTATGGCGGGATCGCACGCATGGCGGAGAAGGTCGTGCGATAATGACAAACACATAGCAAGGACCAGGCACACACGCGCACACAGGACGATCGCGAAGGCATCCACGTCAGGAAAACGCACAGCGGTGACGTCGTGGTGTGTGGGCAAGGACCAGGCGCGGCCAGACGCGAAGACATCGGGCCAAGGTTACGGAGTAGCGCAGAACATCGGCGAACGCGCGAAATGAGATGCGCATTGCGGTAGAAGACCGGAGCGACGGTTTCGGAACGGCACAAGACGGCGTCGAAGACAGGAGATTCGCGATCGAGCATCGAGCATCGCGTCAAGGATCCGCACGCGAACCAATCGACGGGAAGATGCGATGCGGGCGATGAGATGAGATGGAGGGATGCGGTAAGGATGTGCGGCGACATAAATGGCAGGAGGGAAAGCGACACGGGTTTGTCAGACACAATGCCATAGAGGAGAAAACAGAGGACAAGTGTGATTTAATAGATAACAAAAATTGAAAGTGCGCAGAGACCCTCATAGTCAAGGGCTTGCAAGGAAATGGGTTGCTTGCACCCGAGGGACCACTTCAGTGATGGATACACGGTCAATGGACGGTGAATGCTTTCACATACATCGGAATGTATATGAACCATTCACGTGCCGTACGACCCATATGCCCGCAGAAGCGGTAACAGGCGTTTCCCAGCACCCTAGAGAGGATAATAGGAAGAGCCAGAAAGCCGCTGCAAACAGAGGATCGCTTGCATCCAGCGGGACGAAGGAGTCATGATTAGCGCAAACGAGGAATACTCGCATCAGCGAGACAAGAGAAAAGGGCAAGAAGCGCGAGCAGTGACGACGATGCGCGCACCCAAAATTGGACGAGGGAAAATGCGGGCAGAAGGGAAGCCCCTGACGTCACACAAGTAAGGCAAAAGTTAAGTACGAGGCCCAACCGGACCCGACAAAAAGAAAATGGAGATTGGGAAGGGAAACGGAAGTGGAAGTGTACGCACATCATCCCAGTCGCTTTCGGGAAACTGGACTGCCGGGGATCGCCGCTGAATGCCTGCACAGTTCACGAGCACGTGGATCTCTCCGCCCATGGCTTCAAGCGCCTTGGAGAAGATAGCCCTGACGGACTCGAGGTCAGCGAGGTCGCACTCGACGATTTTGGCGGTGCGACCGAGCGCGAGGATGGCATCGCGGGTGGCATGGTTAGGATTAGAGGGGCGCTGGACGAGGCAAACGCTGGCGCCAGCCTCTGCGAGAGCTATTGCACAGGCGGCCCCGATACCTGTGGGTGGGAGAAAGGCGTTAATGAGAGAAAGTTTCCGGGGAAGCAGGTACGCACCGCGGGTGGCGCCTGTTATGAGCACGTTTTGCCCTGCGAGGGAGAACAAGTTGGAAACTGGTACAGACGGAGTTGGATCCATTGTTGTAAAGTGGGGAGAACATGTCGGAAGGAAGAGTATAAATCGTTGTGGATAATGTCCAGGTCAGGACGGTGGAAGTACCCCAGACCGGTCATTTCCCCGGGTCGGAAGCTCGGCGCGAGTTCCGAGCCAAGTTCGGCGAAGAACCGCGGTAATTTATTGGGAGAGAGAAGAGCCGATTTTCTGGCGTCCGGAAGAGGGAAAGAACTAGAGATGAAGGGAGGAAGCGTTCTGACGGGGAACCAGACTGCACGCGCGTTACGTAACACTCTGCTGGTCGATCCTGCTCGGTCACTCGGCCCGGAATAACAGAAGTGGCCCCGGTTCCAGCGCTGAACACGCCCCTCACGAGACACCACCTTCTCGCAATATAAAATCACCAATGTCCCTTCTCCCTGTACTCTCTACTTCCTCCCCATCTCGTACCAAACAATGTCCCCTATCGCCCTTCCCGCTCAGCACGCCGTCGTCCTCCACGGTGCGAAGGATCTTCGCTACGAGGAGCGTACCCTCTGGCCACCTCAACAGGGCCAAGCTCAGGTCGCGGTAGTTGCGACAGGTCTCTGCGGAAGTGACTGTGAGCATCCGTTTGTTTTCTCGGATTTCCAACCGCAACGTCTCCCCTGATGATTTTCGCAGTGCACTATTACATGCATGGCCGAAACGGCGACTTTGTGGTGCAGTCTCCACTCGTGCTAGGCCACGAATCAGCAGGGGTTGTCACTGCGGTTGGTCCGGGAGTGAAGAACCTCGTACCCGGGCAGCGCGTGGCCATCGAGGCCGGCATCATGTGCAATAACTGCAACTACTGTGCCAAGGGGCGCTATAACCTCTGCAAGAACATGCGCTTCTGCAGCAGCGCCAAAACCTTCCCCCACTCCGACGGCACGCTACAAGACCGCATGAACCACCCAGCACACGTACTACACCCGTTGCGTATCTGTTTTCTTTGCTGTTCATGGCAGTCCGAAGTTAATTGGCTCTCGTGCCCACCAGACTACCTGACCACTGCACGTTCGAACAAGCAGCACTAGCCGAACCGCTCTCTGTCCTCCTCCACGCAGCCCGCCGCGCAGAACTCACCCCGTCCTCCCATTCCACAGTCCTCGTATTCGGTGTCGGTGCTATCGGCCTCCTCGCCTGTGCCCTCGCCAAATCATACGGCGCGCCCCGCGTCGTCGCCATCGACATCAACCCCGCCCGCCTCAACTTCGCGCGCGAGCAAGGCTTTGCGGATCAGGTGTACTGCCTTCCCATGGTCGACAAGGCGAAGACGACCGACGAGCAGCTCCGGCGCGCGAAGGAGACCGTCAGCGCCGCGCTGAGCGAGTTCGACATGCCCGACGGGTTCGACATCGTCTTCGAGTGTACCGGTGCGGAGCCGTGTATCCAGATGTCCATCCATGTGAGTGATGCTCTGCATCAAGTGCGGACTGATGACTGACCTCGCGTGCGCAGGCCGCCATCACGGGCGGGAAGGTGATGCTCGTCGGCATGGGCGCGCGCAATGTCACGCTCCCGCTCTCCGCGGCTGCGACGCGTGAAGTTGACATCCACGGCTCGTTCCGGTACGCAAACACGTACCCCGCCGCGCTCGCGCTGCTGGGGTCGGGGAAGCTCCCGAACGTCGAGCACATCATCACACACCGCTTCGCCCTCCAGGACTCTGCGCGTGCGTTCGAGCTCCTCGCTAAGGGCCGCGACGAGCAGGGCCACATGGTCCTCAAAGTCATGGTCGGCTCGCAATGATAGACTCCGCCATTCAGTTTTTATTTACGCTGTTGCGGCTCTCGCCCATAATGACCATAGAAATTTACCCCTTACATACGTACGCGCTGCGCGCACCTTCGCTCGCTATCAGGCTATTGTATCCCCTTCCCGTCGCGCCACCTGCGAGGACACTGGCGTGTGTATCTCTACAACCCTTTCTCCCGCTCTGCATCGCTGTGTACGTGTCTTCCACATTTCGTGTCTATCTACCGCGCATCTGTCTATCCGCACTCCTATACACTCCATGCTCCGGCCGCACTATACGGAATGAATATACCTGCATGTCTTGCTCATCGTCACGGTGCGGGTGGTTTCGCGCGGCGTTCCGCGGCGACGATACACGTTCGGTCGCGAGCAGAAACAGCAATTACTCAGCCTACGCGTCGTCGCGGCCAGTGCCACGCGAAGTACAGAAGCGTGGAGGACGCCGACGTCCTGGGACACACGTTGCCGCGAATGAGCGAAATTCGAAAGCGTACTAGACGTTTTGTCGCGCAAGTTAGCGCACCCCGCCCGTCCGTCCTTCCGTCCGCCGTTCCTTCTCCCGTTCCTGGGCCCTAATTGGAATTTACACCGCCTTCCCCGCGGCGCTTCCTCCGCTCTGTGTGCGCACCCCGCCCCGCCCCGGCCGTGATCTCGACGGCGCAATATCCAATTGTGCACGCTCACATCTGATTTTTACTATCGCGGGGGCAGTTATGGATTTTCGAACGCTGGAGCTTCACTAGTACATCTACCCAGTTTCTCTCTATTCGTTACGTGGGTCGACGCGTACACTATCTTATGCAGGGAGTGTTGCCGAATCTGTTCATACAGGCTGTGACACGGCTGTCACGTTCACCGTGACTGCTAGATCGGGCTACACTTTGTCGGGCTGGCGCGTCAGAATTTCAGAAACACCTATTGGGATGTAGTGCTTTAAGGTATATTACTACGTCGAACACGGTACCTGGGTCAGTCATACACAATGTCAATGGTATCAGTGTACCTACTCAGTAGCCGACCGCAAAACCCGTACTTGATGTCTCATTCAGCAATCCTGCAATTTCGTAAACACATGCACTAGTGCACAGTGTCACCCTTCAGTTTTATCAGATTTGTTGGTTGAGCGCGAAGACCGTAACGGCATTGTAGCTTTTTTTTTCAAGACATATTCCCAACTCCCCACCCCGCGCGAGCAGCTGCAAGACAAATGGCAGGCTGCGGCTGCCGAGGATCGATGAAGAAGTGGTCCGTGGCGGCCTTGGAGGCGACGCATAAGCCCATACACTCACCCAGATCGGCTGCGGAGGTGGGCTAAAGCCCGAGCGCGAACGCGTGCTCCGTGACTCAGCAACTTGTACCGGAGATGAGGGCTCGCATGCACGGACAAGGCAACGGCGTGCAGCCATCCGGGAGATCCTGGTCTTTCTCCTGACGGACTCACTCTGCAGGAGGAGCGCTAGCAGGCAGGGCATGGCCCACCGGCCCGATGCCCACCAGACACCGCGCGCTTGAAAAGGTAACAGTCAATAGATGGGGGCGCCCGGGACACGATCCGAGGGTCAATCAGGCCTGGCGTTCTCGGATGCGGGAGTCTCACTTCCAGCTTGCTGAGGGCACTCTAGAATTATTGCCGGGCGGGAGGAGAAACTCGGAGGAGCGCGATCAATTGAGTGCTGGCGCCGACACCACAACTTCCATCTGAAAATGGCGGTTAGAGTTTAGCTATAGGATGTGGTGGACCCACGAACATCCCCGTCGTCACCTCGCCTGAATTTTTGACGGTCCCACTGCGATATCCACAGGCCCGCAGCTCATCGATAAGTGCCAAACTTAGTGTCGGCGAAGGACGAGGAAAAGAGGACCGGGTAGAGTGTAGTGCCTGCCCCGTCAGAAAAGGTGATAGATAGTCCATTTGAACTAACTTAATCCTTGGAAGGCTCGTCGGCTCGCGGAAGTCGCACAGGTGCAGGTCTGTGCAGACACTTGCGCAATCCGGAGCTCTTGCACAAGCGTAGATCGGCTCCCGGCAAGAGATAGGCCGTCTTGGCAATTATTCTCGCAGCAGGTCCGAGATCGGGGGTGTGGCTGAAGGATGAGGACATCCATTCCAATGCATGCGGATCAACGGTCCTGCTTTGGTGCAGAATGTATCTTAGCCGAGAAACGTATCGGGCATGTGAAAGGATCTGACATGCCCGTAATGCAGAGTTCCTCGCCAGCTATGGAGTACGTATGTACGTACTGGTAAGAAGAGGCACAAGCTCCGTCGTTGAGAGTTCAAAACGGGACGGACGCTTGACGTACTAGCTGTCAATACTGTATGGGATGAACCTTGAACAAGTTGGATACATTCAGTTCTCGTGTATGGCACGTCCGAGCAACGGCGCGCGTCAGCGCGTGCAGAATCGTCTTCGAAGGAACACCCGCGAAATGGCCGATAAAAGGCCAGAATGACCATAAGCAGTCACTAAAATGCAGACATGCCGTCAGAAGACAAGAGACAGTGGGAAGAAGAATTTATCTTGCGGGTCTAACGTGACGCTCGTCGATTCATTCGTGCGTCCACGGTAACCGGACCTGACTCGACGAGGGACCCCCGAAGCAGTCAAAGCATCTATTGTGTGCAAAGTGCGAGATAGCTCATGTCTCCGGCTCATGCAGAATTACTGTCTCAAGCTTTCCTTGACGTAACATCACACATAGTCCTGACGACGCAGACACGCACGGGACCCTCCTTCCCATGCAGGCTGATCACCAGACCATCTGTCCTTCGATATGAACGAAAAACAACACTTACAGTCGTCCGCCGTCAATGAACCCGGTACCGATTCGTCGACGCTGTAGGATAGAGGCACTTATGGCGGAGGCCTGTGGCAGGAGCTGGATGTGAAATTAAATTGCCAGAGGGGATCGGTTCAAGTTAATTTTTGACCGTTACGACCGTTCTCGCCTAGAATCGTACACTTCCCCAGTGAAGACGACGGATACCATCTAGGGTTCAAAGACTACCGTACATGATATCAATCTTGAATGGGCACGTTCGAATGTAGCATATGGGAAACGTACCTAGTGTATGATAATAACTCAATCACAGACATACCGTAGGACCTTCAGAGACGCCCCGTACATTTTTAACGCGTGCCAAAAGCGCAGCAAGTAACCTGCTGGAGAGACGACTGCCTTGCTCCAGAACAAGTATGCTATGCAATTTTTCTTCCATATTGAAACACGGCATTCTGCAAATTTCAGGAAGCATCACGCTCTGGAATAACGGCATGGTCTAGCCCAAAACTCTCTGGCTAGGTGGGCATCTGATGGAAGATTTGCTGAGTACAAAGCTTCCACGAATTCCTGAAACGAGAAATGTGTATCGTCGGAAGGAGAACGACCGCGCTTTTGGAGTGCCACGCATGCTGTCTGCTGTCAATGTAAGTATCCGGCCAGATGGTTTGATTGACAAATCAGAATAACATTCAGATACGATAATGGACCGCATCTGATATTTCTGATATTCATCTGCGGATGTGCAAGCTGGAATGCTCAGAGGTGGCGGAATTCCGGCCCGATTTCCGCAGTTAGCTAAGAGTGATTCAGCTGCACGACGTCCAGATTTTGGGCACGAAAACCAGCGAGATGAGCCTGAAACAAGATTTCCGAGGTCAGTACACAATGGGTCGATGTAGCGGAGATGTTCCCCTGGCGGCCACAGCAGCCACTGCGACCCATTGACGATCGACTTCAAGCCAAGGCACCATCCCACTGACCAAGCACGGAAATTAAACCTGTGTAGCAAATGCATTCAGAACCAACATCCCCAGAACGGGGCAGCATGTGCAAGCCAGATCTTCGGCGGTGTCCCTCGTATTCGTGACTTATTTCCTCCGCGTGAAGCATCGCGACCGGCACTGGAGACCGACGGTCCCAGGGCTGCCTGGGTACCTTGACGTAAAGGCCATCCGCATGAGTACCAGTGCGGGCACAGAGCGATGATTTGGTTAAGCTTACACCTCATTTTTCTTCCGGGCTCGATCGATGAGGACACAGCGATGCTGTCTGCATGGACCCGCGCAACTAGCCGGAGCTGCGAACGATGCACTGCTGACCCGGACGTCACAAATCGCGCTCTAGACCGCACAAGTTCATCATGGTAGCCCCAGATATGACGACAGTAGTCTAACAAGACCTAACGCAATGATGTATGAGATGCGACTAGGCGAACTATATGCATACTCACCGTGATGATGAACGGCTGTTACCTCGGCTGTAAGTGGGTGGGTCAGGTGAATGCGGTCGACGCGGGCCGACTGTATGACGAGTCGGTATACGTGGTTCTTCGTTTGCCGGTAGCCGCCATCCACATCATGAGAAGGTGCAAGTGAAGCTAGCATGAGTACTTAAAGAAGGAAAAGGGCTATGGCGCTGGCCGGCACCAATGCGTGACCAATGATGCCACTAAAGCTTGGCTATTTCCATGTTGCTGGGGGAAGCAAAGTTATCCATTGCGGAATCTCCTCGAGGCCAGCAAGCATCATGGCGCCCTGTTCATTCATATAAGAGAGCCTCGACGAAGTACCACGCAGCAGGATAATGTTATAGGCATCGTCACTTACCAACTAGCATTTCATATCAATGTCGCGGTAGAAGAATGATAATATGGGTGGAAGTATGGTGAACCGTCGTGACCACTCAGTAAGACAGGCAAGAAACGCACCACGTAAATTCCGCAGGGACAACAGCTTCGACCATCGATGCCAGATGCTCCCACTGCTTGGTGAATTCAATACAGTTTGTTAATATAGATGGGAACGCGCACATAACAAGCGCTACATGGATCTTTCCAGCGGATTCATGGGAACGCCCTCTAGATACTCGATGGGGGCTCCTACATGTAGGACTCATCAAGCAATTGCCTCGAGCCAGAAACCCAATGTCCGATTCACGAGAGAGTACACTTGACAGAGCAGGGTTCTGTAGCATGATGATGGGGTGTACTCTACAGCTCGAGATTCCTGAAAAATTCTATAAGACAAATACATTTCAAAGCACGGTCTTGGCGACCTGTTTCCATATCTCGACGGGATTGTTGACCCTGTTCAGAAAAGCCCATTAGTTTCCAAAGGAGCCGTCAAGATTCGGGAAGAGGGAATGGTCCCTCCAATGTGGGTGAATCACGAGAAAAGACAAGTCGATGCTCACGTCTCAGGCGTCAACGGAAAATTCACATCAGCAGGATGGTCTTGCCATTCTACGAAAGAATAATCAATTCAGTACCAAGCTCTCTCTCGCCATGGACTCTTTGTCGAGGCCCCAAATGAGATGCAGACGTACCTTCTGGTTGTGAAGGATCATCGATACCGAAACCGAGGCGCCACGTGATGCCTTGTATGCTGTTCGTCTTACTGTGTCCCGGCGAGGCGGAACGATATGAGCGACAGGACATGATAACAGCTGAGCATCACGTACAAGTCAGGAGGGGCGAGAGAGTGGTTCTTGAGGCGAGCCGTCTATATTGGGGTAGATATGCAGTCGGCACTCCTTCGTGACAGCATTCATGGTCTCACCTTGATCTCCGTATCGATGTCAGCGAAACGTGTCGATTGCCCGCCGACGATGCCACAGTATTGCTGTCGGACGTCAGTCTTACCACCGACCACTACAGTCTTGGCACTCTCCAGCTTCGTCATCGTGATCTGCATTGTGAGTCGTCGCCATGAGTGTGACCTTGCTGAGGATTAATAGACGACATACGCTGAATAGTGAGCACGAGCTCGCACATCTGGAGAGGATTCAATTCAGACCCATTCTTAAATTCCGCGACCATTACAGGTAAGATCGAGACCACCGACCTGCCATTACTAACGATCGCAACCTTCTTGGGGTCAAATAAAGCTTCCTTGGGAGGATCGAGTTCGAACGGCTGACATTCATCTCCGAGCCTCTGGCTGAAAACGTCATGTTCTCCGTTGATCATAAACTCGACCGGGGGCTGAAGCCAATCATAATGCGCAGGGAACGGGGTATGGTTCGCAAATTCCCATGACAGTGGATTGTAGAGGAGCAAGTTCTCCGGGTCGGCGCCCTTTGCAATCTCCTTCACTACCAGCTGAGCAAGTGGTCCAGCACGTGCCTCAGTCGCCAATCCAGCTTGGGGAACTGTACTTGGGGAAGGGCCCGCGATCTACGAGACTCGATGTTGGACCCCCTTGTCAATATGAGAAAATACGAGACGGGCTCACAATACGATGCAGCCACTACTCGTGGAGATCTCGTTGGTCACTTCTGCCTCGAAATTCGATGAAATGAACTCACATGAGCAATGCATATGTAACCTGCCGGAAGATGAGAGACTTAGCCACAACTTCATCTCGCTGAACGAACACCATAGCTAACGCACCTCCGCCGTTGTTCGTCTAGCGTCAAAACGACGGTCAACCTCATGCCTAAATGGCTCCGCAGAGCTGACTCACCACGTCGACAATCAGCTGGGTCGCACCCTTGCTCTGCAGATTTTGCAAGCCTATCAACAAGCTTTCCTGGAGGTCATCAAAGAAGCTCTCAGCAAAACTGCCCAGCATCAAGATACCGGTCATATTATCATCCAGCATGAAGAACTGCGCAACACCAGAACTCCCGTTCAAGGGGGAGGCGGGGACACGCTCAGCCGGTAGTTCCACGTTCTGGTGCCGAGCAACATCGAGTAGCTCGTTCATCAAGTGCTTGGGCGTCCTCTTAAGGCTGAACGGTTGCTGCTGGGACGGGGTACCCGGAGTAAGGAAGCTGCTGTCTTGCTTGGTAGTGTAGATATCAACGCCGTTCGTGTCCTCGACTGCTATACAGTTATTTTGGCGAAATGAAATTGAGTCTGTCCAATTCACGGCTGAAGAGCTGATTCGCGAGCGATATGGGAGCTAAATTATCGCCATATATGAGCTTCTGAACTTCGGAATGGGTTGAGCTGGGATACCGTTATGTTTTCTACAGCGCTGCTGTCATGCCGTTGGATCGTGAGTGTAGCAGAATCAGCTAGTGGAAGAGATAGCTGTGCAAAATTGCCCATCATATAGTTCCATCCGCTTGCCGAGCGACCATAGCTGGAGAAGAACCTGACGGGCTTTATCCTCAGTTTGCATAGATATATCGAACATCGGAACAACACACGAGTTCTGACGCGTTCCAAAGCCCTGGTAGCTGCCAGTAACATGGGCGTTGTCATCTATCGCAATGAATGGATCGAGGCCGTTGATCAGCAGCACTTTTGCGGCAGACAACTATTGGGTGACGTCACTGTCAGAGAAGTGCCTCTCGTTTCAAGAGGCACGAACAGAGCTCAGCTGGCCTTTCAAGCCTGTAGGAAGGGCATCCTGCCACACGTCTATCTGGTCAGCAAATTCAGTTGAAGCCACGGTCCACGCCTCTGGTGCGATGTACACGTCTTGGAATCCTTCCACATCGGATAGTAATACCAGCGGGGTAGGAAGGAAGGTCAAGTACAGTGCTGCAAACGCGTTAAAGTGCGGGTAAAATCGCAGACAATTCTGTCGTACAGTCATAGCACAAGTTTATGTAGACACAGTGCCCGTCGTTCAGCCTCTTGAGCGTACGCGATATGTCAAGATGAAGGTCAAAGTCCGTCGCGTACTCCTGGCTACTGATGCGCGCAAGATCTCCCAGTACATCTTCATGGACATCAAGGGAGAACGGAGGGGGTGCCTGGCGCTGATAGTTTACAGACGTATGAAAGGCCAACGTCTTGTTCACAACTTCGACGATCTGCAGCATTATATCGTAGTATTCAGGTTCGTAGAGACCGCTGCATTGTTAAAGCTTCACGTCTCTCCGCAGCGCGAAGGACTCACATTGTCTTTAATCTCTGGGTCTACGGGAAAAGAGGTGAAGCAATCTCTCACTTCCTGAGGTGACACCCATTTCTTGCCAGCGATGACAGCACAGGGATCTGCATCTCTCGAGGCAGGGGCAGCAGCAGCATTGATAACCAGCACAGCGAAGAGCAAAACAGCTACAGCTCTCAGCGATAGCATGTCGGACAATGGCGGACGTGCTGCGTAACAGACCGTGTGTGAAGACGTCGACGACTCGGACCGCGACACTGACAATTATATAGATAGGCGCCCATATCGTCTACGAGTCCGATGACTTCCAACTCGTCGATCTCGCGATCGTCGTGCCTTCCAACTCCCGCGAACACACGCGGTGACGACCAACATCATGGCACCGGCAGTGACAGAATATCTGAGCAACATAGCAGCCCCGATGGTCAACCAGAGCGATCTACCATTCCGGCAGCTCGTCAGAAGATACAAGGCCTCGCTCGTCTACACCCAAATGCTCCTTCCCGATCGTCTTCTCAACGACCACGAATACCTGGAATTTCATTTGCGCGAACTGGGGGATCCTTTTGACAGACCTGTAGTTGTACAGCTATGCGGAAACGACCCGGAGATCGTGGTCAAGGCCGCAAGGTCTGTGCAGGGGTCGTGTGACGCCATCGGTGAGCGGTATTTTATGGCACAAATCGAAGCAGGAGTGACCGCGAACACAAGTCTGGCAGATCTTAACCTCGGCTGTCCGCAGGACGCTGCACGAGACGGGCATTACGGAGCGTACCTCCTCGGCCGGAAAGATTGGCCCCTCGTAGAGGGGATAGGTACGTGTCGCACTGCGCACCTGGAAACACGCAGGCCTGATGAGCGCCACTCAGTCTCAGCAATGTCTCGCTCGCTCACAGTCCCAGTCTCAACGAAAATTCGACTTTGCCAGCCAGCAGCCGCGACGATCGAGTTCGCGCAGCGACTGGAAGGCGCGGGAGCGTCGTGGGTTACCCTTCATGCGCGCCACGTCTCCGCGCGGAGGCGCCGACAAGGTGCAGCCGATTTGGAGCAGGTAAAGAAGCTGAAGGAGGGCCTAACCATACCGGTTGTGAGTAACGGGAATGTGCGCATATGGGAAGATGTCGAGACAAATCGCGCGTATACGGGGGCGGATGGGATTATGGTGGGCGAGACTTTGCTGGCCAATCCATGGTACGTGTTCAGGTCAACTTAGCTAGTGCTCAACTCACATTCGTTTCGCAGTCTGTTCGCGAATGTCGTTCCCGATCCTGTGAAGATCTCGTTGGAATATCTTGATCTATGTCGCGCACTCCCCAGCACAGTGATTTTGCAGACCATGCAAACGCATGTTCGGCATTTCGTTGACCACCAATGGTACGTCCCATCTTTTTCAATACCTTGCATCATTTACATTGAAGCTTTGCATGTACGCAGTGGTCGGCGGCCTTGGTTCAATAAGTTCAGGACTGCACTGAATCGCTGTCAGTCAGTCGACGACATCGAACGGCTTTTACGGGTGAAGGTGCAGCGATGGCGTGGAGTCGCACCTTTTCCTGGAGATGACTTGGAAGCAGACGGCCTCCACGAGGTCGGTCAGCCAGAGAGTATGGATGAAGTGCTATCGGCAATATCTCTCGTCAGATAACACTTGTCTCTATCCTCGGTGCTGTAGTGGATCATGGGGGAGTAGCCCGAAGATGTGGTTTCAGGTCATGGCCAACCACCATTGGATTCAGTAGCGGCTACAGAAATTGTTACAAGGCGTTCCATTTAGCCTAAAAAAACCTATTACCATACAAGACTGAACAATGCCGGAGGATCGCTCGACCTGGGAACAAGAAAGATTGACATTCATCGTCGTTCACTCGAATAAATACGGAGATGCAAGCGTGTCTAGCTACTCAACGGTAATGTTTACCTTGTCTCCATCGGCTAGAACGCCCCACCCAAATTCTGATAGGCATTCTTCGGTAAGGCCACCCGAACTGCACAAAATTGTCAATACTCTCCCCGGGGAAACAACTTGCAGATAACGGAATACACACCAAGGATCATCTGGAGTACGGGCGACAACCGCGTCAGATCTGCAAGAAAAGTCAGTTTTTACAAGGTGCTAGATACCGCAGGAACACACGTACGCGACCGGCGCAGCGTTGACGAGGAAGAACTGTGCGATGATGACCCAGAGCACGGTAACGCGCGTGAACAAGACTGCCGCCATGTCGAATTTAAACTGAGCACGGAATCACAAAGGCTTGAAAGTGTTCGTTAGCGGCAATAATACGCTATCACTCCATGAATACAGGACTCACTATCCAGTACCTGCAAATTGTCAAAGGCAGGCTGGGTAAAATGTGGAAAGATGGAAGGACAGGCACTGCATCGTGCAGAGGTTTTATCTATGCTGTATTTTGGTCATTCTCGCCTAATTACACTGCCTCTGTGACGAGGATCATGCAGCTGCGGTCTGCAGGTTCTGATGCAAGTCGCAGCTTGATACTGATCGTTGTGAAACTGGCCAGTGCGAGTTGTGGGAGAAGATCTTGTCCAGAAAGCACATGCGTGTTATTTGGCGCATTCGACCGGGAGACATCCAGGTTTCTGACATTGCACCGAGACGGTGCTCCTAGGTCAGTTCGGAGGACTGTTGTGAACATATTGCCCAGCGCAAGCACATGGACCGTCAGGTTTCGCAGAGCGGATTCACTGGAGATGCTCGATCATTCGACGCAGAGGTGAATGATCGTTTCATGACATGATGCATCAGGCCTGAGGCCTCAGGAGCCATCAGTGGAAAGTTGGTCGAATGTGTCAATGAGCTCTACGCCTTTCGCCTATCGTATCTGATTGGCTTCTCATGATGACGGCTGCCGACCCTGGTCAAAAGCGTCAGCTGTTGCGGCGAAGACCCCTCTTACTATGTTCCCTGCGCGACCGTAGTCAGTACTAGTACTCGCCTGGTTTAAACCAATCAACGCCTGTACTGAGAGAGCAGTGAGTGAAGGGCTAAGACGGTACGTCTCGCGTACTCCGCATGGCCACTCCTTCGTTAATCAGTGACTGGGCGTGCAGTGCCCCGGGCGATTTCTGGGGGGGTCCGGAGACTTTGAGCGCGGGATTGAGGAGAGATGACCTACTCTTCCGTATCGTTCAGTCTAACCGACAACGATGACGTTTTTCCAAAGACCCACTGCTGGTTTCAGGGCCAAATGCTACATCCAAGAGGCAGCGTTGTGGGGCCTTAGTCACGGCGGTGTTCCGTCACATGCGTGATGTTTCGCGTTTGAACCATTCCAATTCCAATTGCCATCCATTTCTTGTAAAATACAAGCGCAAAACCAGCAGGGCGAAGTCCAATGGTCGCACATCCCACGACGGATCTAAATTAGGCTATATACAGTAGAGAAGAATTGAGATCAATCCATGTCGATTTGTCAGTACATCGGGTACGATCGCCAACCCAGTGGTGTGGCGTAACTGTGGCGACTCCTGAAGGGCGTGCGCGTCATCCCCATGCGCCATCGCCTCTGGAGCTTTGACTTCCATGCATCGCAGACCATGATGGATGAGAGCGCACTATGGCCGATTCAGAATAAATACGCGCTCCTCGACCTTTCAAAGAATCCCGTCTCCGAGAGGTCAAATTTCATCTCCCTCGATGAATTTCAAAGCCAAGGGCAGATTACGAAGCGGGAAAGATGGCATCCACAATCAGCACCTGTTCCGAGGGGCTGTGCATTGAATTGGTGCTAAACAGAGAGTCCAAATAGGCGCAGTTAGAGAGATACGACCTCTACCCTAACGGGAATGTGCGCATATGGGAAGATGTCGAGACAAATCGCGCGTATACCGGTGGGATTATGTTGGGCGAGACTTTGCTGGCCAATCCATGGTACGTGTTCAGGTCAACTTAGCTAGTGCTCAACTCACATTCGTTTCGCAGTCTGTTCGCGAATGTCGTTCCCGATCCTGTGAAGATCTCGTTGGAATATCTTGATCTATGTCGCGCACTCCCCAGCACAGTGATTTTACAGGCCATGCAGACGCATGTTCGGCATTTCGTCGACCACCAATGGTACGTCCCATCTTTTTCAATACCTTGCATCATTTACATTGAAGCTTTGCATGTACGCAGTGGTCGGCGGCCTTGGTTCAATAAGTTCAGGACTGCACTGAATCGCTGTCAGTCAGTCGACGACATCGAACGGCTTTTACGGGTGAAGGTGCAGCGATGGCGTGGAGTCGCACCTTTTCCTGGAGATGACTTGGAAGCAGACGGCCTCCACGAGGTCGGTCAGCCAGAGAGTATGGATGAAGTGCTATCGGCAATATCTCTCGTCAGATAACACTTGTCTCTATCCTCGGTGCTGTAGTGGATCATGGGGGAGTAGCCCGAAGATGTGGTTTCAGGTCATGGCCAACCACCATTGGATTCAGTAGCGGCTACAGAAATTGTTACAAGGCGTTCCATTTAGCCTAAAAAAACCTATTACCATACAAGACTGAACAATGCCGGAGGATCGCTCGACCTGGGAACAAGAAAGATTGACATTCATCGTCGTTCACTCGAATAAATACGGAGATGCAAGCGTGTCCAGCTACTCAACGGGCATTTTTACCATCTCTCCATCGCCATCGCCTAGAATGCCCCACCCAAATTCTGATAGGCATTCTTCAGTAAGGCCGCCCGAACTGCACAAAATTGTCAATACTCTCCCCGGGGGAACAACTTGCAGATAACGGAATACACACCAAGGATCATCTGGAGTACGGGCGACAACCGCGTCAGATCTGCAGGAAAAGTCAGTTTTTACAAGGTGCTAGATACCGCAGGAACACACGTACGCGACCGGCGCAGCGTTGACGAGGAAGAACTGTGCGATGATGACCCAGAGCACGGTAACGCGCGTGAACAAGACTGCCGCCATGTCGAATTTAAACTGAGCACGGATTCACAAAGGCTTCAAAGTGTTCATCAGCGGCATTATTTAATACGCTGTCACTTCACGAATGCATGACTCACTATCCAGCACCTGCAAGGTGTCAAAGACAGGCTGGGTAAAATGTGGAAAGATGGAAAGACAGGCACTGCAGCATGCAGGGTTTTTATCTGTGCTGTATTTTGGCCATTCTCGCCAACGACCGCCCATAATTACACTGCCTCTGCGACGAGGATCGTGCAGCTGCGGTCGTCAGGCTCTGATGCAAGTCGCAGCCTGATACTGATCGCCGCGCGAAACGGGGGAGTGCGCGCTATGGGAAAAGATCATTGTCGAGAAAGCATATGTGTGATACTAGGCGCATTTGACTCAGTGGGAGACATCTAGGTTTCTGACATTGCACCGAGACGGCGTTACTCCTAGGTCAGTTCGGAAGACGGTTGTGAACATATCGACCAGCGGAAACATATGGACCGTCGGGTTTCGTAGAGCAGAGATGCTCCATCCGACGTAGAGGTAAATGATCGTTTCATGACCATTGACATGATGCGTCAGGAACCATCAGTGGATTGGTCGGATATGAGCCCTACTAGGTCTTTCATCTGTCGTATCTGATTGGTTCCTCATGATGACGACTGTCGACCCTGGTGAAAAGCTTCAGCGGTTGTGGCAAAGATCCCTTTCAGTATGTTCCCTACGCAACCGTAGTCAGTACTAGTACTCGCCTGCCTTAGACAAATCAACGCCTCTCCCGAGAGCGCAGTGGATTCAGAGTGAAGGGCTAAGATGGTACGTCTCGCATACTCCGCATGCTGTCTGACTCCGTCATTAATCAACAAGACTTACAAGAAAGGTGCAATGTCCCAATTCTGGGAGCATCCGGAGACTTTGAGTGTGGGGATTGAGGGGAGATGACCCATATCGTTCAGTCTAACTCACAAGGGAGACGTTATTCCAAAGACCCACTAGGCTGGTTTCAGGGCCAAATGAGTATATGTGAGAGCGTTGTGAGGCCTTAGTCACGGTGATAGACGCGAACCGTCACACGTGTGACGCTTCGCGTTTGGCACCTCCAACTGCAATTTGCCATCCATTTTCTACTAAGTACATGTGCAAAATCAACAAGGCAAACTCCAATGGTCACACGTCGTGCAACAGATCCAAATATTTAGGCCGTACGGTAGAAAATAATTGAGAGCAATCAATGTCGGTTTGTCAGTACATCGGGCACGATCGCCAACCAGGTTGCCGCCAATGCCATGCAGCACGCACATCAACACCTTCGTCAATATGAACAAAGACAGATGGTTGTCAGGTAAAGTGAGCGCTCACTTATGACATTCAGTGAAACTCACTGAGCTGATAGACCAACCAGTAGCTCTCCAACAATTCCCAAGTTCCTGTTTGATGACCTCGACAGGTCGAGTACCTGCTGCGCGCACTGCACCGCACTTCCTCACTAGAGAGCACATCATGCTACGCAACGAAGGACGCATCGTAGAGTACGACGAACACGCCACCTAGCTCGCGGACCCGAACTTGATGTCCTACGCGTCACTCAAGAAAGGACGAGTTCACTATCCTGCAAGCAACGAACAGCATCCAATACAAATTGTATTGAGATGAGTGTGCTGTGCCTTACAGTCTGGTGGGATATTCCACCTCCGACCACGCGCGTGGAAATGATGGGATCTTCCAATAAACAGAAGGTGTAGTCAGCTGGTGCTCGATATCGGCTCGACATACGTACTTAGCTTCACGAGCAGAACGTCGAAGTCGCCCGTAACGACGCCATCTGCGGCTCGGGCCTTCGTGCACCGGCACGAACGTAAACAAATCACTTAAAGAGCTTGTCAAGAAGGATACACAGGCAAACACCCGAAGCGCTGGCACGCACTCACGGTAATAGTTGGATGTGCAAGACAACGGGACATGGCATTATCGATCATCGCTAGAGAGCACTTCACCATGAGCTTTGAACATGAGGGGAACGTTGTACAGGGTCAGAAACGAACGATCTGGTGCCACATGTAGGGCGTTCGCGTCATCCCCATGTTTGCATGCACCATGGCCTCTTGAGCTTTTTTGACTTCCATGCATCGCAGACCGTGATGGATGAGAGCGCACTATGGGTGATTCAGAGTAGATACACGCTCCTCGACCCTTCAAAGAATCCCGTCTCCGAGAGGTCAAATTTCATCTCCCTCGATGAATTTCAAAGCCAGGGGCAGATTACGAAGCTGGAAAGATGGCATCCACAATCAGCACCTGTTCCGAGGGGCTGTGCGTTGAATTGGTGCTAAACGGAGAGTCCAAATAGGCGCAGTTAGAGAGATGTGACCTCTACAGACACCTGGTAAGCAGTTCAGAATCGAGATGTCGCCTTGACGCTGAAATAATCAGAGTACCTGGACGTCCGGGAGCTGAATGGTGAGATGGAAGCACGCCTCACGGAGTTCGGAAGGGATGAGCTGATCATGCAGTTGGATACGCGACGTAAGAAGGGCTGTGTAAGTCTGTTCGTCGACAATTATTGATATCAGAGCAGCAGAACTACATACGTTGCTGATCAGAACCTCTCGACAAGGAACAGACTGAGAGTTGAAGGGACCGAGCGGTTCATCTAAACCAACACGAGTTGTGATCACGAAAACGGTCGCTCAGTATCCTCGCAAGTAGTACTCTCAGTTGAAGCAGTAGGCGTTGGTGAGGTGATTCTGGTTGATTCCATCTTCGAACGAGCCTATAGAGGCATACGGGCAGCGTGATGTTGCTCGTTCTCGACGTCATCTTGACTGTCTTTCTGTCCTTATCCTCACACGACCGTGGACTGCGCGCAGAGCAGTCGGCGGCAGTAAGAGCAGTCATACGGGTCTGTTCGAAGATCTGAGTTTGGGCTTATGCTTTTAACACGATACAGTAACATGTACACGTACTTGGAATCAGGATATCGAAGCGCGCCGATGCCAACTTGGGTCGCATGATACATAATAATTCGAATGAACTTACTCGCGCTGAAATCTGGCCAGTGTCAAAATGGAATGATGATGCTGATTAACAGCGAGTGTGGCGAAGAGATGAGCTGCAAGTGGCAGAGGCTGTGACTGTCGGTTCTAAAAGCGCGAATGATACATCAGCAGTACGGGCATGTCGTCCCAACGCGAATAAAATTCGATCAATAATCCATACACAACGAGCTTCCTCAATCAATCAAATACTTCCGCTTGAAGAAGGCCCGCAGGTGAAAAATCTGCCATAGCCCCAGACCAACGAGGGACAATATTGTAAGCCAAGCAAAGCTTTGGACGCGAGTATTCGTGGAGACTAAGTGAAAGTAAACATCGTCGACTTCCGCATGAGAGATAATGAGCGTGCGCACTGTTCGTGGTCTGGAAGCGCTCCTCTCGCTTTTTCAGATATTCCATCTCATCAACTATCTCTTTCACAACACCTTCTAACTTTCGCATCTCTGTCTCCAGACCTGAGAGTGACTCTTGGTTTGCAATAGCGCTGGAACGAAACTCAAGTAACAAACCGCAATCAAGGATAAAAATGACTTACTTGTAGTCAACGGCATCAGCGCCTATGTCGACATCTAGGTCAATGATACGTGAACGTGACTTCGCTTCTATAGGTACTCCTGCAAGCCAGAACGTGAATTCAATACTTTTCAGTGGGGTACTGAAGGCAGCTGAACGACTCACCAGGATCAAGATAATTCCTAAAACAAACACCGACGTCCTCCTCAGAATGTGCTGTAATCGCAAACCTCTTCTCTCCACTGACCGCCTTCTTACTGAGATACACGTTCCTCTGCGGGCCTGAGTCGAGGATCTCGATGTCAATCCGCTGGTATTCCCCTGGCCCAATATTGGCCGTCACAATAACCAGCGCGCCAGGGTGTGCAGCGTTCCAGACGCATTTTGCTGGCGGGTAACGGTGGGCATCCAGAGTGAACTTGATGGCGTGTACTGGTTGGCAGAGTAGCAGCAGAGCCGTGAACAAAAGATATCGCAGTGCAGCCGATCGTTGCAGTAGGCTCAAATGCATATGTTCAACACTTTGTGACAAAAGCGAAGCTTGAACGATACACACGGGTGAGATTGAAGAGGCCTGCTAACCAGTCGCCACCGTGACGGTGCAGCCTGGCAAGGGAAAATGCACTGCAGAGCTCATCATGTGCACGTGATGTACGGTATACGCGCATAATGACAACTCCGAGTCTCCCGAACGGCGGGCTCGTCCTTCCAACGCTCCCGCTTCTCTGGTTGCAGTCGCCTTCAGCTCTTGTGGGATGACGAAAGACTCTCATGTCAGAACTATCTAAATGCCACTTTATGGTGCATTCCGATTGGTCTACTCCGCCATCCTTCGCTCCACAATCGTTCTTGCCGCTTGGGCAAAGTACTACTGTATAACCGCAATGGCCAAGGCCGAGCGTCGGTATCTTGAGGGTAATGGTTGACACAGTAGTAGTGGGTACACTCCGTGCACAGTAGCCTCTCTCTTGGACATTCGTTGTTAATCGTGTTGTGTATCTCACACAGCTGTACCGATACCATTTGCCTTATTCAATTACAGGTAGTGTGCGTGGTATTCACTGCAAATTTCAATGCTAACAGCATCTACAGTGTGTATTTTGTATCCAACGGCTCATGTTTGACCGTGAATATGAGTACATCTGGACAGCGAAATTGTCGATGCAGTCTTCGCTTTACTACATGTCTCGAGTAAGTCCTTTCTTTTAGAGAAATGGAATCATTGGTTGTATTCTTCCCTGTACGGACTTCGACAAGGTGTAGGCATACATTTTTTCCGGTTTGGCGGGTAATGCAGCTGATGAAATAGGAATTATGGGTGCCAAAGCAAAGACAATGCCGTTGAAAGCCTTCTCTCGATGTGCGCCAAGACATATATTTAATTCCCCCATGGTAAGTCTGTTGTCTTGTTCTGTGTGCACATGTACTGCATGTAAGTAGGCACAGTGCAATTCAGGCCGGCCGGCGGCACACAGATGCTTTTGAGCCTCGCGCGATAGAGCGTCGGAGTTATTGGGGTCAAACACCAGCGATACGTTCACTCGCGTTACTTACGCGAAGGATGCAAACCTTTCACGTGCGACCGAGTAAACGAGTAACACGTGGGAAATCACCCGTTGAGGAGCAGTGATGTGTAGAGGGAGAAAGAGATGATGCCAGGGGGTTCACTCTCCGTTGATCATTTTCATCCCTCCAGCTGGACGTGACAGATATTTCCTTGCGCTGCTATCATTCACAGACCCCTTTACTCTCAGTCATGGCGTCCTTGGATCATTGCTTGGATTTCTGTAACCTCGCTTGTTTGCTGCGTCACATCTTGGCTATTCCACCCCTTCAACAAAACAAAGTGAAGATCTTGGATTTTCGTACACTATCACACTGACATAAGTGGACACCCGCAAGCCGATGTATGCCGCTTTTCACAATCTGGAAGCTCGGGTAAACGGTCAAATGTTGCATGGCTGGAGACGCTGATTTCAATGAAGTGCGTCTCTCGGTGCATATTCCACAATCGAAAGTTCGTTAAACTGCCACAGCATTTCTTTGGTACTCTGGTCTCTGGAGCTGAACAGTGAATTTTTTAGTGGCGGCTCAGCGTCCTGCAATCCCGCTGCCATTCTCCTGCGTGATCGACCTCGGGCGATTGAGCACTTGAACACAGCCCGTTGAACTCTGCTAAGCGTCAGTCGTACAAACACTATCGATACGAGCTTCTAGATCTATGGCGCGTTTCCCTCCGCCTTGATGACAATGTTGTCTGGACCAGTGTTTTAACGGTGAGGAGAAGCACATACTAGTAGATCTAACCACACCGGAGTACTGCGGCGCGCTGCCGGGAAAGAGACGGGACTCCCTTATCCCGACCCCTCCTCCACTTAGAGGGATGATTTTGTAGTCTGCCTGTGGGAGACTAGGACTCCCTCCCTCTGTTACTCTGTGCAGATACAGTATGCGCATGTACATATGCATCGGGTAGATATATGTCTGCGTGCACGCGTCGTCGTCAGTGCTCAGCGACTGCAGATGGCAGTTCACCATGATTATTATAGTGCACATCTCTTCGAAGTTCGAACGGTATCGCACGTTCGAACTTCCTTGAACGATCAGTTGGATCATCATTGACACCTTCAGCCCTGTTATGCATCACATGCATCACAAGCGACGTCTTTGTGTCGTTCTGATGCCAGAAGACAAGCGTACAATGATGCTGACAGCGTCGGGCCCGAGGGTTCTAAGGTTGCCTGGCAAAGGTACGCCGATTGTTCTATCATTTTGTGCTTCTCACCTAGTGAGAGCTTGGCAGTTCAAATGGCATGACGATGGGTGCCGTCAGGCCAACTCATGAGCCCTCCTCATTAATACATCGAACCAGGCCGAGTGCTTAATGGCAGACTCGTTGGACGTAGGACAACTCATTCCAGTTTATCGTCAAGAGTACATAATCAATCTTTCCCCATCTACACCTCGTTGACCGTCATCTAGTTTCATCTCTGTGTGTGCCTACAGTGCAGCTATCGGTGGGCCCTCTCTCTCTTTAATTCTCACTCCAACAAGCGCTGAACCAACGGCAGCTTTGCTCTTGTATGATTTCGGCCTCACCTTCGACCGTGAAGTCCAGTATATTTGGAAGTCCAAGCTCTCGCTACCGTCGTTACTCTTCTATGCCATCCGTTACAGCACTATTCTCAATGCCGTCCCGGAAATTATGGAACTCACACACTCGGGATTATCACTTACAGTGAGTTTTTAATATATTGGCAATTGTTTGTTTGTCCGACACTTGTCTAGAGGTAAATGGTGCTGTGTGTAAAAATCAGCAACGAACTCTGAGCAATTGTACACGCAAGTTGCTCGGTGCTTGAGCGGCTGGACATGGTCTTCAGTATCCTTCTATTGTCGGGTGTTGCAAGTGAGTGACGTCTATATAATATATTATTACCTCGCTCATTACTAAGAACAGTGTTTTCGGCGACGCGTGTATATGCTATCTATGCGCGCAATAAGGCAATCTACCTACTTGTCTTGACATTGGGCTTGGTGAACCCTGCCATCAACATTGTAAGTCAAATCTATTCCAGCGCTGTGTGTTTGTTTCGCCAATACCAGTTTTAGTATCTATATTCTCAATCTGGGCCGTACTTCTTTGTACCTGGCCCGGGATTGGAATTTTGTGGGTCATCGCAACCCGATTCCGATTCTTCGTGAGTCACCTGGCGTGGCATTTTCAGGTATATCATATTATCATTTATTCTTCTCTTAGATGTACGTTGTTTCTTCCCCCGAAGACGACGTTACGCTAGCCTCATGCCCATTTTGCAGGGGCGATGGGTGCTCGAGGAGCTACCATCGCAGCCGATGTCCTCGTATTGGTATTGACATGGGCAAAGGTGGCTGATAATCGAAAGGAGACTGCGCGCATCAGAGCGGAAGCGCCTGTGGCAGCTGTTTTTCTTTCAAATGGTGCGCCGATGCTGTTGCATTTGAGTGCATAATCTAACACGGCACAGGCACCGCCTACTTTGCGTGAGGACCATCTAGGACGACAGAAGGTTTGTTGACTTACGAACATGCTTCAGAATCCTTCTCATCCTGAACGTGCTGGGCATCGCGATCGGCCAGGACATAAACGTAGATCCCCTTCGCCGCTGTTTTGATTCGTTGTCTGACCGTCAATTCACAGTACGTCTACGTGATGTTCACATGGGTCAACATGTAAGATCAGTAACAACCTGGTTTGTCCGGGCTGATCGTTGTCTGTGCAGATTAACAGCTATCTTGACATGTCGCTTCATGCTGGACTTGCGCGAGGCAGCGACCGTGACTGATCCGACTGGCCTCTCGCAGCTTCACACCATCGTATTCCAAATGCCCGTGCCCACGACTGTGGACTCAATTACGGGAATGGACCCAGAGGAATACGTTGCTATGGACCGGCCTTTGCCTGACATTGAGGCAGGAAGTATCTGCGAGGAAGCGCGTGCTGCAGATACGGGGACGTGCTCGGATTCCGACGTGGCACCTTTTCGCAATGAAGAAGCGCAGTTTCGGTGAAATTTCCTATTAACCTGTTGTATAAATATGTGCCATCGCGCTCCAGCAGTAACTAAACTCATCGGATACAGTACGAAATCGAAAAACGCACGCCACAGCAGCAACTATACTGCCAGTGTCCGGATAACAGATGGAACGAGCAAGGAACGAGAGGACTTTTCCGACAACCACGCTCAAGCATCTCATGGTTTCCACATCTTGCTTCTGATGTACTCCATGAGCGCCGCATCCGACAAATTCCTCAAGTACGTGGCTTGGTCAACGCCCTGAATACAAAATGGTCCATCAACGGACGAACCAGCGCGACGACATGGTGCACTCACCGCCTTTTGAGCCGCACGGATAACGCCATGAGCGATCTGAGCACTGATATCACGGATGCGCTCAATGCGCGGGTAGATTAGATTCTCATTATGCTCCTCTTCCGTAAGGGAATCCGCGAGACCGAGGGAGGACGCTTCAACCATGCTGTCTGTCACGGACGACACACGCGCAAGGATCGCCCCGAGACCCAGCCCTGCAAACGCACGCCTCATCAGATGGCGAAACATGGCGAAGTCGATGTGCACCCACCTGGGAAGATGTACATGTTGTTGCCCTGGCCAGGGTGCAGCATGTGACCCTGGTACTCCTGCGAAGGGAATGGCGACCCGGACGCGAAGATCACCTTGCCGTTGGACCATTGCACAGCCTCATCGTACTCGCACTCCGAAAGGCGCACGGGGTTCGACAGCGGGAAGATGATGGGCCGAGGGTTCAGTGCGGACATCAGCTCAATCACGGACTGGTTGAACGCGCTCTGACAACACGTGAACATCGTCAGAGAGCGAACGTCCGAGTCCAAGAGTGATGTCCGGAGAGCATACCTTGAGCGTCGACAGACCGAGCAGGGCAGTGGGTTTCACGTGCTGGACAATATCCGCCAGGCTCATTATTGGGGGACCACTGTAGTCGGCGCGCGAGAAGTCTACACTTGTGTCAGGAGCGCCAACGTCAGGCATGCGAAGTAGTCTTACACTTCTTGTGCTCCGCCATGGGACCTCGATCGTTGTAGATCAACCCCTGCGAATCTATGAGCCAAATTCTCCGCCTTGCCTCCTCCGTCGAGAGACCTTGGAGCTTGAAAAAGCTCATCAGCTGCATCGCTACACCAACGCCCGCTGAGCCCGCGCCGAGGAACAGAATGCGGTGATCAGACAACGGGCGACCCGACGCAGCGGACGAGAGGCGCGCGGCGTTCATGAAGCCCGAGAGGACGACCGCCCCAGTACCCTGTATGTCGTCGTTGAAGACGGGGTAGCGTTCGCGGAACGCCGAGAGGTGCGCGAACGCTTTGTCCGTGGAGAAGTCTTCAAACTGCACGAGGAGCTTGGGGAATACAACGGACATTTCGTGCATGAACTCCTCCATGAACTCGGTCATCTCTTCCTTCGACACGCGCGGGTGCCTCAGCCCGAGGTAAAGCGGATCCTCGAGGAACTTGGGATTGTTCGTGCCAAGGTCGAGACAAATGGGGATGGTGGAGCTTGGTCGGATCCTGTAATACCTATTGGTCAGCGCCGTAATACGTTGCGGTATGGGGACATGCTTTACCCTGCGCCTGCAACGTAGAGCGACAGCTTGCCAATCGCAATGGGCATACCGTTGACGCCAAGATCACCAAGCCCCAGGATTCGAGACCCTGGAAGGTGTCAGCACGCATATACGCATGTCTAACTACACGCACCATCGGTCACGACAGATATCCGAGCATCGTCGATCCGGGGCCAATTCCGGAGTACTTTGCCGATACTACCCTTGTCTTTAATTGAAACATACTGCAGATTTCTTAGGCTCAAAGACCAACTTATCACAAGATGCAAACGCACCAGTCCTTCTGGTCTTCGGTAAATATGAGAGAATTGCAAGCAAGCATCTCCAACGGTTGGGGTGTAGATGATGGGCGTAATTTCCTGAGTTGGGATAGCACATAATGCTCTGCTACGGAACGAAACGCGGACATGCTACTTACGGACATATTGTCGAGACATATCTTGTAGAACGTTCGGTGCTCCGCGTCCTTGAGCTGGCTGAGATATATGTACTTCTCGATGTCGTTGTCTTTTGAACGGAGTTGCTGTATGCAGCGCACATGGTGTACGCTCTCATCCAGCACAGGAGGGACGAGCCCTCTAGGCGGTCGTGGAACTGCTGCGTGGATTTTCAGAGACAATATCTAGGTTAGAGGTGAGCCCACTCACATTGTGATGTTATCTTCAACTTCTGGACACCATTCACCCAAACCGGTGTCAAGACTGTAGTCATTTTGTGAGTCAGGAAGGTGTCGGAGAAACAGGGTAAGAGCGAAGAGGATTGAGGAGCAGGGGCAGGTGACAATCCCGCCTTATGACTGTTTTTCAACCCCAAAACGCCCAAAAACGATCGTGACAGATGACTCCTGATGATAATCACGAGTGAGAGCCCAATCCGAGAACGCCCCTGTGCACCTGGACGTTGCATAGCGACTGCGTATAACGTGCACCGCAACTACGACAAGACGTCTTCTGGAGCAGAAGGCTAAATGTTGACTGAACGGCCCATGACGCTCACCTCTCCTTCGCACGACGGTTTTCAGCATGGTGCCTCTCGACTGAAGCAATAGGAGGGAGAGTCTCCGAAGAGAGTGAAAGATGAGGACTTTGAGACAGAATTAAACCGGGGGAGGACCAGAGTTCGAGCGCGTTCATATCGTACAACATACCCCCGTCTGCATATGTGAGAAATGGCCTGATTGTGGGTAACCTGAGTCATGTCGACTTCGGCTGGGGTCAGTTGCATGATGGTTGAAGCCAATAAAAGTTCGTTCGCTCTCCCGAGTGAGCCCCGACGGAACCATGCGGAAGTTTGAGCGTACATAGCAACGTTGTCATTTAATTTCCGGCCGACTTACCACTATAAGGAGACTGCCGTCACGCACCCTTTCAGTCGGACCGCTCTCACATCCACATGAAATACAGGTCCGCTCTGGACACAACCTTGCAGCTCTGAGGGCCTGCCAGTTGCCCCTGCTCTGCGGAGCCAAAACCTGCCAGGTTAATCACCGTCACCGGGCTATTTCAGTGAGAAATCTTGAACTTAATGGTCATTGGCTCCGAGAAATAATGTCGGAAAACCTTTCGTGCCTAATAAGGCAGTTGCGACGGATTTTGACCTCCCTTGCAATACTTGGAAACGAAAAAATTATGGCATTGTCCACCACAAGACAGTTACAAGTCCCAAATAATTGTCAAGCAAGATCTGTTGCAAGGCACATCAATTTTTTCCGACCTACATAGGATAGTAGCGGGATATTCCTTGATACTCCGAATATTTATTTGATCAGAAAATGCTCTCGGCGTTGCGATCTTAGTAGACGCAACGGAGTCGATCCAAACAGCTTGCAAAAATTGGCCAGACAAGGGTGCGCACTACCTGGTGAATTTCTTTCAGCCTTCCTTGTCGGAGACGTCTCGGAAAGACCGCTGGTGCGTTGCATTTGCGAGCATGTTAAGATAAGTTCCTCTGAGACACTTCTCATTGAAAGACATCAAGACTGACGGGCAATATCTAGCCCTCCTCTAGCGGCTCACTTTGTCGTTATGACATGCAGGATATAATGCTGGACAACGCCACGCGTCAGCGCGTCAGCAACTGTCAGCAACTGTACTCGCTACACCAGTAGCCCTGTAGGCCTCGGTCTTTCACCTCCCGGCGCTTTATGCGTACATGGAATGCCCTGGACATTGCTGATGCAGCGCACCAGACAAGTGATCTCGGTGGGCCCGCCCACCAGCTGCAAGCAGACATCTTTATCTCATGCACGCGGAGTGCGGAGCGCGGATTGCGGAGATTATAGTGCTGCGCCTATAATTCACCTCAACTCTGCTGGAAGGCCCATGCCATCACCTTGGTCGCAAAGTTGTTTTGATCGAGGTCTGTTGTATTTTCCCGAACAGCTTCTGACATGCAAAATGTCTCCATGGCCTCAGCAGAATTGCCATCTCTTTCTATGTCCCTCACGAGCAGTGTCGCGGCCACCCCTTCTGCATCCTCCTCCACATCCTCCCCATCTAGTTCTCACACCAATTTCTATGGTTTTCCTCTCATTATCCTCGTCGTCGCAGTTGGTTTGTTCGCAGGTGTTGTCTTGGCTATGATTGCACTCCGCAGGCTGCATCCTCGCAGGCTCAGTATGAAAGAAGTGGACTATGTGGTCATCCCAGAGCTCTGGGAGTATGTCAGTATCCCGGACTGGGCGGACCGAGAAGGAGGCAGGTGGGCCGACCTATTTGTACGTAGCCAACTTCTCGCCCTCACCGCGGCTGACGCATGCTGATTGACTTTCGGACGGACTATGCACCCAGCCGCTTTCTGCGAGCTTCTTCCCAGACGACCCCGCGGAGCCAGTGCAGTATCGCAGTCAGAAGATACAGCGGAGCTCGCGGAATCCGTTGGCGCACCTCGTGCAACGGCTCTCGCGGGCGCATCAGACGCTGATCACCATGATGTACGGCCCCGACATGCGTGTGCAGGTCGGGCGGCCGCAGCAGCGAGCGTCCGCGAAGGAATCTAAGGAGGCCAGACGCGGCAAGCTCCAGGTTGCGGTGACCATCGCGATGCCCGGATCTGGCCTCTTTCACGCAGACTCGATTACGAAAACGAAAGACCCTACGAACGCTCCCGAACACATGGCTGAATATTGCCTCGGATTGACAGAGATCCCATGGCATGTTAAACACCAGATTTGACTGCCACAAGAGAGCCCTCGCTGAGTGGACACAGCAGACGTCTATGGCCCCACTATCAAGAATTGGTCAGTTGTATATTTCTGGGAAGCTTAAGCTTACATCTAATTTTTCACGCGTACAGAAACGCCGGTCCATTACAGTATTGCGATGTAATATGTATCCTTACTCCCCGTTTGCAGCATCTATTGTATATACCCAGCGCATTTAATCGGTATTTCGCACACATTGTCGTCACATAAAACGCGAGAATTATTTGTCTACTTCGTTACGAACCGTAAAATCCGTCAAGATGGCTAGATCGAATGTTCCTAGGTTCACCTGTCTGATCGTGTTGACGGTCTCCACAAGCTTCTCCGAGAATAGTGCAGTCGGGTGTGAGAAGCAACACGTCGAAGCACGTCGATCATTCTGTCCAGCATACTGATATCAGCGGCGCTGAGATATCTGTCTTCTCAATGCAGTGCGCGTCACAACGAAGCCATGATATCGATCACGTCTTCGTCAGGCGTGAAGCTTTGACGCTTAGAGACCTCTACGTCCAAGCAGATAATGACGGTGACCACAGATGCAAAGATTCCGACAGCAGAAAGCAAGAGAGTATATAGCGCTACAAAATTCCAGTCCATCTAGACGAAGTGAGTACAGTGCACGACAGTTCGAAAGAAGCAATATTTGTTCACCAAAACTTCCCAAATACACTCGCTCTCCCGGGCGAACCGACTCCGCCAAACAGCATCCCCACCCCTTCCTGGATGGCGACGCTGACCGGTCGCATGGGCGCAGAGTCGAAAACATGTGGGCACGGCTGTGTGAGCGCCGCAGGTGTGAGCCGGGGGTGCTCCAGCTCGCGCTCATATATCGATGGCTGTCTTGGCGTCTTGCCAAAATTGTCGTATTGTGGGGGATCGAACACTCGCCGGGCATTGCGGAGGCGGGTCAATATCTTGGACGTGTATTACTTTTGGCGCGGACTACAAAGGCAAGAAACTCACCTGCTCATACAGTGCTATCTCACCGTCGAGGTGCTCTTTCGCAAGTGTCTGGAAGTCTTCGACTTTCTGTGCATGGTATGTGTTCATCTCGGCCATGGTGGTGTTAAGCACGGTTTCGCAGCGTGCGGCAACTTCTTCGTCTTCCTGTATGGACGTTCTGTTCAGAGAGTGCATGGGTCTATGAAATTGTGACGTACACAGCCTTCACGTGTTGCGTCGTGATATCGCGAAAGAGTTGACTTGTGCGTGTCCACCACTGCCTGGGGAAGCTGTGAGTTAAGTAAAGAACACCGCGCATGCGAATATTTGACGCACTTCATACAGGGTAGAAGGGTGGGCGACATCCTTCAGCGCCTCATGCGTAGCAAGTTGAGTCCTACGAGCCTAGGGACAAATTTCGGCGTCAGCAGAGCAACATTAGATTTTACGGGTAGCGAACGAACATGGTCCTCGTACAAGTCCGCCACACTCTGCAGAGTCTCAGCAGTCTTTTGCATGGCCTTGGTCATCTTCAGACAGTCTGCCGACTACTCAATTGATGGCAGAAGGGTTGGATACACGATACGCACCTCCGCATCCTTCACGCCAGCACCACGCGCCGTCTTCGTTGAGATGCCCCTTGACCCTATCTATCTCTTCCGCCCCATCCTCGCTGAACCCGGTTGCGGGCGCAGATGCGAGCGGCTTGGACGTGATCAGCGATAGCAGCGAGTACGACAGCAATCGCTCTGCTTTGGACATCTCTGTACGAGAATATCAGAGGAATTCTCCACGACGAGCAGTCTCGACCGACCGATCCGTGCTTCGCGTACTTTCCCAAATATATTCCGCAGGGATTGCACACTCCTGCCAACCGCACGGGTATGTCCCTCGAACCGCTCGACTGCCTCTGCGGCGTCCTCTGCGTCGAGGTTAAATGCAGGATGAAATACCTGCGCGTAAAATGCGGGGCCCTTGGGCGGCAGCGCGAGGTAGGTCGGCAGCTGCCTCTTCCATTCCTTGGGATACAAACTATCAATGAGAAGGGAAATTATGGAGGAGCTGTCATTACCGTGTCGTTTTCGCAACCGAGGAAGAAAGTAAGAACCTCCCCATAGCGGGCTATTGGGTGTTTCACGACGCGGTTGAGGTACCGCTCGAGATCTCCTCGTCTTGCTTCGACAAATTCGTCGTTGAATCTCCCTGCGTACTGCTTCTCTGGGAGCGGAGGCAATGCAATCCCCGGCAGACGACGTATCAAGGCAGTATGCAATACGACGAAATGTGAGAATCGTCGATGCACGGTGATGCGGATCGGCGAGTTAGGCCTGCCCTCTGTATCCTCCGTATTCGGTGGTGGGTCGGAGGCTGTCTGTGTGTGCGACTGAGTATCGAATACAGAAGTTATCGTATACACCGTGTATGCCCCAGAAAGGGTAGAGTTCCTCTTCGAAGGCGAATGCACCAGGACTCGGAACACGGGGGCCTTCGTCTTCCAGGTGGGGCCTACTTCAACAAAATGTCGCTCAGTTTCACCTGCTGTGCTCAGCATACTCAGGCGGCTGCCATTCTCCCCGTTCAAACTTTGCTCGGAGACACTTCGGCCATGGCTGGTTGGAGGCACAGTTTCTTCTGCGCTGCCTTGAAGAACCCATTCTTCTGCACCGCTCGTAACAAAACTGGAGAAGCGGTTAAGGCTCCTCCCGCCGAGTAGACTCTTGCGGAAGCTAGGGAACCACTCTCCTGTAGTTTGCGGGACTAGCGGTAGTGGTTGTGCCTCCAGCGTAGGAGATCCCCGTGGTGTAATTGAGGAGCCTGATGCTTCTCTCCTGGTGGTCGACCGACTGTACAGGGAGGGTAGTTCAAAGCCAGGCAGGAGGGCGAACTCGGCAGTGAACTAGGTATGGGACGCAAGGGTAACATACCAATGAGCTACACAACCAACATGATTAGAATGGACGATATTCACAATGTAGTAAGTGCGGGGAAGCAACCCAATCTCGCCCTCGTGCCCCACTTCACGCTTCACCTTGCACTTCAGGTTCTTCGCGAGGCTCCAGCCCTCCCCCGCATCCTCCTTCAGCACCTCCAGCTCGTCACCCGCTTCCACGCACGTTAGCTCCCTGAACTCTGGCTTGCCCTCAAAGCGGTACAGTGCTCGCGCCGGGCGACCTGGGTCATGGTCGATATCATCATCGTTTGCATCACTCACATAACCATCAGGCTCCTCGTCTGACAGTGAACTGATGTCAATGACAGCGCTGGTGCGGGAAACACCTTCAGATGGTGCGGTCAACGAAACTGTCCAAGCATTAGATGAATTGATCCCGGAATCAAACTCTATGTCGCCTGGAGCACGAGACTGCGGACGAGAGAGCAGTGACTTGGTCGGAAGTAGAAAAGCAGGAGAGCTGGAAGCCATAATTCCCAGAACACTTTAAGCAGAAGTTTGGAGTGGTAGCGGCGAGCTCAAAACCTGATCCAGTGCTATATATGATGTGGGGGGTAACGAATGCTATAGCACCCAGGCCAGATCCAGGCAATCACTCTGCATCGTCCAGAAATGATCAGAGTCTTCCGCTGAACCTCAGCAGAAATGAACACGCAAAACAGTCTGCCTCTCCTCAATCAGCGTGCAGTGAACAGACGGAGGAACACTCAAAAGCCAGAGTGCTCTCGAGGTGACTTTCTGTTCTGCAGTCCTGTGAGTCTAGCGTGGCTAACAGAGGCTGGCACTCCCAATACGGACAGACAATATGTCCAAATATAGCCTGTGTTCGATCTCCGATGGGTGAACTGGTAAACCCGGTGGCGAACCCGCGTCGTGTTGCATCTTCGCCACCAGGTTTTCGTTCCTCCTATCTGCTCTCACCCATGACCGTGCCCGGACTTGGTTCAGTAAGCTCACCGATTGTCATATCCGACGACGAAGACGCATTTTATGTCGAACAACATTTGGACGGAGACAGGTTTCCGAATATTTTACTAAATCCCGTTGTTAAAGGCTGACTCCAATGATTTTGCAGTTGGATGGACAGTTCTGAAGCTAGCAATCAGTTCATGGAAGTGCCCAGTGAACTTTCCGGTACGATTTAGCACATTCGCGTTGACGATTTTGACGAACAAGATATATTGGCTCTTAGTTGGTTTGTCCTCTGGTCAGAAGCGCAAATGGCATGAGATGGTGGCGTTGGGTTCGGGCGTCGCTCTGCCTGAGAGAGTGCGGGCCACTCCTATCATACCTATAGCTGGACCGAGTACAGGGGTTTCGCTCACGCAAGAGAAGGCGACAACCGTCCGAAACAAGAGACGAAAGAAGCAGAAGCTAGAAAGTCAGTCTGACCCACCCGTGCCCGTGGCGTCAGCTCAGGTGCCGCGGTACACGGGCTCTCAAGCGTTGCCTCCATTGTGTTTTGCTGTCCCATCCCCATCGACGTTGTCCTTCCCACGTCTTGCCTTACAGGTTCCTACACTGCCACCGAAACCCTCATCTTTCACGACTTCGCTAGGACATAGCTTAAATACTCCCGTTGCTCCCCAACCATTTCCTGCAGTGCATGAGGAGTCGGTTACTCCAGCTCCGCCTACTTTGGTCAATGCGAACACCAGTGTCATCCCCTTCCCTTCAGCGAGGAGAATAATTGGCATGCCTGCAGATGACAAGCCAGCCAACATCAATCGTGGCATATTCGCATCTCTGATAAAAAATTCGGCATCTCCAGATGTTTCCCGAGCCCTTGTCATGGAGCTCCTTCCTCGAAAGTTCCGTGAGTTTGGGTTTGTCCAATCCTGGGCAAAACAATTCGACAAGTGTCCTGTCCGTGTCGAGCTGGATAACCGAGTGGGTAAGGCCCTGATCGAGTTCAGGAATGCGGAGGCGGCGATAGCCGCATTCAACAGTCCCCGACTCGATGGTGGTGAGGGCAAGGAGCACGTCCGGGTGTGGTGGTACCGTCTCGACCTTGATGCACCTGCGAAGGACCTTGAGGAGGGCGAGATACAGGAGGTCGACCGGAACGACCATGGGTTTGCGCAGAAGAAGAAACCAAAGGCGAAGCAGCAAAAAACGCAGAAGAAAAAGACGCAAGACACAACGTTTCGTCCGAAATTTGCGGCGGTTTCTCTACCACCGACGCTACCGCTTCTGCCGCCCCTTCCGCCCCCTCTTCCTCGGCCGTCGCATGCTCCTCCGCCGCTGCCTCAAGTTGCTCACAGTTCGATGCAATGGGAGGACACTTCACAGCCCTCTTCCACTTCTAGCTTCCCTCTGACCGGGTTCATCCCTCCTCCTTCGTCATGGGCTGAACGCTACCCCGCTACGTGGCAAGACTGGCCTCCAGCTGGAAGCCGTGGTGTCCCCCGTTCATGGCCCGGCATTCATCCATCAACTTCCCTCACCGTGGAGCAAGATCTGCCTTTGCCTCCGCCCCTGTATGAGGAAAGTGTTGAAGAGGAGCCAATGGACCTCGGCACCGACGATGGTTACGACGAGCGCTACCCAGTCCCCATGCAAGAGGATTGGTTCGATGAACAGCCTGCAATGGCTCCAATTCGTGAGCAGTCACCAAGCTGGTCCGATTACCAGCCGGCTCCGGAGTCCGCGCAGGACGGAGAGTCGTGGTCAGATTACGATCGTGACGTAGCGGCTGACTGGTCTGAAAATCAAGGAACTCGGGCTGGTACTCGTGAGGCTTCGCCGGCTTGTTCTCATTACGAACCGGCTCCTGCACCCGTTTATGAGGGTTCACCCCGTTGGTCGGACAGCCTGTCTATCGCATCTTCGCGCCCTGATTCGCCGGTTTCATATGCTGAGTTTGGTAATGCGGGAACGAACTCGGTGAGACCGCCGGGTGTCGTTGAGGCCCCTCCGACCAGCCCACTCTTTGCTTCACTTTCTCAAGCACAATCTACTCCACAAAAACCGACCCTGGGATTAGAGGAACGGTTGAGTTCACCTGGTCCACGCGCTCGTGTCATGCCGACTGCTGGTTCATCGTCTTCACTTCGCACAGCTCCATTGTCAGCAGCCCTTTCGTCTTCGGAAGCAGTCCCATCTCCGCCTCAAGCAGTACTATCGTCATCGCAAGCAGTAAAGTCATCGTCGCAAGCGGTACTCTCACTGCAGCAGGCTGTTCATGTGACTAATGTAGCTTCAGCCGTATTACCTGCTCCAGTTCCAGTACCCTTACCGCTCCCGGTTGCGTCGCCCTCGCTGGTCGACTCTGCGCAGAAGTCAGCCCCAGCGGTGGCGCTTGTGAGGTCGGCTGTCTCGCAACCGGCACCGGCGCAGTTGATCTCATTAAAGCAGCATTCAGCTATGCCGATCGGCCTTCAAAGTTCTTCTGTGCCAAGTTCTTCCGCTACCGTCACTCCAAGGACCGTGTCTAGCCAATCGACTTCAGACCCTGCAAGTGCAAGCCAGCCTCAGGCCAAAACCTTTTCGTACACTAAGCTGTCACTGTTGGCTCGTCAGAAGGAATTGGAAGAGCGCATCGCCCGGACTAAGGAGCAACTCGCCAGGAGATCTGCTAGCTCGGGCGGGAGCGCGTCGCCGACAGAAGCATCCACGCCTTCCCCGCCGGCATCAGGCGTCGTGTCGCCCGCGATTCGTTCTGCCGAGCGCACGCTCGGCAGAGTTGCACCAGAAGATCTGCGGCGGTCAGTACTGGAAAGTACACGGAAGGTAACGCCTCAATTGGACGCCCAGTCGGCGGGTGGTTCTTCTAGAGACGCTTCTGAGTCGGCGGATTCGGATGGGAGCGACCCCCTTGTTTGTACGCCAACTGCAAGTCCTGCGGTGGAGAGGCCTTCGTCATCTGCTGTCGTGGCCGCTGTTACGCGGACAACGGCCACCGCGACAGCTGTCATCCACAGCAGTACCAGTCTCGACGAGTTGGCTGTCTCGTTCATTACGGAGACGATTCAGACCGTCAAGTCACCGCCTTTGCACTCTGCCATATTATCAGAGAAGATGCAGCTCGCGGCAAAGCAGAAGAGGCTGGAACGACACATAGCCGAGAGCAAGATCCTTCTGGCGAAGCTGAGTGCGGCACGCACGAAGGAAGAGAAGGAGAACATATTAGGCATTCTCAGAGAGCGGAGACGGTAAGCACCATACGTTATATTCCGCCTATTCCGTGAATGCACTGACTGGGCGAACAGGGCGATGGAAGAAGACATGAAGCCAGAGCCCGATAACACTAAAGTTGCGACCTCGGTTGTGCAGCCTCTACAACCACGCCAGTTTGCAGTCCCGACGGCGAAAATAAGATGGCCGGAGACTGCACGCGACGCGACAATCCTGATCATCAGCGACGATGAGGACGATGAGATCTAGCATCTGTGTAGCGGTACGTGACAATTTCTGACTTCTTTTTCTTCGTAGTAGTGTACAGTGGACAACTATTTTCAAGTGGTCGGCGATTTCGAATACTGGGGAGTACGTCGTTCTCCTAAATTGGTTACCCTGATTTTGCATGCGCCTGTACAGGAAACACGAGTTTTTTCATTCGCTTCATGAATGTGAGGTGAGTCCTGTATCCATCCTTGCAGAGTTGTCTCACGTTCTGCCTCAGAGTGATTGATGGTTCGCCTCAGAATTCACTGTTCCGTTACAATAGCAGGCGTGACGTCATACATTCAGTACGTTCATAGGTCCCCGGCACGACCATGCGGGTGCTGTGCTGTCTCTCACGTATCTCGCTGTCGAGATGCAGGAACCAGCACGGTCGCGTTGGTCGCAAGATCTTCGGGCCGCTCCTCGGGTTAATTGCATCGTCGGATCAAATACGTCTTCCAGAGTATGTACTACGTTCTGTGAATTTCATGCCACTGCATCCAGATATGGGTGCAGTGGACTTTCGTTGTGGTTCTACCTCGCTGTTGTGACCTTCCGATGATCCTTGGAATTGAATCGATGGTGGCGATGAGATGCTCTGGAACTATTGAGCCTGCGGGCTGACTTTGTGGACGCGTGCCCAAGAGAAGGTGATGCACGGAAGCTCGGATCGAACATCAACTCTAGTGTGCTTGCTGCAGGAACAAGCGTGAGTACAATATTAGTATAATGTTCTGCGAAGTCACCGCGACAGTTCTGTTTCGAAGGACGTTATCTGCGCCGCCTTGAATATTTGAACGTATGAACTCGACCAAACGCGCTCATACCCGCTACCTCTGGTAGTGGGTCTTACACCCGGAGGCTGTATCAAGGCACCAGCCATTTTTGCGCGAGTCACGTTTTTGATCACGTGCTGACAACGCTATTGGCTGGGCAACCTTGTGTTTGTATGAGTGTTTTACTGTGCAACATCATGCGTCTTGCACTCTGTGGATCGTACTGCGGTGTCGCAGTATCTGTCTTGATTGATGACGCTGTATTGTCATGGATAACATCTACGTGTATCCCGAGCCCCTTCTCGAAGTTGTTGATGACTCCGTTGCTGAAATCTAACTCTATGTATGATAGCCACCCAGAATTCCACCTTTGTTACTCGATAGTTCACCAAGCTCCGAATCGACTACTCTGTACCATAGCCACCAAAAATTCCATATCTTTCCCACCCAAATCCATTGAGGTAGCGGGCTTTGCCGCGCTTGCGCGGCCATACAGACTTATTAATTAGTCACTTGAGACCCTCCCGGATTTGTATCCCTGAGTGAATGTACGGTTTGCGCCTTACAATGTCACCATTTGTCGCCAGTACAAATTTATTGATAAAATTTACATGTGTGATCAGGACTGAATAAGGACTCAATTGACCAATTGAATTTGTTCCTTCGGCAGATAGAAACTGTGTTTCGTCTACAAACGGTTACTTTGTAGTGAGCATGAAATTCCTCATTTGTCGGGCTAGCAAATTTGAGTTGGTCTCGGGTGAGTAGTACTGCAGTGCACCACAGATCCCGATAAATTTGGAACGGTCTACCACCTCGGTCTTCCCTGCCAATGTCCATACCAGCCTGGTCCTGGTCTGACTAATCTTTGGAATTCCGTTCCAGCTCTTTATCGATAGGACATCTCGTGGATGGCCGTATCTCACCAGCATCTCACGCGGCTATATAAGGAGGTGTGACTACAGCTATTTCGTCTCCTGCTTTCTACCTCCCCACTCTTGCCGAATACACTCCCTTTGAGCAAAAATGCCTGCCTCCACGTTCGTGATCCTCAACACTGGCGCTAAGATGCCGACCGTTGGTCTCGGTCAGTAGATTATCTTCGCCAGAAGGTCAGTTGTATTGACACAATTTCGTCGCTCCTGCAGGCACTTGGAAATCTCGTCCCGGTGACGTTGAGCACGCCGTCGAGTTCGCCCTCAAGAGCGGCTACAGACACATCGACACCGCCGCGGCATACGGTGCGTGTTTCCGGTGATGCTTCAGCTGGGCGCCCGATTGACACAGCGCCGATGCCCAGGCAACGAGCGGGAGGTCGGCGAGGGCATCAGGGCGTCCGGCGTACCACGCGAGGAGATCTTCCTCACGACGAAGCTGAACAACCCTGACCTTAAGTATCCCGAGGCCGCGCTTGAGTCGTCGCTCACGAACCTCGAGACTTCCTACCTTGACCTCTGTGAGTGCATATATTTTCAGAGGCCTAGACGGGACCATGTTACTGACGCATGTAAACAACAGGGCTGATGCACTGGCCCGCACCTATGAAAAACGGCAAGGCCGACAAGTCGCACAACTGGATCGATACCTGGCTCGCGATGGAGAAGATCTACAAGGCGCACCCGGAGAAGGTTAGGGCGATCGGCGTGTCCAACGTCTCCATCAAGTTCTTCGACCAGCTTCTTGAGAAGGCGGACGTCATCCCCGCGGTCAATCAGATTGAGCTGCACCCGTGCGCGCCTCTTCCTGATCTCCTAGAATAGATCAAGTACTGACGCGTCGTTGTACAGCTCGTGCATGCAGGAGGAGCTCGTCCAGTACTGTGTCTCCAAGGGCATCTCTGTGACCGCTTATTCGCCTCTCGGCTCGGACGGGTCCCCGCTCCTCACAAATCCCGTCGTCACGAAGCTCGCGGAGAAATACAAGGTCACTGCTGCAAATGTGCTCGTCTCGCTGCAGGCAAACCGCACGTTTGTCACCGGTGCGTACCCCATGAAATTCTACTCACACCGCTCGCTCACTGGTACATATGCTCTGAAGTGCTACCCAAGTCCGTGACTAACGAGCGCATCCTTGCGAACAAGACGATTATCGACCTCAGTCCTGAGGACGTCGCGGAGCTCACCGCGATCGAGAAGGACCACCACTTCCGCGCGTGCGCGCCGAACTGGACTGGTTGGGGCAGTCTCGGCTTCCCTGACTGCACTGACGATTAAGTAGCTGTCCTGCAATTGCGCTCTTTATCTTATCCTTATATGGGGAAAGGCGGGAGAAGTTGGAAAAACTGTATAGTCAGACTTATACCTTGCATATCGTTGCAACCCTTGCTGCTGACCGACAGCCGTAGCATGCATATATCATGCCTATGACTCATGAAAGTTATGTATATGCAAATAGACCATTTCTCTTCTGTCAATTGCGCAGCTCAGGCAGTTTGTGTGACGGTGTCAACGATCAGTGCTTATTGGATACAGCGAGTAACTAATGTACAATTTGAATGGCTCTGCTTCAAAAACGATACACACTAAAAAATAACTCCGGTCCAGGTCTTTCTTTCCATGCGCGTGGGTGCGCCTCAGAGAGCCAGGATGTTGGGGATGGGCCCGACAGGAACGACCTTGTGGGGGTTAATCTGCATAGCATACGTCAACGCACATTCTGCAGGAGGAAGACAGTCGGACATACGAAGGTGTGCGACCAGTAGTAGTGCGTCTTGATGTGATCGAAGTTGCAAGTGGACGAGAACGCGGAGTTCTTCCAGTACAGCTTGCGTAGCCAGCTGTGGAATGGCCCCGTGAGCTAGTAATAAGATTAAACTGAGAGATAACACACAGGTGGATGGCGGGGTACCCATCTCGGATCGTCCGTAGGTTGCACTTGAAGTGCCCGACGTACACTGGGTCGAAGCGCACCTACATGAACCACACGTACAGACGTTAAATTTCACTCTGGATAAATCATTGGATGTATACGGACTATTGTGACGAAAAGACGGATGTCCGCCTCGGTGAGCTGGTCCCCAATCAGGTAGTCCTTGCCCTTGAGCATCTTCTCAAGCCTGTCGAGAGACGCGAAGAGCGGGACGACAGCACCCTCATACGCCGCCTGAGTGCTCGCGAACCCCGATTTGTAGACTCCATCTGCAGCGCATCAATCAGCCGATGTGGGAATGAGACCGTCATGGCACGCACTGTTGACGGTGTCGTACACCCACTCGTTCACCGAGTCGATCTCCTTGCGCAGCGGCTCGGGGTAGATATCGATTGCGGCTTTGTTCTTCGGGAGCAGCTCGTTGAATGCACTGTTGAACATGCGGATGATCTCCGAACTCTCGTTGTTTACGATCGTCTCCGTCTTCTTGTCCCAGAGTACGGGAACTGTGAATCTGTGAAGATGGATCAGCAGGGGCAATTCAGCCCGGGCTGAAAGTAGTACGTACCTGCCCTCATAGTTCGGCTGCACCCGCAGGTAGAGGTCCTTGACGTGATCAGAGGCGTACAGCGGATCGTCATCCGCTCCAGGGAACGCATCTGCCTTGGCGAACGGCCAACCGTCGGCGCCCATGTGCGGGGACACGACGGAGACACCTGCACGTCGGAAGAGTCAAAAATACTCTCGCTGCGAAGTCGAGGCGGAGGACTCACCGATGAAATCTTCCAGACCCTTCAGCTTGCGGGTGATCAACGTCCTGGTCGCCCAAGCTATGAAAAGCGCAAGCTTTTAATCAACTACCACATATTGTGCTCCAGAGGATAACTCACGGCACGCGTAGGAGACATATAGGTGGTAGCGGCCTGGATATCGGTCTCAGTTCTGACCTCAGCATGCCGAACATCACTCACCCTTCTCGGGCGCGAATTGCCCCCCCATTTCGATGAAACTTCTGAACGACGACGGCTTACGCTTGAACGAGCCGTTCTCCTCGTGCTTCATCTTGCTGATGTCGGTGTTGTGCGAAACGTCTCTGGTGCTGCTCATCCTGCGTCTCTGGACCGCGCTGTAAATTGGGTGTCGTGCGGGGGGTGCTCTGGGAGTGGTATGCAGGAGCTGGTGTGATGCGAAGCGGAATAGGGACGGGCGCATGATTGCGTCCCACCCTCCTGTTTATAAGCAGACGACCAGTGACTTGATCATTCACTCGAAGTCTAAATACCGCCGACTGCTGGCGGCGCCAGCTTGGCCAAGACGCATGCGACGGCGTGCGTTACCAAGCCACTCGTCATGACCGCAACCGGTGGCGGAGACACGGAGTCTGACTGTCTTAGCCCGTACTAGTGTAGATTGTATACCCTCCATGAATAATGTACATGCGTGTCCGTGAAGAAGTGATACCACACCGATGAGCGAAACAGTGATAAGCTCGCCATAAACCCATGCTCAGGTACCTGCCATCCCAGTAACGCCGACAGAGTCGCGGATCTTCGCGATTTCGCTGGCCGAAAGAGCGCCCTTGCTCGCACGGAAGAAGTCTTCCCAAGCAGTTTCCGCGTGGTTTGCATCGTTAAGCTCGGTGCTGGAACGTGAAAACGGTGTGTAAGCGGTGAAAATGACTTGAAGTATGGGTCTGAAACTCACCTCAAGAAATGCCACAAATTATCCCAGAAGACGGGCTGAGAGATCACCGCGTGATATGACGCGTTGGAGGGTCCTGACGCGGGGGAAATAGGGATGTTGGAGGTATCCAGGACAAGGGGTATATCGACGGTTCGATCTCCGGGAGACGGTGTGAGTGACGGAGAAGGGGAAAGCACGACAGAGGGTATTCGCCCGTGTCCCATTCTCGACTTGCTCGGTTCCAGCGCAGGCAGCAGTATGATGGTTTCTCCGTCCGCGGGCGCGGCCCTCTCTGGAAGGGGAGACGCGACCCTGACAGGGTCCCAGTCAAAGCCGGGCTTCACCATCAAATTGACGGTGTCTCCATCCTTCACGCTGTACTCCTTCAGCAGCTTTCCATCCGCCAATGCCTTCCCCTTCAGCAAGAGACGCTGTGCGTCGGCTGGGGGAGCACCGCCCTGCGCGGCAAGTTGGGCCTTGATGTCAGATATGGTATCTGTCGGCTGTACAGACAGCGTGTAGGATTGTGGCGGCTTGATGCACTTGAAGGTAATGCTGATGGAAGCTGCGATGATTTTAGTCTTAACAATCTCCTTGGTCTTCGAACGTGTACTCACCTGACGCCGTCGACTCCTCGACTTTCCTCTCGGGAGGAGGTGGCAGATCAATCTGGCATTATTTATGATGAGCTGCCCCGCGAGAAGCATGTGGATCAAACCTACGGGAAGCACTGGGATCTTCTTCAAGGAACTCTGAGGTGGTTGTTGGAAGTCGTCCGCGTAGACGATGGGTTGTGAGATTAAATTATTCGCGAAAGACTTCACAAACGCAAGTTCTGCTTGCTCAGACATGTTGGGACAAAGCAAAGACAACGGTCCTCGATTGAGGGTGTCACTGCGAAGATGCAGTGCACACCGCCAAGTAGCTGAACAAGCCCGTATCAGGGAATTACGTCACGCTGTGACACAGAATGGCGTGACGGAGACACGCGTGACCAAAGTAACACAACGCACCGTCGACGCTAACCGGCTCAACGACGAGAAACTTCATCCATGGCCGTATGTTTCGTCTTTTAATTCTCTCATGGAGTCAGTAGAAATTGACGAACACAACTAACAGTCTGGATTCAGTTTCAACGGAGGTGTGCTTCTTCGGTGTCCACCACTGTCTTTCAATGTTGAAGCCGAACTTAATCAGGTACCCCTCGGTGTTTCGCTTTCTGGCAGGAATTCTCCAAAGTACGCCGTGTTTCATGCGTTCTCTGCACCTACAGCTCATGGCAAAGCCACAGTGCTACGCCCAAACTGATGCACCAAGTCAATGCCGACTCCAGGCCGATGACTACCTAGAATGCCTGCACCACACTAACGAAGTGCGTCTTCGCTTATTCACTTGACAGCGGTCCAAATCTGAACGCATGCATCGTCAGATCGCCCGAGCAAAAGCGATCAAGGCTGAGTTTGTGAGGAAGGCGACGCATCAGGCGCAGGAGGGACGGAAGCAGGCCGACATCCTTGCGGACGGAGTGATTGTCGGGGTCGGACTGATACAGCGAGGTCAAGGTGAAGCAGCAGCAGCGAGTTGACCTTGTTGAAGAGTGCAGAGGATATGCGTAAATCTGATTGCATTACGAGACTGGCCATGCGTTCTGAGGCTGGCATTTCTGAGGCTGACTATGCGTTTCGATGCTGACGTTCCGCGACTGACGATGCTGATTCTGAAACTCGAAGCGGCTGCCCAGTAAGCCAGATGCGCCGCCGATACGTGTTATTCAAGAGGCCGTCTCGTATTACAAGACTCTCTGTCAGGCAGAGTTGCGCGCCCGCAGTTGGGAAGAACACGGCACCACTAATCAAAATTAGGCATTCTTACTATAGGCGCTTGAAGCTTGTTACGACCACCGCATATATAACCAAGAATGTCCACCTCGATCTTCGCGCAGTATCCACTATCCCTCGAAGTTCATCTGACGCGTAAACATACTACGAAGATACTGTGAGATGAGCAGCACGAAGCCCGTGAGCGATGCCAGCGCCGTCAAGTTCGTCGAGCTGGAGAAGGATGGCTCCTTCGAACGGAAGGCGTCATCATTCCGGAACTTCATTGAGAAAGGCGGGCAGTTCAAGCCAGAGAAAGGTAGGCTGACTTGCCCTGTATGCACCCGTTTCCTGCCGACATGTGTATCCAAGTCGGTACAAATTGTACGTCTCCTACGGGTGCCGTGAGTAGAATTCGCACACTTATATTCCATCTGCTTATCTTGATTTCGTTGTCTGTAGCATGGGCAACGAGGACGTTGATCGTGCGCAAGCTGAAGGGCCTTGAGGATTTTATCGGTGCGACTTTGGCAACCGCCCATGCATCGTTGGTCGGATATTTGACGGCCAACAGATGTTCTGGTCGTAGCGCCGCCCACGGGATGGGAAAGCATGCCTGCAGCGAGCCCGGATACTTTCCCGGGCCCTGGTTGCGAGCCTGTGTGCAAATACGAGGAGTTCAAAGGCCGCTACTTGCAAGCAGAGCCCAATTATGAGGGTCGGTATGTCTGGTTAACCCCCTACTTCATGCTTATACTTGAGTTGTGATCATGAAAACGTAGGTTCACTGTGCCGATGCTCTGGGACACAAAGACCGAAACTGTTGTGAACAACGAGAGCTCGGAGATCATCCGCATGTTCAATAGGGAGTTTAACGAGTTTCTCCCCGCAGACAAAGCGGCTGTGGACCTCTATCCCGAACATCTCCGCGAAGAGATCGATTCCATCAATGAGTGGGTGTATGACACCGTCAATAGTGCGTGTGCTTTTTATATGTGGTATGATTCGACAATCGGACTGTTTCGCAGATGGTGTATACAGGGCAGGGTTTGCGGGCTCTCAGTCGGCGTACGAAGCGGCCGTCACCCCGCTGTTCGAGTCCCTCGACAGACTAGAGAAGATCCTTGCTGGAAGAGACTACCTTGTTGGAAATCAGCTCACAGAGGCGGACGTCCGCCTCTTCGTCACAGCGGTTTGTGCTACAATTGCGAATCGGGACTGTTCTTGATCTCAAGTACGCCAGATTCGCTTCGACGTGGTTTACTACGGCCACTTCAAGTGCAACGTGCGCAGTATCCGCGGGGGCTACCCTGCTATCCACCTGTATGTTCTTTCCTCAGGTTCGGTCATGGCTGTAGGCTGATCATACGCGACAGGTGGCTGCGCAAGTTGTACTGGACGAACCCGGCGTTCTCCTCAACCTGCCGTTTCGACCACATCAAGACACTCTATTACTGGTCCCAAGTTAATGTGAGTTTCCTGTATCTGATCTCTTCTGCTCCTGAAGCCTGACGCACTTTGGAATGTAGGTGAATCCACACAGGATAGTTCCGGTCGGTCCTGTCCCTGATATCGTACCCCTTTGATGCGCAAAAGGAATTGTAAGCGAGGTGGTGTACTTGTACCTGTAGCGAAATTGGAACTTCAGCTCCACTTTGGAATTTGGCAGCGAGGCGCAATGGCGCGAACGAAAATGCGTGACTTGCGCGTGACGGCGTCATCGCTGGTCTGACTCGGAGTTGTTCAACGAGAACGTTCACCGCTTCCGTCTCCAGCGCCATCTGCTCGAAGTGTCCGTACCTCTCAGTCTTACTGTTTCTTCGTCAGAGGTTATGGAAGTGCACGCCCGGGCCTGAGGAAGTTCTGGCAGTGTTCTGGCTTGGCACTAACGTGCCTATCACATGATCGCGTCGTGGTCGCCCTCAGCCGCGGCGTGGCTGGACTTCCACTGGCACCGTCCGATAAAATGGTGGCTCACTCCCACTGCCCACTTGGCACTGGCATCCCAGAGCATACTGGAGTCAATCGCGAGTGTCCGCCTTGGCTGAGCCGGTTTACTCTGACTCGCGCACCCCGTCACTTCAAATTCGCGATCTTCACGAACCCACGCCGCGATGTATACGATGTTTACCCGCACCCCTCTCGTCCTCCTTGCCTTAGGAGCACTCTCTCGAGCCCAAACCTATAGCGCGACGTATTTACCATCGAACGCACCGCCACAAACTGAAGAGGGTCAGACAGGCACCAACAAGTGCGGGACGGGATACAACCAGACATCAGAGTGCCAAAACGCGTATCGTGAGTTGCTATCACAACTATGCGCACTGTCTTAACAGAAATCGCCCAAAAAAAGTGAATTCCGTCGATGACTTCTGTCTATTCGCGCCTCCGGAACCTGGCGCCAACTCGACCATAGGCGACACAGAACGTATCGAGGTCGCGTGGTGCATAAAGTCGGGCTATGGAGCGAGATTGATTCCAGACGGAACCATCACTGGCGCGCACTTTGTGCAGACTCCTGATTATGTGCAAATCACTGGTATCGGCAATCTGACGAAGATCAATATTCCCACCGGGGACGCAGGTGGAGAGCTGGACCCGCACGGTGCAGACGGGAACGGTGCGACTTTCTTTTCATTCGTGTGGACAGCTGTGTTCAAGGGTTTTTCTCAGGCAACCCCGTTGGCGGACTCGTCTTCTCGAGTGCTTTCGGTGATACCGTGCAATTGCATGAGTGGACGGCAAGTACTCTCGTTGAGTCGACGTTAGCTCCGGACTGATACCCCTTGCAGAACTACATGTCCGATACACAGTTCTGCTTCCGCGGCTGCAAAGATGGTCCAAATGCGCCTACATTGTGCCAGCATATATATGACGTCTTGGGCTGTGCTTGGAACATGCCAGCGAACTATGGTGCCGGAGTTTTCGAACGATGTATGGGCGATGATGCTGAGGTTAGTCCAATCGAGCAGAGAGCATGCAACCGTTTTATTACTATCTTTGCAGCCAATGGGTGTGTACGGCACATCAACGTTCTACCAAGGTCAACCGATGACGCCTTCTGCGCACCCCATCCCGCCTTCGTCCCTCTGCACATCACTCACATCTATTGGCAACGGCCTTGTCGCCGCGTCCTCTTCTGCCGTAAGCTCTTCTGCGACTACGACATCTGCTCCGGTGAGCATGCGTCTTCTATTTCCTCATTGAGCCCCGTTAGTTCGGCCGCTGATCCTGTTATCCTCTCCCCAGAGGTCAACGAGCGGCAGCGCGAGCTCGTCATCGCACGCTACCGAGACGGGCGGAGCGAGCACCAGTGCAGGAAAGCGTCCCGGTGTGGAGTGGTCAATGGCATTCCTTTCGACGCTGATCTGGCTTTCGGGACTTGACTTCTGACCGGTTTTTTTTTCTTGGTACAGTACTATGCGAATGGACATCCCCGTTCTGTTTGACCGTGACCTACTACGCTGACCACTACCCAAAATTTGGACAAGACTTTATGATTGGACGCTGGTTTCCAGTTGTAGCCCGCACACTCTTACTGTATTCTTCTGCGGCAGATGCTGCGTGCGCTTCTTGCGGACTGTGTAATACCATCAATTTACATCTCCTTCAAGCTTCATGGCACGGACTTCGCACTGACTACTTCGGGAAATTGTGAATTATTGTGGTCCAAAGGTGCAAATTCGGAAAGCACGCATTCCTGTGACAAACCGTTGGACTTACGCTCAATTATTGGGGCGCCTTCCTGCCTCCTGAGACCGCATGCCAATGACAATGCAACCTGCAAACTTGGCAATTACCGGCTCACATTAGCAATTAAATGAAAATGGGGACGGCCTTTCCGTTCCTATCCACATTGTAAGAATGAGCTCATTTTCATATTCCCGTGACAGATGGCAACTGTCGACGATCCAAAGAACGGGAATAACTCCTCCCATGCGAGTTGTGGATGGGACGATTCAGGCCAAATTCGAGCATTTTTCAATCTCACAAAATGGGAGGCTTTCCACGCCCTTCAAACTCTTATAATTGTTTGACATGACTGTCAACAATCTGGCTCAGCAAACGCGGAAAGCTGGTTGACGACGGACAGGCTGTGTGGCGCAAGCGACAGTTGTTCTTAGATAGTTGCCATTTCCGTCCATCCGCCTCGAGCGGCAAACTGTATGCAACCATCGGACTGGAGCTTATATATCTCGGTGACGGCACTGCTCGGGTTCCATCCTCTCTCCCAGACCTTCACCTCGATGTCCTCGAGTGCTTCATTGTCCTCATCATCTGCGGTCGTCTCAACATCGTCTACACCGAGTTCGGGCAATTCTGGGGGTGGATTCTTCTCCGCGAATGGCACCCCGGCGCTCATCCTCGCATTCCTTGCCATTGGCCTATTCGTCGGAGGAATGGTGACCATGTTCGCCCTGCGCAGACGGCGCATGTTCCGCCTAGGGAACAGGTTTTTGGGAAGGAGGACGAATACCTGGACGTCGGACATACCAGAAAGCACGGTACCCCAGCGGACAGAGCGGCGCAGGCAGAGGCACTTCGGCAAGAAACCAGAGTTGTGGGATGTCTATACTGTGAAGGAAGAGTATCAGGACGCGTCATGGGAGAAGGTCACGGTGAGTTCGCCTAGCAGCGCCTGTTCTGCGATCGTGGAATCGTGAACCCTCAGTTCATGACCTGCACAGCCCATCTCAGCGAAAGTGATCACCGAGGAGTTGCCCGACGTGCTCCACGACGTTGATCCCCCACCACTTTTTTCGCCTCCTCACGAATCACGCTTCCATAGCCTCATCTCTCACGGCCGTTTTGGTTTTCTTCGCTCGACCGAAGTGCAGCCAACCGCTGCTCCCACACGACCCCCACGCATCGAAGTTGCAGTTGCCATCGCGATGCCTGTACCAAGCTCCAGTGATTCTGGCATGCTTGAGTATTCGCTCGGGCTAGCAGAGCTGCCTTGGGACTCTGATATGCATGCCGCCATGCATTCAGCAGAACAAGGTCCCGCTCTAGACAATCGAGAGCAAGTATTATAGCAAGGCAGGTCCCGTGTTCTTGTCATCCCGCGCATTTCTCACTGACGCCCACAGCGTAATTCCTTAATAGTTCCACCCATCTTGTACGACATATATTGTAACTTGCTGTGCTTTATTTTTGTTCCAGCTGGTGTAACGCTTTACCCCATCTGTGGCCCATTGGCCTGGCTCCATGCTTGGATTATTATCAGATATTCTAGATAATGCCTTCACATACCATGCGTTGTTCTCTTGACCCATAGTGACGCCACTGTTTTGCTGTGCATAAACGACTGATCGTGTCCAGTGTAGATCATACCGCAAACTTGTGTCCTCTTCCCGAGATACGTCTGCTTTCGGACTCCGTATCCACAGTCACACAGGTATGTCTTGTCGTCTGCGGCACTCATCTGGACCGTGTCGAAACCTTGCTATCTTCAAGATGCACTGCATTACATGCTTGGAGCTGCACCAAAGATCTACAATCACACAAAGGCCCCTCAGCGACGGCCAAAGGTCAGAGTCACTGCCGCTTGAATCTATATACTCAACGAGTGTGCAAATAATTATACGATATTACCAACGGCCAAACCAATAACCAGACCTATTAGCCCCATCACTATCCATGAATCCAGTATACTGTTCGTCGTGGTAGATCCCGCTTCACCGTCAGGCGCAAACCACAACCACATTCGCAACACTGCACTCAACCCCCCAACCGAATAGTCCGGCTCCCGTCCGCCCGCGATCCTGCGCAACATGACGATGTACCACGCCATAGTCGTCCCTGCTCCGACGAGCCTTGGAAACTCGAACGGGAACAGCGTCCATAGCCACATGAGGAAGGAGAGGAACACCCGCGCTATATGGTCCCCCAATTCGACCTTGCGCCTTCCGAGTCCGTGGATGTCGGGCTCTGGAGGAGATTCCATCAGGAGTGTGTTGTCTCCGTTCTTTAGGGCCTCCGCTAGCGTTCGGGGGAGCTCTGGGTAGAGGATAGACAGCCTGCCGAGGCCCAAGAGGTGTGCATGCTTCTGGGACAGTGCGGACGATAAGAGAGGGAGACTGCGTAAGCCGCCTGTCAAGAGTACCAACGGTGGCGGTTTGGGTGGTGCCGTTGAAGAACCAGCTTCCTCGTTCCTCGTCGAATCTTGCGTGTCGAGAGACTGGGAGGTGAGCGCCCGCACAGCGTTGCGGGAGAAGTGGGCGAAGAGCCCTTGGCGCTGAGATCCACTCCTCACAGACATGAAGTCTACGGTAACGGTAAGCCTGCTGTGTACGTGTATTCGAAGTACTGTTCGGAAGTTATCACCTGGATGTTCGTAGTCACCTCCGCTGACCTGTATGAAGTCCACCATTGACCAGCGGGCAATTTCCTTCACGTGTTCTAGAGCCAGGGTTTCCTGCATTCCAGTCCTAGAGTAGGCTTGTTCATCCTCAGTTCCATTTGAGGACTCTTCGACGTAGTCTGAGGCGTTGAGCTTGATCCCAAGTATGAAATTATCGGGGACCATACCAGGAGACCGGATGGATGACACGATATGATACAAAAAATGCAGCGGCTCGGAGTAAGCGTCGGAGCGAAGATTTGTCTGTGTACTCAATAGTTACTGAGAAAAAGAGCAGCAAGAGTACAAGGTTTCTGACCTTGGGCGAGATAAATTGTGCGATGAGATCTAATGTGCAGCTGATCAGACGACTTCGAAGTCACGACAAGAACACGAGGAATATCAATGGCGCGAAGACACGACCTACATCCGTGGCTGGCATGCAGCTCAACGCCGTCAAACCCACTTTGGGCTGCGACCTGCGCACCTCTCACGAATGAGGCTACGGCGTCGTCAATGTCAGATAATGACATGACAGTGGGAGTCTGAAAACAGATATTGTGAAGAAACCTGGAGAATGTGGTTGTATGTTCGCCCCGTGAAATTCCTCTGCGGCCGACAGGGACAGCACTAGGGCCAAACGGTGGATTGAAAGGCCAGCGTCCGCCAAGGAAGTTTGGGGACTGGCGACCCGCATGTGAGAGCTGCATGATAGCGAGAGACGCGGTAGATTGTCTACCATCGGATCCCTTCCCAGATCCACCGTGGATGATGTTGGCCAGACGTTCGAAGGGCTTAAGTGTCTCTGGGCTAATATGTTCGGGGATAACAAGATCTCTACCCAGGGTGAGATGATCGCGGGCGACTTGCACGTTCCCGGTCATAATCATGCCCCAGCGTCCTTGCGACCAGCGGCTGTATAATTCAAAGTGGGCTGCATTTGGTGGGCCGCCAAAGAGAGCGCTCATGTGTTCGTACAGTGACACCTTATAACATAGTGTAACCATGCTGGTTATTTGAAGAGAGAGCCTTATTTCACCTTGACAAACCTGTTCTGCACCGTACGACCGCATGGCAGGCGGATCGGGGAGAACAATTCTTCCTGTGATGGAAGGTGAGAAAAATTTCCATTCCGCACGTTTTCTAAATAGTCAAATGAGCTAGGTGAGTGCAAGGTTCGTATGAGTTCAATGATATGTCCTCACCGTCCATTGCGCCTTAGTATGACTAGAGACGTGGTCACAAGTGTCGGCAAACGAAACCCCAATCTGCGACTGTAATCAAATCCAAAAAGATGAAACCTATTTATGCACGAAGACAGGTTTGCAGCCTGAATTTTGTGACCCAAGATGACGTCCAGAGTAAGTCAGAGTTGCAAGGCTTTTCAGTTCGAGGTGACGATCGGACCTTTCCATTTTTGGAAACTGTAATAGAACGAACCAATATTATATGTATCCCCGGTTTTCGGGGTCTCTTCAAAGTGAGAGGACGGTCCGTGTCGGAAATTCTAGTATTGCCCACCTCTTGCTGTACGAGGCAACGTCTCGCGTCGAGATAAGTGAGTGTGCTAGTTGCATTACTGCATGCAACTGATGTCTTATTGCGTTATTTTAGCGGTTAGCGTACTGCATCATGACCCTCTCAATCGTATATCGCATTATGTCGCTCATGGTCTCCTTCTTGCCTGTGCGTTTCCGTGCCAAGCTGTGGACGTACCTGATGCATGTCGGGGTTCGTCAATGGCCACGCGAAAGCGCTGCCCAGCGCATACCTGGAGGCATGTATGTCAAAGCAAGCTCGCTCATCCGCCTTAGCGAAGGTCAAGTCCTCCGTTACGTTGGGGCTCACACTTCCCTACCGGTTCCAGTCGTTGTCGACAATTTCACTTTCGGAAGGAATACGTTCCTTGTTATGTCTCGCCTGACTGGCCAGCCACTGAGCGAGGTGTACGTCGATATCACACCAGAGGTAGAAGGCCTCTTAAGTGCGCAGCTCTCTCGAATCTTAGCGCCACTTCGAGCACTTCCTCCTCCGTCGGACGCCGTTTGCGGATGGGACAATGGCCCGGTTCACTGCGAACGGGTTGCTTTTGGTTCTCCGCCAGTCGGGCCTTGGGAGTCAGTTGCTGCCTTCCACCACGAACTGATGGCACGTACGAGACGATTGGTTGTTCCTGAAGAGAAGACCGAGGTAGTCCACGACGTTGTTCAGCGGGCCCATTCACGCACCCATCGTGTGTGTCTCACACGCAACGACCTGGGACCACACAACGTCCTGGTGGATGCCAGCTGGAAAATCACAGGCATTATCGACTGGGAAGCATGTGCATGGATGCCTGAATACTGGTGCGTATCTCTGTCTTGACGCGGTGCCGTATAAAATGACCATCATCTACCAGGGAACTCACAAAAGGGACTTTTCTTCCTCAGTGTCGAAAAGGTCGTTGGAATAGGATCATGACCGCTGTTTTTCCGATGTATGCGCTTGAGCTGGAAGCGGAGCGGTACATCGTGAACTACAGAGAGTGTTACGCCTGAATTGATTGCTTGATGTCTTCTACACTGCCTACAATCATGACACGTTAATTTTCATTCCCATTGCTTGCACCTCGGAGGTCAATACAGTCGAATGAGCATCTTGCGACGCATGTGGGCTATGGTAGGTGTCACAATCGCGACAGAGAAGAGCGCCTAGCCGTAGGCGGCCCTAACTTTGCCCCAGAGTCGGACGGCGCGCCGCAAACTAAATAGCTCGCCAACGAGCGTGCCACTAGCCTCGCAGACAACTCACCCGAAAGCGCGCGCTTGAACCGCAACCACCACCATCTCGATTAGGCGACGAGCTTTGCGCCAGCGATGACATCCCTTTCGAGCTCTACACTACCAAACACCTGCCACTAATCTCATTGTGATGCTCTTCTTCCACCGCTCGCTTCCTATTCCCAGCGGTTCCCTTCATTGGCGCTCCCCTTTTGCGCGTTCGGCTTCGTCATTCGCCAAGTCACGTATGTGAGGCGGCACCAACTAATCTTCAAGACCTCGACTGGTCGTCCTCGAACGAATAGCGCGGCTCGGAGTTTGCCGCTCTGACTTCGCCCGTCATGGTGTTGCATGCTGCACCAACTTTTAGTGCGATGATTCGTTCGACTTTAGCACAACGGAGAGCAGTTTTCCGGTATGCGATGTCTCCTCTCCGCTTACTGAGATGTTCAACTTCGTCGTCGATATCAACTTCATACCTCCTACGGAGTCCCCCATCCTCTGCGCCCCGAGAAGTGCCGACTCCGCTGGTATTCGTGTCGGCAAGCAGATGGGACGCCGCCTCATCAAGTGGGTAAGTAGATACCCGGAGAAATCTCAAGGGATCAAGCTTAAGTATTTACGCTCGGATAATGGAAGAATGACCGAATTTGCCTCCATGCTTGCGGAGCGTGGCTTCACTTGCCTGGAGGTAGATTTAGCTCCACCGAAGGATAGGCAATCCAATGCAGACACTTTGATGCATTATTTTGGGACCGGTGAGTGCGTGATCTGTGCGCTGTGCTCCAAGAGTTAAGTGTTAGAACGTCTTGAGGATAACGGTCCTGATAGACTCTCGGAGTCTCAGTTCTCCGTTCAAGCATTATACAGCAGTCAGAACTTTGGGCGAATAAAGAGCTGATGAAGATTTACAGAGCTTTCATCTCACATTCGACTGTGTGCAATACCCTTTCCCCCGGTTATCTTTGCACGCTCCTTCGGCTCACTCATCGCTCAAACCTACATCTCATCCTATCCCGCGTCCGGTCTTCTGCTCATCTCCCCTCCAGTTTCCAATGAAGCTGTACCATCTGCTCTACTGCCTTCTTCTTTAAGAGAGTTTGACTTCGAGCCGAAGTTCCCTTGCGGTATACTGTACGCACAAGGAGAGATGAAGCGATTGGAACACAATCGGCTCTGGAGAGATCCCAACGTCGACAGGCTAATGGTGAAAGATACAGGAGCTATCGACGGACGAGAAGGCCAGGCAAAAATCGAGCAATGGCTAGATGAGATTGGGGTCTAGTCTGTCTCCATCTACGAGGAGGATACATAACGTTGAATGTCCACATCCTAATCATGTAGGGAGATTAACGACGGTTTCGACTCTGTTCGCTAGGTCCAGATGGACCAGCAGCGGCTCCTCTCTTCATTTCTTCCTCGTCGAGTCCAGCTTCGGCCAGGATCTTTTCGACCTCAGTAAGTACTGGCTTGTACACCGCTGCGATCCGGACAGTATGAGCATGCTAATCACGCCATGTGGTCATATGAAAAACACACCATACCGCTCCCCGGCCAGCACAAATCCATCTCTACGAAGCATCTTACCCCGATTGTCACTGGACTCGTGCGCCTTCTGTGCCCAGTACTCTCCTGGAAATATCATGAAGAAGAGCATAGGATATTCGAATAAAACCAGACATACGTGAACGGGCATAGAACATTGCTAGTATTTCTCCTGGAAGTGGGGTGCTGATGATATCCTCCGCAGACCGCTTCGTATCTTTTGCTACGCCCATGAATGCCGTGGCTTGTGAACGAAGCGCGTCCTAAGTAGAATGCCTATCAGTCGTCCGAGTGTGTTTCATGGAGGGAGTTACCTTCTCTGCTGCACCGATCTCTAGAGCTTCTGCTTCCTCAATGACAGTGATCCTGTCGCCTTCGGGACTCTGCAGTGTCTCAGTCCCTTTACGTTGTTCTTCTGTCTCCGCTTCAGCCTCATCTTCCTCATCATCCTCGCCTTCGTCGTTTTCATCGTCTTCGTCGTCTTCATCATCATCACTGCTCTCGTCGTCGCCTTCCGCTGAGATTAGAATGCCACTTGGTTTTAGGCATGTGTAACAGTCGAGTTTATCCAATTGGAGTGCATAAAAGTCATCAAGGGTATATTCTCGGGACCCACGCTCGAAGATACCTCCATAACTGGCATGGAACATCAGTATCATAATCTCTGGGAGCGGGCTTAAGGTCAGCCTACATGTAGAGTGTGTTGCGCAGGACAGCCAACATGGCGTTATAGCGAGGCAAGGGTGTCGTGAGATTAGGATCATCGGGATCCATCTCAGGACCTGGAGTGATGTCGACTGTAGCATTTGCCTGTTCGGTCGACGCTTTTCGCTTGTCATCCTGAGATAGCTCGCATTCATAAAGTGCAAGGTATCGATTCAGCGAGTGACGTACTTCTTCACTATGCTCCTCGAATTCAAAGTCAGCTGGTTCGTACCGTTCCTCAATGGGCCTGGCAGGTACAGCAGCAGGCTTTTGCTTCTTGGGACCGCCGACCCCCTTCTTTTTGGTTTTTTTGAGCATCATTGAAATCCACCGTCCGTTCCCGGCTATCTGATACCCAAACCTGGTAGCCGCGGAGACAGTAAACGTAGCTTAGTCAAAACAAAATCACTCAACTCACAAGAGCATCGAGCTTACAGATCATTGTGGAAGACACTATCTAGTGTTTCCTCGCTAGTATCCTCGTCCGTCACACCACCGAATAATATGCCTGTATTCTTGGTGGACCAGAGAGCCATTGTGCATCCAGAACGGAGTGACGGGGCAAAGGCGGCTGATGGTCTTTTCCGGCGTTCCCATTTCATAGACAGTGGCTCTGCCGGAGCTTTCCCCTCTGTCTCTGTTGCTAGTGTCATACTGTATATGATGCTGAGATCAGCACGCATATTTATGGTATGGAGAAGTGACGTGGAAAGTAACTGACCGCAAGAACCAGGTATCGTCCAACATAACCCCAATAGGTCGTTTTCCCTTGGAGTATTCTTTGCAGTAGCCACCTGCAACAACGATCACATCCAGCTCTCAGCACGACCGCGGTGATAGCGATAGGAATAGGAAGTCAAGGACAAGTACAGGTACGCAAAGCTGGGAGAAACGATGTACTGACCATGCAAGAGAATTCCGTCCGCAGTGGATAGAAAGGAGAAGCCACTGCGTGGGCTACAGAAGTGTGTTATTACAACCTTGAAGCCAACAGCAGATGCGGGGTCTGCGCTTACGAGGGTTTCCGTTCTGCATCCCTGAACTCCACTTGTCGCCATTTGTACTCCTGCGCATCAAATAGCCAGAGATCATTCAAGTAATTTGCTGCACGAAATTCACGCTGCGTATCAGTAATCATCCCACATGAATCGTTGTTTCACTGACTTCTGAGTCCTGGATCGTAGAATCCGCCGAACAGTACAACGTAGTTCTTCCACATTGCCATACTGCGGATTACTGTAGTATTAATACCTCGACCACATCGCATTACTGCAACAAGAGGATAAGATACGCACCGATGCCCGGACCGCGCGCTGGGACGTACTTTGGTGTCTATGCGCTCCCACGTGTGGGTAGTTATGTCAAAACACCAGAAGTCGCGGTAGTGGTGGAATGTATTCTGATATAGCGACGAGAATTCACCACCTGTACTCCCGGTTTGCATTAAGATGGCATGTAATATGAAGGATCCAACTGACCAAACAAGAAGAGCTTTCCGCCGCCAGCGGGGGATCCTACGACAGCGTGAGCTGAACGCGGCCCGGGGCATGTTGGCGACACGAATTTCCGCCATTCGTCCTTGGTGAGATTGGAGTGAGCAGAAGGGCATCGCATCGAGTAGTACACATGGTACACACCTTTTCAGGAGAATATCTAAATACATCGTTGTAAAAGTGCTATGCAAAGCTCAGTCAATTGGAAGATCGAAAATTCGCGATATGTAATATTTACCGCTTTTCCGTCGTCACTAAAGAACTCTCCCCCAATACACCACAGATGATTACCGTTTGGACAGGGAGTAAGCGTGGCATTTGCGCGCATGCTTGGTGGCCCTTCAACCAATTCTTCTGTAACTCTGTGAGCCTCCTCCCATTCTCTACGCATCTACTGAGGGTCATTTCACGTCAATCCTAGCAGGGATGCAGTATAAACATGGCATTCACCTGATCGAGGATCCCCTCCAGGTCCTGATCGTCATCTTCTTCGTCCTTTGATTTCGGGGCTTTCTTCTTCTCTTTTTTCTCGACTTTCTGAGCCGCTTTCGCCTTCTTTGCAGCCTTCGCTGCAGCTTTAGACGTGTCTTTTCCGGCTTTCTTCTTCGCCATACTCCTAAGAAATCACCCTTGAAAATTGCGAGGATAAGGATTCTTCGCACCGCTTGAACGCGGGTTTGGATATGTTCGAGATCGGATGGATGCAGGACCTGAATGTCTTGTGCCTGGCAAATTACTTTGGACGCTATTTTTGACAACCTACTCAGGCTCGGAAAATGTTACACTCTGACAGCCTTCTGTCAGCTGTAGACGACGTAAATGTAAGGGAAATCCACAGAAGCCAAACGTGGCAATTCCAGACCTGTGCTGTACATCTGAGATTTCCACGTCGACCCTCAACTTGGGCCTCGTCTGCTGCCGGTGAACGCAGCGCGCATCTCCATTTTCTCCTTTCTACGCAGCCGCGACGGTCGCTACGGGCAGGCACCTTAACCGTATTACAAGTACAGTCTCTCCTCCTTCAAGGAGGCTGTAATCTCCTTCGCCAAGATGTCGGTCATGTTGACAAAATTCGAGTCCAAGAGCAACCGTGTCAAAGGTATGCAGACCAGGAGGAAAAGATAGACTCTGGTTAAGGTTCTCCCCAGGACTTGCATTCCACCCCACTCAGCCGTTGCTCGCTGCGTCGCTGCATAATGGAAGTGTACAGCTGTGGAACTATCGTATGGGTGTGCTGGTAGACAGGTTTGAGGAGCATGAAGGTACGCGACTTCGGTGACGTGACTTTCACATGTGCAACCCGTTGATTGTAGTAAAGGTCCGGTACGAGGAGTTGCTATCCACCCTAGTCGTGCGCTCTTGGTGACCGGTGGGGATGACTACAAAATTAAAGTCTGGGGTGAGCGGGCCTTGCTGTGCACCATTTATAGCCTTCCTCACTTGTTGCAGACATTCGACCTCAGAGTAGGCGTTGCCTATTCACTCTGCATGGGCATCTCGATTATGTCCGCACAGTTCAGTTTCACCATGAAATGCCCTGGATCGTGAGTACCCCTGTGACGGTTCCCAGCCTAAATTCAACGCATCTTCGGAGCAGCTTTCATGTTCGGATGATCAAACAATTCGGATCTGGAACAGCACATCTCGTAACTGCATAGCCATCCTTACCGGCCATTCGCACTACGTCATGTCCGCCCAGTTCCATCCTAAAGAGGACCTCATCGTCTCAGCCTCGCAAGATCAGACTGTACGCGTCTGGGATATCTCCGGTCTTCGCAAGAACACGCCGAATTCTGCGCCTGGCACATTCGATACCTTTGACAATTTCTCGACGGTCAAGTACGTATTGGAAGGTCATGACCGTGGAGTGAATTATGCTGCCTTCCACCCCACCCTCCCGCTCATCGTATCTGCTGCGGACGACCGGCAAATCAAGATATGGAGGATGAGTGACACCAAAGCATGGGAGGTAGATGCGTGCAGAGGTCATTTCAATAACGTGTCGACCGCTCTTTTCCACCCAAAACATGAGCTGATTGTCTCATGTGGAGAGGACAAAACCGTGCGTGTCTGGGATCTGACCAAACGATCCGCAGTGCAGACTTTCAGAAGAGAGAATGACCGGTTCTGGGTCTTGGCTGCGCATCCCGAACTAAATTTGTTCGCAGCTGGTAGGTCTCGCGTTATGGATACAGAATTGTGTCTCATTGCAGTCTAGGTCACGACAATGGTTTGATTGTCTTCAAATTGGAGCGTGAGCGACCGGCCTTCGCGATGCACCAAGATACCTTATTCTACGTGCGCGACAAGTACGTCAGAGCATACGATCTCAACACGGGATCGGATATTGGTTTGCTTAGCGTGCGAAAATTCGGGAGCCCATATGTTCCTCCTAGGACGTTGAGTTACAACCCTGCTGAGCGTGCAGTGGTCCTGACGATATCATCCGACAATGGCCTGTTCGAGTTGACATCACTCCCGAAGGACGCTGTAGGAGAGGTGAAGGACTCTTCGACTGACGGAAAGAGAGGCCCAGGACATGCTGCAATCTTCGTTGCGCGTAATAGGTTTGCGGTGCTGAACAAGACTTCTCAGGTTCGTTTTCAAACTTGGATGAAGCCTCTTTGTGCATTGCCTTTGGTAATTCACGTCTCTACTCGTGTAGCTCATTGAAGTGCGTGACATTTCCAATTCCGTCGTGAAGACCATCAAGGCGCCTGTTCAGACCAACGAGATCTTCTACGGAGGAACCGCCAGCATCATACTCAGTTCTCCTACCTCTGTTGTGCTGTACGATATTCAGCAACAGAAGAGTCTTGCCGAGATAACAACACCCCCGGTGAAGTATGTTGTGTGGAGTGCTGATGGATCACTGGTTGCGCTGTTAAGCAAACATAGTATGTGGACATATGTGTTAGTTCTTATTCTATATGCGCACCTTGATGGTTGCTTACAGCGATCACGATTGCCAACAAGAACTTCTCCCAGCATACCCTCATCCATGAGACGATTCGCATCAAGTCGGGAGCTTGGGATGATTCTGGTGTATTCATCTATTCGACCTTGAATCATATCAAGTACTGCCTTGCACAAGGGTGAGTTGCGCTTCGTGAGGTCTTCCGGACGTTTGATTCATACTTAATATCCAGTGACCATGGCGTGATATGTACCCTGGACAACCCTGTATACCTGACCCGAGTGAAGGGTAAAACCGTATATTGCCTGGACCGCTCTGCCCGCCCTCGCACTATCACTATCGACCCTACAGAGTACCGCTTCAAACTCGCGTTACTGCGGAACAACCAGGAGGAAATGTTATACATTATTCGCACGTCTAATCTCTTGGGCCAGAGTATCATCGCATATCTCCAGCAAAAGGGCTTCCCGGAGGTGCGTGGCCGATTTGTGTCACCATCTATCGAGACCTGCTCACAGTACCTTGTTGATAGATTGCCTTGCACTTTGTCCAAGACAAAAATACGCGATTCGATCTGGCTATCGAATGCGGCAATCTTGATGTCGCTTTGGAAATGGCTCGTGCTATCGACCGACCTGAGTGTTGGGAACGTTTGGCACAGCAAGCGCTAAAGCAAGGGAATCACAAGGTCTGCAGTTGTGTATTCTCACTGACTATCTCTAACGAGATGCTATCAGGTCGTGGAGAAGGCGTATCAACAGACGAAGAACTTCGACCGGCTATCGTTCCTGTATCTAGCCACCGGCAGCATAGACAAGTTGTCGAAAATGCAGAAGATCGCTGACGCACGGGGCGATCCGATGTCGAGATTCCACAATGCGTTGTATGCTGGTGATGTGCTCGGGAGAATTTCTGTTCTGAGGGACGTTGGACTTCGTGAGTGTTCGTGAAGCTATTCCAATTTCGCCCTTTAATAATGCTCCGTATACAGATCCGTTGGCATACCTGACGGCGAAGACAAATGGCTTAGACGACGTTGCACTGGAGATCCTGGGGGCTGCTGGTCTGGACGAAACGGATGTGGACGACGTGCCTTCATTCGGCCTGTCCGCCTTGAAACCCCCACCAGTGATTACTCCAATTGTGGATCTCAACTGGCCTTCTATCTCGACAGGAGAAAGCTTCTTCGACCGCGCACTCGCCAACGGGAACTTGGAGTCGGGAGGAGATGTTCCGTATGTCAATGGGTACGACACTGCTGGTGCTGCCGCGTCGTCCGCGCTGGATGAGTGGGCGCGGGAGGAAGAGGCACAAGAAGAGATCGAGGCTGAAGAAGGCGCTTGGGATCTGGATGCTGATGGCGAGGAAGCTCATGAAGAAGTGGAAAAGGAAGAAGAGATCCCTGAAGAGGATGCTGACCTTGGAGCGGGTGCTGCACCTGGCGTTAGTGAGACAGAGCTCTGGACGCGCAATTCACCATTCGCTGCAGATCACGTCGGCGCTGGATCGTTCGAAACGGCCATGCAGGTTAGTGTGTTCAGTATTCGCCTGAGTCTTATTGACGTTTTCCCAGCTACTGAATCGCCAATTCGGAGTCGTCAACTTTACTCTTCTCAAGCCTCTATTCCTCTCGATATATCGGTCATCACATGCGTATTACTCTCCGCTTGCGTCGCTACCGCCACTGCAATTACACCTGCGACGCAACCCCGAGGAAGCATCACCAAGTCGTGTCTTACCTATCGCTGTGCGGTCGCTGCAGTCTATCCGTGCAGAGTTGTCAGAAGGCTTCCGAGCTGTCTCGGGTAACAAGCTACTAGAAGCTCAGGCAGTATTCCGCTCCGCTCTGCGGGCCCTCCTACTGGTGGCTGTATCTTCAGATGCCGAAGCGAAGGAGGTAAGGCTCCTGCATTATAACTACTCTCACCATTCAGTAGAAGTTGACCTTCTTGACAGTGGCGTGATGCGGTTACGTCTTCCCGGGAATATCTCCTCGGTGTCACGCTTGAACTCGAGCGGAGGCGCGTAGCACAAGAAGAGCCTGACAATGTCCGACGCAGTCTTGAGTTGGCGGCGTACTTCACACATTGTCAACTCCAGCCTCCACACATGCAGATTGCTTTGCGCAGTGCCATTAGTGTCTTCGCGAAAGCCAACAATCACGTCACAGCAGCGAGGTTTGCCAGGCGACTCCTTGAACTCAGCCCGGATCCCAAGATTATTGCGCAGGTAGGTATTTATTGCATGATTGCTACAGGGTCTTTTCTGAACATGATCAAAACTAGGCACGACAACGCATTGCCGCTGGTGACCGCAACCCGAGAAACGCAGTGGAGATCTCCTACGACGAATTCACAGAATTTGAGATTTGCGCAGCGAGCTTCACTCCCATCTACAAGGGTTCCCCTTCCGTTCGCTGTCCGTATACGGATGCCGCTTTCCTGCCCGAGTTCAAGGGAAAGCTCGACCCTCTTTCACAGCTCACGGAGATCGGTGCCCCGTCTTCTGGTCTGCCCGCGCCACGGTCATAGCTGGATCTGACTTTCTAGACGGGCTACGTCCATGCCTTTGCATAGACAGTCTACGTGCACTTATTCGCTGCGAACCTTTTGTACAGCCGGAAAAATCTGTTGTTCTTATCTTCTACCGAGCGTTTCCTTCCTTGGATGTATTTGTGAGGCCTGACCCTATGGTTGTCAACGTCTGTAGTGAGAGGTGCGTGCATCTACGAGAGTGTCTGCAACGACTTGCACGATCCGCGTCAAGCATGACCTCTTGGCAGCGCTTCTGTTGGTGAGCATGTGACTACACGACCTTGATGCTGTTCCTGGGAACATCGATGGCTCATTTCTTCCAGCTTTGAGCCACCCGCCATATGTTGCTGGATACGGTAGCAAAATGTTGCGAAGGGCTCAGGGTACTATTACTAAAGAGGTTGTCTATCGCAGTCACGATTACTCTCTTTTGTCCTATTTTCTGAGCTGGTCGAACATAGCTTATCTGCAGCGTCTACGTCTACGACCAATGAATGCCTCGTGTTGCATCCTAATACACTGGATTCCGACCTCAATGTGTTCAGTTTTCTGGGAAGGCTGTGCGCCCCTCCTTAACCTTGCTCCCATCTTATTCCCTCTCCGTTCATCGCTACTATGGACTGCTTACAGGCCGCTCGAACTCATCTCAAATCGAGGTCACTCGGAGGGAGTATAGGATCCAGCGGAATGGTTGAACGCATTGAGCTCGACGACAGCAATACTCTACGCAGCCGTGCATCTTCACCTTCATATTCCTCGTCTGAAGCCACAGTATTGGACGCCACCGCCTCGACACACGTCTCTGAAACGGCTAACCCAGGACATACCCCCAGCCTTTGCGCGACTCCCGACGAACCTAGCGCACATCCACTCGCGAACGCTGCCACCCCTTCTCATCATGTCGCATTACCTATCCATGACGGCGCCGTACGATACGGAGCTGGAGACAACACTATTGCAGGCACAGATTATGAGCCCGTGTCGCCGGAGGATGTGATGGAGCGCAGATACTGCCAAAGACACTGCATGCATGTGATGTCAGTCTAACATGCGTTATGAACGCTAACTCGTTTTCTGGTAGACCACAGAGCCGTCCTGAAGAAATCCAAACGATTCCGCCTGTGAAGACAACTTTCGCATAGTAAGTCAGCCACTGCCTGTCAGAGTCAGCCTGACCTCAATACTTTCTCCTAGTCCCGCATTACCACCGGGATGGACTACTTGTGAACATCCAGAAGGCTGCCGATACTTCCGCAACAACGCCCAGGTAAGTTTCAGTGTGTTGAGAGTTAATGAATGTGCCTGCATGAGATTCAACAGCGTCTGTACACTGATGCGTGGATCCACGATCGCACGACCTTCGAAAGTATTGAAACATTGGGACGACAGATATGTCACGACCTTCAGCAGAGAGACGATGTTCCAGATGGTACAGAGATTGTGCTCGATGTCTATAAGGATGAGAACGGACTGCATCGGTCGTACTACCTCGTCCGTGAGGCCGACCGAACCATCTTCTGGCTGCATGAGGTCGACGTCGTATTGCTCAGTCGAGGCTCACGGCCTGTCTTCGACGAGTCCCATCTAAGTGAGTGGTCTGTTACCCCGTCAAGTTTGTTTGAGATGGAAACGTACTTGTCTTAGAACATGCGCAAGAAGCCCAATACTGGTGATTAAGTCCACTAGGTTAGCCAGTTTTCTGAGTAGACATTTGCAAGCATTATTGATGAATTCAACTAGCTTCTTATTTCAAGACTGACACGCTCACGTAGGCTGCATGCGGGACTATTTCCAAATGACCGCGATATCACGAAAGAGCTCTTGGATGAGCTCGAAGACTTGATGATCCATCAGACAACTGGTATGAGTGTGATCTTGTATCACCTACCCTCATCTAGTAGATTCAGTTTTTTGCAGATGCCCATACGTCCGAGACGTCAACCGCTCCGTACGGTGCGGATGATATGCGTATTCATTTAGCGACTTTCAAGCACAGTAGACGTAAGGTACTTCTCTACATCAATGTCAGGTGTTCAATGTTTGCATTTGCAGCTGGGCAACGACCGGGCTCCTTCTGTTCCTTGAGTGAGCGCTCTGATTATATTCACAGTGCATGAACATTAATTGAAATTTGGAGCAGCCAAAATGATGTATGTTTTAGGTGAGCTTGTTACAGCTATCGATATCGTACGGCTACACATTACTGAATAACATAAAGCTTCAGCAAGATTCATGAATTACCACGGGCAACAGTATGCTCGTCTAGATCGTGACCGCTCCGTGTATGAAGGCTCCGATGAACCACACTCCTACATCTTTTTGATGCTGTCGCCGCTGCTGTTCTACACGCCAGATCTGTATATTGAGGAGCTTGAAAAGGTCTGGGTCGAGGAAACTGCTCATTACCAGCCATGGAATATTTTCGTGTCGAGTTTGCAAAAGGACTGGGAGAGCGCGATCCTTCCTGTATGTTGTGTATCGCTTTACCCGTTTGTCGCACTTTTGACGAGGTACTCTCTCGTACAGGCGACAGTGCTATTGACTGCCAACGTCGGCTTCTTGGCCATTCAAAGCGAGGATACAGGGCGGCCTTCACGATCAGTCGCTCAGATAACGAGCTACCTGTCTACTTTCCTCAGCTTAGGCAACATTATTATGTGCATCATCCTATCAAGGCAGCATCGATCCAATGCGCACGGCACTGCGACTGAAGCCGTGAGTCAGATTTGTCTCTCGTGATTCTTCCGAAGATATTAAGACCACGCAGGCCACCTACTTGTCAGGGCGAAGTCAAAAGATAATGGGGCTGGAGTTACTTGCAATCACGTTTAGCCTCCCCGGCGCAATGTTCCTATGGGGGTACATCTAAGCACTACGCGCGCATGTATCTCAACTAACGATCATCTGTTCAGTATGCTGTTTTTCTACGTGACCATGTCTTGGGTATGCTTCCACGATACGAGTCCCGCCACAAGTGTCTCAGCAGCGATCGTCCTGACGATCATTGTTGGGCTTACGCTTGTTGTGGTGTGTATGGATTGGCGTACGGGACCGCCGGAGGAGGGGCTATGGAATAGGCTTTCTGCGAGCCTAAAACGTGCACTGAAGCGGATGGTACAACGCCGGAGAGATCTTGCTTTCCCCAGGAAGCCACGCTTGCCCTGGTGGCAGACCCGAAGGATGCGGCGTTCAAGGCGTGGGGCTGTCAAGCAGTCGGACGACATTGTATGATTTTCCAATAGGCTCGCACGATCTGACCACCTAGCTCTTGGTTCTGTATATCTCTATAATCCAGTTTACGACTCTACCTTGCCTATATATTGTTGCCTATGTACTCAGAGCAACATTATCGTTGATATGAGACGAACTAAGCATCGTCATGCAGAACCCGAGGTAGCACAGGAAGAACACAATATACATATAATACTTTTATCCTCCACCTATGCTGGAGTTGCTGCGGTTCGACGGTGTGCGCGACATGTACGACGCTGGCGGAATAGGGAGCGTGTTCTGGTCGCGGACGAGCCGTGCCTCCTTGGCGTGTGCTTGTCTGACATAGGCGAATCGCTGGAAGTGGTTCAGGGCCTGAAGGAACTGTACTCCGATCTGCGCAGTGGAGTGTAAGTAAACACGTTCCCGAACATGCCTGGGATTGTGAACTGACCGAGTGCGAACGCAGTTCGTTGAAGATGTTAACAGTGTAATCTCGCACCGCCTCCTGCTGGTGGAACAGTCCGAAGCTGAGCGGAAGCAGGCCATTCTGGTGGGGCGGAAGATGGGCTAGAAGCTGACAATTCCATTATGTGAATTTGTAGCACAGTAATCCAATAGACCAGGTTACGCACCTCGGTGACTTGATCATAGGTTTGCAAATTTTCTGAGAGGGTTCGCATGATCAGTTCAGCTTCGCCATCTGGCATCCTCTTCGCATGTCGAAGTCGCAACAACTGATACGACACGTCGAAACCATGTATTGGGTTCGTAGTCATGCTCCTCCTCACATCCTATAACTGAAATGGGTCTTCAAAGCATCACTGGAGCGGTAGGTCCACTGACTATCTGGTAGAGCCTGTAGCTCTCCGTCCGCCTCCACGCCTCGATCCTGCTCGCGCTCAGCGCGATTTCTCTGGGGCTGGTAGAGTCGTCCGGGAAGGTGATGCCGCTTCCTAGCCGTCGTTCACCTGCCTTCTCCGTATACGTCACGTTCGGGTATCCAATTGTAGTTGTGCCTGTGATGTCCTCTTCGTACCGGGAGGCAAGCTTGATAAAGCGGACCAGATATTCCGTGAAGCGTGCCTGTACGAGGGGCTCTCCGTAGTGGGAGCTGATGAGGGAAAGCAGCTGACAAGATGACAAGGTCAGTCCTTAGCCGGCCTGAGGAGCGACTATGAACGCAGAACCAAAGAGGCGTACATCGTCTATGAATTGGTTGTCCGGATGATCTGCCTTGGCAGCGAGGTCGCTCCTCTGTGTAGAGGTCGAATCCCTCCCTGGAATCCGAACGACGTCTTCTTCGCTGCCCACGGATCCCTCCGCCCGAAGAGTGCCGGTGCGGATGATGAGCGGGCCCTGACTAGGAGGCACCGATGTCGGGTGATAGATGTTGATGTCTTTGGAAACAACCATGCGCTTGGTGCCAATATCACATAGAAGGTCCCATGAGCCCGACGCTTCAAAGATCGGGTTCGTCACTCCGGCAATGAACCCCGGGCTACATTTTCCAACGAGTGTGAGCAAACTTCGTGACTCTCGTGAAACAACTCACATAGATTCCCATTCCTCACGGTTTGTTAAATTCGCATATGGAAACGCACGCCTGATAAACCCTCGCAAGATGGCTCCACAGCCGGATCCGAGGGCACACGCGGAAAGAACGAAGTTTGATACCAAGTGGGCAGGTTTATGATGGCCCAAGAAGATGATACGTTTACCAGTAAGCAGGGCATTAAACAGCACGATGACCGGAGGAGTGAGTGCCCCGTTTGTATGTAAATGAGGATGGAGAGGGCCACTGAGGGTCGCCTGGAGCGGTGAGAACGTCGTGATAAGCTCGATGATGGAGTACTGTATAAAGCCTGATCGTCAGTTTCGGAGCTCGCAGAGATGAGTGCTGTACGCACGTCACCAACTTCCTCCGGAAACGTCGCCAGTGGCAGCTTGATGGGCAAGTGGTGCTCACCGTAGTCGATTATGCCGGGAAAGAAATGCGAGTCCTTCATCACCGCCATAGCGAGACTGGACGTGCCCGGCCCCGGTGTCGGATCATCTCGTCTGCCGTGCACGCCGTTCGAGGATGCAGAGACTGAAGACGCGTCGGTGGATCTCCTACCGCGGAATGGCACGCTGCTAGCGACGCTGCTGCTGCTCGCGCCCGCGCCTGCGACAGCGCCCCCCGGTCCAACTTGCTCCAACCCGCTCTCATCCCCAACCCACACCGCACTGCCGTCGAGGGAGAACGACGCGTCTGAGGGCGAGGGCTGCGAGGGTGGCGGACGGCTGGCCTCCCTCCGCTCCTCCCGCCGCCGCATCAGGATGCCCTCTTCGAAGCTAGACTGCGATTCTACGGAGTTGCTCGCACGGTGCGTCTGCCGAGAGGTTGCAGCCAGGTTGGTCGACTGCTGCGTCGCGGTGCCAGGGTCTCCGAGGAGGCCCTGCAAGAAGTCGTCGAACTTGTCGAGGAAGACGTCCTTCCGCTCGGAAGCGCGCATGATGAGCTTCTCGTAGCGCGTCAGGACGGGTGCCATTGAGATGTCCATGGAATTGATCGCGTCGAAGAGACGGGCGAGACAGTCTTGCGACGGGTTGGCGAAGTAATCGTCCAGCGCCATGACGAGGACGGGCTGGAGAAGATTTTAGAGAGCTTGGCTCGTCAGTAGACACAACACCTACCTTGAATATCTGGACGAATGGATGCCGCGTACAAATCGCCATTGCCTTCACCACCGCACCTCTGAGAGCCTTCGAAAACGCGATACATAGAGCACAAAGAATGGACATACCTGCGTGCTGTCTTATCCAGCTTGGTCCTCACCAGGTTCAACACGTACAATAACTCTGGTTTCTCGCTCTGCTCATATCCATCACTCGCGCCTGGTGACTCCAGAGCAAGGACGGGTGCTATAGTGTTGAATGGCGTCTGGTTGAGGAAGAATATGGTCCAGTCTTCAGGCTGCTTCTCGGCGCCATCTGGCAACATCAAGTTCGCGAGGAGGCTCCACCATGCGACTCAGCGTGAGCTTGCGCGTCAGAACAGAATGAACACACCCTTCATCTGTTCCGAGTGGTTGGGGAAACTGGTACGTGAGTAGCGCGCCACGGTCGATGTCGAAGTCGGCGAGGAGGACGAAGGAGCAATGGTACGCATCGTTGGACATTACAAGTTGGTTTCCGTAAGTACTCGGCTTCGTTTAGGATGAGACTTGCACCAGAGCGATTATTTGCGCATGCATCGACGATATGAACGCCCGCCAGCCGAAGGAGGTGTAGAATGGGGGTGAGAGTTGAACGTTGAACGTCGGCGCTAGTCCAGACATGCGCAAAATGGGCCAACCGTGATGATAACGACACGCGCGCACAGTAAACTGCTTGCTTCAAGTTTGTGGGTCTTTCAAGCTGCATTCAAACTACAGACTCTAACAAGCTATGATGATGGTATGTTTTTACAGCTCGCAAGTCAATACTAGTAGTACCGTCGAGTCATCGTCGGGGGTAGCACCAAGTGTTTACCACAAATATGCTAGCACTGCTGCCGCCTACCGAAGGTTGTTCGTACAATGATCCGTAGTTTCGGAGCCAGAACAAAACTTCAAGGTACCGAATGACCATGACCGTAGCGGCTCGGACGGAAACGATTATCGCCAACTCACAAAAGGAACGCCAAAACGAGTATCAGGGACTTGCGTAGCCTATCCAAGTAGTGCAAATATTTAGGCGAACATGGACTGTCTTGAACCCTCAGCTTGCTGTAAGTGGTACTATAGAGACAGCACGATGTCGATCGAGATTTGATCGATACGTGACGTTGTGGCGTATGCTACGCCACACCTGTGAACACTTCCGGCTATCCGACTATCTATCTACATCACCACCATCACCATCACCCAGTGTGCGCTTTGTGCTGTGCTTTAACCTGAGGAATGCCACCCCAGATCTAAATTCTGTGCATCAGGGCGAAATTGAAGACTCAGACGAGTCAGTAAGTGGAGCGGCGTTGGTGACACTAATAATAACGAACGATCCTACTCACTCTCATGAAACTACACAGAAATACACTAGTGCCACCGTGTGAAGTTTACCAGTGAATCTGGCCCCCCGGCGTTTATATCTTCGTCTTCCTGAGTCATATCTTCAACGTGAGTTTAATCTAGTATGCAACATCCGCGCATTCAGCTTGATCGTCACCTTGCACCAGATGCATAGCGCATTGCCCAATATGGGAATAGTGCCAGGCATGCATCCACCTCCTAGCGTTGACCATATCAACGAATTCAAGGATCTAGATGTACCAGCCGATGTTCATCTGGTAGTGACACCTCCGAGCACCTTCCTACATCGACCTGTGCCCAAAGATAACCATTGGGCTATCTTCTGGAATATCTCCAGGAGCACAGACGGTGTCATGCGCCGTCGCCTACTGCAAATCGTACAGGAAAGGTTGGGGGATGGTTACGCCAATCATCTCACGAATTGGGGTCCGATTACAACGTCTGCGGGAGGACCTACTCCAGAGTCGAGGAAATTCTTCATCAAGACCATGACTCTCAGCGAAAGGAAGTCATTAGAGGCGATTGCGCAGACCGAAGAAGTCTTGATGCCTGATGGTGTATGGAATTGTCAAGATTGGATCGAGGCAGTGCTAGATAAGGCGGTCAATGGTGGTATGATCGCCGCAGAAACTGTTGCTGACCTGAAGATAAAGGCTAGAGAAGTTATTGGGAAACCATTTCATCCTTAAGATGCATGCGCATATGTACTTTTCGCTGAAACGGGAGATTCAATGGCTAAATTTTCTGACCACTGAATTTTAAACACGTAGTTCCATCCAGTGCCACATACTGTATACCGTATGTTGCTTGAATATTTACACGGTTACCAAACAGTGATCAGCCCTCTCATCTGGGCAGTCGCATCTCGCCAGCAAAACTGCATCGGAATTCAAACCGATCACAGATCTTATGTATATCGCTTCGCACGAGCAGACCGCAAGAACAAGACAAACACCGGCAGATTAGTATATAATACAACAACATTTTGATTTTGAACTCTAACACTGGTACACAGTCAATACATCATCCCATCTTCTTCCCCTTGATTCACGCGAGGGCGTGGTATTCTCAGTGCATCGAGGCTTTCAGTTCTGCATGTTCAAGACCACGCGGCCGACGACCGTGCCCTGCTCCAAGCCTTCGTACGTCCTAATTAAAAAGAAACAGGCGTCAGTACACGACAAACGAGCATCGGAATAATAAATAACGCACTCCGCGAGAGCGGACAACGGCTTGACCACATAGAAGCACTTGACCTTACCACGAGACGCGATGTCGAGCGCCTCCCGCGCGTCTTGGCGGTTACTGCACGAGGCAAAATTAGTAACAACACGGCGGAAAAAGAGACCGCGGCACTCACCCGACATAGGAGCCGACGATGTTGATGCTCTTGGTGACCGTGAAGAAAATATCCGCATCAAGCGACGCTTTGGCGGGAAGGCCAACGACGACAAGGGTGCCGCCCATGCGAAGATAGTCGATCGCCTGCTTGTACGCCTGGCTCGTCGCGGCGGTGACGACCGCGGCATGGGGGCCGAGCCCATCCGTCGCAGCCTTGATGTCCTTGACGAGGTCCTTCGTCTCTCTAAAGTCGATGAACACCTCCGCACCGAGCTTCAGGCACAGGTCGCGCTTCTCCGCGCCGGTGTCGATCGCGACGACGCGCAGGCCCATCGCTGACGCGTATTGCACCGCAAGATGCCCGAGGCCTCCGCCGGCGCCCGGGAGCACGACCCAGTCGCCGATGTGCGTGTTCGAGTTCTTGAGCGCGCGGTAGACGGTCACGCCCTGCGATCGGCGCGTGAGATCAGATCCATTTGCGAGATGAGAACAAAACGTACGGCGCAGAGGATGGAGGCGGCTTCGGTGCTCGGGAGGTTCTCGGGGATGGGGGTAACATGGCTGACCCAGGAGACGACGTATTGCGAGAAGGTGCCGTCGACGCTGAAGCCGCTGTATTGGCCGTTCAAGCAGCCTAGTGAGTGAGATTGCATCAGATTGCGTTGGAGAGCCGCCTGAGGGAGAGAAGCGAAGCAAGGCGCCTACTTTGCTCAAGACCCTTCCTGCACATCTCGCAGTCGAGGCAGGAGTACGCCAACCACTTGATGCCCACCCGCTCGCCGAGCTTGACGGGAGAACCCTGAGTGTGCGCACCGATGGCGACGACGATTCCAACACCCTAGCAGTGGGTGAAGATGGATACGTGGGTCATCGTGTAGGGCATATCAAGCGGATCGTACCTCATGTCCACCGATGAGGGGGAGCTTGGCTTTGATCGGCCAGTCGCCCTTTGCGGCGTGGAGATCGGTGTGGCAGACACCGCTGCAGTCGAGCCTGACAAGACACTCTCCTGGGAGAAGGTCTGCGGGCTGCTTGACGGGGTGATCGCTCTTGATCTTCAGAGGCGCGCCGGTGCTCTCGACGATGGCAGCGTGCTGGGTCTTTGGGATGACGAAGTTGGGCGACGACATTTTTGTCTATAGTCTACAATTGTTGTCAACAAGGAGGTGAGTGCAGGGAGTGGTGAAGGATGAGGACGATACACACTCCTATTTATCCTGTCAGCGGCAGAGCATTGGGGCATGATGCAGATGGAGATGAAGTAGCGTATGGAGTTCGGCTCGAGAAAGGCCTGGACGAAGTTCACTTGGACGATGCCTAGGCACGCCGGTTCGAGCCGTGGTCTCTCCCTCTATCAGACTATCATTCACCAGCTTTCAACCCTACCTACCTGTCTCCCAAAGGCTTTGCGAGGGCTAGACTAATCAGACATCCTCTCTCAAACCTACCACTTACCGCGCCATAGGCTGTTCTAGCCCCACCATGACATCCGCAGGCGGACCTCAGCGAACTCTAACGACTGTCAGACGGCACGATAGTGGTCTGTGAGTACTGTAAGGAAAAGCTGTCTGACTGAGCGACCTAGAGCCGATGAATGTACACGGTCGACTGGCGCATAGACCTGTCGGAACAACTCAGTTCCTCCGAATCAACCGTACTCCCGACAGTGCGCAGTCACATCCTGCCAATATTTCCATCATGCTTGGCCCGCTAGCATATGGTCACCACCACACTTGCCACCGCAGTTCCATTAGACATGGGAACGACGTACCTCCACAATTTCACCTCCGTAGAGTCCTCTGACTTGATATGTAGGTCACGCTGCTCCCTTAAACTGCACTATCTTTCGCGCTGCGCCACTGCAGGAGCTCGATCTCCCGTCATCCACGGCTCATCGATCATCTGAAAGTCTCGGTTTTCCTTGCATTCGTTCCTGTGAGTATTCCTGTCATGTCGATTGTAACCGCGCCAGATCCTCGTAAGTTGCACTGACATACTCGAATTACTGAGACTGTATAGGAGCACTCTTCGGGCCGTAAACGTCACTGGATGACACCGATGTCGATCCCCTTTCAAAAGTCTGCTGTGATAAAATCGCCTTGGTGTCCTTCTATGGAAGTAAATACTGAAGCTTCCCTGTCAGGACATCCCACTAGCGGTGATATCACTGCCTCCCATGCACCGCGAACGTGGTGTGTCAGGTGCAGTTGCACGCCCCAGTCGTTTCGAATCTCGAGATCATGTGTGCATCTGCACAGTTCGTGAGTCATCGATTCATCTCGTTAGCTCGCACCTTAGCCTCGATTGTGCTGCACAGGAGTCAGGCAAATCTGGATGTGAGTGTGTTCGCCCTTTTTCGCTGAAGGTGGTTCTTCCCAACGTCGCTCGGAGTCCGTCCACACGCTGATACATGATAACTACATCGGAGTTAAGTGACGCCTTGTATGTTGTTCCCATCCATCATCGACGGGGAATGTCGAGGAAAGGGCACTTCTGTCGCTGCAGGAAATCCCGACCTCCTCCCATTGGCTCATCAACAATGGCGCCGCATTTGGACAAGTCGGATGCCATTGGTCGCCACTCGTCGGTGCCCAAGCGGACTTCCATTCGATGCGCGGGAGTCTAATATTCCCGCCGGGAGCGCGTTCGGAAATCCTGTAGCTTGCTTTCCGCTGTTTGGCGTGCACTAGCAAGATATGCGTAGCTTGTGGGTCCTGCACAACGGGGCGGCAATATTGCGGAGTTTTGGATCTTTTTGGCCGTGTAGTTGCATTCCGGACGAGAAGATGGACGATATAAACACCACAAAATAGAGAGGGATGAACATCCCTCTCACTTCGGTCTGACCTTGTCAATCGCGCGCACCTCTGTGCTCCAAGAAAAGGAAAAAGGAACTCTCAGGTTGGCTGATATACCCCATACCGCTTTCCAGGACACTCTGGATCGAATATGTGTTTGGCGACTGACTGCAATAAATGGACTTTACAAGCAACTTGCTAGTATGGACCCGCCCTGACGCTTCGGGCTGCGGCAATACGAGATATCTATGTACCACAGCCCCGGTGGCCACCGGCCGGTGACCTCACGTAAGCGGGTGACCTCGCGTAAGCGGCGCCTTTTCGGGCCACGCCGCCGGCCGCGGCCAATCCGGGTGCTCCGATAGCTGCGCTGGTACACGGTGTATCCGTGGCGGTCACTCCGGCCACTGGCGCGGCGCCACCCCCTGCCGCCGCCGCCGCCTTCCTGCGTATACGCCCGCCCCGATCCGGCAACCGCTGTTGTTGCTGTAACATGCCGCAAGCGCGGCGCGCACCCGAACCTTTGAACTGCCATTGTACATCAAATCTGTGTACTTGCATACCGGTGCACTGTAAAACTGATGTTTGCCAGCCACAACTACTATAATTATTAGCCTACGGGTAATACGCTGCTGCTGCAAGTACAGACTCAGCTCCCGCACGATGATCATGCTTTAAGAAGTCGCAGAACTGGTGTGGAGTGTAATGAGGCTCATACTTTTCATGCAGGAAGTGCAGCGCGATGTTGAGATGCCAGTTCCGTTTCTTCTGTAGAGCCTCCACAAGCTGGACGACGCTCATGCGACGATTCGCCTCCGTCTTCAACTTCGGCACATTCCGACGCCACTTCGCACCCCACTCTTCACACAGCAACTGCACCGGCAGATAATTTCCGATCCCCTCTGCCCATTCCGTCCATATGTCGGTGATCTGGCAGACCGGTTGGTACTCATAGTATGGCAGCCACTCACCATGGAAGTCCCACTGTGCATGTCGACGAAGCCGCTCATCACCATGCTTACTTGCGAGTGCAGCCCACTTCAGAGCCTGAGGAGTGAGTGGTGAATTCTGGGGCACAAGGGAAGACGACGGTGTTGCCATTGGTGCTGCGGTGCCATGCACTACGTGCGCTACGGCCGTACGACGTGGCGCCAGCGAAGCTGTGGGTTGAGGCATTGCAGCAGGCACATGCACGCCGGAAGGCACATGGAGCTCACAATGAGAAGACAAGCTTCCTGTCGGTGCATCGTGCGAGCTCGAAGCAACGCTGAGCATGACGTTCGGAGATGTCACGATATTGATGGTGACCATCGACGGTGATGTGGAAACAGGTGGTGTACTTGGCCCGGGTACGACGTGACGTTCAACCGCACAGATGCCGGGCATTGTGGGCGAGAGCGGAGATGGCGCCTGCGGTGATGTTTGTCGCGGTAGTGGCGATGATGCTACCGGCGGCAGCATCGGTGGTGACAGCGGAAGCGCAGGATTGCGCCTGTCTGAAACTGTTCGTGGGAAGTTGCAGGTCTCTGGAACGGGAGTCGGCATCAATGAGCCGGATGAAACACTGCTACCACCCACTGCAGGACATGATAGATGTCAGGCGGGTCATGTCGCATCGCAATGGCAGGGGCGAAGGGAGGGGATTCACATCAGTGTTTGCAGTTCTGGCCGAGAGGCACAGACATGGCCTCTTCCAGCAGAGTCTTCAAGTGACTTACATCCTGTGACAGTGCATTTCATCTCACATCGTTGAGTTCATGATCTTGCTGCTGAGCCAGCTCGAGGCCCGTCACGACGCCTTTGACACTGGTAACAAATCGTTCGGGGAGGTGCTGAAATGCAAGGCGGCTTTGCTCCTCAGTGGCACGAATATGAGTGTCCGCTTCAGCTGCGAAAGTGCAGAAGATTGTGGTGTTGAAGGGTGGATACTGGAATACTAGTGCGTTAGGGTTCCGCGAGTAGAGAACAGCCATGTCCTGCAACAGGACATGGTGGAACCAGGAGAGGACTCTGAAGAATTGGACAAGGGCGATGTCCTTCGCGAGAGCCTCAGCTTCGGCTCGTGCTCGCATCGTGTGCTCTTGTTCTTCGAGCCATGGGAAAATGGCAGTCTTGAGCGACAAGGGCGGGTCTGGAACATGAGGTTCAGTATGGCTTTTTACTGCGACGAGCCAGTTGTCATGTACCGAGCACATCCCGAGGAATGAAATATGTACCTGGTTGCCGTGCGTTGAACATCGCTGATCCGACAAATGCATCGATAGGCAGTTCGCGATCGTAGCAGGAACGGAAGGATCCGCTCTCACTCCACCCACCCAAAGCCTTGGTGTCACTTGCGGAGACCCCATGGCTGTGCATGTTCTGCGCTGCAAAAGACCGGCCGGCGTGTGTTACCTTGGTGATGGAGATCTCATGTTGCAGGTGAAGGGCATTGACACGGCTGCGATGGGCTGCGACAGTGCCTTAGCGTGTGTAACTCGCGGAGATATCATCGGGACTCACTTTCGTACAACATTGGTGCATCCGGACGTGAGGCATAAAAGAGATGATACTGGTACCAATCCCGGCGACCGTACTCCCCAAAATTCCGATCTGCGATATCTGCACCGAAGTTGGGAACTGAGTTGTTCTGAATGTGGAAGTGGCTGTACAGCTGCAGCGCAATCAATCCAATGCTGCACAGTTCGACGAGGCAATGGCGAAAAGCACCGAACTCATCGGTTCGTCCGTTCTGGTTTGTCTTGCCATTATTTGCCATGAAAACGAGGGCCTGAAGGAAGAAGGAAGGTTGTGTCAGTACACAGCGGACACCAGTTTCATCAGAAGACTCACCGGGACCTTATGACCGAGCTGGATATCATACATCGGGATCTGGCGGACCGAAAGATCGGACCACAGCAGACTGCGAAGGTTGTCTCCCCGGAAAGCCGTGCTCGACGATGTGAGCAGCATGGCACGATCTCTGATGTGCGTGGTGAGCCTTCGAACACCGGAGGATATGTCGAGGAAGCCTGTGGCCGCGTTTGTTAGCTGGACATCATTGTATGTATCTGAGCATACTCGTAAGCCTCCTCGTGGTCACATGGAATGTGAGGAACAGCAACCCACCCAATGATGTCCCTGCAGCCTTAAGGGCCTGTGCTCTCTCAATTCTCAGAGGCTCATTGTGTTTGGCTGCATCTTCGACTGTGCGAATGCGCTGGTCAGCGCGGAGGCTGACCCTGGCATCAGGCACGTCCTTGTACAGGTGCTCGCAGTTCTTGCGATAGCTCTCGAGCGCCGATATGGCCTGCGCTATCCCCGACTTCCCGATGGTCGTCCCGTCTTGTGCATCTGCACCACCGCGTTTCCTCTACCCAAGCGAACAGTCAGCTTGACCGCAGAGCTAAATGAGAAGCACGGAACATACCTTGGGGCACGTACTTTCATATTGGATGAACATGACGGCCTTCACAGCCGTGATCAGCTCTGCAGGGACGGCAACACGCCCAGGGGCTTTCGCTGTCTCCTGCTGTTGAAATGTCGCCCACCAGGAGAAGTAGTTCCTGACATGCCGTTCGTACGAGGCACCGGTCCCTCGGTCACTCTGACTCCGCTTCACGACGTCCATGCGTACTTCATGAGAGGCAGCTTCGAGCTCATCAAGCGAGGCTTGCAGCGATGCCTGTGCAAGCGCGAAGTTGTCCATTGGCATAATGGCTAAGCTTGCTGACACCGGTGTGGTCGATGCATGTCGATCGGGTGTCATCCTTACATCTGCGGGAGGCGCAAGGTCTGGGATCGTCGCGAAGTCGGTCGCTGTTTGTGTCGGCAGATGGAGACCATGGGGCACCAACACTTGTGTCCATGGTGCGGCAGACACCTGCCGCACAACAGACGGTTCGGTGCGCTCGAGTTTTGAAAACCGCGCCCTCTTGCAGGCTAATGGAGACGGCGGGCGGGGAACAGCTTTCAGAGGAAAATTGTCCATGGTTTGTAAAAAATCGGGCAGCTCTAACAGAGGGCGTCGTGAGTGTCATTGCTTCCACAAAAAGTGGAAGCCTACCCCGGGGGAAATCTGTGATGGTACCTATTATAATACGGTGGAAATAATGTACTGCAAGGTGGGCAGTTGTTAGCCACTGGTACAGAGACAGTCAAGTGATATTGTGAGACTCACCTTAGCAATGTGAACGAAAGTAGCAGCTAGGTAAGGTGGCGACGGCACCCACCGCGCGCAAGCGTGGCGGCGTCCAGGATGGGATGAAGGCGGGCATATTGTGTCTCGCAGCTCGGCGTTCGCAGCCACTGGGAGGAGCTGCGGCTGTGTAGCTAGTATTAAGGACTGGTATGGTAGTTCTGTGAGAGGAGGTCAGGAGCCCAGGACTAGCATTAGAGGTCGCGCAAGATCGTGCTTACACGACACAGGACACTGGCTTGCCTGTCGAGAAATCACAAGGTGAGGCCAGAAAAAGGTCGTGCTCTGTCCAGCAGCGATCCGCGCAGATAGACTCGGATGTTTCTGTGAACATAAGACATCAGTTGCATCAACGCGGGAGCGCCGTCCACACACTTACTGTGCGACAACAGGGTCCAAGATTGCAGCCTCCTCCGCAGCGAGTTTTCTCAACGAACGACGAGGGGAGCAGAGGAGTCTGCACGGGTGTTTGCACCAATGATTTAACCTTCTGTCAGGGTCGTCTGCCGTCCGGGGCACGCAGCACACTGCGGAAAATGAAGAAAAAATGTAGGAAAAAAAATGCAACCAATTGGAGCACTGCAATGGCCGAACGAACAGCTGAAACACGGCGTGGCCGTCGGGGGACGTGGGAGGCGATCGGGCCCGTGTCGGGACCTGGTCAAATTGCTTGAGATCGACCGCGCAGGGGTTTCAGCGCCTTCCGTTGAGAGAAAAGCGGGTTTCGAGCAGCAGGGCTCAAGCAGTAGGACAGAATTAAAGTGGTGATAATGTAGCGGTCGTGCAGACGGGAGGTGGCGGCGTCCGGGCTACGTAGCGTCCGAGGGCGAACAACAGCAGAGCGAGGTCGGCGACGCGCACGCCCTCCTTGGCGCTCAGCGCGGCGCTTCTTACGGCATTTACTAAAACGGGCTACATGGCGCTGAAATATTTTCTTTTCAATACGACGCAGCCGGCGTACTTCCTGTACTCTGACGGTTACCTCGCTTGCCTTACGCGGGGGGTTACCAGCCAAGTTACCACTGAGGATTAGTCAGGGCCGGTAACCTGGTGTATACTCTATGTACCCCCTCATTCGCCGCTCTGGAGACAGGTCATGGTTGAAATACTGCATCTTGCAAGAACCTGTAGTGTCCTTGCCTGGCACTTGTCCACTGATATCCTCATGTGTGTGATAGCGTGTAATAAATGATAAGATAGGCCTCACTCATATCCAACCACTCGCGTCGGGCGTCTAATGTCACGCTTACACCAAAATGGCGGGCAAAAGTGCTTGCTCGTCTAATTCCTCTTTCCACAAAGCCTTTATCAGAAATGTGTTCCCTGGGGATTGTTAATGAATACCTTCTTGAATATTCCCAGGGAGCACATTTTTTTATTTCGCCCTCGTAGGAGAGAAATTAGGCTGGCAACAACCCAAAGTGAACGGCGACCAAACAGAGCCAACATCCAGCAGGTAAATATTTGGCTGATAAGTGGCCCTTACCACACCATCCATATCGGGTATCAGACTTTGACTTATTGCTCCCAAATCAATAGCATCACTCTCGGGCAACTGTCGGGTCACAACCATGTCACAGCGCTTGGTTGGGCATGAGTGAGGTCTATCTTATTGACTGCTGCCAATACTGTAGGCAATTGAATTTACTTCTTAGGTCCTGCCTTTTCCGTGGCTTGTCGGAAGGGTATGGTCAAATACCGCCCTCGCCCAGCGTTCATGATTCGGTGGTTGAGTCGTACAGTAGAGCACCGCAACTTGGGAGAGTCTCAATGGAGTGCTGCATGTACGGTACTTTCCCAGACCGTCTCACGATGCAAGTCACATCGAAACAGGAACGCGCAACGCAGCAGATGTAGAAAGAGCAGAACAAGAACCAAATAACGTACGGCGTAAAAGAGAGCTGGAATTAACAAATCAACTGAGCTGGGTGATATTCGCCCCGTTCACGGGGCCCATGTCCCCACCCACGGCGCCGTGCACCTCGCTCACGCGCGTGCTCTGGCCAGCAGTAACCAAGCCCGTCTGCGCCTGCCCCGCCGCCGCCACGACACCGGGCCCCACCACGCCACCCGCCTTCGCAAGCTCGCTCTTGACGGTATCGAGCATACGCTGGAGCCCGACACGCTCATTCACGAGCGCCATGCGTGCGCTCTCGACGCCCTTCCGCTCCTCCTCGAGCAGTTCCTCGAGCTCCTCGAACTGTGTCATCTTGAGGTCGAGCTTTGTCAGCGTCAACTTGATCAGCGACGCGAGCGTCGCGCGGATCTGCGCGTCTTCCGCGTCTGCGAGAGCGCGCGCAGCCTTGGCGGAGGACTTGAGCGCGAGGCTCGCCGCGCGAACGACCTTCGAGTGCGGGATCGTCGCGGCGGGCTTGTGTGAAGAGCCTGGCTCGGAGTCGATGGCCATGCTGTCCGACGCTTGTGTTTGTGCCTCGCCGGACGCACCATCAGGTGGTAGAGCCACCACTTCGTCCTGCGGTACGTCCTCGTTCATGTGGTCTTCTCCCTGCTTCTCCGCTGCCTCTACTGCATCCTTGTTGTCGTGATCCTCAGCGGCCTTCTCCGATTTACCCTCTTCCATCGTTTCTTCCGTCTCCTTCTTATCCCCGTCCGTCAGCTCGTGCAGCGCCGTCTTCGCTGCCTCGGCTGCAACGCCGGGACCTACGACGCCAGCAAGGAACGCAACAACACTCATCACGGGATTATCAGCTTGGTCAAACGGCACGCGCGCATACCGCAGCGGGCCCATGTTCCCCTCCGTCGCGACATACGGGTCCTCGATGGGCAGCTGCAGGAACTTGCGAATGCACTGCTGCGCGCTGCGCGAGCCGACGTGCTCCTCGATGGCGGACCAATCGTCGTCGTACATCTCCACGCCTTCGAGGAGCAGCAGTACCTCCTGGTCGGTCCAGTCATCCTCAAGACCCGGCCCGTTCCCATGGTGCACGCCCGATACCGTCGCAGTGTTCGTCAGCTTGACGAAGTCCCCGCTGAACATGCTCGACGGGAAGCGCCCGTCGAGGTAGCACGGCGGGCAGAGCTCGAAGTTCTTGGTTTTCAGCGAATGGTACCGCACGGGCGTGCAGTCGACCCCGCATGTGTCGCATTGGTACTTCAGCTGCCGCTCCCCCGACATGCCGTTTGCGGTGCCGTTCGCAAGCGTGCTCGCTTCTGCCGCGCTGATTTGCCGCGAGGATTTTGAGGTTGTCTGGTAGATGGAAGAGCGGAGCTCAAGCGAAGCGGAAGTGGAAGATGACGCGCCCTTTGAGGATCCGTTGACGGCGGCGCCGTTGGGCCCATTTGTTGGTCGTGTACCGGGGTGTAGAGATTGCAATCCGCGAGGAGTGTCTAGGATAACTCGGAAGTGCCCTGTAAAGGGAGGAGCAAGCGCTGCTGGACGCTGGTCCGGGTCGATCTTGAGACCAGTTCGATATTAGCAATGTCGACTAATACAATTTCGTAGACATACTTGATAGTTAACGAGACCCCATTGTTCGAGGAACGCGTGAACGCGCATGATGGCGCAAACATCTCCCGCAAGGTTTCTGCGACATGCGGTCACAGTGAGATATTCTGACGGCCTGAGCCGGTAAGTGTTGATCATGAAGTCGCGATAGTCCTTGTATATCGCGGGGGTCTTTGACCTATGTCGAGAATTGAAGAACTCGGGCAAGGCGCGGCGCTCAATTTGGTGAATCTTGGACATGTCGAACCAGGCAGAGTACGACGGTATGATAACTTCGTGTGTCTGCACTGCTAGATATTTTCGCGCCTGGTCCTCTAATCGCAGTCTGGTGGCCTCGAGCTGGGCAGGGTCTTCATCGTCGTTCTCCTCCCCCGAGTCGCCCTCCTCGTCTCCTCCTTCTGCCCCATCGGCCATCGACACGTCCTCTCCACCCTCTCCATCTCCCTCAGCCTTCAGCAGCCGGACAGGAACTGCACTGGCCGGCTCGCTCGGTGCTGGCCCCGCTTCGGATGGAGGCAGGTTGCCAATGTCGCCGCCTTGTATTGGGTCAAGTTCGCTGCGCTTCCCCGCGGCATTCTCGGGGTCAACGGGGGTCACGCCTTGGTTCTGCTGTGGTACTGTAAGTTTGATTCTTTTTGAGTCGGATGCGCCAGGCGAGGGCGACGCTGTGCGCTTTGGTGAAGACATGATAGAGGTCTAGTTCGAAGTCGCGTCGCGTACTGATCGCGCATTACGTGCCTGCTACAATTGTGGGACAACAAAAACTTACCCGACAAGTCCTTTACACTATCGGAGTTTTAACTATTGTTACAGACTCGTTGTAAGGGGGTTTTTGACTTCACCGTCCAGCCGGACTGCAGTGTGCGCGACAACTCTTCCGGTTGCATGGCATCATGGGTGCTCGGTCAAGCACCATGGACGTCCTTGGCTCGTGTACGCCTCCGGTTTGAAGCTTTTTCCTGGCCGGCGAAGCAGTATGCTTGGTCGAAGAATTACTTCAGCTCTCCTCTCCTCTCCCAGGAAACGCCGGCCGTGTTGGAGTTGAAGAAACAGCCATATCCTTCTAGCCCTCTGGATTCGTCGGTCTTCGAGGACATGAACGCTGACTATGGATACGAAGCTGTAGCGCCGCCGACGCCTGCGCGTCGTCCATGCAACTTGCTCGTCCAGCTCGTCAAGGACCAGCAATACGCAGACGTCGAGCAGGTTTACGCGGAGCTGCTGGAGATGGGGGTGGAGATCAGACCCTCTTCCGTGTACTATGATATGGCGTTACGCGCTCTGGAAGACCCCGACAAGAGCCCGCACGCAAGGATGATGGCCTTCACGAAGTGGTGGTCGCTCGTTCCACCCATTATGCACAGGTACCGCGTAAACGTCACGAAAGTGCAGGAAATCATCCTCGAGCAGAACCCATTCCCTGACCCTCTACTCATCGCGTGGTTCACGGTGATCAGCGCGTCGAAAGGTTATGCGTACCTCTTCGGAGTACGCGCAGTCACTCTTGTCGTCCGCTACGCCGACCCGTCCTTCAGTTCGTCTTTCCTTTATACCCTCCATCAGACCACCTTGCAGTGGTTACAGTCGCTGGCTCCTCGCAAGCGCGAGCGCTACGAGCCGTTGTATGAACAACTATTTCAGGAATGGTACGCGTTTGCTGTGCGGCAGCATTGTATGACTGGACGGGTGGATGCAGCGGTTGCGCTTCTACGAGATGCACGTTCCAGGAATGTCAACATCGATAACTTCACCTACGACTTTCTGAAAGGCAAGCTCAGACGGCGCCGCGACTCAATTAATCTCTTGTTGGTCGAGCAGTTCCAAAGGACGGATGTACCTAGTGGACTTAACCCTACAGTATCCCGACCTCCGCTTGACTTGTTAGAGGAACCGTCTCTCTACGAACTGGACCGTACAGTATCTCCAACTCCTTTTGACTCTGTTAAGGATTCATCTGCGACCTGGGCACTCAGATACTGGAGTTTCTCGGGCGAGAAGTCGTTGGTTTCCGCCTTGCGCGATCTGAGGCATAGCATGACCAACTCCAGGTACCCCAATCCAGTCACATTCGCAGAGTTCATGGACGCCTACCGTGCTTCTGGCCGTTCCGTCGCCTTGGGTATTCTCCGCAAGCAGTCGTATTCAAATTCTTTCGCGACTGCCTCGTGGTGGGCGCTCTCCGAGATGATGTACCATTATCGCCGCCAGGAATATGCTCTGGTGCTCCTCGCTTATGCGCACCATTTCCACTTGGTTGGCATCCCGGCATGGTTGTCGCAGCATCTCTCTACTCTGGAGAAATTAGCTCAAGACTCGCGCTATGGAAGACGTGTCATCCCTCTCTATCCAGTGCCTCAGAAACATTGGCCGATGTCGCAGCACACGTCCCTTGTCTGGCGTGCAGTCGTGGAATTGACTGCTGAAACCTCCGGAGCGCTCGAAAGCCTCTACCAAGAACTTCTGTCTCAGGTGGCAGCATCACAGGGGGCAGTTACGACAGGCTCCCTCATGAAACCCGAACCCCTTCATTCCCTGCCCCGCGTTCAAGATTGGAGCATACCGTCTGCAGACGAGTATCCGGCGGCAATCCCACCGCCAACCTCATTCGATGACGCGCACTTCAACGTCTTCATTCGCGCGTTCATCAACAAGGAAGGTGCGGGCCCCGCGCGCGCGATACAGGTCATTGACGACATGTACCGCTTTGGCTTCAAGGTCAGCGTTCACAGTCTCACCCCGCTCGTCTCCGCGTTTGCCCGGGAGGGAGAGCAGGACCGCCTGAAGATGCTCCTGTCCCGCATGGAAGAGTCCTTGCCTTCTGAGACACCCGCTGAGGACAGTGTAGCCGAGGGCGAAGGAGATGTGGCCGGTGCAGCTGGCGTTGCCCCCGAGAACGCGCTCCCTGCACCGAACGTGGTGACGTACACCGCGATTATATGGGCATTCATCCGCACGTACCAATATCAGGAAGCCACGGAGTTTGTGGAACAGCTCAAAGAGAAGGGCCGTTATGTCCCCGGGACGAACCGCCGTACGGACCTGGCACTAGCCGTGCTGAAGGAGCGCATTCGAATGGGAGGTGGTTTTGAGCAGGGTGAGTTTTGTCTCGTGATACTGTATGGTGCGCACCCAGTCTGATTGGTTCTCTAGGTCAGTACACGCTGTCCTCGCCTTCGGGGTCCACGGACTATCAGCCGTCGAGGAATCCTCCGCTGCAGCGAGGCTCATAAGAGGTTTTGAGGGTGACAACAGAGCGCAGTAGGCGCAGTCGGATTTGCTCTATGCACATCCTTCACCGCTGGGGTTGGAGAATCAACGGGCGTACCGTTGAGCAGGAGCAGAATATGCCGGGCCTTGGAGTACCAGGCTATGCATTCGGATCCTTCGTCCGCTCCCTGGAAGGTGAGATGGAGGCGCAGTGTAGTCGGTGCCTTGTTGTAAGCATGTGCCGATGATATTTCGGAGAATGGGTGTCGGTCCAGCGCGATCTGTCCGTCCGCAGCTAATGCTCAGCGCGAGCTAGAGGAGAACGCAGTCTGGACAGCCGTATAATTGAGCTGTCACGGTTGGCAGTTTAGCACTCGAAACCACGGATCGAGGAATGTGCGAATAGATAACAGTACTCTACTCCTTAGTGATACGACAGCGGTAGCAATGTATAGCGGGGGAAGATTAGACGGATCTACGATGTAATTTTGGATGACATGGGCGGTGCAAGGTCATTGAGATCAAAGCGAGAGAAAGCATCAACACGAAATCCTGAGCAATGATAGAAAGATCCGAGCATAGAAAGTACTGGAGCACGAACAGAATAGGAAGAGAAGAAAACAGAGATTGCGCACATCCGACATACGATCACCACCACCCCACAGCCGCTGCCTCATTCAGCAACACAGTCGCGTATGAGTCCTCGAGATCATGACCCTCAATCAGCGCTGCATTCTCAAAATCGTCGATGAACCCTGCGCAGTCGCCGAGATGAATCGGCAGGGTCCACGTCGCGGCGACCGCCTTGTACCTGCAAATCCATCCCACCAGACACCTGTCAGCAATCGACAGTCCGGGAAAACGTGACACTGGTCGAACGCACCCGTCCCACTTTACGAGCCACAAAAACTCCGCCGGCGGCTCGTCATTCGTCACCCCGTGCGGCTTGCGCCCAATGATCCGCTCAACGAAGTACTCGTGCGTCTCCTCCGCCTGACCCTTGTGGTCGCAGTCGGGACGGCCGCAGCCCGGGTTACGGATGTCCATCCCGTGGCGCCGTACGCCTGTTAATTGCGAGAAGGAATAGATTAGGACGGGAAGTCAGTGATAATATAGAAGACGCGGAGACGTACGTTGCTGCCTGTGAGATGTCAGCGCGTTGAGTATGCGACTTACAAAGCAAAGAAGGCGTAGATGACACACCGAGATGATTCGCATGGCGGACAATGAAAACTTGCATCAGGATCGAGGCGGGGGTCGCCCGCCGCGAGCCCGACACACCCAAAATGATACCATGCATCGCAACTGTATTGTCCAAGTCAGCATGAAACCTGCCTCCGCAGAAAGTCCAACGTACTTATCGCATTGCACGAACTGTCAGCGACAGGTACCAAGCACCGAATGAGCACATCACAAAAACCGAGACAAACAGCCACTCACCTCACGCTGCATCTCCCCATTCCGCGCCTTCTCCGGCCACCTACACGGCGGCGTCTCTCCCTCAGGTTCAAGTGCCCTCCCATCCGCCATAGCTGCACTTGGAACCGCACGGCCACCTGCACGCGGAGCACCCGTCGAGTGCCTCGGCGGCCGACCCCGCCGCTTGGTCTGTTCCACCTTGACGCTCTCCAGGGCATCGCCGTCGGTCTTGCGCCTCTTGCGTGGCCTCTCCGCGGGCGGTTTCTTAAGGGTGCTGCCGCTCTTTCCGCGGCGCTTCGCGCGGCCATGCGTTGGTGGTGGCTCAATGATCTGGATCTCAGGCGAGTCATCACGCTCGGGAGGCTGGGATTCAGGAGGCGGTATAGAGGCAAGCTGGATGGACGGCGAGGAGACACTGGCTGGAGCGGAGCTGGACGGCTGGGACCCAGCCAAGGAGGAGAGGCTAGATAGAGAGGAAAGCGTGGAGAGCGCGGGAGAAGGGGGCATCGATTTGAGGTTGCGCGGGAGCGGAAGCCGAAGGCGGGGGGAGGACGACGGTGCGAGTGTCTTTGATAAGGAGGACGGGGTGCCTCGTGCAGCGGTCGACCCAGCGGCGACGGTCGAGCTGCTCACCGCAGATACTGTAGAGGAACGCGAGGGTGCGTCCAACGTGCTGACGGGAGCGGGCGAGGTTAATGCGGACGCGGAAGGGGAGGCGCTGCTCAGCACGCTCTTGGAGCTTGCGGACGAGGGCGCATGCGTGATGACTGGTAGTGCAATGGGCGTTGCGACGCCTTCTGATTGCGGGGAGCCGTCAATTGGATTGAACAGCCCTAGTTCGTCCGGGTCAGGGTCGGACGAGTCGGCCTCTCGCTGAGCTGCAGACGTCCCCTCTTCCTTCCTGTCGTCATCTTCAATGGCCCGATGCTCGGGGAGCGCACCGGATGACACCGGCAAATTTTCTGCTTCTGCAGACATTGTCAGCTGGAGATCGTGCTGATCTGTGTGAACTCACTCAGCCGTGGTGTATTGTTGCTGTCAGCACTGGGTGATGCGGTGTCCGCTTTAAAAACGCGTGAGCACAAGAAATTGACACCCAGGACGACTCACAGCTTTCTGTCCATGCGGCAGGTGCCATGGGTTCAGAGGCAAAGGGAGAGGAAGGAAAACGCGTCTGTACTGGGACAGCTAAGGCACATATAGCGACTCTCTCGGTTAGCTCACCATTGGTATTGAGGGGTGGACGTGTTACCTTTCCCGAACGCGGCCAAGTCCATGTGGACATATGAGAGTGATCGGGATCGGGAGTCTCTTTGCGGGAAGCCTACATCGGTGTCGACGTGCACAGCGCTGTGCGCATGGACTGCTGTATCTGAGTAAAGCGGCCTGAGCGCATCGACTTCTGCGTTGGCCTTGCCTGGTGTGAGTGCATCAGTGGACGCGTCGATCATCGCGGCGCATGCATCGATTGAGGCATGCATGAATCTAACGACCGGGGCATCTACGCCTGTGTCAATATACGTCTTCTCGGCGTTCGGAAGATGGGGATCGATGCCCTTGTCGACAAGATCTGCCATATTTTCCGTCAGCAAGCGGGCAGGCGCGCAGAGTATGTATAGTTACCTCGTGCCACGAGGTGTGGACTCGTGTTGACGGCCTTGTCTATGCGATCAGAGACTGCCGCTGTTCGATAACATCATGAAACCACGGAAATATAGAGGAAAGGGGACGCACGAGGGGCTTGCGGGTCAACAGTCTTTTCCAGGAGCTCCTGCAGAGCATACTCGAGGCGTTGGAGGCGGTCCTTAACGGACACGTCTGGCTGCGGCTCCGACACGCCTCCAATGAGCCCGTCGAGCTTCTGCACGCGACCCAGGACGCTCTGCACGGCCTTGATCTGGAGGATGTGAGACCGCTCGATCCACTGGGCAAGCTGAGAGGTCTCGGAGCGGGCTCGCTCCTCGGCAGCTGCGATATTGTCGAGGACTGTCTTAATGGACCCCTCGACGTGCTCGAATCGTTCGTAGGTGTGGTCGTGAAGCTTCGCGAGCGCCTGGGTCAGCGCTGGGAGGACATAGGCAGAGCTTGGTTGACTCTGATGCTGGTGCTGGTGCTGCATGGCGGGCAGTGCAGCAGTGTTCGAATGCGGGATGGCATACGATGTGTAGCTAGGTTGGGCTTGTTGGACGACATGGGCGGTGGGCGACCCCACTCTATGGTCTTGGACGTGATACATAGGGACTCCACTGAGACGCGACGGGGCGTGGCCGGTGTGCTCCTGAGACGGCTGCATTGCCCACCGTGTCGCGTTAGATATCTCTGCAAAGTATACGAGGTTGGGATAAGCGTCGATCGGTGAGATATCTGCAATGTGTCGGAGGCGTTACCCGTGGATTAGATTGGCACCGCACCCCTGGCGGTCCCGCTGTTGGACCTGCCTGCGCCGACCTCTACGTGGTCCAAGGGACTAGTACAGACAGTCAATAATTGTCGGAAGACTCTTAGCGCCCATACGATGTCACGATTTTGTCACAATTTCATTGAATACCCCTGAGTTACAAACTTCGTTGCCTTTTAAGGCCATTATAAGGTTTTGTCCCGAAGAAAAATGCCCAAAAATGGTTAAAATGGTATTCGATGGCAATGTGACCAAAAAGTGACAGTCACAATACATTACATTCTCATTGAGTACCATTTAAACCATTTTTGGGCATTTTTCTTCGGGACAAAACCTTATAATGGCCTTAAACGAAATTTGTAACTCAGGGGTATTCAATGAAATTGTGACAAAATTGTGACATCATATGGGCGCTAAGAGTTTTTCCGACAATTTACTAGTACCTCCCTCGGGAGGGAAGCAAACGGGCGTAGGAGACCTTAGGTGTACATTCTACACGCTGAAAATAAAACAAAGGCAGGAGTGGAGTTCTGTTCTGATACACCTCCCCCGTCTTTCGAACATCCCCCTGGTTACCCATTCCCCCTACCGTCCTTGTATGGCGCTCTCACTGAGCTGCGGCCACCATACATCAGGAAAACCTTAACTTTACTTATGGGGACTTATCTGTCTTATTCAAGTAATCAACATGTTCAAGTGTGTAAGCTGATCTCGATACTTGATCGGCTTGGCCGGTGGCTTGACTGGTGGCTTGACTAGCTTGAAATAGCTTGAAGCTTGATTTGTTGTTGCTTAATTGGCTTGAAGGTATGCAAATCACAACCATACTGGTGTCAATAAGAACAACAAGTATATTAAGTACAGTAAGTACATGCAAAATGCGGCAATAACATCCATTGCAATATGAGTGGTGTCATCCATCATCTCCGCAAGCAGTAAGAGCCAACCAAGATGTCTGCTATGCAGACAGTGCACCCGCAGTGATGAATGCAGGCATGGATAAGGAGGCAAGATGTGTCAGTGAGGTGAGCATGCAAGAGACCTTGGCAGAAAGAATAGACAAAGAATGCACCTGGGCAGACGTGATCCTCATTTCAGCACATGAGTTGATGGGGAATGTTTCTTTGCACGGAACATCGAGGCCTGGATGGAGAGGTCACTAGGTTGAGCAGTGCCCATGCAGGCGAGGGAAGATGGGTCGTGGGCAATAGAGTCATTGACCTTGCTGAATGGCGAGTGAAGGAGTCGGTCAGGAGGTGAGTGCAGCTGCGTGAATGCTGATGGTGAAACTGAGGGTAATTGCCTGCAGGATAATCTCCTATGCGAGATCAATCCCCTGTCAGAGTCATGAGTTGATCATCTGAAGGGTGCATGCATTGCACCAGACCTCATCACTGCACACTCACACAGTCAGATGGCAGTTGCAATTGCCGTGATTGAGCCCATTGGGGCATGGATGAATAGTCACAGGAGAGAGGTATACCTAGAGGGAGATGTCAGCGATATAGGGGACCCCCAGCACTGTGCCAGCCCACTTATTGCACGAAAAATGTAACTGGGAGCTCCTCACCTGGAAGTTCAGAAATGTCCCACTGACGAGAGTGCCTTCTGCTGATGATGGTGCAAAGTGAGAAGAGAGGGGAATGTTGCACTGCACAGATGTGTCATGAGTTCAATATTATTCTCATACTCTCCATGCTTGTCCACTGCACTGTGCTGAGATCTGCAAGCTCTCCGGATGTCTTGTGTGCTTGCCCTGCAAGTATGCATAGTTCCAATCTTGAGATCGTGTCATGGCAGCGTCAAGTGAAGGTGAGAAAGTAGATAACAGGGCACAGAGAGAAATCAAGGAGAAAGAAGGCAGGCTCGCACCACGCCAGCAGGACTCATTGGATTTCAAACATCTGAGTCACATGACCACATGATGTATGTACAGAGTTGTACTCAGAGACACATTGCTTGACGTGCTTGAGACCTTGAGATAAGTGTCAGCTTAGAGTGCTAAATTGTCTTGTTCTGGCAGCTCAGCATCATCATTGCTTAGCACACTTATTGAAAGTATATTAAATCCTGCCAAGTAATCAGTCAAAGAAATATCGGACAATTTATTAACTTTTTGGGCTTGCCGCCTTGGATAAGTGATCTAAGATAATCAAAGTGGATTATCGCACTTACCTGACAGTGAGAGATAAATAAGATGGTGCACAGAGCAATGAGTGTGTTAGGAGATGGGGAGCAGGGAGGATGAGGTGAGGGAGGACAAGTCACAACTTTCCAAAGTGGCTGCCTCAAGGGAATTTTTCTGGCAGTTCCAGAAAAATTCCCTGGAGAGCACTCACTCATGTCTTTGCTCAGTCTCTTTGAGGCTGACCTGCGGATTCTCATCGACTTGCAAATTATCTCTATTCTATCTAAGCTTGACCTGGCTGCCTCTCTGGAGCCTTTTAGTCATCTAGTGGCATATCTGTCTCCTTTGCTGATGCCAATGCTGATGCCCACTTGTGCTAGATCTCATCCTCAAATGATAGGAAAGGGCAAGCTCTTTGCCAAACAATCTAATGGCGATACACTTCAGTTCACTTAGTGTCCTTGTTCTGCTTAACTCCTCTACTGACTTATGTTACTTACCAAGTATATACATTAGTTGACTTATTGGACTTGACATGCCTGCTCAATTGCCTTATCTGATGGCTTAATGTCATAATCACTATTTCTACTTACTAATATAGACTAAGTAGAGCCAAGAAAGGCCTCAAAATATTGTTTAAGGCTTGGTTCCCTTATCGGAGTTGACCCCTTAGATAAGATGCTTAAGCCGATCAAAGTAAATTTAAGGTTTTTCTGATGTACCGCTGGCCCCATCAGGCCCTCCGTACCCGGAGACTCCAATATGTATACCCCATATCACACCTGGCCTCCATACCTGTACACGACATACACCACCCCTTCTACCACCACCCTCAACCTCAATTATGACCTAGAATAACACAATGATATCCACTGCTGACCCCAGTCCCCGCCCCTCCCGACAACAGGCCACGTCACCCATCATGTCCTGTTCAGGCAACAGGCTTATATAAACACTGATACGTGGCGACACTACTCTTAATCCAACAGCAATATATAGGCGTCCCCTAACCCCACCTGGACAATAGTCTACCTAACCCCCATAGCAGTTACATAGATCTAATACCCAACGATATCACCCACATACTATCACTACCAAAATTGCACGTTGCACCAACCTCTATGCAACCACACTGTAGGCCAAATGAGCCTTCCCTACCTAGAGACTCTCCTAACACCTAAATACCCCTATTAAAATCATCACACCATCCCGATTCTGCCCCGAGCATGCCATGAGCTCACCGAGCCCGACCCGAACATACCCGCCCTGATGTCGCCTCGAACCACATATAGTAATTCATCCAACATAAAACGAAAAAACCCTAACCCTAAAAAGAACTACTCTCACCATTAACCAAATCCGACTCAACTCTTGCATCCGCCACAATGCACTCTCAGATCAAGAGAAGCTACCACACTATCACATCAGAGAAATTGTTAACCCCCAAAAAGGACCTCATGACTGACACCGGCTAATTAAATGCTCAAGCCGAAATGATACACACAAACGCCCAAATGTAAAAATCACCGCCATCTGACACCCACCATGAACAGACATCTCATACCTGAACCCTGGCTTCCTACCTTTCACTTCTCCCCCCCATTAAAATCGGTTACAACCAAGACCTGCCACCATGTTCTCCCCATACTGTCTGCTGCAGACAAATCACACATTAGTCTTCCCCACCCCTCGGACCTCTCGCCTGATGGCAAAATTGAAGAGCAGATTATTTTCTGCCCACCCCTCCTTGAAACCTTCTCTGAATGCATGACCATTTACATTCACCATCCCCTTAAAAAACCTACCTCAAACCGTCCCTGATGTGCTGCACGACCCACTCGCCTACCCCTCGCCATTGGACACCATGTCTGAGTTGGAACATATGGCCATGGCATCGTAACACACATACTCCACATTGGCCGCAACCAAGTACATTTTAAGATCCTCGAGACTACACGACTGGCATCAACCCAAGGCAACTAGACGTAGTATAGGTACACATATAACCCTCCACCTACAAACACTTCTCCCAACCCTCCGCAGCTCCATGTTCCCTCGTAGAAATTATGATAACTTTGATCACCTGCTGCACGTGACCCATGATCACATGCAACCGCGTGACCAACTCGCAGTACTGCCCGCTCCGCAAACCCCCACCCTCTCACCTCATCTCAGGAAGTTGGCCCTCTCCCTTAAACCATGGAACCCAATGTCCACCAAGTACGCATGCACGCTCCGCTCCAATAACACACACGTAAAACAAACCGACGCTTTACACTACCCTAAGTGCCAGCCCCGAAACCTCTGTCATCCCAAATCCATGCCCGCTGCAATGAATAGACCACGCCTATTAACCGGGTACGTCCCACTCTATGCTTCACCCACCAGGGCCCCAAAAAACAACCTCACCACCAACAAACCGATACACGACCAAAACCGACCACCGAAAACAACACACCACATCAAACTGTGCACACGCGCCGAATGTTGCCCCTGCACATAGAACCTATGGCATGCCAACATGAAACACACGCACCCCGTATAATGGTAACAGAACACGAACAACCCCTCCTCTCCCTAGTAAGCCATCCCACCCACAAAAAGAGTCAATATTACTCACAAGGCCCTTTCCTATGCCCCAACACACCTAAACCTCGAACCAACGCATGAGCGGTCGACCGTACCCCCCCGACAACTAAGCAAATACATGAATCCCAAACCAATCATATCACGCTGACAGCGGGAACCTTGACGTCGGATACGCACCATCAGATGTGAACCAGCACCCCCGCTCTGACCGCATGAACCCAAAACTGAATAAGCTGCCAAAAAGAAACTGCACCTACCACAACTCAACCAAACTGAGGACACCCTAGACACATCACCAACGACAAGGTATGCAAACACTGCCCCACAACCCGCCCTAATCCCGGCCAAATAACTGCCCAAACACTGTTAAAAAGACCAGAAAAACTATGTCTCCCTTACCATAAATCTCACACTCCTTCAATGTGATCCCCTCAATGGCACGTCCAACAGTATGCCCGCCCAACCATGGTGCACCCACTCTCAATCCAATGCCAAACCCCTTGGAGAATCGGCTGCGGCCAAAAAGAAAGGCTCCTCCAAGAGCAAAAAAGGTACACCTCCCCCTCTCCTCTTGCTCAATTCACACCCTAATCGACCAACACAGGGAAGGAGTCTACAGTCAAGTAGTGCAAAGCAAGGGTATGGATAACCCTCAAGGGTCAAGGGTAAGGGTATTAAAGGGTAAGGGTAGGGGTATGGATTTTCAAACCCTTGTACCCTTGAAGGGTATCATGACCTATAGTATATATGATGCAGACAGTAACTACAGGGTGAATATAAAGTATGTACAGTCTGAGTACAACTTAAATCATATTTATAGAAGCTTTAAAGAGAAAAGAAGACTGGTACAAACCTCAGACTTAATATATATAATGTCATTTCCTCAAATAAGGGCAAAGATTGAGGGGTATACCCTCAGGGTTTGGTACCCTTACCCATACCCTTACCCCTGGTCAAGGGTATGTATCCTTGGAGGGTAAGGGTAGGGGTATGCCTCAAAGTACCCAGGGGTATACTCTTGCTCTGCACTAGTCAAGACTGAAACCAGTGCTGTTGCGGCCGCCCAGGTAGCTCCAGAACCTCCTCTCATCCCAAGCCTGCCCGCCGTACTCAGCATACTGAATGCCACGATCGCGGCCCCACCGGCGACTCCCCAAGTCAATGCTACCAGACAACCCATTCCCTTGGCACCCCAAACAATTCGCATCAGACCCATGCTAACCGCATTCACCTCTGTGCGCATCACCTGGGCTAGATCACACATGTCCCCCATTATGACCTCCCCCGGTCTTCCTCTTGCCACAATCGCAGAGGACACCGGTGAAGTCACGGTCGCAGCTGCAGCAAAAAAAGAGGCACCTGCCACCGAAGTCGACCCACAGGTCAAACTTACCCCCAGTGAACTAAACCAGTCTTTGCTCTGGTCTTGGTCCATATTCTCAGTGTCAGCATGGATGTGGGGGAAACCATGAGGGGGACACGGTGTGATGTGCAAGGCGTTACCACATGCCGACCTAGGGACAAGAGGAGCGAAGTTCGCTATCTGCCCAAGCTGCTGTAGGAGCATATCTGTTAACTTGTCTGCTGCTCACTGCGGTGCACATAGAGTGGGGGAGCCAGAAGGAATAGATGAGAGTGAGGAGCTGGGTGGCCCCATGGCACCCAAGGGCGGGCGAGCAAGTGACAGAAGGCGTGAGATGCAGCCTAGATCCGTGAAGGGGTGGCGGGTGATCACGTTCGACCTTCCGGTAGCAGCAGTTCTAACAGTGGTGCTGGGAGCAGGGTGCATAGTTGTCTGCATTTCGTTTGAGGGTTCCGGGGATAGCGGGAAAGGGGTACTTGGGCGAAGATTTTCGACACGTGCAGCAAGGGGATCTTCATTCTCCACATCGGAGGTGGGTTCGCAAGGGCGCTTTATGGACGAGCGGGGCAGGACAAAGGGGTCTGCATACATATCGTCATCGTCGCTCGCATCATCATTGGTGCCATGACTGGTAACGTCGGATCCACCGTCGTCATCACTAGCCTCTGAGGCCGCGGTCGTGGTGTCATGTGGGGGTTTAGGGTGTGTTATGATGTGTATGGGGGGGTGGACATCCCTCCACGAAGGGGAGTTCTCCATACATTTTCCAGTAGAGTTCATCCTCGTCCATCTCACACCGCCTTCTTCACATGCACCATCATCGTCATTTTTGGAATGGGAGCGGCAAACATCGCGATGCAACTGGTAGTGCAGAGCAGGGGTATACCTCTGGGTACTTTGAGGCATACCCCTACCCTTACCCTCCAAGGGTACATACCCTTGACCAGGGGTAAGGGTATGGGTAAGGGTACCAAACCCTGAGGGTATACCCCTCAATCTTTGCCCTTATTTGAGGAAATGACATTATATATATTAAGTCTGAGGTTTGTACCAGTTTTCTTGTCTCTTTAAAGCTTGCATAAACATGATTTAAGTTGTACTCAGACTGTACATCTATATTCACCCTGTAGTTACTGTCTACATCATATATACTATAGGTAGTGATACCCTCCAAGGGTACAAGGGTTTGAAAATCCATACCCCTACCCTTACCCTTTGATACCCTTACCCTTGACCCTTGAGGGTTATCCATACCCTTGCTCTGCACTAGCAACCAGCAGCGATCACGAACATCACCTCTATTGCCCAATTTTACGGTTCCCCTAACCCACGTGTTGGCACTCTCACCCCGGCCTCTCCCCTCACCAGCAACCCCAACCTAGCACCACTGGGTTTCCTTCTCTACCAGATCTCGGATGAGATGAAGCACTGAATGCTCGACCAATTTTGCATCTCAATGCTCAGCCTTACCATCTTTGTCTATGACCTCGCTTGGGAACTCCCCCGCTACATCTGTGCTTTCTCAGGCTTCATGACGATGGATGAATCCGAACTCCTCGACATAATGGACATGCATCTCCGTGAAGACGAATCCATTGAGATGCTACTAGATATCATCAGCCACGATGAGAATGGTGCCGCGCGCGGGGAAGAAATCCTCCAGTCCCTGGAGATATCTATTCTTGACCTACACAGCACCGGCGGTTTCCCCGCACCAGCAGTCAATGTATATATGACCCCGCCAAACAATGAGCTCAGCAACTGGCTCAAGTGGCGTGACTTCGTCTTTCGTAAGGTCTACTCCACGACCTTCTCTGGCTGCAGCATCAGCCACCCAGGCTTCAAATGCACTGGCTGCCATGATGTGGACCACCCTCGTGGCCTGTGCCCTTTCAAGCACATCCCTGGATGGCTGGGACCTGTCCTTGCGAACAGCGGAAACGGCAGAGGTCCCGGCCCTGCCCCCAGCCCAGGCGGTGCCCCCATCGGCCTCAAAAGGCCTGACTATAATAAATTCCTCCAGTCTAACGTGCGCAGCCATGGTCGCAGAAGCCACGGTCACCTTGGCACATGGCTCCACCCCAGGAAATCATACATAAGTCATATAGTAATCCGCGTCTCACGCGCCCCACACATCCAGTCATTACCTATATTTACTTATCACCCACGATCCTTACAACGACGCCACCATGACATACCCACCCTCTCCTCGCAGTAGCTACTTCATGTACACCGCTGAGGACTTATACCCAGGAATATCATGCCTTGTCACACATGCTTTGACCCTACTAACAAACCTTTAACCCCGCGCCGTTCACATGTTGTGGCATGTACATGATGCATCCGCCTTCCACTATACGACCCAAATACAGTGACCATCTCGATGGGACAGGAAAGTCGTCATAGCTCCCACTGTACCCTAGGTACCGCAAAAATGGTGACCTATTTAGGCCCTGACATTCCATGCCGAGAGGCTCAAGTTCTGCCTGAACTGTGCTTTCCTCCGCACCCAAGAAGACCCCTAGTATGGCTCTGATATAGTCACCTGTAGTGCCCGGGTATGGTGTTCCTCCTGGGATGATTGTTGTATCCCCAGGCTTGTACTGCAATGACTACCCACACACAAACCCCCACCCCTTCAGTTGAAAGTAACAGTCATGGTATGCGCCTCCACCAGCCCAGAGGAGACTACTCTTCCCCCGTCAGAAATGTCCCTGAGAATGGGCCAGTGGAGATCGGTGGCGGGGACTGCGTCTTCCCTTCTGAACCCCCTCATCCTGCGACAAACATCGCAACCACAATAAACGCCACATCAGGTGCCACCCACACCTGGGCAAAAAAGAATCATAAGAAAAAATCCAAAAAAAGAAATGATAAAAACACAAAAGCCTCCCTATGCATTGCCTCGCTAAACATCCATGGCAGGGGCTCCTCCACCCCAGATGCACTGACCAACAAATGGTCGGCCATAAACCAGCTACTCAGAGAAAGAAAAATTGGTGTCCTCGCTGTTCAAGAGACACACCTTGATGATGAACACACTGAACGTCTACACCCAATGTTCAGAAAGTGCTTACTCATCCTGTCCTCCCCATCCCCTAATGCAACTAGTGCACAAGAACTTGCCTTCGTGCTAAACAAGGAAATCACTAACACCGATGATGCCCATGTCACTGAAATCATACCTGGACGCGCTCTCCTCCTCACCCTACAATGTTCGGAAAGTGCTTACTCATCCTCTCCTCCCCATTCCCTAATGCAACCAGTGCATAAGGAGTCGCCTTCATGCTAAACAAGGAAATCACTAACACCGATGACGCCCACGTCACCAAAATCATATCTGAATGCGCTCTCCTCCTCACCCTACCCTGGCACTCTACCCTCACTGTATGCATACTAGCGGTCTACGCCCCAAACTCGGCAACCGACAATGAAACCTTCTGGCGACAAATAAACCAAAAATGGAATGACCTCCACCTCCCCAACCCAGACGTCATGCTAAGTGATTTCAACATTGTCGAAGATGCTATAAATAGATTACCCTGCCACTCCGACGTGCCGGCCGCTGTAGCCACCCTCACCGACCTTCAAACTTGCTTCCATCAGTCCGACGGCTGGAGGACCACCTTTGCAGACTCAAAGGCCTTCTCCCACCTGCAAAGCGGTCCCGGAAGCTGCTCATGCATTGACCGGATCTACGCGTCAGAACAAGTTGTGAGTATCGCGATCGACTGGCACATTGAAGAAACAGGAGTCACCACTGATCATAAAATAGTCTCCATGAAGCTCATCGATCAAAAGGCGCCCTTCATAGGACCAGAAAGATGGACCATACCTCTATTCCTCCTCCACAACAGTAAGTTTGCAGCCAGTGATGTCAGTTATTGAGGATAATCTTTAGTGCCAATAAGCACAGAAAAAGGATTAACTTCCCCCTAACTAAGCAGTCCATATGGATAATCTCAAACTGGAGGATCATCTTTTTTGGATTATCTTAGAAGAATTTTAAAGATAATCCTAAGGATTATCCAAAGGATTATCTGAGTTTAAAAGATATTTTTTAACTTGCCACCAGCCAGGGTTAAACCCTCAACCTCAAGAGATGGTCACATGATCACCCGACACTGGACACTTTAGTCACTACACCATATGTGCTTGCAAATTTACACTCATATGTAATATATATAAGAGATTTTGCTAAAGGAACTTAGGCAAATTTTGTCTACATGAGCATGACTGAGTGGAACACAAGGCAAAGCTTTGTTTATAATAACATCTTTATTACATACTTTATAATTCAATCACATTGTTATCTCATCTTCATCAAAAAGACTGTGATTATCAATTTCAAGTTCAGAGAATGAATCTTTAACAGTATCTATAAGATGAACAGTAGTTTAGAATATATGCAAAATTAATGTATAGGTATTGTACTATAAACAACAGTATAGACTGTATGAAATGCCACTATAACATTCTTTGTCTTGTGTTCCACTCAGTCATGCTCATGTAGACAAAATTTGCCTAAGTTCCTTTAGCAAAATCTCTTATATATATTACATATGAGTGTAAATTTGCAAGCACATATGGTGTAGTGGCTAAAGTGTCCAGTGTCGGGTGATCATGTGACCATCTCTTGAGGTTGAGGGTTTAACCCTGGCTGGTGGCAAGTTAAAAAATATCTTTTAAACTCAGATAATCCTTTGGATAATCCTTAGGATTATCTTTAAAATTCTTCTAAGATAATCCAAAAAAGATGATCCTCCAGTTTGAGATTATCCATATGGACTGCTTAGTTAGGAGGAAGTTAATCCTTTTTCTGTGCTTATTGGCACTAAAGATTATCCTCAATAACTGACAATGATGTTGCAGCTGAGTGCAATATCCTTGGACGCAAACTCTGCCAAAACATACAGGACAGCCTGTTAACCCGATCCCCATCCTATAACCCCCAAACACTGTTTAAAGCCTTCAAAGATGCCATCCTTATCTTCGCAAGAAAACGTGCTAAAGTAGCCATCCCAACGCTACAACAAAGAATCGACACTCTTCGAATACACCTCGACCTCATGCTAAATACAGAAGACATTGCCAAAAACACTGAACTTCAGCTCTGTGTGCAGCCCATTCAGTCATGTTTGTGAACTGGACTCCCATTTACCCTGACATTGTCATGAACTGGACAGCCAGCGGACGTCGGCCCATCGGTCTGTGTAAGGAGCTGTCAGCGATCGGCTCATGGCGATGAAGGGAATGCTGGAGCGATGGGCCCACCGCCATAGGAGTATTTCTGAGCGATTGGCCCACCACCATGATGCAACTATTATACAGGCATGGGCCCACTGCCGCGGTGATAGTTCTGAGCGATGGGCCCACCGCCATAGGTGTATTTTTGAGCGATCGGCCCACTGCCACGGGGCTATTATACAGCCATCGGCCCACCGCCATAGGTAGTGTTCTGAGTGATCGGCCCACCGCCACGGGGCTATTACACAGCCATTGGCCCACCGCCATAGGTAGTGTTCTGAGCAATCGGCCCACCGCCACTAGGGCTATTATACAGCCATTGGCCCACCGCCATAGGTAGTGTTCTGAGCGATCGGCCCACCGCCATAGGTAGTGTTCTAAGCGATCGGCCCACCGCCATAGGGATATTTCTGAGCGATCAGCCCACCGCCACGGGGCTATTGTACAGCCATTGGCCCACCGCCATTGGAGCTGTTCTGAGCCATCGGCCGACTGCCATAGGTAGTGTTCTGAGCGATCGGCCCATCGCCATGGTGCTATTATACAGCCATCGGCCCACCGCCACCGTGGTAGTACTGAGCGATGGGCCGACCACCATAGGTAGTGTTCTGAGTGATCGGCCCACCGCCACTGGGGCTATTATAGAGCCGTCGGCCCACCGCCATATGTAGTGTTCTGAGCGATCGGCCTACCGCCATAGGTATATTTCTGAGTGATCGGCCCACCGCCACGGGGCTATTATACAGCCATCGGCCCACCGCCATAGGTAGTGTTCTGAGCGGTGGGCCGACCGCCATAGGTAGTGTTCTGAGCGATCGGCCCACCGCCATAGGTAGTCTTCTGAGCGATCGGCCCACCGCCATAGGTAGTGTTCTGAGCGATCGGCCCACCACCACGGTGCTATTATACAGCCATCGGCCCACCACCATAGGTAGTGTTCTGAGCGGTGGGCCGACCGCCATAGGCAGTGTTCTGAGCGATCGGCCTACCGCCATAGGTATATTTCTGAGCAATCGGCCCACTGCCACCGTGCTATTATACAGCCATCGGCCCACCGCCATAGGTAGTGTTCTGAGCGATGGGCCGACCACCATAGGTAGTGTTCTGAGTGATCGGCCCACCACCATAGGTAGTCTTCTGAGCGATGGGCCGACCACCATAGGTAGTGTTCTGAGCGATCGGCCCACCACCATAGGTAGTGTTCTGAGCGATCGGCCCACCGTCATAGGTATATTTCTGAGCAATCAGCCCACCGCCACAGTGCTATTATACAGCCATTGGCACAACCCCATAGGTAGGGTTCTGAGCGATGGGCCGACCTCCATAGGTAGTGTTCTGAGCGATCGGCCCACCACCACGGGGCTATTACACAGCCATCGGCCCACCACCATAGGTATATTTCTGAGCCCATAAGCATGGGTCGCCTGAAATATCTGACTAGCCTGGGCATAGCTGAGTTATTTGCCTTGCCCTAGGTTGTCAACTGGGCTCATATCGTGTCCGTGTCGTCTTGGTGAAGCATGGGTGGGTGAAGGAACATACCAGATGATTTGTCAGGGAGTAGCATAGGTGGATGTATGAAACATGGAGATTGGTCGGGGGGAAGCATGGGCGGATGTATGAAACGTGGAGATTGGTCAGGGGGAAGCATGGGCGAATGCCACACCTGGTTGCCCGAGCCAAGAAGTAGACCATACGAAGTGAATGGATTGTACCCGAAGTCAACCGAAGAGCACGAAGTAGACGAGGATGCGGACGTGTGCAAATCAGCGTACGAGCTGAAGGACACCACAGAAGAAGGGGGCTCCGACGCCGAGTCGTTGCTCATGCGGCACCTCTTGCTCAGACCTATCGGCCCACCGCCATAGGTGTAGTTCTCAGCGATCAGTCAACCACCATGGGCATATTTTTCAGTGATTGATCCACCACCTAACAGGGCAATGATGGAGCTACCGCCGGCCAATAATTTCCACGTAATCCACCGATCATTCCCTCCAATTCTGGTTAGCTCACTATCAGCTCTCCTTGCAGTATCACACTCTCTCCCACTGTGGGAAGGGTTGGCGAACTGTGGCGAATATCCTTCACCATCTGAACATGGAGTTCAGAATGACTTCGCCAAACTCTCCCAATTGGCATCGGCATTTCGAGACATGCATCAGATACAATTTGGGATGTGCCCTTCTGGGTAGAGTATGTGGAGACGAATGGCGGTCCTTTCCACCGTGAGTAGGGTTGGTGAACTGTGGTGGATATCACTCGCCATCTGAACATGCAGTCCAGAATGACTTCGCCAAACTCTCCCATGTGGCATTGGCTTTCGAGCCATGCATCAGATACCATTGGGGATGTGCCCTCCTGAGGAGAGTATGTGGCTACTATGTTTCGCCTTACCACACCAGGTACATTGCCCAGGTTCAAAGACATGACAACCTTATATTCGACACACTACAGCACGAACGGACGCCTGGCATTGGGCGATTACATTCCTAACTCACGCAGCTGCCGCGTCGCCTCCTGCAGCTCTTCCAGCACCACATCCAGGTTCTGATCTGTCCTCTCGTGCAACCAACTAGTGAGGTTCGCGACGCGAACATGCAGCTGTTCAAGCTGCACCAGTGTAGACTCGGAGACGGTGTACACCTTCTCCTACGTTCTCCAGGTTCAGCAAGACTGTAAGGTGCTGGAACGTACCACTCACCCAGGGATCACCAAGTTTGTACCACCAGGCCTCCATAGGGCTCCCCGCTGGCCCAACCTGACGATCTCATTTCCACCAGTAGTCGGGTGAATCCTCGAGTAGGTTCTTAGGACGAGGAACGAGGGTGGTGGGGCGTGGAATCGCCTTGACGTCAATGCTGATGGGGCGCAGAACTTCGCGATTGAAAGTGCAGACGGTGAGGACACTGGCGATAACTCCGCCATGGTCAATATGGTCAGCATGACCCGCCAATGCGAGGTCGCCACAGATACCCCTGACGGCGAACTGCACAGGACTCAGCAGGGTCAGGGGATATCAGCAAGAAAGGCGTACCATCTCCCGGTGCAAGCCTTCCTCCCAACGGACCTTGGTGAAGTGATCTGGGTCAGGCTCCAGTGCCAGAACAGCTTCTTGGATCCTCCAAGTGTAGACTTCCAACTGCAACCTCCCTCTGGAGAACAGGCAGGGGCGCGCATCTGATGTTGAAGACTGGGCAGACATGATGGTGAGTGGATGAGCCGAGGTTGATATCTGATCGACCTTATCTGATGTCTGATGTCATGCGATTGGAGAGCACATGCCGAGATGAAGCCCTCAGGTGAGGATGGAGGTCACTTCGCCAAATGTGATATTGGTGAGTAGGAATTACATACATGAGGATCACTACATCGATATAGCAAACATGAATATGCGTACACCCCAGTGAACCCTGACTCAAAGCACATTTTCATCGCCCGCCCTTTCGTCCTCAATGTCCAGGGTGAGGATGTGGCTGAAGGCGTCAGTGGCGTGGCTGGCGAAGGTCCACCACATACTCACTTGCCTGGCGGCATAGCAAACATGACCCCGCCAGGAAGGATCCGTCATCTCGAGCCAGTGAGCCCATCGTTCCACATTCCACTTGAAGGTGGCTATGGTCCAGGCCATTTCCGAGTGGACCAAGACACGCTCCTCCCTCCATCTCTCATATCGAGCTCTGGCATGCAGCCAATTCACTCTATAGACTGGAGGGTAAATTAGCAGGAGGCCTAGAGATCGATCGGACAATTACAAACACTCGTCCATCCATTCTGATGAACCTCGATCTCCAGCGACATCCATGGTCCAGAACCAAGCCAGGTTGACGTTCCTGAGCCCGGAGGTGCTAGCCTCGATGACAGCAGTCTTCACGTGCAGATCCTTCTTATCCAAAGGGCGATAGAGGGCCAAGTCTTCATCGGTGGCGCCCAAGTGCATAATGGCGCGTTGGTTGGCGGAATAGAGCCTGGCGCATGCCAAGACGGTCTGATCGGCAGCATGAACCTCCGCCTGTGCACGGGTCATGGTTCCGACGCTGTTGGCGAGACGAACCCTCTTGCGGTAGAGGTAAGACTTCAGTCCAAGCGCCATGCAAAGCTCGTGGAGGATGTCATTCATCAGGCCTTTGCGCAACTCCAACTCTTGGGCCACCAGGGTCTGGAGCCCGTTGGCGATGGCGGCCACGAATCCGATCTGCGAAGGTAAATTCAAGGAAGCTTGCTCGGGTGGAATCGCATCCTCGCCATACTCAGCGTCCTCCGGGTGTATTTGAAAAGGATTCTCATCCAAGGAATCCCAGAGCGCACCATCGTCACGATCTTCCATGGCGGGAACGTCCTCCAACCTTCCCATGAACTTCTCAGAGCGACGTTGGAATGTGAGAATGCTGACTTCGAGGTGCTGACGGCACTCGAGAGTCTTGAGGTCCTCCGCCATGCTCGGATTTTGACCCGCCTTGCGGATATCATTCGCAAGCTTAAGCCTGAAGGCCGTCAGAGCTGTATTTTTGTAAAGACGAGGCAAACTCACTGTCCTTCTTGAATTTTGAGGCCAGTCGACAACCATCCGGCGGTGCCCTTCTCCAAGCCCTTGGCGGACTCCTCGCCCGCCAGTCTGAGTTGGGTGAGGTCTTTACCCGGGGCTTGCATTCACGTCAACTACATGCCACACGACGATGGAAGGATACTCACCCTTCCTGAGCTGGACATCAAAGGTGTCCATAATCTTCGGATCATTTTGGCGAGCCTCCATAGCGTCGTCGTACTCCTTCTGCCATGCCTCAAGGACCTCCTCATCTGTGGATGCAGATAAAGCTTCAAAGGACTCCTTGCTTCTTGGGAAGCCCAGGAGCACGCATTTCCACTTTGTCATCAAGGTTGGCACTGTAGGCAGCATAAGGCAGGTGGCAAATAGGGAAGGAGGAACCAGGCTCACCCATGCGAGTCGTCTTCTTCCAGTTGGAGTCATTCATGTGATCGTCAAGGACTTCTTGGCGGTGAGCTCAGGTCATGCCCCTGGTACTGCCTGAGACCTCATTTGTAGGCGCCCACAGGGTCTTGATGACCTCGCCATCGACCATACCAGCGCCAACTATAAAGTTGGGCGAGAACCGTTGGAAGCAGCAATCTTGGTGTCCGTGCACATGAAACAAGCTGATGCCTTGGTCTATCTTGAGCTCGAAGGGCATCCTCAGATAGGCGCTGTGGCGGAAACGTTTGCGGACATGGACGCCATACTGGCACATGATGTCATACATGACGAGGATGAGGGTGATACCGGTGAGGGTCAGGAGTGCATTGCTGAGAGAGTAATCCATATTCATTTGTCTGCAGAGGGTGCGTCAGTGAGAATGAATCATGACAAGAGACATATGCGAACCTTTCTCCCTTCTGGAAATCGACGACAGTATGAGGGACGAAGAAACCATGTCTGGCGCAAGCAGTGGCCCCGATTCCTGTGGCGTCGAGGTTGGCGCGATCCACATTGGCCTGATTGACAGCGCGGTGCTCATGACAAGTGGAGCGCTGGTGGGCTTAGGAGTCAAGGGCGGAAGAAGAACGTGCAGCCAGACACGCACCTGATGGGACTCCATGGCCACCACCAGATGAGCCTTGTAATCCTCTTGGCCGACATCCTCCTCGGGGTGCTTCATCTTCATGTGCTCTGCACTGAAATTGCCATCCATGACAAAGCCGCGTTTGAACTTCCACTGCACTGGATCCACTTGCCAATCAAAAGGCAGGTTGAGCCCAGGCTGGGGACAGGTGGGACAAAAGATGGCGAGGCCACCCTTCTCCACAGGACGGAGGGCATCGTGTGAGAAGCCGTGCCACTTGCGATATTTGAGTTGGCGCCATTGGCAGGACACCCACATCAGCTCACGATAACGGTCCTGGCGAGGAACTGGCATGAACGGTTGGGCCATGGGAATGCATGTGAACACTTACAGGAATGGTGCCAGGGAAGGCATTGCTCGTGACCCGTTTGAGCTTGCTGTAGTAGTTCAATGCCGCCGTCTTGCACTCTTTGTTCTCCAGAAGGAAATCGTCGAGGACGGTGAATGTGAAGGCAGTATGGGGATCCTTGACGGTACCAGGGTAAAGTCCCATTTGAAGAAGCTGCATGTCACGCTCCACTGCCATCTCACACTGGCACCAGTCAACGCCGATATGGTGAACGCCAGAGATGTCGACAATGACTATGATCCGATTCCCGTAACTGTCACGGCGAGGTGGCCGGGAGAGCACCGGTGGCACATCTTCCTCCCAAGTGGGATCGGGAGCATCGTCGGTTTGCCTTGCTTCACCGTCAAGGGTGCCTGCCAGAGGTGCAAAGTTGAATGGGACCTCGCCATCATCTGAGACCTCGCCATCATGTGCATTTAGGTCTTCATTGGAGGCATTCCAGAAATCGGACCCCGGGGCCACCACCGGCGCAGGGTTGTTATGTGCTGTGAAGGTGCCCAGAGGGCAGGGATCTCCGCCATGCCCCAAATGGATGCAGACGCCAACCCGATACAGTGATGCCGGCTCAAAATACTGACCCTGCCAATGCTCTATCTGATGGAAAGGAGCACGCTGATGGCCGTTATGACAGCAGTCGGTACAGGTGAGCGGTCTGCCCATACAGTCCAGGCATCGCCACCGTCCCTCGCCAACCTTGCATTCCACACAGTTTCTGGGCTCAGGCGGGGCTTCCATCTCGACAATGGCATGAAGATAGTCATCACGGTGGGGTATCCAGTCCCTCATGAAGTCATTCTGGGTCTATCGCGCATGGTCAGACTGTCAGATGGTCATGGCGGGAGTGCCCACCTTTGTCTTCCGAGCCGCCGGATCCAGCTGAATCGGCACACCTATGTTGCCCAGGACGTCGCCATCATCCAAGTTAAACAAGGAGCCTGAAGCTGGAGCCTTCGATGGACTTTTGGAAGGCGATGGCACGTTTGAACCCATGGGCATGGGCAAAGGTACGTCCACATAGCGTACTCCTCTAGTGGTCTGCTTAGCTACCTTGGTCACAAACTCAACCTCGTCATCCAGGTCTACAACGAGCCTGCTTTTGTTGCATCTGCTCATGGTTCAGGTCAGTGGGGAGTCATATTGCAAACTCATCGATGAGCATTGTGTCCCTATCGCACAACACGTGCAAATCACACACGGTCTTGCTGCCCACCAGACTACTCATCAAGGTGGTTAAGAATGGCTGCAATGCCTGGGCCTTATCACCTCGTGGTCTCTTTAGGCACCATATCAGCGTTATGCAGATAAGGATGCCATGTTGGCGAGAGGTCCGCCAATTGTATGTCGCTCTCAGTGCTAACTTTGCCTTGACTCGGAGTAGCATAATGTTCAAAAGGGAAACGTGCACTTGCACTGCGCGCTCGCCAATGCTGCCGCCATCTGCCCCACTAGCACTCACAACTTCTCGACCGAACACATTTCGCCACCATCTCCGCCAACTTCGAGGTCCGCCAACCATACGCTGCCATCAGTGATAACTACACCTTGAGCTGAACACTGTCGAGATGTGAAATGCACACTCGTACCGCGCGCTCGCCAACCTTCAGCTAGGATTCAGAAATTCGTGACTCCATACATTTCGCCATCACCTCCGCCAACTTTGTCCCGCCAATGAAGCTGCCATCGACAGTCTCCATCCCCTGCATAGTGTTCTCGTCTCCATCAGTCTTTGGCATGATGTCCCTCTAATAAGCGAGCCAGTTAGGACCTGTTCTGAGTTAGGAATGCAGACTCGGTGATGAACTGTGCACATGCCAATGTGTGAGGCGTAATATGAAGCTTGCATCCAGTGGGGCGCCGGAATGCCTAGCCTGTTCTGGACACCCTCTCGCATGAAGTATGCATAGACGAGCCTTTCGCCATCTGCTCGAGTGACGCCATGACAAATCGCCTTTCCACAGAAGACTATGACAGTTCCAGGACTATAATCAATGGCGACACGCATGGCGGGGAACTTCAACCACGTGCAAGTGTAGTTGCCCAACATCGCCAACAGGTCGTAGAAGGTGTATCTTGTCTTGCTATCTCGGTGGAAAGGAGTTTCCCGGTTGACGATCACCTGGAGCGCATTGAATGGCGAGGACCAGTTCAGCGCCATCTCTCACAATTCTGGGTCTTGCTGGATCAAACCCAAGCACTGGCGTCCTGCGGCATATAGTGTTGGGTGAACGACGGCCAGGATGGTGCCCAGCAATGCGGAGGAGTCATGAATATCACGCAGCCAACTTCTTCCGCCCTCAAGCTTCAGGCTGGTGGAGGTCTCCAGCCTCCCAGACTCCATATGCTGCAAAGGCTGTCCAGACGCAAGGCAAATGGCATGGCGAGGAGACCCACCTCTCTTACTTGTTGGAACCAACCTGGCAAGAGACACAAGGAGCCCGCTGGGAATTGGACACACTCCTCAGGAGGCAAGAAGTACAACGGGTTGTGTCGCCAACTGGCGGTGGTGCTGGAAGGCTTACTGGCTGCTATTGCTGGGTGTAGGGCCCTGGTCGCTTGGAGCATCTTCGTCTGACAAATTTGTCAGATCACAGCGCAAGGCTGGGCAAGCCACTCACCTGGCGGTCTGGTATCAACACTTTTGGAAGTATCCAAGCCAAGATGCGTCCGTGCATGTCCACGAGGGTGGCGGGCTGGTCTATGTGTATTTCGCTCTCACCAAATGGAGGAGGCCACTTCCGTTCCAGTTCTGCCTCGAGGACTTCATTCTGCCCCGTGGGCTGAATCGAAAGGCTGTCGCAATATCTATTAATGTCCCACTGCAGCCTTACTATTACAATGGCGTGATCAGTGTGATCAGACCTGCGGCAAGACTAATGACTACCAGGATTACGGATGGCCTTCACAAGAGCATCTGCAATGCCATTGCACTCCAATAGGAGGGCGGATGGCATGGATGGAGGCACTTCTATAGATGGCGCAGAATGGGCTGCATGAGTGGCCAGATGGAGCTTTCGGCGGAACATGAGCTCCAAGACTCCTGCTATCTGATCGGTCAGTGGCATGGGTGACAGATTGCTCATCTTGATACTATCTGCCAATCAATGGGACGATTACAGCATGCATCGGTTGAAGGAACGCACAGGTGTATGGCGGGCTCAGGCGGTTGGCTTGCAGATGCAGGGGAGAATGTAGGAGGGGCCAGAATGGCAAAGAACAGTATGCATTCATCTGCCTGCATATTGCTTGCAAGCACGTCCCTTGCACATCTCACATGTTCATCATGCCGCCGAGCCGGACTTGATGCCGCCATGCCGGATCACGGGCCAGGTGGTCCGCCATGTCTGGGCCCTTCGTCACTGCCATCTAATTGGCTGAGCCTAACTCCGAGGAAGCCCTTTATCCCACAGATTGGCATGCAGATGATCGCCAGATTGCCTCCGCCCAGCATTCGCGAGATGAAGTTGGCGTGGTGTGCTCTGCCATAGAAGCGGCATTCAACATTGGCTTTCACCAGGCATGAATGCTAGTGCATACCTACTACCACCTCCCGCCACTGCGAAAAATACACATACAATGCTTCAGCAGTCACCACACACCATGGCGAGGAGGGTAATTGGTGTAAGCCCAAATGGGCCATCAGCACGTGCATGTTGAGTTGTGGGCGGCCGACGAGGAAATGGACAGAGCGCTGCCCGTTGAACTATCGACCCCCTTCACTGCCCCAACACAAAAATCTCATCCTCGACATCGAGAAAGCATGCCGGCGAGATTTGTAATTTTGACGGAGCATCAGCCCATACTCTCTGAGAAGCTGCGGTCTTATGACACGGCAGATGCCAAGGGACGCAAGACTCTGGTTCAGAGCTTGCGCCAGAAGCTGAAGACACAGTTTGTCGACACGTCAAATTATGACGACATCATTGTGGAAACTGTGAGCAGTGTTTCATGTCTGTGAGGTCCCCACTAACTCTCACCGCAGAAAATCCGAGAGTGGCTCAATAACCACACCCGCCATGCGCAGGAGAAAGTGACGAAAAAGCGTATGCATATTTCTGGCAAGCCCAATGCCTTCAAGGTGTGGGATGCACTGGAGAGGGACAAGGTGACTGAGGCCGCGCGAGCACTCGCGGCAGATAAGGGTTGCAATGTCTCCAAGGTGTGGAGAGTCGCACGGAGTGCCGAATGGGCAAAACTGTCCGAGGAGGAGCAGAAGGTGTATGAGGAAAAGGTGGAAAGTTGGCGCAATGGCACTCTGGATGATAAGACGAAAATGAAGTGCGTACCTCCTGTCACGTAGCATAAGGCAAATCCTGACCTAAGACAGGCTGAGAGAGCAGCGAATGATGCAATATCTGAAGAAGTTTGCCAAGACTATGTGGGACACCATGGGCATTCGCATGGCATTCATGCTAGCATATCCGAAGGAAGCGGGGAGTCTGAAGGTAGAGATGTGAGCGTAGACCGTCCGACTGTCGCCATCTGCTAACCCCCGAGTGAAGGGTGGAGGTCAACCACGCCATCACCAATGGAACTCCATTCAGGGCCTATCCTGGGTGGCTGCATGCTTACCAGCCTCTAGCAAAGGTGTTCTCTGAGTGGGCCAAAGGCGAATATGGTAAGAAGACCTCAGTTGCATTGTCGCTGGCACACTGACCTGATTCCTTAGGTGTGACTGAGACTACGGTGACGGTGAAGAAGACACCTGCCGATTGCATGCGGGCCATGGACAAGATTCAGTTGACGGCCAACGGTTTTCCTCTGCTCCCGTCGGTGCCCGAAGGTATGGCGGAAGCGCCTCTCAAGGTGATGAAGGTACAAGTTCGAGACTTCATGAATCATCACTACGGTATGACACTCCCACTCGGTGTTGAGAGATGCTGACCAGTTTACAGCATTGGCGAAGGGTGTTCGGAACTGCAAGTCGCCATGGACGAAGCTGAACAGCATAGACGACATCAATGAGGTTATTCCAGCGGAGATGCTACCTGAGAACTTCCAGTGGATCGATCCCTCAAAGATGACAAGTGTTCCTGTTCGTGCCCTCCTCGACCACTGGCGGGCACGCCAAGAGGAACATGGACCTGAGCAGACCATGCGATTCACCCAGTACTTCAACAAGGATGGCGAAGCTGCTCCCGCCAAGTATGATCCTCTTCCACCACTTGACGGATCAGCACAGGCATTAGAAGAAGGATCTGAACATGAGGTCCAAGAAGCACTCACACCGAAGAAGGCGGGGAAGGCGAAGAAGAAGGGTAAACCTGTGCGCAAGGTCACGGGAAAGGCGGCATCGAAGGCGACAAAGGGCAAAGCGGCCCCTGGCGGAGCCAAAGGCGGTGGGCGTAAAGGCAAGATGAAAGATGCATACGACTCGGAAGATGATGCCAGAAGCAGCCAAGACTCTGATCAGAGTTCGCCAGATATACCCAGCATGGCTTCCGAAGAAGATACGGCCAGCGATGAAGATTCAGGGGATGGCGAGAGCGTGATTGCGAATAAAGCGAAGGGCAAGGCAGTCACCACCACCAATGGACGTAAGGCTAACAATGGTGGTGCACCTCAAGCGAGTGGTAGCGGCGGTGCCAAGACGAAGGCAAAGCGAGGTCTCCAAGACCTTCCTCTGGGTGAACTGCACAGATTTGACACAGAGGAGACCGATGAAGCATGGAGTGAACTGAAGCCCAGTACAAAGGAGCTCAGGCTTGAGCTTCAAGGCCGAGCCCCGCATCTCACTGGCGGGAGTACTGTGGGGAGTACTGTGCCCCACCTCGTCAAAAGGAGAGACGTGTTTCTCGCCACCCTTTCCATCGAACCGCGATACCAGGATATGCTGAAGCAAGTCAAGATTGCGACTGTGGTGAGCTCCTTTTGTGGGGATTCATATACACTATTGATCATCCGTCATATAGCCCCAGGTGTATCGTTTCGCCAGGTATGATCCGATTCCCTGGAGTGAATGGTCATATGGCCAGCGCTACCTCCCGCCGTCATTTCATGCGGTGGACAACTTTGACATCATCGAGAACTGGTTGGGCGACAAACCATGGCTGACAAAATATCGGTTCTTACATCCACAGGGCGTACAACAATCTGCACTCGTGATTGGTATGGCGCTGAGGGACCTCACACGATCTCAGTTCATTGAGGAGGGCGAACCGACCAACCTTCCCGACTATGTGGTGAACTCGGCGATCTCATTTGATGCAGTAGAGCAGCTGCTTCGCTGTTGCGAGATCATTACCTTGGACATGGTGGAAGGGAACGTCACCCATGCCATGGTGAAGCCAGTGAGCAAGCCTGCCATACGCGGTGCCCCACAAGGTGGCGATGGCCTTGGGGGCCAGGAGGAGCAGGAAGGTGATGCCTCTGCAAGAACTCACGATGGCGCTGCTACTGCTGCCAAAGTTCACAAGGCTCACCAGCCTGCCCCCATGGCTGACAAACCAATCATTCCAAGTGGAGGAGACGAAGGGCCACGCCAGGAGACCGGTGGTGGGGCCTCTGACGATGGCGAAGAGGACGATGCACACTTGTCCGTACCTAGCAGTGGTGCTGAACGACCACCACCGCCTCCGTTTATACCTAAGACGAGGAAGGCCGCAGCCACGGAAGACCGTCCATCAGGTCAAGCCAAAGCTCTCCAGGGAAGGTCGATCACCGATGCCCTTCAGAGTAATATCCCCGGCAGGATCACTCGCAGTCAGCGTCAAGCGATGGATGAGTCGCCCGCCAAGAATACCCGCAGTCAGCATCCACTAGGAGCTGTGAAAGATTTGAAGAAGCTTCCTGATCCAAAGCGGAAACGTCAACCAGCACGTCCCGAGCCCGATGGCGAAGACAGCTCTGGCGAAGACAATCCGCCACCTCGGAAGCGTGGACGTGGTACTCGGGATGAGTTGGTAGTGGCCTCGCCGAGGAAGAAGAATGTGAGGGCCGAGGACTCGGATGATGGTGACAAGCCTCCCGCAAAGCGAAGACGAGCTCTGCCTCAGACCCCAGAGGTCAAGGACAAGGGAGAAACCAAGCTGAAGCCGGTCCGTCTGGGGAAAGCAGCTGCCAAAGTGAAAGAGAGTGGCCAAGTTGGTGCAGGTCGCAAGACCCGCAGTGGTGGCACCAGACCTTGACAATATAACTCCAGTTCAAAGTAGACTCGTAGGCTTCCACATTGTTTAATGTGACCCATAGATCTACATAGGTAAAGCCATGGAGATGGTGGCAATGGTGAGGGGAGTTGGCGAGAACTTCAGCAGGCATTCAGTTGACTTGGAGTGGCAGTGGCGAATCGAGTGCATGGAGATTCCATGCTAGGTTAAAAAGCATGTATATCAATACTCTAATGACTACACATTGTGGCTATCTGGGCGAAAGGCGGTGAAGACCATGGCGGAGTCGACCTTCTCTCAGAATGCGTCCAGAGACTTCACCACCAGCGAGGTTTCCTCTCTCGCCGTCGCCACCTCCTTCCCCACCTTCTTCGCTTCATCCAAAGTGGACGTCGCCACCACCATCGAATCCTCTTTAGCGAGCGCCAATTCCATCTCCAGCTTGCTCGCTTGAGCGATCGCCTCTGCCGCCGAAGACCTGAGCTCCTTCTCCATGCTGTCTGACCGCGCTGCCTGGAGCTCCATTGAATGACGGAGGTCGGCCAATTCGCCCTGCAGCTTGTCAACGTCCGCTTGGCTCACCGTCTGGTTCGCGCCTTGCTCCAACCTGTTGACCTTCTCCTTGAGCTCTGGCAGGCAATGTCGCTTGGCGACGAGGTCCGCCACCACCAACTTCACGCTCTCCTGAAGCTCGATGGTGACCGGCCTGCGAAACTCCTCCATCGCCAACTTGACCTCTTCGCGAATGCTCCGGGCATTTTCTTGAAATGCGGATGGCGGGTTGATTCGCTGGAGTGCTGCTGTGATCTCTGCCTTGATGGTGTTGAGGTCCGCCATCCTCTCCTGGAATTGGACTTCCATCCCGTCCTTGTGCGCCAGGAACTCCTGTCGCAACTCGGCACAATTCGCGCAGTCATCGTTGGATGACTGCGAGGTTTCTTCGCCACTGGGGGTGTCACCTTCGTTCACCGGAGCGGGACTTTCTGTAGACACTCGCTGGACGTCGCGCAAGTGGGGTGCTGTATCCCTGGTCAGCGCTGCATGGATTCGAAGCTGTGGCGGGCGCACTTACCCTTGCTGGTCGGAGGCACTGCTCTGAGGTGGTTCGCCTTCGCATCCCTTTTCGCCTCCGCCTCCTTCTTCGCTGCCTTGCGGTCCAGTGGGGCGCCCCTCTTAGCTGGCCTTCGCCCTTCATCGAGATGTCCTGCCTTCGCCAATGTGGAGGACTTCGCTCCCTTCGACGCCTTGGATATCTCCAGGGAGGGCGTCACCTCCTGTGCCACCTCGGCAGCTCCTGCACTCATCTCATGGGGCATCAGCAGCGAACGCCGCCGATCGTCGTGCGGCCACTCCAAGGACGCGCGCTGTTTCATGGTTACATCGACTCCAGCTGTGACAAGATGTCCTGCTTACCTCATCCTCCGCCACCTCTGCCTGATACTCTGGCGCATCCTCTGGTTCGTCAGCGACTGGTGTCAGCATGCGCTTGCTGCTGCTAGCTTGCAGCGGAGCAGCTGGCCCTGTTTGGAAGGCCATAGCCCGCACCGCCTCCATTGCCAGCCTGGCGGCTTCCTCCATGCCATCGCCTTCCGCCAAAGGCATTTTGGCTGCTGCCTTCGGAGCACTTGCCTTCGCCTTCCTGGTGATCACGGCACCATTGGGCCCGAGCGACCTCCCATCGTCACCCTTGTCATCTGCCCGCCCTCCTTCGCAACAGACTTGGCAGGCGGGACCTCATCCGCCTCACGTACTGAGGTCCTGGTGACCTCGCCACCATCTTGCGCACCTGAGTTTTGGCTCCTCACCGGCTTTGGCTTGGGTCCTGATTTCTTACCTTTGCCAGGTTTGGCGACCGCACCAGACTTGGCAGGCGCGCCAGACTTGGAGACCTCGCCAGAGTTGGTGACCTCGCCAGAGTTGGACAGAGCCACAGCTCCAGTGGCGGTGGTGGACTTGGTGGCGCGCTTGGACTTCGACAATTTCTCCACCGAGGCCTCGCCTTCAGCGTTGGCTTCATAGCGCGTGACGGTCGCTTTCTGCTTCGTCGCCTCGACCTCCTCACCACCCTTGACCATGGAGCTGGATGCTGCAGCATTGCACGTCTTGGTCTTCTTCGGCAGCTTGCGCTTCGACGCTCCCATGACCATGGGTTCTGCACCATCAGGCTCATCGGAGTCGACCTTGACATCGTATGGAGGTGGCGACGTGGGCAGTGGCTTGCCCTCTACCACCAGCGCTGCGCACATCTCTTGGAACTCACGCTGTGCAGTGTGTGAGTTTCCTCGCAGGGGCACGCCGTCCATGTTCCTCGGCGCGATGCTGCAACTGATGCCTCGTGCTGCACATTCGAGGCAGCAACTGAAGTTGGCGGTGTTGAGCTTGCATGGCCACTCTTTCTCCTGGCAGCCAACGCAAGGGACGAGCTGCAGGAACATTAGCACAGGTCAATGTCTCACAAGATCGTTACTCACCGAATCTGTTGCATGTGCCCACATGAAGTCAGACACGCGGGTGGACGTCTTTTTCCACATGTCCTTCTGCGACACCGTCACCTTCGCCTTCCCCTTCGCCGTCACCTTCCCCTTCGCCGTCGCCTTCCCCTTCGCCGTCGCCTTCCCCTTCACCGTCGCCTTCCCCTTCACCGTCGCCTTTGCCTTCCCCTTTGCCTTCGCCTTCGGTGCGACATGAGGCGTCGCCGTCATCCTCGTTGTCTGTTTGACAGGTTTGGCAGGGGCGTTCATCTTCGCAACACTGTCGTTAGAGTCCCCTGCGGTCTTGGCGGGTAGATTGGAAGGCGGTGCCGGAGTCTCGTCTTCGCTTTCGATGAACTCCTTACTCTTGTATTCCTTCGTCGCATGCTTCTTCTTTGGCGGCTTGACGGTCGGTACTTCCTCTTCATCGTTTGACTCCTTCGCCTTCCTCTTCCCGCTCTTCTTCGTGCTCACCTTCGAGCCCTCCACCTCGGTCTGCGCCATCCTCTTCTGCACACGCTGCGCTCGGCCAGAGGTGGTCGGGGCCTTGCCTTTCTCCTTTGCGACCTCGATCGGCTTCATCCGCTTCGCCTTCGGAGCCGCCTCCTCATTCTCACTCTCCTCACTCGACTCTGTGATGACCGCCTTGCACTTTCGGAGTGATGGGGCAGCTGGCGAGATCGATATTGGTCTGGCAGTTGGTGGAGGGGGCGACGCCGCATCGACCTCGATGGATTCGGGCTGGCCTGCACCCGGCACGTCTTCCGCCATCTCATCATCGTCATCTTTGTCAGCATCGTCATCCTCATCACTGTCAGCATCGTCGTCATCCTCGCCCTCCTGCTCCTCTCCCTCTCCCTCTCCCTCTCCCCCATCCTCTTCCTCGCTCATCACATGCGCCGCCTTCCCCTGCACCTTCTCCTTGCTCTTGCCCTTTCCCTTGTCCTCCCCCACCTCCACGTGGACGATACGCTCACCCACCATGCCTGTCCCAACGTCATTGTCAGCTCTCTCCTTGCCTTTCCCCTTGGTGACGAGGTCCCCGGTAGCCAGGTCCTCCTCGCCATGTCCCTGGGTGTCATCATCGGCTGGCACATTGCCCCAGCCCTCCGCTGGCGTACTCTTCACTGGTGGCAGCTTGCAATATGGATCTGGTGCAGTCAGTGTGTCGCTCAACGCCTCACAACGCTTGTGACTCACCTTCAGTCCACCACTGCCTTCCCAGGTCCTCACACTCCCCATACTCGCGCACAGCCAGAGGGTACCTCTTGTATATCCTCTCGTCATCGTTCGATATGTGGTCCAGCCGCGCCAGGGCCTTCTGCTGGTACGCCCGGGTGAATTCCAGCAACGCACTGATGACGATGCCAGGCATCCTCAACGACTTCAAGGGCTGCGGGAAACTCTTTTCAAGCCGACTCTGTGTGGCATATTCGGTGAGGGTATGCCAGACCTGCGACCGATGACTTACCACTTCGAGGTAAATCCTCACCTCCCAGTCCGAATAGCGAGGGTCGTCCTGGCGAGGCACCGCTGCAACAATGGCCGTCAGTCGCGCGGCCTGCAGAATATAGTTGGGGTCGATATCCAGAGTCATGGCGAGCTTGGCAGAAGAAAGCGTGAGGGTGTTTCAAAAGCAGAGGTTGCAGTACAGCGGAGGTGGAGCAGACGACGCTATGAGCTGGCAGACGCGATCTGCACCAAGTTCAACTTCACACGCCACGCGACCACGTGCTTTGCACGTGATCGCTGGACTTGCACAATTTCTCAAGTCTCTCAAGGTCAGTGTGACCTGCCGCAAGTTCTCATGGCTCCCAACAGTAAGTTCTATTGCTCTCCTTGTGGAATCTGACTCCTTTGTGATGTTATCTGACCTTTCTATGTCATATCAATCCCCTTTCTACAACTGATCTCCCGTGATCCAGGACTGATCGAAAACTTGTCTGCTCGCCACAATCTACCTGCCATGGCCAGTGACGCGGAACCTCCTGACACGCTGGACATTACGATGGGCGAGTCGGATGAGGAGGATAGTATCGCTGAGCCCCGTCGTCCACTCATTTCGGATCTCCTTGACTCTCCTGGATCTGCCCAGATCTCCTTGCCTCTCCACTCTGCTTCTTAGACACCCCTCACGCCCCGCCACACTACCCCATCCCTGGCGGCTCCATTTGCGCCATCCAACTCACCACATGAGCATCTTCACTGCCACGCCTTGCCAAAGGTACAGGCATCATCTGGATCTGTGGCGCCTGTGGAGGGAAGTCACGCACTTATTCCTGACCCTCTGGCGCCAGCTTGGGATGAAAGTCGTGGCAGTTCGCCAATCCATAGGCGTGCACTCATCTCAGATTCCACCCCCACTGCGCCCGGTGGAATGTTCGACTTCGACACTCCTGGCATCTCGCCAATCCCTCGACGCGCCCTGTTGGAAGCTACTCCCCTTCCTCCACCAGCTCACACTTTCGACTTTCGCACTCCTGACACCTCCCAACTCTCTCGACGATCGCTCATCGCTGAGCCCCTTGACGCTACGCCACGTACATCCATCCACTTCGATAGTCAAGCAAGTACACCGATGGTGAGGGGCATGCTGGTGGACGAGACACTTGATGCGGAACCAGTGCCGAAACTGCTGGACTTTGACAATAGTCCTCCCGCCACGCCAGGACGACGGCGAGCTCTGGTGATAGACAGCCCTGGCGCGACGCCTGTGCGTAGCCAGGTCCGGTGGCTAAATAGTCCCAGCACTTCGCCTCCAAAGAGGCGGCCTTTGTTGGACGATGTTTTAAGTCCACCGCCTCCACCATCGGTGCCATCTCACTCGTCAGCTCGCACTTTCGATGACAGCAATTTCCGCCACGATGCACCTGTCATTCACTATATGAAAGGCAGCATCGAGCCAGTCACTGTTACTTCCAGGATGCCAAGTCTGGCAGCACTTCCAGATGAGCTGCCAATCCATCGTCCCACCCATTGGGAACAGGTTCCAGGCTTATTCCCAGATACCACACAGCTGCTGCCAATGGCAGTCCCTGGAGAGACGAATGCCGCTTCTGGCTCACAAGTGGCCTGCCTCAGTAGATCGTTTGCGCAGATCACAGCAGAGGCAGACAGTTCCAGTGAGTGCATCCCTGGCAACCTTCAGTCTGATGTTGACCTTATTCATAGTGGACAATGACGAAGGTGATAGCTTTGCAGTTAGTCGTCGTCGCGCCATGTTGCGGGAGCGCATTGTACGTCTTCAGCGTGAGCTCAACCTCACTGAGGATATGCACATTGCGAACCTCAATACCAGCTCGACCGTGTTCCAAATGGGGTACATTCTGAGGGACATTCGTGGCGAGGCGTATTGCAGCAACTGAACTAGTGTCTTTGAGCGTTTTGGTGTTAGCAATATATGACCGCTATGTAACAGCTTGTATACCAGTACAAAATGGATACATTCACTTCTGCATCACTAAGCTCTAAAGCCCATCGCTCCTCCAGTGTACTCTTCAGATGGGCGGACTGCGCTCGCCATCACCAAGGCATGTTGTTGCCAGCAATTAACCCATCGCCAAAGGACCTGAGTGAAAGCTTCACTGCATGGGAATATCACTCCGCCAGCAAAGGGCCCACTGCCAAGAGTCAGAGGGTTGGCCATCGCCAAGCCGTGTTTTCGCCACCAATTGGCCCTCCGCCATGAGTGCTGGTGAGTGATGGGCCCACCGGCAAAGGTCAGAGGATTGGCGATCACCAGAGCACGTCATCACCACCAATGCACCTGGAAACTGCAGGGCTGTATGTGACAATGGGCCCATTGGTGGCGATGACATATTCTGGTGATCGTCAACCCACTGGCCTTTGGCGGTGGGCCGATTGCTGGCGATAACATGCTCTGGTGTTGGCCAACCCACTGGCTTTTGGCGGTGGGCCGATTGCTGGCGGAAACATGTCCTGGCGATGACCTATCCCATGGGTGCTTGCAGTAAGGCCCTCACTGAGGGTGCTTTGGCGATGGGCCGACTGCTGGCGATAACATGCTCTGGCAATCGTCAACCCTCTAACCTTTGGCGGTGGGCCCATCCTTCAGGTTACACTCTGGGCGATCGGCCCACTGCTCATTTGTCATACTCTGGCGGTGGGCCGATTGCTCAGACAAACATGCTCTGGCCATGGCCAACACTCTGACCTTTGGCGGTGGGCCGATTGCTGGCAGAAACATATCCTGACGATGACCTATCCCATGGGTGCTTGCAGTAAGGCCCTCACTAAGGGTGCTTTGGCGATGGGCCGATTGCTGGCGATAACATGCTCTGGCAATCGTCAACCCTCTAACCTTTGGCGGTGGGCCCATCCTTCAGGTTACACTCTGGACGATCGGCCCACTGCTCATTCGTCATACTTTGGCGGTGGGCCGATTGCTCAGACAAACATGCTCTGGCCATGGCCAACACTCTGACCTTTGGCGGTGGGCCCATCCGTTATCTTACACTCGTGGCGATGGGCCCACTGCTCATTGATCATACTTTGGCAGTGGGCCCATCGATGGCGATAACATGCTCTGGCGTCGGCCCACCCTCTGACCTGTGGCGGTGGGCCCATTGCTTAACGGTTACAACACTGTAATATGCCCTGCTAGTGGGCCGAGCACTGGGATAAGAACACTAGCGGTGGGCCCACTGCTAGTATCCCACACATGAAAGGTATGGGCCCACTGCTGGTAGAGGTCAACATGGTGACAATGGGCCGACGTCCGCTGGCTGTCCAGTTCATGACAATGTCAGGGTAAATGGGAGTTCAGTTCAGGTAACATGACTGAAAGGTGTGCTCTGTGGCACTACTCCAAAAACAAATCACTGACCTAGAACTAGAATGACACAAAACTGCACACACCTCCACAAAGGCACAACACTGCCTGGAAGCTGAAATACCAAGCAAATACTGGTCCAACCTTAGTAAAGCCCGTAAACCTCGCGACCCAATCTTCTCCCTACACCACCCACACTTTGACCCCCCTATGTACGAATCTCGCTCCGACAAAATGGCTGAACTAGCACGTGAATACCATGACAGCATCCAACACGATGAGCACCCTCCATCCCCCTCAGACTGCCAAAGCACAAAAGCGGGCCTGACCACCTTCAACATCATAAGCACCCTCACTTCCATATACAACGACATCCAAACCTTTGGCGTCTCCCCAGAAACCCACTTTGTGGACAGATGGCTATGCCCATTATACAAGAAAAAAGACACATGTGATATAGCAAACTACTGCCCCATCACCCTACTGAACACCGATTACAAAATCTTCACCAAGGTCCTATCAATCTGCCTCTCCCTGGTTGCATCCTCCATCATCCACATGGACCAGGCTGGTTTCCTCCCGGGATGAAACATACTAGACCAGATACAACTGTCACAACTCATGATCAACTACGCAGAAGCCACCGAAGAAAACGGAATCATTGTAGCGCTAGACCAAGAAAAAGTGTATGATCGCATAAACCATGATTATCTATGGCAGACCCTAACACGCCAACAGATTCCTGAACCCTCCCCTTTCCATGTCACAAGAGAAGTCCGACAAGGTTACCCCCTATCCTGCCTACTCTTCAACCTTGCAATCGAACTCCTTGCGTGCATGCTCCTCTCCTCCACACTCCAATGTTTTAAAGTCTCTGGTCTTCCACAACAAATTATAACAACACTCTTCGCAGATGACACAACAACCTACCTCTCAGAGCACGACAATTTTGCATCCCTCCAAATCATTCTTGAGACCTGGTGCATGGCGTCCTCCGCATGCTTTAACACCTCAAAAACCGAAATCATCCTGATCGGAAGCACCGAATACTGCACCTCCCTCCTCTCAACCCGGAAAACATCACCCTCCATGCCACCGCTCCCACCCTCCATACACATCACTGAAGACAGCGAGCCGATACGCATGCTTGGCACATGGCTCAGGAATAACGTTGCCCAAACCACCCCGTGGGCAGCTGTAATCGAAAAAATCACCAAGGCCCTCCACCAATGGTCTGTATGCCACTCTACCCTTCGCGGGCGATCCCTAATAGTCCAAATGATTGTAGGCAGAATGAGCCAATACCTTACCACCGCCCAGGGGATGCCTCGACACATCGAAGAACAACTAACTAAACTCACCCGCGCCTTTATGTGGGGTGATAACATCTCCCTCACGATAGGAATAGACACTCTATACCTTCCCATCTCTCTCGGCGGACTGGGTCTCCTCAACCTCAGAAGTAGAAATGAGGCAATTGATCTCACCCACCTCGGCCATTTTCTCACGCTCTCACCATCTCACCCTAAATGGGCGTACATCGCCGACATACTCATAAGCGAAAATGTCACCAAAGCAACTAGATGAATTTGCCGCTCCTCCCAACTGAATCCCTTCCTCCAAACATGTCACATCGCCCTCCACTCTGGCTCTAATCTACCCACAATCATCCGAACGATGCTCAAAACAGGGAAAACCTTCAATGTCACCTTTGAAACCCTCAAACTATCTCAATTACTAAAAAAAAAACTCCTGATGTGGTACCATCTTGGGGCCAAGCCAGGCTTGAACACCCTCAACAATGTCCCCTCCTCAGACTGCCTCCGCAATGCTCACTCGGCTACCACTGTCGGAGACCTCATATGTATCACCAAATGCACCAAACACACACACTTAACCCCATGCCACCTCCCCCAAAAAAACTGCTGATGCAAATACTGCACCCTCGACTGCTCCAATGGATGCGAAAACCCCAACAAATGCTCCAAAGCAGCTGTGAAACTGCTACTCTTCATTGACAACAAATGGGACCCATCCCACTCCTCCTCCTGATGACCTTACCCTCACCTGCCACCAGAAACACAACAACCACACCGCCCAGACAAACAATGACCAAATATTATTTAACCCGACCCTCACCGTACACGGACACCTCACGAATGGTTTCTGTATCTTCACCAACCCCATGCTGTGCTCTGTCCAACCTGCATACCGACTTGGCCATGGACTACCTGAGGAAGCTCTCACTGTTTACACCGATGAATCTTGCATGTACAACAGCAAGGCCAATGCCCAAGCTGGTGCCGATGTCTGGTTCGGCCACAATGACCCCC